GCGCATCACCGCCGTCCTCCCGCTCTTTCCCTACTCGCGACAGTCGGACATTCCATACAACAAGACTGGCGCGCCCCTTTCCAAGGTGCCTGGGCGCTCGAGGACCGGCACATACACGTTCGACTCGCGACCGCAGACGCCCTTCCCAGGCCAGGCTGAAAGCGCCGGCATAACCAATGGCTCTGCAGCGCTGCACCACCAGCTCAGTAGGATGAAGATGGACGAGCGCAACGGCGGCCATGCCAACGGGAACCCCACGAGCCCCGTCAAGCAGAACGGCATCAAGCGTTCCGAGACGGTCGACTCGGGCAAGTCGGACAAATCCGACAAGTCTGCCTACTTCGACATTGGCAAGGAAGCCAATGGCGCCAACGGCACGGCTGCCCCAACCCCAGGTCTCCTCACGCGCGCACCCACAACCACCAAGCCTCCTGCTTTCGAGCCCCAGGTCGGATACCGCCAATGGGTTGCTCAAGCCGGTACCTTGATCGCGGACCTGTTGACCTGCGCTGGCGCTGACCACGTCATCACCATGGATCTCCACGGTAGGATACATGTTGTCCAAGTACAAGACAACGCGCTGACAGACTGCCAGATCCACAGTACCAGGGCTTCTTCGATATTCCCGTGGACAACCTCTATGGCCGTCACCTCCTCCGCAAATACATCCAGTTCAACATCCCCAACTACCAACAAGCTGTTGTAGTCTCCCCAGATGCTGGAGGTGCGAAGCGCGCAACCGCCATCGCCGACGCTCTCGGCATGCCTTTTGCCCTCATTCACAAGGAGCGCCGCCCCACACAGATCAACGACCGGCAAAACGCGACCATGATGTTGGTTGGAGATGTACGCGATCGCACAACCATCCTGGTTGATGATTTGGCGGATACGTCCAACACCATTACCCGCGCGGCGAAGCTCTTGAAGAAAGAAGGTGCTACACAGGTGATTGCCCTCATTACACACGGTATCCTGAGCGGAGATGCCATTGAGCGTATCAACCAGAGTGCTCTAGACAAGGTCATTGTGACCAACACGGTGCCCCAGGAGGACCACAAGAGCAAGTGCCCCAAGCTGGAGGTTCTCGAGGTCGGCAATGTCTTTGCTGAGGTAAGATCAAATTCCCATGAAAAATAGCTTTGAAAATACATGCTAACGATCTTCTAGGCCATCCGACGTGTTCACCATGGTGAGAGCATTAGCGTGCTTTTCGATTACAGTTAGTATCTGTATTCATCGAATATCCGTTTCCTCGGACACCGTACCATTAGTCCCGCTATGCTACGCTCACTTCCTGCTACTGAAAACCCGTGTGAGAGATAGGGCAATGTGGTTCGAATGGGACTAGTCTGTTGCTAGAGAGATGCTACAACCTTCTGTTGATTACGAAAGTGATACGGATATGGATGTGGTGTTTCTGCTCTTGCATTCTCTTTATGTCCTGTTTATAGACTGCTGAGGAGCAGTATATCAAGTACCTGAACGTTGCATTATAGGCATACGTGCATGGGCTGGCGTTGGGTGGGTAGGCTGTTCTTTACTACAGAAACTTGCCTAGTTTTATGGACTGTGTGTGTTTTTCCTAGTCCAAATCACATTCAGAATAGAGTGCCCATTTGGTGTTTTTACATCATTCATGCGGAGATGGTGCCATGAGAGCGGTGCTAGCATCGCCATCACTTTTACTTCCTTACTGTTGTATGTCATTCGTGTAGGATTTTGGACGACCGTAGTCTCTTCAGACTCTGCTTTCAGGATTATGTGACACACGTTGAGACGAAGTCCATCATATTACATTAAATTACAGGTCCTTGTCTACATATAGCAAGGCATTCGCCTATAGGGGTATATCTAATACGGCTAGAATCATGAGACTATGACAAAATGGCAGCATGCTTGCAAAAGGTAGAAGCCTTTAGACGCTGAACAGGGGTATATCGCACTCGTCACTTCGTCCATCAAGTACCTTACTCATTCAGCTTCGTCCTAGCCCTCCGGTCCCTCGCGCTTCTCCCTCCGCCTACTGTGTGTCCAGCCGCCGCACCCTGCGTCGATGCACTTCCGCGCCGACTTGCTGTGTAAGCACTAATCATACTAGATGTAGCGCTTGGTCTTCGATGCGTGCTCGCTGTACTGCTGTCTCGCGTTCCATTCATGGAAAGTACGAGATGCACTCGCGACGGTGGTGGAATAGGATGGTCGTTGACGTAGAAGCCGCCTGTGCCATCTTCGGTGATTTTGGTAGGAACCGCAGCAAGCTTGTTCCGTTGCTCAGTATGGTCAGGAGAGATTGGTCGCGCATTTACTTCTTCCACATGGCCTGCTTCGAGATCAATGTCGACAATGCCGTCATTTGCAGTACGTAGAACTGCAGGGGCAAAGTCGTGAGGTGATATGGCTTCTTCAAGCAGGTCTTTGTCGGCGAATCCGGACATATTACTAAGGGCTGGCGATTTGGTTTGCGTGATGTTTGAGGGGGTCAAAGTCATGCTCTTACTTCCAATGGTGTTGTTTGGTGAGCGCTTCGTCCCGGTACGTGCGCCCGTTGTCGCAGACTGTTGGTGAAGTAGCTGTGCTGTCTTCCGACCTCCTGCTGTGCGTGGAGAGTGATAGGACCACGGGGGTGGATTTCCTTCGTCGAAATTGCCGAGCTCGAAAAGTTCCCTCAGTATTGTCCAAGTAAATGGTAGATTGGCAACGAGAATGGCAGTTGACGACTCTCGAACATACCAGTAAATCCAAGTTGCCTTGTAGGGGTTGCTGAAAGAGTAGTAGCTGTTCATGATGCTTGCAGCTACCACAAAGAGACCCAGAGAGAAGATGCCGCACAGGATTATCTTTCTCTTCATAGGAAGGAGCGATCGGATGAGCATTTGCAATGCAATGCACAACATGATCAAGTCCGAGGATATGTTGAAGACAGCCTTGGTGATGCGGTGATGAACCAAGGCATTGCACTGGAATGAACTGGTCGGCACTGCATAATACTCCGAGAAAGGTCTACACCAGGCTGAAAAGTAGAGGACTTCTATGACCACAAATCCGAGTGCTGTGTAAACGGCGAGAATCTTGATGGCGATGTTTTCGTTGCGAAGAGCTGTCCGTGTTATGCGATGATACATGATCAGAAGACATGCTTTGCACGCCCAGATCACAGCGATGTGCATCTGCTCTACAACAACCACGAGCTTGCTCCCGAATCTTCGTTTCGATAGTTCGTCCACGGTGAGTGCGCTGAAGTCGAAATTCTCGGGTTCAAGGTTTGACTGAACCTTCAGCCATCGGTTCGCAAGTACAATCATAACCGTGTAAGCACCTGTGACGAAGAGACCCATCGTCCAGTCATCGAACTGGAGACCTTTGATAGATCGGAACAACATCTTCCGTGAAATTCTGTATGGCAATTTCGTCAGAAAGTAGACTAATACGTTACAACGAAAATATAATTCCCATAATGCTAGCCGTGAGGCGCGAGTAAGTAGAGAGTGAAGCGACCGGCGAGAGGAATGCGCCCAGGACGCCACAGCCTCGCCCGCCAGCGCATCGCGTGCTAAGCCTTGTTCTTGATAGCAAAGGACGCCTCTCGCATGTGAAAGAATGGCATTGTTCGTAGAAGATGTACTCACAATCTTGCTCCGATCATACATACAGCACACGTATACCAGATCCATGATTCCTGATTGAACGGTAATGGCATTGTCGAGTTGCAATGCGGTCAAGCCGCTGACGCCAGTGTCGCTATCCGTTAGGCCGCTTGAGGTTTAGAAGGCGAGATCGACGAAGGGTCATGTTGTATGGGAACACGATTATCGAAGCGCATCCAGGGCAGGAAGAGGGTGTTGATTATCAAGGAACAGAAGTGGACAGAGAAGAGGGTGTAGATACACACCGACAAAAAACAAGGAGGAAAGAAAAGAAAGCTGACAATGTTGCGATAGAATGACAAGGTTGGAGGCTAACCTCTATAGCTTGCAGCTGATGCACACGGCAGTCTTCCGTTTGCAGTCAGCCGCCCCTCAGCTCAATCCAGGGCTTATCTTGGAGTATCTGCCGCGCCTGAGCCTGCTGGAGGTCCCGCGTGGGGTCGCCGATACTTGGCGCTGGTAACATCTTGGACCAATTGTGCCTGGCGGATGTGAAGGTTGCGGCTAGGTATTACTTTTGCGGGGTTCCGCGCGCCTGTCATGTACACTTTGAGCCACTGCGCATCCGGACGTCTAGAACGTTCATGGTATACCCTTTGATGCATACAGAAATGGCATGCCCATGTAGATGCGTTGTAGTTATCACAGTTGTAGATGACGCGGGCAGTGAAAGCTGCTTGCAACACGCGAGTTGAGGCTGTGCCTGCAAGGTGCGTCATAACGTCCAAGGCTGACAGCCACAACGTACTGTCAGCGGTGCAAAGCTAATCTGGTGTGAAATGAGATGGGTGAAGCTGTCAAAGGCGGTAAATGAGCGTTAATGCGCATATACGCGATGCGAATGTTGAGTTGATGTTTGCATTTGCCGCTGGCCCTGGGCGAGTGGTTGTACGGGGAAAGAGGAGTGAACTGCAGGCGGGAACTCGGGAAGTCGCCATTAGCGTAGCGCAACCGCCTGCGCACCGTTCAACTCACGTCTTCCAACTTCCTACACACCAACTAGTCTGATCCCTTAAATAAGAAAAGGCATCGGGGAACAGCTCCGTGCGACGCCATCAAATGAGAATGCTACGCAGTCCTCCGAACAAACGCCTCCACTCTGGATTATTCCGTGAATTCGCTTACGAACGCCACTTTGAACTGATGTCGCAGTTTGCTCGAAGTCAGGCGCGTCGGTGTTAGCGAACAGCAAGCGGAAAAGACAGGAGACGATTTACAAGTTGCACAGACCTTGGTGGTCGAGAAATTGCGGTCTGGTGCACGTTGAAGATACTACAGAGATGCATGACGAGCATGTCCGAGTACTCAAAGCTTGCACACGGAGCGAGATGTGCCTCAGCCTAGAAGATTTCGTCGTCAGAAGGCCCCTCCACTGGCCTGTGTAGCCGCCGAGCCATTCTGGAAGAACTTAGGACATATTCCAGAAAGAGACGAATGCAAACACTCACTGTCATCTGCTTCACAAGCACCGTCTGGGTCACAGTGCCATGCTTCCTACCCGAAAGGAACAAATCGCGCTTCCGCTTCTGCTCCGTGGGATGAACCATTGGCGCGGAGATACGTTCCGATGCTAAGAGATTGCATGTCCACTGCCATTGCTTCTGGGAGAGGGCTACAGACAGAAGGCGGCGGTGATCACCCATTGCTATCGCCATAGTAAGTAAATTGGCGATGCGACCTTCGAAAGAGTCTATACCCTCCATTTCGACGATGATGATCACTTTGTTCTTCCTTCGTCATCAATATAGAGCTCTGATCATTTACGCTCGGCTTATTTGTCACCGTCGTCTTCTTAGTGTTGTAATCGATATGTCGTAGGAATTTTTATGGAGTAGTGATTGACATCACAACGTTCGTTTTCTACCGTATACGGCGTGTATCAACACACAAATATACGTAGCAATACTCCACTTAGATCACCGGGTCGATGTGCAGACTTTCCAAGCACACCAAGCTCCTGAGCAAGTTTGCGCTCACCATTTATTCTGGCAGGGCCGTTGATATGTTCCTCACTTTCTGCTGCCGTTCCGATAGCTCTGTGCAAATAAGTCACTCTCGTCATCAGACACACCTTCTTTCGTGTGCTCGTCCCCATTCTCACCACTCTTCATGTCATGGTCCTCATCCTTGACTCGTCCCAGAGTACAGCTGGAACCCTCCGACCGTCCTAATGTGTGACTAGACGTCTCACTTCCTTCCCCTTGACTCTCTTCACCTCCTTCATACCCACTGTCAAACTGACGTTCGGTGTCATCTACCTCAGTATTCTCCTCCTTTTCGGTGGATGGTTTGTCATGCGGATCCGGTTCTTCCTTCTGATCAGCTGCCCGTGTAGAGCTGGATCTGTCTGATAGGACTGTAGTTTGGCTTGACGATGAACTGTGCCTACTACTATGGCGATTCAGAGAATTGAAGTCGTCGTACTTGCGTTCTACTGGCTCCATCTCGTCGCAATTTGTTCCTCGAAGCTTTGTATCGTGCGTTGCACCAAAGAGCTCGTTTTGGTGCTCTGTAGGTTCTATGGTGTAGCTGAAGTCTTCGCACAAGACTGGAATGTATTTTGCTCTCGATGTTTGAATGGATTTGGTCCAGGGGATCTGGGCGACGAGAAGAGCGGAGCAATCAAGTATCTTGCTTTTAACTTGCTAGACAATACTTGTTGTCACAGCCAAGTGTGAAAATGATGAGGTTGTAAAGGCTTTGGGTGAGTTCGAGGTAGTGCTGTGCTGGCCACGGAATGCTGCGATATTGGGTTCCAAGAGATTGCGGGGTAGATCTTGATTTGCTTTCTGGATTGGTTTTTCAAGCATGGGGAGCTTGTTTGTGGTTTGTGTTGGCAACCGATAGGCGTTTGTTTGGTCGTGGAAGATGATGGAATGTGCGCGATATATACGGAGGTAGCATTACAAGATCAGACAGTGTCTAAGACTCGAGATTCGAATTGTGAGACCAGAGGTGCCAGAAGAGTTACCACAGGGATGGATGACTGGCTTGTGGCAGGCAGGTGTTCATAGCGACGTTACTTTTTGACCCTTCGATGTCGAGCGTGCCAGAAGACTTTTGGAAAGCGGTATAGTATCGTCTCGTGCGACACAGATTACAAATTGAAGCGAGAGGTATCTTGACGTGAAATACTGTTGTGTAGAAGTGTGTTGGGTTCGGAGGATGTTTCTATACAAGCAGTACACTAGTGAATGCAGCAAGCACCAATAACAATACATGAAATGGAATCTTCTCATCAATTACTAGGTATTTCGGATACCGCGACTAGCTACTTTATCTCGGCATAGGAAACGAACACAAGGTCTGGATACCTTGACAAGAAGCAGAACAAAACCCTAGATAGTGTACAAATACCTCGGGTTATCCTCGCCCATCTCCGCAATCTCCTCCTCAGTCTTCCCCTCGATCCTCCAATCCTCTTTACCAGAAAGCTTGCGTTGGTTCTTCATCCGGAAGTAGAGATGCAGCGCAACATAGATGGCGATACCAAGTGCCAGCAGTCCGATGGTCGCTCCGTAGCCAGCAGTAAACTCAGGAGCGTCCTCGGCGGCGTACAAGAAAGGCGCCACAACACCTGAGCAGTTACCGATGGTAATTTGCATACCGCTGGCAAAGGCTCGCTTCCCATATCGCGGGTTGTTCACGCCGATCCAGGAGAAGGCGATACCGGTGGCTACCCATAAACCGAGAGCGACGATGAAGCAGCCGGCGAAGCTGAGACCAAGCCCCTACGCCTCCGTTAGTACAATAGGTTTAGACTCGAAGCATTCGGGTACTTACTTTGTTAGCGATGAGGAAGATGTATCCAATCATGCTGACAGTAAGCCCGGCGATGCAGAACAAGCCTCGGTTTTGAGTCTTATCACTGTAGTAGGCCCCTGCGACGTAGGTGATGAACCCGGCAATATATACAGGAATAGTCAAAGCCTGAACCACCTGGCGATTCCACCCGCCTCCAAGGCCATTGATAATAGTGGGTAGGAACACTGAGAAGCTGTAAAGCATGCCAAGCCCAACAAATTGAGCGACGGCGTAGGCGTATACCTTCCAGTCTTTTACACCCTTCATAACATCTTCTTTCAGTAACTCTTGACCGGCTGTCGTCTGGCCAATCTCCCTCATGCGAAGCAAGACTAGGTTTCGTCGGTCCTCTTCGGTCAAAAAACTCGCGGTCTCTGGGCTGTTCGGAAGGACAAAAGGTACAGCAATGGCGGTTAGGACGGTTGGGATACCATTAATGACAATGATCCAGCGCCTAAAACGAACGTGTGCGAAGTCAGTGTGTGTCTCACATGCAGTCCGTACGGGGACATTTCTTACCATCCATTCCAACCACCTACGCCATCCATCTCACCGATAGCATACGCAACGACACCCTACGCCCGTTAGTCTCATTCATTGAATATGAACAGGCTGCACTCACCCCTAATCCACCTGCTAGTGCAGATGTGCCATAGAACCACGCTTGCCTCAGACTGACATTGCGCCGATTGTAGAACATACTCAAGTAGAGAATGACGCCCGGAAATAGACCTGCTTCGAACATGCCTAAGAGAAGGCGACAAGCTACGAGCCCAGCAAAGTTGGTGACAAAGGCTGAGAATGTGGCTACTAAGCCCCACATAAACATCAGACCGGCTAGGTACCGCGCCGGCTTCATTCGCTTTAAGATGAGGTTCGAAGGTGTCTCAAATATGACGTAGGTGACGAATAGAATAGATACTGCAATCTGGAATTGGTTGGTGTTTGGGTCCATACCAAGATCTGCCTCCATTTCGTAAAGACGAGCATTGCCAATGTTGACTACAGGATCGTTAGTCGAGGTCTGAGGATGAGTGATGTATACAGACCTCGGTCCATGAAGTTCATCAAGTAGATCCAGCAGATCATGGGTACGATGCGAATGTCCAGCTTTCTCAATAGTCTTGCTTCAGTGGCTGCATCAATCTCGACCATTGATCCATTTTGTTCGACATCCTCTACCTTGAGAGGCGGGGTTGGCGATATGTCAGAGGCTTTCTCGTCCTTGAACTCTGGTCCGTTGACCACGGAGTCTTGGGCGTGGTTGTTCATGCTGCAAATGCAACAAACGGCGACTTTATCGCTTGTAAGTTGAAGTGGAGAGTAGCTTCCGACAGAGAGGTAGAGTTGCGGCGATCGTCGTTGACGGTGCCGAAAGAACTGGAACCAGTCTTGGACTTTATAATCCGAACACTTGGGGAAGTCGCGCCGGCCCCATGGGGATTATGGGGGTGCCATGATCTTAGCATCCGGAGCCGCGCCGTTGACAATCGATCAGGCAGAAAGACCGAAGCGCATTTCAAAATCTCATTGCTGAAGTGCCGATAACCGTTCTTCCGTCCTGGCATGCTTGGACGCTTCCCGCTGCGGTGCTTCCAAGCTTTGTTTGATCATGATGGTTGACCAAGATCTTCGACTTCTTGGGATCTAAACTGAGTTTGGCAAGGACGAGTGTGGATCGCTTCAATGCGACCAGGTCCCTGGTAGGAATAGATTCGCGTCGTCTACGTTACAACATCACACCGTTGATGTGCACTCAAACAGTAGTCGCAACCCTGGATACTATACTGGTTAGTGTTATGCATCTATTATACATAGCCTACACGTACAAAAACGAGGTCCTTGACCTACAGCTTCTCCATCACGTCGAAGCTCTTTACGTCCAAAGAATTGTTTTACTTCATCACAGTATAAACTGAACCTTTCCATAGAGTGTTAGGATCTGAATAACAGATAGAGCGGCCTCGGTGATTCTCATCGTCATGTGTACACATGCTGAGGACCCGCATGTCTTGGAGCCCGGGATATGAACAAGCTATGATTCGACCGGAGAGCGCTATCAACTTGGTGAAGAGTGCCTAGTCCGAGAGATCGCACACGAATGCTGCGTTCCTTTACTCCGCAGTTGTTGTTGTTGTTGTCATGTCGAATTCCAAGTCGCCAAGTGCTTAGCCTACGTTCATGCCCTTGGCAGGCTGTATGCTATACAGAGGAGTGATCCTTTGCGCGTTTGACGTTGCTCATGAAGCGAGGCAGTAGCAAAATAGCCAGCATGCTCGCCGGGTTTGCGTCAAGCGATATACCAATTACTCTGTAGAGACTTCGTGATAAGTTCTTGCGCGACGTGAGGCGCTTTGATGGCCCATCAATGTCGTTGCCCAGCCGGGTCCATCGGTGATAATGTACGTCGCTCTCGCGTATCAACGCGTTGATTCGAGGTTAAGGATTGGAACATTGCAGCAGTGCTGCGCCTCGTGCGGAAAGATGATGCTTGGTATGGTGCGCTTTCGCATCCTCATAACGAAGCACGCTTGGTGTGCAGAGCGGGCAAAAGGATGCAAAAGATGGCCAAGCGCCGAACAGGTGCCCAGCGTCTTGAATATGTGTAGTTGTATGGCGCCGCTGACAATGACGATGGTGGCGTGCGATGAATTATGTGGAGGCGAAGCTGATGGTAGATAAAATGAGGGCAGGGACAGCGCGTCTTGGAAGGCGCATCCGCTTAGTCACTGCACCCTAGGCTTCACAGCAGTAGGGCACACCACGATCTGGAGACCCGATACTAAGCTATCAAGACTGCCAACTTAGACTCAAGGCACCGATTGACCGGTACAACTCCACGTGGAGATCCCTGCCTGCCATGCGTCCGTTGCACAGAACCCGTTGGAATGGCAACGACACAAGGGAAAAGAGGGGAAAAGGAACGTGGCACTCTCTATTGCTTCCGTACTGCCACCAGCGCTCGGACTAGTTCCTCCGTCACCTTCACAGCAGTTTGAATATGCTCCTTGGACTCAAGTTGAGGCACATGGAAGAAGACATCGTCCCGCTTGCTGGTACGCTTCTGCATCTCGAGTAGGCTGATGTAGTAGTTGAAACCACATACATACGAGCCCACATCATCGCTGAGTCTTACTTCGATAGCTTTTCTTGATTTGCCTTTGCCTTTGACCTTGACATTCTCTGGCGCAGCTGCCGGAGTTGAGAGGCTGAGAGAAAAGCAAGCTTCCTGCAATATCCTGGCTGCTGCATCGATGTCGAGAGTAGTTGTTAGAGACGATGATGCCTTCCCAAACAGTTTCTTGTTGTCTGCTCTGGTAAAGACGCGCCTTTCGATATCTGGAATATCGTGATAGCCGTCTCGCAGTGCACTCCGTTCGAGTTTGAATACTCCGGGTCCGCTGCCGACATCAAGACCCATATGCACAACCAGATCAGGCGCATGTTCCTGGATCAACACCGGGACCTGGGCCAGTATCTTGTGGTAAGCTGCTGGAATGGGTTCAGCTGGTACGATGATAGTGATGGTTTCGCCATTGGGGCCAGTAACGGATGACGGTAGATGCCGTGCAATCTCCCAGGACGGATTCTTCGTAATATCAAGGAACGGCTGAGAGTGCGTTAGCTGAGCGACGTATCGGATCAAAGACGTCGACAAACACCAAAGCCAGTCACCAGCACCTTGACTGGAGTCGACATTGCGGAACTGTGGAAGGTCTGAATTGGAGTTCACCCAATTTCTAGATGAGGATGTAGCTAGCAAACAGCTCCATGGTGTTGTTGCTGCTTGTTCTGACTCATCGTAGGCTTACAGGTTCCAAACCAAAACATGCACCGAGCGTAAGACGGCGGAATCGGCGACCGGCGTTCTCAGAATCTGTGTCGATGCGATATGTGAAGCTTTGCAGCGCTTCGAGCGACGTGCATGACGCGCGCTGGGTCACGGCAAGAAGGAACTCTGTACGAGGGTCGCGATGCACATGTGTATCTCTCGAGATGCGCGATACATTGTAGTCTCCAGCTGCCGATCGGCTTTGTGGCGCAGGGTTTTGGCGTTTGGATGAGAGAATAAGGGAGTAAGTGATAGGTCGGGGGATGACGTGGGGAACCCATGTCGGCCATGCAGGTCCGGTAGCGGTGCACTTTGATTTCGAGGAACGCAGCAAAAAGTGTACTGCGTGGCCTGACTCACACCCACAATCTCCCTGGCATGATGTGCTGAACTTGATACTCACTTACAACCCATTGCACCATCTGGTACACCCAGTTCTTGTAACTTAGCATCTGGCGGCCGCACCTGCTCTTTGTGCGAAGTCTGACTCGCACCGCGACAGCCCACCATGGCAGGCGTCAATGGAGCGCAAGGTGAGCCCACCAAGGTCACCATCCTGGGCAAAGACTCGATAGTCGTCGATTACGGCATCTGGCAGAACTACATCGCCCAGGATCTGCTGACCAACATTCCCTCGTCGACGTACGTCCTCATCACCGACACCAACATCGGCCCTCTCTATACGCCCGTCTTCGAGCGCGCCTTTGCCTCGGCCGCGTCCTCGCTCTCCTCGTCGCCACGTCTGCTCGCGTACCAAATATCCCCCGGTGAGACTTCCAAGTCGCGGAATACAAAGGCAGCAGTAGAAGACTGGCTGCTGTCGCAGGGATGTGTGCGCGACACTGTCATAATAGCCCTCGGTGGAGGCGTCATTGGGGATATGATAGGCTATGTCGCGGCAACGTATATGCGCGGCATCAAGTTTGTCAATGTACCCACGACATTGCTGGCCATGGTCGATTCGAGCATTGGCGGCAAGACAGCCATTGACGTGCCTGCGGGCAAGAACTTGGTCGGCGCCTTCTGGCAGCCGGAGAGGATTTACATCGACCTGCAATTCCTTGAGTCGCTACCCAAGAGGGAGGTCATCAATGGCATGGCCGAAGTGGTCAAGACGGCGGCAATTTGGAATGAGGAGGAATTCACAACACTCGAGGGCAACGCCGATGCCATTCTGGCTGCCATCGACCAGAAGCCCGTCAATGGCCGCAGGAACTTTGACAACATTGCCACGATACTGAAGCGCATAGTGCTTGGATCTGTACGCGTCAAGGCTGAAGTCGTCTCCGCCGACGAACGCGAAGGCGGACTGCGCAATCTGCTAAATTTCGGACACTCGATCGGTCACGCTTACGAAGCCATCCTTACACCCCAGATTCTCCACGGAGAATGCGTCGCGATAGGAATGGTAAAGGAGGCTGAGTTGGCCAGATACCTGGGCGTACTAGACCCCTCTGCAGTCGCGCGCTTGACAAAGTGCATTGCGAGCTACGGATTACCTACATCGCTCTCAGACAAGACCGTGCGGAAACGGTCGGCCAACAAGCATTGCCCCGTAGACGAGCTCATCAAAATCATGGCTGTAGACAAAAAGAACGCAGGCAAGACCAAGAAGATTGTGCTTTTGTCGGGAATTGGCAGGACATATGAGAAGAAGGCTAGCTCGGTTGAGGATCGCGACATCAAGATTGCTCTATCACCGAGCATCTCCGTACATCCCGGCATTCCCTCCGACCTAAATGTGACATGTAGGCCTCCCGGGTCCAAGAGTATCTCAAATCGCGTACTGGTACTTGCCGCGCTCGGAACTGGCTCATGTCGCATCACCAATCTACTGCACTCGGATGACACACAAGTCATGCTGGACGCATTGGCAAAGATGCAAGGTGCTAGCTTCGCATGGGAGAACGATGGCAAGGAGCTAGTAGTTACAGGCAACGGTGGCAACCTCAAAGCCTCTAGTAACGAGCTTTACCTTGGCAATGCTGGTACTGCCGCACGTTTTCTGACTTCCGTTACCGCACTCTGCCAGCCTGTCGAAGGCGTCACATCCACAGTTGTCACTGGTAACGCGCGCATGAAGGAGCGACCCATTGGTCCGCTCGTCAAGTCTCTCCGTACCATGGGCGTGGAGATTGACTACCAAGAGAACGAAGGCAGTCTTCCGCTACGTATCTCAGCATGTGGTGGCTTCGGTGCCGATTCCTTTACAGGAGAGATTGAACTCACTGCCAACGTGTCGTCACAATACGTATCATCCATCCTCTTGAGCGCGCCATACTCCAAGAAGCCAGTAACACTGCGCTTAGTCGGCGGTAAGGTCATCTCTCAACCATACATTGATATGACCATTGCCATGATGGCCTCCTTTGGTGTGCAGGTCGAGAGATCTGAGAATGATCCCAACACCTACCACATTCCCAACAAACCATACACCAACCCCTCTGAATATGAGGTGGAAAGCGATGCTAGCTCCGCTACCTACCCTCTTGCTATCGCAGCTATCACAGGTACGACATGCACGGTGCCAAATATCGGATCTGGCTCCCTGCAAGGTGATGCGCGATTTGCTGTAGAGGTCCTCAAGCCTATGGGTTGCAAGGTGGAACAGTCCAAGACTTCCACAACCGTCACGGGTCCGCCTCGTGGTGAGTTGAAGGCCGTCAAGGAAATCGACATGGAACCGATGACGGATGCTTTCCTGACAGCATCAGTACTAGCAGCAGTGGCATCATCAAATGGCAGCACGACCACCACTCGCATCTATGGCATTGCGAACCAACGTGTCAAAGAGTGCAACCGAATCCAAGCCATGGAAGATGAGCTCGCCAAGTTCGGTGTCACCTGCAGGCAGTTTGACGATGGTATCGAAGTTGATGGAAAGGCTTATGAGCTCGAAGCTCCCAAAGTTGGTATCCACTGCTATGATGATCATCGTGTCGCCATGAGTTTCGCTGTACTGTCATTGGTAGCACCAGCACCTGTTCTCATCCTTGAGAAGGAATGTACGGGCAAGACATGGCCTGGATACTGGGACTCTTTGCATCAGATCTTCAAGACCGAGCTTTCGGGTGTAGAGCTGCCGCCGCGACCAAACGCACACAAGGCTGCATCAAGAACTGAGCAAAAGTCCATCTTCATCATTGGCATGCGCGGCGCCGGAAAGACAACCGCTGGTGGTTGGGCAGCTCGTGCGCTCAACCGTCCGTTCATTGATCTGGACACTGCACTCGAGGAACATGTTGGCATGACCATACCTGAACTGATCAAGGCACAGGGCTGGGAAGGCTTCCGAAGCGAGGAACTGAAGATGTTGGCACAAACTGTCAAAGAGAAGCCCAACGGACACGTCTTTGCCTGTGGCGGTGGAATTGTCGAGACACCAGAGGCTCGGAAAATCCTCGTAGACTATCAGAAGAGTGGCGGCATCGTGCTACTTGTCACACGAGACATCAATGCAGTAGTCGCCTTCCTACAAATCGACAAGACACGCCCAGCATATGTAGACGATATCATGGGCGTGTGGCTGCGAAGGAAGGACTGGTACACAGAGTGTAGCAACTACCGCTTCCACAGTCAGGTCGCGGGATCTCGCGGGCTTGCTCAGACACAAGGAGAGATTGCTCGTTTCCTGAACACTATTACCGGCAAGGCTACCACCTTAAAAGCGCTCAGGAAGAAGAAGCATTCCTTCTTCGTCTGCTTATCTGCACCCCGGCTTGAGTCTTACATCAAGACGTTGCCAGAAATAGTTGTCGGATCCGATGCTGTGGAGCTTAGGGTCGACTTGTTGGAGGACCCTGAAGGTCAAGAAGGCCTGCCCACACCAGAGTTCGTTATTGAACAATTGACGATACTAAGGACTGTCACATCCATACCCGTCATATTCACATTGCGAACAAAAGCTCAAGGCGGCAGATTCCCGGACCAGGCATACGATGAAGCTCTTGTACTGTACCGGACAGCATTACGGCTTGGCTGTGAGTTTGTGGATCTGGAGATGACTATGCCCGAAGATATCCTGCGCGAGGTGTCGGAGACCCGTGGATTCTCGGAAATCATCGCTAGTCACCACGACCCTAAAGGCGAACTCAACTGGACGAATGGCTCGTGGATGCAGTACTACAACCGTGCGCTGCAGTATGGTACTGTCATCAAACTTGTTGGCGTCGCTAGCTCTCTTCAGGACAACTTTGCGCTTGCAGATTTCAAGAGTTGGGCAAACACTGCGCATCCCGTTCCTCTGATCGCCATCAATATGGGTGAGCATGGAAAGCTGAGCAGAATACTCAACGGTTTTATGACGCCTGTCTCGCATCCACTCCTACCCTCTGCTGCCGCCCCAGGTCAGCTATCAGCAGCGGACATTCGCCGCGGTCTATCTTTGATGGCGGAAATTCCGTCAAAGAAGTTCTTCATCTTCGGTTCACCGATTGCGCAAAGTCCCAGCCCACGTCTGCACAACAGACTGTTCCGCGAGACCGGACTCCCACATATCTACGGTCGTCACGAGACTACTGATGCAAGCTCCATTCGAGACATCATCCGTTCGCCAGATTTTGGTGGTGGAAGTGTCACGATTCCTTTGAAGCAGGATATTGTACCCCATCTCGATGGCCTGGGTCCAGAAGTCGAAGCAATCGGTGCCCTAAATACCATCGTCCCTGAGATCTCAGTCGACAATACCACTGGTGAAGAGGTCACCCGCCTCATCGGTCGCAACACCGACTACCTGGGCATGATACTCATCCTGCGTAACGCAGGTGCCTTGGGCATTGGTTCCGCCCTTGTTATCGGAGGCGGTGGCACAAGTCGTGCTGCCATCCACGCACTCAAGGAAATGGGCTACGGACCAATCTACCTCCTCGGCCGCAACCCCTCGAAGATGGCGACTTTGAAGAACGCTTTCCCCGCTGAATACAACTTACATGTGATCAGCTCACCGGAAGAAGTCAAATCCATGAAAAGCACGCCACAAGTTGCCATCGGAACTATTCCTGCTGACCAACCCATTGACGCTGCTATCCGCGAAACACTCTGCACGTTGTTCGAGAAGGGTAAGGCGAGTGTCAAGGATGTTGAACCGGGTCCAGAGAGAATTTTGCTGGAGATGGCATACAAACCGCCTGTCACAGCATTGATCCAGCTTGCGATGGATAATGGGTGGAAGACAGTGAATGGGTTGGAGGTGCTTGTTGGACAGGGCGTGCATCAGTTTGAGTACTGGACTGGTGTCAAGCCGCTTTATGGAGTTGCTAGGGTGAGTTTGAATGCGTATTCTCTAATGTGAACGAACGCTGACTGTGAGTAGGATGCTGTAATCAACCAGACGGACTAATCGGTTGATATGTACATACACCTGGGTTGATGCAATAGGATTTGGGGTTCATTCGGCTTAGCATCGAATGCAACAAGAGACACATGTCATTACCAGTATTTCCATCCATGCGTACTAGTTTGCTGGATAGACACTGCTGCAAATGTGCTTTTCACAAGATGTATCTATGACTATGCAATCTCGTTCATTGACGTGGCTACTTCACCTACTGGGACGGCCAACACTATGGTATATATACTATACAGCACGCAGCATTTCATTATATGTCATCCGCTGAATGAAGTGGTAGAAGAGCGAAAGACGATATCGGGCTGATGCCCAGATGCCTCTTTTCACGTGGTGCTTTAGACCTTATTCGTACTAGTGCCTGACATCATCCCGGGGTCCTGTTGGCTGAATAGCAAGTACTTCCGACTTTATCTCCGCCTGCACGACCATCATCAAACCTACATACTCCCCGCGCACTCCTCTTAACCAACTTTAGGACTAGTTCAGGAACATTTGGATGCCAAGTATATCTTTTGCAGGAGCCAAAAAACGCAAGACGCGTCATTCCGGTTTTACCTTCACAAAGGCACGTCAAGAACCCGGAGCCACTATGCTTGGCCCAGCTGAGAACGGACTTTTGCGCCTTGTCGATGAATTACTCCTCAACATTATCGATCACATCGACAACCAGGACGCTCTTTGTAGCCTTTCCGCGACATGCACGCGGTTCCAAGGTCTCGTTGAACCCTACATCTGGCGGGAATTAGAGGTTTTGACAGGGGATCATGCACGCAACATTGCTACAGCACTTGACAAAAGGGATGACCGGACGGACTATATCCAAGATCTGGCTATTCGATACAACGATACATATCGCGATGGCGTAGAGGAATTAAACCACTTTTTGAGCCTGATGAGTAAACTGCGCCATCTGCACATTGAGAGTCCTTGCCCGAACAACGTGGAATGGCAACACGGCGGCATCTACTTTGATGGGTACTCAAGGATTGATTATACAAACTTGCTTGCAGCATCAGTGTATCCGCGCTCCGGAATGCCGATGACGCTGCCGATGCTACAATCATGTAAGTTGAAGCTTCGGTACGAAGGAGCCTGGCTAACAAGACGCAGTGACCCTACACGCACACGGTTCGGGAGACAACAAATATAAACTAGGCCGCGCCGTTGCTATGTTTAAACATCCAAGCTTACAGAACATCACATTGTCGTGTTTGGACTTTGACGGAGAACTTGGAATATCCGCATCGGAAACCAAGACGACGCCTCTCCGGTCTCTAACGCTTATCGAATGTAACGTCAACGTAAAGTTCCTTGATGAAGTCTTGAGCCTACCTAAAGCTCTCAAGGAGCTGTCAATTGGAGAGCGACTCCACGTGTTCCAGGAATGCCAACCATCTATGGACCCCGAACGCCGCACGTCTTCCCGTCAATTTCTCCTTGCGTTGCAGAAGCAAGCACACTCGCTGCGCCGTCTGACACACTGCGGTGGCCATGTCGGCCATCTGACTCCGCGCGACACGGATCCTGAAGGCGCTGAGAAGTTACGCTCCCTCGTTGATCTAGAGTACCTCGAGTTGGGTTTTGAATCACATCTGTACTACTACCTACGGCAAAGCGGCTTTCCACCAGCCCTCAGATCCCTCAAGATGCTCGACTCTGCCATCTCAATCAACTCTGGTCACGATCTGCGCTCGTTATCCGACATCGCCTTCCGCTCTCTCACATCACTTGTAGATGTCTGTCTTCCAAGAACACTGGCAGATGACTTCACACTGCACCTCAAGTTCTCGGATCACTCGTTCTTCCGCCTCTTCGAGATTGTCGACGCAACAGAACAAGCTCACCTCCTGAGCGCACTCTTCTTCGACCGCGCAGCGACCTACAAGATCGCTTCGATGCTCAAATCCTACAGTACAAACTCCCACTTCCTTGTTTCGCGAGAGACTTTTCCATCGGGAAAGTCTTTTATCCCGCCATACATGCACGGTGAAGAGCTTCCTGTCGAAGAGCTGATGTACACCAGCGACGACTTTTGGCGCTTCAACGGCATCAACTACCGTATCATGGATGACGAGAACTGGAGAGATGAGCTCAAGAAGGGGAAGAAGCTTGCTATCTGCAAGAGGTGTAAGACTAGGGGGCTGGGTGTGGATGCTTGTCGCAGCTTGGGTGACGGAAGTGCCTGCATGCCTTGTAAGACGACTGATTGGGGTGTGTGTGAATGGGAGAGAGATGAGAGGGGTGAGCTAGTTGGCGCTGAAGACGTGGAAGTGAGCTCGGTGTAGAATGACTTGTTTGGCTTCTGATGCTCGAGTTAGACATTGACGGATGATTGTGAAAGTTGTAAGTGGGTCCAGCTGTTACCTAGAAATGCAAGGCTACACCATAATGAAAACAAAAGTGGGTCTAAGTTACCAGGTGAATGTTGCACAGTTTGATTGTACCTTCAACGTGTGTCCGTGCCCGCTTTAGTGTAACCTCACTTCCTGCCGAGATTTGTGACTCGTTTCTCTATCACCTTATCTTCAACTGTATTTCTCCAGCCAGACACTGTGCTCTCCTGCTAGACTATGTGTACAGCCATGGGTACCGACATGACTGAGATCGATTCGTCGAAGCCAGCCGTAGCTTCTCGCTTCCTGGCGCTGCCTGGTGGTGTGTGTTGCTTCTTGTTTGCTAGCATTGTATCTTGCTAACGTTGTATGCAGAGCTGCGCAACCGCATATACGAAGCCATCAACGAAGATGAAGGACCTAAAGAGATCTGCTTACGCTGGTTCGATTCTGAGGACCTGAAAACGATAGATTTTGATGGCCTATTCCTGATGGACCGCAATCCTGGTCGCCAGTACATCGGCCTTGCCCAAACAAATCGCATGTTTCGCAGCGAGTTTATGCCGCTTTACATGACAGTTCCTCGACTGCTCGTTAACATAGAAGACGTTTCGTACTACCTCGAGGTCTTCCCTCTCCCTGATCCGGTTCTTACTGCTTCCATAATCACCTCATTAGGAGATTTCCTTTCCGTCATCTACGTACATACACCAACTGCCAAAATCGATCTTCTTCCTCTCCTACGTACGGATTTGAGTATGTTTCCCTTCTCCATTTTCACTCATTCAGCTCCACCGGGGCAAAGAAAATGGGGACGTGAGCTTTCTCTTTTGCTCCTGGAAAACTCTTATCATGATCTCGCTCTCTACGGCGGATCGTGGGAAGAAACTATCACTACGATGTACTACATTCGTGAATTCCGGATTGAATTATTTTGTTCATACTCTACCCATTATGATGACTGGATCGAACTACAGCTATGTGCCAAGGTCGATGTTGAAGCCAGTGATTTCGAGAAACTCCGCATCTTCCACAACTTCGTCAATCGGACACAAGCTATTGGATATTGGCGTGTTGAGATTAGGTGCATCAGCGGAAGACTGAGTATGTCTTGTGTGAATAGGAAGGCTATTACCGCCAAGAATTTAGGACCCGTCAAAAAGGCTTGTAGGGTCTGGTCTGCGAAGAGCCGTCGCTATATCTTGGCTGCTAAGGAAGAGACAAACAAAGCTGCAAGAAACGCGAGCGTATAGATCTTCCATATCGTACGCCATCAAGCTCTGGTAGAACAACGGCAGATCGATAGCTTGGACTCTAAGCATATGTACTGTATTACCGATGTATTACTAGTTTACTATTGATGTTTAACTGCGGATGCATATCGCTTTCTTGCAACACTGCCGAATAAGGAAATCCTGACATGCACCCTAGGAGAGGACCTACATGCTATTTACACCTTCAAAGATATACCGCGGTTAGAGTGATGAAATGCCGACCATTCATCCCTGATTGCATTTGAGAAAGATAGTCATACACCGTCATCTCCATCACTCCTGCAGCTCATTCAATACAGTAGCTGTCCCTCGCGTTCAACAGATCCCTCAGTCTGTTTCCACCAGGAGTGAACTCTAGACCCCTCCTTGCATCCTCCGCAATCTTCCTGTCGATGGCGGCATCTAGGCTGCTCACGATATCTTTGCTTGGTGTACGCGTTGCGTTACGATCGAGGACTGTCATACGGCGATTCACTGGGGTTTTGGGAGCGCCAGCCATGATGGGTTGCCTTAGGTCATTGACAGCAGCTTTGCGGGCGCCTAGTGCTGGAGTTTTGGGGATTGGAGTCTTTGGTGCCGGTGCTGGGGCGCGGGTCTTGGCTTTGGGTGTTGTTGGCGGCGGAGGCTTAGTCGAGATCAGCCTTGACTTTGCATCTTTGGTGGGAGAGAGCGGTTCAGTGGACGCCGGCGTCTCCATGAGGAGAATGAGGTTCTTGTCAGGGGAGCCGTCTGGTGTGGTCGACTCAATTGGCTGGGTTCTCAGTGGGGTTCTCGCAGGAGTCTTGTTGAGTGGCCTAGTTGGGACTTTGGCACGATCTGCCTCAGCCTTCTTCCGATTTTCGTTATGCCATCCCGCGAGGCGATCAGCGATGTCTCCCGCACTGGCGAACTTCTGTTCGTACGGTCGCGGGTCCGCTGATGGGTTGTATGGTTCTACAGCGGATGGACGAAGAGGCTTTCGGGTGGGGACAGGGCGAGGATTGATGGGTGCAGATGGTACATTTGGTAAACGTTCTTTCAGCGCTGCAACGGCCTTACCGGGACCCGAAGTTCCAGGAAGAGGCTTTCGTGGAATTTTTGGTACGGGTGGTATGGGGCTTTTTGTATTAGCAGACGTGAGAGACGGTATTCGGCTGTGTGGTGAGCTATGGCTGGTAGCTTCAACAGGTAATGTCGGTTTGACAGGCGTCGCCAGCGTCTTTCGACGAGCCGTGCTAGCCACTGTACCAGACTTGGTTGGTCTTGACACTGCACTCCCTGCACGAGGACGAGCTCTTCCCGCAGCCACCGTTCTGTCTGCACCTTTACTCTGAGGGTCCTTTCGCTTGGCTGTAGCAACGCGATCATCCTTCGCCAGTGCCGGCGTTGCACCAACAGGTTTCCACCGCGGTATGCGTGGCGCACTTGATACTCTTGGTGTCGCTGTTGGTCTTTCAATGCCTTTCTCGCCATCTGCTTGCACTGCCTGAAGCGAGGAGGTGCCAGAGTCGGCTCTACTGAGAGACTCTGGTGTGCCATCGGTGCCTGGGCTTTCGATGTCCTGTTGATCTCTCACGAATAGGCTTTTTGGCATATCAAGAAGTTCGTTCAGGTGCAGAGGTCCGCAAACGTCTGGGTCGACAACTCCTGCCGAACGGCACATAGTCGCTTCCAAATTTACCGTATCTTTCTGCGTCTTCAGAAGCACGCTTGGATCAGTGCCTGCCCGTCTCTGATGGCTTGCAGGCACGGGCAGGAAAGACTTTGGTAGACTGTTGTCTATTCCAAGCCCTCTGGCTTGGTATTCCCATTGAGACGATTCTTTCTGGTGCCTTTCTGACCTGTGCTTTGAGTATGAAAGTGAACGACGTGATGGGGCTGGTGACCTGCGCATCGCGTTTATTGCACTCGGGGATCCCGGATCAGCTTGGCGTAATGGAAAGGCAGATTGCAATTCTTGTGGCGTGGTTGCAGTATGATCAAGCCTGGCCACCTGATCTTCTGTGATTGAAGATGACGAGGCCTCCTCCGGAAGTCTAGGCGATAGGCGTTCAATCGACTTGTTTCGGCCTTCTTGTGGTTCGGTTGACGCAGGTTCATGCCGAAACAAGGATCTTTTTTTGATGATATCAGCGGCAGGGTCATCGCTTGTGATGGTCGTGGTCTCATTGGCTGACATGCGCAGGAAAGAGGGCGACTCTCCTAGTTTGAGCTTCTCTCCAGCCTTACGCAAGGGTGTCGGTACGGGTGAGACTATTCCGTTATCGTGATGGGGAGACGTCCAGTCATGAGTGCTGTTGTTGTCGCATATCAGGCTTGCCATGAGCTGTCCGATGTTCTCTGGGCTGGTTTTTGGGGGTGGTGCCTGCTCTGTGGATTCAGAATGTCGGGGTGGTGGGCTGGTGAAGGCAGTCGCGATCAGGTTTGCGTTTGGAACATGTACATCATCCACACTGGTCAGGCCTCTAATCGGTTTCCTGGATGTTTCTTTCGGGTTTGTTTGAACTTTGTTCGTCAACATGGAAGATGTCTTGATCGGATTTGTAGGCGAGTCGTCCTGCTCGATCGATCGCTTGACTGGACTTCCAGGTCGGTTGCTACCAGGCGTGCCACCCAGAACTTTCCTCCTTGGCGTCCCTACAGCTATCCTGGCAGGGCTTTGATCCACCGAGCTGTACGTCTTTTGTGGACTGGGCGTTCTCCGGGCTGGAGTTTGCGGATCCGGGTTTTGCTTGGGTGTCATCTTCGTTGGTGTAACAAACAAGGGTCTTGCTGGGCTCTGGTGGATTGTTTCTCTTCGCTTCAGCGGGTTGCGTGTCGTCCTTGTGGGCGTACCTGCTGCGTCTTCTTTCGTCGGACTCGCATTCTTCAATGGGCTAGGCGTCCGCGTCCTCGTGGGCGACTCTTCTCCCTTGGGCGTCCCACTCTTACCCGTCGTCCCGCTCCTCTTGCTTGTGATTTTACTGGGTGGTAGTTCAATGGAAAAATAGAACGCACCCTGGCCAACTTCGAGCTTCATCGGCGGCTGGTTTGTCTTCTTGGGTGTATGGCGGACTACGATTGGGCTGTCGCGCGCCTTCTCAGAAGTCTTGCGGCGCTCCATAGATGGGCGAGACGGTATCGCAGGCGACATAGAGACTGCCCGCAGAAAGCGTTGACGCAATGGAGTTTGATCAGGAGTCGAGGGACTGCCGTGCTTTTTAGGCGACGACAGCGGAGTGGTATTGGTGGCTGTATATGCGGCGTTCTTGTTTGGTACGGAGGCTGGCGTGGTGGTCGGCTTCGCACTAGAGGTCATAGCTGCTGCAGTCGTGACGATCCCGCTATCGATATCAGTGAACGCCTCCATCATGTGATTTCGTCTATGATGAGACGAACAGCGACTGTTGAAGAGATCAAGAGTGCTCAACGCAGGACTGTTGGAAAATGCACCAATCAAGAAAACTACAGAGAGCTCTAGAGAACAATTGCGACAAATGTTTTGCAATCAGCTGTGTAACAAACAAACATCAGATCGTCCCGCATATGCATACTGCAGTGAGACATGCAAGAGGCACGTCTCTTTTTGAGGAGTTAGGTATCATCGGAAATTAGCGTGAACCCAGTTCATCAAAAGAAACGTGCTTCGGGAACAGGTGGAGACCGCATGGCACGAGCTCCATACCAAAAAAAGATGCGTCGCGCCTCACTGGCAAACGAAGAGATGCACAGGCCTAATTTACTTGGAGGATGATCGATTTCTGCCCAAGAGTAAGCAGATTTCCGTCTGCATGGTAGCTAGGTATCATGCTGTTATCCAATGGATATTGATCCAAACCTTGTAGCAGCTATTCAATTCCTTTACGCATCTACAACTTCTCCTTCAAGCTCGACTTCAATCTCCTCTCGACCGCATCAAGGTATTCGTTGGTAGTGACCCAAGAGCCCCGGTCCTTCTTTCCGCACGCAAGGGCCAGATCCTTAGTCATGATCTTGTCGACATCCACAGTGTCCACGCAAGCCTTCTCAAGCTGCTCGGCGAAAACGACGAGCTCAGGTGTGTTGTCTAGCTCACCGCGCTTGGCCAGACCTTGTGTCCAGGCAAAGATGGAGGCGATGGGGTTGGTGGAGGTCTCGTTGCCCTTCTGGTGTTCGCGGAAGTGGCGGGTGACGGTGCCGTGCGCCGCTTCAGCTTCGAATGTCTTGCCGTCAGGGGTGATGAGAGTGGAGGTCATAAGGCCGAGGGAGCCGAAACCTTGGGCGACGATGTCGGATTGGACGTCTCCATCGTAGTCTAACCATGTCAGCGGAGTTTCGTGAGCTACAAAACGTGCACGCACTCTTCAAGGCCATAACGTAGCCACCCTCGCTCTTGATCATCTGGGCGACCATGTCGTCAATCAAGCGGTGCTCGTACCAGATGTTGGCGGCCTCAAAGTCCTTCTTGTACTGGCTTTCGTAGATTTCTTGGAAGACATCCTTGAACTTTCCGTCGTATGCCTTGAGAATGGTGTTCTTGGTGCTCATGTACAGAGGTAGCTTCTTGTCCAAGGCCATCTTGAAAGAAGCGTGTGCGAAACCGGCAATAGACTCGGTAGTGTTGTACTGGGTCTGCGCGACACCACCCTCGGCAGGGAAGTCGTAGACCTTGATGACCTCAGGCTTGCCGCCCTTGGGTGTGAAGACCATCTCAAGTGTGCCTTCGCCGGGGATAACGCGGTCTTTGGCGCGGTATTGGTCGCCGAAAGCGTGACGGCCGATGATGATGGGCTGCTTCCAGCCGGGAACAAGACGAGGGATGGTGGGGATGACAATGGGCGCGCGGAAAACGGTACCTCCTCTAGAATATGCTGTCAGCCATGCTTCTTCCATTGCCCTAATGTGCGACATACAGGATGTTTCGGATGGTGCCGTTTGGCGACAGCCACATCTTCTTGAGCTTGAACTCCTCGACGCGCTGTTCATCTGGAGTAATTGTCGCGCATTTTACACCGACAGAGTACTTCTTGATAGCCTCGGCAGCATCGAGGGTAACCTGGTCGTTGGTCTCGTCACGGTATGGCAGACCAAGATCGTAGTACTTGAGGTCGATGTCAAGGTATGGGTGGATGAATTTGTCTTTGATGACCTGCCAGATGATCCTGGTCATCTCATCACCGTCCAGCTCCACCACCGGGTTCTTGACCTTGATCTTCTTGATTCCTGCCTGAGACGCCATCCTGTACTGTCCGACTTGGGTATACAGACTGGATGCTGCTGTTGGGGCGCTGTTTACGGTGGTTCGTCGCGGGCTCGAAAACTGGGCCGATTTCGCAGCTGTCGGGGAAGCTAAGCAACGCGTCGCAAAGCTGCAAGTCTGTCGTCGAGGGAGTCGTGCAACGGAGGTTGCAGCGCGAAAAGCGGCGGGCGCTGTAATCGCAGGCCTCATGGCTAATAGATGGTGTGGTATAACCTCGGAAAGGCAGATCCAAAGGCGTCCAGAAGTCGTTTCGTTCGCTACCGGCCGCGGTTCCGATTGCGCAATGCGGCGAAGATACTCGGCTGATAGGACGACAGGCTTAGTCGTTTGAGTCGCTAGCGGGGTAAGGAAAGCCGAGGAGGTAGGGAAAAGCCTTTAAGCTGTCACAGAGCCTGCGAGATGAACATGGCCCGGAACTGTTACCAGAACCTCGCTCGGAGGAACGGCTAATACCCCACGGTCGCATCGTGTAGACGCGAATTGATTGCCTGGGACGGCGGCAGATGTTCCTCCGTTAGCTGTCATGCGCGCGCCCTCATCCTACGGCGCGGGGCAACCGTGGCATATGACGTTTGGCCGAGTCTGACGTACTGGCGTACCGAAGCAGGCACGCCTGCACAACATGACTGCTGATCCTCAATCGACGGCGAGTTTCTGTGGTTGAGCGATGTAAGTTTGGGTCTGACGCGCAGCGGTGCCTGCTGTAGTATATGTAAGTATCCTGCCCTGCGTTCGGATCCCCTCATAACAACATGCGGGCACACGGCTGCCGGATCCGCTTCGTCGTGATGCGCGTAGAGGTCGTGTCATTGGCTAGCAGCATGGATTTACTTTTGCCTACAACATGTGGCGTGCATCGAGCTGTCTGACTGGATCAAGCATATTCAAAAGCGAAAAAGAGACGGAATTAATTGGGACTGACGATCGAGAAAGTATCGAGTTTGGAAAGCAAAGGACCCAAATTCAGCCAGTAAGGGTCGCGCCTGCCTGATGTCTCATTAAGGCAATCGCGACCCAGCACCCAAATCTGACCCGGGCAGTCGCACCCGACCGACGGCCACAAGTCCAGGTATCTTCTGTCCTTCTTTTCCACGCGAAACCCTCACCTCATAACTTCGCGAAGATCTTGTGAGTACGGACCAAGTTGTGGTCTTCGTCGCGTCTTACTATACCTGATGGTAGTTCCTCAACGCCCTGTTCCGGGACCGACGATGGAGCGGATCGTGGTTGGGATACGTGTGCGACGATACAGACCATGCTGGTTGTGGTGCACTTAAAAACTTGGATTTTGCTGATGTACATGTTACCGAGTTTCGCTTTGTGCTGTATCAGCATATATCCGTACCTATAGGTTCATGTGCGAAGTCAGTGTACGTCCCATACACAGTTCATACCGGTGTATTCCTTACCCTTGCATGTTCGGAGTACCTAAGATGGCGTGAAAGTCATCCGTACCGGCTTCCAATGTAAGCCCTGGCCAGGGTTTGTTCTTGTACTTGTTGTTGACGAATACTCTGTGGCACACTGACAGGGTTGTTTCGTTTTCAATGGAGACAGAGAACAGATATCGAAGATTTTTGGCATCATGGCCGTCCTTCTTTGTCATCTCTTGCCATGTGAGCCAGCCCACGTCAGAGAACTGATGGAGTCTGGGCATTTGAGCTGCTGGAATCTCCGGATATCGACGGTGAGCGGCCCTCGCAGGGCCCTCGCGACTTAAGCCAATGATAACACCCTCCCCTGTATTAAACGACACCGTATAATCAGCACCGGTAGCCCGATAAGTTTGGCCGTTGACTTGGTATGTCTGTTGGTCGGCTGTAGACCAGCCGTGAGGGTCGACGTGGGCCATGCTGAGGATTCGATTTTTGCCACCCTCGTGCAGGTACGTATACGAGGAAAGTCCAAGCCCGTCTAATGCATCGTCAAGGCCCCAATCATCGCGTAATTGGCTATCATCCTCGTTGCCCATCTCGCTATCTGGGCGTTCGTGCCAATACCACGTTTTGAGATCTTCCCCGGTCTGGAATGGAGATTCTGCATTTATCTGTGGGGGTACAAAATGAGGTCCAACTTGGTTGCTATCGTGGTGCATCGACCATTCGATTATACACCCTTTTTGTTTGCAACTATCCCAGACTTCATCTGTCGCTAGTTTTGGTCCCTTTCCGGCGGCGACAAAAACTTCATCTGGCTTCGATGCGATAACGAATGAATTTGCATCTGGCGCCCCCAGTATCTTGAGATCGACGGAGCCTGCACCTTCGCTTGAGCATCTAGAAGTCGCAGTCAGTTATCCTTTCATGTACTCAAGCATACATCGAGGTGATGGGATGTGTTGATAGCGGTGAGATGCGTAGTGGGGAATGCTTACTTTTGACAAATTTCGCCGGCGACGGCAACAACGAGGGCAGCCGGCCCAAGGAACCCTATGATCTGCATATTTTCGAGTGATAGTTGCTGGAGAGTATTTACAGGAAAGAACCAACAGTTGGGAAGTGAGAGAGACTTAGCTGTGCGTCGCTTAAGGCAAGTGGTATAATATCACTTTCACTTTCACTGGATAAAGAGCGACTACGTTTTCGAGGTAAGAAGTACTAGATCGTAGATGGAGAACAGCTTAGAGGAAGAAGCTTCTCCGCCAGCAAGGGAAGGCCATTTTTCTCCTGAGATCTTCTCGGCTATTCTAGAAGTTATAGCTCTCCACACCGTTATAACTTCGCGAGTATTTTGTGTGTACGAACCAAATTATGATCTTCGTCACGTCTTACTCCTCTGACTGATAACTGCTCCGCAACGCCCTCGTTTGGGATCAATTCTGGACCACCTCCTAAACCAGAGCCTGGTTGCGATACATGTGCAACAATACATGGATTGCGGTGCACTGTTTCGCATCTGAAGACCTGTATCTTGCTGACGTACAAATTGCCCAGCTGCGCTTTGTGCTGAATCAGCATATACCCGAAGCCTTGCCTAAAAGTGGGCGTTCGAAGTCAGTACAAGTTTCGCATACAATCCGTACAGGGGTATCTCTCACATATTTGGAGTACCTGGTTATGAGTCAGCGGGAAGATCTTCGCATTCATAAGAGATCAAGAACAAGATAGCCTTGAATGGCCCAGGAGGGTGTCGCCGTACTACATGGAGCATGGCAGCGACGTTCTTGTGCTACGAGGCAGCCAGGCTACAGTAACAGACGTTGATAGACATATACCAACAGCCCAGCACGCTCCACAAGATTTGATGACAAGCAAATCGCTCAGAAAAAATGGCGTGTAGTCGTCTTACAGACGCGCTTGGAACAATTGCGACTTACCCATGATTGCATGCATCTCTGGCGACCCGTCTTCGAATATATGACCTGGCCAATCGTCGACTCCCCATCCCCTGTTTTCCGATGCTCTCAGTACGACTGAGACCGTCTCCCTATTGACGACCAAAACGGAGATGAGATATCGAATGTTTTTGAGATCGCCATTCTGTTCTTTGACCATATCATCCCAACTCAGCCACGCCACATCAGAGAACTGGGTAAGTTCCGGCATCTGGTCATCTGGAACTGGTGGTTCCTGTTGTTTTCCCGTTGCTTTGGGGCTCTCTCGGTTCAGAGCAATGATGACACCGTCTTTCGGATTCAGTGAAAAGGAAAAGCTAGCAGCTGTGGCCCTGTACGTCTTGTCGTTGACCTTGTACTTCTGGTCAGCGACAGGAATATCGAAGTAGGGGTTATCGGGCGGTAGTTTGTGGTCAACACTGTGAACCCGGTTCTCGCCTCCCTCGTATTCATCTGCATACGGATTAACTCCAAGTTCTTCGAGTGCATGGCCGATGCCCCAAGCCCGGTTCAAGTCGAAATATTCCTCCCTTATGTTGGCCTGGGGCCACCGAAACCAAAACCACTTCGCAAGGTCACTCAGACTCTGGTACGGCGACGCTGCTGTAGGGCGGGGCGGAACGTAATAGGTTCCTACTTGGCTGTCTTCGTAGCGCATTGCCCATGAGAGCATACATCCCTTTTCTCTGCATTTTCCCCAAACTTGGTCATCTGCTGGAAGGACCCTTGCTGGTGGCGGTGGAGGCGGAGGTCGTGGTGAAGGTGGCGGCGGCTGTGGTTTTCCAGCGACCAACAACTTATCTAATGGCTCCAGTATCGTGAGGTTGCTCGCGATTTGGGCATCATTCAAGCAGCTACAGATCAGAGTCAGTCATCGTGTCACATAGCCTAAGAGGTACCAGGGTTGTGGAACAAATGCCTACTCTTGACATATCTCGCCAGTGACAACGACGACGAGGGCAACCAGCCCGAAGAGTCTTGTGATCCACATTCTTTCGATGGTTGTTTCCGATATGTCGCAGTGGAGATTGAAAGGTCGAACAAGTAACGATGGAAATATCTGCTTAAGCTAGGCTACGCGCCTGGCTCGTGCAGCTTTTACCTCTATATCCACTCTCACTCGATATAAGTGAACTGAATATCTGCCGAGACTTCAAATATCGAGGACCACAATCTTTTCGGACAGACAACCTAGATGGTTACTCCTATGGGCACTGCGTACTTCCTTAGAAGAATGTGATATAACTGAACATAGCGCCACCTTTTTTTTGTTGGAAGACTATCTTAGTGGTTGTTGATCGTCGCTAGACAGCATCATGATGCAAGTACGCACAGATTCTCAATTATAGCTATCACTTATGACAATAGTCTTCACGCAAATTGCCTGTAATCCAAGCAAGGTGGCGAAATAGACACGCACGTGGTGCACCCCTTAGAGGGCTTGTTGATGGGCTGTATCAGGTTTTGTGAATACAGATGATCAGCTGATTCTACAGCTACGAATATCCCACTATTCCACCTCTCATCCCTCCCAATTGACACCAGTCTCTTGGCTGCGTAGATGCGCAGCCTCCGAAGTCTCACATGAGCTTGGGCAGTACGCGTATGCGCACCGAAAAGGCGCATCTCCTTCTGAATCTTGCCGGCTTCTTTGATGGAGCTTGCTTCTGCTAAGTCCAACCCTAGGTACCAAAAGCGGCCTCAAAGAGTTACAATGGTGCTTTCTTAACAGACCGCGACCTAAGATTGGTAGGCTACATCAAAAGTGCAATTTGGTAACGACTAGCTTCTTCGTACAGCATTCCTCTATTTTCTCTACTGAGCTATTTCACCATCACGGTGAAGAAGACTCTGAAGACTGCCTGAACCTTCCCAATGAGGCTAATCTAATTCTCCACGCTATGCATATATCCAAGCAATTCTCCGGATAGCAAGTCTTCACATCGCACAACCATCAACTAACCTCTAGTTTGTGTGAAACGACTACTGAATGTCATGTCGCCCAAAGCCACCTCAAAACAACGGAAGAGGAAAAAGCGAGACCATTCATCTGAAGATGATGAACGCCACCATGTCAAAGGCCGCAAAACCAAAACCCCCAAAGTCAACCCGCCCAAGGCCCAGTCGCAATGCCTCAAAGCTCCAAAGTTACCAAGAGGCCTCCGCGGACCTAAAGGTACAAAGTTAAAGCAAGTCCAATACCACAAGTTCGAATACGATGTCGTGATATATCACTACGCTGCGTCCTTCATCTCCGTCTCAGACTTTCGCTCGTTACTCACCCGCCAGCAACACGGCTATGTAAACTACCTTCTGGGCCCTGATCCACTAGCCTCCAAGCCCGACCCATCAGGCGACGAGCTACTTCCGGGTTGCCTAGAAGTCGGCTACCTCCCATCCGTGTTCGTCCTAGGCGGCTCAGCACTCGGCTTTCGGCTTGATTCTCATCCACCGACAATAGAGTGGTTGTGCTTCGACAGAGATGTCAAGGATAGTATCCTCGAATTGCTGGACATCAATACGCATGCACAGCGCATGTTGTTTGAGCATGTTGCAAGTCTGCAGCGGGCGCCGGCGCCGGAGAAGAAGTGGGATAGAAGGCTTGCTTATACGGAGCACAAAGATTGGTATGAAAGTCTGAAGGAGGCAGGAAGGAGGCCGTTTAGGTTGGGGTTGACGTGGAGGAGATGGGGGACGGAGATGATGATTGAAGGGATGAAGAAGAGGGATGAAGAGACTAGGTCGGAGGAGGGAAGAGCAATGACGGAGGGTGTTGCGACCATGGATATGGAAGATGACTATGCCGATGCTGAGGAAGACGACGAAAGAGGTGGGGAAGAAGATCGAGACACCGGAATTTCCTATGAGCGCGGCTCCAACGGCCCAAAAGCCATTGGTGGACGCTCGCTTTTTGTTTACCGCGACTCAATTCCCAATCAGAACGTTACACCGCAAAGAAGTTCTAGATCAGATCGCTCACCATCGTCCTTACAACCCCCAGCGCTCGGCAACCGAAGTACGAATACGCGACAAACGCAGCCTCCTTCATCAAAAGAACGCAGTCGAAAGAAAGACAATTGTTAGAAGGTGGCTACGTTTAAGAGGCATTGCGTCTGTACGGAGCTTCCGCAAGATGCGTTTGCCGTGAAAGTTTCGGATTAGGATCTTTCAACAATGATAATCCTGTACGATGATACCCTCATGGCGTGCTTTACCAGCGAATTGATTAATGACTAATGAGTAATACTCTCTTCTTAATGCTACAGCTACAACAAATCGTCTCTCGTTTCTCATAATGTCGTCACTTCCACATCCCTGCTACCGCGTGAGCCACGTTCTACCATTACAGATCTAGGCCTTGAGTCCAATCTCGTCAGCAGTGAGGATAAACTCCATGAAACCAGCATTAGTATCAATGATATTTTGGATGTACTCCTCGCTTGTGGGGTAGAAGTTGGTTGGGTAACCAAACTCCATGGTGTAACCATACACTTTGGTGAGCTTCTTGTTCTTGTGCCAGCGGCTGAACGACCAGTCGTCTGTAGCACCAGAAGTAGGGTAGAGACCAACAGCTTGTTGGGGAACATACTCTCGGCCGCCGACGGAGATCATGGCATCAGTGGTACGGTTGGCAGCGATACGGATGTTGTCCCAGTCTTCTTGGTCAATGTACTCTCTGTACAGCTCGTCTTCGACGATACCGCGCTTTCCATCGTAAGCTGAGTTGAACAAGTTCTGCTTTGGATCGTGGGATTGATCGACGTCGTCACCCCATGAGTAGAGCAGCGTTCCAGCAGCGGAGTGAACGTCAATGTACCAGTGTATGTTGGGGTACTGGTCGTACACCCAAGCCATGTCTCTCGATTCTGGCTCAGAGAACGGTGCAGTGCCGTAGAAAGCCTGCGAAGTGGGGTTCGTTGAAGCAGGGGCAACGGAGGGGTCGAACTTCTCAGTGAAGTTCCAGAGGAAGTCGAAGTTCCTGTTGAGATCTACACCAACACTAAGAGGAACACCAGGCGTAGAAGAGGCGGGGTTGCGGTTCTTTCGCCAGAGGTTGCTGTTTGCCTGGTCGTGGTTCACACCATCCGGGTTTAGCATAGGAATGAAAACGATTCCTGCCCCAAGAGCCTTCTTGACCTGGCTATTGGTGTACTTCTTGTTGCCGTAGGTCAGGCCGATGCGGTGCTCGTTTGCATAGAGCAGATCAGAGACGAAGTAGATCAGATTGTCAGGTCCACCGCGCTCACGTGCGTGAATTCCTAGTCGGGAGGTTAGTCTATCCTTCAAATGTGATTTTGAGCGAAGACATACCAGAAGTGAAGTAAATGTACTGCTTGTCCTTCTTGATCTTCTCCGCCTTGTTCGCAACACCACCAATGATCGATCGCCCCTCGAAGGTCTTTTCCGGTGTCGTGAAGAGCGACATGCCGTATTCCTTCTCTAGACCCTTCATGGCGGTGTAGACTTCGTCTATGTTGAAAACACCGGCATTTTGAAGTTGGGCGTACTCGCTGGGCTTCCTGGTACCGAGACCGCGAGGCGCGACCTTTCCACCCTTGAAACGATCGCCCTTGCCGATAGGTGCAGTTGCAGTCTGTCGCTTGTTCATGTTGTGCAAAAGCTCAACGCGAACGAGCTCTGGATCCAAACTTCGCTTGAAGTGGTCCAAATGGTCCTCTGAGATGACAGCGTGCAGCTTGTGCTCGCCACCTGCAGCCATGACAACAGGACGGCAGCCATAATCAATCTCGCTGTTGGCCGAGATGAAGTCGTATAGCTGGTTTTTCTCCTTTGCGTAGAACGCAACGCTCAGGACATCTGACGCGAGAACAGCGCCAGGAAGCAAACCGAGGAGAGTGGAGACCTTCATGGCGGGCAGTGGTAAGAATGCTGCGACGGGTAGAAGTTGCAAGTCGTGCAGACACAGACTGTCGCCATCCTGTTGATATTTATTCAAAGCCGATTGCTTGGTACTTTCTATTGCCAGCCTCTTAGACGAGAGAATTGCTTCCAGCTTCCTGATTCGGTAATCGGGGATGGCGTTTCCAAGACTCCAAGACAGCAAGCGTACTTGGCTGGCGTACATGCTCTACAATTCTAAGCAGGTCCGAATCGTTATCTTCTGCTATGGCCACACGGATTTTTGCCTAACGCAAAATATCATGTTGGTGGTAGGCAAGCAGGATGCGGAAATGCTCTAAAGAATCCAGACTCCTGGTTCATGGTGTCGAAGGCGTTGCCAAGACTGCTGAACGCGGGTTAGCAAGGCACAGGTAATTGTGGCTGCAAAGTCGTATGGGTCGTCATATAGATAAGCATTATCCCGAGGCTGTCAAACATGAAAGGCGCAAACGCTTCATATCCATAGTCGAATAATAGTATAGCAGGGTGGTTGCCACGGCTTCGGAAACAGGTGGCCAAATCTTGTAATTCAGGTATGCACGCTAAACTGGCGCGACGCAGCAGCAGCTGCGAACGCTCTTGATCAGTTAGCTGCTGTCGCGTTAGCGCGAACAAATTCTAAGTATGCTGGCGATCGTCTCGTAGAACGGGCGACATATGTGCGAGGTTGTGTGAAGGAGTGGAGAGGCAGCGAGTGATGGAGCGACGCTTTCTGGTTGCCAAGACCATGTGCAGCTAACGCCTATCTCCGCGCCCAGATGTTCGTCACTTCTCATGACTCTCCTAGAAGCAAAGATGAAACCACCTTGATATCTGATTGTGCCTGCGGGGCATCTACGACTCGCGATGGAATATAACTCACTGCCTCCGGAGATTACCGTCCTGCTGCTGGGCGACTCTGAAGTAGGGAAGTCGACGTTCTTGTCGTGAGTACTATCATCCGGCGCGCTGTACGGCGCGACTTGCGACAGCGGCGACGAAAGCGTGTGGATTGACGTCTTGTATCATTTGCTGATGATTCAAAGTCGCCTGTCACTCGGCGTGCAACCTCAGAACGACGACCTCCCACCTTATGAGCTTCCCAAGCTGCGCGATATCGACCAGCCGTATGCCTTCGATATCACACTCTATGGCCGGCCGTACAGGCTGCAATTCTACGACACGGCCTCACCCCAGAACTATACGCTTCTGCACCCACAATTTGTGATTCTTTGCTACGACATATCCTCGCGCGCGTCGCTCGAGTCGCTTTCTTCGACATGGCTGCCGGTAGTGAACAAGCATTTTAATTACGATGAAAACTTGCCTGTAATGGTCCTTGGTCTTAAGAGGGATTTGAGGAGACAATGGACGTTAGCGGAGCATGGCCCGGACAAGAAGGGCAAGGGCGCGAGCGTCATGCCACATGAGGGATTACAGACAGCGCAGAGAATGCTGTGCGATCATTACGCTGAATGTAGTGCGCTGACAGGGGAGCTGTGTAGGCAAGTGCTGGAGGATGTCGCAAAGACATGTGCAAAGACAACGACCAAGGACGGTGCCAAAACTCAAGCTGATGTGTGCAACCTCATGTAATTGGGCATGTCTGGAAACGCAAGTTGCGCAGGCTCGAACGTGGGCGCGATTGAACATGTCAAATACAGGCATGCATCGGATTGCTCAAATGCCACCGGTTCAAGTATCGCGTTTATGGTTGCTTGTGCGCGTGGCTACCTCGTCTCGAGGCAGAACCTTTTCCGCATATGGGTTCTGTTATCCTCAATTGTTACGAATAACACTTTGTAGTGGGCGACCAACACATTTGGCAGAGACCTCGATATGTCTTGTATGTCGTGTGGACTAAATTCAGACAACGACAAGTTATAGATTCCGGACATTATATGTCCATTAGCTACATAATACAAGGTAGCGTAGGCGGCGCTGCTACCGACAGGACTTCCTTTTTCATCGGGCTATCGCCGAAGGGACTCACCCGACCAACCACTTAGCAACTCTTCGCCAAATCCACCACCGGCCCTTCAACAAATGCCCACACCGACACCGCGGCTTATGAGATCGGCAAATGCGCCCCTGCACATCTCCAGTTAATCCTGTGCCGCTTGACAGATGGTCGAACCATACGTCACAACGACATGCAGATCGCGCTGCACGTGCCGACGCCGTGCATGATGATCCCGCCAAAACTACCCCGCAAAGGCGCCGCTTGGTACCCCAGAAGCTAAGATACGTTTGATCCGCCTCCACACAAGAGGGTCAATTGCGTTGAGGGGAGCCTGGAGAGGCGAGGCATGCATGCTAGGTGGGTAACGTTGCCGAAGAAGGTATGCCGTTGTGATGCTATGATTCGGGCTTTGCATTCTACCGAGATGCATTAAAGGGTAGAAGCTCCCCACGGGGTTGAAGTCGTGCGTTGCCTTGCTAGTTTTCTCTCCCATATCGCCTGCAATCACACCATGGCGACAGCATTCGATCACGACAAGCTCTCCGCGGAGCACCAGCAGACCGAGAATGTCGCGGAGAAGATCTCGACTTCATCGGGCAGTGGTGAGCTCGAAGCGCAGAATATTGATCTTGAGGAGAAGGAGGCTGCCCGTGTGCTGAGGAAGGTGGATATGAGACTCGTTCCAATGCTGTCTCTTCTTTACCTCGTCGCGTTCATCGATCGAAGCAATAGTAAGTGCAGGCTCTTGGACGAATTCATGTCGAATTACTAACACGTTGTAGTCGGTAACGCGAAGATTGCTGGTATGACGGACGACCTGAAAATGCACGGTAGCCAGTACAACACTGCAGTCACCTTATTCTTCGTTCCATACACGCTACTCGAAGTACCTAGCAACATCGTGCTCAAGATGATGCGCCCAAGTCATTGGATGGCAATCTTGATGTTCTGCTGGGGTCTCGTGATGACACTTATGGGTCTTACGTCCAGCTACGGTGGGCTACTTGCCGGACGTTTCTTCTTGGGTGTGACAGAGGTAGGTGGAAAATGCTCTATCCAGAATTGACAGCATATGCTTACACTCGCAGTCTGGCTTCTTCCCCGCAGCAACGTTTCTGCTTACTCTCTGGTATCGCCGTTTCGAACTTCAGCGTCGTATGGCTGTTTTCTATGTAGCCGCCTCTCTTGCTGGTGCTTTCAGTGGGTTGCTCGCCTACGGTATCGAGAAGCTCGACGGTCGCTCTGGACTTGCCGGATGGCAGTGGATCTTCTTAATAGAGGGATTGATCCCAGTGGCGCTCGCGCTCATCATCTGGAAGATTCTCCCTGATAGTCCAGAAACCGCCAAGTTCCTTACCCAACCAGAGCGCGACTTGCTGGTTTCCCGATTGTCCAACGATTCTGGGTCTGGACAGGGACAAGCCACCAACAGCGATAAGATCAGCAAAGAGCAGATTCTCACTGGTCTTTCCGACTGGAAGATTTGGGCTGCTACGGTTATTTTCTGGGGAAACACCGTTGGAGTTTATGGGTAGGTCGACGAAAACGATTTGTGCTACCGATTCATGTCTGATATTTCTATACAGATTCACAGCTACCGTACCATCTGTCATCCAAGGCCTCGGCTACACGAGTGCCAATGCCCAACTCATGACCATCCCGATCTACGTTTTCGCCGCTATCCTTACCCTCATCTTTGCGTGGGCGTCCGATCTGACACGCAAGCGCTCCCCATACATCATCGCAGGCTATTCCATTGCCGTATGCGGCTTCATCGCTCAACTGGCCATTCCTAAGCCCGCCTATCCTGGCATCACCTATGGCTTCCTTTTCCCCGTGGCTGGAGGTCTATACTGCCCTTTTACCTGCCTTGTCTCCTGGATTGGCAACTCCCTTGCACCATCTTCTAAGCGCGCTGTTGGTATGGCTCTCTTGATTTCCGTGGGAAACATGGGTGGTATCATGGGAAGCAATATCTATCTTTCGCGCGAAGCACCAAAGTACACGACAGGCTTTTCGGCTAGTTTGGCCATGTGCTGTACCGCCATCCTCATGACTTTCGTGTTGAGGTGGGCGTATGCGAAGGAGAATAGACTGAGGGATGAGCTGATCGCGGAGCACGGTGAAGACGCTATTCGTGCGAGGTATTCCGAGCAGGAGTTGCTGCTTATGGGTGACAAGAGCCCTTTCTACCGGTACACTCTGTAATTTGCATCTACGAGAAGATGTTCAGCGTAGCTTCATCCTTTTGCATGTCGCAATTAGAAGGAGCGATATCTTCTTTGATGATCGAGTGAGATTCTTTTACAATGTATACATGATGGGTGTTCACAAAATCTAGGTGATTTCATCAGGCGCACTAAATGTATTCAGCTTCAGAGATCAGTATAGCACCTAGGCACAATGCTAGGTTGCGAAAGATTTCAGCTAACAGTGATCACACAATTAATCAATTGATTCTTCTGAGTTTAGGCAAAGGTAAGATACTCCTGCATAGCGGAAATTAGAGTCACCATATACCAGGAAAAACCCAAACAGGTATATACATAACAAGTTTTACCTTGCAGCCTACATTATCTTCTAGTAAGAAAACCTAATAAGATTAACTATATTGTAGTCTTCTAAGTTTTGAATCTATATCTATATAGCTCTCTATATGTTCTTTTGTAGTAGGAAGGATTATTCTTAAAAGGAAGTTTGTTTTTTCCACTTTGATACGGTGGAGTAACCAATCTGATTTAGTTGCAAGACACTCTTATCAAAACCAATACACGGATGGGATACATAGCTTTTGACAGTCATTTCAAAGTAGTCTAACGTGTACACCGGATCAATTTGATGAAGGAGCGACAGATCTTACGTGTTACACCTCGAGTGAGGAGTCTGAAATTGGCTTCACTCGTAACACTGGCCTCGGCCTACAAACTCGACCGCACTACCTATCCAGACAAATCTCAAGTGTACACAACAGCCTTGAGAATAAACTGGGCGTTCTCAGCACCATCGGTAATGGCGTATGAGATCACTTCTGTTCCGCTGTCCTTGCCAGCGCCACGAACGTTGATCTGCTGCTTCTTCTGGCCATTGACGTTGTTGATGCTAGAGTACACGTTAGGTCACATCCCTACCCATAAATGGTCGCGGAAGGAGGAAACTCACGCAAAGGTACCGTTTCCAGTGTATCTAATGTTCCAGCGGACGGCGTTGTCAAGGGGAGGGCGGATTTCCTGGGTGATTTTGCCACCAGAATCTAGATAGATGTGGGTGTTACGGGACAGATATGTTGTAGAAAGATGTGACTGGCTTACCATTCATGCACAAGTACAAACCAGAGTTTGCGCAAATGATGTGATATTCACGATCGCCTTTCTCAGGCTGAGCGTAGTAGCCCCCCGCCGATACAATCTCAAAGTGAGTGTTCTTGGCTTCCTTCGTCCTCGGGCTAGTAGCTGATCAGTCCAAGATGGCGATGTTTAGCCGTGGGAAGCAAACGTACTATAGCTTGATGGGCGTGCCAGCAGTTGTTGCACCACCCCAGACATTCAGGCTCATTTCTGGAGCGTGTTTGGGGAGAATCTCGTACATGCCGGGGCCGGTGTAGTCAGACATTTTGATTTTGGTTGGCAGGTGTTGTTGAGTGAGATATGTTGTTTGATTGTAGTGTTCAATAGATAATGGTGAGAATGATAAAGGTTTCGAGGAACGGAGGGGGCTTTTGTAGAGTTGGAAGGTGGTAAAAGCAATTCCTCATACTCCGTTTCTTCCCAAAGGGTTCTAGACAATCTCTTGTCCTACAGTATGCTATTCTGATCTAGACCCCTTAAAGTCACTCGTTAAGATCGGATGCCTGAAAAGCCAAGTAAGAGTCGAGCCTATGAAAGCAGTCGCCAAGCCTACTTCGATAGCCAGATGGCTGAGTTTTCGACCTCTAGGCTTCGTTGGAAAATGTTCGACAGCCTTTTCGGATAGTGTTTCGGTCTGCATGCAAGTCTGTATCATTGCCGCCGAATACCTTCCATCGGCACCCTCCTGGTCATCGTGAATGTTCCCATCAAGACCAGTCATGTCGTATGCGAGTTCTGGGGAGAACTTAGTGCACCGTGGACCCTTCCAGTGTCATCGTGGCTTTCTACAGCGTGGTCGTATAAAAGGCTGGCCTATTGAGTACATGCATGATACCGATCACCTGTGTAACCAGAAGATGCACTAAGTACGCATATAGCGGAAGAGCGGTGTAGCGTATGTTATACCAAGAAGTCCATTCATATGCGTGAAGTCGGGTCTCCAGCTCTAGATTTCCATCGCGGTATGCACACTGACGGTCCGAAGGCGCAATGCTCTTAGTGACCGGCATAGATCTAACCACTTCTATACAGTGGGCATACGCCAGTGTGTTAAACGATATCGGACCGAGAAGCAGTACCAGGCGAATATCATGTCGTTTGTCATCATTGAGAAAGCATATGACCACTGAGACATGATAAAGGCTGCTCATTGTAGCCAGACCTGTGTTGGACTGAGGTTGCTTCTAGCCGACTCAATAGCAACTGTACGACTATCCGGATTGGGCATGAAACCTCTTCATGGTCTAAGCCTGGGGTACGAGGCGATGAGTACATCGTGAAATAGTACCGACGACAAACTTCGTAAAATAGTATCGCCGCTGTCATCATTGTACTATTCGATGCTCATCAAGGGTAAACCAAGCTATACAGTCAGGCTATGGTAGGGTGTTTCGAAAACCGCGAGGGCGAATCAGCATTCGGTGTGATGCATGGCCTCAGCTACCCATTACTGTAGTAGGCGCGCTGCACTTCTGACCTGAAGATGTCTGCATTTAGATTAGCACAAACGCACCCACCCACTGTTATCTGCGAATCTTTCTAAACGACATTTTTGGCGTCAAGCTAAGACCCTTTCGACTGACCTAGGATGGTCGTGTAAAGCATTGGTGATGCCTTGTCAAATCGTGGTAAAGTGCTGGCGTGCATCCTGAACACATACGCCTGCAGACTCTAGTCACTGGTACTGTAAATACAGTGCATAGAGATCTCAATCTTTTTGTGCTCCGGTAATACTGCAACATGTGCGTGATGGAGGCGGCTTGCATCTGTATACACGTCGACAGACCCTACTCCGCTAAGGCTTACCGGTCCCGTGCGGGGGGTCGGGGCGTCCCGCATCACACCCACATCGTGGATAGATGGGCTATGATTGGGTAATGCCCCTTTTCAATTCAACAATCAGGATAGAGTGCGCCCCACTTGTGGACAGACTTGAGGGCTCCGGGCAGCTGGACCGGAAGACGAGCATTTTGCAGTTAGGTCCATTGACTAGCAACTCTGCACAACGCTCCTAAGGTGGCCAGCTCATTCTCTGACAGGCAGAGCTATCCGAACGATGTTGCGAAGACACAAAAAAAAGCGTTGGCGAAATGATCGCCTGCCAAGGACAGTGAACTAGGCGTCTTACGTGCATGCTTCCTCGTAAAAGTGGCACCATACAGTAAGTATGCTAGATGTTCTTTTTTGTGCAATTCCGCATACGAAGACTGTCTGCTGCTACCCAACAAGATGAGGCGATGGCAGAGCGATGTCATTAGTCCGATATTAGTTGGTAGAAGGCTACAGAAGTAAAGGGTAGTAACAAGTTAGCTGAGAAGTGAAGATCTGTAGGTCGAGGTTGAGGAGCAACGCGATCGATGGTGGGGCGATCTCGGGATGTCCCGAACTTTCTAGATCACGGGCGCAATAGCTGCCTCACGCAACTTTCTTTCAGCACACCCATTTATTGATTCGACACTTGCGCATACATAACAATACGAAAATCTTTGACACACAGCCCATTCTTATCCTACGATCGCACCAAGCACAAATCTACGCGCCGTATCGAGTCGTCAACCCCGCATACTCTGACCTCTCATCCTCCACCGTCACCCACCTCCAACCCAAACTCCACGCGCGCACGCATACGCACCCACCCACCATGGGTTCCGTAGTCCTCCCCCACCTGCGCACAGGATGGCACGTCGACCAAGCCATCCTCAGCGAGGAGGACCGCCTAGTTCTGATCCGCTTCGGCCGGGACTCGGACCCCGACTGCATGTCGCAAGACGAGGTACTCTACAAGATCGCCGACCGCGTGAAGAACTTCTGCGCCATCTACCTCTGCGACCTCGACGAAGTCCCCGATTTCAAGGCCATGTACGAGCTGTACGATCCTTGCACTGTCATGTTCTTCTTCCGTAACAAGCACATGATGTGTGATTTTGGGACGGGAAACAATAACAAGCTGAACTGGGTGTTGGAGGATAAGCAGGAGTTTATTGATATCATTGAGACGGTATACCGGGGGGCGAAGAAGGGCAGAGGTCTGGTTGTGTCGCCGAAGGACTATAGTACTAGGTATAGGTACTAGAAAAATGGGCACGGGTATGGGTCTGGATACATGGCGTATTGGGGTTTGGATAGGACGAGATTGATACCAAAAAGACTAGAGCAGACGTGATTTATACCACGAGGCTGGAACAACCAGACGGATTGTTGTAAACGGGGAGCTCTGATGCATGTAAAAGTGTAGCAAAACTGGAGGTTTGGATACAATGTTACGGCAGCTCAATGAGGAGGCTTACGCAAACTCTCAGAGCATGTGTAGGACACAGACGAGGTTTTAATCATGCGGTTGTTACGACATGTATTGGAGCGCTTTATTCATGTTATGATTCTACGATCCCCGCTGCTTTGCTCTCAACGTTCGTTTCCCGGTCTGCACTTTTGATGCTGTCCTCCCACAATCCTCCTCTTACGCCCCTCCAAACGATCTCTAGCGTCCCTCTTCTCGGTAGCAATCTCGGAAACACAACGACGACCTTTTCCTCGTCCTCCACTACTACCATAAGATAGAATTTCACTTCAAATCCCTTGAACGCCTCGTGTATAAAAACGTCCTGTATGCTCGTGGTGGGTATAAAGCGCGTGGTGGGCGTCTGAAGATACGTCAAAGATGTAGTCGAGGTCTGGACACCGAGGCCGCGGAGTATGGTGAGGGATTCTTCTGTAGATTGCCTTAGCTTAGAAACCAGAAGATGAGATCAGGGGAGCGAGGTACCTGTGTAGTTGCGGCGAAAAACCAGAAAGAGCATGATACATGCAGTAGGTATCAAGTATCGCCATTGGTAAGCTTCTGTGAGCCTGACGAGGTGCGCTTCCACGCCATGTCCCATTTTCCACATTCTTAGAGTTGGGTCGTATCGAGCTTCGTTCGTGACACAGAACTTTGACCATAGTGATAGTATGCTTATGATGCCTAGTGAGACTCTCAACAATATCCCTGCATAGTACCTTGCGAGCGCGGGTAGTGTCTTGGGAACAGGACGCGTCGAGACAGTGTATGTGATTGTTGACGACGTTGGCTGCAGCACGTGAAATGTTTGCGCCGGCGGAGAGGTCAAGTGGTCAATGAGTGCCAACATGGTGTTGGAATATAAGCAAGTGTCACTAGAGGATCGAAACTATGGACAGCGGAATGTGGGGGTGGGAGAAAGCCTGGGGAACGGGATGACGCGCTCAGCATGCTTCTTATCGATAAGATCGTCACGTTTTCTACCCAGCTGTCTCACACGAGCTTACCTCCAATCCACCTTCCTCCTTGCACCACAAACCTCTCGAGTAAAGCCCATCACGATGGACTCTTCTAAAACAGACCGCGATCGCTCTCGCTCTCCCCGGAGATCCCCCGGTCCACGTAAACCCAAGAACTTCAGCAATCTCAAATTCAAAGGCGACCGCGAGCGTCGCGACCCAGACAGACGACGCGACGACCGAGACCGAGACCGAGAGAGGCGACCACGAGATTACTCGGACCGCGATCGAAGACGCGATGACGACCGAGAGCGCGATCATCGCCGTCCCCGAGATACGTCGCGCGACAGACGACGAGACTCGAGCCGTGAGCGCCGTCGACGATCCCGCTCGCGCGACCACAAACCACGCGACTCGAACCGCGACAGCAAACCAAAAGAAAAGAAATCCGCTGCTGCTGCTGCGGCTGCGGCTCCTGCTGCACCCTCCGAGCCCATGATTCTCGTCACCATCAACGACCGTCTAGGCACCAAGACACAAGTTCCCTGCCTCCCCAGTGATCCCATCAAGCTGTTGAAAGCCATGGTTGCAGCAAAGATTGGGCGACCGGTGCATGAGATTATGCTGAAGAGGCAGGGGGAGAGGCCGTTCCATGATAATCTTACGTGTGCGGATTATGCGATTAGCAACGGTGTGCAGATTGATTTGGAATTGAATACCGGGGATTAAGGTGGGAGGTGCCACATATGGGTGTATTGGCATGCAAAAGGTTGGGGACGAAGTGTGTATCGGTGCATGTATAACGCAAAGCTACATGGGAAAACTGCGACAGATTATGATACCCAATAAAGTGTTTTTTACTCGATTAGGCATACGGATAGTCCAGCCGCAGGGCCTGTATACCGACTAATCCCTCGTGCGTCTCACCCCTCCAGCATCTATTCATCCCCATCATCATCCTTCGCCTGAATACGATCAGGAATGCCCTTCCTCACTCTGTATTTCTCATTCACCACCTCTACACTTTCCTGTCTCTCCCTCTGCAACACAGGCATATAATTTCCCTTGGCCCTGCCCAGATCCCCTCCATCAAACACTCTCGGGCCACCCCTCGCTATCCCAATACTCTGTTGCTCAGCCGGCACCTCCGCATCCAGCGTCGACTGTCCTAAATTCGCAATCTTATCGAGCAAAAGCCCCGAAAGCGTCTCATCGATTTTGTTCCCCCGCCACACCTCCCAGACATCGTCGATGACACCGCCGCGACCCCATTTTCCGCGACCAATGGTAGCAGGGCCTCCTCCTTTGGCTGTTCCTCTGGCTTTTGGCTCGCTGCCCCCTTCGTCGCCAATGTAGATCCATTCGAGTCGGTCTTGGTAGCCGTGTTCTCGCTCCTCGGTGCTGCGGACTTCGTGCGCGTGCGGGAAGATGCAGTCCCAGAGAACGAGTGGGGCGTCCGATGCCATTTCGTACTTTGGTCGTTGAGGGTTGGCGGCGATGTCGAGGAGTTGGGGGACTAGGGATGGTGACTCGAGACCTTGGCCTACCAGGAAGAGAATGGCGACTAAAGAGCGGACTTGGTGCCAGAGGAAAGCGGAGCCGTGAAGGGTGAACGAGTATAGTTTTGGTTGCTCTCCGTTGGTGTAGGGCGCAGAGAGAGCGGGGTGGGAGAGGAAGCCTGGCACGGACAGTGAGGACACTTCCTCAATGTCGGCGTGGAAGATGCGTCTTTGGAAGTTTGTGAGTTGTTTGCTTGCGTCGATTTTGCAGAAGTTGCGGAAATCGTGGAGGCCGACTAGCGACTTGCAGGCTTTTCGCATGGCTTCGATGTCGAGCCAGCCTTCGCGCATTATCTCTTGGTTTTCAGTAGCAACGGGTTTGGAGTTGTTGTAGTTGGTGTTGGTCTTGTATTGCCCAGAGGATCCGGGTACAGGTGCGAAGCAAGGATTGGTGAAGAAGTACTTGTACCGCCGTTCTTTGCAAGAGAAGCGAGCGCTGAAGTCTTCTGGCGGGTTTGGGCACCACGCATAAACACGAATGTCCGGGGGTAGCACACGGTTCAAAAGCTGGATATATGGGAGTTCGTCGGTAAGGTCGTTGAACGGCTTTTGTGGGATGTCTTGGACGTCGTCTGATAACGACGCTGATTCTTCGTTATCGGCTTCGTTTTCTCCTTCGGCATTCCGTACAGGCTCAGAAACTTTTGGCAATGGCTTGTTGCTCCTGACCCTCACTCCAATGACCTGCCCGAAAGCGCTCACGCCCCGATCCGTCCGTCCGCATTTGGAGTATTCGCAGCCATCCCAGTTTACATCAGCACCTTCCCTATCCCATTTTGCAAAAGTTTTTCTATCAATTCTCTCATATCTTCTTTCGTCGCCGCCCGTGGGTATCGGATTTATCAAACGCGTCTTGACCAACGCTTTCCAGACCTCCTCCTCAATCGTAGGTAATGGTGTGGTGTTGTTTTTGTGATGCTCGAAGCCGTTGTACTTCTGTCCTAGGTAGGCAAACTTCAGTGCGATTAACCGTGTGCTGTATTTCGAAGCATCGAAGGCTTTCGGCGATGCCTTGCGGGCTGTGCGCAATTCCCATGGCTTGAGCGGTTCTGTAGGCGTGGGCGTCGGTTCGCTTGTCGAGGATGAGTTCAGTTCAGCAGCTCTTTGTGCGTCCCCTCCTATCTGCCTCTCCAACTCTTGTATCCTGGCAATCAACTGCTGTTGTGACCATTCTTCATACCCCGCCATGTTCCCTCTTCTCCCACGCGCTTCCCGAAATTGCACGCGTCGTGGAACTCTCGAAAGCTTGTGGAAGCTGCGTCGCGAACAGAACAATCGATGCAGTGACCGTTGGAATTCTGGAAAGGCGTGGGGTAGCGGCCCGCGCATTGTTAGACCACATCGTGGATGACTCTCAGCATTATTTTTGGTATGCGGCCTGACGTTCAGGGTCCAGCGCGTCTAGCCGAGGCAGGAAAGGCTGGGTAGATCATTGCATCGCACATTCATCAGTCAGCTGCGTCTGCGATCTTACTTGATCTTGCAGTCTTCATCTCACGATGGGTAGATACCGACCCAAATGACTGACGTTGTGCTTGCCCACACTGTCCCCGCCGAGTGCTCACTTTTACACTCCACGATACTTACGCCTTAGTCTTGTCACTGCAATCGTCAGGTCTACACTGCGCGATACAACCTCATGTTGACACAGGAAACAACGCTATGAGTTATAGCCACTTGTATTAATCGCGCGGTGTGTACGATCACAGCCGAAGGTCTAAACATCCGCGTCACAGTTCTACGAGAACAATACTTGTTGTATCATGTTTTTCTTACAAGATCCCAATGGCAATATCTCCCCTAATTCTCGCATAGACCTTAATGTCGGCTTCCAGATCCAACTTGATATGCACCTTTAGGCTGCCTTTTACATCTGATCCATTGTCAAGACCGAACCCCTCATTCGCTTCTTCATCCTCTTCATCATTGCTGTTGCCTCCCTTTTTCGACTTCTTCTTGTTCTTTGGGGATACTGTAGAGGTGGCGGTGTTGCCTAGTTTACCGATTGTATCGCCGGGTCCTCCCTCACGGCCGCCGGTTGCGTTGGAGGCGGTGTCGCCCAAGCTGGTCGTGAATTAGAATGTGGCAAGGGGTTTTGAAAACGTCAAACACGCACTTTTTTGTTAGGTTGTCCGCCATTTTGAACTCAGATTCCGGTGCGATCTCGCTATCAGGGGTTTGCGGAGGAGTGAGTTGCGGTTGTAGTGGGGGTAAAGTTAATTGCGGTATTGTCGCTTTCCTGCGATGCGGGAGTTGTGCTGACCACGCCAGTTCTCACGTCTTCGGTATCGAGGGATTTGAATGGAAAAGTTGGAAGCACTGAGCGAGCATATATTGATTGATAAACCTCCCGACGCAAGGTACTAGACGGACAGGTCCGAAGTGCCCGCATCCACCAGCCGAAGCTGCATCATCGATCTACGGGTCGGCGAGGTGATCCTCACGAGTATGAGTGTTGGATTGGCCATGAGCTTGCATGCGATTCAAGTTTACCCATGGCTCTAATGCAGGAGATGCGTAAAGTGGTCAGCTAATGCTGTAGCTTCGACTACAATTTCTCAAAAGGGTGATCGCGTCTCGCCCAAAGCAGCGTCGCAACTCATGAATTTCCACAGATCAGCCGTATGGGGTTTGTTGTTCGTCATTGGCCCCGGCATTCACTATCGATCATGTCGATCATCTTGGAGCTAAGTGGAGCGGGAACCGGAAGCCATCCGCTCACTAGCTCTCTGATTGGCTTCTGCACTCCATATATGCAGCCACATTGGAATCGTATTTTGATTTTCGTCATGGGCTTCTACGCGAGGTGATCTAGGTGCGTATGGTAGCTTTTCTTTTTCTGGCGTCGTGATGTGGGGTTTACGATAGATACCTAAGCAGTGAGGCCTCATCAGCTAGCACACGCTATACCTTGGTAACTATACACCAAGTCACAACCCTCATGATCGTTTTAGCTTGTTGTTTCCACTATTTGTAACTCTTGAAAGATGGTCTTCGGCCTACTGGCTCTTGTGGGAACAGTTCCCTTGACCGCGACATCCGTTCTCGCCCTACAGAGTCAAACCGAGAACGCGAAGAACGATGCCGCTGCCGACGAAGATGACGACTGGAAGGGCGAGAGGTGCCACATGCGATGCCGAGCGACTGCGAGGACGCCAGAAGACCGCAAAGAGTTGTTCAAGAATAGTCGAATCGTACTTTGTGGAGGGCGACTGTACGTTGAGCTATCGACATACGAAGGACCGGCACATCACCCATTCACCGGATACTATCTGCCTTTCCCAAAGAAGGATTACGAAGGCATTGTATCTACCATCTCAAATGATCCGCCACAGCTCAATTGGGTATATCTAGACACCGACTCGGACATCTTCCAGCTTAGCCATGGACTTCGTGTTGATGCAGAAGAGGGCCAAGCTGGTCCTTGGGATGCCAGGTTTTGCTCGAACGGGGAGAAGCGGTATACTTTCGAGGGTTGGGAGGGGTTTATTGCAGTTGAGACTGAGGGCGAGCCGGGGCTGTGGGGGCTTTGTTTCGACAAGTATAACGATGGCCTGAAGGGCAAGATTCGAGAAGGCCAGAGGACTGTCGAGCTGGAACTGGTACGTGGAGAGATAGAGGGTTGATCGTTGATAGCGCTTCACGATGGTTTGCGCGAGTCTTGAACCGGGCTGCAAGCAGTCGTCAGATCCTGATTTTGGCGTCCACGCTCTGCGTTTCGGCGCGTTCGCAACAAAGGTCTTAGAGACAAGACCAAACAAGCCCGAGCACGCGGGCCATGCTCACAAGCTGGCCGCGCTCTTGTCCCCGATCTTCATATAGACCAGGCACTTGCCAGTCATTGGTCAGAAAAGTGTCCGAAAACAAGTTCATGGGAATGCATCTTGTACATAGCTGCATTTGCTAGACAGGTCTAAGCGTTGTTGAATGCGAAGGATCGAATTGAAGAAGCACGATGTGGCTGACGCGTGTCTCCGATTCGCGATCGCCCGGAGATGACGTAGGCTAGCGCGACAACAAGCACCACAACTTCAGCCTTCCCACGTCTTTATCTCCACTCCGCATCTCCTCACTTGGCAACGTCCAGAACTTCATCTCGCATCTACTATTGCTAAGAAAGAAGAGGCTATTCTCATCTTTTTTGCTATTCTTCTTTTGTCAACATGTGCGACTTCGTGCCTCTTCCGATCGTGTGCTTCCAGTGCGGAACGTATGTAACTCGCCGGCCCAAAGCTTACGCGTTATGCTAACAGTGGACACGCGAAAAGTGACCAAAACCCATGTCATTGTAAGGTCATTGGACCTACTATCGGATTCGTAGTCACAGTGGGCATGGCTGTAGGTATCACCTCAATCGCGCGCGATCAATTATTCATGTTTCTTAGATCTTCTGTTGGCCTGCGTCACTGCTCTGCTGCTGCTGCGCAACTGATACGGGAAAGAGGTGAGTTTTTCGTACACATCTGTAGATTCAGCACTGACCACAGCAGTGTATTGGCTCTGCCTGTGGACACGGGCAACTCAATCAGTAATGCGATACCTATATGACGAGCCCAGGCGACACAACAAAGCATGTGCGACTTTCCTAAACTACAAATTCTTCTCCAACACCTACTTTGCACATAATATCACCTTTGGCCGAGCAAGAGTTGGAAGACTGGTGAGGCGTTGGGGACTTGAACATGATACCCACCAGCAATTAGAGACCTAACCAAACTAATATATACGTACACGATTTCAACTTTCTTTTGGTGACATATATGGTGAGGCATGATACACTTCTCGTGGTTTGCTCGGCTAGGCACACCGTACCACGTCAACACGTGAGGACGCGTTGCTCTCACCTACTCACCTTCACTCTGAGACGTAACGTTGACAAACGAAAAACTTTTTGAGTTTTCCAAATTAGGTCTCGCGATAGCACACTGCTGAATTGTGACGTTCTTTGTCGCTCACAACAAACGATTACCTTGCAGATGTCCAGCGCTGCACTTTCAACTTATTTCAACAGTCACAGAACCAAGAGCGCATGCGAAGACCGGATCGATAATGGAAAGATAACGGAAAGAAGCGCCTGTTTCCACTGGCAGCGATACCTTGTTTTGGACGCGTGAAAGAGCAAGAGGTCCCAGGTCGACAAAACACCGCTTACACGATTGTCGCTTTAAGATCAGTTTCTCTACATAACAGCTGCGCGTATCTACTCCTCCACCACAGCATGAACTTGGAATACGATTCAGAGGAATCTTTTGCCACATTTAATAGCCCGAACCTACCCTCTACTTTAGCTTATAGCACGAACTTCCTCGGTGAGCTAGTTGATTATAAAGTCTTCCCTCGAAAGATTGGTCACAAGATGCCGGACACTAAAGACGTGGTAGTCTGGTCTTTGGAAGGGCTAGGTTACACAAACGACGCGCCGATTGTTTACGCCGATGGCCGAATCAACGACCAGACGCACCCGCCGGACTACTACGCATACAGCCCGCTCGCATACAGTCCGCTCGAAGACAGTTGGGTGGAAGGCTTGCGGGAAATTGAAGATTTTGATTGGTCGAATGATAAAGAGGGCGAGCAGAAACCTGGTATATTGGATAGCAAAATCCATGATGAGGAAGAATTTGACAGTATTGCTGGCACGTTGTGCCCAATTGGTCAAGACAAAGACCGTGATCTTTCCAATGGCCAAGTTGCGCATCTACTTGAACGAACACACTTACCGCACGATCGACCGGGAGATGGAACTTTCAAGTTAAGGGACCTACCATCAGCGAACGATACAGCGCCTGTCGCCGAAGTCACTGACACTGTTGTGTCGCTTCCACCTACCGAGCATGTTGGATTAGATTCGCATATCGACGATGGCAAACATGCTGCGGCCCAAGATTACATGGACATTGATGGCGTATCGATCGCCGCTGCCGCTAGATGTGGTGATATCAGTTCTACGATTGAAGGCGGGATTACTGCACAACAAGGGAAAGTCATGATGCCTGAGCCGGCGGCCTGCCAAGAAAAGCATTTCGCAGGTGGCATTGCGACCGAGATGAAACCTTGTGCCAGCCCAAACCATAACAACGGAGTCAAGGCCTCAACCGTTCTTTACTCGCCAGCTTCTTCATACCACGGTATCCACACTGCGCACGGATCAGACTTGGTGAACCCCGCGCAAATTGCCAAGGCTCCTGACGTACCAAAGAGAGACACACCGATCATTCATGCGCCGGAGATTGGGTCTGAACATACAATGGTCAGTCAAGCCACTTCCTCGGCGCTGAGTGAGGGCTATTCGATTGGTTCACCAGAATCTCCTGAGGCACTATCGCGGAGGGAAGAGAACGTTGATGGACCCAGGCAAACGCAGTTACGAGATGCAGCTGACGACATATCTCCCGTTGGGCTTGCCGAGCTTTTGCCATCGGAATACCATAATCACAACGTTCACTCCGTCAAGCCATACCTGGAGACCGTCAGCGATGAGGTATCTATGCGACACAGTTTACAGCTGAAGGCCCCATTACGAGCCCAGCAATCCAAGGAAAGAGCGTCTCTGCCGCCACTACCTTTCGCGTCTCAGTATGATGCATTAGGTGATGGAAGGTTCGAGATCATAACTGCTGAAGCATCTACAAGCAAAGAGAACACATCTGTGACACAGCTAGCTCAGAGGCCGTCGAAGCTTCCATCTCCATCCAAAGTCGAACCACTTGACGCCAGAGCCGAAGACCAGGTGTTTACACCCGACTTGGAACGAAGCGAAACCGCTGGACGGATACCCAAGAATGATCTTGTAGAAGGCAGTTCGTCTATAGAAGATCAAGACAGGGCCAAGGGTATAGATCCTTCACCGCCATTCACATTGCTTTCAGGCTCTCCAACACCAACTCCAGCACCCGAAGGTCGGACCGTTCACCTTCGCAAACGCTCTAAATCGTCAAGCAATACCAAGAACGCATCAGAGACAGACTCAGATGCCCCACCGAAGAAGAAGGCGAGGAGAGGTACGCCTGCGGAGCCACGTCCTGACGCCGTCAAGGAGAGGAGTAAGGCGCTCAAAGAGCTGGAATTTAAAACTGCGCCATCGTTCGCGAAGACCAGACGTGGCGCAGTCAATTCGGAGAAGGAAATCACTCTTATGGACGAGGCGGATGAAGAATCGCAGAGCATGATTTTGAATAGTGATACGGAGATGCGATGCTCTGATCACGAAGGCAACGATGCCGATATGAAAGGGCACTGTAGCGACGTTGAGGTTCCAGTGACACCCAGCAAGTTCGTTCCTCCAGTTGAACAAGCCCCCAGCCCATCAATATCCAGACAAAAAGTCTCCGACCGTGAGCTTCAAGGTCTCAGCTCAACTCAATACCGTGACCGATCTTCGAAGGCGAAGCGAGACATAATACCTATCTCACGTCAGCTGTTCAAGCTGGACACGCTGGGTAAGCTCGGGCTACGTACGAACGCTTTTGAACAATCACCAGCCATACACGGCAACGACGACAACTCATTCGCTCCTGTTGAAGGTAGCGGTGTTACTGGTAGTACCCCGAAGATGGTCAAACCCCCCATGGCAGAGCCGAAACCTACTTCAGAGCTGATGGAGACGCAAGAGAACTCCAAAGCATTAGCAATGGCTATCATGGAGGGTTCCGATGCTCTTCCTGCAAAGAGACGAAAGAATGAACCTATGGAAGCGGAAGAGGAAGAAGAAGAGTCATCTCCAGCATCCAAGATAGACACAGCAAATCCTGCTTCATTACCAGAACTTACCACGCCTCCAAGAGGACTCTTCACGAACGCTCGCAGAGTAACGAGCACACAGAACGTTGACCAGAACGGGGACGTCACGCCGGCGGCCGAAGATGATCCTGTTATGAGCCATAGTGGTTCACGCGATGATGACTCATCGTCTGGAATTAGCGAGCCTGGAGACGTTGAAGACCTCTCAGAAGAGCAAAATATCCACTTCAAAGACGCACGAGAGACCATTGAGACACCTTACAAAGATGATCAAGCTCATGAAGACTACTCTGACACTTCCGTCCCAGTTAGTAAGAAGCCCCAGCTTGAGAGAAAGGCCTCAATGCTGGGGAACCAATCGCTCAGTCGAACGAACTCCCGCAGGGATACACCAGCATCTAGTGTTGCCTCCCCTAAAGCCGCCCTAGCCAGGAACAAATACGGTTTCAAGCCATGTCCAAAAGGCCCACGAGCACCACGAACACGGGCGGGGTGTAAGGCAGCTGTCAGTTCTGCAGCGCCCACTCCTCTAGTGCCAAAACCAGTACCCGCCCCGAAGGTCAGGGTACTCCCGAAGCGTAAAGCGAAGACCATTTGTAATAACACAAAGGCGGATATGAATGAAGATGACGAAGCGTTACCCTTCGTATCCGATATCACAGCTAAAGGCAAGGCCAAAAGGTCTACCTCCGTAGCTACGGCTACTTCCGGACCATCAAACCAGCCTTCTGTACGTAAAACGCGTCATGCGTCCGCGATGGAAAATCAGAGCAAAACCGCGCGAAGAGAAGAGAGCAAAGTGGTGGAAGATAAAACTAGGACTGCAGGCAAGGCAAGGCAAGGCAGAAAGGTTTGAGAGATGAAAATTGGTACCGGTGGACTGAGCATTGGACATTCGAGAAGACGGTTGGTCTTTGGATAGCTAAGACAACCAAACGTCTTGGCTACCTACGATTGTTGCACAAAAAAGTCCGCCCTAACTCCAAAAACTCCGGTCCATATAATAATCAAGTGCACGTCCGATGAAGTAAGTATTAATCTAATCAGAATCTGAACGGGAATCTGCTCATCCCCAGGTCGAAATCGACATGTTTTGAAACCGTTCTCACTCGAGAATCTTTTGTTGAACTCTACGCTTGGCCATGGCATTATGGCAGCAGCCACCGAATATCTGCCGAGCTAATGTACTATATAAGACGTCTTCATTCTTTCACTGTCGATTCAAGTCGCAATATCAAGTCTACCGATCATACTTCTTACATTCAAACTCAACATCTCTTATTGCTGAAGTTGTGTGATTTTGCACCTCCCCAGCAACATGCCATTCCCAGCTTTTGACCCAGCTCAACACAACTCTCCCGAGTTTACGCGTTACGCTGCTGTCCACGCAAATCCCAAGGGCCCCGGCGATGCACGCCCAACTGCGGAGCAAATTATCAGAGATGAGGGTCTCAATGGCAAGCTTATTGAAAAGACCATTTTGATTACTGGCTGCAGCTCTGGTATAGGGATTGAGACCGTCCGCGCCCTCAAGTTGACTGGTGCGCGCATCTTCGCGACAGTCCGTGATCTCGAAAAGGGCAAAAAGGCCCTTAGCGACATCCTTGAGCCTAGAAAGGTCGAGCTCTCCCACCTTAACCTCAACTCGCTCGCATCTGTTCGCAAATTCGCCGCCGAATTCCTGGCCGCCAGTAACAACCAACTCAACATCCTTATTAACAACGCCGGTATCATGTCCTGCCCTAAAGGCACCACTGAAGATGGGTTTAAACTGCAGGTGGGCACCTGCCACCTCGCGCACTTTTTGCTCTTCCAGCTCGTTAAACCTGCGCTTCTTGCCTCCACCAGGCCCAATTTCCACTCACGCGTAGTCAGCGTAGCATCAATGGCACATCGCTATTTTCCCCTCAAGTTCGACAACTTCCAGCTCCGTCACGGCGAATATCACCCAGAGCATGCCTATGCCAAGGATCCTGTGTTGGCCGCCACGCGAAAAACTCCAGAGCAGGGTGCTGCTACCACGGTGTGGGCAGCTGTGGCGCACGCGTGGGAGGGGAGGGAGGTTTGTATCTGAATAACTGCCAAATAAGTAAGCCAGTACAAGAGGGATGGAGGCCCATGAAATCCGGGTACGTAGAATGGACATATGACCCTGAGGGCGAGGAGAGGCTGTGGGTCATGAGCAATGAACTTGTTGGGTTCAAGGACATGGGAGACGTATGAGGCTACTGGTGTGGATAGTATCGATACCAGCGATTAGAGGATGTTTAGTCTCTGATAACCTTGAGCAGAAAAGTCGCATATTGCACTCTCAGCATGAATGGCAATAGAAGAGGGTAAGACAATCACACAGTGATTCTCTAGCTACTCAGAAAGTATGTATGCAGGGTGCTCGAATGGAAGTTATCTCAGAGCAATCTAAACGCTATCTAGCACACCTCTACTATTCTTGGGCCCAACTTGGCTCACAGCTCAGCTAACAAGAGCGCAAGCACGACTGCAGCACAAAGGGAATGAATTGTTATTTCAACCGTCCCTAATCAGAACTAAGTCATCCACGGAACACGTCTACGCATGTAGGAAGACTTTTGCAAAACTATAAGACGACGCCACATAGAGAGCTGACTGCCGAGCGGCAAGCTTTTGCTCAATCTCACAACAATGCTGGCGGTCAAGCTTTAATTGCTCTATGCTTCCACCCTCAGGCAGTTTGTGCAGGCAGTCGACGAACTTGGTGATCCCGGGTTGCCTCTGCATGGCGATGTTGACAAATATATCGTGAGGCGGAGTGGGTGGCCAGGCGGATTTTGCGCGGATTGCTGACAAATTTACAGTGGGGAAAGGATAGCTTGGTGAGCGCCTGCAGAGATTCCATGGTCATTGCATAAACTACTCTGCTGTATCTACCTACATTCTAGAAGTCGCGTTGTATCCTCCTTTCTAGTCTGCGACATGTTCATACGCGCCATACCTCTACACTAACATATTTCTTAACGCTCTGCCTTGAGCTCTCTGAACTCCTCAAAGTTCTCTCACCGATATTGAAGCAGTTAGTCTGATGCTCATTTGCACAAAGCGGATACAAATCTCTCTCGCACGTATCGCAATACAAGCCTTCCACCACCGAAACAAAATCCGGGCCCCATGAGCGATCCATCGCACACAACTCGCTTGCACTGTGCTCCACATGGTGACTGATCCTCAACTGATCGACGCAGTAGTCTCCCTTGAAGCGAAGCTGTTCGCGTCTCGTCAGCATCTCCTTGATCTCCTCATCTTGCTGCCCCTGTTGAAGTGAGCGCGTGCCCCGGCGCTTAATATCAATGATAGGCTCAGCAGTTGGATCACCGGTCGGCTGGCTCGTCGGGGCCGTACTTGCTGGTGCAGGCTTGGGCGGATTCTCTGCCTGCTCCTCTTTGAACTCCTCCAAATTCTTCGCTGCCTCCGCTGGATCCACGGGTTTGCCCGCCTGATCAGCTGATATCAATCCCGCAACGCCGCCAAAACTGCCGGTACCTGGTAGTGCTCCATTGGGATTCTGTCCTTGCTCGTTCAATTGGTCTTCCACGTCTTTGTGCGCCTGTTCTTCCGCTGCTGCTCGGTCAGCGGCTGCTGCGTCCTCCTGTTTCTTCTTCTCTGCTGCTTCTTTTTCTTTGCGAGCTTGGGGCGAATCTTCCACGGGTGATTTGCCAGGTTGAATCTCTTGGTTAAACAGCTTGTGTTTAGAATAGTCGCAGGTGCGTTCACGGGAAATAGCTTTGCGGGAGGGTTTGAAGAAGAACTTTCGTGGTGGCAGTGTATGTCCGTCTACCACAGCCTGGAAGTCCTTATCGAAGCCTTCGTTTATGCCCTTTTCTTCGTCCACATCAGCCTCCTTGAACTTTTCCAGGATCTTATCGTAGTACGGGATGCACTGCGGTTGCTCGCCGTCAAAAGTTTTGTAGAGAGACATTCGGCCTGGAGCCTGACAGAGCGTTTGGGGGTAATCTTTGAACTGCTCTGCGGTTTGCTCAGCCAGACTTTCCTCAGGGAAGCCAAAGCTTGGGAGGTGAACGGAAATGGCTTGCATGAAGCGGTCGTCGTTGCTGAGCCAAACACAACCCGGTCGAAAATCTGTGTCAGGGACCGTGTTGGGTGAAGGATAATAGAAACCTCCACCGCCCTGCTCCTGGCAAGTTTTCACATAACCGGCGTGCCAGGTTCGCTGGGCGCCCGAAGCACCTGTCACGGTCACATCTAAAGAGTCAGGCGATTAGTTCTCCTGATTGAGCAAAGAGGACGAAACGTACAAGTGACGCAGGTAGCATCGTCAGACCGGGCCTGAATCGTAAGGTACTCTGGCTCGGCCGTCCTTTCTGCTCCATCTATTATAATGAAGTCATTTTGCTTGTTCACTCCGTCCTCAATGAGATCTCCTGATTCTGTGTGGACCCTTAGATTAGCCCTGATTGCCATGAGGTAGACTGCTGAACCGATCAAAACATACCGTGCTTTGCAAACATTTTGCCATGAACATCGTATAAGTAAAGATTCGGCATAACGCCATTGGTACGAGCATCCTCCGTTGCATCAAGCATTGTGGAACCAATACCTATACGGGCTACTGGCTTTTCCTCGACAGGTGCTAATGCAGCAGCCATGGTGATGCCCGAGATGGCGAAATCGACTCCCATAGCAGCTGCGAAGGCCATAATCAATAGCTTAACAAAAGGAACGATTTGATGAGGATGCAATAATGAAGAAGAGACGGAGTATAGGCAAAGAATTGTCGACCGGAAATGAGAAAGTGTGAAACTGAATGCTCCGAAGTTGTTGATGTTGTGAAAGTGTTGTTCTGTCACACTATCCTCTACTGAGGAAGCTATTAAATATTCACGCCTTAAATTTGATGATGTCTCTCTGCACTCTTCGCAGTGCTTGGCGTAGCGATAAATAGTGGCTTATCCGCGAAATGGGCTGTGCTGTCTGAGATCAAAACATGATTTCTAAGATTCTGAATGCGTTGCAAAGGCCTTGAAACATGATTCAACCTCGGCGTAGTCTTCAAATTCGGTAATCTTAGTAGTAGGCAATATTGTTTTTGAGGCCCGGAAGGATCCGCAGACGTTCTTGGCCTTCTTGCTCCAATATACCCAGCCAAGTCGAAGATTAGAAAGACATATCTGAGGTATGGTCATCCGAATTAATCCAAGGTTCAGGTACCGTGGGATTGTTAAGCACTGATGTGAAACTGGAAGCGCGCGTCAATACTGTGCATGCTGACATTTCTGTACTCAAGATAGTGCTGACTGGTACATGCACCATGAAATTCAAAGTTAAAAATAACGCTTAGTCTACAAGACTCAATTCAAAATGTTATTCTGAAGTTTCTTGAGCTGGTAATCGTTATTTCTCGATATGAAACGAAGCGGCGAAGGCTCTGCGAAAGCTCACAAATTCATTGACATTTTGATGTGTTCTAGACGTAAGACCATTTGGAAATCGAGAAGGAGCTACTATTGATCATGTTCCGCTTAATTCCACGCGCCTGAGTATTCGAATGTCGAGATCTTTCAGCGTATCATAATATGGCCATCGCGAACCCCATGGGTTTCTATCATATGCCAGTCGCGGTAGCTCGGGATACGAGCAACCACCGTCTTCTGTGTAGGAGACGAAATACGAGTTATCAGGCATGCCCCTGAAGATGGGCCAGTCGTGATCGATCCCTTTTCCGCTATTCTTACAATCGCATAAGCTCACTGGTTCCACGTCCACCTCGGAACTCCGTTCATCTGCCATGCAGGTGGTAGAGTATTGCAAGATATGAAATGACATCAGGTTCGGAAACAGTCTTAGAAACTGTAGCAATGGGTCCCTAGAGCAGACGACACAATCTGGCTTTCCACAATGGCATTTCAACCAAATGTTATGAAAGCGTGAATCTTCAGTCATGCATGTGTCGAGCGCTAAATGTCGAATGATCTGGGCGTTCGGAAGTATGTGGCCTCGTCGTGTCCATGTCCGAGCAAACCTTAGTTCCTCGCTATAAGCGTGGACCACTCCGATTATGTCTCGCTTAGCGTTAAATCGAAAACTTCCAGTCAATATGTGTGGTTTTTGAGAATATGCCGCCCACTGTCTCGCGTTGGCTTTCATCTCGAATACGTCTGGTAGGATGAAGGCTGTGGCGTCTCTAGCTTCTCGGCAAGTTGAACCAATCCTGCGACTTGCATTGGTGGCGGTGATGAGGTTGCGTAGTTCGTTTATACCATTGCGTAGTTCGTTTATACCATAATTGACCGGTCTCGCAGGAGCAAATTTGACATCTGTAGGCCGCATATACATGTCGGTATCGTTGTCTTCATTCGTAAGATCGATGGCAAGTTCTAGAGCGTACACTCGCGGACTCTCCTCTAACAAACATTCAATCCATATCTGTCGTCGAAGCCTGGAATGGTACCACGATCAGTGCCATGTTGAATGCTTGTTGAGGATAGGAGGCATCTTACTCGTATGGGAGTCTTGGGAATGGATTGAATTCCTGATCGAATGTCGCTGAATTGAATTTGACCGCTTCCTTGGGATGAGAGCGGTTGCTGGTAAGTTTACGGCATAGTGACGGGACGGATGAGAGTGCGCAGCCCATCTTGAACGGAGGGACAGAGGTAGTAGATTTGATGTGCTAGTATCAAAAAACACAATATCGGTGAAGCAGACAGTTCTGCGATTGGAGAGAGGGACGTAGGACGGTCGTCTTGTTGTGAAAACCGACGGCGGATTAGATAGTGAGGGCGGCACACTAGAGATGATGGTGGCAAAGAGTCACAATTAGCGGCGATGTGAGACAGGGCAATAGAACAGGGGGGACCGCGCCAAAATGCAGGAATCACCTCAAGGTGCAGGTGTGGTACGACCTGTGCGTCGCGCCTTACTTAATTTAGCCACCTCCTTGCAGACCTCGGATGCACGCTTCTGGCGAGGTGTTTCAAGGTCTAGAAAACGGCGCTTGCTCTTGTCAGATCACTTAATACACCCGAAACAAGTTCAACAGCATCCATTGGACCACAAGACGATGGCTATTGTTCCTTTGATCCTGCTCTCCACTTCCAAGATCGTCGCACACAGCGCCCGTAACATACCAAGGAACCTCGGATTTAGCGCCCAGCAACACCGCCTTCTGGTCGAGATGACTGTATCTCAAATCTGGTCAAAAACGATGGAATGTGATCTATCTCATCGTCAGGACCGATTCTTTCCACCTGCGTTTGAGAACCTCATCCTTCACGCGGCGAAGCAGATGAGACTCTATTTCGAGCTCATGGATTTTCCATAATCAACAAGCACGAACACATATACCGTGTTATGAAATGTATAAGTACTCCATGTCAAGCAGTGGATATCCATCAGACAACCTCCTTCACTATCCTCCATTTTTCTCTAGCATCGCATTCCAGGGACATACCTCGTTTTCTTTTTTTTTCACTCAGACAAGCTTTTCCACGTTCTCTTATTCATCGAAGTAGACTTCGTGTCGTCTTAAAGATATTTCTTGCCGTTCTAGTCCCTATCAGAACTTTTGCACTTCTTCAAAATGCAGCTGAAATCGCTACTGGTCGCCGCTGCACTGCTCAGTAACTTTGCTTCGCTAACGTACGGGCGAGCAATCGATGTACCTCAATCTGGTGAGCTATTACCTCAAGATACCATACTAGACATGATTACCAACCTGTCACTCATCAGGTATCTCCAGTACGAAGCTTCCTGACACGGCGGGCGTCTACAATGAGATCGAACCCCGCATGCTGAAGGGCCTCAGGAAGAAGTTAGACGATAAACTGAAGGCCATTAGGGAGAGAAAGAAGAAAAATTCGGATGAAAAAGACACTACTGATGGCGCCGAAGCATCTGATGATGTTCCTCTAATGCCTCCACCCGCAAAATATACTGGTCCGGCACCTAATGGAATGGATCAAGAACCCGAGCTATCGGCATGGGTATGTACACGACTCCACCCCTCAAAATAACCATATTGCGTGCAAACCAAGAGCACGTACATATTTAGCACGTCTTTTGCCTCTTTTACGCAGTTTGTTATCTCAGTGTAACTAATATGCTCTAATACAATAGAACAAATTTCTTGATATAGAAGTCAAGGAGGGTCAACTCCCACCGGCCTCTGGTGGATACTTAATGTATTCAGGTGAACGTGAGTATATTTGAACTCCACCTTCAGTTCGCATTTCTTCTTTTCCTTCTTCGTTGTTCTCAACAACGTCAGATTTACTTCCATGTGAGCGAGAACGATCATCAAAGCTATACGACTAACGTCCCTTTGTCTTCTAGTGGTCTCCGGTTTATCTCAACGACAAAAATTCAAGGATTCGGCAGCCGAGGACTCTAATATAGGCTACTTGAATGACTGGCATGATACATACCATGGCACAGCTGCATTCTCGATGTGGGCCGACTATCAGAAGGCGAACCCTGCCAAGTTGCACATACCCAACTTTGCACTATCCTTTGCTCAGGCTCGTCGAGCCGCGGATTCTAAGCCTGAATTGCACATGCTATTCAGCGACAAAGAAGAACCATTGATGCGAGACCAGAGTTATTGGGGTGCGGTCGAGGCTGGCATTATCACGGGTCCTGACAGCAAAGTTAATAAGATTTGGAGATATAATGCCGACGAGGTGTATGCAGGAGAGCCATTGCCACCGCCTATCTTGGCCTGGGATAGAAGCCTGCATGCGCCGTTTGGGAAGAAAATTGATGAGATCGATTGGAGGATCAACCCAAAGCCTGGGCCGGGTGCACCGGACAACGAATTGAGGACCGCTGCACCAAAGGTCGAAGACTTTTAATCCAGTAGTTTTGAAAACATACCGGGAGGAGTGTAGCCACCATATTGCTAGTGTTGGCTAGTTTTGCACGCAATCGAGGCTTACACGGCGGGATCGTGTGAATGACAGAAGGTTGTGTTTGGCGACCTGATTCCTCTTGGTGGCGCTAAAGCTGCCGTAGCTTTAGTGTAGATAGTCAGTCTTTTTGCTTCTCGCTCAGATCTGTCTGTTCTTACCGTTGTCAAATGCATAGGTACCTTTCTACCTACCACATCATTCCATATACCAACAGCCCAACCACATAACAGACCCAACGACTTATAGTAAAGTCCGTCTATAAATCGATGCAATCTCTTCATTATTCAACATGAACTGCCAAAGTTAGAAGTGAGCGTTGAAACCCCTCTTTGACCTACTTCTAACAATTTTATAGTAGAAGAAAGTATGGCAAGATCTCATCTATGCATCTCTAGTCCTAGTGTCTACACGGTGCTGGTTTCGTATCAAGGACGCATGCCATTATCCGGCGTAATTAGTCCTGTTGCAGGGTTCTATCCCGCAACAGTGCTGAATCCAGCTCCCAATAAAAGTTCACTTCCGGACGCGCTAGCCGTCCCATTTTTTGTTACGACTGGTTCTCGAGTACAAAGCTGCCAAAATTTACCTGTAAGATATAGCCTCTACAACGAAAGCGGGACCACACTCTATGCTAGAAGACTGGAAAGCCTTATAGCTTTCAAACAATTCTGGGTATCCGTTCCAGACACTGTTGAACTTGCATGCGTTTGAGGTCGCCAGAGACGAAAGGCGGCGTCCTCGCCATGACATGACCACAAAAGGTAATACGGACACGTGGATCGATCTTGTGTTTTGAGCTCAAAATGCTGCTAAAATGGTTGTGAGGCTGGATTAGGTGGTTAGCTAAGCAATGCCTGAACTGCGAAAACTGTTCCCTGTTTCGGGAAACTGGCAACAACATAGCATCAGTAAATATGACAGAGCGAACGAGTATCCTAGTTCTCAGTGATTCATGGCCGCATGTACTAGTTCCAAGGATTCAAGACTTCAAGTATTTTGCTGCTACTGATTCACGTAGCAAAAGCTACGGCCAATCTGAAGCGATTCCTTCACACCATGTACCTCTTGCGCAAGCCCTCGCCAATCCACCAATTTGATTACGCTCATCCTGCCGTCCGCCAGCTCACTGCTTTCTCAGTCGACTTTCCACCATTGAAGCCACCCTCCTCGTACGGGCAGCATCTCACAGCGACAACCGTGGCCATCAAAACCTCCAACTCTTTGAAGTCACCCGGCTTGCTAGAGTCCTTCCAAACTTTGATTGTGTAGTATGGCGTGTTCTGGAAAGCGTTGAAGGGTCGTGAACTTGAAACCATTCGAATTCCGCGTCTGGGTCAACGTTTTCCTTGAGATAGGTGGTCATGGCTTCGGCAAAGTTGCCTGCGCAACTCCTATGCTCAGCTTTCCCAATCTCTGCATAAAGCGCAGGGTTGCAGGCCATGTACTGTATATCGTACAATTTGACTCTACCTATCTTCGACGACCTTGAACATCTTCTTCGCGTGATTGGTGTATAGGTACTGCCCAACGGCCGGAGGGGCTTGGCTGCCAAAGAACCATCTGGTATAAAAAGTCGAGAAATGCCCACATTTTGTATCGGAGGAATAATGAGCTCGCCATGCCATCATGTCAACGACTTGTTTCCCATGCAAATCGATGATGCAAAGGTGAGAGCCTGCCTTGACAGTGAAAGCATAACCACGCCCAGCTGGTACTACTTGTGTTTGCGCCGCACCCTTCAGGGCATTGGGAATAGTGGAGACCATTGTGCTGGGCAGAAAAGTAAATAAGACACATCGTTTTCTCGACGTCACGATAGAGGGTTCCAGATGCAACTGCATAAGACGAAGTGAATCCTCCTTTTATACTTATTCTGTATACAGGTAATGCCAAGAGCATACGTAAGACCACATCTTCCAAAGCTTTGAAACTTCGCACCCTACCCCAATGACAGATGAAATTGCCTGGAAGTGATGGCCTGCCTTAGGACACTCATCGAAAATGAAGATACCAAGCGAAGTCTTGAATCTCACTACTGGTATCAACTAAGTGATGGACAAAACAATCTCCACACGTTTGCTTCTGCGTTACTTGTCTAGCAACTTCCTCGCCAGTCATAGTCAGCCGCTTTGAGGTCATATTAGGAGCTGCATATCGATAAGTCGTGGAGAACTCATTTGACTACCACACATCTGCCAAGACAAGCGAAGATGACCTTAAGGCTGTTATATCCGGAAGTTGAGTTATCTACCTTGCAATGTACTAACTACACATTACATGGTTCTACTACGTAGCCCTGCAATTGACAAATTGTGTCTTTATCTGCTATCTCCGTGACTGTTATACTGATGATACATGGCCTAGGATTGATGAGGAAGCCAAGCATCATGTGCTGTACATCCAGGACGCCATACAACCTTCCTTTCACGCCCGCCCCCCTGACCGCATGTATCTTCATTTTATGAATGCATTGTTCGATTGCTTGTTCATGGTCAAACAAACCGAGAGCCTGTGTTGTTATACGATCGGTAGTCTCGCTTTTATGCCGACTCCCAAATCTTCTCCATGCATGATGCCATCGATATATACCTCGCCTTGTAGCACGAATCCGTTAGAATTTGGTACCGAGTTCAATATTTGATCGTATTTGTCTTGTAGTTCCAATCTCCTTTCGTCGAGTCTTTTCAGTTTTTCTTGTTGACGTCCATACCACAGGGCATCGAATGGTTCCCAGATAGACGGCTTCCTTGCTGTCTGCAATTTCATCTTTATCTCGTAGTATCTCTGGTCATTCTCATCAAGTTCGAGTCGGAGCTGTCGCGCTCGGGATCGCCGGTCTACTTCCAGTAGTGTGAAGGCGTACGGGATATCTGCACCGCATACTAGTAGTACGGGTTCACCACCTACTAGCCATTTCGGACCATAACCTATACGTCCTCCTATTGTGAAGAAGACCTTTCGCCAGGCAAGTGCTGACCTGGCCAATTTTGTGAGGTGCGTGTGAACATCTGGATCTTGAGGCTCGAACAACCTGGATTGCAGCTTATGTTTTGTGCTGGGCGTGTATGGTGGTAAAGAGGGAAATTCTGGGCTCTCCATGTACTTCATGTAACGTTCCATGAACTGCATTCCATCGTGCAATTCATTGGTGGCTCTTTCAAAACGAGTGCTTGTCTGTGCACCTGTGGTCTGAGCATCGAGCTGTCTTGCCTCAGACATTTCATGTAGAAATTCTACGTGTATGTCCATGTCAAACTTACGTGAAGTTTTGGACCACTCTGGCCATGGCTGGTCTGAAAAGGTCACCAGGACTTCTTCGAAGAGATTGAGCAGGTCTTCCATGGTCTTGTTCCTTTGTTCATGATAGTTGATCGAAAGATCTGCGAAGCTGTCACTGGTCATGCTTTTGTAGTCGCAGCGTCGAGGACTATTCTCGTATTGCTTTTGACGCTCCAATTGTAGTTGGATGAAGACAGCAGATGCCAAAGTATGACAAAGCCACGAAGGCGCGTGCTGATATAGTTGGGGGTAATGTTGTTCCTGGCCGCCTAGGAGAACACGACTCAAAGCATTAATAGCAGACACTTGTTTACCATGCATCGTCGAATGGTTCAGTAGCGTGACAAAAAGATTCCGCAGTTGTTGTGGCGCGAAAGTGTCGATGAAGTCGTCATCAATGATGAACCCTTCAACTTGGTCACCAATTTCGACATCCAGATATAAGATTCTCCCATCATGAGCGATCTTAGGAGGCTGCCTACTCGCGCCACCTGCATGGAAATCAGAATTCTTCTGTGCCACGAGAAGTTCATTGACGTGAGACTAAGCGATTAGTGATGGTTCTCAAGATTGAATACGTGAAACATACTGTCCATGACCCGGGCACGGGTGCCCACGACGGAAGGTCCCCGTGGAATGAATGGTCGCTTGTTGATATCCACCAGTCAGAATCGTACGCGCTAGGACGGCTCGTACGTGCTGCAATCGAGAGTAGCTCACGGGTACCGGACTGCGTTAGTAAGCAAGCAGCAGTATTTATAAACACTTCTGCGTTACCAACGGTGTAGTCCGCTCGTAGTGCCGACCACAGACCGTTAGGAATTAGGGAAGGCGATTTGATAGATGAAGTAGGTTTTCGTTGGTAAAATGATCGATCAATTGCCTTAACACCGAAAGGAGGTATGGTTTGTGGATCGTACTTGTTGCGTGTAAGGACGGGGACTGGTTTCGTTGTCATTGACTTGGATTCCTCCAGCAGGATATCCGTATCGATCAAGAGGCCCTTGGGATCAACAAGGGATAAACCCGCGAAGACCAGATCTCGAATATCTGTGGCTGATCGACCTCTACATGCTAGCATCCATTCTAGGAGAGTCCACATTCTGCCTTGCTGAAAATGTTCGCGCGCTTGTAGCATCATCGGGGCCTAGATAACATTCAGTGATGTTTCGACATAGGTTTCAAAACTGGCCTTGTTTACTGTAAACTTTGGTCGACTGATGGACTTACTATAGACAGTTTCAGCGATGACTCAAATGTTTCTGGGGTCTTGGTAGTAGTTCACATACCGTAGAAGATCTGGGGCATCCAGACTGGACCGAATTTGGATCCCCAATTCCTCAGAAACCGGAACTTTCCATGTTCATCTTTTCCATCTGCTAATGGCGGCCCGAGTATAGAACTCATGAGGTTTTCAAATGAATGGTCTAGCGAACGGACAAACTCCTCAGCCACCTCGAAGCTCTTGACGATACTATCAACGCTTATCTCTGTTTCTCCGATAAGGTAAACAACCTGCTTGGCCCAGCAAAGCTCCTGTACAACCCACGTCCGTATGAACCTTAATTTAGACATGAGACGTCAGATAGTGTTCAACAGCTTATCTTGACATGGATATTGCGTACCATTGAGACCAAGTGACAGTAGCTGCACCTAGGATCGCGAAACGATAGTACTTTGCAGGTATGCCGGCAGTTGTACCTGTGGAGATTATCTGATCCTCCCGACAATTCCAATATTCTGCAGGCGGCATTGACGCTCGATCTGTTGACCCAGCGAAAACGGCGATGGACATTTCCGAGAGCTTTGACATCTGTCCGAGCCATACTACCACTGATTCAGCTTCGCGATAAATTCGACCCATGAGTTGGACTTGAGACGCTCTTTCAGCAAGATCGCTAATCTTGTCAGCAAGCATTCACGTAGGACTTATCTTCCTTGGACTCGAGGGTACCTTTGATTGATACATATAGCATCGATCCAGTATTCACCTACAGATCTTCGTCTCAATTGGACCAGTGCATTGTACATATTAGGATGGATCTTAGTGACTCTACCGTTGCAAATGACCATATGTGAGCGTTTAAGCTCACTTGTGTTCTGCGTAGGTTTGATTTTGACGTCCTTACCCTGTCGGTAATCTTTTATAGCGCTTTTGATGAGGAAATATGCTGCGCGAAGCCAGGTGGTATCTTGGTTCCAAGTGTACGAAAGCGCTGTGTAGTTTGGCTTAGAATCCAAGTCAACCTGACGTAAAGAGCATCGGATGATAGTACTCGACGATGCAGCTTCTATCTTTAGCAGTCGAATCCACGTGGGTCCAGGCAAGGATTGGTACTCTATGTCAGTCGCGCCTACCAAGAACCACTCCTTGCAAGCCCGCAGAATATCTGCGCTTCCATGTAGACCGGGTATCAGAATCCAGCAAAATTTTGGTAGATAAAACAAGCCTCCGAAATGATGATCTTTAAAGTAAAGGATGATCAGGCGGATGTATCTCAAGAGGAGATATAGAAGTCTAACAAAGGTTGGTTGTGCCATCCTACCTAGGCAGGACCGTTAGGGTAGATTCTTCGACGAACTCTATCTTCCGAGACGTGCAAAATCGCATAGCCTCTTATATGGTATCAGTAAAACTACCCCGCTTTTGCTTTCCACGATAAAGCCTGGTTGCAGCCAATAGGGGTGGTGTTGTAACATGCGTCACAAGGCTGCATAACGCTTAACCGACACCGGACTGGACATAAGCAACACAGATTCCAATGTCGACGTTGAGCGCCACGGTTCAATGGCTTCGGTCGCAATCAATAAAATTTATAAATAAGTATATATACAGCTGCATACTGTAAAGCTAAGTAAATGTTTAGGGACACACTTCTACCGCGATACAATACAGTGTAAATCAACAGCGTTGTACCTGCGTCTCATCACCAGCACGTCCATCACATCAATAAGCAACACAGATGAACCGTAGGGAACAGGTCAAGCAGAACTGGTCGAACAAGTGAGCAAATCCTAAATGTTCTGTAGTCGCACCTATCAGCTATGCTCTACAATGATTTTAGAGCCCTGTGACAACGTTTTCCACCTCGCAAGAACAATGAGATTCGGCCACGATGCTTCTATCTCAGGAGGCCAGCACTCCCTCGGAAAACTTCGCTCCAGCATCTCTAGATCATCTGGTTCGTAAGGTGTGATGTATTCGTCCCAGTCAGCTTCCTCGATCTCCTCGCATGACATGGCCAGGTCGTACAGTGTTAACATGGTAGTCAGTCGGCCGCTGGAGTCATGCTTGGGTCCAGGCAAGCTGTTGGGTTCATGTGGACATTCGTTTGGTTCAATGTCGCGCCAGGGTTTAGGATTCATTTCCTGATGTAAGAGTGATATTTCAGTCAAGGTAGGAGATGGTGGAGCGGCGCTGTCTGAAGTGTCGAGAGAGTCTGCCATATCAATAAATGCTTCTTGTTCTTCGGGGGTTGAGAAGGCATGGTAGCGTGGGATTCTGTGTTTTGGCGCTGGAGTATTCGTCATGGCGGGTCGAGTGGAGACTAAGATGGAGATGAAAGATAATGCAAGATGATGAGGCCTCTGGTAGCAGAGAAGGAGAAACATAAAAGTCGAGCTAGAGAGCAAATGTGTCAAGATGACTGAATTGAAAAGTATCGTGAAGAATCAATAAGATGCTGTGACGTTGCCGCGTTTGGCATTCAATACGCCTTCGATCGCCGTTGTATATCATTCACTATATCTTACTGGACACAGGTCCATCATCTGTAGCCAGGATATCACATAACCATTCGGCTGCTTTATCAGCCATGGGCTGTGGAAACGCGTGTTCTACGCCCTCGAACAGCACATCTTCAAAGACAATGTCGAGACTCGAATCTTCGGCTAATACCTGTTTGAAGATCTTGTAGAAAGGCTCACCAGCCGAATACGGAACGAGCTTATCCGCCTGACCACTGAGGTTTAGAATCCGCTTGCCCTGGAGTTTCTCCTTGATTAGCGCTTTCATCCTGGTTAGCTGCGCTTGGTCAGGCGGCGTGTCATCTCCTAGAGGATTGAACATGCCCGGCAACAGTAAACCTGCAGGATCGTACTGGGCGATGGCATCCTGTAGCGCCTGTGGGAAGTCTGGAGAGCCAAGGAACGCACTGCCAGGCGGTGTAGTGTCCTTGTATGTCTTTCGCTTGGACAGACGCGCGCGATCGGTTAGCAAACGCGTATAGTCTGGACAACCAATGCCAACGACTCCAGCAGTGATTCGCGGATCCCCAAGCAAGCAATGCCAGGTCGCGTGCCCACCTAGCGAGATACCAAGAGCGAAGTGTTGTTGGATCTTGGGACTGTCCTTGGCCGTGAAGATGTAGGATTCGAGATGGTTGATGAGTTGCGAGGTGTCGGTTGCTGTGCCGTGGAAACAGCCAAACATATCCTGTGCATGCGTCTCATTTCCTTCTCTCCAAGCCTGATTGTGCAGATCGTCGACTTTGCGTGATCCGTGATTGCGCTGGTCAAAGGCAGCGGCGATCAGACCTTTAGGACGCATGCCGGCGCGACCGTCTTGTACGCGCTTGTTCCAGGTTGAGATGACGCGCCTGGCTATCGGAGCCATGGTCTCTTTGGTCTGTAAGCGCGGATTGAGGAGCCATAGGCATGCGACTGATGACGGGGATGCGGGTAGTTCGTCTAGGCCGTGGACGTCGACGAGGATGCCAGCAATTGTGATGGTCTTGGAGGAGACGGGGAGGTCGGACGAGTTTTGTGTCCCGTGCAGGGGATTCGTGGTCGCAGCCATGGTGAGTTGGGAATAATGGATATGATGAAGAGGGCTTGGGCGGTTAGCGCAACCGGGGAAGAAGATGTGAGGCTCTTCGTCTCTTGTATCTTGTGATGCGAAAGCGGAGGGGCAGCACCTCCGGAACCGAGGCTGCCGTTGACGGCAGAACTACATCATTGTCTAGCATACTTGACAACCACGCGGTTTGCTGGTGATAGCGCGTAGGCATATAACGCGAGTTTTACAGCAGTATGGGATGACAGGCCATCATGTGTACGGGTGGGAATCCGGTACGCTCGTATTTAGGAGTCTCGGTGGTACGGTGCGGGGTGCAGCCATGGCGTCAAGAGCACGAGGGTGATATCATATAATTTGCTTTGCCCCCCAGTGGAAGATGCAGTGCATGCAAAAGCGACATAACAAATATACCCGAGTCGATTACAGGTATATGCATGCAGGGCGCTGCGGAGTGCAGTGCGGTGGAGCTTCAACACATTGCAGGCGGTCAGCAAGGCGGAAGAGGGCCCCTGACGCCAAAAGTGTTAGCGCATCCAGACAGTTCACTGGGGAAAGCACCTGGGAGATTACTCGAACCGCGCAAGGACCCAGCCAGACGTTCACGGATCAGCTGCGCCGCGTGTACTCTTTTCTTCCGACTGCTGATGACATAGAAACATTACTACCAACTCGCTTCCACCTGCTCGTGGCCAAAAATACCCATCAATCCCATCGTCACGAGTGACGGCAGCAGGTTTACTGTCAACACCATGGCGCTGTAAACACCCACAAGCTGAGCAACCACAACCTTCCCCCACGCGACCTCGCCGGAACAAGACGCCCCAGATTCCCCTTCGTTTCCCCGTGCCGTCATCATCATCGTCACCACCATGGCTGGCTCTACCAGCTCCTCGCCCATGGCACGCAGTCCTCGGTCCAGATCGCCGGCAGTCTCAGGAAGGACAGATGACTCGGGTCGACTGCTCCCTCCTCTTGGAGCAGGCCAGGCCCGGAATGAGACACAAGACATACACAACCCAGCACCTTCAGACGGCGCCCCCAAAATCATGCGATCCGCCCCAACAGGCTCGCCCTTGTCCACCAAAGAAGCCGGTGAATTTCCTTTCAATGCGCCAACAAATGCGAACGGGGCTAGTATCCCGCTCGGAACCGCTGAAGCTCCCCTCCGCGCCACGAAACCCTCGTCCCACATATCCAATGGCTCCTCCAGCTCCTACTACCCTCCCTTCGCGCCCATGTCCCGACACCCCACCGAGGGCGAGCTCTCCGACGCCCCGCGAGAACGCAAGAGCGTGCAGTTCGCTCGTTCGGCCACATTCACATCCGACCCGCCCGCAGCAAACTCGCGGCAGCAGTCATGGGAGGTGGAAGACGGCGAAGGAAAGGGCAAGGAGCGGAGCACACAGAGCTCGTCCCTCATGGGCAAGCTGAGGGCACTGGCAGCGCCCATCCAGGGACACGGCCGGAGTCTGAGTGCTCTGACAGGCTCTGGCCAGGAAGGCGGCTCACCTCACGGCCAACTGTCCCCAACATCCGAGCTCGATGAGCCGCGATACGATAGCGAGGCTGACGCTGATGGCGAATCAAGCGCGGGCGAGGGTGCTTTGAGAAGACCGAGACAGAAGAGGCGGAAGAGTAGCCGGCGTTGGTTTGATGGCGAGGGCGAAGGCACACAGACAGCCCCTACCACGCCCAAGCAGTCCACCGGTGGCTTCTTCTCGCGTGACTCACCCAACATGACACCCACCTCGACCCGTCCGGGCTTCCTACGCCGATCGACCATGGATGACATACCCGAGAACGAGCGCCAGGGCTACTCAGAGGACGAAGGCCGTTCGCGCATCGCAAAGGAGAGCGCCTGGACACGCGGACTGCACAGTGCGAGAGGACTTTCATACGGAGGTCTCCGGAGACACGACCCTAACGCCGAAGAATCTGAAGGACAGAGTCGACCTACGGGCAACTTGCGAAGCTTGACTACATTCAGGGGTGCTGCTGGCGAGAATGGACAACCCTCACCATGGCGCATGCGTAGCGAGCGAACGTCAAGTTTGAGCGCGCAAAAATGGAAGTCGATCAAGAACAGCCTCAAGCTTCTGGGCAACCGTCAAAAGGTAGAACGCCAGATCGACCACGCAAAGTCCGCTGAGCTCATGGCCGAATTGCTTGCAGGTGCGCCTGCAGCCTTGTTCTTTGCGAGTATGTTCCAGCGCGATGAGCATGGTCACCGAAGAATACCAGTCCTTCTTGAGCAGCTCAAGGTCACCATCACCGACACGGACCGCCCTGCCAAGAAGGAGGGCGATCGCCACACTGCATTGCGTATCGAATTGGAATACGGTAGCGGTCTGACTAGGATGAAATGGGTAGTCTACAGGAGTGTTGCCGACTTTGCAAATCTGCACCTGAAATTCAAAGTCCAGGAGAAGCAGGACGCCTTCCGCAGCCGTCCGGCTAATCGTATGCGAGAAATCAAGGACAAGGCCGCCAAAGACGGCGAGAATGAAAAGGAGGAAGAAAAAGAAGATCCGCGGACGAAGCTCCCGCGCTTCCCCAGGAGTGTCTTGCCCTACCTTCGGGGACTCCGCGGCTATGGCATTCTAGACGACGAAGGCGAGGAAGAAGAGGAAGAGGTTGCAGTCGGCGGAGCAGCAAGCGGACCCGAGGGCGACGCAAGCGCTACTGAACGACCAAATAGACCCAAGCGGGGGAAGTCATCATTCCTTGGACGTAGGCAGTCGAGCGTAAGTGGAAGCCAGGCCCAGGGTGCTGTTGGTGCCCTCGTAGCGAGACAAGGCAGTTTTGCTGGGGCCGCTGGTCAGCCTCTACAGGCGAAGCAGACCCATCATGACCGGCAACGGAAGAAGCTGGAACAGTACTTGCGAGGTCTCATGACCTATCTCATCTTCCGCCCTGACAGTAATCGCCTTTGCAAGTTTCTCGAGCTGTCTGCTCTTGGTGTCCGCCTAGCGGCCGAGGGCGGCTATCACGGCAAGGAAGGTTACATGATGATCAAGTCTTCAAAGGGCGTTGACAATAGGAAAGGCTGGACTAAGATAGCCATGATGAACCGTCACTGGCCGAAATGGTTCTTGGTAAGGCACAGCTACGTTGTCTGTGTAGATTCACCCGAGGAGATGAACGTCTATGATGTCTTCCTGGTCGACGCAGACTTCCATCTCGACACTAAATCCGCTAGGATAAGAGACAAGAAAGCCAGAGATCTTGCAAGCGAAGCGAAGGCATCCGCAACAGGTCATCACCAATTGAAGCTGGTCAACGCTGAACGCAAGATGAAGTTGCTTGCTCGCAACGAGAGGATGCTCCATCAATTTGAGGAGTCCATTAACTTCATGTCACAGAACACACTATGGTCTCAACGCCAGCGCTTCGACAGCTTTGCTCCTGTGCGCAAGAAGATCTACGCACAATGGCTTGTAGACGGTCGCGATTACATGTGGAATGTGTCTCGAGCTATCAGTATGGCGCGGGATGTCATCTACATTCACGACTGGTGGCTCAGTCCTGAACTCTACCTGCGTCGCCCAGCTGCCATTAGTCAGAAGTGGAGACTAGACAGACTGCTCCAGCGCAAAGCACAGGAAGGTGTCAAGATCTTTGTGATTATGTACCGCAACATTGGCGCCGCTATTCCTATTGACTCTGAGTACTCCAAGTTCTCTCTGCTCGATCTCCACCCGAACATTTTTGTTCAGCGGTCGCCAAACCAGATCCGCCAAAACACATTCTTCTGGTCTCATCATGAGAAGATTTGCGTTATTGACCACACTGTTGCTTTCTGCGGAGGTGTTGACCTTTGTTTCGGTCGTTGGGATACACCACAACACGTTGTCGTTGACGACAAGCCTACGGGCTTCGAACTCGATGATACACCCAAAGATGCCGACCACTGCCAGCTGTGGCCGGGTAAGGACTACTCCAACCCCCGTGTGCAAGACTTCTTTGCTCTCGACAAACCCTACGAGGAGATGTACGATCGCTCGAGAGTCCCAAGAATGCCATGGCACGACGTTGGTATGCAGATTGTGGGTCAACCAGCTCGCGACCTGACCCGTCATTTTGTACAGCGGTGGAATTACCTGTTGCGCCAGCGCAAGCCCTCCCGACCCACGCCCTTCCTTCTTCCACCACCCGACTTCAACCCAGCCGACATCGAAGCTCTTGGGCTGGATGGAACTTGCGAAGTCCAGATTCTACGTTCTGCTTGCGCTTGGTCGCTGGGTACGCCTAACAAGGTCGAGCACAGCATCATGAACGCATATGTGCAGATGATTGCCACTTCCGAGCACTTTGTTTATATCGAGAACCAGTTCTACATCAGTAGTGGCGATGTACTGGGAACGAAAATCGAAAACAAGATTAACGATGCGATTGTCGACCGCATCAAGCGCGCACATGCCAACGATGAGGATTGGAGAGCATGCATCATGCTTCCGCTGATGCCTGGTTACCAAAACACTGTCGATGAGCAGGAAGGCAGCAGTGTTCGTCTCATCATGACCTGTCAATATCACAGCATCTGCCGTGGCGAAGGCTCCATCTTCGGACGGTTGCGAGCTGCTGGCATCGAGCCGGAAGATTATATTAACTTCTACGCACTCCGATCGTGGGGCGAGATCGGACCGAACAAAATGTTGGTTACAGAGCAGTTGTATATCCACGCCAAGATCATGGTCGTTGACGATCGAGTTGCCATCATTGGTTCCGCAAACATCAACGAGCGGTCTATGCTGGGATCGCGAGACTCTGAGATTGCCGCTATCATCCGCGATACTGAGCTACTCGATTCGTACATGGGCGGCCAGCCATACAAGGTCGGCAAGTTCCCGCACACGTTGCGCATGCGCCTCATGCGAGAGCATCTTGGTGTTGACGTTGACTGTATCTCTGAAGAGGAGATGCTCAGCCAAATGTCTGATGCCGATAGTGTCGGCTTTCAGACTGAGTCTTCTGGACCTGGATCGCCAACAGCCCAGCGTGCGACCGAAGAGAAACTGGAAGAGAACCACTCCAAGATGCAGGATGAGCTTATTCAGAAGGCGGAGAAGCTACACAGCTTCAACCATGACTTTGACTGGGCGCAAGACCACAATCCCCATCTACAAAGCACTAAGAAGCCATCAGCGGATCCTCGCGTTCAACACAACTCCGCACATATGAAGGATGTTCGTGGAGAGGGCGCTGACCATATGCGTGAAGCTGTAGAGACACGTCCTATCACGACCTTAGCCCGGGACTCGTACATTGACGAGCATGGCCATGAAAAACTCGTAACCGACGTTGCTGCGGAAGGTGCTGCAGCTACGCCACGTAAGAGCGCGACGCTCAAGACCCGAAAGCGTAGTGGTACCACTGGTACGCGGAATAGTGCCATTAGCACACAAACTGACGGAACCGGTTATGCCGGCCTCCCGCCTCCTAAGTTACCCCGTATGGATACGCTGAAGCTAGGCTTGACACAACTCAGTCAGCTGCCTGCTTTGCCGCTTCTGGATGATACCGATATTGGTGGTCCACCTGCTCTGCAACGAACTGTCAGCCAAGGTTCCTCCTCAATCATCAATCCCTTTCTCTCGGAGATGCGTCGACCCATCGTCACCGAAGACTGCATGCGTGACCCCATCAATGACACCTTCTTCCTTGACACTTGGCATCAAGTTGCAGAGAACAACACAAAGCTGTTCCGCCAGGTTTTCCGCTGTATGCCCGATAACGAGGTCCGGACTTGGAAAGAGTACCAGGAGTATGCTGCATTCTCGGAACGCTTCACCAAATCTCAAGGTGGAGACAAGAGCCAGATGCACAAACAGCAGGATGCACCAGGTACAACTGGGCCGCCTGGGACCGGCCTCACAAGCAAGTTCACCTCGGGGGCTGGTGCTGTCGGAAAGCAAGTCGGAGCCCTAGGCGAGAAACTTACCGAGAGGATGACCAACAACTCGGACCGAGTGAATGGCGAGAGCATACATAGCACGACCCACCACTCTAGCATGGGTGGAGTGGAACAATGGGCCAACGACCAAGAAAAGCGCGTGCAATCTCAAAGCCCGCCTCCACCCACTACGCGCGGTGGCCTTCACGTCGAAACAGCATCTGGATCTACTCTAAACGAGAAGCTAGCCCCGGAACCCGCTGACGATGCGGTGGTATCGCCTATGAACCCCGCTCCACCAGAGAAGACGTTTACCTTCCCTGCTCCACCCCCCATCCCGAACGACCACACCTCCCACACGGACTTTGCGACTCAAAACGCAAACGGACCACCGCAAACATCGCACTCGATGCGCGACCGCTCCCAACGCGTCACCATTTCCGAACCCCCGATCCACCCTTCCGCCCTCCCCGGGAACCAATCCCACAACCAAAACAGCAGTACGCCCAACCGCTCCAACACTAAACGTTCCCGGCGTCGCGCGACGACGAAGAGCTCGAATAGGCAGTTCCACGCGACAGATGCGGATAGCATGTTGGATAAGGAGGATGCGAAGCGTCTGTTGGAGTTGGTGCAGGGACATATTGTGCTTTGGCCGTATGATTGGTTGGAGAGTGAGGAGAGAGGGGGAGGGTGGTTGTATAATGTTGATCAGATTGCGCCGTTGGAGATTTATAATTAAACGAGGGCAGAGGCGGGTTTGTGTGGAGGAGAGAGAGAGAGCAAGACGCAAAGTGGCTGCGAGATGTTGTTTACAGCGTGCGTGGGCGATGGGAGTTGAGTGGGAGTATTCTAGTTTCTCTTTTTCTCTCTTGTTTCCGCTTTCATGCTGTACTGTTTTCCTCTAGTTTTGATGGCTGGTTTGTTGCATGGTTGGGGGTAGGTTGGGTGGGAAGCATTATACTGCGCCGTCATTTGCATACATACATACATCTCTTTTCCCTTCTCAATAATCTTTTGTCTTGCACAACTTCCCTCATGTCTTTCTCTTTTTCTTTTTTCTTCCTAGTGTCGATATTTACACCATTGTTTGCATGTTGCTTGGAAAGTTGGGGGTTGGCAACAATTATAATTCATAGATCTAGATTCAAGAACGAGTTTAAGTGATTCTCCTTCTCAAGTCATACTTGTATCGTCCACAGTCAAGCGGAGTCTCTCGCACTCTCTTGCACTGTCTAAGATGATTGAGATGGGAAATTTAGGCCTGCACATATAGTCTATCTCTGAGGATAAAACATGTCTGATAACGACGGAACGATTGCAACCTGCCAACACTACGAGATCCATTTTCACCTGGTGGCGCATAAGAATCTGTGATGTTGCTACAGTGTCGTCTACTAGGGCCGATCTTAGTGGGTACGTTAGCGTCGCAATGCGCAAGCAAATCGTTGGAAGAAGGTTGTTTACACGTTAACGGTGGATTGCTCAGTACATAGAGAGGCCAACAAGACACAGCGGTATCTCTTATACAGGATAATTTGTTCTAATCGTATGACCACAATCTCGCACGGTAGTATACTGTTCCACAAAGTCACACTTGGCAGCTTGGCCCAGAACTAAATATCCGTCATAACTACCTATTTTGTTCCCACGAGTAGGTATTCGTCGAACTAATCCCTATAAAGAATTCATTTTCGCCAAGAATCAACGTGATCAAGCAGAATCCGCATGTTCCATACATTGAGTGTATACCTACGTGTGCTCTGATTTGTGATCGAATAAGTAGACAACTATATCTCTGTTTGTACAGGTGGAGTGATCGCTCTTATTGTGTAATCACGGTCTAAACTTGTCCAATGACCCAGAAGTCCGCCCGCAGAAAGTGCAATAGTACCCAGGTAGCGGTGTTAAGGAGTGCAATAGTGTTTGGGTAGCGGTGTGTTGGTTCGTCCGTATCGTTGTTTGTATTCTCGGTGCTCGTCGTCAGAGATGTGGAATACTCATTATAGGAGAGCATGATTTTTGCTTAACTAGAACCACATCCGTCTGCTCTCATATCTGTTTCATCACTCATCTCTACTATTGTTCTTACATCATTTCTAAGCCTCGATTCAGCTTGTGGCAGCAACTACGCGGTTCTCCAATCGTACCCACGGTGTGCTAGGCCTTATTGCTGCTCTTTTCATTGCTACCATTAGCTCTATTACTGCCTTATCCCAAGGATCAAATGATACCTACGACTACATTGCTGTAGGTAGTGGCCAAGGTGGTGGCCCATTGGCTGTTAACCTCGCCAAAGCCGGTTTCAAGACTCTGTTGCTTGAAGCTGGCGATGACGAGAGCGCCGAAAAACGAACGCAAGCTCTCGTCCTCTCGGAAGTGCCCATTCCCGCAAACCTCGGCTGGTCATTCTAGGTTCGCCATTACGATGACAACGAGCAAACCAAGAGGTATCAGCGACTCACTTGGCGACTTCCAAACGGAGACCTTTGGGTTGGTCCCGGAAGTTCTGCTCCGGTTAGCGCAGAAATACTCGGTGTCCAACATCCTCGCGGTGCTATCCTGGGAGGTTCCACTCTGGTGAATGCAGGGTTCATCATTCTTCCCAGTGAACGAAATTGGAGTTAGATCGAAGCCCTTACTGGCGACTGTTCTTGGAAGTGAGTCATGATAATACCTAATACTTTTGGAAACAGATGTTCTGACGTAAACGTTAATCCCGAACGGATGAGAGAGATCTTCGTGAAGACAGAGAAGAATTCGTATCTTCCAACGGAACGCCTGGACATGGATTTGATGGTCACCTACAATGGTACGAAGGGAATGGAACGGTATTCACTACCTCATCACAGTCGTCGGAGAGATACAGATCTTTGGTGTCCGAAGTTCGACAGAATCCTGATGAGCTGGAACAACTCTTCGATACGGACCCTAATCAGCTACGCTCGGACAGGGATCAAACCATTGGCCTCTTTGGAGGAGTCTTCCACGCCAATGAAACTTGGGGTCGTTACAGCGTTAGAACCATGTCCTCGCTACTCTAAGGACAGTCGATTCTATGGGAAGGAAGAAATATCCGCTAGCAGTTCGATTGAACTCTTTGGCCAACAAAGTACTCTTCGAAGATTTCGTAAACGGAACTGCTCCCCGCGCGGTTGACGTCGAGTACCTTGAAGGCAAGAGCATTTATCAAGGCGATCTGAGTTACAATGCATCAAACGATGCCACTACCAAGCAATTGTATGCCAGCAAAGAGGTCCTCGTTAGCGGAGGAACATTCAACACGCCTCAACTCCTTCTGTTGAGTGGTATCGGTGCAGCTGCCGATCGAAAAGCATTTAATATCAGTCGTGGCGGATCTCCCTGGAGTCGGGCGTAACATGCAACGCCATAACGAGATTGCCACTATTGGGCTCGCGGCACAAAACATCAGTGTTGAGGGTGGTTCGGGATTCCCTCGATCAAAATGCACACCTCGTGCCCATAATGACCCGTGTTACGATCTCTGGCAACAAGGACAAGGCCCATAAGCCGAGGGCAGCATCATGGGAAGCATGTTCTTTTTGAAGACGAACCACTCTAGCACTGGCGAGCGCGATTTCGGGATGTGGTCTGAACCTGTGGGTGTTCGGGATTTTTGGCCTCAAACCCCGAACCAGTCATTCGTTGATCTCCCTAACACGTTTGGATTTCGCACAGTTCATATGCACGGCAGCAACAGCGCTGGTCATGTGAAGCTCCGGTTAGCCGACCCAACAGCTCAACCGGAAATCAACTTCCGTCATTTCTCCGACGAGGGCGCAGACCAGGATATTGCTGCCATCCAGGAAACCGTAGCCTTTTTCCGACGAGTCCATGCTGATGTGGCAGCGCCTGTTGGCCCAAATGAGGTCATTTGGCCTACCTGTTCGGGCAGTGTCAGCGCCGACGGCAGTTACTCAGATAAAGGCAATGACGAGCAATTCATTCGAGACAATAACTGTGGTCATCACGCCACGAGTACCAGCTCTATTGGACTAGATGACGATTCAAATGCCGTCCTTGACTCCAAGTTCCGTGTTCGTGGCGTAGAGGGTCTCCGTGTTGTCGACGCAAGTGCGTTCTCTCGAGCACCATGTGCATTCCCGGTTCTTGCGGTGTTTATGCGTAGCGAGAAAGCAGCACTTGACATTCTCTCTACGGGGTAGAAGCGCTGGAGGTGCTGGTTAGGAACAAAGTGTCGCAGTGGGGTATATCGGAGTTTTCCATTGTAACAGGTGTCTCATGTACTTATCTATATCTATAAATAATGCAAGAAGCGACTGAGCGACTTATTTACTCGCTATCGCATGTGAACGTGTGATGTGGCTGCAGGTTTTCCTCCTTGGCTCAGTTTAATTGGGTATGTTAGCGCCATAACGGGCCTTTTCTGGTGAAGAGCTGAGCTCATGAATCGAAGTATATATACGCCCATATCTGTCCTTCTTTATTCCTGTCCCTTATCTCATCGCAACTGTCTTTCTGGAGCTTTCCCTAGCGTCTCTGCTTCTGAAAAACCACCGTATCATAGTCGACTCGAGGCTTCTTCCATCAGCGCGTCACTACAACACAACGCTCAAGTAGCTGCTGAACTATCATATCGTAAGTCACAACCTGGTGTATTTAGCAGGTGTATTAATCAAATGGCATAGAACCCGTACCACACCACATGGGCGAAACCTCAGTCCGTGACGCACTTGTGGCATTTGCCGCGGAGCGTGATTGGGAGCAATTCCACACTCCGGAGAACCTCGCGAAAAGTATATCGATCGAAGCGGCAGAGTTGCTCGAGTGCTTCCAGTGGAGCGCAGACGCTGAACCGAAGCGCGTGCGCGAGGAACTTGCAGACGTCCTCACGTATTGTCATCTGCTCGCTATTCGCATTGGAGCCGATCCAGATCAGATTGTGCTAGAAAAGCTCGAAGTCACCCGCAAGAAGTACCCCGTGGACAAAGCCCGAGGCGTTAGTACAAAATATGACAAGCTTCCAAATAGCTCGGGTTGAGTTCACTAGACCTGCCATTGCCACGTGGAAGTCGCAAGATGAGAAACACGGGAATTGGCCCGTAGTTTATGTGTTAGATAACTATGGCTACCCAGGCGGGAGGAATCCAAACAGTGTACTGAGGGATATCTACGTCGGAGAATCGCTCAACGCTGTCAGTCGATTACGACAACACCTCGAAACACCAGCTAAACAACACCTGAAAAATGCTAGGATCATCCTGCATGAGAAATACAACAAGTCAGTCTGTCTAGATTTGGAGTCCTATCTCATCAGGATGATGGCTGGTGACGGCGCGAATCAAGTACTTAATCGAAACAACGGCATCACCGACGCGCAGTACTACCAGAGAGGAGCATATCGCGCAGAATTTCGCACTGTCTTCGAACAACTCAAGTCTGAAGGAGTGTTTACTCGAAGTATTCCAGAAATCGAGAACAGCAGTCTCTTCAAACTTTCTCCTTATAAAGCGCTTACGGAAGATCAAGCAGATTCCGTCGAAGAGATCCTTACCAGATTCTTTGTCGATCTTTCGACGGGCGGGAGAAGCAAGATCGTAATACAAGGCGACCCAGGTACCGGAAAGACGGTCGTGGCTATATACTTGATCAAACTTCTTGTCGATATTGCAGCCCTCAACTCGCTTGACGATCTCAACAGCGACTCACGGTTCTTTGAATTTTTCACTGCAGCTAATCAGCGTCTCCTCCAAGATTGCAGAATCGGGTTGGTTGTTCCGCAGCAGTCATTACGCGGTACAATCAAGGATGTTTTCCGAAAGACGCGCGGGCTCCATCCGGACATGGTCATGACACCTTTCCAAGTAGGAGAAGCAGACGGCATTTTCGACTTGCTAATAGTCGACGAGACCCACCGACTCAATCAGCGCGCTAATCAACCATCAGGGGTACTCAACGGGAAGTTTACAACCATTACAAGGGAGCTTTTTGGCAGTGACGATTTCAGCAAGACGCAGCTTGACTGGATTATGGCGAAGAGCAGGCAGCAGATCTTCCTTCTAGACGCAATGCAGAGCGTTCGACCAGCCGATCTTCCACAAGAGCTACTCTCAGATCTCGTTTCCGATACGCGTGCAACAGGCCAGCATTTCCAGCTCCGCACTCAGATGCGCGTACAAGCGGGTTCGGATTTTGTGTCTTACATTCGATGGATCTTTGATCCCAACCCCCTCTCGGTCCCGCGAGCACGATTGAGTCTCGGAGAATACGATTTCCGCGCCTTCGACACTGTTGAAGAAATGCGTGATGAAATTTTCAAACGAAATGATGAAGCTGGACTTTCCCGCATGGTTGCAGGCTATGCTTGGGAGTGGAAGACGCAAAAGGACAAGACGGCGTTCGATGTTGAGATCGGTGACACGAGACTCCGCTGGAACAGTACGCCAACAGATTGGGTATCGTCCGACAATGCGCTACAGGAAGTAGGGTCGGTGCACACGGTGCAGGGTTATGATTTGAACTATGTTGGCGTCATCATTGGGCTGGACTTGCGTTTCGATCCGGCCCGAAGGCGACTTTATGTCGATCGCGATTCGTACTTTGACAAAAAGGGCAAGGAGAATAATCGTGCACTTGGTAGAAAGTACTCCGATGACGACTTGCTGCGGTTCATAACTCAGATATATGCTGTGCTTTTGACACGGGGCATTCGCGGTACATATGTATATGCATGCGATCCCGGCTTACGAGCATACCTCTCCGACTTCATTCCATCAAGTTCGGGAAATCCTGTCAACTCGGTTCTTAACTCCGACAACAACCTGATTATTTAAGAAGTAGATAGAATAAATTATCTAGATTTCTAGAAAGGCTAGGTGGAAGATTAGCATAGTGATTTCTAAGAGAACTTTAGTGTTATTTGAGAGGATACGCATTGCCAATATTAGCAGTCTGGCTAGCTGGCTATGCATACATAGTTGGTCGAATTGAGACAAATACATTTCTAAACGTCATCCTTCCGACCAAGGCGGAAGAGTTGTGAAGGTTGATCTTTAGATAGAAACAATTGTTGTATTCGAACCGCGAAGATCACACAGTTGTCAATACTGGTCCAAGCGTGCAGGCCCTTCACCAGCTATCGTGTTTCTGCGTGGCGATCTAAGTAGTATCTTGTAGTGAATATTGTATTCATAGCGATATATTGGGTGTCATGAACATGTGTACCAACACCCCGGTCAAAATCGAAGTAGAAGCTCTGATGTGGGTGATAGTGTCGTGTTGAGGAAAATGCTCAAAGTTGACTGTAGGATATGAATGCTGTGCTGAGTAGAGATACCCTAACCGCTTGGTCATTTGTCCGCCCGTGGTCATCTCGACGTATGCCAGATACATATTGGTCTTGAATAGTGAAATGATATGATCTCAATCGCTTTGCTTAACCTCCGTCCAGGTTTCGGAGTATCTCGTTCGTTGCCTTTTTACACCCATATCAGCGACGCCAAATCACAACCCGTCAGTGTGTAGCTCATCTGTACACTGCTTTCCATTCATGTTGAAACTACGCTCTAAATGATAGCACACCTATAATCAACATATTTCTACTCCAAGTATTGAGACCCGTTTCAAACTGCATTCCGTCGGCGCCATGCTATCATAGCTGCACCGCAACGATCTTTCCACCTGCCTTCGCCTGGCCATTTGCTCCAAAGCCGCCCATTGTCGACAAGTAAAGGATACTGCTGTCCTTCTTTGTTCTTCCAAATGCCGACGCTGTGGTGCCTGCCACCAAGTCACCTTCAGCAACAGTCGTAACCTTGCCATCAAGCATGATGTGCTGAAGTTTATCACCTTGTGGCGCCGCCAGTGGTTCAGAGACATAAATACTGCCATCCTTTGCGATTGAGATATCATCCGGACCGGTAAGAGTAGAGTCGCGCGCGGTCTCGAAAAAGCCGTAGGGTTTGCCAGTTGACGGGTGGACACGAACGCGGCCAGCGATGGCCTGGGCAGTGTTGGTGTAGTATACATAGTCGTGATGAACCTTGATTCCGTTGGCACCGAGCTGTAGCCCGGGTGCAGAGAAGTTGGCCGCTAAGCTAGGGTCCTCCAGAACGACTCCCGTCTTTCCAGTTTTGATGTTGAATGCAGCGATGTTTCCATACCAGGAGTCTGCCAAAAGCAGTGTTTCCTGATTCAAAGTGGCCATACCATTGGGCATAGCCATATCAGGTAGTTCTGCCATCATGCTGACCTTCGTTGTCTTCTCTTTTTGGCTTAGATCAAGCTTCCATAGCGAGTAGTTCTGTAAGGTCGGCGGGTTTTCTGGTGCAGACCTCGAAACTATCACAGCGAATACATTCTTCTTGAATTCTGTGAGGCCAAAAGCACCAGTCGCGTTTGGAAAGGTGGCGACGGTGGAGAATGTTGCTGGTGAGGTTTGTGGGTGAACAATGTGAACCTGAGCAACGCCGATGGTGGACACGAGGAGAGAGCCATTGTGCATGGCAGCAATATTTTCGAGCCATTCTCCGTTAGAGAACTGGTGTACTGTCGACACATTCGCCGCGAGCGCCGAAGCCATGAGGGTTGAGAGACTGGAAAGATACTTCATTCTGGCGGGTGAAGTCGACTGTCGGTGGATGATTGAGGCCTTGATTTAGTCGGACTGAGGTGATTTCATGATGAAAGAGCCATCTCCTTATTTATACTTGTCTGACCGGATGAGAAAAGGAAGCGTGCTTTTGTTTTCAGTCCGGTCGACCATGCATTGATTTTTGGGCCTTGGCGACGCTTGAACGTTTTGTTGCTACTTGCTTCATAATCCCGCCAATATCGTGGATCAACCATACCTGTTAATCTTGACACTTAGCCATGGCTGTACTCTTCGTCCGCTTAGCAATCCAAGTTGTATGTTGAAGGAGGATGCCTTGGTACGCCTTGTCTCACGCGTTCCTCTAAAACTGCGGCCGAGCTAACCTATAATGGAAACTTTTACTAGCGCTTCCTCCAAGGATCTAGCACGTGCCAAGGTTGCTGAATAACGTCGCGAATTCACCTGGATGAGTACAGAGGGTATGGTAAATTGAGGCCCGCTGGTTGCCTGATCTGCCATATTGGAGAGTGTCTCGTGCTCTCGGCGTTCATTCAAACTCCGCGAAAAGACATCACAATAACAAACGGAACACGTTTCATTAGGAAGTGCGGTGCATGAGGAAGAGAGTCAGGAGTCGGTTGTTGTGAAGTGTTGGGGAAGCAGAAGGCTAGAAGCGCGGACCGACAGCTTCAGCGGTGGCTTCGCTGGGGTCCACTGCTCATCTGCCGCCCGCGCTCCCCACCCGTCATTGCCCTGCAGAACTCAATCACTCACGACATGACTTTCCTTCACATGATTTCTTAATGACCCAGACATATGACGAGAATTGTCGCGAGCAAACCCAGATGAGGTAATTCTCCAGAAGTACTCTGCCTGTCGCATCGGGCAGTCCAAGCCCCGCGCAGGCGCCGTAGCCGGACGTACCGGCGCGATTCCGTAATTCCAGCGCCATATTCTGCCAATCTTACATGCACCGATGCGCAGACAACATAACACGTCCAGGAAACGAAGATCCGCTATAATATACATCTACTGTTAACCCGAGTCTCAACTAGAGAGTGACACTTATGGTACAGAATTCGCGAAAGGAAGGGTATTCCCGCACGAATAGAGGCTGAAGTGCGACCTTTTTGAGCAACATAAGATATGCGATTTGCTAAAGGATTGTAGTGTTTGAATCCAGTAAAGACGAGCTATCTAACGCACGTGAAAGCGAAAACCAATTCTCTAAGCCATGAAAGGCTTCACCAGCTCCAAAGACTTCTCCCACAAAGCCCTCTCCTTCTCTTCATCATACGCATGAGGCGCATAACCGGGCTCATTCGACGCAGGATTGGCGTTAACTACACTAGAAATCTGGCAATCCTCGAGGTACTTCCCGCTTTGACCTTCCAAAGCCTTTGCAGTAGCTGCCCAGACTGTGGTTGCAGCACCTTGCTGCGGACTCTTGAGTGCTTTGCCGATGTTAGGATCCTTATCCCATGCCTCCATCGTATCCTTGTCGATGTGTGTCATGAGACCAGTGAAGATCAGACCAGGATGAACCGACCATGCGTTTACACCTTGGCTTGCGTATCGACGGTTGAGTTCGGTCGCACAGTAGATGTTGGATGTCTTGCTCTGGCCATAGGCTGACCAAGGGTGGTACTCTCCCACGAGGTTGAGGTTATCCAGATGGATGCCGCCCATGCGATGGCCGGTGGACGCAAGGACGACAACCCTCGACTTGGAGTCTGCCGTGCTCGACTTGACGAGAGTGGGAAGAAGAAGCTGGATTAACAGGAAGTGAGCAAGATGGTTTGTGCCAAACTGGGTTTCAAAGCCGTCTGCTGTGCGTCCCTCTGGGCATGCCATTATACCTGCGTTTGCAATGAGGACGTTGAGACGGTCATGCTGAGCCAGGAATGTGTCGGCACACTTGCGTACGCTGACCAGAGAGTTGAGGTCGAGCTCTAGGAGGTGGACACGCTCGCTTTCCACCAGGCTTCCAAGTGCGGTCTTTGCTTTGTTGAGGTCGCGGGCTGTGAGAAAGAGGGTAGCACCGGTCTCGTACAAGGATTTCGCGGTCTCGATTCCGAGCCCGGAGGAGCAACCGGTGATGAGAACTGTCTTGTCCCACCATTTGCCTTGGAGTTGTTCGTCGCTGACGATCTGATCGGCAGTGGGACGTTGATCACCAGGGCCGTTGGGCGATTGATGAGCGGAGACATATCGGGTAGTCATGTTGACGGTGATTGTTGGAGGGTTGGTAGTGGCTGGAATGCTTTAAATTTGGAAGTAGAAGATGTTGTGCTTGACGGAATACCATCTTGGAGCAGCTGCTGGACTTATATGTCTCCTGGCCATCTCCACTCGGTGCGCTTGTTGTCCGTTGACCATAAGTCATAACTCCTCTTTCCGAAAACTACTCTACATCTAACTAGACTACGAATATCGTAAGGAGCTTGGAAATACCATCTCTTGAGTTTCACACTATGTGTAGTTTGTAAGGAGCCTTACCCTGCTAGTATCACCGCTCTTTTCCATGCATAAATGTTTGGTACCTAACCTAGGCTCATTGAGGAAACTTCTTTCGCCTTGTCGCGTTGGAGACACCGCGCTATGCTAGTTAAAGCATTTAGACGTGCGGAGTGGGAAGCAAACAGTCGGCCCTATTTCTCATAAGCAGCACATATTAGAGCCTTGGCGAGAGAACATTCCTTATTTGGTTATTACCCTACCCACTCTTAGATCTCAACCGCGCCCGCCATCTCATTTCTCTTCTTCTGGCGATAATTTCCTAGCGTACCTTGCGTGGTCCAATCACAACATCGCTTTATGCTAGAATAAGCCAACAATGAGGGCTAAAAGGAAAGACGTATGCCAGAATTGCAGATCTCGGAAGCTTGCTGTAAGTTCCCGCCACCAACAACTAATGGGTGCCTTGCATGTTGGCATACTAACCCTTGAGATCCATAAGTGTGATGGGAAACAGCCAGAATGCCTACAATGTATTCGCCGGCGGATTCCGTGTAGTGGTTACGAACAGGAAATTGTTTTCATCAATGCAATGACACGTCCTACCAAGCCTCAGACGGATTTTAGTGCCGGATGTCAAGAGACACGCGTCGACGACAAAGGGGTGTTCGGTGCCTACGTTCTCAAAGGCAGCCACCCAGCTTTGTGTGCCTTGTCAAACTTGTTTGACGAAACGACCACTCCTCCAGAAACAAGTCCAAACGAGCTCGAAGACGATGTGGATTTTATTATCAAGCATTTTGCGCCCATATGTAGCCAGGCACCGGCTGAGTTCAACCTGTATCATAACCAGATCTGCGGTGCCTGGGTCGAGATGCTACCACTTGTCGTTGAGCCTGCAAAGAACAGCCCATTCCTCTATTCCGCGATCAGGACAATGGCAACAGCCTTGAGAACCCATGCATCCGTAACCAGAGGAAACATATCCCGCATACTTCTGATGTACGGTGACTCTCTTCGCCGGGTGGGCAAAGCGCTCGAAGAAGCCCAGGGTGTCTTCCAACATGAACATTGTGTCGCGATATTGTGCCTATCAGCAACGAACGTAAGTCTCCACTGTACGCTAACCTGTGCTCTTCCCAGTATTGACTAGACTAGATTGTGATACCGCAAGCAAGATCTGATTGGGCGACGCATGTAAAGGGTGTCGGAGCCATGATCGAACGGCTCGGACCGAAGCCGTTTAGCACTGGTATCCTGCACACGCTCTTCGTTGGCTTCCGGCCTCTTCTGGTAGGTCATCGCCATTTCACTCCGCAAGAACAGTTAGTTGATAAAAACCTTGAAACCTTTTAGCTGATCAGTTCAATCCACCACCGACGAAAGACATTTCTTGCTCAAGACGGCTGGGTTACCACGCCCTTCGAAACAGTACCCATATCCATCATGCAACTGCTCCTCAACAAAGCTACCCAACTTCCCGCTCTTCTGGAAAGATTCGACGGCCTGGGAGACCGCTCCGAGCCATCCAATGTGGTCGCGATGCAACGACTACGGGATGACGTCTTGTATATGATCAAAAGCCTCAAAGATTGGGAGCTCTCATCCAAAACGCAGGCCAAATTCTCTCTGGTCTGGCCTAAGCCCGATTCTCCAGAGGCAGAGTCCTCAGATAGGAAGCCGCTGTGGTTCGCCAATGTTCTGGTGGCTAGTAGCCTGACTCATTGTTGGGCTTTCGAGATCGTCGCAAGACAACATCTGGATGACATTGAAGAGTCGATAGCCGAGATCAAAGGTTGCAACGTCAAAGCGGTTCCTCGGCGCTCCGACTGTGCAAGCGATGAAGACGAAAATCCGGTCTCGATTCTGGCGGAGAAGATCTGTGATAGCATGCCCTACTTCCTGCAACCGGAATTGAAGCTATATGGACCTGCCTCCACTTTTTTCACGTTCTTGACAGCCATGAAGGTCTTCAAACACAAGAAGACTTACTGCGCGTCTCGGCTCTCCCGCTGCCAACAGGTAATCGATCGTTTAGCTAGCATTGGCATCCACTTTCCGTCACCATAGGGCATTGTATCCGTCGATAACCGCCTGGAGGCTGATTGAATCAAGGTGGACATTTGTTGAGAGTAATAATTGGGATGTCGGAGAAGAGATGACCCGGCAAAGGAACGAGCGTCATGACGTCACGTCCAAATTGCTTACCCGATGGTACCTACCTTACTGCGACTGCCCTCCTCTTGAACGAGTCCATTATCTATCATTTAAATTCTGTCTTCTGATTCATCGAGCTTCTGCAGCATCTCTGGCGCGCTATCATATGCATCAAGATCAGTACCACCCACAACAGCAATAACGAATACTTTGCAAACCCAATCAACATGTCCACACAACTCAAGCTCCTCGCCAACTATGGCGTAACAGGCTTCTTGTTATCTACTGGTCTCTTCGCTCTGCTCGCACCCACCACGTTCGCTGCCGGTTTTGGCATGCCCGTCCCAGCTGACTCATTCGCATCCGGTTTCGTTCAATGCGTGGGTGGTCGCAACCTCACTTTTGGTATTATCGCAGCAATCTTCTTGCAGCGAGGGGACGTGAGAGCTGTATCACTGATGGCGACGATGTTGGCAGTAGATGGAGTCGTGGATGGGTTAGTTACGATGAAGCATGCCGGGATCGGGTTTGCGTTGCCGCATTTCGGGGCGGCGGCGATCATCCCGTTCATAAGTTCGTGGATGGCTAGCTAAGGGTTTAAGATGAGACGGGATGAGAATGAAAGCGAACCGGGTTTGACAGGGCGGCAAGATACAGTGAGGGTAATCCGCCAAGGGTAAAAGTCTACATCGCACTCATGGACTACGTGTTCGTCGCGTCTTGGAACTTCAGTTGTATTCGAAGATATTGTATTCGCTGCACTTGCGATGCAAGGACGGTGAAAACTCCGTATTGTCTCCAAGACTTCTCGAACATTGTATAAAACGCTCAGAATCTCATACTTCAGACACGTTCATCTTCTCTTCCCAGCGAAATGACCTCACTTGCTGTCCCAAATCCATATCGTTTACCTTTTCTCCCCAGTTCGTCCTCATAGACCAGCTCTCCATATATGATCCTTGAGCTTTTCAGCTCATCTGACATATCATTGATCGTAGCTACGCCTTCTTCAAGCATGATTCGACTCAACTCCGTGTTTCCCACGGTCGCTAACATGATTTGAAGGAAGCCGCCATCGGCTGCAGGCGCGCGATTACGCCACAAGGACCAAATCGAGATGATGACGAACACGCTTGCTGCGGCTAGGCAGATACTGTATGGAAGGACGAGGTTGAGCGGATTACTAAGTGTGTATGTGCTGCTGTATCTTGTGCTTGTTACGGGCACCATGTCCCACCAGGTGCCGAGTGATATAGCAGACATGGTGATATTGGCTAAAACCCCATTAAGCATGTTCTCGGCGAGATTAAACGCGTGTCTTGGGTCGAGTCCTTCGTGTTCGTTGTATCGAGACTTGTGGAAAACGGAACCTCTCAAGTAGGCTTCATTCCGGTTAGTGTTTGAAATCGTACAAGCCAGTCACCACACTTACGATCGGACCTATAATTGAGGTAGCCCGGCCATCTCTCACGTACAGAATCGTCTGTAGAATTCGGTGACTCCTCTTTCTGTTGACAATTGCCATCCAAAACCATTGGCTGCTGCAGAGGCAAAAGCTCTGGTGGCGATAACGCATCTGAGGGCAGATACTGCGAATGGAAATATGTCTTATCAAGAAAGGGCATCAATGAGTCCAGGATGGCCCACTCATTAGAGATAGGAATAGCTTCTGATACTTTCTGGTGCCATTCTTCAAATGCTTCTGGTATCGATGGAAGCCTAAGCTGTATTCCATACAATTTGCCCGGATTAAGATTCGGGTCATCGTAGGCGCCCGAGATGTCGATTGTATCGTATATGTCCACTCTTCGCGGAAGAGTTCTTGCATCGCTGATGGAGTAGTTCACTGTCTGGACGCCCCCGGGAAATGTGACGCTGACGTTATAGAGTACGGAGACAGATTTGCAGACCTGCTCATTCGCCACAGCATGTGCGTTCCAGACTAGGCTATTGTTGGACCTACAGTGGGCATTGAATGTTTTGATATCATATTGTGTCAACGAATGGATAAGCTTTTGATCGTCCCATGACGATACCCAGATGGGTACCATGAGTTCCTTCGGATCGTATTCAGCCGAAAGAGTGATGTTGTACTCTGACGTGGTGCATTTGAATTGAGGTCCTCTGAATTGCAAATTGTAAGTGGAATTCTCTCCTGGGTGATTTGGGAAGGTAGATATCTGGTTGCTGTTCTTTATAGTCTGTGCGAGATACACCAGGCGGTTCGAAGGTCCACTATAGATTCAGCCTTTGTTAGATTACTGGAGTACTCAACTGACCTATATATGAATTGTCGGATGTCAGCATCCAAAGGGATCTGTGATAAACTCTTGTCGATGGATATGGATTTTCGAACTTCTGGATCTAGTGGAAAGTTTAAGAAGACCTTGTCAGGCCCGTGTAGTGGGTCTCCTCTGCTTAAAGTAGGGAAGCTTTCGTCTCCGGAAAAGTCGAGTTGCGGTGAAACGGGTGGGTTCATTATAGACATGTTGTGATACTCAGTAAACTCTTGAGTCCTGACGCTTACGGTGAGCGCACCCGGTGGATAAATGACAGCGATCCCAAGAGACCAGATTAGAAGTGCCATAAGAAACAGCAAAGGCGCTCTCCGTATCCCTTGTGGACTGAGCAATGCGAATAAGTCGTTTCGAATTACGAACAGCATCTCGACCATCGAAAGAGACATCGCCTTTCCACGCAAAACGTACCAGAGGTGTTGTGCGAAACACGTACCCATGCTGGCTGTCAGTGCAGCTTTGAAGATTGTGCTTAACAATATAGAGACAGCCGAGAACTGAGTCTGGGTGAGGAAGCTAGCCTCGAGAGGCGTCCCATTTAGACCCTTGACTAGCATATAGTGTCCTAACGCGGCGAAGAGTGCTTGAGGAGATTAATAAAGACTTTGGTACATGCAATTGACGAGACTGACCTATGAGAAAGAATCCAGCGATGGCTCCCACAGTCTTCCAAAATGTGGATCTCCGGATAAATTCCTTCGACGAACAAGATTGGACACGATTCGCTTCTTGCAAGATGCTTGATGAATTGAACGGCGTTGTAGGATTGGAGTTCGTACTCTTCGTCTGCTGTCCTGGCTGGACTGCAGATATACTAACAAGCGCTGAAGAGCTACTTCTGTTACTTGTAATCGTTTGCAAGTCGTGGTCTATAGACCTCAAGTTGGAGAAGTACGCTGCATGGTTGATATTTGTCTGTAGTGAGCTAGGACCGTTACCCATGGTTATTGATCGATTAAGCTCTCCGGTAGTCTCGGATGAATAATTGAGAGCATCAAGAAGGAGACAGTTTATAAGAAGCACTTTAACTTACGGCGTGGTTATGCTCCAACTTGGACCTTCCAATATCATTGGCCAATTGCTACCTGCATAGATCCGCAAGGTAGATGCTAAATACATAACGATCCTCCAGCATTCTGGATGTCGATGTTGGCTCTATACCAAACTAGTGGGGGCTAGGTAGCATGTAGGAGCAGGAAAGCTCGGAAATGGCGCTGCAGGAACCTCCCACTGGGTAGCGCTGACGTGGGGGCCGTAAGCTGACATCCAAATACATCCCGCCTGGATACCTAGCCCGTGCGAGGCTGACGCGACTGCGCAACACCAACCCCGAGTATGCTACTGCGAAAACGAATTCATACTTTGATTCATGACTCGCGCTGCATAGATCGTGGTTGTGGCAGGTCTGCACTGCCTACTGCGCGCATGGATTAAGAGATAACGACACAAGCCTGCCCATCGTTACATCATCATCCGGGATATCGTTCACTAGTACTGCAAAGATACCCTTAGGCAGGCGGGATCAACCGTTTGAGGGCACCTTCTCGTTTGGATCTGGTATGAATTGCGGAGGTTGTTCGTGGCTTGTTTGTCCTATGTCGCTGCAGCAAAGCATCGAAGGGAGAAAGAGGAACAGAGTGATGAAAAAGATTGATGGTTTATGAAACAATATAGAACCGCATCTTACCTAGATACTACTCGATTGGTAACCCTTCCAGAGGAAACTGAAAAGTCGCTAGTAGAAGCAAACGAGTAGATGGCTATGAGCTGAGAATGAACATCTCGTGCGAGATGTAAAGCATGCTTGCACCCGGGAACGACTAACAGTCATTGATGTAACTTTGACTAGTGCAGTCATCTCGCTCGTATACCCTTTCTTCTCCTATATCCGTTGTAGCATCATCATCTATGTGTTTAAATGATTCATACCACGATACTCGTCAACGATTCTGTGTCACCTGTAGTCACTACCCATATGAAAAGCCGTTGACGAGCCTTGGATATCAAGCATTGATCAGCCGCAGGTCTTCCATTGCCTCAAGGTCATTAAGTTATCGACACCATGAATTTTTCCTAGCCCATTGATTGGAAGGAAGTATGACGTTCGCTCCTGAAACTCATAGCAACAGACCGTGTCGTCGTCCACCGCTCTCGATAGTCATCAACAGACTCATACATAGCACACCATATTCATGGCTATAAAGAGAACTGCGAACAACGATAACGAAGAATGAAAAGCAGAAAAGCATACTAGCCGTCGGAAACTTCAACATCAATATACCGAAGAAAATCTTCAAAACTTACGTAGCATCTAAACCTCAGCAATTTTCGAAATTGAAGGGCCTTTCACCGCTACCCAAGACACACATCTGTACACACCATGGCACCACAAGCAAGTTACGGCACGCAAATGACAACACTTGTTAACTGTAAACACGGATCACCAATCTGTGTCCTAGATGGAGGCACGAAAGAGGAAGGATTAGACCTCTGCGAAGCTTGCCAAGTATCTCATCCTATGATCGCATTAAAGACGACCGAGGAGCTTGTGAAAACGCGCATAGAAGAAGAAGACTACCCTAACGCACGAGCCTTGAGAGACAGTGCAGACTACGAGGCATTGTGGGCCAAACCAGATGACGAACATGCATGCGCGTGGCGGCAAAAGCGGTTCAGCGACAACGTCAAGTTCGCTGACGACATGCTACAGGTAAGGAGGAAGATAAACATGGAGCTAAAAAAGATGAACCCTAGCGTTGAAGTGAATCGTATTGCTTGTATCCCTGCCGAAGACCGAGATCATCTCTGCGCCAATTGTCTGGAAGCGAAGGAAAAGTATGGAAGTTCGTATCTGAAGAGCCTTTTTTATGCAGATGGAAAGACGTTCATACAACATTTTCTCGAGGTACGCAAGGAAAAGAAGTGAGGCTCGATGGATGAGGTAGTGGTTTTCCTTGCGTTGTATGTCACCTAGAGACATCTGTGCATAGCACGCCACTTTCATTGCGACGATCCTTTGAGAGACAGTCATACAATGGGTAGGTCGGAATGGAGTCATTTCCTATAATACATATTAGTATACACATCCGTGCAGGGCACGGTACCAATACCAACACCAACAATCACTTATTCGATGAAGAGTCACACCTTACATGACTAAAATATCTTCACTACGACCTCACAATCAGCAACATATCATAGTATTCACAACACAAACATATCAAAAGATCGCGACGCCTCGATTCATCAACCCAGCCCACGCTAAAAATGCTCTCCATAGATCTTCATTAACAGAAAGAAACAGTCTACAAACGCAACACAAAATCCCCCATTCGACTTTAAAACCCAACCGCAAGCATCAATCCATACCCCACCGTAACAATAACCCCAAACGTCATAATACTCGCGGGAACACCCCTGGTCAAAAAATGCTTGACAGCAAGGTACCTCTGGCCCGTCCTCTGATCCTCCATCATAATGGCCGTCATATTCGGGAACCCGCTCGTCGGCAAGCCCATGGCCCCACTCGCCATCAACACAGCGCCCATGACGAGTAGATTCGGATGCGGCTCCGGCATCTGCTGCCCCACCTGCTGCACAAGGGGCAGCACGATGAGCGCGGCAACGGTATGCGAGATGAAGGTGGCCACGACGAGAATTAAGGCACAAAACGTGACGAGGACGCCGTACAGACTCATTCCTTCCACGCCAGCGGTAATGGAAAGGGCAATGGTGTGTAAGAGACCGGAGCTGTTGACTGCTTTGCCGAGCGAAAGGCCGCCGGCGGCGAGTATGATGATGGTCCAGAGGAAGTTGTTGAAGTCTTCTTTAGTGAGGATACCCGTGCCGAAGAAGAGGACAATGGGGATGATGGCTACGACGCCCATGTCACCAAACGTAGCTTCAAGCTGGTGGCTGACGCACCACAAGACAATGGTCACGACGGTGACAATGGTAATGAACCACTGCACACCCGTGAACTTGTCCTTGAGCGGCCGGATGGGAACAATGGACGGCCCTTTTCCGGGTTGGAAAGTAGCCAGGAGGAAGACCCAGATGAGCAGGATGGAAATGATACACACGGGCAAGGCGACGAAGAACCATATGCCCCAGGAAGGCTCCGGGTGCATGTTCTGCAGTGCGATTAGGTTCTGGGGGGACGCAATGGGGGAAGCGGCACCGCCTATGTTGGAGGAGAGGGCGATGCCCATGAGGAGGGCTTTGGTCATGTCGGAGTCGGCAGGCAAATTACGAAGGATAGGCTGCGAAAGGTTAGCTTGACTTGAACGTTTTCTGCGACAAGTTGACGTACCTGGATGATGGAGAAGCAAAGCACAGGCGCTGCGACATTGCTAATCCACATACTAGCAAACATGGCCACAAACATGTTGACCAACAGCACAGTCCTTGGCTTGGTTCCAGCCTTGCTAAGAACAAGTGTAGCCATCATCTTAGCAATATTATACTTTGACAGCGCAGCCGCGATGGTAAACCCACCCAACAGCAACATGATGACAGGCGTCCACATGGCAGAGAAGACGTATGACGCTGCGGCCTTTGATTCCAGACGCTTGTGAGGTTCGACATCGCTTCGGACGACATTCAACGTCACAGCAAGGAAAGGAACCAGAAGGGACGTGACGAAGAGGGGTATAGCCTGTGGTAATTAGCCAAACGATGATCAAAATCGCTCAACAGGATCCGTACCTCTGTAGCCCACAGTAAACTGACAAAGATGACCATGGCAAGACAATTCTGCTGCTCAGGCGCCTCCATAATGGGCACAACAAGCAACACAACAAACACGGCAATACAACTCAGCAGGATCCAAAACGTCCTGCTGAGCAGCCATTGCGGACACCGGTATCGCCCAATCGGCGTATCCACCTCCTTCATATCCGACTCGACGTCGTCGCCCTGCCGCCGTATCTTGCCACCCGTGGTATCGCGTCCAAGCAGTGTATGGCTGATACCGATATTCGCCGCTTGCGCTTTCCGCTCGATTCCAATCATCTCTCGCCAGACCGTATTCCGTTCCCAGACGACGTGTTCGCGCAGATGTAATCTCAATTCGCGCTTCGCCTCGGCAATGTCGCCTTTTGTGCCGATTTGCGCGTAGGCGGATTCCATGCGCTCGAGATTGCGCGTCAGCTCGTCCATGGTGCTCTGCTGGAAGGGATAGGCGGGGTAAACGTATTTGCTCAGATATGTCTTCTTGAGCTTGCGGTCCATGATCTTGTCGTACTTTTTCAGCACTTTTTCGAATCCCGTCTTGTTGAGCTGGATGAAGGAGCGGAGTTCGCACAGTAGGACGTATACGCTAACCAGGCGTTTCTTCAGCGATACGCCTTCTTCGTACAGCGCGGAGAAGGCCATGTCGTTGTAGTCTTCGAATGCGACGCTTGTCTTCCGTCGCGAGGAGGCGTGCGAGGCTGCCATGTCTTCGTCGATTGTCCGTCTTCGTCGCCGCTGGCCGTCTGGGCTCTTCTTGCGAAGCCGCGCAGTCTCGTCGGCGTCTTCGTCCTCGGAGTCGTCGCCGGATGCGTCACCGTCTGCGCCGTGATCTGTTGACCGTCCGCTTGCCCCGCTCATGGCCCGCGGTCGGTGGAAGCCAATCGCCTTGAACACACTCCCGCTGCGCATCTTCTTGCCCGGCGGCGCATTCTCATTCTCCTCATTGTACTCGTCCTGGTGGTATTCGAACGACTCCTCGTCCTTGAGCAGGGCCTCCATCTCGTCGAAGATTTCATTCTCCTTGAGCTTGTAGAAGGACGTGACGCGCTCTAGTTCGGTGTCGAGGGTATTGGTAAAGATCTTGTCTGGATCGTCGGCATCTCCGTTGAGGAGTGGTGACGACTCGGCGTCGGTGTGCGCCTGCTTCTGGTTGAGCTGTGTCTCAAGGCTGTAGATGTGCTTCTTGAGATTGCTATAGGCGATGTAGTGGTTGCTCCAGTCGGGCACAGCATTAAACTGCAGACTGTGCGAGAACTTCATCTCTTGGGCCTCGCGAAGCTGCTCGAGCTTCTCCCGTCGCTTCTGTTCTCTCTTGCTCTCCCTGTGCGGCTGTTCTGGGCGTGTGTCGAGTTCCTGGAGCTCTATAGCTTGGGTGGGCGCAGCGTCACGGTAAGGCGTCAGGACGTCCAGGGTGGTGGATGGCAGTCTTCCAGCGAGAAGACGCTACTGTAGGCAGACTAGAGGGCGTAGTGCTCGCAGGGCGGTCAGGTGGCTTGCAGCACGTGGAAACTGCGGCATGGAGTGATTCTATCGACAAGTGTGGGATTGGCGCGGAACCTTTCTCGGCCTGGTAGCTGGACATTGTGGATGCGCTTTCGTCACTGCACTCCCGAGCACAGTCGGAGACACATGGGCCGATGATTGGCGCTCCAGCCCTCCGCCGCAGCCACACCTCGCCCACGCTTCACCACTCTCTCGGGTTGTGCAACGGGTAGTGTCTTAGTTGCCCATCACACGACTACCCCACGCATACCCAGCATGAGTCTTCATATCCTCTCTACTGTGCCATATCTTCACGTCTTCGCCATGGCCCGCTCCTGGCCGCGGCTAATCATTGCCTGCATTCGAATCCTTGCCCAAAACCACCCGACCTGCATCATCGTCGCGGATATCTGGCCCGCATTCTGCCTGCGCCAATCAGAAATCACAACGTGTGATATCATACATGAAAAAGAATCGTCTGTTGAGCCTCACTTTTCACAAACACCATGTAGTCAATTTTCATGGCCAATCTTGTTTGAATGTTTTGCATTGACCGTCGACCTATATACACCTATAATCATGACCTCGTACAGACAACGTCGTCGTTCAGACTGTAGTTCGTTAGCAGTATTCATAGTAGTTAAAAAAAAAAAAAAACGTCACTTACACCTCAGATCCCAGCCGATCTTGGGTCCCAGCTTGGGCAGCTCCTCAGCAACACTCTGCACGTCCTTGTCACCACGTCCAGACACACAAATGACAACGTCTTGGTCCTTGTTCATCGTCTTTGCCAGCTCAATAGCACCAAACACGGCGTGCGATGTCTCCAGCGCGGGGATAATACCCTCGAGCTGTGACAAGAGACGGAAGCCAATAAAGGCCTCGGCATCTGTACAAGCAATAAACTTGGCACGGTCGCTGTCCTTCCAGCTGGCAAGCTCAGGTCCTACACCAGGGTAGTCAAGACCAGCAGAGACGGAGTGAGTCTCGCTAATCTGTCCGTGCTTGTTCTGAATAACATAAGTACGGACTCCGTGGAGCACACCCTTGCTTCCGGCTGAGAGAGTCGCGCTGTGGCGGTCGGTGTCGACACCATCACCACCAGCTTCGACACCGAGAAGCTTGACAGAAAGGTCCTTGGAGAAGGGGTAGAACATTCCTGCGGCGTTGCTGCCACCACCAACACAAGCGACTACGGCATCGGGAAGCTTGCCACGCTTCGCCTGCATCTGCTCCTTGGTCTCGTTTCCGATGATGGACTGGAAAGTGCGGACAATGGTGGGGAAAGGATGAGGGCCGATGGCAGATCCGATAATGTAGTGAGTCGTGTCGAGGTGGACGACCCAGGCGCGCATTGCCTCGTTGACTGCATCACGCAGGGTTTGAGCACCAGCCTCGACAGCAACAACCTGTGCACCAAGCAACTTGATGCGGAACACATTCAAGGCTTGGCGCCTGACATCCTCAGCTCCCATGTAGATGGTGCACTTCATGTTGAACTTGGCGCATACCGTGGCCGTTGCAACACCGTGCTGACCAGCTCCAGTCTCGGCAATAATCTCAGTCTTTCCAAGTCTCCTGGCAATGAGCACCTGTCCGAGTGCGTTGTTGATTTTGTGACTTCCAGTGTGATTCAAGTCCTCTCGCTTCAACCAGATGTTGGCACCTCCGGCGTGCTCAGTAAGGCGCTCCGCAAGATGCAGATGACCTGGTCTACCCATCCAGTCGTAGTAAGAACGGTATTCTTCCCAGAACTTGGGATCTTCGATGGCTGCATTGAAACCTTCCTCGAGCTCAGAGAGACAGTCCATAAGCGATTCAGGAACGTATTGACCACCGAATTCGCCGAATCGTGCGGGGAACTTGTGCTTCTCGTCAAATCCATTCTGTTCGTGTGTACCGTTGGTGCCGTTAGCGTCATCAGTGTTGAGCATCTCCAGCTGATCAGCCAGGCCAGGACCGTCCGGTGTGTCCTTGTCGGTAATAACCTTGTCGACATGCACGTTGGTAGGCTCCTTGGCCTCGTTCAATGTCTCGATGATACCGACCTCCCGAGGCGCACCGCGGGTGCTCTTGCCGCAGATCTCGTCGCAGTACTTCTCGACTGCCTTTGCGCCCGTTCCTGGTTCAGCCTTGAGCAATGTGTTGATAATCTGGCTACCGATGACGACACCCTCAGCAATCTTGCCTACACTCAGGTAGTGGTCGCGTGTGCTGACACCAAAACCGACGGCAGCCGGGACGTTGCCAGAGTATTTGTGGACGCGCTCGAGCAGCTGGGGAAGAGCGGCGTTCATGGTACCGGAGGCGCCAGTGACGCCCATGCGAGACACGACGTAGATGAAGGAATCGGCGATCTTGCAGAGGACGCGCATGCGGTGCTCGGACGTAGCGGGTGCGATAAGCGGAACGTAAGAGAGACTGTCTTGTTAGTCTTCGTCGCATGCTTGTCGAGGCAGCAGGCTTACCCATAGCTGCGGCAGAAGTTCCTGAAGCGCAGAGCCTCCTCAGGTGGCAGGTCGACCATGATGAAGCCGTTGGCTCCGGCCTCCTTTGCATCCTGCAGCATCTTCTCCTCGCCGTAGCTGAGCAGGGGGTTGTAGTATCCCATAAGAAGGACGGGTGCCTTGAGACCCCGCTTCCTCGCATCGCGGATCATCTGGAGGACGCTGCCAATGTTGACGCCGTTCTTGAGGGCTTGCTATAGACACATGGTGTCAGGAACAGTTTCGAACGCATTGTGGCGAATGGGTCAACGTACTGTGTTCGCGGTCTGGATTGCCGGGCCGTCTGCGATGGGGTCGGTGAAGGGCATGCCGAGTTCGATGATGTCTAGACGTGTCAATTGACTGCTGGCGTGCCATCTGGCATAGCAATTGCTCGCTGCACATACCAGCGCCTCCCGCCTCCATGGCCATCATGATGTCTGGCGTCTCCTCTGCGGTAGGGAAACCTGCAGTCACATAGGTGACGAGAGCAGACTGCACACATGTTAGCTCTACATCTTCCTTCTGATGGTTGCACATTGTACCCTGCCCTCCTTCTTGCATTGCGCAAACGTCTTCTTGATGCCGTCCATGATGCTGAAAACCGAATCGAAAGGTTGGAGTGTGTGACAAGAGATCAAAGTCAGGAACTGACTTCCTTATAGATGAGAGCAACTGTGAGTCACGGTATGCACAGTCGTAGGGGCTCGCGGAGAAATCGGGGTTTGGTATGAGTCTTGTGTCCGCAATTTATTGAAGGCCGAAGGCGGCGTAATGCCCCTCCTCCGGCTTAGTCGCCCGTTCGGGGAAGGCGGGCGAACATCACTTCTTCTAGAAGCCAGTCTTACCAGACTCCACCTTATTTTCTTCTCATACACGTCATTGCGACCCCAATCCGAACATCAACCGTTGAACCCCATCTTATTGACCTTCTTGAACTTCTGACAAGACACAGTCCAGTGCACATGGCAGCAACGCCGGGCAGCTACACCTGGCCCCACTGACATTAGCCAACATCCACCGCCCTATTTCCAAAGGCCTCATTTTCCCCAGCACCAGCTTCTTTAACCGTACCCCGTCGTCGTTGAAACACCATAAAAACAAATCTGCGCCCATGACCGACCTGCAGCGATCGCACACAGTATCCGCCTTCTCCATTCTCTCATGCCAAATCACGTCGGCGTTTTGGGAACATACATAAGAGGGAAGTCCTTTCTCGGGACCCTGATGACGTCCTGCGCCATAGCAGAATTCACATATTGCTTTCAGCGGACTATATATGCGCAGGGCTTTTCACCCATATGGGCTGTGTAATCAAAGAGGTCGCCAAACTCGGGGTGTTCGCCTCTCCAGCTATGGATGGCGGTGGGATGGGCGTGGAGACACGTGCAGCAGAGTTCGTCATATTGAAGAGGAAACACGAGACTGGTCCCTGATCTTCTTCGCGCGCTTGTATGTTCAGACCGAAAGATCAAGACACATCTTCGCCACTACCCCTGATCTGCGCCATACTTCCAATATCTATACTCAAGATTCCGAAGTCGTCTGCCGATCGTATCTTCGAGAGAAAGACCCGCGCTAAGGACCGTATGATCCACGTCAACGATTGGCTGCAGTCACTCGTTAGCAAAACGCTTCATAAAAGCCCAAAGCAAAGGCGGCAAGCTTAAACAACCAGTCAGGTTATGTTGGTAGACAGTGACGCAAACAGTCATTGCAGCAACCACTGTTGAGGCACACTGGCCCTGACACCTTGCCACTTACACCGACCATCATATCACTACCGCTCGACACAAACACATGTCGAGTCGCTCAAGTCAAGTCTCTTTCTGGAGAACATATCTGGAAGGACGACCGAGGATCTCAAACTGTAACTCAGCTTTGCCTTATCCCGCCGCGTCTTTAGGTGGCCTGCATTACTCAGTTTTCACAAATCATCCATCTCACCACGCCATAGAGCAAAGGTGGTTCGAAGTTGTTGTCTCAATGTAGACCACGAACCATGGGAAGATGAAACCACGGTGCAATGCTGAAATTGATCTATTTCCATGGATATAGCTAGCCAATTTGGCAATTCATTTGTGAAAGTAAGCTCAATCAAAACTGTATCGACCATACATGGCACCATGTCTCTTCAAGTCACCTATCGTACTTCTTTCGCCACTGTGTATTCGAGAATTCGCCGGGTATTGTAGGCACTACCGATTTGACGAGGTATGTCGCTTTAATTCTGTCAATGTACCAAAGAAATTCTCCTGAACTTGTCCATGTAATATCTGTAGAGTACTGAAGGTCAACTAACAGCAGTTTAGGTGAACCTTCATATAATGCTTAGGTTGAACTTCTAAGCCCTAGCTAAACACAAACAATTGTGCACTGTACCCTTGCCCGTATAAGTAAGATATTCCTAAGGATTTTCTAATCAGGCTTTATCCTTTTACATGTAATAGCCCTCTGAGCGTTAGCTCCTTACAACTGCAATAGTACAAATCCCAACTTTGTTACTAACCATTTCTTTATCAGCTTATTAATCTCAGCTGGTCGTTCCAAATGTGGCCAATGGCCTGCTTCGATCGTCTCAAAAGTCAGATTCTCCACATATCTCTCTTGCTCTTCTGCCATTTTCGGTGCCATGGAAAGAGTACACGTAGTGTCGCGTTTTGTGTCGATAAAAAGGATTGGGAAATCCAGTACTCCGTTATTCTCTGACCTCTCGGCATATTCCTCATTCAATGTATCATTGAGATAGTACGCAATCGGGTTGGAAAACCCGTTCCGTTTGAAGCATGTTAAGAGGTTGTTGTTGTGGGATTCGTCAAGGAGAGTCTCCTCAAGTGGAATATCTGGCAGATGTGCGGGGTTGCCAAGCACGCCCCCGATTTGGAGAGAAGTACTTGTGATAGCTGGTTCCCCCCATTTGACAAGAAAGTTGCTCATGTAATTCCACTTGATCATAACAGGAGCATTCTCATTCAACAAACGGGCTTCCCCTTCTGAATACTACTGATGATATGTTCTGTATTCCCATTGGCCTCACTTATACTTGTCCTCAGGGTAGATGTCTCGGTTGACCAAAGATACCAAATGAAACCGGCTGATTTCAACCGAGTGATAAGGAATGGAAATGAGGCGGAGCCCGAAAAACAGCCCAGGGTGATGGGCTGCGAGGGCACTAGCAACTCCAGTAACCCAATCATGAGCAACTCAGATAGCCGTTTTGATGCCCAGCTTTTCCACAAAATCGACGAGTTCGGTCACTAATGCTTCCATAGCATACGCCCGGTTGTCAGTAGGCGCAGAGGACAAGCCGAAACCACGCATGTCTAGTGCAACCAAGCGGTATTTCGATCGATCTGAGAAGTATTGGATTTGGTTCTTCCAGCTCTCCGCAATTTCAGGGTAGCCATGCAGGAATATCAGAGGAACTCCGATTTTGGAACCAGCCTCGTCGTAGTGCGTTGTCTCACCATTGTTAAGAGTGATATCATGGGAGGTAAAGGATTCTATCGTAATCATTCTGCTGTACGATAGTGGTTGAAAATACATACGAAGAGGGGTAAAAGCCGTTGTAAGAGGCACACTTCAAATTGCTGCGGCTATGTGTACTTTATATCCATCGGGAGCGTACTATACATCTGCACCTACGGCTCGTGGTGCTCGCGGAACTTTCGGAAGCTTGTGATGATGTTCTATGCCAAGGGACGGTCTTGTTTTGTCCAAATGGGGTCATTCGTTGAGACAAACCTTTGGCATGACTTCATGAAATTTAGCAGGTAGAGCATTTGTTCGTCCGTGACTCGTACGCTTACATGCGGGAGCGGTGCTTTGTTCTAAAAGTAGTGTTATCAACAGACTAGACATATTCGAGCGCGAACGTTATGCTGTAAAGGCTTAGCTGGCCGTCAAGATTGGTCCGCGAGATAGCATCCAGGATTTTTATCCATACAAAAGACTCTAGAGCTGTATCACGCAACCAATTAGCATCTCAAGGTCACATTACCCGCATTAACACAGCTGCAGTGCCTATGCATAGGCTGGTAAATGGGTCTTCTTATTAAGAACTCACTTTCCATAAGATACCTATAGGTTGTATGTGATGGCGTAACTGTAGGCAACAGTACTTGCCTCACGTTACAAGAGATAATGAGAGATGGCTTGTATATTAGTACCACAGGCGTAGGTAGTAAGGAGCGAACAATTCTTGTTCTTTTTCTCGCGAGCGAGGCGCACCTTATAAGCAGGTTTAGCGCATCTTGCACTTTCAGGAAAGGCATGCGTCTTGCGTCCAAATCTCTAGCACAAGGTACTTTCTTAGTTCTCGTTACACATAGCCTCTTACACGAACGATGCAGAATGCGATCGGCCCGTCTCCTTTGGTGGTCCGAAACCGAAACCGAAACCGAAACCAGGATGAGAAAGCAACGCAGATCTTTACTTAGTAAAAACTTGTGTTGTGCGAATGACAAATCTATGTTGTGTTTTGCTGTAAGCATAAGAGCTGGTGAAAGCTGGTCCGGACAGACTCTATGTACGAAGCTCGCACCTTTATCTTCGTACAACTTATGCTAAATTACATTGGCACGTCGCATAGCAATGAGCGGATTAGCAATCACCTACCAGATAGTCTACCATCTGTAAGGTCAGGCAAGTTTTTGCATTTGTCAGGAATCTGATAATCGCGCCGAACTGGTAACTGGACAGACCAGGGCAGCTAAAAGTTTGTCGTCTTGGAAGCTATACAGCCCGGTGAACTATCGACCAATCTGGAAACTGCTAAGTAGAATAAACTTGTGCCTCGATTTTGGTGCTTCAGTATCAGTATTTATGTCCCTTTAGATATCACTTCTCTGTACAACCTCACTTGATCTCTTTCTATAAAAGATTACCCTTTGACCTTTCAATCAATATCTTGCCTCCCTATCATGGCCTCCATTGAGTCTGCTGCCACAGGCACAACCTCTTCCTTTGGTGGCAATAACAACCACGATGACTCTGACGCTCAACTTTCTCAGATCCAACAGAAGTATGAAGCCGAGCGGAACAGGCGTATCAAATCAGAAGGCCAATCCCAGTATATGGCTCTCCATCAAACAGAGCAGTACAAGCACTTTGTGGATGATATCTTTGATGGCTTGGAAGGCTCTCTTCCCGGAATGCAGCTCCAGGAAAACCAACATTTTAAGTTCGTGGTTCTAGGTGCCGGCTATGGTGGCCTCATGTTCGCAATCCGTCTCATTCAAGCTGGATTCGAGCCTGAAGACATTGCGATTGTGGACGTTGCGGGTGGATTTGGAGGAACATGGTACTGGAACCGGTATCCAGGACTCATGTGCGACATTGAAAGCTACATGTACATGCCGCTACTCGAGGAGACTGGCTATATGCCCAAACATAAATACGCCTACGGATATGAGCTGCGAGAGCACGCAAACAGGATGGCCGCCACGTGGAACTTGAAGGATCGGGCAGCCTTTCGAACCGCTCTTCAATCGGCCACTTGGAGTGAGGAGCAACACGAATGGATCCTCGATGTGACACAGAAACGGTCACCGTCCAACGAACAGGTTGGGTTGAAAATTAGAAGCGACTTTGTCTTGACGTTAGGCGGACTTGCGAGCTTCCCTAAACTTCCCCAACTCCCGAATATGGAGCAGTTCCAAGGCGAACAATTCCATACGGCTCGTTGGAACTACAAAATTACTGGTGGCTCACCGAGACAGCCATCCCTGACAAACCTTGAAGGCAAGCGAGTTGGCATCATCGGAACAGGCGCGACCGCTGTTCAGGTGGTTCCTCGTCTCGCGGAATGGTGTAAGGAGTTGTATGTCTTCCAGCGTACACCCTCGGCTGTAGGCGAGCGGGGGCAGCGACCCACAGATCCGAGTTTGTGGGAGAAAGAGATAGCACACAAGGAAGGGTGGCAACGAGAAAGACAGGAAAACTTCGCGGCTTTTCTCTCTGCAGACCCTAGCACATCTAGCGCAAAGGACATGGTAGGCGATGGCTGGACAACCATGCCCTCGTATTCTGCCCTTGCAGGTGGTCCGCGAGTAAAACATCTAGCACCAGAACCGGAAGCTCTGGACTCGTACGTCAAATGGCTCCATAAGATCGATTTGGAACGTGCAAACAAGATCCGTGAACGTGTCTCTCAGACCGTGAAAGACCCGGAAACTGCACAGCGGTTGACACCGTGGTATCCAAGCTGGTGCAAACGGCCGTGTTTTCATGACGAGTACCTCAAAGCATTCAATTATTCGCATGTAACGCTTGTCGATACAGGGGGCAAGGGCGTTGATGGATTGACCAAAGACGGAATAGTCTTCCAAGGCAGAGAGTATCCTGTCGACGTTCTAGTCTGGAGCACTGGCTATGCGCCGCCAATGAGGGGAGGGCCAGATACACTGGGCGGCTTTTCAGCAGTCGGTCGTGATGGCTTAAGCATGAAGGAGAAGTGGCAGGATGACTTGGGCACCCTACACGGAGTCTTAACCCATGGATTCCCGAACTTCATATTCGTGGGCCCGGCTCAGATTGGTATTAGTGGTAACTTGATACACACCATTGATGCTACATCCGAACATGTTGCATACATCATATCCAAGGCACATGAAAAGTTGGATGACGCGAAGAAGGTTATTATTGAGCCTACTTTAGCAGCAGAGAAGGCCTGGACTCAGCAGGTCGTCAACTACGCTCGTGGTCTTAGTGGCATGAGTGGCTGTACTCCTTCTTATTTCAACTTGGAGGGCGAGGCGGATAAGGTTCGAAACGCGCCTCCTGAGGTTCAGGCTAAGGCGGCAAGGGCCAGTACTTGGGGAGCCGGCATTACTGATTACATATCTACTCTCCAGCGCTGGAGAGCCGAAGGAAACCTTCAAGGTATTGACATTAAGATTGTTTAAGAATTAGGGTCAGGAAGACGTTGCTGTAGTTACAATGCCTAGGCATGCATCGCGTACCGCCAAACACCCTACCACCGGCAGCTGTCGCACGGTTGGGTGCGGGTATTGTAGATAGAATTGTTAGGAGATTGTGTAAATTCATGTATTGCATTGTTTGTAGCATTGTAGCCCAGTTTATGTAAAAGTCATTGGATGGTGTTATTAGTAACAAGGCTTTCGACGGCGCTTGGCCTGTGACACTATGCTATGTAAATAACGGACCCGGCCTAGTGGTACGGGTCGCGGTTGAGGTCACAGTCGCAGCGTGCATGTCTTCTGTAAATGTAGGGGTGAATATGGGAGAACGACACAAGTGGGCATAGCTGCAAGTGAGACAACGGTTGTGCCAGTCGGCAGAAACCAATTTGGGTTCGGTCACCTCCTACAGAGAATAGCATGTCCACAGTCTCCAGGACCTGATTTTAGTGGCACTAGACACGCCGACAGCTCTACCTAAACGCTTATAGAAGCGAAGTTTGCTTCAAGTCGCTCATTCAAATTGGGTGCAGCACGTCTTCCACGACACTCTCTACCCGGTCATGGTGCCGTTGCGCATTTGAGCTAAAGGCGAGTTTAGTGATAATCGTATACGAAATAGGACATATGAGAGATTTCGCCACCCGTAGCTTGGGCGAGTCAAAATATCTGGGATAGAAGCTGGGCACACTGAAGTGTAGGAATATGCAGGATGAGAATGGGGTTCTGCTTTTCCAGCCTGTTCTCTTCCTGTCGGACATGCCTCCATCTCCTACAAATCAATCATATCATCCTATGTGTACGGCCGGCATCAAAGCTACAGGATCAAGTTACAAAGAGAAGGGGGAGAGAGGAAGAAAGACGCTATGGGAGGTTATATAGACCCCTGACTGACCCTGACCCGGTGAATCTTGCTGCTCGGATAACCCTTCTAAACCCTGGATCACTTATTTAATACTCCTGAATAACCCTAGTTTTGGCAGTCATATACTTATTGTATATATGATCATCAATAAGCTCGCCCTAAGTGAGCGTGTGCATGCCGATGATGTCGAGCCGGACTTGGCTTTTTGCATTCTGGGCGTCTGTACAGTGCTCTACGAACAGCCATTGCGGGATGGATGGCTCTGTCTCTGTCCTTTTTTCGTATAATGTAATCTGGCTTGGGAACGACAGAGCATGTAGATATGGTGTCGCTGTCAGGCCAATAGCGGTCCGAAAGTAGTGTAGCCTGCATCGTCAGCATCTCTAGCCACGACAACGCCTTGCAATCTTCAGTTCGTGCACTTTTACGGTCTAATCTATCACTAGAGGCGCTGTACAGTGGTTATATGTCACAATATGGTTGCCTCTTCAATTAGCGCTGGTCTTGCGACCAGTCAAACAGCAGTCTGCGCCATTTTTTGGTTGATCATGTGGCACTATCGCGATCCAAAACAAGGCTCCTTTTCATCCTACGACAGACCGTATGGGAGGACCCAACCTTCGTGAGGATGCTTTATTCGACTCGATAGCTGGAGCATCGTGATATAATGCTAGAAGCAAGTTTTCCACAGGCTAACCACATGCGCCACAGTTCTTTTGAATAGCTCATCCGTAATGGGTGTAGCGTTAGATGAGAATTCTTTATGTTGAGCTGGGCTCATTTGTACTATACTATCGCTCAGTTATCTAACATATCCCTGCTGCTTCAACCGCTGCGACTCTACTGAGATGTCCAATGACGGCGATAGCTATTGGCCACCAACCCATACGTGCGAGCGTCGTAGCCGCTGCTTTCCTGCGGCTTGGAAGGATGGCGGTTCTGTACGACGACTTGTTGTCGGTTTGCTCTCGCATTGTACAAGATGTTATTTCTCAAGGTTGCACTGAACAATATAGCCTAGGGTCTGGGACCCCTAACACAGAGACTATCAGACAACAAGATGCTTAAGACGTCCAACTCAGACTTAGAAGACAATCCTAATACAGCAGAGCTATAAGGCAGACTTCACGCACAAAGAAGCAGGCTGGTTGAATGATAGCTTGTATCCGGTGTGTAGAGAAAATAGCAGACGGGGAATAAGAAAAAGAAAGAGAGAGAGAGAGAGCGCTAGCGTAGACTACTAGATTTAGAAGTGGCTATGTTCTTGCAAGAGCTTAGAAATCTTAGGTAATAAGCACACGCTTAAGCCTAGCAGATAGTTAAGACATAGAATATAGTCAACTAGCTTACAAATTAGGTAATGCTTACTCTAAATACATAAGTAACTACTGCAAAGAGACCTAAGATAGTGTAGGATAGTAAATAGGTCTTTTTACAGCAACTACTATAATTTCTATAACACTAATTATACTACAGAATCTAAGTGCTAAGCAAAGTACTTACATTCTATTTTTAAGCTTCTTAAGCTATAAAGCTATATAAAGACCTTATTGTAAAGTTTTTACTATTTATCTATGCAACTATGTTTCTTTACGTAAAGTCTTGTATTATACTAGATATTATACGTAGCTATAATCAACGCTTCGTATAAGTTCTTAAATACGCGCTTGTTGCTCGATAGCGTTTCGTCTCTAGTACTGTCGGGCCTGGCTGACGATATATACTGTCATGCACAAATCTCATGTCCGCAGCGGACGGCAGTTGTTTCTACGTTATGATAGCAATTTGAAGCGATACAGTAAAGAGTCAATAAATAGTTGAAGAAGGAATGTCAACTATAGAAGAAATGTCTGAAGAATTGAGGAGCTTCGGAGTACAATACGGTGAGCTCACCGGTGAGGATGATCTCATAGTTCGAGGCAAACAATTCGGTTTTGGAGTAACGGATGAGATCCTCTCATTGAGAAGAAGGAGATGAATGCAGTTAAGGTTCCTAATTACACGGCATCACAATCAAGTTCGTCCTCGAAGAAGCCGATTCGCTTGAAATATCCGCCAGGCTTGGTTACAGCAAAGTCGATTGTCAACCGCGTGCGATATCGTATCGCTGGCTTTAGTGTTCTCTTCTTGAGGTGCCTGCGCGATAGATCAGTCAAAATAGAGCGTTTTAATAAATCCAGCCACCAAAACTTTGCTTAACGTCCTCTCAGTCAGCCAAAACCACCCACATCCACCGGAATCGCTGCATGTGTAGGTGAAAAGGTGGGCAAGCACGAGTAATCACTCTCAACATCTCATCCCACAACAACAAGACCCAAGGTTTTCTAGATGGAACCATTTCTAACTTGCTCACGATCGGATTACGTTCCTGACAATGAAGACTGGTTAGCAGGAAAATGCCAGAAAGGATATAGACACAGGCTCTTTGATCTGATGTGAGGCTCGAGGCTGTAGGTGACACGCGTACTTTCGGCGTTGGCTGCCGTTTTGCAGTAGCTATAACTGCATAGAACCTGGCAATAAAGTGGTACCCTATGTTGAGCAGGCTATGTAAGTCGTGTCGGTAAATCCTCGCAGTATGACAGATAAGAGTGTCTTTCATCCGAGGGTAGACAAAAAAGAAAGGTTAAGGATGTAACACTAAACATAGTGTTAGGATACTGCCTACATTCTTGTGTACATACAGCGGGCTAGCTTTGAAGGTCGTTGCCAAGTACCACGGTTTACGATGACAATATAACAGCCCCTTCAGCAATCTAAATGACACATGTGCGCAAGTCGCTTCCAAATGAGAATCATCGCAAATATGAAGCGGTTCGTATCTGTAATTACTGCCTGTTTATCGTGCTGGTAAAAGTCATTGCTGCAGATGCCGTTAGCCCTACCAGGACTATACATGCAGCCCTGTCACCGCCAGACACGTCTCCCATCCCATCCTATCCCATGCCATCAGCCCGCGAACAACCCTGCCCTATGCTTACTGGCTGATTTCGAAACTGCAAAAAGAACTCTGAACCCTCGAATCGAACCTTCCGATGTCGCCACGTCGGTCTTCTTCCACATTCGTCAGTTCGGCGACGTTCCAAGCCAACTACTGTAACTTCCCAACGTGAGCGGCATGGGAGTTTCCGGGCGCAGCTCTCTGCTTTGCAATACGTATGCAAGCCTCGAAATTGCCACTAGCCTTTCTTCGAAGAAGTCGTTCTTTCGAACTTTGACCCATCCAGGTAGTTGCACGCTACCCCCAGAGCGATGAGATGATTAGTCGCTTGCTGCGCATCCAGAGCTTCTATCGCTGTTACGACAAGAACCAGGTGGTCCTGTTGAAATGAATGTTGTTGTGCGCCACATATTGTCGTTAGGCCCATTCTGGAAAGTATGCAAGCCACGGATGTGCGTCTAGTTACCAATGCTTTTTTCTCGGCGCTAATCATACATATGTAGTAGGTTTCCCCGCCCAATTTGTTTTTTCTCTTCCCGGCTTCGTCTGCATACCTTCTGGAGTTGTCGCGGCAGAGCTTTCGAGCGTCCATGTCTTTCGCTGTCCCTATGCTGGGGCAGTGAGCTTGTGGAAAGCTGCTTGTGTGTCCAATGAAGCCGCGTGTCCATAGATGATCGTGGTCCTTCGTAGTCGATGAGCGTATGCGTTGGGTCTTGGACAAGAGGGTAGCCTGGTCGATGATCTAGGGTTAACGTAGCAGAAGTGACCAATAAAATATGGCATTCAAATCATGCCGTTGATAGCGGTGTCTCGATCACACACCGTAGTTGCCACGGAGTATGCCCCACTCCGTATCGAAGTACCGGCCGAACCCACGAATCTCGCACATGCGATTGAAACATCTTTGGCAAAGCTGGTTTTTGAATCGCGTTCTTTCGCAGCGTCCGTCTCTCCTTGGGTCCTTTTCCCAGCTTGGATCGGGCTCGCCATGCTGGTTCCTAGGTCCGATCTTCCAATTGCTGTCGATGGGCCTTCTTAGTCGTGGGTCTTCAAACACGCATGGAAACCCAAATCGGTCACCGTCAAATTCGACAAGCCATGGAGAGGCCTGCTCTTGTGCTTTGCGGTAGCATCGCGCGCATAGCTGGCCACGATGGCGCACAGTACCGCAGAGGCGGGAGTCCTGGGGATTGAAGTCGCAACGCCATGCTGAGAAGCGATACTCTGGGTCTTTACAGGCACAGAGACAGGCCCAGCCTTTTCTGATGCGTTCGGAGCTGTCGCGCTCAAGCTGGTGCATATACATGTCGATAAGATGCTTGAGCAATCGTGTGTTCGCATGTGCTTCGGCTTGCTTATACAAGGCATCGAAGCTCATGTTCTTACACCAAGAACATATATCTGGTCCTTGATCTTGTCCTCCCGAACGTGAGCCGCAAGCAGTACCGAACGCGCAGTGAGGCTTTGGAGGTGGTGCTAGCATGACAAGCAGGCTATATAGCGGTACACTTCATGCGTTAGCGACGCCGGTACTCTACAGGATCCAACTTACCAGTTCTTTTCCTGGTGCAGTTCAACTCGTTATTGTGTTGTAGCCTTCCACGTCATCGTCTGACCCCTCACTACCCTCCTCCGAACCTGCCGACCTTATCGCCAACTTGTTCGCTTCTTCATGACATAGCCCAGTCGGCGTGAAGTACTGTGCGATTCTGATCTTCCGTAAACGTCTTCTCCAGCACCTGGAACAGGCAGCACCTTTTTTGCGGACGGATGGACAGTCCAGTCGAGTGCCGCGAAGATTCAAGTCGTATAGTCGCCACCTACAGTGTTGGAAATCCGGATCTTCAAAGGCACAGAGATAGCGACCGCGAGCTTCGATGTTGCGTTTCAAGACTTGTTTGCGAGTAGCTTCTTCGTCGACAAGTAGTGAGGCAGCAGTGTTTGGGTTAGTCCACACGCGCAGTTGCTGTGGATCGTGCCGTTGAAGACAGTCAGCACAAACCCGGTCTGTATTGTGGATTTTCTTGCCGATGCCGAGACAATGAGATCCAGAGATGCATTCGACGATTGGTGGGGGTTTGAATGGGGACTCGAAAGCTGAAGCCATAGACTGGTACCGAACGTCTGAGAGTCAGGGCTCCCACGTTCACTGCTTTGCGGTTAGCTCAACGTCCTTGCATCTCGGCTCATGTGACAGGGTACTGCCGGTATGAGCTATTATGACGTTGGTGTTGACGTTTTCGTTGGTTTCCGAGCATTATGGGGGACGTTGGTTAGTAGTCATTGGAGCTTTGTGAATCGTATTGGCAGGCATGCAGAAAGGACAGTGGATGGAAGCGGGTTTTCGCCATTTCCGGCGGCAGGAGTTACAACCAATGCAATCGAATGCATGCTCTATGACTAGGACGCTATGGCCATACTCGTGGAAGCTTTTTGTGGCGTAGAATGTGTCCGATATGTCGGTTCAACTGTTACTGGACGGTGTGATGCGCTGATCAAGCTCGCTAGGCTACCGGCATGGACATCAACCATATGCCTGTGCCGATTGGGTACCACTCGTGGCGACGTCAAGTGCATCGTATCAAAAGCTATGGGGCTGCGCTAGACCGCAGCTATGATCACTTTGAGGTGTGAGACCCGAGAAACTGGTCAGGCCAGAGCGGAAGCTAAGCCACCGGCTGGCGCTCGTAGAATTATGTAGCTGAACCAGATCTTGGATACCGCTTGTCTGGAGGAAATACTGCTGGTCCCATTCGTTAATTGCAATTAATCTGTTGCGGTTTTGAACAAGGCTGATGTATCTTCTCAACTTCGGATGCTTGAAATTCATCATGATTCGACGGCAAGAAGATAAAGTTTCGCTTCGAGCATTCCAAACATGAGGAGATCATCGTGCACGGTCACCAGGTCCTTGCTAATGAAGCCCAAGACTCTGACTCGTTCCGGTTCATCCGCCTCTCGATGCAACATGGTTTGCATCGGTTTCGAGACGCAGTCATATCATGACCTCTCTTTCATTGTCGTAGATATGTACCGTGTAACCGTGTACAGAGTACTATTTGAGGAAATAGTGGGACTTGATCGACAATGCATTCGTGACGCCATGTTCCGATCGACAATCCAAAAGACGATATGTATCTACCGCCAACTCTTTCTCACATACAGAAGGATTCTTTCGGGTGTGAGTCGTTCTGACACAACGGGTAAATGCAGTCATCAGAGATCCTCAAGCATGAGACAAAGGTGGTAGACGACGTGTGATCCTTCTTGTTTGGGTCTTGCCAACACGATGACGAATCTTTTTCGGAAGGGACCCGCGTCTCCGTCTTCGGCTTGCCATATGCTGGCCAAGGTATCGCGCCTGTTTAATGTGCTTCCCCGTGCTGTTGAAATCCACACAGCACATGGACACAATGCAGTATCGAGCGTTCCATGCACGGAAGACTCCAGATGTGAAAACAGATTCGTACGCAGGACACGGTGGTGGCGTGTGCGATGCGTACGCAGTGGTTTCAACGCCGAGTCGTCTGGCGTCGACGTCTTGAGTAAAGGGTGATGCATATCAGATTCATACAAGCGCGATTGTCCGTATCTGTCACGAACCCAGCTTTAAAAGGTTCCAGTGGCTTGATAACATACCTTTCGCTTTCCCTGAACAATCCAGTGCACGGGTAAAACAGCGTCATGACATCGCCCTGCCGTGAGCGGGTTCCTAGACGATTCGTTGTCAACAATGCAGTGAGGCGGTCAACGATGATCATCTTGCATTTCGCCAGAGACTATCGTCGTGTAACATGTTGCATCAAGGAACTGTGGCCAGTCTGCCCATATGCTGCAGTAAGCTGCATCCGTTCAGTATCCCGTAAAAGTAGTAATTGTTGACCACGGAGGTCCCGCCCGTAATTCTGTCCAAATTCACTGCTGCAAAGCTGTCACAAAGTCAAACGCGTGCAAGCAGAAGGTGGCTTGCGTTGTTTTGCAGGTCGATTCACGCCGAAGAGTCATGCCAAAGCCGGCTCCAAGCGTGATCGAGCGGAATCCTCATGCAAGCTGTGAGGTATTGTGTTGGGAGGCTGTCGTCGCATAGCGATGAGGCTGGGTTGCACGAGCACGGTGGTACGCAGGTCGTACCTTGCCGTGCATGCTGTCATCCGGGGTACGTGTATGGGTTGAGCCCTGTTATGGAAGCATCAGACTTCGGCTGCGACTCGGCGAGGCTGACTCCTGCAAGGTTGGCATTGATCTCATCGCCTCCATTACGGTGGCATTGCGCGAAGGTAGATTCGGAGCCCGGTTGGGCGTAATTGTCATCTGTGTTGTCGGTTCTTCATTTGTTTGCGCTCGCAGAACGAACATCTGAAACTTCTTCACGCTACCGTAGCGCCTTTTAGCCTCGCGAGCTCCGACGCGTCCACGGGCGCACCGACGCGTGCACATCATTGTACGCGCAGCCAGTTTGCCACACTCACACTTCAACCGAAATCACGCAGGTGCAGACGTCACCTTGGCCAGCACGGAATCAACAATTAGGCTGTACAAGCGCGAGGCTGAATTATGTGGTCTAGCTTCCTTTCCCGGGCGCGTCCTACCCCTGAGAGAACACCCGCACCTGCAGTACAATGCACGGTCGACACATCGGAAGATGTAGCTGTATCTGTGGAAGACAGACATGTCGATATTTCGGAGTTGCAGCCGACGATTGTTCTGGACGATAGTGGTGACGCCACACTATTGGTCGGTACGGATTCAGCTGCTCTTCAGCCGGTCCAGGTGTCTTCGACGGCTATGACCCTGGCCAGCCCGGTATGGAAAGACATGTTCGAAAAACACCGGAAAGCAAACGGAGCTATCGAGGTACCTCTGCGAGATGATGAAGTAGATGCATTGTACATTGCACTTCGGATAGCTCATCTGCGCTTTCATGAAATACCTCGGAAGGATGGGCTTACTATCGACGCCCTGCTTGAACTCGCAGTCGTGTGTGCCAGATACGATATTGTAAAGCTGGTTCGGCCATTCTTGGACCTTTACGGCTGGGCCCAATGCCATTATCCTGACACGGATGCTGGAGAGCGATGCGACCCTGCCTGGTTCTACGTTGCTTGGACCTTTGGGTACAAAGACAGCTTCCAGCGCCTTACCCGGTTCATAGTGAAGAAGATTGGACTAGATGAGGACGGCAATGCCATTATGGACGATGGCCAGAAACTTCCAAAGTATATGCCGCCAGGACTTCTCGGTATGATTCAACACGATCTCAACGGGACAAATACGAATACGTGCTAACCAGTGTCGAAGCACGCATGATGGAAATCCGGGAAACAACGATTTCGGCTATGCTGGATATCCTGTATGACATTTTGGACGATATCATCCACGTCTTCGTTTGTCAAGTCGACGAATCATGGGAGCCCAAATGCCGAGCCACGGTTTTGGGTTCTTTTATCTCTTTTCTCCTGGAGAATGATCTCTATCCAGCACGTCGCACGGCTTCTGAAACCCCCTTCAGCATCCAAAAGCTCTACGATTTGGCTTCTTCTGCTCAAATTCTGACCCTCGAATCACATGACTATAGGGAAATGGCAATGTGTGTTCGAAGATCCAGTTGGGATCCAGCAAGTGTGACAGCTGATACCTTTAAGAACCATGGTGGACTGACTTTGCACAAGAAGTGTTTTGGAGCTTTCCACCTGCGGTCCAAGTTGAAGACTATCTATTCTGATATAGGTTCAGCTGTCCTCCAATCCCATATCGAGCACATGGATAGACAGGCTCTGAAATGAATTCTTTAGCTACTTCTAGTCGAAGGGAGAGTTTAAAGATGCGATACCTTGAGCAAGCATATTCCAACCACTTTCGAGCCTCAAGGGTCAACCAGCAACATCGCTATTTCCTGGGTCACTGTTGGGGGTTGCCCTTCGTAGTGAGATTGAGCAATGGATGGTTTTCGTGGGATCACGTCGCTACAGCACGATGACGAGGCTCGGCTCGCGCTACCGCACGTAACAACAACACCCCGCTCGCAACGAGACTTGGTACTTGGCAACGACTTCTTCGACCTTCCCGATGTAGTCAATCAAAGTTCAACCCGCCCACTTCGAAGGTACCCCAAGCCATCGCCAAGAATGCGTAGCATGAAGATACCCGGTTGTACTCGGAATAAAACTGATAACAAGGCTGGCGAACATGGAGTCAAGCTTGGAGGTCATTGGCGTCGATAGTGCGGTTCGTGTCGGTACATAAACCTCGATGGTCTACAATATTTCCAAGCTTCAAGGTTGACAAGCTTGCCATGCGTCCAACCATTTCTTCCGCAGCCGTCGTGCTGCTGTTATCTGCCGCGCCTGTCTTGGCTCAATTTCCTGCGGAACCAGTTGGCCTCAAGGTGTTAGAATCGCGCTTTGGAGATGGCGTAAAGATTACCTACAAAGAGGTTTGTACATCTTCGACAATGATAGTTCTACCGATCTAATGACCAAATCAAGAATTCGCTCTGCGAAACTACGCCTGGTGTGAAGTCTTTCTCTGGTCACGTCTACTTGCCTCCAGGAACTGCAGACCTGGGACAAGGGCAGGATTATCCAATCAACAGCTTCTTCTGGTTCTTTGAAGCTCGCGAGGATCCTGCAAATGCGCCACTTACGATTTGGTTGAATGGAGGTCCCGGGTCTTCATCCATGTACGGCATCTTGGAAGAGAATGGACCATGCTATGCGAACCCAGACTCAAACTCCACTCGACCGGCAGAGTGGAGCTGGAACAGAGCTTCGAACATGCTCTATTTCGACCAACCAGTTCAGGTTGGCTTTTCTTATGACACCTTACAAAACATCACTCGAGACCTCGTTACTGGAGAGGTCACACTTCTCAACGAGACTACACCCGTGCCTGAACAAAACACCACTTTGCTCACTGGAACTTTCCCTAGTCGAGAGGCAAATAATACTGCTTTCGGTAGTGTCAACGGTGCCGTCGCAGCATGGGAATTTGCGCAGGCCTGGTTCCAAGAATTTCCTCACTACTTGCCAAACGACACTCGCATCAGTCTCGCAGCTCAATCATATGGTGGACGCTACGGTCCCGCCATGATGTCTTTCTGGGAAGAGCAGAACCAGCGCATCGAGAATGGTACCCTTGGCGAAGAAGGCTACATCATGCATCTTGACACCCTACTTCTCATCTCAGGATGCGTCGACCGCTACGTTCAGTACCCCTACTACCCCGAGCAAGCTTTTCGTGGGAACGGATACGGGTTTGAAGCTGTCAATGAAACGACATACAACGCCATGGTCGAATCAGTCCCGGAGTGTCTCGAGCGTATTCAGAACTGCCGTGACGCTGCGGCGCAAGATGACCCCGAAAACCTTGGTATCGATGCAGGTGTCAACGAGATTTGCGAAGACGCTGAAACTTACTGTCGCGCCAACATCGTCACCCCATACAACCAGTACGCAGGCCGCGATTATTATGACATCTCCACCCCCTCGCCGCCTCCATTCCCCCCTCCTTTCCACGAAGGATACTTGAATCGCGAATGGGTACAAGCCGAGCTTGGCGTCCCACTGAACTGGACCGGCAGCTCACCGCAAGCCTCCGCTGCATACCGCGACATTGGCGACTACCCTCGCGACAACTGGCTTGACGACCTCGGTTTCCTGCTCGACAACGGTATCAAAGTCTCGCTCGTCTACGGAGACTTGGACTTCGCTTGTCCCTGGGGTGGCGGTGACGCTGTCGCCAAGGCAATCAACTGGACTGGATCTGCCGGCTACGCGTCAGCGCAATATGCTGAGATCCAGACCAACGACTCCTATGTTGGGGGTCTTGTGCGTCAATACGGTAACCTCAGTTATATCCGCACATACCAAGCTGGTCACGCGATCCCTGCATACCAGCCAGAAACCGCGTTTAAGATCTTCTCGCGTGCGCTGTTCAATCTTGATATTGCAACTGGAACTGAGTCAACGGCTGGAACGCAAGAGAGCAGCACGTACATGAGCACCGGCCGTCCGGATCCTAATGTGCAGTTTGACGCCTTCACTAGCGAGAGACTGACGTACTGCTACACCTGGGATTTGAGTTCTTGTACTGAAGAGACGGTCGACGCGGTTCTGGATGGTTCGGCAGAGATTTGCCAGTACCTGGTTGTCGACGCCAACACTACGCAACTTTTCCCAGAGGTTATTGCGCAATGTCGTGCGGGCAGTGGTGGGAATGCTACGGCACCGGGCGAACATAGTAACAGTACGTTGCCAGAATTTGAAGGCGGTGCTGCGAGGGTCGGAGGACGTGCGTGGACGTTCTGGTCCGGATTGGTCATGTCGGTCGTCGTGAGCTTGACGCTCTAGTCCGATAATGTCAATCATGAACATAGATGCTAGGTATACAACTTGTGTTCACAACCGTGGTAGAATACCAAAACCGCATCCTGAAGCATACATTACATCTTGATTCGTAATTGCATCCCCTACTATCTGCTCTTTGTTCCTGATCCTAAGCATCAATGTTCGCGCCGAATTTCTTAGCCTGTTCCCGTGCTACCTTGTCTCCAAGGCTGAGTTCACCACCTTCACTTCCCTTACCTCCATTCCCACTTTCACTCTCTCCACCCTTCTTCCCACTCGCACTATCCTTACCACCGTCTTTGCTCTTATCACCGTGCTCCAAACTAGTCGCGCCATGCAATTCCTCCACGTCAGCATGCCCCCCATGTTTCTTCACAATCTCATCCCCAGCTCCTTTGCTTTTCTCCGTCGCGTCAGCCACCCTTTGCGCACGCGCATCCATCTCCTGCCCTTTACTGCTAGCAGTCGACATGTTAACCTCATCTTTATCCAGCTTGGTGAACTTTTGGTCAAGGTGAGAGCGCTCAGGGGAAGTAGCGGAGTGGTGCGGTTGGTCCCGCTTTTTGGAGTTCTTGTTGGCAGAAGATGACGAGGTGTCGGTCTTTAGGTGGTCTGGCGTGGGCTCTTCGTCTCCCTCTTCGAGAGGGTCTTTCTTGGGCTCGTTGACGCCGAATTGCTCCGCGTCGTCGGCGATGGGTGCTGCGGCACCGCCAGCGCCCATGCCGGGAAGGGCTGGAATAGGTCAGTGCTTTTGATTGGAGCTGATATATCTGTGTGGTTTCCTACCATCTCCTGCTTCCTGCTCGGGCATAGGTGCTACATGCTTGGTATGTTGAAGCGTTTTCTGTCGGTCACATGTCAGCAGGAGTACTTGTGTTTTCAGTACACCGAAACACACACATCGCCTGAAGCACCATGAAGTAGCTCGTGACCCTCGATGGGGCCATTGTCACCAGATCCATCTCCGTTGCGAGGCATAATGTTTAATTTGCGAGTTGACGAAAAGTTACGTGTGTGGTTTCCGAGTGTAGAAAGCTGTGTAGCAAGAATGTTCAACCACCACCATGATCACACGCGACCTTGATATACTGCCTGCACTAGCTTTCAGGTACCTTGAAAGTTGGCACATTCCCCAAGTTCTATGTCTTTGGTTCAAAGACGTCATAGCTTTTGTTTATTGTAAGTGCTGGCACTAATCGGCCACTAGGCGGTGTCGGAGATCGTCCGGCATGCATACAGTGGGCTTGCTTCTTTTCGTGTCTGACTAGCCTCTCAGGCACAGCACTAGATTGGAAGGTAATTACCAGTTCTCCAGGTTTTGTGTAGTCATCGCTCGGGGTTCAAGATCGATTTCTAGTTTCGGAATGTGGAGCCTTCGTATGGAATGTTCATTACAGTATTAGCTGAGGGTATAATACAAATTGGCAGTGTCGCACACTCATTATAATCATCATGATGTTCCCCATCGTACACCAACAAATGAAAAGCTCAATACACAACCTTGTGGTCCCAGAGAGGCGCCTGCCTCACACTATTGTCATCCCACTCAACCTTACCCTTCTCATTCATTACCGCACCCTCATCCGTAACCTCAACACCGTAGCTTCCCAGACTTTCAGTCAGCTCAGAAACCTGATTCTTGCTAACGCCAGCCTGATCTCTGGCTAGCCAGATGACTTCTTCGCGTTGAGCCAGGGCAGGGTGGAGGTAAGCCTCAAGAACGTCTTGTTTCGTGTACGCTGGGACAGGGTGGCGGAAGCGCGTAGTTAGGGAAGAAGAGATTTCGCTCGCAGAAGCAGTGTGAGGGGAGAATATCTTTTTGAGCATGGATCGTTGCGGTGGTGCGCCGGAGGGAGGTGCCATGCCAACGGCTTCGGCGCCGACGTGTTGGCGGCCTTCGTCGCTGAAGGTGGAAACAAGTGCCGATTCAGATTGCCTACTGTCATTGCGCCCGACGTTGCTATATCCAGGATGCATGCCATTGCCCTCTGAGTTTCTTCCGGCTTCGGCATCATTTCGCTGGCTAGGATGGTGGGAGTCGTCGAGCAGATCCATCTTCTTGATCTTGCGTTTCATAATGATGTGAAAGATGACGGTCGCTACGATCAACACGACCTGAAGCACGGTAGGTCCAGCAGAAACGACGCTGTTGCCGATTCCGATTCCGAAAAGACCTAAAAGACAAAGCTCTCCAAGATAGACACCAACCATAAGTTGCTCAAGTGCGCGAGCGTAGAAACCACCCTTGGTGTCGATATGGGTGTCGTGAACGTAGATCATGTTGTAGCGATACGCAAGGTAGATGCACCCGATTCCAATTGTCGCAAAACCCAAAACGAGCGGCGCGATACACGCGTATGATAGGGCGATGACACCCAAGTTAGTCCATTTAGGATATTCCGCTCCCCACGACGGCTCAGTAAAAGATACGTAGCGCATGTACTTCTTTCTTGGAGTCTTTGCAAACTTGCTCAGAATGAACACACCCACCAAGCCCATCAGATTGAAGAGATATCGCGAGGCGTTGGCAAGTCCATAGAGAATGAAGTAAGAGATGTAGAAGTTGGAAGCCTTGGGAAGGTTCTTCGATAGCAGAGTGATAGCCGATGACGGGTTGCTGACGATCTGGCTAGCCACTGCTGAGGCGCTGGAGGTAAAGGTCGTGATGAGGAAAACTTGGATGACCTGGAAAGCAAAGTACCATGTCTGGCACTGCTGTTCGACTTCAGAGACTGTAGTGGCGCCAGCAAGCTTTGCGAAAACTATAAGGGTCAACAGGAAGTTTGAAATAATTTCGAGACTGGTAGCTTACAGCGACAGATGATCGGTACCAATGCCATGAGCACAGCAAGTAGAACAGTTGGCAGAAGTCCAGTAACCACACCAAGGATAACAGGCGGAATAGAATCGATCCAGGCTAGGAATGGCACATTCGCTGTGAGATAGTTGACGTTGCTGATGATACCAACAACTGCTACAGGAATGGCCCAGAATATGATGAGGGCTGAGATAGCAATGGTTGCAAGGAAATGTCGGATCATTCTGTTTTTGGACCCCATGTTGAGGTTCTTCCAGATGACTTCGTCCGGCAAGACACCCATCTGTCGAGAGGAGAAACTGGTCGGTCTGCGGTGCTGGTTGTCGTTGAAGGCAGCTTCGGCAGCTGCCATGGTGTTGAACTCGATGAAAATGGCGCTGGCTAGTTTCTCCTTGCCAGCGAGGTGAGACTGTTGTGCTGACTGGATCTTGGGCAACAGTTCCTTGATCTGGTTGCGGTAGTAGCCGATAGAATCGACCTTGTGCCCGATCAAAGGCTTCAAGCGGTGTGTGGGTCGCAATGCTTTGTCGGCTTCGTTCTTCTCGTTGCTCTTTTTCTGCTGTTGCTTGGTGACGGCTGCCATATACTTAATCTCGCTGGCCTCTAGTTTGGGTACCGTTTTCTCGAGCTCCTCAACATCATCTTCTAGGTCTTTCACATCTGGGACCAGCCAAATCTGTGCCACCTCCGGAAACATGGCGTGAAGACGCTCAAGCGAAAGGTCCTTCTCTGGCACATCGGTGAACAAGACTGTTCGTTGCGAGATTCGACTCGCATTCCAGGTGGACAAGAGGTAGGCCTGTCGAACCTTGACAAGGTACAACATCTCTCTGCCAATGAGGAACAAGACCCATCCGAAGAAAACCCAGGCCATGAGCGCGTGGGCAAAGTATCGCACCTCGTTTTCGATGTTCGAGAAGCTGAGAATGTCCAAGCCCGACTGACCGCCGCCACCAGTTGCGTTTACAGGGAAGAGTATTGGCCACGTGATGATGGCACCGACAAATGCCATCAGTGTGAGTACTTTGAGGAAGCGCATATAGAGGTAGGCATCAAGAGAGTGGTGGTTGAGGACGTATTCGTCACTGAGATGCATAAACTTCGAAGTCCATCCAAAGAAACTCGAGCCTGCTGATGGTGTCTTTTCACTATTGCGAATATCAGTATTGTTTGGGTAATATTGTCATCGAAATACATACTCTTCGAGCAGCGCATCGTGATATGTTCGTGGCGCATACAAACGCTTCTGCTTCGCACGTAGCAGAAAGAAGGCTCCCACGAGAACAGCTGCGACTACAAAACATGGTACCAGCGTCGATACCATAGCAGACAGCGAAGAGCTGCTGGTACGATGGCTTCCCTGCTGTTGAGACATGGCGGGCGACGTCGATCGTTTAGGGGACGTTGCGCTGCGAGAATGCAATTCGTAAAACATCCCCCGAGCAGATCATCCTGCCTTCATGTATTGAATGCAATTGCCAATGGCGCTTGCATCATAGCACCCAAACTTTGGCGTTCTTCCCGTAAACATTCAATGTCATAGTACATGGTCGGCACATGCGTTCCGACTAGTCGCATGGCCGATCAAATGAGATGAACCAGGGGCAGGTCGCGCGAAATCGGAGGCTGGAACGCAGGACGGTCAGAGGTTAGACGACGATCTAGCGTACCGGTTACGTCGACCCAAGACTGTAGCGCATGGTTCGTGAAGCTTGCGGGGATGAAGCTCGAACATGGACGCGGGGGCCATCGCTGGTGTCGTCATTGTCCTGCTGCGAAACTCGAGCAATCTCTGCAAAACAAGGCAGTGTATTCAACAAGAGGTGCTGGGCATTGGGTCCGCTACATCTAGTCTGCCGTTTTGCCGTATGGGTTTAACCTAGAGCAATTTCGAAGGTATCTCGTTTGTCATTGTTGGAGGTAGACGTTTGTTGAGTAAAAGTCATGGGGCGGGACCTCACAGTCAAAATTTGCCCGAAGTGTTATGGCGCAGTCACTTAGCCACAAATAGGCTTGCGCCACCGTGGAGTAGGTGGGTCAGAGTTTCCTTGCGATTCGTCCACGCCCTCAGCCCGTTCTCCTTCGCATCTTTACACAATCATAAATCCTACCCATGAATCCTTGACGTTGCCCGAGCGTTTGTCGTAGTGTTGAAACTAAGCGCAAGTACCTGGGAATCCCTCAACGGAGCCTCTTGTCAGACATCTGCAAATGATGCCAAAACGTCTTCTGGGCTATTTTAAACCAATGCGGCCCGCTTATGAGCGCGGAGAACGCTGATGCCTGCGGTTTTGTATGTAGGCCTGTGAACAGTTGTTCAGCATCTCTAATTAACAGCATTCGTTCTGATATCACAGATCCTAGTACCGACTTCTATCTTGATATACTACACGACGACGATGACCGAGGCCCGCAAAGAAAGAACACTAGAGTCGCTTGCAGTTGGCCACCAAGTACGTCAACGACAAGTGGACTCCTTGGTGGAATTCGAGAAATACCCACAGCCTGCTCCTTTCCCAAGTGGTCCTATTACATATCTACTCATATGCGTTAGAAGGCAACGATACTCTAGAAACAGCAGCAAAACAGCCTCGTTATCTACATCAAGCACAGAAAATGAGTCGCTCCTCGCGATCGCTCCCAAGACCAGCCCAAGACATACCAAGATCTTCCCCGCAAGCTTACCCCAGATTCGCACACAACGTTACACATTGTGGCAATCATTACCACATTTATTCAGTTCTCTTTCGTGGATTTAGGAGGTTGTGGGTCTACGGAAAACATTTCGCTGCTGGAGGTCTCATGGCTTACTTGGCATCATCGTACTGCTGCTGTCACACGTCGACTATGGGTTGGCGGTGGCTTAAATCATGAACTACAATGCTTGGAATATGCGACGTAGCTTTCGAACAAGGCCGCGGTACATGCGCACGGAACGTATGACCTGCATGCTAACATCCAAAGGCTGGAGATTCTCTGGAGTCTATAACTGCATGACGTGCCGTCTCTTGGTGTAATCCATGTTACTAGACGAGACTGAATTCCCACTCGACTCCCTTTCGACTTGTCACTTGAAGTCCATCTACCATAACCATCATGACTCATACCACCACCAAAGACGGGTCCGCCGACCACATCGAGCACCTCGAAAAGGGTCTCGCCACACCATCAACCTCATCCGACACAATTGACTTAAAGCTCGCAACCAAGCTGCGCCATCGAGTCGACTGGCGTTTAATCCCAGCCCTAGGCGCCATGTATGGTATCAGTCTCATGGATCGCAAGAACGTAAGCAACGCTGCAATTGCTGGCATGCTTTCCGACCTGCGCATGAGTCGTGGATACGGATACAACCTTGTCAACCTGTGCTTCTTCATCACATACGTCCTATGCCAGCCGTTTATGATCATCGTATGCCGCAAAGTCGGGCCGCGGCTGTTCTTGCCTGGTATCTGCGTTGCGTGGGGTGCGGTCATTGTTGGTTTTGGGTTCACGAATAATTGGCAGAGTCTTGTTCCGTTGAGGTTGGTGCTGGGGTTGCTTGAGAGTGGATATTTTCCTGGTTGTCTTTACCTTTTGTCATGCTGGTACACGAAGTGTGAGTCTCCATGATGCGGCTTGGTTGAAGTCTTGTCTGCAAAGCGCTGATCAAAGGTAGTTGAGGTCGCAAAGCGCTACAGCGTTTTCTACTTCGTTGGTAGTATTGCATCGGCAATGAGCGGTATTCTTGCATATGGGCTACAGCAGATGGAAGGTGTCCAGGGAATCCGTGGATGGCGGTGGTCGGTCCTATCGCACATCAGCATCGTTTGACACGTCACTGACAGCTCTGCAGGATCTTCATCATGGAAGGTGTGATTACAATCGGCGTCGCGCTATTCGCCATCACATTCATTGTGAAATTTCCAGACGAAGAAAAGGCCAAACCGTCCTGGGGCTTTCTCAAGCCTCATGAGCTTGACGTAGTGATCGATCGGCTCAATGCCGATAGAAACGACGCGACGGCAGAGAAATTCTCCTGGAAAAAGTTCCTGGAGCCAGCAAAGGACTGGTACATCTACGCGTTTGCACTCATCCTGCTCTTCGTCACGACCATCGCGTATGGCTTCGCCTTCTTCTTACCCATCATTCTGTCCACCAAGCTCAAATTCAGCATAGCGATGAGCCAATGTCTCGGTGCGCCCCCATACGCCGCGAGTGGCTTCTTAATGTACGGTGCGGCGTGGTTCAGCGACAAGTACAAGACGCGAGGTCCCGTGCTGGTGGTCTTGTGCTTGGTTTCACTCATCGGGTTACCTATCATGGGCTTCGCGTCAAACCCTTGGGCGCAATACGTTGGTGTTTTCATTACTGTATCGGGCACCAACTCCGCGATTCCAAGCGTCATGGCTTACCAAGCGAACAACATCCGTGGGCAGTGGCGACGCGCATTCTGCTCGGCATCGTTGACGGGTATTGGGGGGATTGGCGGCATCGCCGGTGCTCTCATCTTCAGGACGGAAGATGCGCCGTCCTACGTACCGGGGTTTGCTGCGTGTATGGCGTGCAATGTTTTGGTCATTCTGTTGGTTGGCGTCTTGACTTTATGGTTTCGGAGCGAGAACGCAAAGGCTGATCGAGGGGAGAAAGTGTTGTTGGAGGACCCTAATTTCCGCTTCACGATCTAGAGCATTCGAGAAGAGGTGGTTTGCGGCGACCACACCTCCGACACCGGCCTAGCACTGGAAGCGTTCAGCTTCATTTAAAGTCAACGAACGATGATTGAGACCTAGGTCTACACCAGAGTGATAACTTCTCTTTCGATTGTTGAGAACGCCTCCGAATGCTCGTCATCCAGCTGAAAAGTGCCAACGCGTTCGAACGTGCCAGCAGTAGTGCCTAGTCGCAACACAAGACCGCAGCGAGTACTCGGACTTGAGGATGTACTCTCATGTACCTTGACTTGCATAACATAAAGGTCTTCGCCTGCCTCTTCAGAACCTATGAGCTCGATTCGATCATAAGTCATGAAGCCTATGGTCCATCCTGCATCTTCCCGAGCAATGTGATAGGTGCCCATCGTCCTGCCCGCCGTATCGTTTTCGGTGTACCGCTTCTGGCGTACGATCTGCGCAATGCCAGCTCGGAGTGTCAGAGAAGCGTGCCTGATACTACCGTACTCATTCAAAGTGTCCAACTCGACGTCGTGGCCAATGTACTCAATCGTGCTATCCTCCGGACGGATATCAGGCCAGCGTCCACCGCGAGAATAAGGAATGGTTGCGCCGTCCCAACGAGCCCACGACCAGCTCGGGGCTCTATAAGTACCAGGGTCCGTGGGGTCTGTCATGGCTTCAGGACCCTCGGGTGCCCATAAAAGTGAATCGGCCAGGGCACCCAGCCACAAGCCTGCAATATATTGATCCTCTTCATAGGTGACTTGTGTCAATAGGGTATGATTGAGTTCTTTTACAAGACCTGAGATTGCCGGCAACTTGTCCGAGGCGAAAGTGAGCTTTCGCCGACTGTAATCGGCTAGAATTTGGAACCACCAGAAATACACGGCTGACCTTGTTGCTAGAGTGTGATCCCATGACTCCGATTCCGAATCGCTGCCCTCAGAGGTTGACAAACGCTCACTGGTCTCCGATCCAGATCTTGCAAGGGGGGAAGCTGCGTCGTCGGCGTCCTCGTCAGAGATCTCCTCAGAGGAGTCATCTGCGCCATATGTTCGAGTGAGCGAAACCGGTAGTCGCATGATTCTATAGCCACACTCAGATGCAAAACCTCTTCGGCACTCCCAAAATATTTGGTTTGTACTGAAATGAATGACTCTCCTCGCTAGATGTCTTTCTTGCAAGGTCCATGCGCGTTCATTCCAAGTCGATCCGTCGACATCAGTCTCCATGTGTTGGGTGTCGCGCGTTTCCGTGTACCGCGCAACAATGGATTCGGTCGCTCCGGTGCCTGGGAACCCATCGGCCAATTTTCCATCCAGATGGCGCGGTAGCGGTATCGTAAAAATTCGATCCGCAAGCATGTAATCGAGGAAGCCATCCTCGCTTGTAGAGGCTGAAGTTGCTGCGATGGTCACGAAAGCGGATTTGTACACCCTATCCATCTGCGCCCCTTCCTTGGCCCAATCTGAAGTAGAGTCTTGCAAAATGCACCTAAGATAGAGGTGTGACATCAGTGACAATCCCAGACACCGTGGCTACGGTTGAAATAACTCACAAACTGTCTATCCAGATATACCTCAATCCCAGCGCGCGGGTGACAAATATGGCGTGCTGAAAGTTCAGTGGCATGCTAATCGTTGTCAGTGGTAGCTTGCTATGATACACGTAGTAAGCTTACCTCTCCAATGGGATACCGAGCATATGCGACTGTATATTAGTCGACAGCGTTTTCAGCATCCGAACACCAGGCCCAGGCTTGCCCCAGCAATGAGAAAGCGCAACATATCGAGAAGCAGGCCCGGAGGTGACCACCAGTCTCGGATCAGCCGTGTCATCTACTGCACCAACGTCGATGACCCGCGTCGGCCAAAAGTCCTCATTTCCAGACTCACATTGCCAATGAACCCCAGCGCACTTGGAAATCATCTGCTCGAGTCGCTCGATACACGCGGAAGAGTAACGGTCTGTCGAAGGAGGTAGTCGTCTAACTCTCATATAGGTGCTCGCGAACGAGCCTGCATGAGAAAAGACCTCGAAGTGGAGAGTGTGTGGTGGCGTCACTGGACAGGATACTTGCACCTCCAGCAATACGATGCCCTCCTGCTCCGGGCTGAGCTCTGACTCCCAGAACGATTCGTGAAGCCACGTCGCAGGCCCAATCGTGACATCGCGAACATCTTTTGGCCAATCAAGTACTGAGATACGCTTTTTCAACTCAGTGCAAAAAGGGCAGCCTTTGTTGGCTTCTTCATGTAAAACTGGCAGATCTGGTAATGTGTCTGACCGAAGGTAGTCAGCCACAGCAGTAGAGTACTCCTCTTCGACATTGAATATCTCGGGTAGAAAGATGCGGCGGCAAATCCGACATAGGGAAGCGTCGGACGACATCCTCGCTTCCTCTCGTGTTTGAGTGATGAAGTACGGTAATGAGCACGATGAGGCAGCGCAGCTGCTGCCCACGGATAAAGATCACGAGGTGATGCAGGCACTCGCTTACCTACGATCACAAACAGCTTAGGACAAGTAGCTCTTAGCTTTTAACAGGTCAAGGCGAGCTACGGATGTTTTCTCAACGAATTACCAGAGGTACATCCAATGTTCAAGCGATGCGGTAGAGTTTCCCTCCATCTCCGACCTTGTGGATGGTGGGGCAAGGGGCATCGACATTTCGAATGGGGTGTTCATTGGTCCTCGAGCAGCATTTCCAATGGTGCAAAGTATGCTGGAGAACCCGATAGGCTAAGATTTACTGTTCTGCGGGAGTGATCTCACTCAATAGCGTAGCGTAAACTTCCACGATTAATGACATTACACTCGCTATAATACAAGCCTCTATCACCCCGCTATACACTCAGCTCATAAGCAACCTCGTGACAGCGCCGACATTCAACGTCCTCAAATCACTATAATGCTGCCCAGTACCCAGAAACACCACCGGAATACCCGTCGCATGCACCATTGACACCAACGTCCCCACCATGTCTCCCACAGTATCGCATTTTGATATGACAAAGCCGTCGAGGTTCCTGCCCGCGCCGAAAGAAGCGTTAAAGTTTCTTGCTTGGGCTACAGAATCCGTGCCGACGAGGGCTTCACCCACCATGAGGATTTTGTCTGGATTGGCCAGTTTGCCGAACTTCTCCAGTGAAGACATGAGGCGTTGGTCGTTGTGGCGGCGGCCGGCAGTGTCGATGAGGACGACGTTGAAGCTATTCTTTGAAGCAAAGGTGACGGCGTCGGCAGCAATGTTTGCGGCGTCTTTGCCGTAGCCCTTCTCGAAGAGGTCGACTTGTCCGCCTTCTCTCTGTGAGAGCTCTTTTAATCGGTCTACGTGGACACGTAGCTGTTCGACAGCTCCAGAACGGAAGGTGTCTGCTGCGGCGATCAGGACGCGGTGGTGGTTCTGGAGCAGGAAGAAAGCGATCTTGGACAGGTTTGTTGACTTTCCAACGCCGTTTACTCCGACAATGGAAAGTACGTAGGGGCGGGATGTGGTGGCGTTAGTGTGTTGGATCTCGCGAAGGAGGTCGAGGGAGGATGTTGGGGTAAGCATCTTGGTGAGGGCTTTCTCCATGGAGGCTTTGAGGGTTGTCTCAATTGCTATTGCAGTAGTCAGTATACGTGCTTGGTAATAATTAGATGTGCCGACTGACTGGTGAAGCTTGGAGTCTTCATGCCGAGGAGATCCCGCTCGACGCTTTCGCATAATCGTACTGCTGCTTCGAGAGCTACGTTCTTGCGAAGAAGATGTTGTTCCATTTCTTTCAGGGGCTTTGCCAGTGCCTCCTTGGTGAGTGTCTTGCCGCCCACTACGTTCCTGAAGAGTCCACCAATTGCACCCAAACTGGATCCTACAAGTCCACCAGATGCTGCGGGCGCCTCCTTCTCCTTCTTTGCATTCTGCACTGCGATGATCTCGTCCATTTCTTCGTCGAGATCCTTGAGCACAAACTCGCCCCTCTTCGTCTTGTGGCCCCAGGTCTCTGGCCTGATCTCCTCGAGCGCTTCGTTTCCAGAGGCATCGCCTTGAATATCTGACTGTGAATAGTCGAGCACAGAGTCGTCCTGCTCTTCTGCGCCAAATTCACCCCACACTCTGCCCTTTTTCGCTGAGCCCTTGCCCTTCTTCTTTGCTGATGCTTCGTCGCCCGACGATACTGGCGCCGAGCTGAAAGCCGAAGCCTTCTTCTTGTCTCTGCGTGACATCTTGCCCCCAAACGGCCTCGCCTTTCCTGTCAGGAGCTGACTTTGGCCAGGTGTGCTAGGCCGCGAAGTATCTGGCGTAGGCACTGGTGTGGAATCGGCACTCGTATCGTACAGGGACTGCTGTGGTTTCTGTAGCGCGGCTGGTTTGGGTGCAACTTCGTCGGCGCTGTCGTTGTCGGTGCTCGATTCGGGAGTGGTGAGCTTGATGCTTGGTGCGCCAGAGTCGCTCGCGCCTTCGAGGTCGTGCATCTGGCGGTCAAAGTAGGTGCCGAATTTGTCGCAGTTGACCACACTGCTGTGTTCCGTCTGGAGCTGCTCGCCGTAGAGGCCGACGAAGAGCGCGCGCACATTGTCAAGCAGTTTATCTACCCAAGTGAGGTGAACCAGGCTTTGGTATACCGCCTGTGGAGAAGTCAGCCACTGTGCATCTCTATGTTGCAATGCGCCGTGCCTCGACTGCCACGCATTGTTGGCCGTGGCACAGCAAGACATACCACAAAGATGAGACCGAGGTCCTTTGCCGCCGTCCACTTCAGCGTGTATCCCTCCTTCTTGTACGTAGGCTTGGAGCCGGCATCCTCGGACTGGGGTTGTATGCGCTCCTCGATGAAGACATCTCGTATTAAACTGTTGATGACGTTTGCGCCGACCGGGACGTAGGTGCGCGACCACAAGACGACACCCGAAGTGGTCACTATCTCAAAAGTGTCCAACATGGCGAGGGTGAAGGGCGGGGCAAGTGTTGCGAAAGGGAGACGTGGTGGTGCGGCGGGCACATGTGGGCGATGGGCTTATGACGAACGGCCGTGCGCGCCTCTTGCCAGATGGTCGGAATTCGGAGGTGCCAACGACACCGCAGCTCAAGGCAGAAATTCAACAACAACCACGGCGACGTGTCCAATTGCGCATCTCCAAACTGTGTCTCCTTTATCCTGTAGTCATTCTTGAAAACCACACTCGCTACATCAACCACCACCGCCACCGCGACGCGCAACCATGCAGCGCCCCAACTACGGCAACCCACCACCGGCGCATTCACCACCCCGTACGTATCGTCATGTCTTTGTTCGCCTCTCCAACGCATCACATATACTGACTCCCGCTAGTACATCACCCAGTTCCACAACACGTTTCCACAGTCCCCCAGCTACGATCACCGCCTCCCCCGCAACCCCCTTCACAACCCCAAAGCGGCTATGGCTACGGACAGCAAGCAGGAGGCATGCCGCCTCAGCAGGGCGGATATGGCGTGCACCCGTCCTTCGGCGGCTTCATCAACGACCCCACTGCCCAATTAGGCTTCCAGATGGGAAAGAGCGCAGTCGATGCCGGACAGCACTATATGGAACAGAACGTATGTACCTGCATGCAATAGCACCCTGCCCACTGATGCATGGGCAAAGTACTGACAGCCCCCCAGCTAGGACGATTCGTCTCCGTATCCGCACTCAAGCACTACTTCAACGTCACAAACTCCTACGTCCTCACCAAACTCCGCATCATCCTAATCCCATGGTGGCACCGCCCCTGGTCGCGCCAACAACGACACGCGCCCGACCCCTCAGCCTCTGCTGCGCTACTATACCAGCCCCCGCGCGAAGATGTGAACTCGCCAGACATGTATATCCCCACCATGGCGCTGGTGACGTACATTCTGCTTTCAACCTTCATTGCAGGTCTGCGCGGCGCTTTCAACCCCGAACTCCTAGGCACAACGGCTACCGTTGCCATCGCCGTGACTTTGCTCGAAATTCTCATCATCCGAACTGGCACCTTCCTTCTCGCTATCAGCAGCTCAAGCCAGCTCCTCGACCTCGTCGCATATAGTGGCTATAAATTCGTACACGTCATTGTTTCGCTCCTTCTTACCAACTTGGCTACTTGGATCGGGTTTGGCAGCTCATGGGTCGGCTGGGTCATATTCTTGTATTGCTTCAGCGCAAACTCGTTCTTCTTGCTTAGGAGCTTGCGATATGTGCTGTTGCCCGATATCAGCTCCCAGAATAGCTATGGAACGCCCGCTGCAGCGGGATACACGGATTCAAAGAGCCAGAAGAGCCGGAGGACGCAATTCTTGTTCGTTTACAGTTATGTGGTGCAGTTTGGGTTTATGATTTGGCTGAGCAAGGTATGAGTGGGGTGTTCAAAAGAGGGATGATATCTATACTGGGAAGAGAATCGACAAGGCATGTCGTATTCAGATTGCGGGTTGGACTCGAGAGCACATGCAAACCCATGCGCTTGTGCGATAGCCCATATCAAAGGACTGAGCACGCAGACAGCCTGCGCAAGGAAAAGAGACGCATATGAGGAACACGATGTAAACGTATTTATCAGCGTTCAGCGTCAGCATTTGCTTCCTCAATATCAAAAAAAATCTTGCGAGTGGAAACTCAAATGCAATAGGCTACAAGAGATGCCCATGTTGAGAAGTCTACGTGCATCTAAATCATGTCGACTGAGACAGGCGAAGAACGCCCAAGATCATCGAAATACTACTTCTGAAACCCAGTCGTGTGACCATGAACACCACACCCCTTCCATAACGCCATGCCCATACACGCCAGTGACCCTCAATTTCAAAACATACCATCTACCCAACAACAGGAATAATTCTCCCCACCGCCCTCATCTGGCCCCTCTCCTCCTCAATCTCCTTCTGATAGTCCAACACCAACTCTCCAAACTGCTCAATCTGATCCTGAGCCTTTGGTGCTCCAATCAACACAATGCCCCTGGGCACAACCACATCGTTTACCTGGAAGCACCCAAACGTAACCACCTTCTTGATCGCAGGACACGACCGGAAGACACCAGCAACAATCTGCGTATCAACCACGGGACAGAAAGACAAGTTGACCTCGCGGAGATGAGGATATTGTTTGGTGCCGTCAAAGACTTCTGTAAAAGTCGCGTGGGAAATGTGGCGGCAGGAAGATATGTCTAGGAACTCGAGGCGCGAGCCGGAATGTGCCATCAGCGCGCGGAAGCCGTTGGAAGCGAGGCCGATGGGTTCATCCTCTGGGCCGTCAGGGTTAGAGTTGTCCATGTCGCGAGTGGAGTTTACGTCGATGTAGTGGAGGGGCGGGTTATCCCAGCCAGAAAAGAGATCGACGTAGCCAGCGTCGGTGCACTCGTTGTTTTCAGTGAAGCGAAATTTGCTAAGTTGGTGGCACTTGTTGTGGATGGTCTCTAAGACGTCGTCGGTGGGATCTGTTGTGTTGTCGAGGAAGTGCTCTAAACACAGGGTGCGGAGGTTGGCGCCAACGGAGTTTACCAAGTGGACGAGCTTCTCGCGGGTGATGGGGTCGTAGAAGCGGAGTGTGAGATGCTTTAGGTGCTTCAAATGAGCTATGGCGTCGATGCTGTCTGGCCCAATCTTCTTGCAACGCTCGATCTTCAGACGCTCAAGGTTTGGACAGAAAGTGGTAAGTGCTTCTACTACCTGATCGTCGAATGCGGCGTCCAACCATTCCACCTTGAGTGTCTTCAAATCTTGGCCTCGGGCGATGAAGAGTTCAGCCCATTTGTCGTTGGAGACAAGGTTAGCTCCCAATAATTGGATCTCTTCAAGCGCCTTCGCCTTTTCGTTCATGTAGTCGATATTACTGTCCTTAAACTGGCAACAGTTGCGAAGAGATAGACGCTTAACGTATGGGCAAATTGCAAAGATCTGATCATAATCCTCAGTCTCGAGGTATGCAGCCTCATGAATTGCAACCGATTGCATATCGGGCTGGAGGAACAACTTCATCGTGTTGGAGTTCATCGCACGCTTCTTCGAGAAGATCTCACTGATTCGGTTCATGATGCCCTCTGGCATCTCGCCCAATTCGTCAATGTCTTCGGAATGTTTGGCGAGCTTCTCAATGCACAGCTGTTGTAGCGTCTTGGGTCCGCGCACAGTCATACCATCGAGGCGGTTGCTCTCAATCTTCCTTCGGCCCTTGCGCACGACGGGCTTAGCTGCCTTCTTCTCTGCCTTTGCATCTTTCACCATCTCTTTTCCACACGGTGTACAAAGAAGTCCACCTTCTGGACCCGCCTTGCTGTATGGTGTGACGGTAAAACGCTTGTTACAAATCTCGCAGTTCTCCAGCTGTCCAGGAAGCGGCTTAGCCTTCTTGTACATGTCCATGACGTCCTCAAAGTCGGAGTCATCATCTGAGCCCTTCTTCTTTTTCTTTGACGCCTTCTTAGCCGCCTTGCCTTTCTTTATCTTCGCTATGGCCTCTTCTTGATTGCGTTTACGTTTGCGGGAGCGTTCAGCTGCCATTGCAGAGGACTCTGCTTGCAGGTCTTCTTCGACATCTTCGCCTTCTTCACCAGCATTCGACGGTCCTTCGCCGTTGTCTTCTGCTTCCTCGGCGTCTTGCTCTGCTTGTCGAACACGTTGTTGGTACGAGTCACGGATCTCTGCGGCGGAGATGTTGTTCGCCTGGAATTTTCTGATTAGCAAATATACCTTCCAAGTACCTTCTCATATGAAGTTTGCGCCACCGCTATTGCGCTGGCACAGCCGCCTTCGACCTTGATATCGCAAAGCGCAGATGCTGTATAGCCTGGTCGCAAGGATATGAGTTACTCACCGCCAGAAAGTCTGTCAGCGCAGAATGTGGCCCTCGAATACCTGCACCTCTGCCTGCGCCCCTAGGTCGTCGTCCGGTCCTGTCGCCACTCGTCAGGATTGCGCGCTCGCTCACTTGAATTCCTAAACTTGACTTACATGATTTCTGTATTCTTATCCTGTTAGGTTTGCGATTTTCAAGAGAGCAAATTGATCGAAAAGTTTGCGGAGGAACAGTTGTGCTGATTGAGTCTGCTTGGGGTGAGTGGGGTGAGACATCGATAGGAAGGCGCGTCGGGGTCCGGGCATCCGCAGTCGCGCAGTCACGTGGTGGCAATTGGTTGCTTGTTCCGGGTTAGTCTACCCCTGACAAGTCTCTCACTTTCACCCTCGCAGGTATGGGGCTAACTGTAACGCCATCGATTGAAAAGTTGAATTTTTTGTAAGACTACGACGGCCCCGTCAATCTCCATTAGGAAACTTGCCAGCCATATAGTCGCAAGTCACCCCAGTAGAACAAAATAAATTTCCAACGCCTACCCATTCCCAAAGTCCCAAGCCTTGCCGAATCCGACCGCTTGCTTGATTTTGTATCCTTCATCTCTGGCCTCCCTGTTCACACAAGGAAATCATTCAACTAGATGATAGTATCGTCATCACTGTCATCATCGTCATCTTCATCATTCTCCTCTTCATCGTCATCAGAATCCCAAGCACCAAGGTCAGAGCCAGTCTGTCGAGCAATGTCACCCATAGGCATCTATAATACAGTCAGCATGGGTGTTGGCTACACATCAAGGTCATTCGCGTTCTTAAAACGGGATCCCTTCATATCGCATGATTGAGATAAACATACCATAGGAGGGCCGCGAGGAGCAGCACGGATCTTAGCCCATCCATTGGGACGAACATCAGAAGTATCGGAGTATTCAGCTACACTGGAAGCGAAGGAGTGAGCGGAACCGGCGATTGAAGAAGCGGAACGACCGTAAGCATTAGGGCTGAAGCCAGAGCTCGTGCTGGGAGCTGCATTGGACTTGGTATGCCATGATTTGGTGCGTTGTTCGCTCCAGCCGCCGTCGCTGTTGCCCTTTCCGTGACCAGCGGCAGCAGCGTATGTGTACTCGGTCTCAATCAGGCTCTCGTCTGCTGAGCCAGTCATGGACATAGCCTTTTGAAAGTCAGCCGACAATGCGATACCTCCGTCTGCCATGTCTTTGTGTTTAGGGCGCCGATCTCCACCATTGACGGTCTGCCATTCATCGTCGCCCTTTGGAAGTCAGTACAAAAGCCACTATGTAGCGGCACGTGCCGATGCCGTATAAAAGTCACGCGGGAACTCACGTAGTTGGAAGAAGTGTCAGTTGTGGCCGAGGAGAAGTACTCAGGATACTGGCCGTTAGAGTGGTCCGCCGGAAGGAAAGCGTTCTCCAAGTTCTCATAGCGGTCTTCGTCGACGGCTTCGTCCGCAAGCTGAGCTTCGATACACTTGAAACATTTGGCAGTATCGGGCTTTGCACGCTGCGATTTGGCAAACTCTTCCAGGCCCTTGGTTTTACCGCACATGGTGCACTCGACCTCGACCTTCTGCTGCCCAGTACATCCCTGACAGTTGATAGCCTTATAAATCTTGGCCGAGTTCTTGATTTGCCAACGCGCATCGGTGAGCTGCTTGGTAGAGTACTTGGCTTGTGGGAGGTTCTTGTGACACCGACCGCATTTGATCTTGACGGGGAGCGGGATGCCCTTGAGCCTGTGAGAGTAGTCAGTAGCGGATCCGTCAAGATGCAAGTGTCGGTGAGCAGTTACAATGTCTATGTGACAGTGAAGATCCTCGCCCACTGAGATCGGTTGTACGTACCTGTCGATCTCGTCTTGATTGTAGGCGTGCATATTGCGGCGGCCTCCCATTGTGAGCCACTGGTGTTGTAGACGAGTATGAGGAGTTGTGATAAGATTGAAGCTGAGATGATCCCAACGAGAGTCTTTGTACAGATGTGAGGACAAGGTTGTGGTATCTTAATGGAGACCATTGATGTGTGTGTTTGATTTGGGCCAAATATAAGGTGAAGGCAGGCACGAGTGAGAGAAGCTGCAGCCCTCCCGAAGCAAACATGACATGTGATAATGCGATCTCGGCAGTGAGCTTGTGTCGGTGTATGGAAAGACCTCTCGCCTCGATACCAGTATCTAGCATCTTTTATTCCAATGTCTTCGCAGCGCCTGGTTTTACTGGTAGTCATGACGCACTCAGCCCGGAGAGGGCAGGATCGTCTATGCCGTCCAATCTTGAAGCGGCTCAGCATTACTATTGTACGTATTGAAGATTACTGGAGGATTCAACCCATTTTCTCAAAATTGTTAGCAATAAATGCCCATTTTCAGAGAAGTGCCGCGTTCCGCTTGTGTATACCATGAGCGAGTTTCATCAACCTTTGTAGCTGTTTGTTATACTTTCACACTGAGAATGTGTTTAGAACCATCATATGATGGCAGGTGTGATTATTTTATTTCCATAGCGACTGCTCCTGGCTTATATCGCAGGGATTCGCAGAACGTGCCTCCATGACTACATCTAATCATCACCACCGCCGATCGGGCCGCTCACTTGCTTGGCCGACTTCGCAGCGACGATATCGTCAACCCTAAGAAGTAGGCAAGCGCTCTCAACAGCAGTCTTGACACTCTGTTCCTTGACCGCTAGAGGCTCCCATACGTTGTATGACTTCATGTCGACAACCTTTCCTGCATCACCGTCGATACCCCATGTGCTGCCACCGTGCTTGCCGTCTTCGTAGCCTTCTGCGTGCTTCGCGCGCAGTTGGGTAAGCACCTTGATCGGGCTGTTTCCTGAGTTCTGAATGAGCGTGCGTGGGATGACCTCCATGGCTTCGGCGACGGCCTTGTATGGCCACTGTGCGACACCCTCAATCAACTTGCCACGCTGGCCCAGACCGACCGCGACGGCCATCTCAGTTGCACCACCACCGGGGCAGAGCTTAGGGTTCCAGATCACGTTCCTGGCAACACCCATGGCGTCGTGTAGGTTCCGCTCAATCTCGTTCAGGATGTCTTTTGAGGGTCCACGGAGGAGGATGGTGCATGCCTTCGGGTTCTTGCACTTTGTGAGGAAGGTAAAGTATTCGTCACCAATCTTAGAGATCTCGAAAAGACCACACTCTGTACCAATGTCCGAAGCGGTGGCGGAGAATACGGAGTTTACGATTGTCGCACCTGTCGCACGAGCGATACGGTTGTTGTCGGTCTTACGAACTCGGCGGATGGCGGTGATGTTGGCTTTGACGAGGTAGTGCTGTGCGAGATCTAATCCATATTAGCATGATTGCAACAAAACATGACCAGCGTGACTTACCGCTGACGCCCTTCTCGGTAATGACAAGATCGGGCTTGAGAGCGATGATGGCATCGCACATTTGCTTGACTTGCTCCTCTTCGATTTGAAGGATTCTGTTCCAGTCCTCCTCTTTGCTAACCTCAATGTTTGTCTGACTCTCTCCCTTCTTGTATTCCAGTGTGCAGTCCAACAGCAAAACCTTGGGGTTCTCGATTCTCCGCCTCATCTTGGGGTGTGTAATGTCCTTGTTGACCATGACTCCGTCTAGAACTTCGCTGTCCTCGATCTCACCTCCGGGGATCTTCTCGATACGTGCGTAGCGCTTAATGTCGACCTCCTTCTTGCCAGAGCCAATGTCGAGGGAAACGGTCCGCACCGCCTTCAAAGCCAATCCACACATGAGTTCCGACCACCGCGTTACGAACTTTGTGCCGATCGAAGAGCTGATGATCTTGTACATCTGCTCGTCGTTGTTGACGTCGACTTCGACCGCGATCTCGCTGATGATTTCTAGAGCATCGGCGAGTGCCTTCTTGAACGCTTGGATAATGACGACGGGGTGGATGTTGCGCTCAAGCTGGGGCAGAGCTTGTGCGAGGATTTCTCCCGCTGTTGATTGTTAATCCATGCCTCTTCTCTCCTCCCACACTTTGTACGCACCTAATATGATGACGGTGGTTGTGCCATCGCCGACCTCCTCATCTTGTGTCCTGCTCAACTCAATCATGCTCTTGGCAGCTGGATGTGCGACTTCAATTTCTCGGAGGATAGCGTGGCCGTCGTTGGTGAGGACGATACCGCCCATGGGATCGAGCAGCATCTTCAACATGGCCTTGGGACCGAGGCATGATCTGATAATGTCGGCGACAGTCTTAGCTGCTGTGATGTTGGATAGTTGAGCTTTGCGGCCAAACTGGCGCTCCCCGCCCGGGGTCTGGGTGTCTGTTGATGTGTTAGTGGGCTGTCGCAGCTTCAGATCGGTGGCTAACCATACTCATAACAACCACTGGCGCCTGCATCTTGAAGGAAGGCGTCTCAAAGCACGGTGTACAAGGAAGAGGGGGTCGAACACAGAGTTGCGTGGGGTATCTTGCGTCTGGTGCCTTGCAGCTCCTCCACTAACTTTTGCTACCAAAAACCGCGTCGCAGCGCCGCCACTATCCCGGCGCGGATTATCTGCGACCGGTACTAGCCACAGTTGAGCCACTTGTTTGCAGCCAATGCTGAGTCATGCTCTCCAGCTCGATCGACGGCAACTTCCACCTACACCCTGGTCGTCCCTGCCTTACACAGCGCCTTGGCGCCTGCCGCATGCGGTAGCCAGACCTCGCGTGACGGCCAATACGCGCTAGACTTGCCCTGGAGATCTCTCGCCGGACTATTTTACCCTACATTCTGCCGCCGCTCACCGCGTCGCAGCCAGCCTCTCACGGGACTTGCGCGCAGCTTACAAGACGGCTGTGGTGCCCTCCAAACCTTCCTTCCTTCCTCTCACTTCTTTTTGCGCCAAACTTCCGCACACAGCCTTTCTTCTGTTCTTTAACTTGAACACTCCCACACCTCAATCGGTTTCCTTCATCTTACCACCCCCATCACCACATCCATCACCCATCATCTCCATCGCGCCTCACCATCTCGCCATCATCTTACCCCCCATCACTGTCCCTCCTGGTGACTTCATTAGAACGTCGCATGCTCACTGTCTTGTCTTAACCACGACAGATCTTTGTATCCTTCACACACTCTATTGTTACTAAACTACTAAACACACAGCATGGGTCTTAACTACTACGCTTCTGCGCCGACCGTCGTTCTGGCGCCCCAGCAACCGCAGGGCTACTTCTCCCATCACCAGAACGCCGCATCACCAATGGGTAATTTCCGCCCCAAATACCCTACTCCGCCTTCGCTCAACTATCTAGCCGCCGTTTCCAATGTCACCGCTGGTCGCAAACGATCCATCGCCGACGTCGATGAACCAGAGGAGAACCTACCCGCCGGATCAATCGTTACTCAGTCGCCTTCAAAGCCCAAGCCCGAGCCTGTCTATGGCCCAGGGATGACGCTCATCTACCCTGGAGAACCTGGCTACAGCATGGCAGCCGAGTCGCAATCGGGCACCTGGTACGAAGAGAAGATCGAAAAAGAAGAGAAGGCTGACGCCGCCCGCCCTATCGCTGTGTCGCGCAAGTCGGTACGGATGAGCCCAACCGCCAACATCGAAGTCCCCTCCCTCAATGACATGGATGCTCAAAAGACCGAAGAGCTCATTGACGACAAAGGCAACACCATTAACACGCTCATCGCATCCCTCGGGGTTGGCTGGAAGAACGTCATGACAAACCCCAAGCTACGCGACGCAGCGCGCGCATACTCACGCGTTATTGAGCGTCATTTCGATTTCACCGATGTCCTTGTTATGCTGGAGAAGGAATCACTCAACGCTTATCTGGTACGCGCGAAACAACACGGCGTACAAGGCTACTGGCTCTTCTCGGACAACCTTCAATGGTGTCAGCTCATCGGCTGGTCGTTAGAACGCACAGTCAGCAACCTCATGTTCGGTTCAACCCCGCGTGTCGAGGGCGAGCGCATCAATGCCCGTCAACTGACGCCATCGGAACCCGCTACCACACCCACTCCTCAACCAGTGGCCGACATTCCTATGGCGACTACAGACACCGACATGATGGAGATGTGACGCGTCTCATCTCTTCTTTTCTCTTCCCTCCCATTTTCCTTACGGCAACAAAACACAAATCGGTTTTCATTTCGGCTGTATTGATTTACGGTTTTCGATGTGGGTTCTTTTTACGGCGAATCGGCGTTGGTGGTGGGATCGGATCGATCACCGGAAGTGACTCTTTCTGACATGTACTATATTATTATGATGCCTACGCCGTGATGCTTGATCAGACATACTCGATCGCGTCTGCTAGCACGTGCCACTAAACTTACCAGGCAATAAACCAATGAAACTATGATCATCATTCACCTACTTTCCTGCACAAACTGGCGCTGAATATGATTCCACCGAAATCTGACTACACATATACTTCCCTCCTATCCGAAGACTCGAACCACGTCCACTAGTAATTTCGGCGCTATCTGGGAAGCTACTCTACAGTGCTTCTCATTCTTGCTTCGCAAAGTAAACACACCACTATTGGAAGCCTTGCCAGGCACGCAATTTTCCAGACTTCTATTTTCAGTCGGATCTACGCTCGTTTAACACGATCAAACGCGCTTCCGCGGTGATACAACCAGAGCACAGAGAAGCGACTGCCCCGAGCGATTGCCCCAAGCGTCGGCCGGAACAACCGCTCCTCAGCAACGCGAACATGTCGCGCGGACGACGCGGCGTCGCGTTTCCCGGACAGCAACCTCTCCCCAACACGATTCTGACTCGTACGAACGGTGTGGATGATTCGAATTACCTGGCCTCCGTCTGTGCGCATTGCTGTCAGCAATGCGAGCTTTGGCGCACCACCAAGGATGCCTGTTTCACCACCCGCTGAAGTCTGACACGCGATTACCCTTCTTTCGGGAGGATTCTTTCCGGTTTTCCCGAGGTTTTTCGCAATTGACGAAATCGTACCTTCGAGCTAGTTCATTCTGCGGCTTTACGACTTGACAACTTCTTGCAGCTCCACGGTCCTCAGAACCTACGAGAATCGCTCAGCCAAAATCTGGCGAGCACACGATGACCTCCAGTGAAGACCAGTGAGCGCATTGAGATTAGGCCAGTGGCTGGACCTTCTTTGGCGCTTGTCGTTGACATTGTGCTTCTACGTATTTCGCCCGCTTGCGAAGAAAACATATTGCGAAATCAAATCGTCGCCTAGAACACCACGGTATAATTGACCCTCGTCTATAGCTTACTGGAAGGCTGCACAGCAGGTTGATCGAAGTCGTGATTCGGCCATTGTGATGACTGAGGTAGCCACTGGGCTCTACAAGGGTCTGTGATAATTTTTGGCACAGGTGCCTGCAAGAAAACAGTTGCTTTCTAGTCTTGAAAGTATCAGAAGCTACATCTTTCATCTGTGTCTGCTGTGATTCGCGCGTAATTCATTTCAGATTGGTAGCCAAGAAATGGCCCCCAAAGTGGCGTAACAACAGCAAGATAAGATGTTTCTTGCATGATGCAAGTGATTTCTCGAGTTTCCTTCGTCTGAATCTAAATGTGGCTATCCTCATCCTTCGATTAAACGCAATGTTTGAACCTGTTCCGTCCTTATCACTCACTACGACAAGACCCACCATACAGCCGCGATGGCAATCCGATGGCAGTTCCAAGATGCATATACCGCTTACTACCTTGGGCGATAACGACAAGCTCCCTTCAAGCAGCTCACACGAATTACCATACACCCATAAGAAGAAGCAGTCAATATTTGGGCGACTCGGGCGTGCTGCAAAGAGATACCTAGGGCCTCGTTTCTCTGGGTGGCGTTTTAGTGTACTGAGCTTCGCAGTTTGGGCTTCAATCGTCCTTCTCATAAACATCGCTGCCACGATAGCAGGTTTCACTGTCCCATCTGACGAGAAGGGGGTATTCTTTGAAGGGGATTGCGTCTACGTCAAGCGCTTGAATACTGGGCTCCATCTCGCCATCAACATTCTTAGTACTATCATCTTGGCTGGAAGTAATTATACAATGCAGTGCTTATCAGCACCAACACGAAGCGAAATTGACGCTGCTCACAACCGCAAGCCTGCCGTACATCTCGATGTTGGTATACTGAGCATACGCAATCTCAGCTATATCAGCGGACGGAGAACTTTCCTGTGGCTCCTGCTGGGGCTTTCATCTCTACCACTACATCTCGTGTAAGTCCAGAAATCATCACGAAGTACTTCCTACTCACGCTTGTCAGTTACAACTCTGCCGTATATGGATCGATATCTACGAATAGTTACTATGTATTCTCTGTAGACGAAACATTTGTCACTGATGAGCAGTGCACACACTGTTCAAATCCCTTACCGACCCCAGTCGCAAGAACCTTGAGACAACCTACAAACGATTACGATACCAGCGAAGTGACATCCACACTCATCAATCTCTGGAGCAAAGCAAATGCGCACAGCCTTGAAGAGCTCACGCCTTCCCGATGCATCGAGGAGTATGCCACTAGTATACAGTCCAATCGAAGAAATCTACTCCTCGTCTCCGACGATGACAGACTACCCTCGCCAACGAATCACTACTTCATGAATGGCTCTCACGTATATTGGGCTGACAAATTCGAGATACAAGATTGGTTTATTTCTTCAAAACGGAGCCTCAAATTCGAATGGATGTGCCAAAACCTGAACGACAAAAGCCCACCATGCTCAGATATGGTCGAAAATATTAGGAACAATCTTGAGAACGAACCGTGGAAGGTTGGACAAATCTGCTACAACGACGACCAAAACTGCAGTTCCTCAGATGCGCCAGTGAAACGCTGTCTGAGTGAGCCAGCTGAACCACGTTGCAAAATTCACTTTGAACCCGGTATTGCGATTGTGGTCATTGTTTTAAATCTTTGTAAGTCCAAATTCCAGCCTTTTTCTCGATGTAGCAATTGCAGCGCAGATTGACTCAACGCCGTACATCGTCTAACAGTTTCCCTAGTCAAAGCTGGTCTTATGTTTTACATCGCCTTTCGTGTCAATGATGAGCCGCTCATGGCGATGGGAGACGCAGTCGCCTCTTTTCTCGATAAAGAGGATGTCGAGACCAAAAACATGTGTTTGTCTTCAATGGCAGACTTCAGGAACGGCAAAGGCTACAAAGTAGGGCCGCGACAGTATAGTGGTGGTGCATACCGTTGGAAAGATGTCACCAGCAAATTGAGAAGATGCATCACTTTGACAATGTGGGTTATGCTGTCGATACTTTTGCTGTTTACTCACAATGCTGACCAGGTTTTTACTGGCTTTAGCTGTCGTTAGCCATCTACTCAAGCTGGGAATTGACAACCTACCAGCCGGAGCAACACTCAAAGAGTTCACATTTGGTACGTTGCTAGTGAGGCCTCATGTTTGAATACGTTGCTAACGATGCCCGCACCCTTGCAGGCGCTGTTGACCCTCGCGCAACTGTCAATTATCGGTCAACAGATTTGATCAGTAACGTTCTTACCGCCAACACCCCCCAAATCATTCTTTCACTCCTTTATTACGCCTACAATTCCCTCTTTACCGCAATGCTAATGGGCTATGAATGGGTCACTTATTCACAACACCGCAAAGGTCTTCGCGTAACTCGTCAACCTTCCGGTGCTCAACGATCCACGTACTTCCTTCAACTGCCATATCGCTTCGGGATTCCCCTCATGGTACTTAGTGTCACGCTTCACTGGCTGGTTTCGCAAAGCATATTCTTGGTAGCCATCGAATTATACGATGTCAATGGCGACCTGGGAGTCGGATCCAGTTCACGACGCGATCTCAAGACTTTGGGTTACTCGCCGCTGGCTATTATCGCCGTGTTAGTTCTAGGCGGAGTGATGATTATTAGTATGGTTGCGTTTGGGTACATACCATACAAGCGTGGTATGCCGCTTGCAGGGACCTGTAGTTTGGCTATCAGCGCAGCCTGTCATCCGACAGAACAAGTTGAGGGTGACGAAAGCATTGCCGAGAAGATGTTGCAGTGGGGTGTAGTCAGTATTGGCGATGATGAAATAGGCCATTGCGCCTTTTCGGCAGATGAGGTGGGAGCAGTAGTGAAGGGGAAGCTTTACGGCGGGATCACTGCATAGTTCGGATATCGTGACCGCATGGCGCAAACCAACCCATCGTAGCCAGCGGACGTCCGCCTGTTGCGATCACCAGCAGGTGTGCTCTGCCTCAAAATCAGCCGTGATGAGACTCGTGCCATACATCTAGAGACGGCGACTTGACTGTGCAACGCGACAAACGCCCCACAATCATATCCCGTTGAAGTTCCCAACTTATTCAGGATCATGAAGAAATCAGTGACTCAAGAACAAACATGATCATATTTTGAAGCGCTGCGTAGACGAAGCTCAATATTGATATCGACGCACATGACCGCAGCCTCATCCTGACCAATCAGCGGCAGGGTTCCGCTCTGGACGAAACAGGGTTATCTGGGCGGAACTCACCTTCGATGTATTTCTCAGCGCCAACAGGTCATCAATCTCTGGATTACCTTAATGTTTCGCGGCCAGATATACCCCGCAGGTGATTATCACGAGGGCTACAGGATGTGATACCTGGACTACAACAGGGCGTATATGAACCACGATGGCTGTCAGCCGTAGCCGCACGCCCTCATTTGTCTCGACGAGCTCGCCAGATTCGCTGTTGTCGAATTTAAATCCAAGCTTACCACTATCTTGAAACGAGCGAAAGGCAGACACCATGAGTGTCACCCCCATTGCTGTCACCGGAGCGAGTGGTGGTGTTGGTGGATTCGTTGCGCGCAACCTCGCCGCCCGCCAGCTCCCTCAGCGGCTCTTGGTCCGCACTCCCAGCAAGGCGCCGAAACTACCCCACAGCGAGGTACACCAGGTCGGCTACAGCGACCATGCCGCCGCCAGCGCAGCACTGAAGGGTGTGCACACGCTGTTAATGGTCTCAGCCTCCGAGAGCGAAGAACGTCTCAATCAACACCGCTCCTTCGTCGATGCCGCCGCGAAAGCCGGCGTACAGCATATCGTCTACACCTCCTACATAGCCGCTGCACCAGATGCCGTCTTCACGCTCGCACGCGACCACTACGTAACGGAGGAATATATCAAGGCCAGCGGCATGCGCTGGACCTTTCTGCGCGACAGTTCCTACATCGACTTTATGGAATCCCTAGTCGGCGCGGACGGTGTCATTCGCGGCCCGGCAGGCAGCGGTCGCGTCTCGATCGTCGCCCGCGAGGACGTTGCTCGCCTCGCCGCCGCTGTGCTCGCCGACCCAGATCCGCACGCTGGAGTTACATATGATGTCACTGGTCGTGAGGCACTGTCCATGTCGGACGTCGCTGAGATCATTAGCGCAGTTCGCGGTCGCGACGTACGGTTCCACAATGAGACTATCGAGGAGGCTTATGCGTCTCGCGCAAACTACGGTGTACCGGACTGGCAGGTTGATGCCTGGGTCAGCACGTACGTTGCCATTGAGAGCAACGTTATGGCGCCTGTCTCCAACGCAATCCAATCCGTTACTGGCTGCGCGCCGATGACGCTTGCCGAGTACTTGACTGCCAACCCCTAATAGAACAGTACTAGTTGCAACTTGAAAAGACATTTGCGACACTGCACTGCTGCAGCATGCATCCAGTCAATGACAACACACTACAATATGACTGATATTCTGAGAAGCTGGTTCTTCCTGAGCTCTATTGTTACTGGAGCCTAACCTAGGAAGATACGATCTGGGATTCCTATGCATATCATCATAGAGGATCCTACGTATAGCTTCGAGGCGGAGCAGACTGCGGATACAACGAGCTCATTCGTGATGCAGCATTATGCTAGCTTTGTTTAGTCCAATCAAGCGCACTAGCGAGGCAACGCTGTTGCCTAAACATTGACACTTCTCCAAACTCAGCCTCAATACTTGTGAACTCTCCACCTTTTCATCCCTGATATGCGCTCCTATCGATACCAGTCACTACAGCACGACGACTCGATACGTCTCCTTGTCTTGCATCCAAGTCTGGATGGTACGGATGCAGGTCCTATCAGATGTACGATTCAACATGCGCAACTCTCCGACGAGTCTCTCGAATACGAAGCAGTGTCCTACACTTGGGGCAGCGCCGTTCAGACGCAGACCATCTGCTTCCAACACGATACAACAAAACTATGTGTTGGCCAAAATTGTTACAATGCTCTCTGGCGCTTACGGCGCACACGTGGAGATCGCTTGCTATGGATCGACGCTATCTGCATCAATCAGGATGATGTTCAAGAACGAGCCAGCCAGGTTCGCATAATGGACAGAATCTTCGACTACGCATCCAATGTCATAGTCATCTTGAGTGAAGCAAACACAAATAGTAGTGCCCTGTTCGAGGAACTAGCGACAGTGGACGAAGACCTTTCACTTACAGGACGTTGCGATCGAGATCGACCGAGTGATACCATAATTGAATTATTAGAAGCGTTGTTTAAAGACCCGTGGTTTGCAAGAGTTTGGGTTTTGCAGGAAGTTTGGGCCAAAACAGATACCAGGTTTATCTGCGGCTCCGCTAGCTTCTCATATCACAGTCTCCTCAAGTTGTATTTCGGTTACAACAAGGGCATAACCACGAGAGAACTCTGGCCTCGGGCTTTGGAATGGATCAATTGGCCCCCGGAATCTTTCTCAACATCGCAGTACAACTTATGGCACCGACTGTGCGCGACCAGGCAATCGCTAGCCACTGACCCCAAGGACAAAATCTTCGCTCTGAAGTCCCTGATAGGCTCTAAAAAATCTCAGATGAATCACCTAATCGACTACACGCAGAGCGTAGAGGAGTGTTATACTCACGTCGGCACCTTTTTGTTACCGGTGTTAGGGCTTCGACTGCTCACAGCTGTTCGGCACCCACATGACAAGGAGATGCCCTCGTGGATTCCAGATTGGTCTCAAGCACTCCCATTAGGCCAAGATTATTTCCGATGGGAACGGAGCGATCCTGGCGCTTCTTATAGTCAAAAGTACGCAATACACTCCTTCACAAACAAGAGCCACGAAACCTTTCTAGCACTGACAGCCGAGGGTTGTCGTTACGGGTACATCATCGACATAAGCCAAACATTTTGTTTTGATGATTTATATGACGCCGAGATGCAGATGAAGAGACTATTTTGCCACTTCGCCTCTCTCAGGCACTGTGTCTGCCCAGAAGGTATGTGGAACGACCCTACTGTGTTGGCTCATTTAGGAAACCCTATCTCGGATGGTAAGCTCAGAGTCCGCACACGATACAAGCACTGTTAACTTGGTTGTAGCTATGTCCTCAATGAAGGGCTGTCAACTTGTAGAATTCCTTCACCGCAATTTTGGTCCCGAGTGGGAAGAGGTACGTCTATACCCTCTCGACAAGCGACAGGTTTTTGATCTCAGCATTATCAGGATAACGAAATCGACGTTGTTCTTGAGAGCTCATATTTTCGAGATGCGATGCAGCAATGCAGGATAGGTCTAACAGAAAACGGTGAATTGGTTATTGTGCCGGGTGCTGGAAAAGTTGGGGATGTGATCTGTGTATTATCGGGAGCCATATCGGCCTGCGTTTTAAGGCCTTTGTCGGATGGGAGTTGGGCACTTATCAGTGGTGATTGCCATATCTCCACAGAGAGTTACAGGTCCACAGGGGACTTCGAGAACTCATTCTTCATGTGTGATGAGTATGTTATGTGCAACCGGGATAGGGTTGAGGAGTTCAAGCTGCATTGAAGCAATCTTAGTATTCAATAATTATCGGATTCGGTGAAGACCTTTGGGGTACTACAAGAATGATGGAGTGCGTCTTGATTCCGAGAAGGCAAGCATCGAAAGATGGAAAAGTGTAGCAAGGATTACTTCCATCGACTGACCCATCACAAGACACCATTTCGCCAGAGTCACGTACATAATAACACCAATCATGTATCGAACGTGGCGCACACGAGATCTCGGCGTCCAATAGAAATGCCGCGCATAGATGATCCAACGGACATGCGTAGCCTCCTGCTATGTTTTCGCCACCACGGCTGCCTAGTTATGATGCCCGCGGAGGAAACAAGAACGCCAACACTCCTCAGCATCACACAAGTATCAAAGAACTCTGAAACAGAGATAAATCAAATCCAAGATGTCGCTCTGCAATCTTTGCCAGTCGTTCGACATCCTCGACTTCCCAAACTTGTCGCCAAATTACACTGTCTACCCTGTAACCTCCAAAACATATCCTTCCCTGGTCTCCAACATTCACAAGCTTCGTATAGGCGGATGGAAGAAGGACAGAGAAGATCCGAAACATGACTCTGAACCTCTGGGGCTGCCTTACCATCAGTCCCTCGAGGCACTAGAAGCCGCTTGCGCGGACAACTGCGCAATCTGCACAGTCGTACAACGCGATGTCGCGCAGTTCAAAACTGAGTTTTTTGAAGCGAAGAACGATACTAGTGCTTATAGGGAGAGGAGCGGAGGACCAGATTGGAGGATGTTCGGCGTGAGGGGTGTGGGTGAGACTGGAGGCTTCATGATAGTGTCGGCTGATACCAAAGCACCGTTCGAGATCTGGGTTGTTGCTGCCGTCGGGTTTTGTGTTGATTGTAAGCTCTGTACAAGCTTGTGACATGGTCGAATCAAGCTGACAGCCTTACAGATAAGGACCCGCTCACCAGCATCATCAGGGGACGAAAGATTCTCCCCAACTCTCAGCACACGCTTCAGCATGCTCTGAGTTGGGTGCGCGATTGCGATAAACAGCGGACGGATAGCCGCTGTCATGTTGATGCCGCACCCCTTCCAGCTCGCGTACTAGATATAAGAAGCTCGGCATCCCACAAGGTATCCTTGCATGAGCCCGCGGAGGGAGAGCTAGGACGTTATGCAGCACTGAGCTACGTCTGGGGCGAATCAAGCCCGTTCACAACTACGAAAGCAAACATCGAAGCAAACAAGGAGGGCATCGATATCGACAGGCTACCTGAGACGTTCCAGGATGCCATATTTGTGGCACGAGAAATGGGAATCGGATACTTATGGGTTGACTCACTCTGGTAAGTCAGACTTCTATCTTCGTATCGCCAGCATTGAACTAACAACCCCAGTATCTGCCAAGACGACTCTTCAGACTGGTCCCGCGAGACCTCCCGGATGTCTTCGGTCTACTCCAACGCCTATATAATGCTCTCAGCAACAGGTTCCGCTTCGTCGAACGCCGGTCTATCAATCTTTTCTCCCACCCGCCCAGCACCAACTTACTCATCCTTTCCCTATACTTCCACAGAGGGCACTAAAGGAACTCTGCTCGTATTTCCCTATTCTAAGGAGGTCACTAGATTCCCTGCCTGGTCAGGTCCTTACGAACTACTCAAGAACGAGCCATTGACCCAACGAGGTTGGGCACTCCAGGAACGCTGGCTCGCACCCCGCATTCTGCACTTTGGAAGCAAGGAGATGTTCTTCGAATGTTACTGTGGGTTCAAGGGTGAAAACGGTTTCTTGATGGAGGGCAGGAAGGATACGCTCTTCCCAACCACTTCTCCCGGCTCTTCTCCAGCAATCCCGAACGATACCAGCTCCGACGAGATCGATTTCACAGAACCAGAGCCCATGGAACGTCAATGGAACTCCGTATTATCTAACTACAACAAACGCCAACTAACAAATGCCTCGGACAAGCTCCCTGCCCTCTCTGGTCTCGCTCGCACCTACCAAGACATCACGGGCGACACATATCTCGCCGGTCACTGGCGTTCCACACTCCTCCAATCACTCATATGGCAGGCGACCGGTTATCCTACCGTCCCAGACACGTACCGCGCCCCATCTTGGTCGTGGGCCGCCATCGATGGTTCTTTCGGCATGTTTAGTCCTGGTATGGGATTCGACAAGGGGGATTGGGTCAGTCTTGCCACAATACATGATGCTTGGACCAACTTGAAGAACGAAGAGAACCCTTTCGGCGAGGTCACGGACGGGCAGTTGGATATTAGCGCTCCACTGGAACGACTTTTCCCCTTTGCTAGCAAAGATGAAGAGGGAGTGGAATGGCCTAAAAACTATAAAGTAGCCAAGGTACGAACACAAAACGCCAGTGGGGACAGCCGCGGGTACAATCATTTGATTTTTGATTCTGCAGACCATGCGGAAAGAGCAAAGGGCAGGGTTCTGTGGGTAGCGGTGCTTTTGAAGCATGTTCGTGCAGAAGAGAATAAGGGAGTCTGGGAGTCGAGCGTGTCTTATCATGGGATTGTTGTTGCGGAAGTAAAGGGAAGGCAGAATGTATATGAGAGGTTGGGAAAGATTCCTTTCGGTGAGAAAGATTTGGGAGAGTGTGGGTGGATGAGTAATGGAGACTTGGTAGAGAGGTTTGCCTTGGTGTAGAAACTTTCAATTGGCCTGGTAATGGCAAGAAGACGAGCCATCAGTCAGTTCTGACTGAGTGCTGACGCTACCATGCAATGAGCCAATCGGATGCAATGAGACCCGGCCACCATGCCCTTGCCTCACTATCTCACCAGTGCTCAAGACAACCACGATCAAGCATTTGCGAATCCGAGGAATGCTACTCAAAAATTGACGGCCGAAACAAAGATGCCCAGGGCAAGCGTCCATGGTTTGTGTGAAGGTATCCAAGAGCTCGCAATTTCCCAGGAATACCTTTAAGCACATATCAACATTATTTTCACAGAGAAGGCCTGAGTTCTTACATAGCTAATCCTCCGAAAAGACTCGCTTTGGTATCGTTGTTGTACATGTCTTGGAACGCTGCAGCGGAAGCAGTCTCACGGAAATCGACGATTGTTTAGATTCCGTTTGATGAACGAATGTTCATAAACCCACCCCCTCCAATGCTTATCAGAGTCAGCTTCGGCCTCTTTCCTGGACCGCGAGAGAAGTTCCCTACCCGCTGTGGTACATTGCTGCAGCAACTATTAGTACTCAATAGTGACGAGACGACACAGCTTTCGCCTACTCACCTACAACACCGACACACAGCGTTGTGCCGATGGCCTATTGGAATCAGACAGCGATGTACCGCCTGTACGAGTAACTTACTGCGTCGGCTGCATTGCCTCCATCGCGAAGTAAATCGATGCCAACCTTGCTGCACACCTCAACTTCTAATGTGACTGCGCCATTTGCGCCGATACTCCGTTGGTGACTCTGAACGGTCCAGGGCAATATAGCTAAAACAGTTGAGCAAAATCGGTAAGCCATCCGCGGAAGCGCTTCACAAGTGAGAAAAAAAATGGAATGCTGTCGTTGGCGATGAGCAATGAATTCGCGAGTATGCTCGAGGGAATCTGGTGCTCGAACAACGCGCATGAAGCGCGGCATGAGTGCACCGCTGGGCCGATCGCGGACGCCCCCGGTTTGCGTCCCGCCCCGAGCGGCTGTTCCCTTCCACGCTACCATCTAGTTGGCAATCTAGCACAACAAACCACAATTGTCGAAACCACCGCGCAATGGATATCGATAGAGAAACTACGGCTTCTTCTGACAGCGGTGACTCAGGGTCATCGGAGGATCAGCACCCACCGTCCACAGCCTCAAGGCTCACATTCTACGACGCCTTCACCTTGCTTGTGAGCCTTCAGGTTGGATCTGGCGTGTTCTCCTCTCCATCACAGGTCAACAATCACTCTCCTTCGCCGGGCGCATCGCTTATCATCTGGGCGATATGCGGCGCAGTTGCGTGGGCTGGAGCAGCGTCCTTTGCTGAATTAGGTGCGGCCATGCCTGTGAATGGCGGCCTACAGGAGTACCTCCACGAGATTTACGGCTCTTACATGGCATTTCTTGCATCTTGGATATGGATCTTTGCCACCAAGCCGTCTTCCATGGCCATCTTGAGCATCATATGCGCGAAGTACTGGACCGAGGTTTTTCTGCCAGCCAACGACGAAGAGCTATTTTGGCTAAACAAAATCATTGCCATATCGGCTCTGGCAGTCATGATATTCTTCAATTCAATCAGTACCCGAGCAACCTCTCGTCTTGCGAACGTCTTCCTCATCATCAAGTTGCTCACAGTGGCCTTGCTATTGGTGTGCTGTCTTGTGTTCATCGTGTTTGGGTTTCACGCAGGGACAAATACGCCCAACCGCGACTGGATCACGAAGAATTGGTTTCAATATCGCAATGAAGGAGAGGACTTTTCGCTCATCGACTGGAATAATGCTTCTCAATGGAGCAAGATTGGTGAAATCACAATGGCGATCTACGCCGGACTCTGGGCATATTCCGGATGGGACAATGTGAGAGCTGTGAAAGGCTTTCAAATCGCGCGCACTGACGAATACTTGCAGGCAAACATGGTAGCGGGTGAGATGCAAGATGCAGCCAAGGAATTACCTGCCGCGATCCACACAGCGGTCCCAGCTGTCATAGTATGCTTCCTTTGCGCCAACTTGTCCTACTACATCCTAATACCATGGAACGTGGTTGGAGCCAGCGACACAGTTGCGGAGGTGAGTGCCTTGAGACTTGTACATTCAGCACATGATCCTCTGATCTAACATACGCCTATGCAGACTGCCGGCCAAAATGTTTTGGGCAGGTCCGGTGCCGTAATTTTTGCTTTGCTCGTCTCCGTTGCTTGCCTAGGGTCAATCAACATCAACGTGTTTACAGGTGCGAGACTCACAATCAGTGCAGTGAATAAGGGTTATCTTCCGAAATTACTTGCAGAACATGGCCACAGCCAGAATGGGCAACCTCAAGATCGTCAGCTACAAGAAGCTCCTCGAGATTATAGCCTGTCTTCAAAGCTACTGAGTCTTTTCGGAGAGGGTCCTTTCTGGCAAACTCCAATGTGAGTACAATGAGCAACCATTTCCATAACATAGTCTGACTGTCCATAGCAAAGCTATGCTTTTCAATGGTTGCCTCACAATAGTATACATACTAGTTGGTACCTTCAGCGCCCTTGTCACATTCATAGGTAAGCTTTAACGCTTGCACCGCATTGGTGTGGATGGAAAGTTATTGACGGATCTTCGAAAACAGGTATAGCGGAGTACGTCTTCTTCTTCTTCGCTGTTTTGGGCCTTCTTCATATGCGTGTGAAGCAACCTCATCTCCATCGACCTTACAAAGCCTTCATCGGCATCCCACTATCATTTACACTCATCAGCCTTGTTCTGGTAGTTCGAGGAATACTCGCTGCTCCCGCACAAGGAATAGCAATCGCATTGTTGCTATTGTCAGGGACTATCTGGCACTTCAGAGAATCAGACACCTTCGACATCTTGAGGAGAAGAGTACGATATCAACCCATTCCGGCATGATAAGGTACTTCGAGACCTGGATGGAGGTTAAGTAAAGTGATTGGGATCATATCATTTCACTATTCAAGACCAATATGTATCTGGCATACGTTGAGATGACCACGGGCAGACAAATGACCAAGCGGTTAGGGTCTCTCTACTCCGCACAGAAGGACGGCAAGGAGTAAGAGCAGAGAACAGGCACATCTAGCCAAGCTAGCAGCTAAACGTACAAGATTGTCGCAATCTGCGTGCGATAGATCATACACCTTCCCATTGAAAAGCTCCCACCAATGCTCCGATAAGCCTTGAGACTACCGATGGGTCTCCGCCAGAGTCCTGACAGCTTTTGGATCTTCCCAGTCTCTAAACGCCTTAGGACGTGTGCGCGCGTCGCATCAGTGCATGTTGGTGCTCGGTGTAGCACGACTGAACGCGTTGCGGTCGTGGTATTTCATCGCCGTTGGAGCTATGGGTCCAAGGTTCAGCTGGATGGGCAGGGGTAGCAAGCGTTTCGTGAACGTCGACCAGGGCGATCGCAGAACCAGCTATACACAATCAATGTCGGGGAACCAGTCTCGAATCGATGTCTGGAGACGTACTTGTAGAGAGTGAACGAGAACGCTGGCGTGAATGAGGCCGTCGAGATGTGCACAGCCCCCACCTCACCTCTAGGCTAGGCCATGATAGGACTAGAGTGAGCGCTGTGCCGAAAACAGCTACGCAAACACCGACAAGCGTCAGAAGTGCTTCTGTAGACATGCCGTGTGATTGGACAGATTGCACAGCGGTAGAGTCTCGCCGTGCGGCGTGTGGCATTACGGCTGCGTAGGTGGTCCAACTGGAATGGGTCATTACTAGTGTAAGAGCGAAGAGAGAAGACATGGCGATTTGCGGAAGTGAGCTAAGTTTGTGAAGAGCAACAGTCTTCTAGAAGCGAAACAATGTTCGTGGAACCGTTGCAACTGTATCGTATCATGGATATCGAGGCCAGGCGACTTTTAAACACCACAGAGCACCGCCCGTCAGATGAGGATGTGTGGCGCGGATGACCGCCAAGAAAGCGAAGTAATTCGCGAACTTCGCTGCTAACTACGATTGGTAATATAGAGCTGTCGCTATTGGTGCAAAGTTCAACAACGTCACAGACCACTACAGCTGTCGCGACAGGGTAGAAGCGAGTAAGGCGCTATGAAAAGCAAGTTGCCGCGCTTCCTGATTGGCGATCGGTTCGTACTGGGGACCGGTCAAGATGTCGAGCTATGAGAGGCACGAACGTACTTTGTTAGATTAAGCATTTTGGCCTATGGGGGCATGTACATTCCTCACATCAGGAGAAAGATGCCAAGCTCGTTAGCACATGCCTAAGGATGTTATACGCTACAAGCTGAGTTACAAAAGTATCAGAGAATCCTGACCTAGGAAGGAATCACAAGGCTAGAAAGAACGAGATTTGCAAGTCCAGCGAAGCTTCAACACCGCGTACGGGCGTCGTTCAGCCTACACTCATCACAACCCAAACCGGCTTGGTCGAGACATGGGAAGCTTATAAGCAATATGGCGGAACACGACCTGCCAAAGCTCCGTCTTATTAGTAGGTGGTGACTTCTATGACAAAGCCCTGCCTGACAAGTTCTTCTCACTGCGCCTAATTACTAAGGCATAGTCGTCGACCTTGGTGGTTCAAGTATTGCACCAGAACCTGCAATACGAACGTCAAAGATTTGCCTTGATTGTTCTCCAACACGAAAGATCTAGTATCCCACTGCTCACAAAGTTTGGCGTCTGTGTACATGCATGAGAAAGTGCAATGCTGGTGCTGAACGTCAGGCCATCTGTTTTCTACATGGCAAGAAGGCGGAGGTCAGTAGCTGGCGCAGATAGTGCAGTCGCCAAAGCCAGTGTTAGGAAAGTTCTCTAGGAACATGCACATGTCGCATAAAGATAGCGGAACGTTGGGAGAGTTGGCGAAAGCCCTGGACACGCCGCAGAGGAGTTCAGCAAGTAGTGCTCAATGTACCGACACGGACGACAAATATTACAGGTGATGATCACCAACTTCATGTCTTATACAACACAATAGCGCAATGCCGTAGCTATCCGCTAGCATATCGCGATGCGCAATATTGGCGGGCTGTCCGGTTCGCTGGCCGGGACAATGGCGGCGCGAGCCGTTGCTGCAGATGTCGATTGCGCTGATCTCTGGCTAGCGACACGGTTAGTCATTGACCAGCGAAATCTGCTCCGAGCACAGAGACGTGCTTCAGGTATTGTTTTTGGGATGACGATTGCATGATTACATAGTTAAGCGTATTTTGAAACTTCCATGGCTGGGATAAGGCTGTTTCTGCTAGCATGACGTCATGATAACGGAACATGACGGTACCTAAGTAACTTTCACATGCAGATGTCCAAGCGCGGAACACCACGATTATATTTGTGATTTCTCTCATTTGCCCTCTTGTTTTCGCTCCTGAGCTTTACCATCTTACATTTACCGACAACATGCCCGACAATAGAAACATGTCAGAAATCATGAGGCATTCCGAGCGTCTCACGAATGGAAACGATGGAGTGGTGGTCTCAATCCCCGATGTACCCATCACTGAGCAGAGAAAACCTTTCGTGAACTCAGAATACTCAAAACTCCAGCACATAGGTACGTGCTCTCCCACGACACATATCACCGCCAGATTGCTAATATGAGCAGGCACTGCCCGTGCGAATGTCGCCCCATCAGCAGAATCCCCTGATGGCACACCGGGCTGGAAGGAGAAGCACTCTCACCAGACCGTTCTACAACAACACTGCGACTTCTTTGACCGCGACCACGACGGCATCCTTTGGCCGCAGGATACATTCGTTGGCTTCTATCGGCTTGGTTACGGTATCATACTGTCTATCGTGGCGGTGTTTGTTATCCACTCCAACTTTTCGTACCCGACATGCTCTGGATGGCTGCCCGATCCATTCTTTCGTAAGATTTCCCAACTCCAAACGACGTGAGACATACACTGACTTTGTACGCCATCTCAACAGGTATCTTCCTCAAGAACGTACACAGGGATAAGCATGGCAGTGACACTGGGACGTATGACCACGAAGGGCGCTTTGTGCCGCAGAGGTTTGAAGACATTTTCACCAAATACGCGGATGGTAGGGACTACCTTACGATCTGGGACGTGAGCAATGTGCTCAAAGGACAACGATGCATTGCTGACCCAATTGGTTGGGGTGGTGCCTTCTTCGAATGTAAGTCGAGCCAGTTTCTTTGTCTATGAATGTTCTTGCTAATGATTACAGGGATTGCCACCTACATTATGCTATGGCCCGAGGACGGCCGAATGATGAAGGAAGATATCCGTGGTATCTACGACGGAAGCATATTCTATACACTCGCTGAGAGACGAGAGAAGGCTTCGTGAAGTCGAATCTCGAAGTTCTATCCCGGTTATCGCACTTATGAGCTGCGTCTAGAAGAGATCGTTGTGTTCGAACGTGAGAAAGCTCTAAATTAATCGATCGCATTGGTGCGATGCTTCAGTGGATACTAGAAGAAATGAGATAGAAGACCTGTGTAACAGAGCCAAAAGAACGTATCCAAGGTTGAGGTTTGCCCACGAAGACAGCACCTGTGAGTTGTGGCTCCCGACTGGCTAACGGACAGCCTGCGATACACGCCAATCCTCTCTTACTAGTGGTGCCCGCTCGTTGTTTGCGCAAGCAGCTCCATCCTATACTGCGCCCGAACTACCCAAGTATACATATAATATCCATGCCCTCAGAACGTAAGTGTACGCCTTATCAGCCCGCGCTGTTGTTCGCGATTATCGGATTGCGCGCGTTGCGGTCGGCTTATTTCAGTCTCGCCTAGGCCGGCGGCCGCATGGGATTCGATCGAGGAATGCGGCATTGCGTGTTGCCATGGGTGATCGACGAGTGGGACGTTGGAGTTCGCTGGGCTTGTCAGTGTCCTGTGAGATTTTGTGCAATCATGGGGCAAGACGTACCTGTGGAGCGGGATCGGGAGCGAGAATGGCGGCGGGAATCTAGCCTCGATTTCAAGTGGGGCCAGATGAACGGAAGCGCTATCCCGAATATGGCCACCACCACTGCGATTACTCCTACAACCGCTTCTACAGACAGGCTCTGTGATTGGATGATCGAACGTTTGATGCGCTCTCGTTGCATAGGACTCTCAATTGGGAGGGCGCATATTACACCAAAGCAATACGCAAAGTTAACGAAAAGAAGTTGGACAAGCATGTTGTCGAAAAGCGAAAGCTTGATAAAGGTACTTCGCCAGTCTTTAATCTCTGTTTTCTCAAGACGAGAGAAGTCTTCTATGCGGTAGGAATGCGACAGAGTAGAAGCAGTTCTGAGGTGCCTCCTGTCGACGCTTTGTGTTTGGCAGGTATTTACGTGAGGCGCAGTCCCGGTGGTAAGAATGACAAGTGTGATAGTTTTTGAAAGCACTGTAGATACGGCGATGTGCTTTCTTATATCAATGAAAATCTTTAGCATTTCTATAGTGAGCTCACAAGCAATATGTAAGAACAAGATGTGTAGGCTAATGGATCCGCAGAATTGAGAGCAGGCAATCAGGCAACCGGGCGCCAAGCACTCCGTATGTGGAGGCCACCCACACCAAACCATGCAAGTGTTCGGAAGGACCCATTCGTTGTCGAGACGTCTGTGCAGACCAGCTTACGCAACGATAGAGATGCTTCCTTTAGGCTCGCTGGGGCCGGATATAACAGGGCTACACACTGGATGTAATAGAGAATTACATCCAGTGCCGGTTATATAGCGAGGCCGGGGATTTACGATAACACAGAAGCAGCAGCGAGCTAGTGGGGGGCATGTAGGCTAATAGCTGAGAGCACAAAAGCGTTAAGCTGGCAGTGTATCCAAACCAGAACCCTCGACTGTGGAGCTCCATACATCGTCAGATCGCTACACACTCCCACAGCGGCACGTATCTTACGGTGTCAAGCGAATTTGGCACAACACTGTAGGAAAATCAAAACTGCATTGTTTGCCGGCTCTGGCTTCGCCACTTTCCACTAGCCGCAATCCCGTGCACCTATCCTGTGTTAAGATAGATGGAGTTGTATCACGTCATTGCTGGTATCTGTTCCGTCTTGAGTGTCGAGCTCCATACATCACTAAATGCACACTGAACCACGCAAAAATCTGCCATGAAGCCCATGGTCATGAGGATGCTTCAAGATAGTATAATTAGTTTTAACGTTGATGAAAACAAGATACCAAAATGCTTGTTCGTCATATCGTGCGCTCTTTCGCCCCATGGCCCGAAAGACCCGTTCGCAAAGTCGTGAAGTATTCGCAGTATGCCGGGAACCCTGAGCGCTATATCCAGCAATATAAAGATCCATTGTCGAGCCCTTCGACGTTAGAAAGCCCTTCAGAGTGTATGAGTGCGCAACAATACGCGCTGTTGTTCGGCAGGGCAAGTTTGAACGCGTGATGGTCGTGCGATCTGATCGTCGCTCACGTCGTCGATGGACGAAAGAGGAGCTGGTGAACGTCTGGAGAGCCTAACGAGGTGTATTGCCGAGTCTACAGCATATCATCAGTATTCGGACAAGTCTCATGGACAGTAAACGAAGACTCACCTGGATCATTGCGACGGGAGCGGGTGCGATGATGGTAGCGGCGGGCCAAGCACATCCTCTTCAGGCTATTCCACTTCAAAACTGGCGTCAACCCGACACCCACTATGGCTACGCAAACGCCGATAAGCGTTAGCAGTGCCTCTATGGATAGGCCGTCTGAACTGTTCAGTACACGAGATTTGTTCTGCCGCACAATGTGCAATGTCGGGGCAGCGTTGATGGAAGGCAAATGGGCGCATAGCTGTGTCCAGGTGAGTAACATCACCATGTTTCTGACTGATGAGCTCATGATAGCGGAATGTGATAATGAAAGTTGCCAGAGAGATATGCGCTCGCAGTCGAACCCTTATGTTTTGTATGCACCGGATCATCTTGATTCAAAGTGAACATGAATCCGTACCTAAGCAGCTGCCTGGCGGTGCATGCTTGCTCCTGCGCAGCACAACGCGTCTTTTGTTCCGCGGACAGTGTTCAATTACGGCTAGCACACATGATGCTATTCGTTCAAGATGACAGCAGGCTCGGCCCAAGAACCGATTGCGACTAGCCTTCACAGAAGTTATGGACGCTGGCTGGCTAAGCAGCTCGGCTGTGCATGCTTGCTCCTGCGCAGCACATGGCGCTTTTGTTGCGCGGATAGTGTTGCATCACACGAGCCTGATTGGCACTAACAATTCAGGACCGTCGTGATCAGTACCCAGGTAAAAAGATGAATGCTCCAATGACGAAAATGAAACAACCAGGGCATCGGCAGCTAGGCAAATCATTAATCCAAGGCTCGGGACCTTGATGTAGGGTGAACAAATAAAAAAATACCATGTATTGCAAAGACCGCAACGGATGAATGATCGCCGTATGTCTAGAATGTCGTATTGAGAAACATCAGTTCTCGGATGGACCGAATCGCTGCTGCATTATCTACGTTTCACTATGGGTTATTCGGTCCGGGATTCTAGAATGCGTGGACATGATAATCGACGGTACCAAGACCAGAGGGCATGTAATGTCATTCGAGACTTGATCACTTTGTCTCATGGCCATAAATACTGACTTGAATATCTAAATCTTTTGCTCTGCAATTTTCCATGCAGCATAGTAATAACTGAAATTGAAATCTACAAGTTCGCACGATCGATACGCTTGCCGCTCTCGTCGAATCGAATCTGCTTTCCGCTGACAAGCGCTTCTTGCAACCAAGCTCCGATCCGTACGGCCTTGACAGCGTTCTGGAACTCCAGAGGAACTGGTGTGTTGTCCAAGCACGCGGCTGTGAACTCGTTGGCCTCCTTGACGAAACCAGGCTCGAAACGACCCCAGTAATCGGCGGGTACCTCCCGGGTAATGCCAGCCTTAGAGTAGTAGTTGACGAGGTTCTTCTGGGGGTTGAGGTTGACGGTAAGCTTGCCCTCGGTACCGATGATCTCGGTCACATCTTCTTGGCCGTGGGTCATCATGCGGGAGGCGTAGTAGTGGGCGATCCTGCCGTCCCAGAACTCGACGATGCCGACGGCGTTGTCGTAGTCCTTGTGTTGCTTGAGGCCTGGTAGAATGGCAACAACACCGTTTGCGGAGATGGACTTGGGTACTACGTTGGAGCCAAAGTACCAAAGTGTTAGGTCAATGTCGTGCACGGACATGTCGACGAAAACACCGCCAGACCATGCAGCATATTGGACGAAGAAGTCTGATCGAAAAAATCAGTATCCGATTCCACGATATATCGACTACTGTTTTACGTACCTGGGTCGGGATGTTGCCTGTCGCAAGTTTGTGATCGGACAACTGTGGGTCGGCCAATGGCACCTTCTTCAATCTTGCGTGCAACATCTTGGTAGCTGTCATCGAAACGCCTTGAGAAACCGCACATGACCTTGAGGTGTGGCTTCTTCGCAGCTGCGTCAACGACATCCTGGCAGATCTGGACGCTGGTGGAGAGAGGCTTCTCGCAGAGGACGTGGAGGTCCTTCTCGATAGCTTGGAGGGTCTCCTCGGCATGTACTGAGGTCGCTGTGCCGATCACTACAGCCTCTAGGCCCTTGTGCTCAAGCATCTTCTTGTAGTCATCGTAGAGAGTGACACCATATGGCTCGAGATGCTCCTTGCCCCATTTGAGCTCATTTTGGTCGGGAGAGAAGGCAGCGACAAGCTCAGCGCGAGGAGTCTTGTTCAAGATGTTGAGGGCGTGCCGAGCGCCCATGCGGCCGAGACCTGCAACGGCAACTTGGAGTCTGTGAGGAGCCATCTTGAAGTGATTTCGGGAGGAGTGGAAATGCTATTTTATGGAGAGGATAAAGGGGGAGGAGTAAGATAAATGCAGAATGAGCCATCGAAGCGCAGCGAGGAAGACATTTTATACTGGCTGTGGGCAGATCACTAATTCTCGTGCACCTTCGGAGGAGGTTTTTGTCAACGTTCTCAGCATCTTCGTCGAGCTCGCTGATTGGCCAGATAGCGTTCGTATGAAGTTCGGAGGAGGTTTTCGCAATGCTATGCGCGCCGGTGTGGGGAACATGCGGGCGGAGTGCTTGGGATAGGTGCCAACAGCACTGAGCGGAGCACGGAGGAGGTTTTGCATTGTAATTTACACTAGCGTCTAAGTCAAGACCGGCACCAGCGCCGTGCGCGACCCTCGGAAGAAGGTTTAACGATGGCAAAACATCCCGCCACGGCAATTTCTCCCGTTTCCTTCTCACCAAGACCACGAATGCTTGACCCTAAACTGTATTGGCACTGGATAGAAGACGATACCGCTTCTTTTTCACTCTATCTCCACGCCGCGACCCCAGATATGGCCTTCCAATATAGTCTGCGGGGTAAGAAGCGCCGAAGCTTGCTTCGTCTAGGGACACCGGCGTAGACGTGACCCAACAAACGACCAGCATTAAATTCATGTTCGTCCTTCGCTCCTCGTCATACGTATCCGTGGCTCGCTTGGTACCTTAAAGTCAAATATGGTGCTTATCCCAGAATTCTGATGTCGGCCTGCATATGTTGTACACCTCGGTTAGGATCGTCGGCTTGCCGCATACCTTGTCTCGAATTGCCTGCACGTTTACGACCCAGGAACCGATCTTCAATGAAGAGCGCTAAGTTTGCCATGGCCTCGTTGACTGTTTAGCAATTCAAAAGAGCAAAGAACCATACTCCCCATAGGATTTACACATACGTTACAGCAGACAATAGTCGCCCGAGACGAACTTTACGGCTTCCAATAGCTGTTGACCAGTTTGGGACAAGAGCGACTAGACATTATCGCAACCTGTGTCATCGAAACATCTTATGACAATTCGGTATCTATCAGTTGCGACTGTATCAGCAACGGAAGCGCAAAGGACTGTGAAAGCTGGTTTTACGCTTGACATGCGACCATGTGTTGGGAGGCCGTGCGCAATCGCGAACCAGCACGCCCAGAGAACTTGCGGGCATCAAGCAGCCTAGTCTTACGTCTACAGCGGGGCTCCCGAGATTATTGAAGTATTAGCCGTCAATGCAACATACATCTTTCTCGACTGCACAAGAGAGTTCGCATGCAACTGATGAGAATCTAGTTAGATACGAGACATATCGTGATATACCGCCTACTGCGATGCCTAATGACTGTAACGGGAACTATGAGATGACCGGTCTCCACTAGCCACCCAGCCACAGGATCACAGACTTAATCTAGCGAGTTGAAGACCTCGCTCGAGTCATTTCCTGAGCACTAAGATACGGCCGTCGCATCTTGGCTACGAAATATCACTGTCGTTGCAAATGTGCCATGTGGTAGCTTGATCTTGGAACAATACAGCGTGTAGCGCAAGGTATTCATGGAACAGTCGCGTGAAGCGCTTTCTTCTGTCTTCTCTTCTCTCGGTCGAGTCTTGCTGTCGTATTGTTCGTCATGCGATCTAGCCAGGCCTCAAGCTGTACAGTTGTAAGCAAACACCCCATGAGCTCCGCTATGTGGGTCTCACCGTAGTGAATTTGAACAGCAGCCATGCTGTGAATGTCAACAGCATACATCCACCACCAACAAGTATATACCATTTCCAGCTCGGGTTATCTCTCAGTATGTCGACGTTCATTCCGAATAAACTCTTTGATAAGATAAGCTCAATTTAGCATACAGATTAGGGTGCACGTACGGCGGAGAACGTTGCTGGGAGAAACACGAACTAGCGGTGCGTCAGCGACGTCTTACCAAATAGTAGAAGTGGATGACCACTTACTGTAATCCAACTAAGGCGCTTTAGGCTAGCTGACATTGTTACTGATTTGCGAGCCTCTCGAATCGTCACGAGATTGAATTCCTGATTCTTAATTTAAGTCGTACTGAGTCTGAAACGCAGATGATGTTATACTTACTATGTTAATAAGGTTTTGTGACGTGGTATCAAGCGAGTTCAGATCTTGTTCTATATCGAACCGGAACTTATGCAAGAATTCTTGGCAGTCTCCATGAGCTTTCTCTTCTTGGTAAAGACGATTATATTCGGACACAAACTGAGTTGCGTCGGTGACATGTTGTGCTAATTCTCTGCGGAGTGTTATCCATTGTTGCGCGTCTTTCAGAAGCTGGTCTGTGAGCTCAAGATCTTCTCCCTTTGCATTCAAGATCTCCTCTCGCTTGAAACGCGCAATTCAGTTAGTCAAGTTTACGCATTAGGAATGTTGTACGTAGTAACTCACAAAGTGCCGCAAGTGCAATTCACCCTCCTTGCATGTCACCTCCCACCTTATTCTCATCTGCTTCAAAAGCTGGAGATACATGTGTAACATCTCTTCCGCAATCCATGTATCCGGCAAGTTGTGACAATGAGCCAGTCGACGGAATCCAGCTTTTGCGTTTTCATCCTTTATCATGCTCCATCTAATTCCAATTGGCAGCATGTGCGACAACGAAGATCCTGTCTTTTGTTCCATCGTTGTTGCTACTGGGAACTTCAATACGACCACATACGTGATCACTGGGCCTTTCCAAGAACTTTCATGCTGAAGTGATGAGCTCAGACGATCTGACTGTAACCATGCCGGAGACGAAGGTGCGGAGAAAACACTGAGCTTGTTTGAGAACATATCTGTAATGTTATGAATGATCATGACGACTTACAATAGGTTCATTGCTTGATGCTGGGCCGTACTTTCCATATCATCTTGGGGTTCGCCTTCCAGGAACTTGAGAGAAGTCTTCCTCGTAGTTCTAGTAAGCTGCATGACGCGACAGTCAGGCTTACTGTATGCTTGTCGCCACTGCTCCAGGGTGGTACTCTTTGTAGATGCACCCATATCAAGTAAGATATCTGCTATCTGGTGCTGGCCTTTCTGGAGTGCAAGTGTCAAAGGTGTGTCTCCATTGATGTCAGCTTCGTCAAATTTCGCATTTTTTTCCAACAGCTTGTGAGCGATGATTGGTTTGTCTTCCATGATGGCATTGTGTAGTAGAGTTCTTCCCCAAGCTCCCCTTCGGTTGGTATCATATTCTGCATCTAAGAGCAGCAGTATAAGATCCAAGTCTCCAGATCTAACGAGCGAGCTGACTGTCTCGTAATCTCTGGGTATCAGTATCTTAGCCGTTTCCTTCATCTTGCCTTCAGCTGCCCACCATAGCGGAGTATGGCCATTGCTGTCTTTAACAGCAATATCATCGACTCTTCTCTTAACCAATTCATTGAGAATCCCATCAAGACCGAAGTGAGCAGCAAGATGCATGCCAGTAATGCCTTGTGGAGCGACTTGGCTGAATCTTGTACTTCGTGGCATCTCCTGAGTGGCGAGAAAAACCTGGTAGGCCGCAGCTACGCTTTGGTCATCCTCAAGAAATCGCCAAAGGAGTTCTTTTTCCTTGTCTTCAAGGGGCGAAACATGCTGTGCCCAGTACCTGCAAGCGTATCTGTAAAATGGGTATCTCGTAAGCCTCTCTTCCAACAATGCATCATTGCGGCACGGCCCAGACTTGAACTCGAAGTGTGATAAACATGTGATACACATGTTTTGCAGCTTATCGATCAGAAAACTCGGAGTACCGAGTTGTAGTTGGAAGCCTCGAAAGGGCCGTTCTTGTAAGCTTCCAAAGGATTGTGCTTGAAAGCTTCCAAAGAGCTTTGCTTGAGAGCTTCCAAAGGGCTTTGCTTGGAAGTTTTGGAAGGACTGTGACTGAAAGTAGCGCCATGCTTTAGGCCCTACAAGCACAGAAGCTGAGTCATGCACCCAAGCGACCTCCTGTGATTCAGATTTGGTCTTAATCAAACCCCGACAGGAAGAGACAATGGCATCATCCACTTCATGTTCATGGATATTCAACGAAGCAAGGCCTTCCCTTTGTTCACTAACGTCAAAAGCAAGTGCCTGATGAATCTCCGGTAGTGTCAAACTTCTTTTCGCGAAAGAAATCAATGACAGGACTTGACCTGCTAACACTGCATACTTTTCACGTTGCTTTACGATTTGAGCTGCTTCTCGTTGGTAAAAAGTATCGAGAACGAATGACGTAGAGGGCGACCTGACAAAGTCTTCAGCTGCTCCCAATGGAGCGGTCGACAATGTGTGTATGGCTTGCTCTGCCAACGAAAATCTGGTTACCAATCAGTAGAAGTCAACATTGGAACTGGGTATCTTACGTGTCCTTGGAAAGCAACATGATGCTTTTCTTCAACTTATCTTTCAGCGTTTGTGAATGAAGCTTCTCCACGGACCACCTAAAATCGGTATTTTGTAGTTCACGATCTACAAATTTGGAAACATCCTCCTCGTCTGCTTGTATATCGATACGATCATATTTCCAAAGCTGCTTTATAACATCAGGTATATCCCGTAGAGTGAAGAGGAGCTTTGCTCCGGAGTTATCTCGTAGATCCTGGAGGTATGCGATCAAATCATCTACACCTTCATGTGCCGAATGAAGTTCGTCCACGGCATCTACGACTATGTAGACCTGGTGGTATAATTTGCCCACTTCATGAGCTAATTCAGTGACGGCCTCAAGGCTTAATGGGGTAGACTGTATCCGGGATCCCGTATCCTGGAGTACGTCTGACCATGGACAGTTCTCCACGAGTTGGCTAACTAATTGCGTCATAAACTCGAGAGTCGAACGAACATCGCCGTGTTCCGCATCAAGGTACGCGAAAGCAACACCTACTGATCCTTTGACATCTTGATTGCTTGACATGTCATTGAGTCGATCCACTACCTCTGAAGCGAGCATGGTTTTTCCGGAGCCTGGTATACCTGGGCAGACCAGGGTTGAGCAGTTTTCATTCAACCACCTCTGGTATTGTTCGGTTTTGAAGAACCAACATCCGATACCCTTCAAATACTTCTTCCTCAATCTTAAATGCTCTTCTTCTGCCGTATCCATTCGTGTTCCGAAGACCGTTTTCTTTTTTCGCTTCTTGGTGTAGCCAAGCCATGACATGACCTGTTCTCGAAAACGTTCAAGTTTCGACTCATCTGTCTCTCGAATGGGTTTAGTAAAGGGGCATTGCTTTCCAGTACGACAAGGAAGAATAGTTTGGATAGTTACCTTCTTGACCTTGCTCGGCGACTTGGTCACCCAAGTTTGTGATGTGTGTCATGGTCTGATCAGCCGTATTACTGCCAGTTGTCTCCATTACTGATGGTCTTTTGACTCTTTCTCAAGACTGAAGAAAGACCAGGGCTGTAAAATTTGGATGAGCGACCCTATGGCCGGGCAAGGACGATGTGATGGTAGATGGTGCAACGATCCGATGATGATACAGTCATGGAAAATTTCACTTCTTCTTGCCGACGGTATTTTTATTCTGAGGAGAATTGGTTGTTCTTGAGAGATAGATTAAGAGTAGACTGTATCTGAATGTTGAATGGGATATTGTCTTGCTCAGCTCGCGCGACAATGCATATAGTCCACGAGTCTCGTGGCTGGAGCTGTTTGTTTTGTGCTTCAGTGATGCTAGTCGAGATGCGTTTTCTTGAGAATGAGAAGCTTGCAGCACTGATTCCTTTAGTATGCGCGACGAAGATCGGCGACCATTAGGCTATATATTGCTGCACAAACGCACTTACGTCAAGCTAGGCTCACAAGCTTTTGACGAGTTCTTATTGGCGGTTATGTCCAAAAGGCGCATAATCTTCGACGGCGAAAATGAACTCGCACAGGCGCTTACCGATTGAGCAGCTGCGAAGGCGCAAAGCCACGTCAGTACATACATTCAGCACACTCTCAAGGATCAAATCCATGCACCATGCTAAGGAACATGCATGACTTTACCCCACCCGGGCGCTAATGCTGTCTCTGGCCACCTACCTGGACGCACCGATTGGTCGATCAGAGAAACCGGTCAGTCTTTCACAAGGAAAAAGAAGCATCAGGCTTGTCAGCTAAGCCGCAATACGCTGCAACGATTGAACATGTTTGGAGATCTTGCAGATCCGCTGAGCTTCTGATGAAATGTAGTAAAGTTACGTTCTCATTCTAGACACCGGAAACTCAGGCAATGTATAGCGCATGGTGCGAGGTAGGAAGTATGGAGCCTTGCTCGATCCGTTGTACAGATACATGCAGTCATATACTACCAACTTCAACCATATTATGAGTTGACATCTATGGCAATATCTACTGCACGTCATGATCGCCTGTAAGCATGCCGCCTTCAGTGTTTACTGCACCGCCAGCCACCGAACTATCGACCAGATAATAACTGCGGTGAAGAGACGGAGCATATCGTGGTAAACAAGTATATTAAGTTGAATCAAAGAAAACTATCCAGAATGCCTCGTCGAACCGAATTTGTCTGAAAAGGATAGCCTTTGGACAGATAGATGCTAGGCAACTAGAGATGAACATACAGCAAGGAAGCAAGCGGTGTTCGAGGACATCTTGTGTACGGCTGAAAATGCTTCCATAGAACTTACAGTCAATTCTTACGCCATTTCTGCTATCCTGCGAGCAATAGGATTGCCCGAGTTTCGAGTGCGAGAAGATAATAGTATCGCGCTACTTGTCAAAGGAGAGAAGATAGACCGTAACAACTAGATTGTAATGATATGCGCTGGCTAAGACGGAGAAGTGCAAGGAATCAATGTAACCGATGGCCCACTGCGGAAGCCGTTGAATCCTCGACCCAACCCGATAACAGACGCCCTTTATTGAACCGCCCCATGTACCATTATCCGTTCGTACTGCACATAGTAGTACTGTTGGTGCTGCGGTGATCGATTGTCGCCGCCCGCTGGGCGTGGCCAGGCTTGAATCGGTTGTGACGAGGCAAAAGGGTAGGCGTGCGAAGGACGATTCGATAACGGTAGATCTGCGCGTGAAATTCGTGTCAGCTTCCTGGATGTATCGAGCGCGTGTTAGCACGAAAGCATACCTTCGGTGGTGGAGAGAGAAAGGGACGGACGGGATCGACCGCGCGAACTCCCCCGCGCCCTCGACCACGCTAACGATGACGCGATGCCTAATAGAGCTACCACCACCCCAATAATACCAATAATCGCTTCTGCAGACATACGGTCGTTTACACTTTTGTTGCTGTTGTTTACATCGCGGCGACAGAGATTTGTGTCTGAGTATATTGGGATAGCGTGGCTGGTGACGACTAGTATACTTGATAGTACAACTAGGTGGGATGACATCCTACGCGACCTTTGCGAAGAAGGTGGACTAGGATGGTTAGAAAGATCTCGAACGATAGATTCGATCCGAAATTGGCGGCCATTGCCGTCTTTAAACTAAAATCTGAGCATTTATTCTATAGAGCCTGACGGAACTGCTGCTACCAAGTAGCGACCCATTGCTGCTCCTTACACCACGGTGGACCATCTCGTGAAGTTTTACGTGCTCGGCTGTGCAGGATTAGCATCGTGATGTGATTGGGTAGTGGCTGCGCAGTTGGACATCAACGGTCGGTGAAGTATGGTGTACTGGGCCATGCGGGATTAGCATCGTGATGTGATTGGGTGGTGGCTGCGCAGTCAGACATCAACGCTATCTAATGCCCGCGTCCGAGCGACTTGGCTATCTGACATGACCCGCCCGTTGCTAAACAAGCTTTCCCACGAATGATGCTGATTTGTTCGCGTATGCCAATATGTTGTTTACGCCACATGCCAACCAAATAGCCAGGCCTCAAGCCGTTTATGCTCGCGAGGCTTCGAACAGGCGTTGGGCTAACCAATATAGGGTTGACCGGTCCAAATGGCCAGCACACTGTGTGCTCTCAATTGCGAGGCACTAGCTCCTCTTTTACATATCCCATAGAACACCCAGCACACTCCCCATACAACAACCAACGAAGGTTTGATGGAGCCAGGGAAGCTCGATGGATATAACAGTGGGCATTCGTGGTAATCTACACTGTTTGTGCTTGTCGTCTCTTCATGCCCTTTCTCAACATGGGAGTAACAAAGGTAGGTTCTGAGATTGCCGTCGCTAAACCAGCATCAGCCACAGGATCTTTGGCTAGACGGGCCCTGATGATTTGAGGTCTGCGTATACAAGCAAAGAGTCCATTTCGCGTGTAAGTGTAAACAAGACAGCATACTTATTCTACATAGACACCATGCATTAGATCATGATCGGAAACGACGACTGCAATGTCAGCAAGACGAAAGCCGCGGATGTGAGAATGTGAAACCTGCGAGCGTGTGGAACTTCACAGCAAGGAAGACCATGTCCATGTCCTAATGCGATAGGTGAATATGTAGTAACGATACAGTATGTAAGATCCTTGAGAGCGCGACACCGCTCGAAACCCCCGAAACACCGATGCAAACCACAAGTACTCGTTGATGCTCGATCATTACATCGTGCGCTGCACCGTCAATCGCTCATAACGTATCTGATAATTGTATTTGTGCGACGGGTTGTGGCCGCCATTACTAGCTGTGCGCGCCCAGGTATTGATTGGGTACAATGGCGTAAAAGCATCGCCGTACGTCGGATGGTTGGGGGGTATCAATTCTGGTGGAACAAATCAGATCAATCTTCTTGAAGTGGAGGAATTTCGACATTTGCATACCTTCTGAGTTGCGGCGGGATCCACCGCGCGACTTCCTCCGCTTCGACCACACTAGCGTGGATGCAATACCCAATCCGGCAACTACCACGCCGACAACACCTATGATCGCTTCCGTAGATAATTGGTGATCTCCATTCTGAGTATCGATAGTTACATCCCGTTGATGAAGGCTTTTGTATGATAGAGTAGGAGTGGCTCGGACGGCCATGGCCAGTGCAAACGTAGATGTAAGTAGGCGAGGAAGCACTTTCGTGAATGGTTGCGTAGTCATGGAGAGTGTTCTTGTTGATTGTGACTTAATACATGTAGGCATGCAGAGAGGTGTTGCAGTCCAAGGTGTTTAAGAAGGCGTACTATACTAGGAGAGACTGCAACGGGCCGTACATCAAGCATGCCCTGCGTGGCTTGCATCAGTCGAAAGCGCATCAGGGGTGATGCTGGTAGGTAGGATTCAATGACCTAGAGCGCTAAGCTGTTCCTGTCCAACATTGGACGATGGGCCTGTGCGTCCACATGTGGTAAAGTCCGGAACTTGGCTACAGTGCCCGTGCGCCAGATGATCACTAACGCCAAATAATCACCCCTAACAATTTAATACCGTTAACAAGATAAGGTTATAGAGCTACTATAAATTATAATAAAATTATATAAAAGTAGATTTATACTATATATAGGCCTATAAAACTTTTAGCTTATTTAAATATTTTTCTAGAAAGTATTATAGTTTAATCTTATTAACTATATAGTAGAGTAGCTTATATAACCTATATAGCTCTTACTATAGCTATAGTAATACTACTACGCTTTTAATACTTTATAGCTAGCGTATAAGTTATTAAAGCTTTCTACTTACTCTTTTTAGAAAGTTTTATAAGCTTTTTAGTATTATTAATAAGCTTCTAGTATTATTTCTTAGCTATCTTTTTAGCTTTCTTTATTTTCTTCTTTTTTACCTATTTCTCCTACTCTATACGCTTTATAGCTTTAAGTTTTACTTTATAATTATAAGTTACTTTTTTAATCTTAGTATTTTTAGCTTTTTAAAGCTTTTTAAGCTTAGCTTATTATTATTATTATATTTTATAATTAAGAGCTTATTTAACGCTTATAAGTAACTACTAAATAGCTCTCCTATAATACTTAAGATAATTATTAAGCTATAGTATATAAAATTTAGTTTCTTACTTTTTTTTAATAGCTAGAAATTACTTAAGGCCTTTAAGTTTACTATAAAAGAGTATATTTTAAGCTATAAGGTAGTATAAGCTTTATTAAAGCTTTTTAACTTTTTTACTATTCTAATCTTTTACTTTATAGTATATAATTAATTTTAACTTAAGCTAATCCTCTCTAAAGAGTATAGAAGTTAAACTAGCTTCTAAATCTAACCTCTTGTAAAGGTTATCCTTAGATAACCTAAGAGTTAGTTCTTAGGGATAGAGTAGGCTGCGATAGACAGGTTAGTGTAATAGCACAATTAGTAGATTAATATAATATTACGAGAGTGTATAAGAACGAAGTATAATTCTTAGATTAAATACTAGAGTCTTATACAAAGTTAAGTTAAATATACTAAGCTATAAGGGTTTAGTATTAAAGCTATATACTAATAAGTATTACGCTTAGTACTAAGCGTGTAAGTGCTTATTACTAAGCGATATAGTGCTAGTTTAGTTATTAGCTAACTAGTCTTACTTACTACTAAGTATTCCTTCCTAGACTAGCGCGTAATACTTATTACTAAGTAGTTACGTAACTACAGCGTAGTTGCTGTGCTATAATTCTTTAACTGTGCTACTTAATCCTCTAAAGTAATTACGCTTACTCCTATCTTCTTCTAGATATAGATTATAATACTATCTTTTTCTTATAGAGATTTATTCTTAAATTATATAACTAATTTATAGTTTCTATTATTAACTAAGGCTTACCCTATATTATAAGTAAGGTAATTGTTATATCTTTTTCTACTTAACGTCGCTTACGCCTTAGCTCTAAGATTATTTAAGCTAACTATCTTTCTAAAACGCTTTATAACTATTACTTTCTTAAAAGTAAGATCTATTACGTTATATCTAATTCTTATCTAAAATATGCTAAGTATACTTAGTTAGAGTATGCGTATATAAATATATTCTAAAAGTCTTTAGATTATACGCGTAATAAATATTAAAAGAAAGTAGATAATAATAAGAAGTTACTAGTAACAGTAATTTCGCAGTTATTATAGAATAAGAAGATTCTAAAATAGGTAGAAGAGCAGGCGTAGAAGAAGACGCTGTGTTTAGCTACAGACATAGAAGCAGCTAGTAAAATAGAAATAGCGCAGGAGATAGATTATCCTACTTCTTCTATTAGTATAGAATTCTCGCTAGCTATATAGGCTATAATAGGATTAATTAATACTTCTATTACTAGCTATAGTACTTCTAAAGGTGTAGTTAGTAGTTTATAAGGTTTATATTTAGTTCCTATATATTTTTACTATTTAGATAGTCTAACTATTTAATTAGGTATTTAGTTCTATTACTATTATTTTAATATATAAGTATTCTTTTAACTTTAAAGACGCTGTTTTTTTTTATTTTAAAATAAAAGGTTTTCTAGAGTAGCGTTACTAGATCTATAAGTTCTAATATGTTAATATAAAATTTAGAGTAGATTTTTACGTTAGCTAGAAAGTTAAGTATATAAGTAACTAGTCCCTTCTAGTTAAGAATTAAAAATAGTCTAACTTTAATGTTATTAAGTTCTTTATTTAGTTATTTAGTCTAAAGATTTTTTATAAGTAAGTAAACTTTATCCTCTTTTTTTAGCTAAGGTGCTATTTTTTATTTCTTATTAATATATAAAATGTTTTAGCGTTAAGCCTTCTTAAGTACTTACTTAAGTAACTTATATACTTCTTTTAGCTTATTAGTAATAGTAATAGCTACTTTTGTCTTTAGACTAGGAAATATTCTTATAAAGAGATTTAGGTGTCTCTTATAATTTACGTAGAATAGTATTTGCTTTATAGATTCTAATAATTTATTATTATATGCTATTTGTGCTATAGGTAGTAGTAATACTTAGTTATTTTATTATTAATTAGTATAGATCTGTAGGTAGGTTTTTATTATTTAATTTATTTATTTAGTCTATCTATCTATCTATAGATAATAAGCTGTTAATAGCTTTTTCTTTATTCTAATTGTAGCTAGTAGTATTGTCTAAAAGTTTAAAGTAAAGAGCTTATCTCTATTACTAATAATTAACTTTAGGATGCTGTAATATCTAATAATCTTATTATTTATAGTGTATGCTAGCTGTACTGCTGTAAAGTCTTTTTTAAAAGTAATGTACTTAGCTTACTTTATAAATTAATTAACTACTACGAGAATTATATTATATACTATTTATATAATAGGGTCTCTTAAGACTAGTAAGCCTATAATAAAGTCTATAGAGATATCTAACTATAGTGCGTTAGGTAGCTCTATTGCTTATATTTCTCTGTAGGGTGCGTAGGTACTGTATTTATTTTTCTAATAGTCTGTATACTTAGTAATAAAGGAAGTAACTTTATCCTTTATGTTTAGAAACTTATAGTTTTACTTAATAAGTTCTATAGTTCTTGCGATACTAGAGTAACTGTATACTAGATTATTATAGTATTATTAGATAATTACTTCTTATAATTCTTCTAGTACTTTGCTTACGATTTTTATAATTTAGTTTAACGTCTTTGCTAGTCTTAGCAATCTATCTTTATTAAACTTAAGTAATACAGAATTAGTAATTAACTTTATTCCTATAATATTATATTAGTAGCTAAGTACGTCTGCTTTACTATTCTCTTTTTTTAGTATATATACAATTTTAAACTTATACTATCTAAGTTCTTTAGACTATTAAACCTATTATTAGTTAAGTACCTTAGTAGTTATAAAGTTAACTAAGTTCTTATAATCTATAAATATTATAAGTTCTAAGTAGCTTTTAGCGTATACTCTCTAATACTTTAGGTACGTAATAATAGCTAGTAGTTCCTTATTATAGATATTATAGTTTTCTTCTAGTCCTAAGAACTTATAAGAGTAGTAAGTAATAAAGTACTATTTGCTTTTATATATCTAACTAGTATATCTACTTAGTATAAGATCTAAGATATTAGTCTTAAAGCGTAGTAGTTATCCTACTTAGAATATATAGAAGTATAGTAGTTTTATACTTGTATTCTTAAGCTTTTAGAAAGCGTTTTTAGCTTCTTTACTCTACTTAAACAGAGTATCTTTCCTTATAAGTTTAGTTAGTAGAATAGTAATCTTAGAGAAGTCCTTAATAAACTATTAGTTAAAGTTTAGGAATTCTAGGAAGAATTATATATCTTTAACTATCTTAGGTGTTAGCTATTCTTTAACTACCTTAATTTTTTCTTTACTTATATATACTCTATTAACCTCTATAACGTATTCTAAGAAGTTAACTTCCTTCTTATAGAACTTACACTTTTCTAGTTTTACGCGTAGATTGTACTAGTCTAGGCACCTTAGTACTGTATAGATATATTTAATATAGTCTTCTTTGTTTTTAGAGTAGATAAGAATATTATCTAGATATATAATAATAAAGATATCTAGGTGTACTCTTAATACGTTGTTAATAAGTTCTTAAAATGTTACTAGGGTGTTTGTAAGCCTAAACAGCATAATAGTATATTTAAAATATCTATATCTTATATAGAACGCTGTCTTTTATTCTTTACTTTCTTTAATTCTAATAAGGTAGTATCTGTCTTAAAGATCTATTACTGTAAAGATCTTTACTTAAGATAGCTAATCTCTAAGTTCTATAATATTTAGTAATAGGTATTAGTTCTTAATTATAATGTTATTAAGTTTCTAGTAGTTAACGTATATTTATAGTAGTCTACTTTTCTTTAGTATAAAGAGGATAGGAAATCCTACTAGTAAGCTTAAAGGTCTAATATATTCTTTTTTTAAATCTTTCTCTAGTTTCTCTTTTAGAATCTTAAGTTCTGCCTTTAATAGTTAATATATTAGCTTAAAGGGTAGAGTCTTCTCTTCTTCTAAGACTATCTTATAGTCTTAGGGTTAATACTTTAGTAGGTTTTAATTATCTACTACTTCTATAAAGAAGTGCTTAAAATCTTTATACTCTTTTAGAATATTAGGAGTTATACGTTTTTCTAGTACTCTAACTTTGTAATTTAGGGGTACCTTACTAGTATCTATTAAGTTAAACCTTTATTTCTTAAAGCTGTTCTTATTTAAGAGTTACTTTCTTTTAGTAATATTATTAATCTTCCTCTTATCTATTATTATAGTTATTAGATATGTAGGCTAGCTTATAGATACGTCTAAGCTGTAGCACTTAAATAAGAACTCTTTTAACGTTTAGTTAATTTATAAGTTATATTCTTATAACTAGAGAAGTCTTAATATAATATTGTAGGTAGCTAATCTAAAGACGTCTAGGTTAATCTTCTTATAGTAGTCTTAGATGCTAAGCGTTACTCTAGTAACCTTATGTGTAATCTAGTTTCTACTTAGTATAGGCTAACTATTAGTAATATATAGTAGGTAGCTTTCTTCTTTCTTTAGTAGTCTTAGTCTAGCTAAGAGTACTACTTAAGTAGAGAAGTAGTTTACTTATAATTCTAAGTCTACTAATGCCTATATCTATTTTCTATTAAGCTTTATAGGAAGCGTAAAGAGTGTTAAAAAGTTTATACTATTAATTTTCTTTCTAGAGTTAGATGTATTAAGCGTTTATCTAAAAAAGACTATATACTATAACTGTAAAATTTCTTTGCGATGATGTATAGTTTATACTTAATATTAAGGCACGTGTGCTATAAGGGCTAGTTATACTCTTATATACTAGTTCTGTCCTCTAAGGTCTTCTACTACGTAATATATATATATAGGGTCTTTTATAGGTCTTTGTAACTATAAAAGTATAGATAATATCTCTTATTCTATAGGTATATAGTGTATTAGTCTCTAGGGCAGTTGAACTATTTAAACTTATATACTAGTATTCTAGCGTATTTATGTAGGAAGTGTTCTAAACTGTATTTATTAGAGTAGTAGATAGTATAAGAGTTATATATGTACGCTGTTTAGCTTATATTACTATATAGCAGGTTCCTAGAATTAAGCTAGTAGTAGGTTTCTTCTTTACGTTTTTATTGTACGTTATTTTATTATTACTTAGCTGCGGCGCGTTCTTGCTTTTTAGCCTGTCTTTATATTTATATAGTTAAATAAGCTATTTTAGCGTTAAAATCTTTATTTCTAAAATAATAGTAGGTTTTATATTCCTTTTCTATTAGTTTGCTTACGTAAGGATTAGTCTACTGTTTAATTTCTTTATAGATTTCTTATTTCTTACTATTAGATAGGTAGTACGTAGGTTTATTCTATAAGGCCTTAGCTTTGTATGCCTATCTAAATAGTTTTTTAGTATTATAGATACTCTATATCTTAAGTTCTTTAAGAAGTCTTTAGTACTCTATAAATTTCTTAAATTTATTATAGAATTAGTTCTTAGTATTAGGGTATTTATATTCTAGTTTACTAAGTTACTAGCGTAGTATGCTTAGCTTAAAGTTTAGGTCCTCTAGATACTAAATAACTTCTATCTTATTACTAGTAGTAGGTTTGTTCTATACTTTAATAGCGCGGTTAATCTAGTTAAGTTTGTCTAGTATTAGTAGGAATTTTATAATGTCTATAGGGAGATTTTCTTTATTATACTCTACTTAGTAGAATAGGTTGTAGAAGTCCTAGCGTATTGCTGCTATAATGTTTAGTATTTTATAAGTATACTTAATAGGTAGCTTATTAAGGTATTAGAGTAGTTTGTTAATTTAAGACAAAAGTATCTTTATTTATTCTTCTAGGATATAGGGTGTAGAAAGTTAGTTTTCTTCTTTAAATATAGCTATCTTACTAAACTTAGTTTAGTTAATTTCTGTAACTTCTAGGTCTTTAAAGGACTCTAGGTTAGAGGTGTCTTTATTTAAAGATAGTCTTTTTACTTTAGTAATAGTAAGGTCTTTAAGACTATTAATTATCTTATTATCTTCTACGTCTAACTTAATATATAGTTAAGTAATAATATTCTATTTCTTAGTATTGTTATTAGGTACTGCCTAGCGAATAATATTTAACTGTCTAGTTACTTTGCCTTAGCTTTAGTAGTCCTATGCTATATAGCCTTCCTTACTATAAGCGTAGTAAGAGAACTTCTTCTTACTTTTTTTATTATACTAAAACTTTAGCTTTCTAGGTCTCTTATTAAGATTATTAAGGTATATAGGCTTAAGTCTATAAGTCCTGTATTATCTTAGAATTTAGAGTACGTAGCTTTGCTAACGTTCTTAGTTAGGGTATAAGCGTTAAGAGTTTTAACGTGCTTAATTATTTATATCCTAGAGTACGCGATTCTTAGTGTATAGGCGTTCTTTTAGCTTTAACTTATAAAGTTTATTATCTACTTAAATAGCTTTATTTATAAGTTTATTAAGCGTCTTAAGGCTAAATCTACTTCTTATAAGTTCTATACGTATAGTTAGTTTAAGACCTTATTAGTATATCTATATTAAAGCGTTATTGTCCTATTTAATTAGTGTCTTATACTGTTAGAATTTAGTTGTGTAGTTAGTAGTAGATTAGGTTTATTGTAGTTTCTAAATTTTTTGCTTAGCGATTATAGACTTCTTAAAAGGTAAAAATACTTCTTATATCTTAGCCTTAAATACAGTCTAATCTTCTATAAGGTTTATATTTCCTCTATTAATAATAGTAGTATCTATATAGTATTAGATAAATAGAGTAGCTTATTTTTCTGCGTCTCTTTAGAAGAAGGTAGAAGCCTAAATAACTTTATCCTTATCTTTAATCTTATCTCTTTTAAAGTAGAAGTATTAGTTAACTTAGAGTAGCTATACTTTAAGCTTATAGCAGTTACTATAAAAGGTGTTAGGCCTATTAGCGCGAACGTTAGTTCCTCTAGAGGTCTAGGAATTAGTAGGGGTATTTATTATAATATTACTTATCTTAAAGGTGTTTAAAGTGTAAAGGTTATTTTTAGATAACTTAAGAGTTAGTTTTTAGAGATAGAGTAAGCTGCGATAGATAGGTTAGTATAATAGTATAATTAGTAGATTAATGTAATATTATAAGGGTGTATAAGAACGAAGTATAATCTTTAGATTAAATACTAGAGTCTTATATAAAGTTAAGTTAAATATACTAAGCTATAAGAGTTTAGTGTTAAAGCTATATACTAATAAGTGTTACGCTTAGTACTAAGCGTGTAAGTGCTCGTTACTAAGCGATATAGTGCTAGTTTAGTTATTAGCTAACTAGTCTTACTTACTACTAAGTATTCCTTTCTAGACTAGCGCGTAATACTTATTACTAAGCGGTTACGTAACTACAGCGTAGTTGCTGTACTATAATCCTTTAACTGTGCTGCTTAATCCTCTAAAGTAATTACGCTTACCCCTGTCTCCTCCTAGGTGTAGATTGTAACACCTCTACTTAGTAAACTTATTAAGTATAACTACTAAGTTAAGTAGGTGTATTTTAGTAGCTTTAAAAGCTTTTTTAATAAGCTAAAGTTTAAAAACTTTAGTCTAAGACCTCTAAAAGAGTAAGAAGAAGTCTTCTTTAGTTATATTAAGTAATCTTTAGCTATTTTAAAAGTATTAAGTTAACTTAGTTAAGTAAGCGCTTACTAGAAGTTTAAATATTACTATATTAAGTAGTTAAAGCGTATAAGTAGCGTAGAGTAGGTTTATAGCTAATAAGATCTTATAATTATAGTAATACTTAATAAACTTTATAGTTATATAGAATCTATAGCTATTAAGAAGTAATAAATAATACTTAGTTAAAGCGTATTATCTAGTCTCTTATTTAAATACCTCTTTAAGCTAGTATAATTTAATATTATTATTACTTTAGCTAAAAAGTAATAACGTAGTAAAGACTAAGTAGTTTTCTACTTATATAGTATTAACTTAGCTAGTTTATATAGCTCTATTAGCTACTTTAAAAATAAGAGAAGGACTTAAAATACTTTTATCTAAATAAATATAAGCTATAATAGTAACCTACTTACTTAAGCTATTCTCTAGTAGTTAGCGTACTCTTTTTCTATTCTAATATACTTTAGAGAAGATATACTTTATTCTACTAATTTTTTTAAGTTAAAACTCCTTTTTATCTATATTAAATATATAAGTAAGTTAGAAATTATACTCTACTATCTTTTTAGTTAGAAGCTTAAAATATAAGCTATACTTACTTTCTAAATTAGCTTTATAGTAAAGTCTACTTATTTTTTTACTATAGCTAGAGATAAAATAGTTTAGATAATAATAAAAGAACTAAGAAACCTAGGTTTCTAAAACTACTTTTCTAGCTAAATCTAAAGTAAAGCGTTATATTATCTTTCTTATAGGTAGTAAACGTCGCTTAGTAAGCGTATTAATATATTATATAAGCTTAGTCTTATATTATAGATAGAGAGAGAGCTACTTTATACTATATACCTCTATTAGACCTTTATACCTTTAGGCGAGCGTATAGTAGTTAACGCTATACTTTTTAGTAAGTTATTAGTATAAGAAATATTCTTCTAGTTTACGTAATTTAATTTCTTTAATTACTTCTTAAATTAGATCTATATTAGTTAAGTTATAACGCGTTGAAGTTTTGTTGTAGTAGTGGTGGGGGTGATTATTTGGCGTTGGTGATCATCTGGCGCACGGGCACTGTAGCGTTGCTCCTGCCTCAACACCAAACATAATTGCAGCTCCGACAAATCGATTCTTCTATCAACAACACCCATGCACGAACCAAGATGAACGAAACAATCAAGGATTTACACCGTGATCTCGCCAACAAGTACCGACAACATGGCCCGCGAATCGAAGAAATGTGGCGTTCGCTTGGCCAAGAACAACGCAAGAAGATCATGCAGGCCGGCTCTCGCGATGGCGCTGTCCTGAAGCATGCTGAAGACACAAGCCTAGAGAATGTCTACAAGTTCATCCCGGAATGGAACTTGCGCGACATAGCTTCACCGTCATCGGAATTCTTCCTTGACATGCTCAAGCACCGAGCAACCTCACCGCTACAAACCCAATATGCGGCTGGCTTCAACGGACGACCAGGAGATCATGCGCACATAGTTGATATGATGCAGAGGAGGGACTTGAAACTCAACAACGCCTCTCAATACAAGAACTGTTACACACTCTTCTTGACAGAGGATGGATATGGCGAATCGGTCAAGATTGTCGCAGAGAAGCGGGAAGAAGTTCTGGCAAACATGAAGCCAGCTATACAAGCCCAGATGATAGTCCCTCAAGCTACTGGCGAACTCATCCTTATGCGACAGATGAACCTGTTGCAGCTCCTGAACATCGCCATCGAAGACATCCTCGACACCGCATCCACCACGAGAACCCAGGCCAAGCGGCCGAAGAAGCCAACTGATGACGCGACTGCAGCCCTCGCGAAGCTGTCGGTACACGCACCTTCAAAGAAACTAGACCTTTCAGACCTTTCGGACATGGTGCAGGACCAAGTATCGTCCCGCGAGGGCCTTATCAACCTGATCTCTACTGAGCCTACCGTCCTAGCCCATGAAGTCAACTTCTGCTTCTTCAGTAGACCAGAACTTGTTGCCGATGAGAAAGGGCGCATACTGCCTGTACATACGGACAAGTATATCAGCGGCTCTGTATTTGAGGCGGTTCATGGCGCTGTCAAGGCGGCTGCCACATGGGATTACATTGGCCGCCTCTTGGACCTGTTCAAGGACTCGTCGGACAAACAGTTCAAAGCCGTTATCATCAAGGAGCTTTCAAATACTTGTCATCTGGAGTATCTGCGCGCTCAGACTGGTTTCAAACGGAGCGTAGCCGTGGGGATGGGTGGCAGCAAGTGGTTCAAGCGGATGTCGAATAATGATGTCGCACGTCTCTCACTGAAGCGAAGCCCTGAGTCTCTAACGGTAGAGAATCCGCAGTTACATTATATGCTTCGACTCTGCCAGGATGAGACAAACTGGTCGAATGCTGCACAATGGCTTCAAAAATTGGAGGACCTCCATCGCGCTCACCCACTGGAACAAGACAACCTTTCGGAACGAGAGTATGACTCTCTAGGGGACTTGGCCATCATCGTTATTTTCATCCAGTCTCTCTCGTCAGTCGCGCAGATACCCGCGCCTAATCACAAGAAGAGTCAGCCGTTTGTGCCAGGTTATGCTTCGTTGGATAAGGAGCTGAGGCAACTGAAGGACGGCATAGACCTTGGCGACTACGCTATTCCGATTGATAATTTGCTAGAGCCAGGCATGGCTGAAGGCGCCCTCTCCACGCTCGACCAGTATATTGTAGAGAAGACAGGCACGAAGCTTGGTTTTCTCTACCAGGATCTAGTCGAGAGCTGTGTGTCCAGCATCGAGCGACAGTATGAACAACAAAAGACAAAAGCTAGTAAGCCTCAGGTTGAGTACACCACGCCGATAGCTCCCGAGGCTTCGGCATCAATTTTGCAACAGCGCAAGCAAAAGGAAAAGACACGGCCAGCGCAGTGTTCAATCTACGAAATTACGTCGCAAGGTACCAAGGGTGACCAGCCAATTCAGTCGAAAGACACCTTCAAAGTCAAGGCCTCAACTGCTGAGGTCTTTTCATCGCTGTTCTCGAGGTCATCCGCAGCACGTAGTCCAGTGCGATGGGAAGCCTTCGTAGCCGCCATGATCGATCTGGGATTCTCAATCAATCCGAAAGTCGGCTCTATATACACGTTCGTCCCCCCAGCGAAGATGTCGGTGCGCAGGGACATAACACTTCATCGGCCGCATCAAGCGAGCGTTGAGGGACGACTTCTTCTGATCTACTCCCGGCGCTTGAAGAAGGCCTATGGCTGGGATACCTCGACGTTCGTTGCGGCGTAGGAGTCGATGATATCAACTGGGTGGCTATGTAGGCGCTGGGCTCTGCTTTGTGGCGGTGCGATACCGGATCATGCAAGAGAATATGTATACCGGTAAACAATCCTTCAGCATGTACCTCATACCGCTCCTTTCCTACAACAATATGTGAATTGTGAGATGAGTAAAAGGCGATCACGGTTGTGCTGTTCGCTTTGCGATTATCGCGTTGTGTTGTCCAATGTCGTGAGCTCGCATCAGGTGAGGGGGCGCCAGCACTGGGGGGCCGAAGCGGCGCCTTTTGGGGATCAGCAGTCAGCAGGGCTCTTGCCGCCGGCCCGCACCCGCACCTGCTTTCCTCCATTGAACACTATCGGATGATGACTGCGACATATCAATGCGACGCAACGTATCAGTAGAAACATTACCTGAAGCACGATCAAAGCGAACCTGAGGAGATGAGAATGTGACGACTCCTCGTACAAGCTGGAGTGCGCAACGTGCTGGTGCTCGATCTGTAAAGCGCTTGTTTTATTCTCATTGCAGAAAGCCACGTCAGTTGCTCGGAGCCTCGTCAACACGAATGGTGTTAAGTTTAATCGGTCATTCGTCAGGCAATCGATCTAGGTGGGGTGTGCTTCCTGCTGTTTGTTCATGCGCAAGCCCACCTGCACCTAGGCAGAATTGAGGCGCAGCTGTTGGGGTGCCTTTACATATAGTCAGCCAAACAGAAAGGCTGGAACAGCGACTTCACAGCCAGCGATCCTTCTTCGTCCTTATCTACAAATTCGTGTATAAAATACGATGGTTAACCCACCGCTTACAGACAAGCTCGTCTACCAGACTTTTCAAGGCATCTTTGTCGGAGAAGACTCCCACATTCGCAAACTGAAAGCCGTTCGCAAACTAATTCAGAAGCATTATCAAAAGCCTGATATCAAAGTCAGAGAGCTCACTATGAAATATGGCCTCAACAGCGTTGGCGAGGTGGCCAAGACCTTGTTGGAAGACCAGATCTTTAGTTCAAGCGCGAAGGCAAGACTGCGGTTTCCTGATCTCTTCGAGGTGGCCCCAATTCCAATCAATCAACCAACCACATCTGTACCTAAGGTTACAGCGGATAAAGTAGAAGTTCCCAAGAGTGTGGAGAAGAAACCATGCGAACCTGGTATGTAGACTTACCAATCATTCAGATCAAGCTAATTTATGCAAGTTCAAGCGATCGTTGAGACTACACCTCCAGTACCGGAAGTTACACAACAATCTTACACACGGGAGAAAGTAGCTACACAGACGCTCGATACCGTATGCTTACCGCTCTGGGATCAGCATCGAATTCTTGTTCGAGTCCAATACGCCCTTGAAAGGGCCTGTTTCACCTTCGCACAGGAACGGCTAGGTGGTATCTTGCAGAAAGAAGGCTGGGATTGCGCCGAAGCAGTGGAACTCAATCGATGGCCAAAAGTCCTACTTACTTACCAGAAAGAGTGTGGTCTGAATAGTGCGCAGGAGGTTGGTAAGCCTTTACCTAGTCTCCTAGACTCAATTGTTCAGCTACGACATGACGCCGTTCATCGAGCTCGTCTTACTTCGAACAAACTCTTAGAGCGTCTTGCCGATGCTGTAGTACTGGCGCGACTCATACAGGACGATAGGTGCATCAACCTCATCTCCACTATACGACAGAAGACTCAGCATGCTATCGAAGAGTTGGTGAGCGACAAAGCTTTACTGAACCGTAAATTGGGCAAAATCAAAACTACGTTTGCGGAAAAGAGGGCTGAATTGGATCGTCAAGAAGCTTCGTTGCTAGATAACACAGTCAAAGAGCATCAAGAACCCATGATCTCTGTGAGCGGAAGCCTAGATCTATTGTATGATAGCCTTGTTGGCGGTACCGATGCGATTCAGGCTTTATGGAGAGATCGGTCTGACACTACTCTATCTGAAGACAAGTCTTCCGAATCTGATGCTACCTATGAGCCGGCTAAAGAAAAGCCGAAGAAGGCCAAGAAAGGAAAAAAGGCCGCTAGGGAGGCGGTCAAACAAGAGGAAGAAGCGGAAGAGAGAGCAATTGAAGAAGCCAAATTCAATGATGAGCCTACAGTTCAAGGAGATTTGGGAGATGGTACCGCCGAAGGTGTTTATAAAGATATCGAGCTTGCTGAACAACTACCTGTACTCCCTGTACTCGCTCCGACTGGCGACAGTGGCTCTATCCAACCAGCTCTCACCAGCGAGAAGAAGGGAGCTGAGAAGGATGAAGCAGAGGATCCATTGGAGGCAGAACATTATTTCGACTGTCCGGAGGCTGTACTTGACGGCTATGACAGCGATATGAAGCATCCCTTGGAAGATTCACCACTTGAGTCGCATGCTGCGGTCACAGACACGACGAACCTGACTAGCGAAGGGAGAAGCACGTTGGAGGTAGCAGTCACATCCGAACCAACTGACGCGAATGCTCTAGAAGACGAGAGTAGTTTTCTCAGTGAGCAGAGTACCAACCTCGGTTCTACTTGTGTTGGACACACTGATAACAACGCCGAAAAAGGCCACACAAAGTCTCGTGTAGAAGAAGATATGTCTGCTGGAAACGGTGCCATGGATCCTGAAGCAATCCCAGATCAGCCTGATGCTACTAGGGGTCAGTCGAATGCTTTGACAGTGATCAAGTCTTGGGGAGAAGGGCAGTGGCCTGGTTCAGTTTGTATCAAATCTCTGAATGATGACCCAAGACTGACATCGCTTCCTACCGCGAATGAAAAAGGACATGTGACGCTGGTTTCGATGCTGGAGGATATTGAACCCGCTGTTTGAAAGGTGTATCAGTCGAATTCGTTATATTAGCCTTTACGAAAGTCAGAATAAGAACGGTCATTATCAAATTCATCTACCTCCCACAGCTGTATGTTCGCTTACAAAATACCAATGACTCAGATTACTAGGAAAGCATCTTCTCTCACAGTCTTCCTCAGACTACTACGTCGCAGCCGTCCCGTCAGCCGCTTGCCTTCTGATGTTCCTTCTCAGCCTTCCTGATCTGCTTATCAGTATCCCGCTTCGCTTTCGCCGTGCTTACTGCCTTCTTCAACTGATCAGCCTTGGTCAAGGCCGACTTCACGGTAGCACCAGCCTTAGACTTTGCCGAGGCAGCAAGCTCCGCGGAGGAGCGCTTCTTCTTCGCGGCCGCGTCCTCCATCTCCCAGGTGGAGATCTTTTCAGGTGGTAGGATGGAGTCGAAAGTAGTCGTAGGGATACGTCTAGGTGCTGAGAGATTGGAAGTGGAAGGGGAAGACATGTCCGTCATTGATGTAGTGCTGAGTATAGTTTTGGTAATTCGTCGGTAGATCGAATGTAAGTTTGCAAGAATGAGTGTGATGAGAAGGGAGTCTGCTAGTCAGAGAGTTGGTTTTTTGTAGTCAGTAGTCCCAGTATCGTGAGTTTATAGTGCCTATTATACCGCAAGGGAACAGTGCTGTGTTGAGTGTTGAGTATATAGCGAAACTAGTGTTAGAATGCATTGTGGGTTGACTTGGGGGAATATATGTATTGAAGGCTAACAATGCACGAGACAATCTCACCAGTGGTGGTGTCATCTGAACATTGCGTTGTCTTGCTTGCTCAAGAATATGAATCTGCCTTGTCCATGATACATGGAAGATACAAGAAGCGAATGGATAAAATCTCAGACTTCCTGTTACCGTGTAGCCTCCCTAGCAACCATGCCGGGAAGCCATCATGCACTGTTTAGCGTATGCTGTACTCATTCATTAGCCCCGAAAGGATCAGTCCTTCGTGGTGACGGTTTGTAATATGGCTGCCAGATTTTGCGCCGTTACGAGACGATCTTTGTGGAGATGCGCGGAACCATAAGTCATCCAAGAGCGTGCGCAAATGGCTTATTCGCAATGTCATTCCTCGAGTGTCTCGACCGCAGGCGCATCCCACCGTCTCTCGTATAGACGCAAGTCCCTAATTCCTCGCCCACTCGTTCTCAACACTGGGCTGCAGATCGCTGCCAACGTGTCTCGGCAAGGCGCCGTCAAGGCGACGATTGCCCTCTTCGATCGCACGTACATTATCCCGGCCGTCTTCGGTGGCCTCTTCAGTCTCCTCCTCGATGCGGTCGGAATAGCGATTGCTGCTGTAACCGGGCATGAAGTCGATGGCACGTCTCGGGTCAGCATCGCCGTGTCGCTCGTCAGCGATCATGCGTGAGATGCGTTCGGGTGCAATGCGATGCAGCCACGACTCTTTCTGCGTAGGGATAGCGATGATGGCGAACTAGGAGAACATGTCAGTATCGGCTTCCCACAACGCTACAGACACCGCGACTAACCTGCCAGATGAAGACCATGCCGACAACGACCATGAGTATGCCGGCGATGACCTGCTCTTCAGCCTTCCAGGCTCTCAGGCATCCGTTCATTCTGCCATGATATGTAACTTCGCATGCGTCTGCTTTGTGTGTTTTGTCTGGAAACGGCCATGCCATGTCCCGCGAATTCACGAAGCCGCAGCACTCGAAAGCATCCTGGATCTGGCGGATGGCACTCGCATCCTTCTTCTTAAACAGCGTCTGCCAGCGCTCATGCAATCCGCAATCCAGGCCAGAAGGCGGCGCAGCATGCGTGCCCGCAAGGGTAATCACGACGGTGGAGTAGATGAAGATGAGCGTGTTTGCGATGATGACAAGCGGCGGGCGCTGAATCTCGCCACGGCTCAAGTGCTGGCGACGCTCTTGTCGACGCGTAAAGTCATAGCCGCATTCCAGCAGGAGGCCTGAGACGATGGGAAGAGCCGTAGTGAAGCCGGTCAAGGTGTCGGAGATGGGCACAGAACGAGCGTTCGCGCGGGAGGCAGCGTAGCTGGTGGAGAACTGTTAGCGCGGGCCTAGCATCGTCGGTTAACATGGTGTTTATTACCCTGCGAGTGCCGTCGCAATTACAAGATACTGGACATTGTTAATCGGCGCACGTGCAAGGCTGGCATCGCGATGTGGGACTTACTAGCACACTGAGGCAGGTCACGACCTGCTTCCTAGTGTACGTCATGCCGTTGGTGTTTACGTTTACCCCGTCGTTTCGGTAGATTCAAGAGCGTCAGCGTAGGAGAGTAAAGATGAGGGATTTCGTCGTGAGCCAGAAAGTGAAAGTGGCCAACAAGTGGGATGAGGAGCTCTGAGCTGTATAGCTATAGCTTCTCCGCATCCCAAACAGGCGGTTGGGTACGACCGACCCTACAAGGGTCTACAGTTCTTTCTCCATAATTCTGAGCGCAGAGTGCGATGGCTGATTGCTTGTCGCGAATCTTCCCTATTGCATCTCTCTTGAAACGTGCAAAAGCCAGCACATGCGCTCATCGGTGAGGAGCTGGCCAGGGAAAGAGCGCCCGCGGCGTACATGTAAGCTGCCCAGACAGCGACAGCGACAGCGACATGTCAAGGCTCTTCTTACCCGGTGACGTAGGAAAGGATATGCACGTTCAATCTGCGATTTGCTGCATCAGGCGGCTACACAGCAGGGCGTATCACCCCGAGCCATGTGTAACAGCAGTGAATGGTGGTGTGAAGGAACTGGGGACGGGAAGGGGTGTGTGGCATGTGATTGGACTAGGCACTAGCGTTACCGTTGGCGGCTTCTGCGCCGGTTGATGTGAGTTCTCGATCTCTCGATCCAAAACTTTTCCATAGCGACGTCATTCCTCTTTTACAATCGCACAATGCCGCCGCGGGGTAAAATTGAACGCTTTCCAAAGCACCCAAGAATATCAAGCAGTTTCGACTGACAACCTCACTCAGAGTCAGCTCGTCGTCAGCTCGTGTGACAGCGGGAAGGCGGCTTGCCAGTGTGTTGTCTCGAAAACAAACGCGTTTGTCCACACGATCACCGTCATCAGTATGCTAATATCATTGGGCCCCATTGCCTAGTGCCCTTTCCGTCCTGCAGATACGGGGATCTGCTGTTTATATACGCGACTAACAATTTGGTGAACCAGCCTTATTACACATTGCCGCCATCTCGCTGCTTTCCTTCGTTTTCCCAGTCTTCATCCCTGATTTCAGCCTCGTCGTGTAAGACTCGTTCCGCGCGTCACACGTATTCACTGTTCGACATGCTGCTGTTTTCACCGCCACGATGCGACGCTCTTCTCAATCACGGATCAGCAAAACAAACGGGTTCAATGTTTAGGCGTTTCTCGGTTCCGCTCTGGCCATCTACCCCAACTGCCTCCATTCCTCTCTCACCACGCGCACCCAGACAGAAGACTGTTCGTCCCTCACCACCACCACGGAAAGGGCACCAAATGCCAAAAGAAAAGTCTACCACCGACATGTCACACCAGCCCGGCACTCCGCGATCGTCTGCCTTCTCACCTACGCTCGGGAGCATTCCAGAAGTCTTCGAATACGAAGCTCTCGACGCAGAATTCGGTCCTGTCTCACTAAACGACGCGCCAGAGACACCAGATGTTTTCTTACCCGAGGCGTCGAGCATGTGCCCACCCACGCTTACCCGAGCGTCATCCTGGCCGGCAATTATCCAGTCGCCTTCCCGAAGAGTCGCATCGCCTTTCGCGGTATCAAAGGCATTGCGCAGCATCCTTGAAGCCGATCGGGCGCGACGAAGGCGAATTATGAAAGCTTACCTGAAAGCTATTGTTTTCCTCAAGTACTTGTGGCGCGCTAACGAGCGTTACGGCAACGTCATGGTTACGACTGGCATGTATATGCAACGATGACCGCGATATGAAAAAGTTGGGATTGATTGGAGTTTTGGCATGGAAATGGCGCAACTGACACAACATCAATGTATTATGATTATGGATTTATGGTTTATGAGGACGAGATTGCATGGCCTGGGCGGATGGATAGCCGCTGGCGTTTGCATATGGACGGCGTTCAATACCTGGGTGAGCGTTGCTATCACTGTTACTCTAATCTCGACTGGTATTAGCCAGCCTTTTGACATTCTGGTCAAGCAACTGTTGGCACACAATAATGTACTGTATCCAATGGATTATTTGGAAAGAGTTTACACATTGTGCCTTTTATCTTCTCCACGCTGCTCAGTGTCTTTAACTTAATTTACAGCAACAGGGCCGATTGCCAACACCAGTAGGGCAGGGTCGGATTTCCCCACCACATTTCCTCCACATTCCGAAACCGGACTTAGATTTGGACCGCACATCTGAGGTATGTCAGTGGCCCCTCTCGATTTCCTGTATATATATCAATAGCAGATAACCATTTGTGTCGAACTATCCGACTAGAACCAGCAAACCAGACAATGCATATACTCGGTCTCGTAAACGGCACACCGTCTGGAAACTCAGAGATCCTACTCAAAGCTGCCTTGACAGCAGCTGCCGAGTCTGACTCTACCATTACAACGTCATGGATACATGTTCCTTCCATTTCCATACCGACGAATCCAGCACCTCTGGATAGCCCTGTTGGCTTCGACCTTGCTTCAAAACTCAATGCCGCCTCTAACAATGCGCCCGACGATCGAGCTGCTGTCCGCGAAGCTATCCTGGACGCTGATGCAATCATTGTTTCTACACCTACGTACAGCCACCAACCTCCAGGAACATTGAAACTCCTCATGGACAGAATTGGCGGACCATCCCTCGACGTTACATTTGGCAAAACATTCAATCCTGGCAAACTTGACCCACGACTAACAAAACCGCGAGTATTGGGCTTTATCGCAGTGGGAGGTTCTTCAACACCAGATCAATTTACCATGGCTCTGCCCACTCTGCACTTGCTGTTTTATGGTCTGCATGCCAAGATTGTAGATCAATTCATCGGTCAGGATTTGGGATTATCCGGAGCAGTGTGTTTACACGATGATCTTATCGCACGGGCCAAGCGCATGGGTCAGAATATCGCAAGTGAATTGGGCAAACCGTACGACGAAGCAAAATATCTCGGCGACGAAGAAGTAGGCGCATGTCCGCATTGTCATCTCTCCAAGATCGAATTCCTACCGGAGCATGGCAAGAATGCAATCGGGTGCACGACCTGTGGTACTAGAGGCAAATTGACTGTCAGCCAGGACGGCGGTATATTTCCGGTATGGGAGGAAGACTCGAAATGGAGTTGTTTGACTTGGGCGAGCAAGTTGCAGCATTCGTACGATATTGTTAGTTGGGCCAAAAAGTATGAGGCGAGGAAACCTGAAATCACAAAGGGTCAGGAAGAGTGGAAGAAGGTTGTTGTTTCACAAGTGACTCTGCCTAGTCAGCAGAGGGCGGCCCTTTAATAGACCGAAGGCGTGATAAATTGATAAAATATTGTTGTGTGCTTTGTGCCAAGTCGTACTATTCACTCACTTTACAGATACGTGGTCGGTTCACGACAACGATGCAGTTCACAGATGGTTTGAAGTGCTGAAATATCCTATAAAGATCCTTCGAACACACTCGAAGCGAGTTCTAGAATTGTCTGAAAGGAATTCGATGCCCTACTGATTGCAAAGGTGAAAGTGCAGGCAACCACTTTGTAGAGCGCTTTCTGGGCATTCAGCAATTTACCACACATTCACTTGTTGTGCACTCAGCTACAGCCACCCGAGATGAACTGCTTGAGCCTTCGTAGCACTTTACAACCCTCGCCCCTGGCTTTATTCGAGTGCGACGAAAACGAGACGCTGCATGCTAGCCGTCTGGTTTCACTAGCGACCAAGTACACTCTTGAATCACCGACTGGTAGCCGTCCAACATCGAGATGTACCCGGTACACAGATGACTCATCGAAATCATCAGCCTTCAGCCGAGCAAGGTCGACATCTGTTTCTACAACCGAAACGTCCATCGCCTCGTCCCCTCCCAGAGATAGTAGACGCAAAGATTCCTTCGTCGCAACACAACTAATTCCTTTGTTCAACAACGGCATGCCAATTCAAATACCCCAACGCCGTTTGTCCAGGAAACAAAGTGTTAAGGATCGGCCTAAACGGCCTACTGTAAACAAGAATGTGGGTAGTACCCTTTCTGCTCTAGAGCCACAGCTTAGCAGAATAGGTGTTGGGATAAGACCTGTGGTAACTGAGACGCCGCTAACGCCAGTAACACCAGCGGGAAATATTGGGAAACTAGATGACGATAGCACCGCTTGCGAGGTTGAACTTAGTAGTGATTGTCAGAAGAAAGCTGAAGCAAGTATTTGGTATGTACCCAGGCATTAAGGGAAGATATAACCTTCGAATATCTGTAGACGAAGCCACGTACACAGCTAAGTAATAGCATATAAGGGACAGTAAAACCTCTTCACATCTGATGTAACTCTGCCAACCTCTCTTTCCAGAACTGTAATCTGGTCACATCAACCACCTCACTGTCTCCGCTCCCTTTATCCCTTACTCTTTCTGCCCAAATATCTCCAGCAGCCATCTTCTGCTCGCCGGCCTCACACATCCTCTTCAGCTCCTCACCCGCGACCGAAAACCATAACGCAGCGGCGGGTAGATGTATCGACGTGTTCTTGCCCAGCCGTGTGTTGGGACTATGTTCCAGTGCCATGGACAAAGTTATACGGGAGAGATTAATGTAACCGGCGAGTGATGGTAGAACCTGGGCATCAAGATTTCGTGCGATGATCGCGATCAGCTTGTTCATGTCCACCCATTTAGCCGCCGCAACCTCTGGTGTTGTTGGATTACAATGGCTGTGAGTCCACAGCTCAGGTCCTACTTTGCAGTTACTCACGACGTTGCAAATGAGAAAACAGAGAGTAATGTTCAATCTGACATACCTTGAAACCATTCAGTGATGTTCCAACTTAACATCGGTAACTCGGCCCATAGCTGCTTTCCTTCCACAATGATTGGCGCACCGGATGGTATCTCGTGCATCACGCCTCCGCCTTCGTCCCATACCTTGGGTTCGGGGCCCTCGTTGATGGCATCGGGTCGTTTGGCTAGTTCGACGAGGTAGGATACGAGGAGCTCTAGTGAGTCGAGACTAGTGTTTTGTCCAGCGGCGAAGAGGAAGAGGCCTATCAGGCATGACAATCCGTGGGTTATGTCGTGTTCAGACTGAATTAGGTTTGCCGTCGCGGCAGCGGAGGCTGTCGGTGAGGTCTGAGAAGAGAGCGTTTGGTCGATAATGACGATGAGTTGCGTAGATACGTTGTCAGGCGGATAGTTGGCAAGTTGGTCTGCATGGCAGGCTTTTGCCCACTCGGTTATCAGGGAGGACGTTGTCATATCAGTCCATGGTATCTCGCTGAAGCAAGATAAAGTAAAGTCCTCGAGCTAGATCTTAAAGAGCTGAAGAATTCGCCCTTCGGTAGCACACTGAGATGGCAGACATCGCTTCAAGGTATCCGTGGCATCCACTTCAGCCCTTCCTACGCCCTCAACTCTCCACCACAGAACCTGGGTGGCTGTCTACGCACACTAATGTTACGTTCATTCTGTTACAAAATAGCAACGAACATTCGAGTATGCATGTATTCGATCTTTTCTCGATTTATCAAGATTGGGTGTATGCAATCATAACATCCTCGCTCTGGCTACGTATAGCCCGTACTCGCGTGACGTCATCCAAGGGCGCACACTCTAGCGCTATATAAATTGCCATAGCCAAGCACCACAAGGTGCATATTCTGGGGATAGTATGCATTGCAGCATGCTCAGAGCTTTTGATGAGCTTGTCTTAGTAGAAGGTCGTATAGCCGACGAAAGTGATCGGTTTCTTGCCTTGCGTAATGTATTATCACCGATTGGCTAGCGTCGCTATTTCCGAGTGCTTGGCTGACCGAACATTCGACGCGTCGGGCATCTCCAGCTTTCACTCGTCTACCCCGCAAACCATCGAGCTTTATTGGGCGACGCGCCTTGTCGCAACGCAAGTGTGCCATAAAACCATTATACCCGACTTCCTACATCCAGAGGAAGGAGCTGATAGCATCTGGCGCTACCCGTCATAGAAGTTTCCCCAGTCGCGTTACATCTCAGACCTCCGCCTTCGATTCTTATACAGCCGAGGATGAGCTGTTCAGAGGGGTATACCGAATGGCTACATGCTAGCGCGGCTGGTGCTAACACTTGCATCTGCTATCTAGACATCTACAAGTCCCTTCTTTTTTGTAGCTAACGTCCAATGAATTCTTTTCTCGTACATCACTCCTCATGATGCGTGCCTTTGCGCGAGCCGTCTCGCGCCACCAGTACAGTGCTCGTCGGCAGTCGATTTGCCCAAGACAGCGGAGCAATTTCGCCTCAGTGAATGGGCCAAATGTCAAGAACTTGACGGTCATTGACCATCACTACGAGTGAGTAACTTCCGATCGATCAGGTCGCCTCTAGCTGACTCCGTTACAGTGCAATTGTTGTTGGAGCAGGCGGTGCGGGCCTTCGAGCTGCTGTAGGACTCACGGAAGCTGGACTCAAGACTGCATGCGTGTCGAAACTCTTTCCTACCCGATCGCACACAGTCGCAGCACAGGGTGGAATAAATGCCGCGCTAGGCAACATGACAGAAGATGACTGGCGCTGGCACATGTACGATACAATAAAGGGTGAGGTTGCAAGTATACCAAAGCCATGGGGAATATATACTGATCCTGTTGCCAGGGTCGGACTGGCTCGGTGATCAGGACGCCATCCACTATATGACGCGCGAAGCCGTCCCAGCGGTCGTTGAACTTGAGAACTATGGCATGCCATTTAGTCGGACAAACGAAGGAACGATATATCAGCGAGCATTAGGTGGACAGTCATTGAAGTATGGCAGGGGTGGACAGGCCTATAGAACGGCATGTGCGGCAGATCGCACTGGGCATGCAATGCTCCATACACTCTATGGGCAGAGTCTGAAAGAAGGCGTGCAGTTCTTCATTGAATGGTTTGCGCTGGACTTGATGATGAGCGAGGGCAAGTGCGTTGGCATAACGGCTATGAACATGGAGGACGGAACGACGCACAGGATATTCGCCAAAAATACGGTGCTGGCAACGGGAGGATACGGAAGAGCATACTTTAGTGCGACAAGCGCGCATACAAGCACGGGCGATGGCAGTGCGATGGTCTCGAGAGCAGGGCTACCGCTACAAGACATGGAGTTCGTGCAGTTCCACCCTTCCGGCATCTACGGCGCAGGCGTACGTACACAACACCGACGATAGCATGACTTATCTCGACTGACGACGAGTCTAGGTCCTGATCACAGAAGGCGCTCGTGGCGAAGGCGGCTATCTTCTCAACAGCGAAGGCGAACGCTTCATGGAACGATATGCTCCCACTGCGAAAGATCTCGCGTCGCGTGATGTCGTCTCACGCTCTATGAACCTTGAGATCCTAGAAGGCCGCGGCTGTGGACCAAACAAGGACCACATACATCTCCAACTATCGCACCTACCAAAGGACGTCATCATGGAAAGATTGCCTGGAATCGCCGAAACAGCTGGTATCTTTGCTGGCATCGATATAACAAGAGAGCCGATACCCGTATTACCAACAGTACATTACTGTATGGGCGGCATACCAACCAACTACCATGGGCAGGTACTAGATGTTGATGCGAAGAGTGGCAAAGAAGATGTTGTTCAAGGGTTGTATGCAGCTGGCGAGGCTGCATGTGTAAGCGTGCATGGCGCGAATCGATTGGGAGCAAATTCCTTGCTTGACATCGTAGTTTTCGTAAGCACTAAGAACACATCTGACCAGTCTTAGTTGCTGACATTCACCTAGGGTCGAGCGACAGCACTACACATCTCTGCCAATCACTCGCCATCGGAAGCACATCACCCAGCTCCTGACAACATCGGTCTCGATTCCATCAGCGAGATCAACACTTTCCTAGAGTCCAACGGCAGCACGCCAACATCCAGTCTACGAAACTCTATGCAAAGCACCATGCAATCTACAACTGCTGTGTTTCGCACTCATGACTCTTTATCCAAAGGCAACACACAACTCGGTGACATTGAGAACAAGTACACCACCGACCTACGCGTCACAGATCGGTCCTTGATCTGGAACTCCGACCTCATTGAGACACTCGAACTGCGAAATCTTCTTACCAATGCAAGTCAGACGAGCAAGGCGGCATTAACAAGGACGGAGAGTAGAGGCGCGCACGCAAGAGACGACTTTAAAGAGCGAGATGATGAAGAGTGGATGAAACATAGTCTTACGTGGCAGAGTAATGTAGGGAAGGAGGTCAGGTTCGGAACGAGGGCGGTGAATATGAACACGTTGGATGAGCAGGAGGCGGCGAGCGTGCCGCCTATGAAGAGATCGTACTAAGATGCTCACCATCGCCGTGTTCGGCAGCAACCTTTTGAAGAAGATGCGGCGTCCCTTTTGACCTTTAGCGTGTCGTCTTTCTATGACGACCGTCAATTGTGACAGTGACGAACATGCACAAGACATGGAGTGCAAATGTCCATATTGAGCTGGGACGATGAATAAGGCAAAGAACTAGACTAATGGGGAGATCATTGTCTCCATACAAGTTCACCTTCACCGTGGATTGACAGTAGCCGTCATTCTATGATCACTTCTAATAATTCTTGGCACTTGGATCTTATGTCGCGTGTCGCTTTGGTCTTTGCTCTACCTACAGCTACCCACTCTCCCCATCATTTACTCTTTCAAAGGTTTTACAGCTGACAGTCGAATTTGATCATCGTGAATGTCTCACCGTCACCTGGTCTTCACGACAGGCTCTACGATCTCACATTGGACGTCATCAAGCAGCACGGACTAGACCTCGGCGCCAAATGTGCTGCGGTTGGTACGACGTAATTAGGATGAAGAGGGAAGCCTAGGGCGAACACTATCATTGGCAAACACCCATTTCTTTCATTCTGTTACCCGTGATACCAAAACGCCTGGCAGGTATCCAATATGACTGCTAACAAGGACATTACTGAAGAGAAAGCCATAGTACACTCCCATGCTCCTTGAATATCTTTTAGCACTTAGAAAACCCTTTGTACACTACGAATTGTGATCGTACTCCTCACATTCAAACCCCGTCATCCCAGACCATCTAATCATCCCAGCATACCTTCAGCGCTACACGTCGAGTTAGCAAATGTCATATCAAACAAGTAGAAACAGAGTACTCGAGTTAAAAAAACAAAACAAAAAAAAGACTTACCACAAGGGAACGGAAAGTACATATCCTGATTCTCCGTCAAATAAGCATGATAGCTATACTTCTCCTCGCCCGGACCCATCTTCTTCTCGACCTTGTGAATCTTGCCCTGCGGACCCAGCGCCGGCCTCAGATTCTTCAGTCGCGCAACTTCTCGCAGCATCGTCGTAAGCGTGATGCGCGTCATTGGCAGTCCGAGACACTGGTGCGGTCCGTATCCGAGGTGAATGTAAGAATCCAGTGGGCGGGTGATGTCGACTTCATCGGGGTTAGGGAAGATGGTCGAATCGTGTGAGGCGGTGCGCAGATTTACAAAGACGGCGTCGCCGGGTTTGAGATCTGTCGTCTTTCCAGCCTCGGTGATGGAGGTTGGTTTGGCAACGGCGCGAATGACGCCTGTTTCGCCGTTCAACCTTCCGCCCTCCATGGTGTAGTGCATCAACTTTTCAAACGACTCCTCACTGTCATCTTGAGCCAACCTGGAGATTTCGGCCCAATGTTTCTTGCCGGCACCGAGGAGGTAGTATTCGATTGTCTGAGCGAAGAGTTGACCCTGGTTCGATACCATGCCTCCCGCCGTGCCGAGGATATGGCCCCAAGTCAAGGTCTCCGGCGACATCCCACTCTCTAACAACCGCTTAATCATATGCTTGCCATAGCTTTTCAGCACGGTTTCCTGCGGCCAGATGGTGGCCATGATACTGCTCAAGAAGCCCGAACTTGCAATCGCCTTGACATTCTTCTCGACGATGTTACCAAGTAGCTGCGTTGCCTTTCTTGCTTTGACATGCAAAGGGAAAGAAGAAGCAGGGTCTGCGTCGAAGAAGATGAGCGCAAAGACCGAAGACATGATAAGGTAGAGTTCGGCCTCCGTGAAGATACCGTGGGGTTGTGCGGCGGTCTTCAACGGCAGCATGAAGAGCTCGGAGCAGAAGTGGACATGCGCAAGGTTTCCGATAGAGCGAATGATGTCGACTTGGTTGAAGTCGGCGATTTTGGCGCTCTTTTCCTTCAACAGTTCTCGCGTCTTGAGAGTGTAGTAGTTCCGTACTTCCTTGTCCCATTCAGAGATGTAGAGTGCTTTGCTGACCATTTGACGGGAGGCAGTGTTCTTGGGTCCGTCACCGGCAAGCATGAAGTCGGCGGATGCAGGGCCCATTATATATTCCATGGCCTTGCCCCAGACGACTTTGAAGGTTGTTTGGTCCTTCATGATGTCGGTGGCCAGCTTGTACTCTTTGACGAACTGAGGGTGTGATGTTGCTACTGGCTTGCTGAAGTCGTATAGATTGTCTTTCTTCAGGTCTTTCAGAGCGGTTTGCATGGCAGACGGGATAGTCAGTGGGTAGTGGGCGTAGACGCTGTTGTACTTGAAGTGCTGTGGGAAAGCGCGGAGGAAGAGCTTGTAGAACACACATCCGTTGTCGACGCCGAGATCGCTTTCAGCCTGACGGTAGCCCCAATTGGTCAAGGTGCGTGGGTTGTAGTCGTGCGTGTAGAATCTGTCGCCACGGACCAGCGCAACGGCGTCCGACAAAACAGCACGGGAGACGGTGTACGAAGGACAGAGGCCTGAACCAGGAGCCATCGGCTTCTTTGCGTCCTCGACGACGATACCTGGGTAGATCTCGACCTTGTCGGGGTGATCGTAGAGGTGCTTGAGTTGCTCTTGCACATATTTGTCTGACGTGATGTCTTCGAAAGTGTTATGTGGCTCTAGCTTGAAGTACTTCCGGAACTCGTTGAGCGATCCCAGATTCCAGGTACGTGCTTGTTCGATACCTAGGACTTCAATAGCGCGGAAGACGGCAGGGACTCTGTTCGGTCCAAAAGAGTTGGCACAGTCTTCGATGCTCGATGTCAAGATGTCTACCAGACCTTGGTCGGGTAGTGTGCCGTTGTCACCTCGCTCCAGACCAGCGAACTTGCGCTTCGAGGGATCAGGATCAGTCTTCTTGTAGACTTCATTCAACCGGCCAAGGAACTCATATTTGCCGACAGTCTTGGGGTCGCGACCTTCACCGAAGAGACCGTCCCACATCTCCTGCGTCCATTTCTCGTCACGATCAGAGACTGTAGAGTGCCATCGATATACGAGGTTGAACTCAGCAGAGACTTGGTTGCCAATGCCCATGGGTAGATCCTTCACTTCCGCGCGAGGGTTCAGCTGCCAGTTGCTGTCAGTCCGGTTAAGATCGAGAATGGTGCGGACGTAGTCGATCAAGATGATGTTGACGTAAAGTCCGCAAGTAATGAGACGGCCTGTCTGGAACAGGTCATTGTCGTACTTCTTCCATGCCGCATCATACTTTTCCTTTGTCTTCTTGTCGACTTCGACGTCACCGGTAGACTTTGGCACTTCATTCGAAGGCTTCGTGAAACGTCCTTGTTCGTTGATAGCCGCTAGGTTCTCGACCGTGTAGTTGTGGAAACGGTTGAACATGATCAACATAGCACCAACGCCAGGAGGGAAGAACAACAGTCTTGCTTCCGAGAAGCAGTCAGGCTTGATCTTTCCATCTCGTCCAGTTCTCATCATATCCTGTTCGGCCTGGTTACTGCCATACAATGGTGATAGATCGAGGTATGAAGATGTCATCGAGATCGAGTAATCCTCGTGACTTGTGCGGAAGCAGTCGTGGATGATGATGGATGCCAGATAGAACAGCATACTTGAAATACGGTTCGGGTGCAGTTCAGCATGCTTCCTTGTCATGATGCTGTCGAACACAACACCAGGATCTGGACGGGCAGGAGTCTGCATCATGTCTGGCTTGACTGTTCTCGCGTATGGTGTTCCTGCCGCGCCGACTTGCGGGTTTACTAGACTGTTATTCGATCCATCCGCGGCACGGTACTGGTACTTTGCCCCAAGATATGACTGCGGCGGGTGCTGTAAGTCACCCCATAGCTGGGTCAGAAACTGACCCGTCACTGCCTCTCTTGTCTTTGACCCGTCAGGTAATGCGGCAGCGGTCCGGATAAGGCCCTCCATGAGGTATGTCTTGTCATCGGTATATCCACCAAGCATCTTCTCTTTCTGGATCTCCATCAGGCTCTGGATGTTCTCGATGCCAAGATGAGACATGTCTCGAAGACCGCCTTCAATCTTCTTGTAGAGGCTGGCCTTCTCTTCTGGCGCAATCTTGGAGCCATCACCAGTTTGGTCAGGAAGTGGAGCTGCAGCGGCGCCAATCAGAGCTGCGGCTGCTTTGAAAGATCCACCAATGGCGTTTCTCATAGTACTGAGTTCGGATGGGTCAGCTGGTTTGGGAGGCTCAGCTCCTGTGCGGGTATCAACATGGGAATCCCATGCCGCTTTCGCCTCTGCAGCTAGACCGGACATGTTGATGGATGTGCTGGATGTTCGCGTTAGTGACTTTTCTAGGTTTGATTCTGTTCCTCCGCTCGAAGCAAGACGACGATCCTTTTGGTGGGTCATATCTCAGGTTTCTTTGCTCGAGGATACGTGTATGAATGGCGAATTGCACAGGAAACGACTATAACGCCGAAGAAAGATATTGGACTAGGGTTGTAGGAAGAGACGTGATGCAATGGTACTTACATTGAATTGAATCTCTTCTGTGTGGGGCTTCCTTCCACTACCGGTACAAACAGTCGTACGTGATTTCCGCTTTCAGACTTTTGCAGTCAGGATCCAGATACCACGCGACCTCACAAGCTCCGAGAAACCGCGATAATAGACAAGATATATAGCACGCGAGCTTGCGATGTCTGATCTTGTAACTATATGTAGGTAAGCCACCAAAAAAAAAGCAGCGAGGGGTATATGTGCAACAACGATCGAACGCTAAAGAAGAACCAAGTTGTTCACACGGCAAGTACGGAGGCTTGAGACAATAGGTTTGTCGCACAATCAGTCAGCCTCAGTCTTCTTATACCCTCCACATCATTATTCTGATAGGATGCATTCGTAATTGCGGCTGAAGGATAGTCTACTGTACGGCGATGCAATCCCTCTAGTTCTCACCGGCGCCGGGAACGTCAACAGCTGAGAGGTCCCTCCCCCATTCCAAGCCGTGGCCCGCTGTACTAGATGCAGTAAATGGCCAATTGAAATGCATACAATTAGCCCATTCGGCAAGTGAAGTTGAGCTAGGCTAGGCTGATCGCGAACGGCTGGGCTGAGTCGTTTGGCTGACCGCCGATATGCGTGCTGGTAGGCAGGAATCCGAGGTGCGCTGCAAGAATTAGCGGGCCCGCAAGTATCGTCTCAGCCTCGGTCGCAGCCTTTTTGCAGGCAGCGGCCCTCGATGCATCTTGCTTCAGCCTTACTGGATCAAAACTGTCGGTGAGCTCCTTTTTCTGACATGGTAGGTAGGTGGTGAGAGGACAGGCCATCCGGCTGCAGACTTGGAGTAATTGCAATCGGATCGTCACTAGATGATGGCGAATAGAAGAAAAACCGAAGGAGAGAGGACAGGTGGGTGTTGTCCTCCCCACGCTTATGCAGGGTCTAAGTCGGTGTTCCCCGGGGCGATATGGGAGTGGCCGCTGCGGGCACATGTAATAAGCCTCAAATCGAAAAAGCAAAGATGGAATTACGCATGATGGATGGTGGTACAGAAGGCTACAGCCAAGCACATATTCATCATCACGAGGTTCGTCAAGTCAGACTTGGGATGTACAAAGGATGTTGAAGAGCAACATGACCTGGGCATCCGCGAACGTAGTCACACACGCACATACGCATTCGTCACCACGACGCCCTTCAGCATACGGACGATGGGATGTATTAGTGTGAGGTTAGTACCTATAGGCATCGACGCGCTAGATACGGGTACCTGCGGAGGTGCTACCGTTCTGAGCCCGGTGTGACAGCCTTCACGTCCTCATCCTTCGAGTGCGCCTCGCCGTAATCCTGGTTGAATCCCACCGCCATCCGCACACCATCCCTCTTTCATCATTGGCTTGAGCCCATGAACACCAAGCATTCACCAGGCGCCAATCTTGCTGGTAGCCCCACGCCTGTCGCCTGACACCGTCATTCTACCAGGTATCTCCTACCAGATACCAGGCAGAATAGCGTACCTCTTCCTCTTGTATTTATCTCCAAACTCCTTGCGATACCTCTTCTCCTTCTTCCATGCCCAAACACCCATCTGTCCCACAGCCACGATGATGAAGAGAACGGTGCTCAAGCTCCAGTTGACCAGCGCCACGCCAATCCACGCCATTGCCTCGAACATGTAGTTGGGGCAAGTGACTAGATCGAAGCCCAGTCCCTTGGGTATACCGCGCTCAGTGCTGCCGGGGCGGCGCAAGTTCTTGAGCGTCAGATGCGTGCTGTAATTGCAAACCTCGCCGATGGCAAACAGCGCTACACCAAGGTATGTGAGAAGCGGGTTGGAAGGTCTAGCAGCTGGGCTGTTGGGACCGTAACTCCAGTACGCCAGGTTCACACCTGAAAGGAGCCAGTAGTAGCCAGAGTTCTTGTAGATGTTCATTATAGGCATTGTGGCCGACGAGAAGCGGTGGACGAAGAGGGTTTCGAACTCGCGTTTAGCAAAGTGAGCGACGCACATGAGGAAGGTGAGCTTCTGGAGCTGCGACGGAGGGGCTGAGGTGCCGTAGATGAGGGAGCGGCCGAAGTAGATGAGCGGGTGGATGAGGAGGGGTCCAAGGTACTCGACGATGAAGACGGTGCGCCATGAGATCTGGGGACCTGGGAGACTGTCAGTCGTCTGTTGGTGAAGAGGTAGAGAGCAGCATACCTAGATCCTTGACATCCACAGCACTCTTGTTCCGCAGGCCCGTGTCATGAACCTTCACGTCTCGCACATTGTTGATTGGCGATCCGTCGCTGCCCTTGGTGACCCTCAATCGGTGGATTGAGAACCTGGACGCCTTTGCGATTTCTTCGAAGATCTGGGCGGCCGAGGCATCCGCAGAGACGGTGATGGTCTCGGGGAGGTTCTTGATCGGACGGCCTGTGGAGGGGTTAACAAACAAACAAACGCCAGGATGCACTCAATCGGACCGAAGCCGACTCAATAGGTCAAGGAACAAGCATACCACGAGGGCGCACGACGAGTGTGAGGTCGGACATTGTTGCGTGCTGCGACAGCGTGTGCTGTGTGTGGACATTTAGCAAGATGGTATTCGGAGCGGCAGCCTCGGCCTCCCGTTCAGGCTAGGCTCAAAGGGTTCAGCCACTTCGCCATTAGGGGAAACCATGCGAGTGAGATTGACCGCACGTGTGTAAGATCATGAATCAAAGCCTTCGACGTCAGACATTCGTCTAGAGCAGGCCAAGTGGTCGCTACTATCTATACGTGTTCGGCACATGCATCTCCACACGCGCCTTCATACCCTTCATCCCAACTGCACCACGACCTGCCATGCAACTTCCGGTCCCATGCACGCGACCATCTCACCAATAACACCCCTAATCGACTTTGGATTCCTCAGCTCGCTGCCGTCCCAAGAGACCAGGTCCTATACGCAGTTAATACAGAGTAAGCGTTTCATATAAGCAGCTTACTCACCTGAGCTTCTGCCATCCTCCCACCAACGCGAATAGGCATAGTGGCCAGATCGAGTTGCTGTTCAATCTCTTCAGCAGTCATAAGGCCCGGTACCTTAAGCTCAAACAAGGACACGCCCTTGTTGACAGCCTTGCCAGCCTCAGCAGCTGTCGGATAGGGATAATCGGAGTAATCGTCTTGCTCTCCATCGATGCCCATCTCCTTCCTGCGACGCTCCCTAGACATGGAGACATACGGCTTCTTATCAAGCAGAGCGCGCATTTCACCTTCGAGGGGATGCCACTCGTATGTTTCAGGATCGAGAACATGCTGAGTCTTGTAATCGCCCTTGTACTTCATCTTGACGCAAGAATGAATGTAGTATCCCATATAGTAGTACTGATAGCCGCCCTCAAGAGCCAGCGCAGCTTCTCGTAGCGCACTCAACTTTCCGAACTGCCACTGTTCGTAGTCGGAATGGTAGAGCATGTAGACGCCGCTAACGCAGTGGGGTAGCAGATCGAGTATCCCCATCGCAATGAGCCGTCCATCAAGCCGGTAGCACTGGTGGTAAGATCCGAGCAGCTGTTCTTTGCCCTCGACGGTCCTGGTAGTCTGCTTCAACGGCGAATCACACAGAAAGCGTTTGAAGCCTGCTTGAGAGATCTCGTGAGGTTTCTCTTTGTGCACGTTCTGCTGGTAGTTCTTGAACAACTCATACTTTTCGAGCGTGAACGCTGCTGGCTCCAATGTTACCTCAAAGCGGTGTGCGGGCTCGGGCGGTCGTTTGACATTCTCATATTCGGTCTTGTGAATCTCACGAGTGAGATCAAAGGTGTTTTTGAACCGAGCTTTCTCCCTGGCGATGGTCAGCCTAGTAACAACTCTGCCATATCGTGACACACTCTTTGGATATCGGGTAGAGCCTGGAAGCCTCTTTCATATAAGACTCCCCTAGCACATGGTCATTCCAGTGATTGACGGCTTTTCTTTGATCCTTCGAGGGCTTGAAGGAGGCTACGGGTAGACTAGTCTCGGGTAAGTCTCTAGCAGGATGTTACTGCAAGCCTGCTTACCGAATAGTGTAATGTGGACAGCAGTGTCGCAGCACATCCGGTTTGTAAAAGATGGTACCAGATCTAGAAGCCACTGTCAGCTGCTATTGTAGGCATAGCGCTGTATGTAATGTGCTGTGCATGAGTGGGTCGTACCTTCTCCAACCGCGGTCCACGAGGATTTGGTAGACCTCAACGGTCAAGCTTTTCGACGAGAAGTAGTAACTCGCCCCTAATCAAGTAAGGTCAGTCGGTGCTCTCGGCTCGCAGCCTCATTCCGACTTCCCCCGCTCAAGCTCACCAGACAGCTCATGATCGAGATGGACATGCACTGTGATGCAATCAATCTCGAGAATCTAGATCTGTATCATACAACATCTGCCGACGTGCAAATGAGTCGACATAGACGATGCTTGGCAGTGATGCGCCGCTTGGGGACGGGCAAGATTCCGAGGTTCCATGCGACGCGGGGCTGCACGTGAGGCAGGTAACCTTAACGGAACATCAAATGCAGGCGAGAAAAGCGCCGGCTGCAATACTGACACCCATTGACGCCCATTGTTCGTGTGAGATGGCTTGACCGCTCTGACAGCGGCATGCAGGCATGACGATCCGTCCATGACCGAATAGGGATGACTATGAAAATCCACGTACGAGAGTTGGCGGTTCTACTGCCATTCGATGCGTCTTTGCAGTACCCGCACGACTCACTACTGTAGCCTGGAAATGACCGTTAGCAAGTCGTTGATAGCCAGGGTCTGAGATGGGAGGTCCGTATTGCTGGGAGCTTGAGAGATAGTTCATGTCCAGCCAGACAGGCACGAGCCGGAACCCAGGGAAATGGTTGGAGCAGAACATACCGAAAGGCGTCACACTGGACTGCATGAGGGCAGCATAAGCGTGGGAGCTGGTGGGGGTAGTGGTCCGAGGCGGATTCGAGCGTCGTCGCGGCGGCGAGCGATGACAGGCGGTAGCAGAATGAATAATAGCTCCTTGTCCACGCCCGGTTGCTAGAGATCAGGGCTCTTGGAACTGTCGGGGTCGGTCAGGGCGGTCAGGGCGTGGATGGCAATGATGTTCTGGCGGAGACGGGCGATCGGTCGCGGGGTCAAGACACACAATAGCAATGCAAAGGTTGTTGTATCACAGCGTGCAGGGCGCGCACCAGAAACTCTGATCAGCGTCTACACGGGGGCAATTGCTCGTTTTCTAGTGGGCAATTCGCCGTTTAAATGCCTGTACGTCATCCAGAGGACAGGCAACAGAGAAGCTGCAAGCGGCGCGCTGGTCTCGCGTGCCCCGCCGGCTCCCTATGCAGCGCATTGGAGCTGCGAGCTGGGACCGTAGACGGCCTGTCTCGTGCGCCGATAGGTGAAGCCAGTGCCCTGTCTGGCTGCCGTTGATTGCAGTTTTGTGCAGCTCTGTGCAGACACCCCGGACAAAGCTCCTCTTGCAGGCGGGCCTTGGCGACAGGCGTGACGCTCCGCGAGCCCTTAGTTTCCACGTAAAAAGTCCCTGACCCGAACCACCTACTAAAACATCCATCCACCATGCCGAACTTCTTTGCTGCTCGCAGGCTCCTTCAACATCCTCAGCCCCGTCATCCGCGGGACTGAGCCTTGCTCAGCCCTTTTGCCTACCACACCTTCACCCTTCACACTTGACACTACTACTCCCCCCGTGAAGCCACACACACATACCCACACCCACACACACTCCTGAGCCACACTCTCGCTGTTTGCTCGGCTCCATTCATCCTCACCGCCTGGCTCGCCTCTGCTCTTCCGACCCAGCCTATTCTTGAGGCCTGCTGCCGTCGCGTCGAGCGAGTCGCATACAAGCGGTGCCACGCAAATCTCCGCGCCTTCCCTTGTCGATATTCCGATATGGCCGCTACCCAGCAGCTGTCGATGCAGTCGCGCACTGGTCGCGTGAACCAACGTAAGTCTGCTCACGAGACCCCCACAACTCGCATCGAAAAATTGAATCCCTTCCGCGAATCTCCCCAGACTCACCGCTTTAACTTTCGGCTGATTGGCGGCAGGCTATGGGTCCCAAGGCGAGCGGCTAGTCGCCGGTGTTGTCCCGCTTTCCGCCGACAAGTACTACGTCCTCCTCATCCAGTCCACCAAGCGAAACGGCTGGGTGCTCCCAAAAGGCGGCTGGGAGACGGACGAGGCAACGGCCCAGGACGCCGCCAAACGCGAAGCCTGGGAAGAGGCTGGCATAATATGCAAGATCAACTACGACCTTGGCCTCATCCCTGAGAAGCGGAGACCCGACCAGCTCACCTCCCAGGCCCCAAAGGCCTCGTACCACTTCTTCGAGGCGACCGTTGAGAAGCAAGAGGCCCAATGGCCGGAGCAGCACAAGCGGAATCGAAATTGGTTCAGCTATACCCAGGCGCGACAGGCCTTGGCGGAACGGCCCGAGTTGCTCGATGCGCTGGACCGGTGTACCATGCATCGATCATAGATGGTATACGGGTGCCTGTAGGTGCGCAAAGTCGCACACAGCCACCACGAGGAATCCTGGACGCATGTCCCAGGCCTCTGGCAGACGTTCATGTCTTTTCTTCTTCTAATACTGCATCAATACAGCATCTCAAAAGCGTTGGGGGAAATCATAGACATTTGGCATTGTACTGTCTGCTCTACATTTGGCGTTGTGGTCGCTTTTCGAAAGGTAGAACGATGCATTCCCGTTCTTGGGCTACAAGAGCGCCGGACCAGTCTGGTTCGCAAACAATGCAATTTGGCTTTGCCAAGCTACAATCTCCGCTCTACTGGTGCGGTCCTCTTTCCCGGTTTCTGCTCTTGAAGCAATGTATGATGTTTTCTGTCAACGCTGCCCAGTGCCGATTAACAGTTGGTCACATAACGAGGCAGAGTCTGCCGCTTGCTATCTACGCAGCCATCAGACCTATGCGACTGCATGCAGATCGGAGATCATCAATTGGTGCGACATCTGGAAAGTATGCCTCAAGGACTGCAACGCCCGAAGAGACAGAAAGTACCGCCATGAGCACGCTCGCGCTACGGAAAACGTGTGAATATGCTTGCATTATTTCATTAGAAACTACCTGATCCAATCATGCATTGGTCCTTTCGACATTAGAGGCGACATCATTACAGCAGCACTAAAACCCCCCTTAATCTAACATCAATCATCTGTGGGTTCAGCATGACGCATCATATCATTCATATCTCATCATATTCTTCTATCCCCTCGCCATCAAAATGCCGTTCTCCCTGTCTTAACACTCTTCAACACCCCTTCATCAGCCAACCTCTCAATCATGTTGTAAAGCACAAAATCACACCCCCGCTTCACCACAAGATTGATCGTCACAGGAACCATTTCCTCATGGAACGTAACATTACTCTGATACGCCACCTGCCCAATCGGCACCGTAAAATCCGCACACCCAAAAATCGGACAGATACCCGCACCCGTTATCTTCGCCGTTGGCGGCGTAACAGCTAGATACGACGCATCCGGCGAGTCATTGAGTTCCTTTTCGCGAAACGAAGGGAGACCGCCTGTGCCAATGTCGTAGAGCATAACCGACTCGGAGCAAGACTCTGGGGTCGAGTATTGCAATTCGCGCTCGTACCATTCTACAGCTGTGTTCTTGGTGACGAGGGCCGCGTCGTAAGTTGTCTGATTTGTACGGCTTTCATTGAAGTTTGCCCATCCCGGTCTCCGTGCGGGATCGATGGGAGGGAAGCGGCCGTCGAAGAGGGCGGCCCAAGCTGTTAGCAGGGGTTTTCCGACGACGGTCCACGCGGACCATGTGTTTATCACGCTGGTGGCGGCGTTCATGGTTGTAAAGTTGCTAGCGATGGGGTCGGAGAAGTTTTGTACGGTGGCGGTGAAGTTGAACTCTTTGACTGTCATGTTGAAGATTCGAGACATGTTTACTATGAAGTCTTGGAGGATGGGTTCTGCGGCGGAGTTGTTGAGAGGTAGGTAGTCGGTGGGGTATAAGATTGTTTTGGGAAATGCGTTGGTGTCTGGAACGGAGAGGGGAGACAGTCCAGTTATCGACGCGTCTTGGTAGAGGGAGGGTGTGTACCAGGATTTTGCAAACTTGATCCATTTGTAAGGGTCGCGGGAGAAGACGCCGGCGGTGTCGGTTGCGGCTCCTAGGGGAATGACTCTTTCGAGGGATATCATGCCCTGGCTGGGTCGTTGGCCGTATACGCCCGCTACCGCGGCTGGCCGTCTCATGGAAGAACCCGTATCGCTCCCAATGGCGTAATCTAGCCAGTCGTACGCGGCAATGGAGCAGCCACCACCGGATGAAGAAGCTGAGCACGTGAGCCATCCATCTCCTCTCGGGTTGAATGGGTAGTGCTCATCTTGCCATTCCCAAGGGTTAGCACCAGAAGCAAATTGAGCGAGCTTCTGTTTGCCGACTACGACACCTCCGAGATCGAGAATCTGCTGTACTGAAGGTGCTGTGCCGTTTGAGATAGGCGTGATATAAGCCCATGCTTGACTGCCGCCAGAGGTTTGTAGACCCTTGAGGTCGTACAAGTCCTTGATCGCGACACGCTCGCCTGCGAGGGGTCTGTCGTCATCCCAGTAGTAAATGCGTGAAGGAACAGGAATCATAGGATCCCAGAATTTGGGCAGGAAAACGCCAAGCGGGTTGTAGTTGTCTTCTCCATCATTCGCATCGTAGGCGCCGAAGAGGAACGTCCTGTAAGTATCTGGGTAAAGTCGGTACACAGTCGCAAAGCTTACAGAGCCGTCTTCCACAGATGCGAGGTATGGGCCAGCGGGGATCTCAACGGGCGCTTGGAGTACGACATTATTCGCTGAGGCGTCTGCAGTCACCGTAGAGTCCACGAAAAGCATGCTCGTGTTGAAGGTTGCTAGATATTCCATGGCAGAAGCATCCAAGGTCGACTTGACGCTAGACGAGAGATACAGCCCGTCCAGGAAGTCATGACTGAAGACGTCGTCACCCTCGAGGTACGACGATACGATGCTCGTCAGGACATCCTCTGTGATAGTGGTCTCGTTGGTTTTGATGACGGTGATCGGAATTGACGTAGATGTGCCGGCAACTGCGCAACCAGCACTCGCCTTCGGATACTTGGTATTTGCCAGGTATGAGACATTCCCTAGCTCGAAGATTGTATCGCTGTAGGGGTTTTTGAGAACAAAGTTGTAGGGATTTCTCTTAACAACCGGAGCGGCCAAGGCGGAGATAGACGCAAGAGATGCGGTCAGCAATCCGGAGAAGATGATACGGCCCGCCATGGTGAGCGTATTGTGAACGGCACACCTGCGAATTTCCAGATCGCCATTAGGACTGTTTTATACACTTCGGCAGTATCAAGATTTCTGGTGCTATGATATCCAAGATAACCGGACATATAGAGATGCCTCTTTCGCTCATGGTAAGCAGTACCACGCTGTTGCCGAAGCTGCTAGTGACTTGGCAAAATGCGGGCTGCATCTCCACAATCGATGCCTAACCGGATGTAAATCGCCGACTCGTTGCTTATCGCATGTCGGATGGTGTTCATAGTCATCAGTATGGCATTTGTTATCAATCTCTCCGATATGTGGAGGGATGTTGACTTGCGTGTCGGTTGAGATGCGCCGATGGCGCTTCCATGTAGTTCCGAAAATGATGCGGTACCCCACGTGTAGTCACTATGAAGTTGAACATATGCTCCTGTGTGCTTCTCCTTCAATCGTATGAAGATGCAATCCGCAGCGAGATGCCATCGTCGTAATTGTGGTTGTGTTGGTCCTCAATTGAGCTTTCGATGTTCCACGAGACATGAACGTGACTGCTCCACAATGACTTCATCCCGGAGAGCTATTTCTTTGATCCGTCAAGAATATTATCGTGCGTAACAACAAGCAGCGCATTCCAACTTCAATATTGTGAGCATGAATCAGGACCCTGTATCCGTCTACACGAGTCGCGGACTTGCTTTGAAGGGCCCTGTTGCCGACCCGCTGACGGTCCTCCCGCCGGAGATCGTGCTCCGCATCCTCGATTTCACACCCGTCTCAGCCTTAGCATCTCTTACCGTTGTATCACGCGCCTGGCACCATTTCATCGACGAAACACACCAAGAAGCTATCTACTCTTCTCCAACTAAGACGTCGCAATCGCATACGACTTCTCAGCCACCCCGCACCGCACGCGACTTCTCGTTTGTTGAAGATTACACCAGCTTCTCCAAGTTCTTCGAGAACCTCACATCATGGAAAGATCTATGCAAGCGACAGACGCTTCTTGCGCGCAACTGGGCCTCGTCGCAACCTGTCACGCAAGAGTCCATCCTGCAGGTTACCAATAATGCGGTATGGCGGTTTAAAGCCGACTTCAAACGTCGCCTGTTCATCTCGACATCGCATGCTGGCGGACTGAATGTGACTGATATGGACACTGGCGACATCCTGTGGCAGTTGCCTTCAATTCTAGACTCGAATTCTGAGGATGCCGTCAGACCGTATGCGCATCTAGAGTATCAAGATGGAATGGCCGTATTTGACCGTGAAGGAGACGCGGTGGAAGTCTGGCAAACAGATCAAGAAGGTGCAGCAAGAGGAGAGTTTCGACGCGCAGCTGTTCTAGATCACGATTGTCAAACAAGAGGATTCCAGCTTTCTTATTGGACGTTGGTTGTGGTCTCAGTAGAGGGCCAGGGCTTCGTATACGACATGAAGCAAAGCCCGCCAAAGCTGATTACGCACTTGAAGATCGAAGAAGACGCGGTAGGGCACCTCGATCAGAACGAGGATGTGGTTGTGTATTCCATGGGAGCACGTGGTTACCACGTGTACGACAAGAAGACCGGAGAGGCTCTGGGTACGCTACAGCCATCGCAATGTACGGAAATATACCACGTCGAACCCTTGCCACCTCTCGATAGACCTGGATCTAACGGAGCTTTGGCCGCACTGAGTACGGGTCGCCCATCGAGACCGATTTTTCCTGCATCAAACCCCCGCAAAACCCGCTTGAAGCCTGTCCAACTCAATAAAGGTCCTCTTCCCAACCAGGACAGAAGAGATACCAGTGAGGACGAATGGGGTGCTGGCATGCTAGACCGCGACAGCAACCTTTTCGTGGGCTTCTCCCGGCTTGGCCGTGTCTTCGTATGTTCCGACTTCCGCAAGGCACTTGAAGACGCGAGTAAAAACCTAGCACGTTATAGTCAGATCCTACAGTGCGACTCCGACGGGTCGAGCTTCGACCTCGGTGGTTGGCTATCTGTTCGCAACCATCGAATCATGTTTGAGATTATGAACAGAGCCTACGTCGTTGCGCTCGACAGCAAGAATCGCATCAGCCTCGAAGAGCAAGCCACTGGGCGTGCATCCTCGTACTGTTACCTCAATAGTTCTGCGCCGCAACTCGCGTGTCCAATTAGCTTCATGGCACTTTACGACGATTGTATCATGTCGACTTATGCGGTAATAATCAGGCCCCGAAAAAAATACATAAAAACTAACAGCCGGCAGACACTGGGTGAAAGGCGTGATGGAACGACCGCAAGGAACGTTCGTCTCTTCCCAACAAAGACGATTCGTATCATCAGCCTTGCGCCAAACCTCGAGGGACGAGAGAGGGCGATGGGGGGCGTGGAGGACCCAACATCTGTAGGGAGAGTGGATCCTACGGATGCATCTCAGGATCCAATGTTGCGGTTGATCTCAATGATTCAAACGGCTGATGAAGAGGAGCTCCCTGGTTGGTACAATGATGTGTACGATGACGATGAGTGGGTTGACGAATAGGCACCCCTACTGATCCCCCTGCGCTATAACGCTTCTGCAGTGGAGCAAAGCAATCACTGGAACGCTCTTGCTTCTGGAGACGTATTCAAAGGTCATACTGTCATCAATCAATATCGGTAAAAAGAAAGCTAATGTCTTCATGAAGGCCTTTCTGGGGTATCTGGGAACTGGTGGTACAGCACCGCTTCGATGCATTCACCTTTTGGTTTAGCTAATGACACATCAACATAGCTATTCACGAGCATTCTCATTGATGGCGAAATGCAAATGAAGCTTCGATTCCGACAATCATCTGGTCAAAACATTACTTAGAGCTTTGCAAAAGTGCTGTACAGCCTCGTTGGAAGATGTTGATCATATTAGAACACATATTCGTTATGTTGACACGTATTTGTGTCGAGAATGTCGTTTCTACCGCACTGCCATATCTGGCATGCGGAGCACTAGGCTTGCGACTATCGAGCGAACGCATATGCACAAAACCTAACAATTCCTACCGATAGAACATCTTGATAGCGTCAGGTATGGACGTATTCTTTACGAGTGTCAACTATTCGTATCTGCTTCCTACTGATCGATGACAACAACCCCTCTTATTGAGTTACCTTACCGCCAGTCGTGTTATGGATCCTTACGCCCAGATCGTCCAGACAAAATGCAAAGTCCATCTTATCATTCTCCATTACAGTAATCTCGAAAGCGGTGAGGTTTCTGATGGTATACCCATACCTTTCGAAATCAACGTGAGCAATGGCGTGGTGATCAACGCCATGAAAGACCAGGTCTATATATGTCGTCTCGGTCTTGCCGTCTTGTATTTGCCAGAACTTATATCTGATAAGCACGGGGTCCGAATATCGTTTCTGACGCGGCTTGATGGAGAGGGACAAGAGATCAAACATGGGCAACGACGTTTTGTCGTTGAGGTGTGCTGCTCCGATCTTGATCTGAGGAAGTTGGCCTTCGGAGTATGAAAAGCTGACTAGGGTGTTTGTGTGTGATGTTGCACAATCTCTATCCTCGTTATCAAGAAGGCTACTGTCGGACACATTGACAACTGTCAGTCCCTCGAAGAGAAGACCGTTGTAAAGTTCAATAGCCGCTTGTCCGTCAGTCGTCGAGATGTCATCAAACTGGGTAGCACATTAGCGTGTTCTCATTGCATTCAAACATTCCACGAACGTTCAACACGGTAGACCTGTCGTCCTTCGTCGAAAGTGGAGTCTGCCACTTGAGGCGTGGGGCCGCGAGATGATCTGCGTTAAGCAGCAGATGCGAGTTTGGGCTAATGCTATAACCGCAGGCAAACCCTACGCCAGTCGAGACAAGCAACACTGCAAATAACGTTTTTTGCATAATGATATCGCCGTGCCAAATGATAGCTTTTGATGATTTTGGAAGGTGTTGTGGTTTGTACAAAGCTGCGACAACGTCGGTAAAACGGGGCGAGGGCAGTTCACGGATCATCTGTAATCTGTATTGATGCAGTGCAGCCTAAAAGCCGGCCGAAATGACGACTCCTACACTCATGCAGCCCTATAAACGTCGACGCAACATACACGACTATTGAACAATGTTTGCCGAATCGTGTCGCCAATCAATTTTCAGTGAGAGTTGAAAACGGCTTACATCTCTTCTTGTGAGTATTCCTGATGTTCATGCCTCAGACATCGAGTATGCGACCTGAGGTAGTCGCCACGTAATCCATGTCATGTCAAGTCTCTGATCGGTAAGGTTGCGGGGTGCCGACTGGTTGTGATGCATTTGGAATAGCTCAGTGAATCCTGCAAAAGTGGCCAAAGAATCTTTGTGGACTGAGTTTGTGTTGGAGCAAGAAGACCGGATCAAATCGTTGTTTATAGAGTCTATTGATCAGATAGCTGTCCTCGGAGTTGATTAGCTCTGAGAGGTCTATATACCAGAGGTCTGATCATATGATGATCATGTGATTAGCACGTGCCTGATCCATTCACATGTACTGTTCCGACAGTGTGCTACGACGAACAGTGCTACAACGATTAGAAGGAGGTGAATAATGTAGTATACGTTATCCCGGGAGTTTTAAAGCAGTCATGGTGCTCCCTGCGGGAGGAAGCGAGCAACCCTATCTCTATGTGGTTCTCTCCGGTTGCCTAGTTGCCTGCTCGCAATTCTGCGGACCCATATGCCTGCTCTCTCAATTCTGCGGATCCATCTGCCTGCTCTAAGCAGAGCCACATATATGCACCTGCTTTCCATATTTGCTATGCACTTCATAGCTTTCTTGTATCATTTCAGTTCCCACATATCTTAGCCCCAGCTGCCCTGTTGCCCTCTTTTGCACCCGTTGCCCGGTTGCCTGCTTTGCAACTTTGCGGACCATCCGGTCGATGCCCAAGCACTCTAGATCGAAACATCCAGAATTTTCTCAATACGTGCTACAGGCAGTCAGCAACCTTTGCCCACCAACGGCACATCCCACGTGATTTTCAGTATCATGCAGGTCTCTAAACTCGCTATGGTCCTATTCGCCCAGATTTGCCCCATAAATGCACTGGCAATTGCCATTCGTTCCCTTGCCGGAAGCTATCCAAGTGTGGCCGTCACCCCTGCCATGGACCAGCGTTGGTCCAAACAGGACGTGCTCACTCTTGTCGGTGTGTGTGTTGGTGTTGTCACTGTCGTTATCGGATTGTTTGGCGTTCTCGTCGGGTCGCCCAAAACACGAGAGTGGCTGTGCAGACCATTTGATTGGTTCACGCAATGTGTGCAGCCTAGTAAGGATCTCTCTCTTATTTATCTGTCCTAGGAACGGAACTATAAAAGCTGACTAGAAACAGAATTGTACCATCTCGAGACACGGCCGCTGAGACATCGACCTTCGACCATTAAGAATTGGAAGAGGAAGGATCATAGAGAGATTCATCGGCAGCTACAAGACCGTTACAATGAGTTATTGAAGATGCGGAAGGGAGGATACTGAGTTTTAAGCTTATGGTCGCAAGGTTACAATTACAAGGGAGCGAGGAGTTGAGAGTTCAGCGACCTTAGGACGTAGCGCATGAAGCATGTTGGATGGAGCATTTATCACTCTGTGCTGAGTCATTGCTGCAAAGTCGACAGACAGTCCCTGAACCCTTCGTCGCATCGCACATGCGTTAGGCATGATCGCCATCGCGAAGGCATCATCGAGAGGTGCGTAGCGCTTGAAGATGCAGTATCAGGAAGGTTTTCAAGAAGACTGGAACCGATATAGCTCGAGGACATGGTATAATTTTGCAGCGTCTTCCCTTGGTGTGCGCTGTGAGGCTGAAAGTTGAATATTCCCGCATGGCCCATACCCCCATGAGACAAAGCAAGTACTGTCTATCACCAAATGGACGAGGGAGGACGCTACTTTTGTTGCATCCTGAGTTCCAGAATGTCAGGATGTCTAGGTTTGGGCGATCTATCGCCTTGGGCAAAATGTAGTGAGACGTGAAGTGGACGTGTGTTGGGAGGAAGTGAGAGCCGTGTCAGAGAGGGGAGAACGGTCGCTTTGGGTACGAAACAACGACAAAGGGGCAGGCACCCAGGACGCGCTCCTACAACGAAGCTGGATTGCGGTTTAGAAGCCCTAATTTGGCAGCCAGCTATGACTATTATTACCTCCCTTACCATACACACGAGCTCCCCTCATCTTTCCAAAAGTCCGGCTACAATCATCTCTGTGACATTTTCATCGCATTCTAGAGGGACATTCTACCACGAAGATTCCTTAGCTTTGCAGAACTAGAAAGATCAGTCGCGATAGAAGATCTTGAATTCTATCGTAATTAACATGGAAATGACCGTCATCACTGAACCACTAAGATTGCAAGTCTCTCTCAGTGCGCTACATGGTGGCTGGGCATCGAACAGTCTTGGTCAATATGACTACCAGAGGTAGTTTTCCCTTGCTATATATCGATCACAGTTGCGTACCGCAAATGAGACAGATGCAAGCAGCTTTTCAGTCAACAAGACGACGCTGTTCCCAGTCAAAGAACATATCCGGTCGCAACTTTGTCGCTAGTAGCTTCTGGTGATTGATTGTATTGTACTTTCCCTGTTCTGACATGGTTTTCTCCGACTCCATGGCACAGGCACTCTCATGCATGTCGCTTACCTGCACGTGCAAGCGCGTATCATTTCGACCCAAGATTGAGTTGCGGGTTGAGGCGAGGCTAACACTATTACTAGCGATGGCTTGATGGCGCCCATCCACCTCCGAAGCCCTACCGCTCCGTTCCTTATAACTATCTAGGTATTCCAGGTGTATGTAATTACGTCGAGGTCGCGACTTTCCGGCTTGTAATCTCTATCGCAGCAGTTCATCTCTAGATATCTTTCTGATCATTATCAAGTTTTACACCATATACGCAATCTAAGGACTTTACTGTACGGATAATAACATGACAGGTTTGCGTGTGGCGGCCTTCATCCTTTGCTCAACCCCTATTGGAGCTTTTTCGGCCCCACCTCCACGCCATGGAGACATGATACACGACTCACTACCTCCGACTCCCAACCAGACACGAAATAAATGGTCGCGACAAGACATCTTTACCCTTGTTAGTGTCTGCGTAGCAATAGTTGGAATCTTCATTGGCGTAATAGTCGCATCACCTGAATTACGCGAGGTGTTGTGCAAGCCCTTTTACAGTAGGCCAACCACATCTGCATGTATACTGTCTAGTCTACGTAAGCTAACTTTCTTGTTTCTTCACTCAAGATTGCGCGATGCGAGTACGACGCAGAAGGATACGGCAGCAAGAACAGCAAGACGAAGCTAGAAGACGAATGCTAGCACGGTACGAAGATTATGTTAGATTCAACGAGTTCCTAGAAGTGGTGGGTAATAGACCATGGATATGATAATTTAATGTGCTGGTTCGTGGATTTTGAAAAGAGAAGTGTGGGCGATGGCCCTTGAAGGAGATAGAACGAAATCTCACGGGAACATTTACGCGAAGACGAGGGAGGGTCGGTTCCGCATCGCATGTACAGATACCGAGGAGCTTCTTTGCTTCGTTTCTTAAAACCTTGTCAGCTTATTCTATGGACAAAACGAACTTTGACTTTTTCCTGGAAAACTTGTTTCTCGTCTTCTACGATGAAGGTTTGGACTTTCACAAACGTCCTTTACACGCATCAACAAAGTTGGTCGAAATAGAATATTTCTACACTCATCGAAAGATCCATCGCCCTCCTCCCGCTCACTATCAGTCTAGCTAGATTTCTGGTGCCGTTGTCCAGGATACGAGTTGCCCATGTACCGGCCGTCTAACATCGAGGGTTGGGAGAGGAGAGACCGTCGAGAGGTGCATCGGCAGATGCGACACGAATAAAATGAACTCCTAACAACGCGCAGAGGCTTCTGAGTCTTATTTTAGATACAATCATGAAGATTTCTTGTAAAACGACGCTATAGTGTTGGGTGAGTTCTTGTTGGATTTGACTGGGTGAGTGTGATCTGGCGGGTGTTTTCGAAGAATGTTATATTCATGGGAAACGACACGAGGCAGCGGGGCCGCCGTCCACGAATGAGCAACGATGAAAAAATTCGGGGCTTCGTTACCCCGGTGTCACGGATGGCTTGATACCATTGGCTTCGAAGAACAGTTCGTGGCGGTACGGGATTTTGTAAACAATCAGCTAACCACAAGCTCGAGCGTCATGAGGTCAACTCTGCATTATATATACCAGAATGCTAGGAAACGACTTCGTCTTCTTTTTTACTTGCAGGTTTTATATGTTTAGGCGGGTTATTCCGACAAGCACGAGCTAGTAAGATGTGGTTAAAGCAGCTGCGATGCCAACGAAATGTTCGCTGATAGGTCGCACGGCCGTCAGTGGCGCTGGGCCGACAGCCAGGTGAGAATGACCAGTCTTAAGGCACAGACCCAGACTCTAGGGATGACGATATGGTAAGTCTGTTCGACCGGGGTGTGCAGGATTAGCCCGGGCGTCCTCCAGCTCTACACCTTACCCGAGCCACAGAACAAAAGATGCCATACACACCTGGTCGTGAAAGTTGCGTATATAGATCCGCGAGCCGTAGAACAATATTCACCTTACATCAAAACAGGTAATCTACTCAAACACGCTTGCACCTGTTGCTACCGTTTTGCCTCTAATTCATCTACATGATCTCCTCCATCGCTTCTCCCTTAAATCACCCCTATAGTCCTCTGCGCGAACTCGTTCGCTAAGGCAGACTCGCAATCTGATTGATTTCTCGTACGCATCGTTCCGCCCAGGCGCTTTGGAGGGGAACATTGCCAGCATCTGACGTTACTCTGATTAGCACATATATCATTGTTTGGCAAAAGTCATGACATCAATTGTTGGTGTGCTTGCGCTTTGGTTCATTCTATGCAATGAAGCGGTGTCCATACCTTCTGTCCGCGATGGCCAATCTTCAACCGCGGGCGACACAGCCCGAACAAGTTGGTCGCGGCAGGATATCTTCACCTTGATTGGCGTCTGTGTAGCGATAGCGAGCATCCTGGTAGGTCTGCTGGTTGGCTTACCAGGATTACGCAGGTGGCTGTGCAAGCCCTTCCACCGTAAGCTGAATCCGCACTCAACACAGCATACTTAGTTCAAGCTAACTCTCTTCTTCACACAAGACTGTACAGTTCAGTTACGACGCAGGCGATTGCGACGGCAAGAAGACGCCAGGCGACGGCAAGACAATGTTCGAAGACAACAAGACGACGCCGAACGACAAGCAAACGACGCCCGGCGACGTCTGCAAGAAGACTATATCGAGTATCTCAACTTCAGGGAGTTCCGGGCCATGAGGGGGAGTGAGCAGTGGCAATCAAACTTAACTGGTAATGGTAGTCGATTGATTTCTGGAAGAACTGCCTCATCTTCGCATTGAAGATTCCCAACAATGAATTCGCATTGCATACATCGGTCGCGTCATGGCATTCTGTAACTTTATAGCTTTTCATTAGCAAATGAACATTGTTACCCTCTTCGAACAATGTCTTTCGACCTTGGCCGTCGTCTTGATCAAGGTCAGCGGTGCCTGTTTCTGGATTCAGCATCGCAAAAATTGAACGCGCGACAGGTATTCCGCGACGAGTACGATACGATTGTAGGTGATCTCAGGGATCTTGGAGAAGTGCAGGCAAGCAAATCATGAATGCGGCGTGGTTGATCGAGTGAGTGTGTGGAGGAAGCGAAAATGAGTAGACTCATCTACATCTAGTATCGCAATTTGTGCTTCAAGGCAGTGATACAGACATTGAAAGTTACTTCTAGTAGGCATCTGACGCGCTGAGCCGCTGAGCCACTGAGTCAGCGACACAAGCACCCTTATTTTTCTGTTGCAGGTATGGATGTGCCAAGGATAAAGCGCTGACCAGCCGCATCTGGGGGACCGGGTACTAACACTGCTGATCTCCAGGGGGGTTGGCTGCGCCTGCTTTTGAGACCGAGCCCGCTTTCGTGAGGGGCCATCCAATCAAAATGACGCTCATAGAGCGCATCTACCGCATTTTGGCTTTTTGGTCGGTCTCAAACGTCGCGGAGTCGCCCTAGACTTAAAAGATGCCTTTTCTTCGTTCCTCTTGTTTGACATTCTTCTTGACACAGGACATCGACTTCAAGTTCAACATGACGCCCCTTGTCATTGCGAGTCTTTTACTCCAAGTCGCTTTGATTGTAGCCTTTCCCACTCAAGCTGCTCGTGGTGCGGACCTCATCAGTCAACAAAGTTCTGCAACATCTGACCGAGTACCCACGGGATGGTCGCGACAAGATATCTTCACTCTAGTTAGTGTTTGCGTAGCAGTCATCGGTATCTTTGTTGGTGTGCTTGTTGCTTCACCTGCCGTACGCAATTTCTTATATAAGCTATTGCACTGTGAGTTTACACCATCTCAAAATGCACTCTGCTTAAGCTAAGCTAACCTGTACTGAAGACTGTGTGATTGGGATATGGCGTAGAAGAATACGACGACAAGATGAGGCTAGACGGCGGCTTCAAGAGCGATACGAAGATTGTCTCAGATTCAACGAGTTCTTGGAGTTGATGGGGTAGAGGTGAAGGGGTTGGCCGTTAAGGAGGTAGAGGCGTTGAAGCGGGGTTTGCCTGGGCAGCGGAAGAGGTGGGGCGTTGAAGGGACACATAAGAAAGCTAGCTTCGAAACTGCAGGTTTAAAGTGTGTCTGATGGTGATGTGGAGGCAGTAAGAGGCTTAAAGTCGCTTGAGGCAGCCCAAGAACCATGTGCAACGTATATTAACGTAGCCTTCTTCCTTAAGACAAGGCAACTGGAGGTGGCGGAGCATAGGGACACCGTCGTAGTCGGGATCGTCGTTGTGCCAATGGTATCGGTTTGGGTGGATGGAAAGGACGTTGTCGGGCTGTCATCTTGTAACGTTATCTCGCTTGGTATACAATAAACAAGTTCTCTGAAAGTTCGCTGCAGAACGTCGTAGAGCAGACAAGGCAGAAAGTTGCTGATAAGCTAAGAAAAGGTTGGGATGCTCGTGTAATAGCGTTTGATGAAGAGTGATTAAGGCCTGCCAACGGTCGAATGCAAGCTTTGTATCGCTATCTTGCGCACTAGCGGCTTGTGCGCGGTCAGCTTGTATGCACTTGGTCTCCACTATAGTTAATCCTGCGTAGATTACTTCTGAGCAAAGGATACGCGAGAGTGCAAGACAAACTCTTGCTAGAGATCCTTCCCTGCGCTGTCATCTTGATAACTTGCTCTGATGTGCTTCCTCTATCACACTACGAGAGGATACGGAGGGTCATAGGGCGGTGCGGGCGGCGGGCGGCGGGCGGCGGAGGTAGCGGTTTAACACGTTCAGCACTCATGCTCGATCCGTGTCCCGTCAAGGACACCCCACTAGACGTGTTTCAAAGTCAGTGCGGTAAGTAGAAACAGAAGAGCGGCGTTTGCGGTGGCGGACTTTGAGGAAGGACTCAAAGAAGACTAATGGTGTATAACACTTGCCGGACAACAAACATGATGTTTGTCTCTTTGGCTATCCTAGGAGATGCGCTCTCATCCTCGCAGAAGACAAGCATTCTTGGAAAATATGCTCTGCGTAGCTGCTCTCGTGTACGCTGCACTGCGTTGACCACAATTCAAACGGTAACTTGTTTTGCCTGAAGGTTGAGGACGTGATGTGTAAGGCCGGACAGGTACGAGATACCAAGGCGGTGTGGATGCTGCTTTTCCCGAGTACGATATTGTGCAACACAGTTCTAATGGACCAGGCATTGGAACCATTGGTATCGACATACACCTACCCACGGTCGTCCATACAAAAGGACAGAATCGCGCTCGACATCTCAATACATGTATGTCGTACCACTTTCTACAAAGCATCATACGAGCATCAGTAATCCAGCATCGCGAGGCGGAGAGTATCGTATTCCGGTACACTGACGTAGATCTTCCTAAAATTAGGCGCGGGATGCCTAAATGTGGGGTGACTAATGCAAGGCAACCTGTCAAGGTCCTGGTTGACGGAATATCGTGGATACTCGTTCGGGAAGGCGGATGTACGGTGATGGTGATTTTAAAATTGGGAGGCCTCAAGCAATGTATTGTGTATAAGAAGGGCCAAACTGAAGCTCCATTTTGCTGGACACTCACGGTCAGCACTTCAAAACCTACCATCAAGATGCACTTCACACAAACCGCCTTCGCAGCCGTTCTGGCAATCGCATCTTCGGCCGCGGCATCTCCGCTCGCAGCCCGTCAAAGTACGCTTCAAGACTTCCAAGTCACGAGCGTGAGTTCCTATAGCCCGTCGGGACGGCCCGGCAGCTATCCATGGGCCCAGATCACAGCTTCCGTGACCGACCCCAATGAGATCAACCTCGGCACATCACAGTCTGATGGCAGCAACGTAACCGTGCCAGCAGGAAGCCAAGGCCTCGTATGTTCATCCTCTTCTCCCAAATATGCCAATACCTCCACTAACCCGAGCCTAGAACTGCAAAGCGCAATGGTACACCAAGGGCGAGTCACCCCTCGACCGTACCTGGCCATGCGATGCCACGTCCAAGGGCTACTGGGTCATGAACGTGCTTGAGGGAAGCAGTGGTTTCGCAACCGGTAACTTCAACCTGAAATTTACGCACGTAGCCGATTTGGTGTATCGGGGCGAGGCGTTCACGGAGTCGTTCGAGGCGGAGGGACACTTTGCGGTTGGGGAGAACCTTTCTGGAAGCTGTGGTGGAAGCGGAGTTTGTTCTTGGGGCTTGAAGGATGCGAACACTCCGTTCGAGATTGCGGTGACGAAGGTGTAGAGGATGGCAACGAGGCTTTTGTGTGCTTGATGGTGATGGAGGAAGGGACATAGTATGTTTCGTGACCAGCTTACCTATACGAGAGGTTAGCTAAAAGCGACTGAAGAGCGCACTGATGGGCTCAATGTCTATCGAAGATGCGACATACCTCTATCATGAGATCTACAAAAAATACATGTTCATGATAAAAAGACGTAACCTGCAGCAATCATGCTGTTGACGTTTCTACCATGTGTGTCTAACACTGTGAAGGTTTTGAGTGCTAGGCATACCTCGGCCACGCCTGAGAGCATTATATCTGTTCCTCATTGACACGGACCAGAGGGCAAAGCACTCATCGTATGGTCTTGTGTGACGCGCTCTAGTTCATTTCTTCTGCATGTGCTGCGATGCTCGGCTGGTGTTATTCCCGCTATACTTGCCATGTGCGAATGACGACTGATTGACGTCTTCGCTCAGCGATCGACACAGCCTACCGCTAATGATCAGGACTGAGAATCATAAAAAGGTCGCTAGACTCCAGCATCATTGTGTAAGTGCCGTGGTAAGAATGCGCAAGATTACATACCTGGATGCGCCATCGGAAGTGGCCGGCGAAGCTGTCGGCAACGCGATTGCTATCAAGCATCAGCATCGCGACTTCCGTCAATTGCCGGTGCAGTCCGCCTGCAGCCTCTGCTATCCACATATCAGCGTGAAAATCATTACTGCGGCGATATCGCGCAGACATTTATCGCGTTTAATCGTCTGCTAACCCACTGTTCGTCAGGGTTTGTTGTGCTGATCGGGCGAGTTAGTGCTAACGGGTTGGGTTATCCCCGCATCTTCGCTCGGGACTTGGCATCGTCACAAGCTCGAAGCTCCCCTCCCCCGAACCTGGGCCTGGAGTTTACCATTCACGGCCAGCCGACTAGCCTGCATCGGTCTGCCGACGCAAGATGATCCTCGGCCCAGACGTCAAGATGGGTGACGTTTGTATCATGAATATATTATCTACCGGCCGCCCAGCCCTCTCCGCACGCTGCATACTTGATTGCATTCCTCTCCTCGTACCCTGAAGATATTCATCAATTGTACAAGAACATATACATATTCCATAATGGCAGCTAGCGCCGACAGTATTCTACGAGAGGTCAACATCCTCGGCGACCTCAACGACCAGAACCGTCACATCCTCAGCAAGGACGCCTGTGTCTTCCTTGCGCTCCTCCACCGCACATTCAATGAGCGCCGGAAAGCGCTGTTGCAGCGACGAGTAATCCGACAAGCTGAGCTCGACAAGGGCAACCTTCTCGACTTCCTCCCAGAGACCAAGCACATCCGCGAGAACGATGCATGGAAAGGCGCACCACCAGCGCCGGGTCTTGTTGACAGGCGCGTCGAGATTACTGGCCCGACAGATCGCAAGATGGTTGTCAATGCCCTGAACTCGAATGTCTGGACATATATGGCCGACTTTGAGGGTATGTACATCATCGCCTTGAGCAGGGAATGACAGCTAACGTCTCCAAGATTCATCTGCGCCAACATGGGATAACATGATCAACGGACAACTCAACCTCTACGACGCCATCCGCAAGCAAGTCGACTTTAAGCAAGGCGAGAAGGAGTACAAGCTCCGCACTGACCGAACACTGCCCACACTCATCGCTCGTGCGCGAGGCTGGCACCTGGAGGAGAAGCACTTCACAGTTGATGGCGAGCCCATCTCGGGTGGACTGTTCGACTTTGGCCTCTACTTCTTCCACAACGCACATGAGCTTGTCAAGCGCGGAACCGGACCATACTTCTACCTGCCCAAGATGGAGTCGCATCTTGAGGCCAGGCTGTGGAACGACGTCTTCAACCTGGCGCAAGACTACATCGGCATGAGGCGTGGAACCATCCGTGGTACCGTCTTGATCGAGACCATCACCGCTGCTTTCGAGATGGACGAGGTATGTCCCACTTCTTACTTCTATCCAATGCTTTGACTAATTACTCCCAGATCATCTACGAGCTCCGCGACCACTCCTCCGGTCTCAACTGCGGCCGCTGGGACTACATCTTCAGTACCATCAAGCGCTTCCGCCAGAACCCCAACTTTGTCCTCCCCGACCGCGACTCCGTCACCATGACCTCACCCTTCATGGACGCCTACGTCAAGCTCCTCATCAAGACATGCCACAGGCGCGGTGTCCACGCCATGGGCGGCATGGCAGCCCAGATCCCCATCAAGAACGACCAAGCCGCCAACGACGCCGCCATGGCCAAGGTCAAGGCCGACAAGCTGCGCGAGGCACGCGCTGGCCACGACGGCACATGGGTCGCCCACCCGGCCCTCGCAGCCATTGCAAGCGAGGTCTTCAACGAGCACATGCCTGCTCCCAACCAGATGCACGTCCGCCGCGAAGACGTCCACATCACTGCCAACGACCTCCTCAACATGAACGTCCCCGGCAAAGTGACTGAAGACGGTATCCGCAAGAACCTCGATATCGGGCTGTCCTACATGGAGGCCTGGATCCGTGGCGTAGGCTGCGTTCCCATCAACTACCTCATGGAAGATGCCGCCACCGCTGAAGTCTCACGCTCACAACTGTGGCAGTGGACTAGGCATAATGTCGAGACTGCCGAGGGCAAGAAGGTGACCAAGGACTACGCCCTCAAGCTGCTGAAGGAGCAGGCGCAGGCGTTGAGTGATAAGGCGCCAAAGGGCAACAAGTTCCATCTTGCTGCGAAGTACTTTGAGGGACAGGTGACTGGTGAAGACTACGCCGAGTTTTTGACTTCGTAAGTGACTTTCTCTCCATTCACCCTATGAGCTGGACTGCCAATGGTAAAAGATGGATTCATGTGCTAACTATATGCCCAGACTGCTCTACAATGAGATTACGAATGTAGGTCCGCCCAAGGGAGCCTCCAAGTTGTAGTCTTTTGTCATGGTTTTTTCTTCTACTATCATGAGTTTATCCACTTTGCTGTTATCCTTGTAAACCTTTATACCAATGTTCCAGACCTTTCTAAAGTGGAAAAAAAAAAGAGAAAAGAGTTGTGTTTAAAATCAAGAAATGCAAAGAAGCGTTCCACCATCATGTTTGCTGTTGTCATAAACACTACCTGCACTACATTTGCGTTCCCACACCGCCGCTGCGCTGAGAAACAAGAAAAAAAGTAGAAAAAACCTCAAGCATGTGAATCTAAGCTGACGCGGCTACCACCATAGGTCGGTTCTCCGGTCGCGGCATCGAAGCTGTAGATGTGACGAAACGAAACGTGTGCCGAGGTGCATGATCCAGGTTGTCGGGTAGAAAGAGTGCGTGGATGGTAGGGATGGGGCTTGGTGAAGAGTGGTTGGCATGGATAAGAAAGAGGGGTTGGCATGTGAAAGGGCGATGGGATCACCTTGGGAAGTTATGCATAGTGATGATGATGATTAATGGTGCACTATGTATAAAATTCTTACCTCGGTCACCGGATTGAACGTCGTGGGAGCGACGGTGATGGACATATGTTGATGTGGTATGTCAGCTTCATGATGTTGAACTGATGAATGGTGTGCAGTGGTAGCAAAATGGACGTAAAGGAAAAAAAGACTCCACATGAACATTTGAAACCCATTTCATCGTAGTCTCGTGGTATCTAGAGAAGTGGCGTTATGATGCCTCGTGCATTCAGTGTCCCGCGACTATGCAGACCAGATACATGACTAAACACCCATTTTGACCTGACCAATGCACCGAAGAAGCCCCAAATATCACCTCTACTTCCTGAGGAGACGCTGGTAGAAAGCAAGCTCCTCACCCTCGAGGACGTAGCCGTCGCAGCGACCGCTCTGGCCGGGACGGGAAGAGACAGCGGCGTACAGACGACCGGCCTCGAACTGCTTCTCAACAGCGTTCTCAATCTTTCCTCCATTCTTCAAGCGGTCGGCCTGCTTCTTGGTGACCGAGTTGGACTTCTTCTTGTCCTCCTCCTTCTCACCGGCCTTGACCTGCCTCCTGCGGCCGAGCGAAGAGCCGTAGTGGGCCTCGTACCATTGTCGGAAGGGGGCGGCATCGATCTGGACGATAGCGGAGCGGGTCAGGGTGTTGGTACGGACGAGCTCGTTGTTGGAGGGGTGGTAGACGACACCGATGACACGGGTCTTCTTGGCGATGCCCTCGGAGCCCCAGGAGAAGTTACCGGCTTCGAGACGAAGGGCACGGAACTTGCGGTTGCCGCCACGGGTGCGGACAAGATGAACACGCTTTGTGCCAATACGGGTGTTGGCAGGCTGGCGGCCCTTCTCGAAAGCCCTGAAGCCATGTTAGACATGACTAGAGAAGCGATCGGGTTATGCATACCTCTTCTTGCGGTAGTATGCGCGCTTCGCACCGGACGCGGAACGCTTGTGGCGAGAGTCTCGTGAGATACTGGCGGGTGTTAGTGCTTGTACAAGACTGAGGGTGAGGGAAGAATAGATACCCCATGATTGCGGTTGTTCAGAAGACGCTGTCCGACACAATCAAATTAGCCTTTGTCCTCGATTGCAGTTGAATGAAGCCGCAACATTGCTCCCACTGCCCGCAGAGCCCCCCGCCTTGTATAGCCAGGTGTAGAAGGATAGATATCGAACGGCTCGCGTGCGACCATACACTTCGTCTGACGGCGGCGGACCAGTCGCGGGGCAGCTTCGAGTGTCGCAATGCTGAACGGCTCCGAGTATTCGAATAGAGCGTGTTCTGTAGAGCGTACCTGATGTCGGGTCTCCTGGTGCAATCTGTGTTGTCGTAGGGTTAGTTGGCGCTTGTCAGAAGACGAAGAGGAAATTCGCGAAACTCATTTTCGCAGCTGCGTTGGTGCCAAGGGACGCTAGCAGTAAGCGAGCAGGTGGTGGGCAGTCGCGCTCCGCCGCCCCCATCGATAAGTCGGACCATCACCAGCCCTTACCTTCTACTGCCAGCAACATCACAGATCCCGCGTCGATGAAAATCAAGAAAGATGCAGCTGCGGCACCGGAACCTCTATCTCTTGTCAACTGAGCGGCATCGCATCCTACGGTTGGTGGCATTGATTACAGCATCAGGATAGCAGCTTGAGATGCTCACTAGACTGCAACCCAATGACCTAGCTATCAGTCAGGAGTCACCAACTGGGCGGGCAGTACCTTCTTGATTATGAAGAGTTCTACAATCAACCGCTATGCCGAATTGCTGCTTTGCAACTTTCTACATCGATCTCTGAGTGTCGTAGCTGCTAGCCGCACGTGGCACGCTAAGGTTGTATCTTCCTCGATATTTACTGATGCTGCTGATCTCACCAATTCTTCTTGTTGTATACGGCAACGCGGCAACCGACCCGTCTCGAAGGAGCTGTTGTCGATGCTGTCATCTCCAGGTAGGTCAGATCAGCGGCCTCTGGTCCCCAAGGCCAATCATGAACACCCTTCATCGTCTTTGTTCCCGCTATACGAAATTTGAATTTGGCAAAAGAAACGTTAACGCCGGTGATCCAAACAACACCCCCCGATTCAACATACCAACATAACTCCTTATGCGAAAGCTCGGAGCGACATCGGGAGCGAGGCATACGCCGGCTACACGCATGAACCTTCCGCTATCATCCGTGAAAGCAGCCGCATGATCAAAACATCAAGTCTCCAAAGACCTTTCCGTGCCCAGATAGTATCAAGCCCAGAGCACACCGACAAATGCAGGTCCGCTGATTTGTGGGTTGCCACGAGGGACGTTTCTAGCGGGCGCCTGGAAACATACTCTACACATCTTTACCATGTGTGTCTGGTTTTGCATGGGAGGATTGCCGCCTGTATGGATCCGGGTGAATGTCGTTCACGCCACCCGTCCCGAGCGTTTCGCATGGTCTCTCCGCAAACCCAATGTTGTGTCGACAAGTCGTGTTTGCATTGGAAGTCCATTGACTGCATTTAAGTTTTGAAAAGGACTTTTAGTTCGTCGTCGAGAAAGCTTGCACAAAAAGCATTAAACTGTAGATCGTAGGTACGCACTAGTACCATGGAACATGACTAACCATGTATGCTTAGCTCCTGTCATGTCGAGATGATCATGAGATGCCGCACGCACCGAAGACAGCATACATCACTTACGGATTGGCGCCCTGGTCGGCCACATGGCGTTTCTTCATGATCCCTGCTTCTGGAATCCGTTCGACCTGGTTGTGGACATTTACCAAAACCTGCGCAATCGCGACTCGTTCGTTCATGGGGGAACGCTGTCAGCTTTGCAGCAGAGTCGAGTGTTGGACAAGGGTCAAGGTTCGCTAAGCTACCTAGAAGGAACCAGCCGCTGGCCAACGTCCAGCTGACGTATAATATCGCGTTCCCGCTCCGGGTAAAGCCATCTCCACACTCGGGCGTTTCCAATCGGCACAATAACGACCCCAGCTTCTATGAAAGTCTAATCAATAGCAATCTAAGTAGATGCTGTGTACCACTGTTCTAGTCTTTATCTCAGTCACCGGCCACTTCCTCGGTATATGTAGAACGCGGAGATTTACGATTCATCCTCTTTCTATGCTTGCTTAGATTCCGTATCAGGTATTGAGAAGGGCTGTCACCTGGATGAAATGTAAGGCTGCAGATTTCCTGCTTCTCGTGGTTACTATTCCCGCATTACGACCCGATGATATCCATCTCCAAGGACTGCCATGCGCATCACCTGCTCTGCTATCGATTTCCCATTGTACAATTTGTTGTGCCTTGGCGCTATTTGGATAGGTGTTACATCTGCACTACCATCAGCGGGTAGGCGCCGGACGTTGGTGGTCGTAAAAACAAAAACCTGTTGTGCTAATCTGAGAAAGAACTACCCGACCATGGATCGGCAGCGGCAGCGGGAAGCCTGAACTCAATAATATTGGAGCCAAGTGAGTTGCATTGATGAACACCAGTTTTCGATGACTGACGAAACGTGTGTTACCTCTTAGACTCTAACTCTGGTACATCAACAAATGCTGCGCCTCCGCCGGCTGTCCGATCACGCCCTCTTAACTTGATACCTTCGCGGCCTATTCAGTCTACCCTCAGCAGTCTGTCCTCCACATTAGGGCCCATAGCTCTGACGGTACCTTCACCCGTTATCGTCACAACAGCGCCTTTGCCATCCTCAGTCGTAGCACTCAACCCGCCATACGCATTGCTAACAGATGTGACAACCATATCAACCTCGTCTCAAGGAAATGCTACAGGGACGCTACCAATGATATCGACAGTTCAAGGCCTAAGACCAATCCCACCAGCCGTGACGGAGGTTGGAGACCCGAATGGCCATCATGAGATTCCTGAGCCCAACTTCAGTTCTACACGGCCATGCAGAGGATGTTCGCCAGTATATGAGATACCTGCAACAGGGTGGCTTGATACCCCGGTCGGAGAACAACATGGCTCTACTATCCAAGAAGCGCCTGCGCAAGCAACCACGGAAAGACCTCCGCAGGTAACGATATCGGCTGGTGCGTCCGACATTGTCGTCGATCAAGACCCAAGCGGTGGTGGTTTTGTAGTAGGGGGTTCTCTTACTCTGACGCCTGGCGACACCGTTACCATTGGAAACACACCTGTGGCGATCGAGACCTCAGATGGCAAGACCAAGATCGTCGTTGGTACTACCATCATCTCGTTGCTGCCTTTCCAGTCCGCAGCTACGGATGTGCCCGTCTCGCAACCACCGATACCACTTCCACCAATACTCACTATTGGTACCAAAACCATCGCACCAAATTCGCAGACACAGTACGTGATCGCAGGTCAAACCCTTCTTCCTGGAGGCGAACCACTTACGATATCTGGCACAACACTTGCCCTCGCATCTTCCGCAACAGCGCTCATCGTCAACGGAAGAACGACCAGTATCACCCCGATCTTTGGCAACGTATATACCACAGTTGCAGCTGCTTTAACTTACGGAAATCATATCTACACGCCAAATCGCGCTGGCTACATTGTGATGGGTCCTGGTACAACTCTTGTTCCAGGCGGCGCCCCCGTCACTGTAAACGGCACGACGCTGAGCCTAGATCATAGCGGAACTGCTGTAGTCGTACAAGGAGCTACGAGAACCCTTCAACCCATTACTACAATCGCCACATTGACGAGGGAGCCAGATCCGTTGGGGACAGGGTGCGGTGTAAGTGGAGGGAGCTATCACGGGCAGTCGAACGGCTATTTGTACCCCACAGGAGGCCCGGTTATCGCTGGTACGGTACGAGCCCATAGTACGATCGCAGGAAGCTGGCCGGCAGGCTTGCTGTTGCTGGTCTGGTGGGGTGTGGGGATTCTCACAACCCGACTATGAACAGGGTCGCGTATTCCTCCGCATTGAATTTATAGATGTTTGCGTAATAGACCTGTCTTTGCATTGGGTGGCGTCTGGTTTGCGAGTCTCTACTAAGAATACGAAAACTGCGCTGCATCGTTGGTCGGCCATTCGGTGACAAACGTAAGCTCGTATCATGCTGATGTTTGCGACAATTCCACGTTGATGTAGACGGCGCTGGGTCGCTGACGCTGCGTAATGCGCGTAGTATTGTAGCTGATGAACGCAGAGTCATCGTCTGTCGCACATCGCAAGACTCACGATCACGACAGTCAGATGACAGCTTGTGCCATCGAGAAGGATCTGTGAACACGATCGTGAGCTTGCAGAAAATCACTCACCTGCTGTCACATCATCACCCCCTATCCACACCGACCACATCGTCGTCACGCGGGCGCGCCCTCACCAAACATCAAATTTTCGTCGCCAAACCTCCAAAGGCATTCTTCTAACAGTTAACGGACATGTCGCACAAGGTAAAACAGCGACTTTACGTACAAACATCCACTCCCAGTGCAACAGCAGAGTCTAGCCCAAAAGCACAGAAGCAAACTTGGCATCCGACGGGCAACTGGGCGGCGGGAAAGGCCCTGCGTGGATCAGGTACACAGCGTGGTGCGACGAAGCGTGGCAGCCAATAACAGAGTTTTCCCCCGCCATGCCGTTAGCTGCTAGAAGACTGCCTTTGGAGGACACGAACCGAAAACTCGTCACCGCGCCTTTACACACACGATGCGCCCTGACGAAATTAGCCGCCGACGGGAAACGCTCCGGCGCGCCTTCGGAAAAGACGCACCATGGTAGGGCGTGGACACCTGGTGGTCATAATGATCGTGGCACGGACCCTCTCACGCCCTGTTAAGGTGTTCGATGACAGGAATTCTATGGGTTTGTCAGCCCTGTGGCCAATCAGAGCGGCGGACGCCACAGAATCTCACGATCGTTTCGTCGACATGTGCAGGGCGTGCGCAACGGTGTGGTCTGTTAAAATTTTGGCGAAGAGTTTTGAATGTAAGGTGTGACCGGTGATGCTTGGCAAGTGTCATAGAGAATATTCTGGGGGATAGGCTGGGGGAGTATAAAGGGGATGGTGGGTACGTGAGGATGAAGGACATTAGCACAGTAAAGCATACTACAAGCAAAGCAACTACTACTACCATTACTACCAATCTTCGATCGCATCTCAAGCATCAACATCACATCGATCAACACTCCAACACAAACAACCACCAAAATGCCCAACTTCCTCTCCTCCGTCGCGGCTCACGCAAAGGCCCACCACGAGAGCATCAACGCTGCCTGCAACGCCTACTACGGCGGCTCCGTATCCACCTACAACAGCCCCGCATCTTCCACACAAACCTCCCGCAACGCCTCCACCACCTCCAGCCAACAGCGCAACCCCACAAACGCCTCCAAGGCCTGGAAAGCCCTCAAGAAGCACCACCAAGAGATGAACTCTGCCTTTGCCGTCTACTACAGCCCCAACTTCTCTCCCTCCGCATCTCGCTCATCATCTACTGCGAGTAGCCCGAGGCAGAGCGGCGAGGCATCCAGGAAGAGCGTCGGTGCTGCGCCTGCTACTTTTGAGGAGAAGGAGGCTGCGCAAGAGGGACCCAGGAACTACCAGAAGGCCTGGAAGGGACTCAAGAACAAGATTGTTGAGCACCACAGGAGCGTCAGCAATGCTTACGAGCACACCTACGGTGCTCCCCACAACTAGGAAACGACTTTGCGAAGTTTTCTAGGGGAGAGAAGATCAGAGCATATTAATATTGGGAAATCGGTCAACAAAAGTGATTCTTGGGGGATATTAGGATGCGCAGATACCCCGGGAAAGGGCGAAACAAAAAGTGATTTTTGGGATGCGCATATACCACTGGGATTACGAGGCGTTTTATAGGACTTGAGTTGAGATTAGGGAGATACTGGGTAATGTGGAGGACAATAATACTATGATCATATCTGAACACTTCTGCTTTCTTCTGGCTGTGTTGCTTGTATCGTTTTGATCCTTCTGGCTGAGGCTTTGAGAAGATGCTAGGAGAAGACGGAACACTGATGACTTGATTGCCTCGGAGCCACTGTATTGGCCACGTCTTGTGAATACAATCAGCTCTTTGGTGATGTTTCATATTCAGCATGTGATAGAGCTGACTCCACATGATCACCCAAGTTATTCACTCACATGCAAAAGTCGACTCGAAGTTTTCCAAAACAACGCCTAGTATTAAGTACTAAAGATAAAGATAGATATCCACTCCATAGAGTAGCATAAGGAGTGACTTGAAAGTTAACCCGCCAGCCTCATTATCTCTTGAATCATCTCTTCAAGTTCTCCCGTCGATGAACAATGCGGCTCGTCGCGAATGTACAGCTATACTGGCTGCTTAGCAGGTAGCGCGGTATCCAGCGCCAACAGTATTGTCGCCAGGAGCCGCGTTCTTGCAAGCATTGTAAAAGGCATCGCCAGAGATAGGTCCGGATCCTGCAGCCTCAGTGCAAGCGTTGTTGTACATTTGAGCGCTGGAGAACTGCTTGCATACAGTCTCGGTGAGTGTTGCAGCGCGCGCGTTGTATTGCCAGCCGCCGTCGTTGACGCAGCAGTTGTGAGCCACGTGTCTGAGTCGTACGGTCAGCTTTAGAATTGCTGGAGGAGGCAGTTGGGCATTAAACTTACTTGCCAGCGGTGGATGGGATGAATCCAGCGGCAGTGGCGGCACCACCAGCGACGTCGCCGGCGTGGTCTTTGGCACCCTGCTTGGCCTTCGCACGGCCACGTCCTCCCTTGGGGGCAGCCTCGACGGCGACGCTATTCGATGGGTTAGCGAGGTAGGTGAGATAGTGTGAATGTTGCATACCTCATGGCGGCGAGGACCACGGCAATGGTAGAGAAGTTGAAGTGCATTTTGAAGATGGTTGGGATGATCGAGAGATCTGAAGGAATGTGGGTTTGGTAAAGAGAGTGTGGTAATGAGTGACTGAAGCTGATTGCTGTGATGAGTTGAAAAGAAGTGAACCGTGAGGTGTTATATACACATTCCATCAGCGTAGCCACCTCGATCGAGGGAAAGCTGACGAGCGTAGAGGACCGATTCTGAAGCACCGCGGTGCGTGGCCATTTCCGGAGCATCGCCTTCAACTTCCACGATCGTGCTCCTACCCTGGATGTACGAGAGAGTTGACACCGCTCTTACAAGCAGTGCGGAGAGACCAACTGGAATTTCGCCGTGGTGTCTTACGATCGCCACCACGAGTGTATCTTGAGTTGAGTGAGTCCTAATTGCGTAGCCTTACCTCGCTACTCAGTCTGGTTTGAATCGGTTGACTATTCGACCAGAGATGAAGTGTTGTCTGCCCAGCCCAAAGCCGTACTAGTAACTAGTAAATTGCTCAAACTGATCGATGCGTACTGCTTGAGACGAGCCAGGACTACAACTACGTGACACTTGACGGCCGCATCTCGTATTGTGGTGTGGAAGATGAACGTTTCGATTTCTCAAATGAGTTAACTATGAGTACCAGTGTTGCGTTGCTAGGCTTGTTCACCTCGCTTACCACCATAAGCACTAGGCGGCCTTACTGGAAAGTCGAGCACCAGAACCCACTTGGCGCGTGACAGTCAGCCTCCTGCACTTCTAGAGCAGGAAAGATAGGAGAGATGAGTAATCTAGAAAGAATTTCTAGTTGGAGAAGCAGATAAAGTAGGCAGTCATGTCGTGAAGACATTTGGTACTCCTTTGAACATATGCGAGCATACTGCCACTATACTGTAGATCAAATTCTGGGCATGGAGGCTTGGATCATTGGGCTGGACATTGGCGTTAATCACTTTCCTGGACCTCAAATCCGTGGTGAAGTTCTTCTGCATATTATCTGATCGTGTGATTCTCGGGATAATATTTTGATGGGCCACATGTACCAGAGGACGAATTCCAGGCTACGGGTGCGGATGAGTCGAGATTTCTCCAGTTTTCTGCAACAACAATAGAGATGATCGACACCCCTCGAACGAAGAGGACAACTCCTTTATGTCAGCGAGCGGAGCTGGACTCACGATGCTGTACGAGTCCTTTGAACTATCAGTTCAAAATCGAACGATCGTGTAGTGGCAAAGCTCTTCTGCTTTGCCAGTCTCCATGGTGTCGACATGTCGAACCCATTCCGGTACGAGCACAAATGAAATAAGAGATAATACGCAATAACTGAGGCTCTTCGTGGCGCTGCGGGTCGGGAGCACGGTACCCGCGTCGCGCTACAGATGCTTGTCATAAATTAGGTTTGCTCGGCAAGGCGTATTACATAGGAGGTCGGTCCGAAGAACTAATCCCTAGGTCTTTTTGGCACTAGCTTTTGCTTCCACGTACTATTTGCATCGTGACCGTAAATACTTTGAACCAGTGGGCGATACCTCGGGATATACGTGCCCCAGGCCTCGCACGCACGTACAGGATAAGACCACGGATCTGGAAAGAGAAGGTTCCTAGCAAGGCAGTGCCTTCCGGACAGTCAGCAAACGTCACCTAAGTCGACACGAGTTTCCCGATGGCGACTCGGAAGAGTTGCGCAACAAAGATGAGATCGCGTTTCCTGCAAAAAACATGGTCTTCCTATTCGATCTGCACAGTGTGTTGAACTTTGTTCTGTCTGACCCTGCATCCAACAGTCAGTATGGATTGATTCGGTGTCCCCACCAAGAAGCACCTGTAGGGTAGCGTGATGGCCGCCGGCGTGCGGTTACCGCGTAAATCGCCTTGAGGGGACTCCCTCGATCGCAGCTACCATAATCTAGCTGACGGCCGTTGTACTACACCGCCGGTGACTTGACCTCCCAATCTTCGGCGACCGTCGTACCACATGTGGGGACGACAAGCAGTTCATCACTACCGCACAAGGCTAGTTTGCCGTTCACAACAGGAGCAGCAGATGCTCCCGGAGATTACCCGTTCCCCAGATGTACCAGAGTCGAACGACCTGACCTAAGCAGAATTCTTGGGTGTGACGACTGCCAGTATCTCAAATGCGGTACTTCCGGAAGCCGCGGACGCCACGAAGATGGCGCTTACACGCACGGTGTTTGCTCAAGGATCCCTCAATCACAGAAAGGCGCAAACCGGTGTAGGGCGTGAAGATCTCTGATTATGGCCGAATGTAGAGTACTACCTAACGTGGGTGTAGTGCCCGATGTGGAGGTGACGCTTATTGTGGGAGTACCTAGGTAGGCTAGTCAGGTTTTACAACCTTTTATGTCGCCGAAGCCACCGAGCTTACATACATAGGGCTGCATTTACTCTATAGGAGTATAGGCATCATAATCCGTCGCCGCGTGCCGTGCTGTCAAAAGATTCGACTTTGGGAGAGTCGTCACGTCATCCCCACGTGATTGCGCTAGCCTCCTTTCAGCCTGACATGATGGGGGACAAGCAGCTCAATGGTCTCATCAACTTTTTCACTTGCATTTTATCTATTTTCACTCTGACAGCGTTTTCTTCGAAAGCAAAACGCTCGTGGGATGGTCAACAGTGACCTATATCGTCAACAACGCGAATGCGAGAAAAAAGCGGGGTTGTGGCTAAGATGCGCAGCCACGTTCAGCCTTGTGCGCAGCACCTGCGCTGTTGTTCAGCCTGGTCATTGATATCACAGCCTGCTTCCATCTCTGCACTTTCTGCTTCTTCTTTCATGTCGGACTTCGCAGAAATTCTTGTATCAGACTGCGCTACAGCTTCGTATCCAGAATATTACCGCCGTCATATGGATCCAATCCAGGCCCTACTGGAACCTTCAATGGTACCTCCGACTGTTCTTCTGTTTCTGCTCTGATATCCTGCTGCTTTGGCAACACACAGTCGTTGTATGGTCATCTCGCTCTTACTCGAGCGCGATGGTCGTGTCTAAAGCTCTGGCCAAGGCTTCGGCCAAGGCTTCGTCGCTCAAGCCTGAGATCCGCCTCGCTCAGGCACTCTCCGAGTTCGAAGCCAGTCTGACCCAGGAGCAAAAAACTACGTTTCGCACGCTGAAATCGCAGTCGGTTTCGACGGCACCTACTCCGAGCGATGTGATGCGGCTGACGGCCGAAGTTGATCGTCGCATGTCCAAAAAGTTCAGTGGTCAATGTTTCGGTCCACGATTCACAAACTTCCTGCAAGGAGTCCAGCAGTTTGCTGCTCTTGGCGATGTTGTAGTTGGAGGTTCGCAGAACCTGATAGCATGTGGTGTATGGTCGTTGGTGCGAATGTCCTTGTTGGTCGGTATTTATTACATCACAGTTGCAATCAACTGCTAACTGAGTGCAGTCGATTGTGAGCATGTCCAACTACGTAGACAGCTTATCGTCGATATTCATGGATATCGGACGATCCACTCCACGCCACCAAGCGATAAGCGTGTTGTATCCTCAATCAACGAAATTACAATCGTACCTTTCCGAATACTTCATTGTAGTCGTCGCACTTTGCCGTTATCTGTTCAATTTCGGGCAGAAATCGATTCTTCAACAGTTCACATCATCTTTGAATGACGGAGACTTGAGAGCATTTCGGACAGATCTCGACAAATGGGCATTGTCGATCACAAACGAGATGCAATTTAACGAAGCCCAAGAGAGTTCTGGTTTTAGAGCTCTATCTCGGTCAATGTTCAAATCTGCGTCGCATCAGCAGAAGTTTGCTACGAAGAACCGAGTGCTTGACTTCTGCTCTACGTACGACCACGAAATTGTGTGGAAGCAGACAAGAAAGGCCGGAAATACATCGCTTTATACACATTTTGTGGAATACGAAAAGTGGAGAGATTCTTCGCATTCTTGCACATTAATTTGTACAGGCAAGCTGGGATCTGGTAAATCCGTACTTCTGGCGAACATTGTAGACGACCTCAACCTCTCTACTGAGAAAGAGCGACCCCTGGTAACGTACTTTTTCTGCAGACACGATATCCCAGAAAGTCTGCAAGCACGCGTTATCCTTGGTTCGCTAGCGCGGCAATTGCTACGGACTGTCGATGATCATGAGATACTCTTGGATACCTGCGAAGATACTCACACATCCGGTGACACCGACAAGATACTAGAACTCATCCTCCAAGGCTACCCTCCTGATCATAAAGCGTACTTTGTCATAGATGGACTAGATGAATGCGACGACGAAGAGAGAAGGGTGCTAGTGCAAGCAATTGGGGAGATCCAAGGGAAACTTAACGTCCTGGTCTGTGCTTCGTTTCGCGTGGAGCCGAACAACGGTCTGCAGTCGATTACACATCATCTCTTGTCCACTCGCATCGTTCCGTTGCCAGAGAAGAACCCAGATATTGACGCCTTCATTGAAGCCGACCTGCGTCGTTGCTTGGACCAAGAGCTGCTAACAATCGGAGATGCTACCTTGATCATCGACATACAGGATGCGCTTGTAGCTGGTTCACAGGGAATGTTTCTTTGGGCAGCTCTTCAGATCCGGTCGTTGTGTGGTATGAAGACCGATCACGATATCCGTGAAGCACTGACGGACCTACCTCAGAATCTCTCAGAGACGTTTACACGGATCTTGTACAAGTCGGGGAGTCCTGACCGACCCCTTCAAGCAAAGACGCTACAGCTGGTGTTGACAGCGTGTCGGCCCTTGACGACTGGCGAGTTGAGAGAAGCCCTGAGTGTTACTCCTAGCGACACGACCTGGGATCCGTCTAGACTATTGAACAATGTTCATTCAGCCCTAGCTTACTGTGGATGTCTTCTAACAGTCGATGAGGAAGAATCCACTGTTCGAGTTGTACACCACAGCGTCAAGCAATACTTCCTGCACGGCCTTGACGATGCGAGACATATTGGGTTCACTATCGAAGACGCACAGGTAACTATGGCGGATATTGTCATCACTTATCTTGCATACGGTGTCTTCGAAACTCAGATGACCAAGACCGCAATTCGTCCTATCATGGCACGATCAGCACCTTCAAGGATCCTGCAAAGCACCATGGGGTCTTCGAGTACTCGTCAACTCGCGATGAGGCTTCTTGGATCTAGAAAGCAACCTACATTCGATTTGAGCAAAACTCTCGCAGAAGCGCGTGGCTCTTCAAACGCTAAGCCAGAACACGTATTTACGTTCTATGCTTATGCGAAGACATACTGGCAAGATCATATCTGGTATGTCTCGGGCAAAGACCATCGCATTCACAAGCTCTCTGTCAACCTCATCGAAACCCGACGCTCGGAATTGAGAGCTCTGGATACATTCTCTGGCATGAAATGCCGCAGGGCTGCTAAGCACAATATGAGACTTCTCAATCTGCTGTATCAAGAACACAGGACACCTCATGGTCAGATCGAAGAAATGCAATACACCCTACATACGCCACTGATGTGGGCAATACATCATGGAGACAGAGATGCTGTTGAAACACTGCTTAAAGCTGGCATTGACGTCAACGATGGAGGCGGTTTTTCAAGAGTAGATTGGGATTTCTCGGAAGAGTCAATAATTCAACCAACACTGACACCACTAATCCAAGCGGTAAGGAGAAAAGACAAAGACATTGTGGAGCTACTCCTCGAGAACGACAAACTTGACCTTAATGCGAGAGACAGTGAGCGCCGTACAGCGCTCGAATGGGCCCTGAAGAGAAGAGATGATGATATCATCAAACTACTGCTCAACGATGATAGGACTGGATTTGATGGAACGCTCATGGGAGGGATGACGCCACTGACGGCAGCGGCATCTCAAGGAGACAAAGATATTATTCAGCTATTCCTTGGCAATAGTAAGGTTTATATTGGTCAGGCGGATACTGAGAACCGGACGGCGTTGATGATGGCAGCGTTGAATGGGCACAAAGATGTAGTTAAGCTCTTGCTTGCTACTTACGATGCAAGCGTCAGCAGCTGGTTCAAGGAGTCTACGAAGGGGATTCCTAGTCATAGACACATTGAACCAGCCACTAGGTCTTCATACATCAACGCGGCTGATGACGAAGGAAAGACGGCGTTGATGATGGCAGCATCAAATGGACATGAAGACGTAGTCGAGCTACTGCTTGCTACCAACGATGTTAACATCAACCATGTTGACATGGAAAGAGAGACAGCGTGGGATCTTGCAAGAGAACACAAGAACATAGTTGAGATGCTGCAGTCATACTCACTTCGTGTTGCTATGGATCGTCTAGGAAAGATGATAGAGAAGATTAATTGATAGAGAAAGACGACCCGATTGGAGTTCTAGAACATGGATTCCAAAAGAAGGTACATCGTTTACTACATGCTACCTCTCTTGTTTGACCTAGGCTTTGTCTTACTGTATCGTGGCTCACCATTGACGTAAATGGTGACGATGTTTTACTATGTCGCATTAGTCTATCTGAGAGCCCTCAGAGTGTATGTGCACGTACTTGACGCTTGTGGTAGATCGATACTACCGGGAATGCTACCGGAACAGATCCTCCAGCCGCCTGAAGCCCTTGACATATGTGTTGGTGGCTACCACGATCAGGGCGACCTTGAGCACGCGCACTAGCTAGATCCGCCGTGACGTCTGTAAATGACTAAGTGTTAGCATATTATTGACTGATAGTATGATGTGTCTGGTACCTCGAGGGAATCTGCCTCCGTCATGTGCCTTATCTTCGAAAGCTATAGAGCTCAGGTCATGCATCCTGATGATGGTGACAACACCGATAATGAGTAATGCCGCGATAGCGGCAAGTACTACGGTATTGTTTGAAAGCATGCTGACGATATAGATAGCTCGTGAAGTGGTATGATGACTGAATGTAGTATACTGTAGAAGTGAGGCAGGGGAGAGCGCAAGAGTTGGAGGCTGCAACATTCGATGTACACCGAGTTAAGCAAACGTACGGTGAGCAAACACTGGCACTCCACATCTCTCTATCTGAGGTTCATAACACGCTAGAGATCAGCAGCACTATGTACACGCGGAACAGATCATTTCGGATACTTAGGTATGCTTAGTGGTCGGATTACTTTTTGTATCGGCTGGATGTGCAAATGTATCCAGACTATGCCACACAACCATGACTCTCTCGCCATGACGGCCCAGGTTCCTTTGTCGTACTATACATACACATGGGTATTCGAGCTCTTTCGCAGTGTTCGTGAGGACATGGTATTGCATTTGCCCTATGGCGCCAGACGCTAACATGGACAGAGCCCGGCACACCGAAGCCAAAGAGTCAGTGAAGAAGCCATGATGCCATTCCATTCATTCCATTTTCCGTAGGTATGTTTATCGGAAGAGAGTAAAAGAACACCGAGTCATCCCGAAAAACCAGCCATAACCCAGACTATGCACGCCATATCGAACCCAGCTTAACGAGTCCTTGCCTGCACCTTTGGTGCGGCACCCTTGGCACCCTGCTTGCTGACCTTGGCGGCGTTGCCTCGTGCGGATGCGGCGGCGTTCTTGGCCTTCTCAGCCTTCTTTGCTGACTCGGCGGCGGCCTTCTTCTCCTTGCCCTCCTTGACGGCGGCGGCGCGGGCAGCGGAACGAGCCTCGGGACGTTGGCTGCGGCGCTCCTTGATCACGTCGAGCGAAGCACCGACGATGGCACGCTGGTGCTTGACTGTGCGGCGGGTGCGCTTCTTGGCGACTTCCTGTTGGGCGAAGGTGGTTAGCGAGTGCGCCTCGAGATGGAATTGAGAGGAGATGGCCGCTGAGAATGCGTGTTTGTCAAGCCTGTCCGCAGTGTAGACTGATGTCATAGTCTGCTGCCTCTCCAAACATTCCCAGCGGCGCATATCGTGTACATGAACTGCAGCGACTAACCTCAGAGATACCCTTCTTGTGCGCCCTTCGGTAGAGAGTGGTCCAGTGAATCTTGCGAGGGTTCTTGCGCTGGAGGAACAGGGACTCGGACTTTCCGTTCTGGAAACGGAAGATCTTGCTGTCACCACGGATGTAGAGCTTGCCCTGTTGATGCCATCAGCAAATGTCCGACCGATTGTCATGTTCCATCATCCTCCGCCTTGTTGCCGTCGCGATGGCGGGATTTCGACATCTGGGGGGCGGGCGCCGTGACGTGGAGGGGCAATGTAACGCACCTTGCCCGGGTAGATCTTTTGACCGCTGAAGGAATCGTCGTAGGTACGCATGTTGGCGGTGTTGGCGTGATACCTGTGTGTTAGTCGTGGGGTTGTCGTCGGTCGCGAATTCAATATTGCAACTCCGTGTTGAGACCTGTGGGCGGGCTAAGCCCGAGCAAGCTAGCCTCTTGGCGTTTGGCGCGGTGACTGGTGGCTGGTGCGCGCAGCGACATCGAGATGACCTGCACCCACGCGAACACCACAAGTACTTTCATTAGTTTCTCCCCTTCTATCATCGTATCGAGGAAGCCTGCAGTATCTGGACAAGCTCAGTCGCTGTGCTAGCTCGTCGCTTCCACGTCATGTCAGGACCTCAGTGTTCCAGACGATATTCATGCATTTCTATACCAACGTTGTTTGGTCAACACAATCAACGTACGCGTCCTGTTGATACCCTAAGAACGATCCAAACGATGACATCGCCCCCTTACACGTGAGTATGGTGTTGAATGGCAAGGAGCCAAACGTGGCTGGCGCAAGGCAGCAGCAACCCCGCTACGACACCGCTGATACAAAAGGCACAAGTGAATCACCTTGCCAAGAACCTGTGGCACTAGCTGACCGACAACTACCTTCACTTGTCATGTGAGGCCCGAAGCAATCATGTTTTAGAGCTCAGTCTTATACCAGTCAACACTCCAAGAGAGATATCCCTCCATCGTGATCACCGGTATCATCTTGCGAGACTCAACTTGTTATGGATTTCTCTGCGCGTAGAGTAGCTGTCACGGCTGCCACTAATCATCTGCAGTTGCGAGAAGACAACAATTTGAACTTCAATTCTGGCAGCCTTCAAGTCATGACAACGTCCACACCCCAGCGCGTATCCGAAGATACAGCCACGACTAGCTCTGACCTACACAACCAAGACCTGATTGACGTCATGGCCGAGCTTGAACGCTATCAAGTCGACCATCGAGCAGCTTTCGCCTTTGAGATGGCCCAACGCGGACTTGTTCATCCCTTCAACGAGGACGAACTAAAGCACTTTCGCAAAGAAAAAGACGGTGTATTCGGCCCATCCCCATGGGATACACCAAATCTGTCTATAGAGTTACCATTCACCTTTAGCTCTCTTCCTAGCCCTGCGTCAATAGAGAATGCGATCAAGAACGATATTGGAGGCGAAAACCACTTTCGTTTTGCACCATCACGCGGCTCACCAGACGACGACGCAACTGCCATCATGCACTTGCTTGACAATATTCAAATGCCGACATACTCTAATCCTGGTGCTGTCGTACACATGCAGTCACCTACCTTCAACCGGGTATGGCGCTGGATGCCGGGATGGGAAAGTGAAGGTATGTTAGGTCAATCAGACTTCCTCTTGACGGTCGCTCCTGCAGGTGAGGTTTTCGAGCTGGAATATCATGACCATCATTTCTCCACAACGCTCTTGACCGGTTCGAAGGTATGGCTTACGTATCCTCCGTTGCAGACAAACCTAGACGTCCTCCGCAAAGCATATGGGGAGATGCATGCTGCTAACACCTCGCGTGTTGCTCTGGACATCCTCGCAGAACTGCAACATGGTATTTTCATCATCCAGAAGCCAGGTCAAACTCTTCTTTTTCCACCATTCTGGTCTCACATGATATTCAATACGTCAACCTCAGTATCATGCGGCTTCTTCATAGCTACAGCCGCGCAATACGTGTACCGTATAAGGAACATGGACCTTTGGCTGTCTCTCAATCTCTTCTGGGATTCAGCGGAAGAGCAACAGAATCATCTCGAGAACTATGCTGCAGAACTTGCAACCCACTTCTCGACCATCATGACGGGCAACTTCAAGCGCTTCAAAGTTGCTAATGTACAGAATGCCATCTGCAGAGAATGGGTCAAGACTGCACAAAAGAAAGAAACAGACATTGAGAATATGCAAGAAAAGATTGGTGGGCTGCTGGGGTTGATTGACGATGAAGAGGAAAGAGAGAAGATTGACGAAATGTTTCGAGTTGTGTGGATTGAGTTTGTGCAGCTAAAGCGTAAGAAGAAACCTGAATGCCGACTCTGTCATGTGCGCATCGAGCATATGCCTGCAGGAGAAACGCCAGATGACCGGCTGGCCCGGCACGTCACCGACGTGCATTGCAATTTCTGAGCTTTGATTTGAGATACCCGTACCACTTGTAGCTCACAATGCACTACTTTCGCGCGTCCCGATTTCGACACCCCGTTCCCGCCGATAGTCCCAAGCAGACACCAGAGAACACAAATACCAGCAGCCCGTCCCACCTCACGCCACCACCGTTCACTATCACTATGCTGTAGAGCCCCACGTCGCACAGTGCGAGTCAAGTTATCGCAGCCCGCACAACCACGGCGAAGGGACAGGAGTATCGGATCGGTCCCTAGCATCCGACGCTAAAACGTCCGGCCCGGTCGCCATGCTCGATCACCATGCCCAAACAAGCCTAACGAGCGGAAACGACCCACCACTTGAGAGCATGTCCCCGCACACTACACCCTGAAATCTTTTGTCTCCGGTGAACTAGACCGCCGCGACCACGCAACACTGGGATGCACCATTGTTAGCAATCAATCCAAGCAAGCGGAAGAGAGATTTTTTTCATAAAATCTGGAAGCCAGCATGGGAGGCCTGATCCGAGACCGAGGTCCGGGGCGTACCTGCAGATGAAAGACGGCAGGAGTGGAGTAGAGAGGTTTCTGGTCGGAGAAGACGACCAAATCGGAAAGAGTACGTATACGTACCTAGTATAAGTAGTGAAGGACACGACGGGACGGCAGAGCAAGTTCGAGAGAAAGAAAAGAACGGGAATTTCAAATCTCCAACCATTGTCCACGTCTCCCTTACCCACACCTTAGCAGAAGAATAAACTGCAAGTTGCCGACTATAGACAAAGCCCTGTCCTTAACAACCCTCCCACTCTTCCATTCAAAAATGCGTTTCCTCACCACCATCCTGAGTACTACCCTAAGTCTCCTCACACTCAGCTCCGCCGCCGCCACCATGAACACGACAAACGGACTCGGCACGACGCCCGCCCAGCGCCACATCATCTCCGCCGCCCAAGCCCAAACCATCATCACAGGCGCCACCGCCAACGCAACGGCGCTCCAGATACCCGAAAACATCGCCATAGTCGACCCTTCGGGCCTGCTCGTCGCCTTCCACCGCATGGACAACGCGTTCCTGGGCTCCATTGACATTAGCCAGAAGAAGGCAAGGACGGCTGTCTTGTTCAACGGCGTGTATGCGAGTGCGGACTTGTATGCGGCGGTGCAGCCTGGTGCGCCGCTGTATGATGTGCAGAATACGAATGGCGGGTTGATTGCCTTTGGGGGTGGTCTGCCCATTTACGTTGATGGTATCTTGATTGGGGGCGTGGGTGTTAGTGGAGGTAGTGTGGAGCAGGATTTGAGTGTTGCGAATGCTGGTGTGGAGGCGCTAGGTGCGACCACGAAGGCGTAGGTTTTGAAGACGATATATACATCGGAAATCAATTTGGACTGTTAAAAAGACTATCGTTCTATATCTAGTATCTGGAGTTATGTTGATGATGTGACGACAATCTCATCGTGTTTAGCTTTCAAGTCCGCTATCCTTTCCCCCTTCTGCCGTTTAGCTCCTCGTCCCAACGGACGAAATCCTCCTCCAAGCCGCTCGATATCTTCTTCCTTTCGTACCTGCTCTGCAAACATAAATCTAATAGCTACGCATCAGCACTGCCAGGTTCTACAGATAGTTACCTTATGTGCTCATACGTCTGGCTCCTCTCCATGCCCTCTATCGCATCTCTAGCATCGATCTTGGTCTGTTCACTGACGCCCTCCATGTCTGCAATCGCTGCAAAACGTTCTTTCCAGAATGCCCATCTCTCCTTGCTGAACTCGGCTTTTCCTTTCCAGAGTTCGCCGCCACGGCCTGGGTTGCCTTGCTTGCGATCCGAGGGCGTGAGGTCTTTCTCCATGCGAAAGAGGTCGTGGCCGTAGCCTAGTATCCAGGCTGCAGCCGCAGGAACGTTGGCATCGTACTTTTGGTTGGCGGTCGACATTGGATCGTCGATAGCAGGCGTCTCGAGTGCTTCTCGTAATGCGAAGAGAGCGTACATGGAGAGGTCGTGGATGTGTTTGCCTGCCACTAGGGCGAAGAAAAAGTTCATATTCGCCCAGGCTTCGATTTCTCGGTCGATGTAGCCGTCATGGGCTACTGGAGAGTCGTTGAGAGCCTCGCGGCAGGCCATGCCGAAGTCGGTCATCTCCTGGTAGAGGTAGTTGTATTGCTCATTGCCCGGTATGGAATGCTCCTTGAAAGCGCTGACCAGGTCGACCAGCATGTTGTGGTTTACCTGTGCGCCATTGCGGAAAGTCAATCGCTTTGCCGAGTGAATGATGCTTTTCCAAAGGTCCATGAAGTCTACATCGTCGAGTTTGGCGTCTTTGATCTTCTCATCGATTGGCACAAGAATGCGCGACGTCGCTTCCTTTGCGTCGATCTGCTCGTTGAGGAATTCTTGGATCAACGGGTAGTAAGCGCTGTCCTCCTTTGGGCGGAACCATCCTCTTATCTTCGCAATCTGGTCGATCTGTTCCGCCTCGGTTTTGACCGTAGGAAGGACTTCTTTGATCTTCTGGTTTTGTTCCTAGAAAAGAGTATTAGACACAAGCATATGAAGTCATGGTGAGCAAATACCGCTATGCGAGCCATGGTCTTGATCGGTGGATCGGAATGTGTTGATCTTGGGCGGGAGGAATGCACAAAAGGTACACGGTGTTTACTTCTGGTGATGTCATACGCGGCGGGACTGCGGTTCACCCTACTGATACCACGTGTATGCCTTGTTAAGGTAATTGGTAAGTTGTGCCGGGCCAGTCGAGATACGCTATGAGACATCTCTTTCCTGAAATGGCGAAGCGTGGTCACTCTACGCTGGTAGGCTCGGAGATCCTCCGCGTAACAGGAAGGCGTCAGAAGTGCGTTGCATGTTGCCAGGGCGAGCTTAGCAACCACCACGTCTTTTGTACTCGGAAAGCGACTTGAAGCCTGAAAACGATCGCTGAAATTGTGTTGAGCAGCACTGGTAGAGAAGCTGATCGTCGGACCGCGTGTGTGATCAGCCCGAAGCTGTCGGCAGACAAGGACCGCCAGAACACGATCCTGAAATTAGCCCTCAGTGCCTTCTACAGCCTCACAACGTGTTCCTGGTTGCGGGCTACGTTACACACAACATTGACAATACAGACACCACAGTACACAGCGATATTACGATTACATGGCAAGCTCGGATGCATATCTGTGTTTATTGAGATGCGGATCGGTTTTGTGTGTCGCAATCTTGTAACGCTGCGCATGTCGGAAAGATCACCAGAAAACGGACTTCGCCTAATTGCACACTGGCACCTTGACAAGTCCCGAATACATGTCTCTTACATGTAGAACCTGGACAACAACCCTATATTGTAGCCTGAATGTCCTTGCAGTATCACTTGTTCACAACACATGAACGAGTCAATATCACTACTCTGTCTTGGTATAGGCACTACCGATAACAGCCAAGCCTCTTCTTGATATAACGACCCCTATCCCAACTTCTTTCATCGTGAAAAACCCCCGATCTCTATAACTTCGCGCCCCTCTCCCTCTCGGCGCGAGCCCTCAAGTCTTTTCTCAGGATTTTTCCTGCCGGACTTTTTGGAATCTCATCTAGAAAAATGACACCCCCTCTTAACTGCTTATACCCCGCCACATTCTCCTTGACGAATTGTACAATCTCGTCTGCCCCAGTCTTCCCTCTATCCCCAACGACAACGTAAGCCCTGGGTACCTCGTTGGTGCCGTCATCCGTCGGCACCCCAATGACCGCCGCATCCAATATGTCAGGATGACCAAGTAACAAAGCCTCCAACTCCGCAGGCGCGACCTAACAACATTAGTATACAAAGTCAGCTTTTTAGTCTGTTCAATAGTAGCAGCAGTGCAGTTTTGCACGGTCCGAACTTCCCAACTTACCTGCAATCCCTTATACTTGATGAGTTCCTTTTTCCGGTCCACGACGTAAAACAGGCCATTCCTAAACACGGCAATGTCGCCGGTGCAGAACCAGCCATCAGATGTAAAAGCGTCTTTATCCGCGTCGGCGTTTTGGTAGTAGCCTTTACATACCACAGGGCCTTTGACGAGCACCTCTCCGGGTGTTCCGGGTTCAACGTCGTCACCACTATCGTCGACAAGTCTCGCGCGCATATTGGGTATCAAAGGCGCCACAGAACCCGTATCGTCGTGCGTGCCCGGGGGCATAATCGTCGTGGAACCCGTCGTCTCGGACAGGCCCCACGTTTGGTCGATGAAGCAGTCGGGCCCGCCGAGTTTCTGGCTCGCGGTGTACTGGAGGTCTTTTCCTAGTGGGGCGGCGCCGCTGATGGCTAGCTCGAGCGTCGCAAATTGTGTTGTTGCGAGGGGGCTCTTGGCGATGAGTAGGTAGATGGGCGGCACGGTGAAGAAGAAGGTTATGCGGTACCGTGCGTTGTAGGCGAGGAATTGGGAAAAGTCAAATTTGGGCATCCAGTAGACGGTTCCGCCAATGTAGAAGGGGTTGATTAGGTAGCCTTGGACACCTGCAATGTGGGCGGTTGGCAAGTCTAATCAGGAATTCCGAAAAGTCAGTAAAAATGTTTTTGCACGGTCATCTTCTTCTTCTCCGCCTTGTTTCGTTCAAACATGGGCCATGACTTACGAGCAATGGTCCTATACTCGAAATCCAGTCTCTTCTCCTTTATCCAGCTCTTCATCATATCCCCCGTAGTAACAGCTTGGCTTACCAAATTCCTATGACTCAACTTGACACCCTTTGGCAACCCCGTCGTCCCCGAACTATAAATCAGCACCACCAGACTCTCTTCCAACTCCTTCCTGTCCACGATCCTCATCCACGGCAACTTGTCTTCCCGGTCGATCAGATTCGCACTCTCTTGTGCCTTTCCATCATCATCACCAGTCCCTATGATTCTCAAGCCCCACTCTCCCTCCTCACTCATAAGCAGTACCCTTCCCCCACCGCATTTCCCCCATCCAGCCTCCTCGGCAGCTCTAATGGACGTTTCCAGTGTAGCTTGGCATGTGACTAGTATCTTGCTTCCGGCACCTTGTATCTGTCTGGCCAGCTCAACCACGGTGCTACCAGCCGATGCGACAGAGAAGATGCCCCCAGCACCAATGACGCCGTACGCCAGCACAGGCAACAAGTAATGTCCCGTGGAAATCACAGAGACTACATCTTTGCCCGTGCCGTGGGCGCCGATGCCAAAGTGTTTGCGCAGCGCAGCTGAAGTCGCTTGTGTGAGGGTGCGGGCGCGTGACTTGTCTAGCACATCCTGGTCTGGATTGGCGGCCGAGACGTGCAGGAGTGTGTTGTTTGCTTTGGCATAGCTGTGTTCCGAGTCTGATTTTTTTTCGAGTATCGTTAGTTTTCTAGGAGGGTGGTTCGGAGTTTTATGATATAAAGGTAGTTGTTTTCTCACCGAAAAGAAGTGTCAAGACGTCGAGGTCGGGTATTGGGTAGTCTTTTGCAGCGCGGTATATGGTGCCAGTGGGTGTTTTTTCCACAACGGTCGTCATGGCACTTTTAAAGCTCTTTATTAAATGAACAAGATTGGCACAAGTACACTAGACAAGGTCCGACAGACAAAGACAGAGGTGCTTGGGATAGTCGATGATATCACGAGCAGCCATTGTCGTCAACTGGTATATTTGGATAGATATACCATCTACTAAAGTAGCCGCAAAATGGCCCTCACATAGCTCAGCGCCTTCCTCGGTCCACGGACTCCCCATATCTAGAGTGGTCGACGATGCATGCGGTGGCTTCGGCAACTTGAGATGTCAGTACTAGCGAGTAAGCGGGGTAAGTTGGGGTAGATCAACAATCATGGTGCTGCTCCCAATCGGGACCCGTTATTTTGAAGCTATTCAGCTGGGACACGTCCAGCTCCAGCTCGTGTCGCCGCTCGCGTTATGTACCGTTTGTTTCGCTCGCCTTCTGCGAGGACTTGCGCTGTGTGCATATAAAGTGTACGATCTGAACGGCGCTGTTCATCCTCTGCGTTTAGCACTTGGCTCGTCGCGTGCATCTTCAGCATCGTCTGCGTCGACATCATCTTCCCCGGTAGGCTTGCCAGACCTTTTTGGTTTTCGTCTCTTACGCTTGCTCTTGGCCGGCCGCTGTTCCGCAACAGGAGCGATCTCCACCGCCATAGGAAGCACAGCTGGTCGCGCAATTGCAGGCAGCTCGCTCTCACTAATCTTGTTCTTGCGCATGCCTCTCGGATTCTGTGTCTCGAGCAATGCAACGTATTCGGCAGTACGTTTGGTATGCTCGACCTTGGTCATGATCTTCCAGTTCTCAGGCTTGTCTGCCTCTCTCCACTTTTGCCAGACGTCGTCGTGCATTACACTTCCGCTGAAGACGACGAAAGCGCAGCTGTTCCAGAGCGTGTGGACTGCTTGGATGGGCAGCCACTTGGACCGTAGCGCTCCATGCTGTGTCAGCCAGTATGCGACCTTTGCCGGTGTAGGGCACATGTTGCGGAGATGCGGCTCGACATATATTGTCCGCTGATCCCAGAACGACAGGCCATTGTCATCGGTGACGTGGAATGAGTTGTGGGGTAGGTATTTTGGCGGGTATGAGGAGGGCTTGCGGCGGACGTAGTAGCTGTTGCTCGAGGTCTCTAGAATCTTTGAAGGATAGTCGTGGAGAGCCTGTTGGAGGAGGACTTGGGAGGCTTCGGGCTTGAGGGAGGAGATGTTGGGGTGTTCGAGCATGGCGGTAAGGTGAATGTCTGGCCTGCAAGTCAGCCATGGAGCACACAGAGATGCGGGTCTACGTACACTTGTCTTCCCCGTCGACCTTCCTGTAGTGGTCTTGAAGCCACTTGGCCCGCTCTTCTTCCTGGTGCGCATAGTCGGTGAAGATCAGCTCGATGCCAGCAGCAAGCTGGCCAATGTACTCCGGTGTGACGGGCTTGGTAGTGAACCTGGATCCGGGCTTTGCAGCCTTGGCTTCAATCTGTTCTGGCTGGTAAGTAGGTGAGTTTGTACTTGTCTTCTGCATGGCCTCGACCAGCGCATCATCACCATCGCTCTCCGCGGGCGCTCTGACAGGCCTGGGTCGCGGCTTTTCGCGGACCCCTTTGAGCCTCAGCGCTCTTGGGACAAACATGGAGAGGGTAGTTGGTCTCACTCAGATGCTCGCGAGCGCAATTGCGGCCACCATTCGCGACGCGCCGCGGCTCAAGCACGGACCTTACGTCAGTCCCCAGTTTCTCAATTTCCATGCGACACTTACTACTACTACTGCCACTACTACTACTACTACTACTCCACATACCCTCGAATCGTCAAAATGGCCAAGGAGAAGAACTACAACCCCGTCCAAGAAGCCAAAAAGGCCGAGAAGCAGAAGCAGATCCGCAAGCAAAAGGCCAACCTCCAGACCCAGCGCAACGAGAAACTCGCGCGCCGAAACCCACATCGCATACAGCGCGACATTGACAACCTCAAAGAACTCGACCAGAGCGGCACCATACGGCCACATGAGCGACAGCGGCTACAGGAGCTGGAGAAGGATCTCGCAGCAGTGAACAAGGCGCGCGCCGCGCTGGGAGACAAAGCGCCAGTCTTCAAACCAGAGCGACAATACAACAACAACAACGATGATAACAGAGAGAGGGGCGCAGAGCAGAGAGACCGGCGCGCCGGCGTCCTAGGCAAGAGATCACGAGACGGCCAGCGCAAAGACATGGATAGTAGTGACACAGACGACGACGTGAAGCGCATACCCATGCCACGCGACACACCACCGCCAATACCCAAACGCTTCCTCCAGCCCGAACAAGACGACGCTTCTGCTGCTACCGCCGCCGCTGCCCCCGAACCAAAGAAACCAACCATTGTCTACGAAGCCGCGCCCCAAGTCCGCGATCTGCGCAAGGAAGCAACCAAATTCATGCCCGCGTCCGTGGCGCAGAAGATGAAGTTGGCAAAGGGCGAGGGACGCCTACTCGAGCCGGAAGAGTTTGACAAGCTGAGGGACGAGGGGTATATGAATGAGAAAAAGAAGGAGGAGGACAACAAGTCGACGGCAGCAGGCAAAGAGCAAGCGGAGAAGAGGACGGCGGCGCAATCGGCCGACGAGGAAGAACTAGACGCCTTCTTGAAGGGCGTGCAGAATGCAAGTGTCAAAGATGCGGCAGAACAGGTGGCCGAGGCTGCGGTGCAAGAAGCCGAGTATGAGATGATCGCTGCGGAGGCGCAAGGGCAGATGGAGGGTATATCTGGGGAAGCGAGGACGGCGGAGAATAAGCTTAACCATGTGTCGATGGAGGAGGTGGAAGATGAGGACTTGTAGGCGTGGCTAGTTGATCAAGAAGCTCGTCCACGTCTAGGTGGCGCCTACGATGGGACTTGAAAATGCTCATGAAGCTTCACGTCGTGTCGCACTGATGGTGAACGTGGCACAACACTACAGATCAAACGTCGCTGTTATGCTCGAGAGAACATCTTCCTCGCGACATGTTGACAATCGAAGCATGCACTCATATGTACCTGCTCAAAGAACGATTGTACAAGAAGTCACGGCAAAGGTGCCAGTATGTTTGATCAAGTCATTATTTCATTCATTGGTAGGGTATATAGATACGCGGCTTTCACGCCGAAAGGGTATGTTTCGTTCCATCCATCGCAATACCATGTTGGTCCATTCTCAGGTCTTCATGCCATACAAGAAAGAGGAAGAAGGCATCGTGGCTACCAGGCAAATAAGAAGAGATGTGCTTTACTTCTTCTGGCCAGTGGCGCCGGAGAGGGTGTCGGAGATGCTCTGGCCGGCGTTGCTGGCCATGTCCTGGGCTTGCTTCATGACGCCCTGGCCCTGGTTGGACGCATCGTCGCCGCCGGAGCGGGTCGCGTCGCCGAGCTTCTGTCCGGTGGACTTCTGGCCCTCTGGTGGATCATGTTAGTACGTGTTCGATGTGAGAAAGGGAAAGGGGGAGGTAGCGTACCAGGCTGGACGGCGCCGGCAATGCGGTCACCGGCTCCGGTGAGGCTCTCGCTGGCCTTCTGGGTGGTGGACTTCTGGGAGTCGGGGGTGACTGTGATAGCTGTCAGATGGTTGTCCTGGACTGCATATTTGGATGGGGAGTGAGCTTACTCTTCTCGGAGGCTTGCTCGCCGAGGCCCTTGCGCATGGAGTCAGACATGTTGATTGTTGGTGGTTGGTTGGTTGGTTGGAGGTTTGGAAGTGGTAGTTGTAGTTTATTGGAGTGTAAGAGTTGATTGTGTGATGGAGGTTCGAAGAGAAAACAGCAGAGACACTCTTATATGCTACCTTTCTGCGTCGTTCAGGTTGCAGTGACGCACCATGACACTCGTACGTCATATGTCTCCAGACGAGCAGCTGCAAAGGGTGTGGATGAGAGAGGGCAGCGCAATGTTCAGTGGGCCCTGTTACTTGTTCCTTCACATGGTAGAATTGCCAGGATGTATACCAGTTTGCAGGCGCCACAGACGGCCACGATTGGTAGATCACTACTTCCGCACTGTGTGATTGATGGCAATCTGGCGCCTTTGCATGGCATTCGCGTCATCCGGCCACGGCTCAGGGTGGATACATGTTCCAGATCGTTTGCCGCAGGAGGATTACTGCCCCGCTAAAGGTTAAGATGTGCTGGACAAGTTGGAACGAGGGGCATGTGCTGCCGCGGTTCCCCCTCAGCTGCGAATGCTTTTTCAAGTGAATAGTTGGTAGCGTAGTAGATAGATAGTTGGTAGCGCCAGGTTAGCCTCAGTACCTTCTTGATATTGGTAGACTATCCCCTCGCCCTACTTCTAGCCTGGAGCCATACTCCGCAGCAGAAGCCGTTGTTTGCCAACGTCGGGTACGCGAACAGTTGGAAGGTTGAATGGGGCAGTACCCCGCTGACGTAGGTTGGTGGCACGAACGAGTCACGCAACACGTGACTAGCGTCATTGCTACGCCACATCAGCCCGAACAGACGCGTATAGTCGTCTTACAGAGCTCGACGCGTCCAGGTTCTACTCTATCATCCCGCTCGCACCCACACAAATGGAAAGTGATTCTCCACGCAGGAGCGCATGAGAGTCGTTACTATTTCTGGCCTTTTGCCGCTGAGCGAAAACTTGTTTGACGTTTGTCGCGAAGAACCCACTTTTCATCTCGTCAACATCGTCAATGTGACGACCCATCCTTTGGCCGCTGGATTGAACATGTGCACATGCTGCGCACAATCATGATCGACTGTCCTTTGCACGAGCGGACCGTTATCCGTGGTTGAGCTCTGCGTTGTTTGCTGTGGACCTTGGCTAATCTCACAGCGTCAGCAGTAAAGCCGAGTCTTGCCAACCACCACGCGCTCAACACCGAGTCTGTCCCACAGCAGTAGCAATAGGATGAAGGACTGGCCTGTTCATGGTCGCCGTTGATGCCTCGAATTGAGATCGGAGAATTTACCATTGCCCATGCTGCCGTGCGGCGAGGTACATGCGGCCGTCTCACCAGGCCGACTATGATCATCCTTGGGGATGAATCTGCGCACAACTCAGACAATGCCTGCGACGCGGCACAACAGACATCGATAGCGCCTGGCGAAGATCGTCTCTGGCACTCCAAACTGCCAACACCGAGTGTGTCGTGCTAGCTGTCAATATACCCCGAAGCTCTTGTTTGATGAGCAGCACCAACAATGTTCGACAACTGTCTTGCTGGGGTTGCATCTACTCGAGACTCCTCAGTGCTCGAAAGTATCGCCGATATGTAGTGCATCCGCCGTCGCGCAAAGTCTCGACCAAAGGATCGTCTGCCGCACGCGATGCTCCTGCATGCAGGCGTCTGTGAGGCTGGGCAACTCTTCACAAGCCACAAGCTAACTGACGAAACAGGCAATATCACAGATAAACACCCAATGAACCTTCAATCTCCCTTATTTGCCGTACAAAATGGTTTTCCATCCTATCTTCCCCGTGTTTCAGATCAGATCCGCTCTAGCGCTTCTCTTAAACGATAGTCGCTTCATGATAGGGTCCACGTCGATCAGGCTCCGACAAACCTAATTTTACTTACCGCTGTACAGTACCAAACCTCACCGTTTGGTGTATGGGCATGCTGTCTATCACATGTATCGACTCGCCCACGGCCCTCGCCCGCATGAGTCTCCATGCCTGACAATCCCAAGGCCGCCTCGCTGGTTGTGCCACAGGCTTCTAACAATAGCTCGAGGGTAGTAAGAGCAGGGATGACTTCATGCTACACACAGTGCCATAGGCACGTCAGTACTGCGCACAGTCTTGCTTGTATAAAGTACTCTCTTGGAGTTCTGGGCGTTGTGGCACTGCCGCTGCCGCTACTGGGATCGCTCTCACACGCCAACATACAGTCCGTTTCCTTGATACATCTGCCTAAAGTTTCGAGGCTGAGGTCGCTACCGTTGCTGCCACCGCGGTTGTTGGGAACATAAAACAGAGACGGGGTCGTCTCCGCTCATGGTCACTTCCTCATAAGGCAATCATCCTTCTTCAAGACTCAAAGTAGCCCAATAATTCTTATTATCGCTATTGCTTAATCCACCATGAAGTTCTTCGCAGCGTTGTTGGTACCTCTTCTCTACTCTATATCTGCGCATGCCGACACTTTTGCCGACGACGCCTTTACTGCCATCAAACTTCTGCAAGAAAAATGGTACAACTACGATACTGGCTTATGGTAAGTAGCTTTCCACTTCGCGCGACCGGCATGTCTGACTTCAATCAGGAACGACTTATGGTGGCAGTCCGGCAACATTATTGAGGCCATCGCTCGATTTGGTATCCAAGATGCTGCCTTCAAAGAGTACGCCCTCATGATCGTCTCCAACACATTCGCCAAATCCCCAAACCAGCATGGCGCAACGCAATGGAGAAACAAGTTCTACGACGACGAAGGCTGGTGGGCAATGGGCTGGATTGCCTCCTACGATCTTACGGGCGACGTCAAGTACCTCAATGCCGCCAAAGACATCTTCGAAGACATGACCACAGGGTGGAACACGCCCTGCAACGGCGGTCTCTGGTGGTCGAAAGACCGTGACTATGTTGCCGCCATCTCCAATGAGCTCTTTTTCTCCGTTGCTGCCCACATCGCCAACCGTGTCGACGGCCAACAAAAAGAAGACTACACTAACTGGGCTTCAATGGAATGGGACTGGTTCAAGCAATCTGGCATGATCAACAGCGACGAATTAATCAACGATGGCATCGACCCCACGACTTGCAAACCCAAGGGAACAACCTTCACATACAACCAAGGTATCGTCCTAGCCGGCCTCTCTGAACTTGCCCGCGCGAAAAACAACGGCGACTACATTGAAGAAGCGTACAAGCTCGCTGTGGCCTCGACGACCAAACTCAGCGATGGAAGCGGTATTCTCACTGAACCTGTTGGAGGACCTCTCGACCCCGTTAGCTCGCAATTCAAAGGCGCGTATGTGCGGGGATTATCGACGCTTTATGAGAATGCGCCGCAGCAGGGGGTTAAAGAGTTCTTCTACAGGAACGCGAATGCCGCGAGGAGTCAGCCGAGGGTTGATGGTGGTGTAATTGTGGATTTGTGGCAGGGGCCCAGTAAGAATGGGAATCCCAGTACGCATGCGAGTGGGATTGATATCATGGTTGCGGCTGCATTGGCTGGTGACCCGTAGGTGTGCTGCTGTGGTGGGGACTGTCTTGCGGTTTCTTGGTTGTGTTTTATACCCCCGTTTTCGTTTTTTGTTCTGGTTTGGGTTCGGTTGGAACGCTGTTTTCCCACGCCAGCGGCTGTTTGGCGCTAGATGGTATCGTGAGGGTTGGAAAAGATGGAGTGTTGAAAGGACACGAATTTTGTTTAATGTAATTACGAACTTGATGATGACTATTTACAAATCTTGTGCCTGTGCAGCGTGCTTCTTTTACTTCGTTCTGAACTTTAAATTTAGTAATGCTTTGCTCTGCTCATCACATCGATCTTGGCTCAGTGCTGGGGGTGATGCATTGCTCTTGTATCGATTGATGCGGACTGTGCAAATCACTTCATGCTATAATGTTATAGATACTACCATCTGCATGATGGGGATAAAAATCGTCTCTTATGCCCTTTTTTCCCGTGTGCGCAAGATAATTGGTGGATACATGAGGCATTTTTGTGAGAGCTGACCAATAGGAAGATAAGACTGCATGATCTACGCCACGTAAACGGCACATTCGCTAGACCTCGAGCAAATCCTCGCCCGAAAGCTCCTAGACACTGCGAAACTTCTCGCGATGAATCTGCGTACTCTTGCCGGTAACCATTTGGCATTGGGTACCCCCTTCAGAATGCATATCCGGTGTTTTCATCGTCCAGCACGTATTCTTGCGGGGAAGCATCGGCGTCATCCGGCACTTCCACCAGCGCCGCCAGCCGTGTGCCCAAGAGCTCGGTATCAACGTTGTTCCCAGCTCCACCAAGTGCACTTATCCCAATTGGTGAACCGAAGACGTCCTCGCCTCACGTAAAAACGTTTTTACCGAAGAGCCTTAGTCAAAACGGCGCGCAATGCAACTCGATAAGACTACTGTACTGCAGCGCACTGTCCTACTCACAGATACGCCCGATCTTTCTGCAATCCAACTAGGCCCAAAAGTTACATGCGACAGCAAGAATGAGTGGCAGCTGCAGGTCTTACAGCTCATGGCAGCCCATGGTAGGTTGGATAAGCCCGCGGTTACACCGGTTTTGAGGTCTGTGTATCGTCAGAAGTGTTGTCATATTCGGTCTATCTGAGGATTTGAGGCTTGCGGCCGGAGGTATGATGTAGGGTTTGCTGTTCTCTTGCCTTTCGCATCGTGTGGGTATCAGGAGCCAGATCATAGGGATTCGAAGCATACATATCACTCGTTGTTGTCTGGAAGTCCTCTTCACTTTTCACACATCTTCGATTGATCCACGCGACTCTCGTCATGGGCTACGAAGCAAACAAGTACCGGTCCTGGCTACCAGACTTTTTCAAAAGGTCGACGCAGGACGATGCCACGCCCGACGAACGAACATCACTTCTTCCGGATTCGCGGCATGAGGAGTGGTCTACGGGTGAAACGTACGAGCTCGAGGATGGACAGGCGTCCAAGACCCAACTCGTCCTCCAAGAGTTTTGGATCCTGCTCAAAGGATCACTGCCAGTGGTCGTAGCATACGCGCTGCAAAACTCGCTGCAAACAGTATCTGTCCTCATTGTCGGCCGCCTCTCACCAGAGGCATTGGCTACCGCTGCCTTCTCGTACATGTTCGCCATGGCGACTGGTTGGCTCGTCGCTCTTGGTGGCACGACCGCGATCGACACACTGGCGTCTGCCAGCTTCACAGGCAGCAAGAACCCGCATGACCTAGGTATTATTCTCCAACGAGCGTACGTCATGCTCCTGCTCTTCTACATACCGATCGCTATCGTGTGGTTCTGCTCTGAGCCACTCTTCAAAGCTCTCGGTCAAGAAGACTACATAGCTCGAGACTCGGCGAGATTCCTTTCCGTGCTCGCTCCAGGTGGTATTGGTTACATATATTTTGAAGCATTAAAGAAATACATGCAGGCCCAGGGTAAGTCCATGTCAACTACGCTGGCTGTACTCTCAAGCTGACATACTCAGAAATCATGAGACCTGGAACATATGTCCTCCTCATTACCTCTCCCCTCAGCGCCGGCTTAAATTACCTCTTCGTATACACCTTCAAGATGGGACTACTCGGCGCTCCACTTGCAACCGGCATTGCATACTGGGCATCCTTCCTTTTGCTGCTCGCATATGCGCGCTTCGTTGACGGGTGGCAGTGCTGGGGAGGCTGGGATCGCAAGTGCCTGCAGAACCTTTGGACTTTCTCCCGACTTGCTCTCCTAGGCGTGATACACGTCGGTACAGAATGGTGGGCATTTGAGATTGTTGCGCTTGTAGCAGGAAAGCTCGGCACTATACCACTGGCTGCGCAGAGTGTTATCATGACTACAGATCAAGTCATGAACACCATTCCCTTCGGAGTTGGTGTTGCTACCTCGTCGCGTGTCGGAAACCTTCTCGGCGCAAGGAACGCCAAAGGCGCAGCTAGAGCTGCCAACACAGCCGCCGTCCTCAGCATGTTACTCGGCGCACTTGTGCTGGCCGTTCTTATGGGAGTCAAAGACTTCTATGCCAAGATCTTCAACGACGACGTGGAAGTCATCAAGCTCACTGCAAAAGTAATGCCCTACGTCGCGCTCTTTCAAATCGCAGACGGACTCAATGGCAGTTGTGGCGGAGCTCTCAGAGGCATGGGCAGGCAACATATTGGAGCAACGGTAAACATTGTTAGCTACTACTGCGGAGCTTTGCCATTGGGCATCTGGCTTGCTTTCCACGGCTGGGGCCTCGGCGGTTTGTGGGTCGGTCAATGCATCGCGTTGTACCTTGTCGGATTTGCAGAATGGGCGATTGTTGCTTGGAGTAACTGGGATTACCAGGTCAAGAAAGCTTTCGAAAGAATGGATTCAGATGACAGGGCAGAGTTGGGCGTTCCTCCAGAGGAAGCTGCGCCGGTACACAGGTAGTCGCCTCAGATTTTGGCGGTTGAGGTTGATCGCATCGGATGTATTAGCAACGCTCCTTAGACATTGCGCACGGAATAGAGATAGATAGCTGTCCGGTACGACTAATGCAAGAAGTGCCAAATATTACTCGATACGTTAAGCGAACGGTGCTAGCGCGGCCGGTATCTGAATCCTGGTCTCCGCGTCTGAACCTCACTTCTCATCGCCTCACCACCTCCGCACGGCTACCCAGTTGCTGCGTACCCCACGGCAAGTTTGCCTCTCAATAAAACATCTAGGCGCTTTCGTGACTTTGGGGCGGATCACGTATCCAGCCTTGCTGCATGTACTAAAGACGGGCCTCGTCAATTGACCGCCCAACCTGCCATGGAGATCGTACTTGGGATGCATCCGGGTCACCTCAATTCTTATCGAGCCAATCCAGGCACTGTATAACAGCTACGAAAGACCTTTACGTAGAACATGTAAAGCTGCAGACTACGTAACGAACGCATCGGAGACGCACTTGCATGCATTAGTAGCGTAGGATCATACAGGTCTTGACTCGCTTGAGATAAGACGCGATACCAAGAGATCGGAGTCGCTGAATACTGTTCTTACATATCGTCTATGGGGAAGCTTACTGGCTGATTTCCCCGGCTTTTTTCTAATCATGGATCTGGGATCCTCGTCATTGTACATGGCGGGGTTGAGTATCCACATCGATCAGCAACGGCCAGTGCATGTACTCCTCGGCAATGTAGAATGAGGTCGCTCGGATGTATCGAACAAGGGGGAGGTAGGAAAGTTGATGTGACCATCACGGTGTTCTCAAAGTCTACACAAAAAGCTAGACGCGGTATGCTGAAGAGAATCTGGTCCATCTTCGTTGGAAGCTCATCTCTATACCCTTCCAGCTCTGCACTGAGACAAGATAGCTCCGGAATTACACCACACATCAACCCAACCTCGAGGCCTGAAGCTTCCCCAAGAAACTACTAACCGATTGGAGGCACAACGGTGCTATGCCTGCAGACGACATCATCATGGAGCAGGGGTAGCTCCAAAAAAGTTGTTTACCTAACAGCTATTTACCTAAAAGCAGTTTACCTAACGCGAGCTGGTCAAGGTGGAACTGATAGAGAAGACGACCATAATCTCGAGCTATATACTGCGAGCTCTCCGCAGTTTTCCAGATCTGTTTCTGCATCTCTCCCTCCCCCTTCCATTCTCTGCCGCATCAACACCTTGGAAAACAACGGCAATATGAGGTTCACTCCTGCGATCGTTGCGAGCTTCGCGGCTACTGTAGCTGCACACGGCGACCACGGCCACGACCAAGAACCATTGGCTGGGCCACACGAGGGATTGTGGTACAACACGCTTCCCGGCGACGGTGGAACTCAAGTATGCGCTTCCAACTCGAGAGACGACGCGCCCAAGCAGTAACTGACCTTAGCTCAGGCCGACTCCATCTTCTCTGGCATTTCTACATTCGGTCGTCTCCCCTACCACCCGTGTCTGTCTAGCAACACAAAGTTTGACATTGCATTCATCGGTGCGCCTTTTGACACTGGCACATCGTACCGCCCGGGTGCTCGCTTTGGACCCAGCGGTATCAGACAAGGTTCTCGCCGCCTCAATCTCTAGTATGTTTCCTTGCAAGCAATCATGTGCTTACTTCTTTGGGGTGAATCAAAGGCTCACGCAGAATTGGATTTAGTGGTGGCTACAACGTCCCACTCGAGGCGAACCCCTTTAATTCATGGGCCAAGGTCATCGACTGTGGTGACATTCCTGTGACTTCGTAAGTTGCTTTTCCACATCTCGTGAGCTTGTCGAGTAAGATCGGGAGCGAGCAGATGCTGATTTGGTCATGTGTGCAGGTACGACAACGGATATGCGCTTCAGCAGATTGAACAAGGTCACAACTTGCTGTTGAGCCGCGAACCATATACCCATGCCGACAAGCCCGGTCCCTCAAAGAAGGGTACTACACTTCCTCGCTTGATCACCCTCGGAGGCGACCACACCATCACACTCCCTCTCCTCCGTTCCATCAACCGTGAATACGGTCCCATCACCGTCATCCACTTTGACAGCCATCTGTAAGCTTCAATCCACCCTATGCTTTCTCTCACTCCCTTCCACCTACCCCTTCAACAACGATAGCACAACAAGCTAACACCTGCAAGCGACACGTGGCGTCCCAAAGTCTTCGGCGGCGCCCCCTCGGAACAAGCCAGCATAAACCACGGCACCTACTTCTTCCACGCCGCACAAGAAGGCCTGCTCGCCAACGACACCAACATCCACGCCGGCATCCGGACCACGCTGTCGGGCCCTTCCGACTACGAAAACGACGGCTACTGCGGCTTTGAAATTGTCGAGGCACGCGAAATCGACAAGATTGGCATCGATGGCATTGTCAAGAAGATCAAGGACAGGGTAGGCACGGAGAAGCCCGTGTATCTGAGTATCGACATTGATACTCTTGATCCTGCTTGTAAGTTTAATTTGTTGGTTGGTCTGACGTTGATTGTGGCTGTGATTATGATGGGGACTTGAGAGGTGGGGACATGGCTTGGTCTACTCGATTCGACCGACAAAAGACTGACGCTTTGCTCAACAGTCGCTCCTGCTACTGGCACGCCTGAGACGGGTGGTTGGACAACCCGAGAACTCCGCACTATCATCCGTGGCTTGGAGGGTATTAACCTCATTGCTGCTGATATCGTCGAGGTGGCTCCTGCTTACGATACCAATGCTGAGCTTACTACCATGGCTGCTGCGGATACACTTTACGAGGTCATGACTTTGATGGTTAAGAAGGGCCCGTTGAGCTACATGGGTGCTCCTAAGAAGGAGACGATCGAGTTGTAAAGTGGGGGCTTGAAGGATAGGCTAGCATGGGCAATGATGTAGATATCAGGCGTTGAGTGTGGAGCTGGTGACCGAAAGGAATTGTTGGGTATGATGCGTTGAGCGCGATTGTGGTAGAAGCGTTCCAGACTTGGATCAGCCATGTATATGACGACAATGATGATGACGATGACACCGAATCAATGCCTTTCAGGGTATACCCTAAGCAATAAGCATAAATCGTCCCAGTGACCAGGCCTCCCCCTTGGTGCATACACCATATCCTCCTGATACTCTTCTTCCTTTCCATGTACGCGTCGACTTGTGCATGCAGAGACCTACCCGCCCCATCTCATAAATCCAAAAACACAATTCAGCAAAACGCCCATGACGACAGCAACCTGCCTCCTGCGCGTCCAAACCCCCTCTTCTCTAAACCCCCACACCAGACTGCCCAGCGGGAAAAAGAAGCCCGTCAGATACCCATACAGCATATCGTCCAGCCCACCTTCTTCTACCGCGAAGCCCGCGCCCCAGCCAGTTTCTCCACCCGCACCTGCTCCTCCTCCTCCAGTTGCCGAAGGATTGGCAAGGGAAGCAGAAGGGTCGTTGGCGGACGAGTCCAACCAGCGATCTTCCAAGACGCGGATTTGCGCGGGCGTGGGCATGGTGTCGGGGGTATGTGTGAAGGAAAGGTTTTGGGTAAAAGTGGCGCGGAGCGAAGCTACTTCGTCGCGCGTGAAGCCCGAGGAGAGTAGTCTGTCGAAGCCTTGTGCCGCGGGGACGGTATTCGCTGTATTTGCGGTAGTAGTAGCAGTGGAGCTACGTCGCCGGGCATTATAGTCTATTGTTGCATCACCACTACTACTACTTGCGCGTCGCTGAGAAGGGGTAGTAGATGAGGTTGCGTGCTGCGACTTCAACGCCATGTCAGTACTCTGAGCGAGTGTGGCTTCGCTAGCGAGTTCAGACGCGGATAATGCATCGCCGAGAGAACAGTGTATGTAGTACTTTTTTGCATCTTGCGGGATCATCTCCGTCGTGGTTCCATACTCTACCGCTGGTGTCTCCCTCAACGGCTCTTTCCCTTTGTTGGCCCGGCTGCTTCCCTCCCCTCCTCCGTCTCCGCTGCTGTTCTTCGCGTTCCTTGGAGGCGGCGCGAGTGGCGGCGCGAGGCGCAGCGATTTAGACAGTGGATCCGTATCCGCGAGGACCTTGCCTGCGTAGATCAGACGCAGGCGCGCCGAGGCATGTTCGGGCGGGAGGTGTTGCCGTATAAGCTGTTTGAGGCTGAGAGTTGCGATTGTGCGAGGTGTGTGGATTGAGAGGGGGAGGTCGGGTATGGACGCTGTGAAGCGTATAATCAAGTATATGAGTTGCTCGGGGAGAGCTGTCGCGTTCACCATGGTGTTGGATGTACAAGGCTGCTGCGGGCTTGAGGGGGTGGGGCATAGACGAGAGAGATTGAATGTAAATATGGGTCCGAGTTATTTCATAAAGGTCGTGGCATCATTAATCGCAATGCTGTGGTCGTTGAGTATTTCAGGCGGGGATCGTTTCGCTCGGGTCGTGCTATTCGCGCAATCGACGCGGCAGCTCCCCGGAGCTTAGCAGCGTCGAAGTCATTATATCCGAAGTATAGCCCACCAAGTCGAGTGCCCCTCTTTACACATGCACCGCGTCACTACGTCCAGCATTCTGTCTCAATCAAAGCAACTGAATAACCTCCAAAATGACAATCATTCACGTTGTACTTTTCGAATGGAAGCCCACGGCTTCTCCAGACCAGATTTCAGAAGTACCTCTTATATTCATCTAAACATACATCATACATATACTAACACTTCATAGGCGTGCAATCGTATGCTGGGCCTCAAAGACCAATGCATTCACCCAACATCTCAGAAGCCATACATCAAGTCCTTCTCTGGTGGCAAGAACAATAGCCCTGAAGGCCACAGCGTAAAGGCAGTTCCCATAGCTCCTCCTTGCAGCTGCTAACATGCACAGGGCAATTCGACCCACGGTTTCGTAGTCGAGTTTGACAATGAAGAGGACCGCGACTACTACGTGTACAAAGATCCCGCGCACCAAGAATTCGTCAAATTCGCCGGAGGAGTGGCGAATGGCGTCAAGGTCTTTGATTATGAGCCAGGGAGGATGTAAATATCGTGTCGAGAATGACGTAGCAAGCGCACTACACTCTGTGATGATGATAATCCAATTATGCCATATGTATATGTAACGCCCAAGATGCAACGCCGGTAATGCTCCTCTAATGCATAGTGATGGAATCGTAAGGGTATCATGATACGCTGAAGGACTCGCCGCAACCACATTGCTCAGCTAAAATTTGTCAGCTTCTGTTCCTCGTATCATGCTAGAGTAAGACGTACTGATGTTGGGGTTCTTGAAAATGAATCGCTCGTTCAGCTTGTCCTCCAACCAGTCCATCTCACTGCCAATAATGTTCAGGAGCGCCTTGTTGTCGATCAAAACCTTGACGCCATCCTGCTCCACCTGCTCGTCCAGCGGGCTTGGCTTGTCCACATACTCGAGGTGATACGCCAGTCCTGAGCAGCCCTTTGCCTTTGTGCCTATCCGGATAAGCTTTGGCTCCGGTAACTCCAGAAGTTCGCGGAGGTGCGACACCGCCGAGGGCGATAGCTTGATAGTCGCTTTCCGCGGACCGAAGTTGTAGCGGCGCGGCCGCAAAGGCTTGCTGGAACCCGGCGCTTGCTGCGACTTCTGTGCCTCGCCCTCGGGTATGCTCACATTCGGTTGCTCGGATGGCGTCGCTGCGACGTGCTCTTGCGGAGGTAGTTGTGGGGTTTTCGCTTTGTTTGCCTCGGCTGCTCCACCCGCTATCGATGTGTCGGGCACACCAGCATTTCTCGGTGGTGGCGGCTGGGGGTGCAGAGAATAAGGCTGATACGCAGTCGCTGTCTGCATCTGCCGCTTAGCTGACTGTCGGTACGGTATCGATGAGGCAAACGTCCGCGCGCATTGCGGGCACCTGCGGGGGGCGAAGGACGGGGCGGCGAATCGTAAGAGTGTTGAGCTGGAGCGCGCGACGGCGGCCGTGGTTCGAGGCAGTGACATGGCCGCAGTGTGTCGAGGATCCAAGAGGGCTGTGAGGAGAGTAGGTAAGTCGCGTGGTGTGCGTCGTGAATAGATGGCAAGGGACAGACTGCTGCTTGTCACTAAATTCGCCGAAGCATATGTCATCCGCGGCAAATTCCGGGGCATATGGCACAATTATAAAGCAGATGCGCTTGATTGGTTGGCAATATCCCGAAGCATCGGAACTTCGGAATCCCAAGTCGGCTACAAGGGCAAGTCACGCTATAGTCAGTCCACTTACGCTACCATGAAACTGCCACAAACAATGCTTATGTATTTCACGGCTATGTTTGAGTATATTTTCGCTGTACAAGATTATGAATTCGACTTGTACAAGTTACAGAAAGGAGCTCTGAGTAACTTTCTGTGTACTTGGCGGAAGTCGGTCTAGTCGTGGACAACTAGACCGACATATGACCACGGACCCCAGCCAGTCCAATACGCGTCTTTCATACCAGAACCACATCATCTAGAGTATCTCCGTAGGAAATCAGAAAACCGTTCAGGTCTCACCTCAGGATACTTTCCATTATCCACATCCTCTCCCAACCCAATCTTTCCGCTCAGTATAAAGTATACGCTAGCACTAAATGTCCATCAGACCGCTGCCATTACTTGAAGAAAGAGGAAAGAAGGAAAGAGCACTTACTCGAGTATATTCTCCGTATTTCCTTTCCTATCCAACTTTGTCTCCAGATTGGTCAAGAGCCCGCGTGATTCCATTGTGAGGTTGATGCCATGTACGGATTCGACGTCGGCGGCTAGTTCACGGGCGCTTTTACGCTCGCCTCGGACTAGAATTCCTTTGTCAGCAAAGTGAGCGTTGCAAGATGGCGACTTTATATTTCCCACATTTGAAGAACCCCGTAGCGGCGGGATCAAGTGCCACAGCAGCGATATACTCTGCCGCCGTCTCATAACTCGTAAGATCCCACTTCTCGTCTCCGCTGCCCCAGTAACTCATCTTCTTTCCCTCTTTGTCCACAACGCCAAAGTAGTCGAGGAACGTCTCCATGAAAAGGCCAACGAGGATATGGATCCCCTCCACACCCTGCTTCTCTTCGACGTACGCAGCGATATGCTTCATCGGCTCTTTAATCGCTAAATCGCCCCAGTCCAGATTCCGATAGTCGCCTGTGTAGTCACTGGCTATGTACCGGGCAATACCTGCTTCTGCACATAGATCAATCAACAGTCTTTGCGCGGAGAGCATGGTCTCATCGTCGGCGAAGTAGGCACACATTACCACGTCGCTGCCGCCGATCAAAGCACGAAGATTCTCTTTGTCGTAGGGTCCGGTTTGGATCAGGGCTATACGGGGGGAGGCTTTAAGCTCGGCGGGAAGTTTGTTGATATCGCGGCAGGAGCCACGGATGTAGACGTCTGATCGTTTCAGCAGTGCCTTTGTGACGAGAAGAGCAAGACGGCTGCTTATGCCAGCGATTGCTACGGTGGTGGACATGTTTCTGGGTTTGTGCGGCGAGAAGGGAAGAGTAGGAAAGAAGTGAAGTATGAGCTGGGACGAGGCCGATTTGTTAGACTTCGATATGGCAATTATTGTTTTGCGATCTTTGTTGCTACAGTCGGATGGCTTTCCCAGGTTGGGAGTACGTTCTTGATGATTAGGTACCCCATACTTGGTGGTTTGCTTGTCGATGTGTCCCAATAGCTCGTCCGCGTTTAGTCCAGACGTCCCCTTGCGACGACAAGATACTACCTAAGCGGTCATTGGCATTGAGCGGAACCGGAGCAAAGCGGCGGAGTAAATATCTATGCGCTTACTGGACGAGGCTTGTTGGACCCGAGTATGTGCCTTGTACTTGCGAGTTCCCTCATTTGAAAGCATTATCAGATCCGAACTCCTGTAAAACGAGGATCTTCCACATGTCTGACGCTGCTGTGAGGCTCAAATCCAGATTCCGATCTGGCAGGTGTGAAAAGTTGACGGTAGTTTGCTGGAGAGTCCAATGTCCTCGGGTCGTCAAACGTACGAACAAGAGTCCACCGCATTGTGGCATCCACTTTCACCTGACTCTTTTGCTATTGGGCATCTTGACATTGACGCGGCTTCTCACGTATGTCGTCCATCTATGCTATTGACGGACTAGCCCCATTGAATGTGCCCTTCGCCTTGACACACAGATCCCCACCCACACTTTCCAGTGTCGCAATGATCTCCTGTTTTGATCTTGAAGCCTCAGTCTTCTTCGTAAGATCCTTTTGAGGCGACAACCAGCCCAGCCAGCTCTTTGTAGGCTCCGCTTCAGGTTCTGGTGGCGGTTCAGACTGCGGGAGATCGGGTTTCGAGAAGCTCGCGCGGAGTATGTAGAAATCAAGGCTGTAGGTCGGTTTTGCGTAGGTTACACTGAGGGAGTCTGGACGATGGACCGGTTCTGTCTCCTGCATTAGCACGACTTTGTTCTGTACGATTGTAGTCGTTGAAAGCCGTATACTTACCAATAACCCCCTCAGGTCCCCTGACCATCCTCGCCATAACCTCCTCCATGACCGTCGCAATAGCCCCTCCATGCGCAACGCCCGGCCACCCAGCCAATCCGCCCCCTATCCAAACCACAGCCACCATCTCCCTCGTCTCGGCATTCCAAAAAGCCCTCTGTACGCCCAACCCCCTCGTCCCACTCATAACCCCCAATATCCCCTCCTTGCCCCCACTCTCCCTCCCGAAACCTAAATCTAATTCTAGCCACCCTTTGTACGCCGATATCTTGCGACTCGAACCTGGCGGCGAAGACGTCAAGCCTGGCCCCGATCGCAAGGCTGTGTCGGTATGGAGGTTGTACGACTGGGAGCGTAGGGATTGCACTATTTCTATGGCATCAATGTCGCGGCGGAGGGAGTCGAGGATGAGCTCGTCTTCTCGAGAGCCGGGTTCAGGGAGACCGAGTGGCGCGGCAAAGTGGCGGGCACCGAGGCCTGTTGTTATTCCCAGGGCGAGGATGCTGGTGTACCAGAAGTAGGACCAGCGGATTCGGGACTGGAGGGGGAGGGGAACGGAGTGATGCGCATGGTAGCTGGTGGAGAAGAAGTTGTGGCGCAAGGTTAGGTAGGATGTGTTGAAGAAGGTGCGACTATAGAGAAGGCGCGCTTGAGACATGCTCGCGATTCGCTGCTGGCCCAGGCGCAGCAATTGGAGAGCTTGAGATCTGGTGGACTTGGATCATGAAGATGACGCGAATTGAGGGCAGGGATGTCTTCACCGAGGCTGCATAGTAGTGGCTTGGCATTGGCGGGCACCTCGATTGCGTGTTCTGCATCGTTTTGTCAACCACATCTCTATACCCTTGGGACGCGTTCATTTTCAAGCCCAATGATGTTTTAAGCAACCGACACTACCCAAGCCTCTACACATTGGCCCTAATGCATACGTTCGCTGTCTACTCACTGCATATGACACTGCCAACACTACGTTCAAGCGTGTTAAACACCGTGTGCCTGAAGGTATACATGTCCTTCTTTAGATGGCAATGCTCGTGTTGTATGAACTTCGCATGATCTTCCAAAACTGACGCCATGCTAGTGGAGGATGTCATGAAATAATCGACATGTTTTCTTCCCACTTTACATGCACCGCGCTGTTCACCCCAGAAGCTATTAGACAACGACGCGTCTTACAACATCACTATACCACAACATAAGGCTGCCCTCGGCAGTACATCTTTTTACGTCTAACAATATCTCCCGTATACCTCACGACACCAACGGTCTCGGAAACATATACTCGCCGTGACTCGGAACCGGAGACTTCTTCCTGCTAACCACCTCCCTTCTCTTGCATAGCTCCCGTCTAGCAACGATGAAGATCCATTTCCGGTCGCCGTCTCGTGCCCATAGCAAACAAAGTATATGTAACACTCGCCTCACACTCTCAGAGCGAACGTACCTATAGCTATTCTATTACTGCGTCAACCCCACCTTTTGCACCACCATCACTTCCAACGTTTCCAACCATGACCGATCCCGCACCTACCAAGCCTCCCTTACCTGTCTTCAACCCACACAACTGTCAGACTTACCCAGCGAGTTGCCATTGCGGTGTTGTGCAGTACTCAGTTCTGCTTTCGCCGCCACTTGCTGAGTGGAAGGTCGTATCGTGCAACTGCAGCATCTGCACGCGCAACGGCTACTTGCTCGTGTATCCTGAGCGATCGCAGCTACAGGTAAAGAGCGGTGAGGAGGTATTGAGGGACTATTCTTTTGGCGGGAAGAGGAATTTGCATAGGTTCTGTGGCAGTTGTGGGAGTGCGGTTTGGTTTGATCCACGGATGGGCGAGTTTGGGGATGCGCCACCGGATTTGTTGGGAATGAATGTATGTGATGACTGTGGAGATGGTCCTGTAGTATCGGGAGCTAACCTGTTCAGATCAGGATGTTCCATGGCGTTAAAATGGAGGAACTAGATGTTGTGCATGTTGAAGATCCGAATCCGTGAAACTCGGGAAGTTGGCAAAAAATCATGATGCATGTAGCTCACCCATCGATTCTTCAAAGGTATACACCTGGTCTAAAGACAATATACGAGCGCCTCGGTGTCACTACGAATGCATAACGAGATCTCGCAGACTTGTAAATCACAAAACCACAGCGTGCAGAAGATATCATGCATCCGATTAACCAGGCCACATATACATCATCAACTGCATCACCACTCGAAGCGCTTCGAGCCGCCCAGCAACTGATCATCTCCAGTAATCTCGTCCTACAAAGCAATATACTTCACACCACCCTCCACAAATTTCCCACAACGCCTCTTCCAAAAGCAAAAGCGACGTGACGACACACATTGCATTACCTCCACCTTCGCATATATGCACAAGATGCATGTTTCATCACCTTTGGTACATTAGCCCGCGTAAGCGCCTTTTCCCACATCGCATTCCCAGCGATCCTTATGGATGGTTACACGAGCGATCTTGTGCCACTTTTCCGTGTCCGGCAGTATGTGCGAGCGTCCATGGAGGCGGGCTTATGGTAATATGGTAGTACGAGACATGGACCACCAGGCGTGGAGTCGCACGGTGGAAGGGATGAGGCAACGGGCTTGTGTGAGGGGTACCCCGTGGACTCTGGTTGGTGTCTTGGTTCGGAGATGAGTGTCGTAAGTCCTTGGATGGAGGAAGCTTTGTGATGAGACAGTTTGGTAGTAAGATCCGAGATCCGAGCGTATGGAGCGGTATTTGTATGGGGGAGAGGTTGGGAAAGATGATTAAGGGTTGAGACTAGTTGGGTTAGGTGATGATGGTGGTAAGGTCTAGGGCATCGTAGTAGTTTGCGCTGACACCGAGGAAAGCTAAGGTAGGGACATTGCTTATACGCCTACTGTCGACACGAACGTGAATAGGACGATACGAGTATGATGCCCGTTTTAGAAAACTGGAGCGAACACAATGGTCAACCATACCACCGGCATCTATATACCGTGGTGTTCTCAACACTCAATCTTCGCAAGCTGGGAAAATGTTCTCTTTACACCTCAGTATTACAACATTTGTCTTAGACGTTGAGACACTTGTTACATGTGTTTCCGCTTTCCAATTAAGTCAACAAGATATGAAGCATGGATAAAATGGCACAGGCTTTTGGAAGCCTATATTGCTCCCATGATACATCCAAAAAGCCGATGGTCCACACTCATGATCTTTGTGACCTTTCCGAATATACGCAAAAACTCAGGTATAATGCGACAAAATGCGTTGAGAAAAAAGGATCCAAAGGATGACAGCCTCTACCCATATTGGACTCTCCTTGCAATGATGTGAGCGTAAATTCTGACAGCTTCGCCAGAAATTATTCTCGCTTTTTTTCATGACTCTTAGTGCTGTTGATACGCGTTATAAAACCCAGCTGAACACTCCATCTTCTTGCTCCACACCATTTAGTTTACATTTATTCTTTCCAAAATTCCGACGGCAAATTAACATGCTCTTCCTCGTCTTTCAGAAGTTTCGGTTATCAATACGCTTTCCAGTCAGCCAAAACGAAGCCAGGTTCGGTTCATGAGTCCTGTGTCGGTCCGACCACATCTGGAATATCTTTCTATGAAGACAAATCTGTCACGAAAGAGAACGCAGCGGCCGTTCGATTGTCCAAAACAGGCGATGAAGTGGGCGATGATTTGAGGAAACGGTCACAAAAGCTACGCAGTCTTTGCACTATGTGCTGTCCAAGTGGCCTTTGAACTATCGCTGCATATGTTCATGGCCGCTAGCGTGGTTTCTATGATATAAAAATCCAGCAACAAGCTTCCTCTGTTCCTCTTCATCATCCACCTGCGTCTTCCATTTTACAAAAGTATCTCCTACCACATTACTGTGTTCTTCCTCCTTCCGGATTTTCTAAAAATGACAAAACCCAACCTCATGTTTCCAATCTGCAAAAGGGAGAACCAAAAACAGCTTCTCGTTGCCGGGATGTTTCTGAAGCACTTCAATTGAGTTCAAAACACGAAAATTCTGGCCTATGTCCTCCACTGAACAAGAAGCTGCGAACCACGCTTTCAATCATACACAGAAGCTGATGGAAGCTTGGAACGACTTTGCGAGTTGATCACCACCTAAACATTCAGACGGCTATCGGAAGAGCTCTCCGCCCCTCACTCGATGCTATAAGAATATCTCAAAACACTCCGTCGACTGGTCCATGTGTTGTCGAGATCGTTCATGGAGTATGGAACTTATCGTTTTGAGTTGTTGTTAACTTTCCATTACACACTCTGTATTCAGCCATTGCCAGAACATGACTACAGATACTCTTCATACCTGGCCTCGTATGCTCTAACAACTTTCAAATTTCGAGACCAAGCATTCATGAGTGAGATCGCATACGCCGATTCCTTCACATTGTAAAAAGTCCAATACCTACGCCATGTCGTCTCAGCACGTCTCCTTTCAAGACACCATGTGCAGATGGCACGAAAAAAACCCTGACCTCTGCCTCAACACATGGGGTTGACGTACATAAATACCACATACTTTACATTCTATTGTATTTGGATATGGCAACCTAGTCTGCGATTCCAAAAAGACCTACCGGACGCGCTGAGTAGGAGCTCAGAACCTTTCGCATTTTTGTAACTCAAACCCAAGAAGATCTTGTGTTCATCTAGCTTCTGAGCTTCCTAAATACCGTTGTTACACCAAGTCATCCACTGGTCGGTCAAAAAATACATTCTACAACTCATGACCTGTCCGCAACCCACAGTATGCGAGATCATGCTCGCTGCATGTGTTGCAAAAGCTGTCAACCCACTTCCTGTAATCAAGCGCCGAGGGGTCGTTTTCCTCCGGAGTACACACGCACTGATACAAGCACTGACGTTGCCACAATCGCCACCCCGCTCACTTGTGGCGCGTGCTAGTAAGCCAGCACGGTGATGGCGGTGGGAGGGACGCTCCGCCCCCCGAAGCGACGGAAACTTGAGGTTGGGGCCTGTGGCGTACCGTACCAAATATCCAATGCATCATCTCGATGACTTCCCACGTTCGAGGAGATCGCTACATGACGTGACCTGTAAGAATGTAGCGACCAAACACGAGAGCAGTCAGACAGTCAAGTCCGTCACTCGATGGACTTCGTGCCCCAAGACATCTACCTGTTTTCGGTAACATGAAGGACATTTATGCATTGTCGAACTCCGTACCGGCAGAGTAAGCTGAGTACATGTATGGAATGTGATGGCGATGGAGGAGGATTAGTGGGAAGCGGCCTTCTCGTATAAAACGCCGGAGTTGCGTTCGTATGGATGAGGCGCCCGGGGATGTGCGTAATCGGTCAACAAGGAAACTTACGCATCCGGTCTACAAGGAGAAACACGGTCTCAGTATGGGCCGTCGCGTCAGCAGCGCAAGCAGAGCCTCATCGGTGTGGAAAGTCTCTGGGCCCTGGCGAAGGGTGAGGCGCCGCATCCGAAGAACGCTGGGAACGAAATGCGACTGGCTCTCGTCGCCATCTTCACCAACATATCTTCATGTTTCCTGCCGCCGGTCATGGTTCGATATGTTACCTCACAAGCACATCGACTGGTAGTTCGTTTGCCCTGCACAAAAACCAACACGTTTAAGCGCGACCGTCCCAAGCCAGGCCGAGGCTCTCGATTGGACTGCATGCCCGAAGCGCCCTCTACTCTCATCCAAATCCGCACTACGCCCCGCAGACCACAGTAGCAACCAATTCCCTAATCGCCAGCCGTCTCTTGGCGATTCCTGCTGTCGATGTCTGACGGCGAATACAATGCAGTCACATTCAGATTCGAGCACAATCAAGCTAAGCAAGGTAAACAAAGATAGCCGCACTTCCCACACTGCCGTACCATAGATTTGTTATGTCAGACGGGAGTGCTTATGTATAGTGATGGTGTGAATGCCATGCACATGGAAGGAGTAAGCTGCAGTAAGCGTAAGCGATGTGAATGGTGAGACTAGAGACTAGGTAGTTGAGAGACGTTGACGTCGTGCGATGGAAGGTCATTCTGTCATGTTCATGCGTCCGGTGTGACCATCAAGTGTTGGAGACAGATCTCGGTTATCTCATTCGACCGGCATTGAGATAGCCGGTGGATCCCTCCAAGTGCTTTTTTTTTCTGGCAACTATCAGGCAGATGCCGTGCAGTCTTGATGCCCAGGAGGATATTCTCCATGTGTGAATCGGACGAATTACGTGGCTTTGGACAAGGAACGTTTAGTTGTTGAGGGGGCCTAGGGCTGGAAGATTGCAGGACACGATAAAAGCAGTGGAAAGAAAAAGCAAACAACAGTGTGATTGGGCCGTACGAGAACCACCTTTGCATGCAGAAAGGTGTTGTAACACAAGGCCACTATGGTCTGATGTTTTCTCGTGTTCGCTAAGCGAGATGGCCCTCCGTTGAGTTGCACGTGCGATTGAGGTCATTGGACACATATGAGCATCAAGATACCTATGCCTCTTTCAAGAAAAGTAGGAGAGAATGAAACATCCTGGAAGTGGATCCGTCATGATTGGCTTGGATTATGCAAAGAAAAATGGGTGTGTGTAGGAAGCCAGTTTCCGCAGTTGCAAAATATTGACCCACCCCATTGGCGCTTCTCCAGATCAGAAGTTCTCCACCAATGTTTACGCGCGAACAAGCGAGGAGGATCGCATCGATCCCAGCGAGTGACGATATCCAAGCAATGGCTGTGTGACAGTGCGAATAGCAGGCGACGCGCGCAGTTCGGTGTTGGTTGACAGTCGAAAAGGCGTCAGCAGCTATAGCCTAAAGCATCAGCAAATCCTTCCGTGAGCAGCTTATCGTATGCTCGTCGGATTTGATGAAGAAGCGCGCGGCCAGAACGAGTCATGGATAGTCTGCTCTGGTGGCTGGACCCTCGGGGGCCTGAGAGCCTGAGCCTTCAACGGCAGCACCCCAAGACGAATGCAGACCATGCTCCGGAGAAGAAAAACCTCGACAACGGTCTACCCTGCGTACATCATGGATGCGTGGCGCTCTTCTAGACGGGATGGCTTTTGCGGGCGCTGGGCGTCGGGACTAGCGGACACGACGTCTGGCGCGCTCATCCAGGCAAAGCACAACGCTCCTAGGGACGATCAACGGGATCATCGATGTGGAGTGTAGATGATGGCGCCGCCACAGAGACTTGTGTTTGACTGTATATCACTGACGCAGGTACGGTCGAGCATAGAGCCGAACACGGCTTCAATACCCGCAGCACAGACGCGTTCCTTTGACAAAACAGTCACTGCGGTGTTATGCTCGGGGAAATCAGTATTGAGCGCTAACGGAGAATATTGACAGAGGCAGAGGAAGAGGTCATGTTGAACCAGGCGGTCTACGCGGCTGAGGCTCCAGGCGTTGGGGGATGGAACAACTCTGATTTTAGCGTAGGCGGGGAACATGAAGAAGACAAATCATGTTGTGATGGTACGAACTGGTAATTACAAAGGAGCGCTGTGATGGGGGGCAGCCCAAACGTGCTTTGACGCAAGGCCGCGTCGAGCACACCGTGTAAGGCAGGGTTTGGCGAGTCGAAGGCTAGCGGCGCTGGGATGCGCGTGGTAAAGTTTAGGTAGGCTGGTGTGACGGCTGCAGCACGCAGGAGAAGGTGCCGAGCCCAAAGCTGTAAACTCTAGCAACGTGGGGTGCATAACATGTCATTTCTCATCACGATCAAGATGTTGCGAGTCGCGCGTCGGTGACCGGTCGATTGTCACCGAAGTTGGCGGAAAAACGCATCCCCGGCTGGTATTGGATGTGTGGTAGAAAGGGTTTACACAAGACGACGGCGCATAATAGCGGTCCTGATATCGTTCAAGGAGTGTGGGACGTTTATGAGATGGTTTGGTGAAGCTCAGAACACTTGATGCCGCAACCGTGCCGCAGAGCGTGGGCAATGACTAAATGCGGCTCAAGAAGCGGCCGCCGCCCCGGTATCAAAGGACAAATTGGAAGAGAGAGCGAGTGCGAAAGGCAGTTTTGATCGCGCTGTTGGTTGTGCGCAAAGAAAATCCCAGGCATGCGGGTGGGCGTCGTCGGCTAGGAACAAGACTTCCGTCCCAGGGTTGAGAGTCGGTTGACTGGGCTGGGCCGTGACGGGGAAGGGGGGCATGTCGAGTGACGCTAGTACGAGTCGGGACCACGATTAAACTTCAGCAGCCCGCGTGTTAGGGGGGCCAAGGATGTGGAGCCACGGGCACTCCGAACGTCTGAGACGCTTGTGCAGAGATCTGTAAGGTTGAACGGGCGAGATCTTAGCGTGGCCAGCCTGGCGGAGGTGACGGCCGTGAGGACGTTGCTGGTCTGGACTGATGTTTGGTAGACATGAAGCACCTGAGTGCATAGGGGGGGTGCAGGGTAGCCTGGGCAGGTTTGGCGTTGATAGTCACGAGGATACGTACCGTGGGAGAATGACGGCCGGCGTCATCTAGCAGGTAATTAGACGCAAATTGAGCTGGCAAGGCTGAGATAATGACGATGGGGTGGGGTCGATGGGTACCGTACGCACGCATAGAGAGAGTTCGTTACTCAGCCAAGCGCGAAAGAACCGGCAGAGGGGATAATTCGCAGCTGGGACCGGGATAGCAATGCCAGAAAGCGATCCCAGCTTTCGTCTGCGCATGGCTTGCTCTAATAAGTTTGGCGTATCGCAGATCCAGAGGAGGGAATGCCGCACGTTTCTACTCGAGGTACGCTGCCATGTGTGATGCAAGCGCAATAGGAAAGCACCACCGGTCAGCTTCAGATCGCGACTGCCCTTCGCGGAGGCCTCGCTTACCGATCCTCCTGATTGGGCCGGGACGCCATGGATTACACGAAAATGCCCACTCTATCACTTGCGACAAAACACGCTGAGATGAAAGGGAGCATGCCGATGCAATGTGATGAGCTTCCTTCTGCTTCCTTCTGCACCTTCTGTTGCGCAGCAGCTGTCAACATACGGCATCCTGGCACCATCGGAAGCAGACACATGGCCAGGGCTATCCACGTTGTGACGCCTACCGCGACCCGAGACGGGGAGAAGCAGCAAGCCTAGCAAGCCACCAAACCAGCCTCTCTCAGTTCGTCTTGGGCGCTGAGGGCGCTGAGGGCGCTGAAGGAGCCGGCCATCGGCTGCGGTTACGAGATCTCTGCGTTGTCTTGGCCCTGCAGCACAGCTTAACGGGCATGGCTTCGCAGCGGCTACCCCAAAACAATGGTCTGTGGCATCAGCCCGACAACCACACGGCACCAGATGGCCTGGCTTGCAGACGAACCGAGAGTCCGATCGACCGCGGAGTCGTCTCCCCAGTTCCTTGTCGCCATGTCGTTCCGCCACTTGGCCAACTGGCGACCAGGCGAAACCGGGCAGCTGGGAGAGGCTTCAACGACACAGCATCTACACATGCATCTTGAACGCCTTGAAAGCCTCTTTGCAGCGCTTCCATCAGGTCTTTCCATTGTGCAGCAGCTGTCACTTGGAGCCGCCGGCGCCTTGTGCTTCCACAGAGGCTGAAAGGATGACGCCCGCTGGCTGCGACAGGCTTTGCAGCGACGGAAATTCTAAGACTCAAAAGACGGCACCAGACGCGCGCAAAATGGACCGAATATGCACTTCCACGTGGTGATCCACTCATCTAGGTAGAATGTACGACGACGGTGCGCCGGGACTGGCGTCAGAGAGATTGACTTGGGCAGGGTATCTAATGCTCTGCTTATTGCACCATGCCTGTTGCGATGCACACGTGCCGTAGGCAATATAGTAGAACGTCTAATTTTAGCCCGACAATTCACCCTCCCAAAGGCCAATGATTACACACTCGGGGCCAACAGCAGCCTTCCGGAATGACGCCTCGACCGTCTTGATATTGCTCCGCAACTGGTCGGTTCCGGCCATGACCATCGACAGGGAACGGGTGCCATGTCGATCCGATACTCTAGCACACTTCCCACTTTTCTTTCATCCCGCCGTCGAAACACGCCTGCTTAAGCGCACGGTAGTCCATCACTTCGTCATGTGCAGCTCGCAGTCATGCTCCATCTCGGCTAGCGCTAGCCCGCTCGTTCAGAGCGCCATGTCGTCAGCTAACTCGCGGAGCGGTAGAAGCACGGTTGCAGCCATGGTCGCCGAACTGGAATCCCTGCAGGGATAAGCACTTCCCAGCTGGACGCTGTTTCTCGCGAGACCATGTTTGACGCTGAGGCTCGCGACAATGCAGCGTGATGGGGTTTGCGACTGAATGAAGCGCTCACGTCCTGTCTCATAGCGCTTCTGCTACGTACTCACCGGACTTCTTCTGAGATCAGCGCTGCTAGTAACGGCGATTGGCCTCTATCAACGGCGAGCTTGGGCAAACCAGGTAAGGGTCGTCTTTGAAAGTGCTTTGTCTCTCCCCCGGCACTGTCTGGGCTAGACCACGTCCGTGCACCAACAGGCTCTCCCAGGTTCTGTTGGCGCCAGTCCCGACGCACGTTAGAGTGTCAGTAGGCTCCTAACCCTTGGTACTTGGGAAAGACAAAAGCATTTTGTCCTTTGCCTGTCTCTTGTCGTGCCGCGAGTCTGGGTCAGGGGAGGAGCCGCATGTCCGCCCGACTTCCACTTTGCGCCACTCATCGTCATAACGTGCTAGAGGTCAAGACATGACGGGCTCTACGGCCATACACCTTGCTGCTCATCAGCGAGTGTGATATGAGATAATCAGATGTCCTGAATCCACGGGCCGGCGCAAGCGATTGCCCTCCACTTTGCTGGTCCAAGCCGTCCCGCAAGCCAGCAGAGTCCGACAGATGGTCTGCGGACAGGGTCTGGCTACGGTGGGTGCTTTCACCCCCCCTGGTTATGCATTGTCGTGTGCGGCCCCATGCTCGACTAGTTCTCTAAACTGAACCTGAACGGTGTGGTTTTGTCATTCATTCGTCGCATTGCTTCTGCCGTGCCTCGTTTGCGTTGCCTTATTGTGACAAAGTGCGCCTGTAGATAGCGCTCCCGCCCGCTCACCTGAGGCTTGCTTTCGTGCTAATTCTCATCTCCCATCCCGATCCAGATCCTCGAAACGCTTGGACGGACCCTATCGCCTGGTTGAGCCCTTGATATTCCTGAAGCCCCAGCGCGCCAGTCAGCCACGCGAGCCCACCTACCCTGACATCCTTAGCCCGCCATACATATACGTGAGGGCTACCGCTCTCCACTCACTCGCGGTAACAAAGCCTTTAGTCTACCCAGGTTCCAGCCTTCTCCGCCATCGCTCCTCTAGGGCGCCCAGGTCCCGAGCTTAACAAGGAGTGATCGCCGCTCCACACGCCTCAAACTCCACCACCAGCACTTCACAAGGCTCACTTCCCCCGCCGCCGAAAGATCAGTGGGACGTATCGTCAACATACAACACCACATCTTGCAACACTGCTATCCATCATCTCGGGTCGAGTACCAGCAGGACTACCACGGCCAATCCAGAGCATTGTCATCTTAGCCGGACGACAACACCGTAGTAGACGACTCACTACCTTTAGCCTTAAGCTATCACACACACATCCTGTGGAACCGCCTCAGTAGCACCACGTCTGCGCAACCAGGAATCCGGGCCCTACCGAACAGTCTGTGTTAAAAGAACACCACAGTTCCACGAGTATCTGCTTTTGATCTCTTGTACGCCCTCCTTTTTCGATTTGCGACGACGAGCACCACTAACGCTGCGCAGTCACTGAGACTCTCTAGAGTACTTACAGCCATACGTGCGTCTATCGGTATCACTGTCCGCCTGAACCAGCGCAGGTACCATTGTCGGGGCCGTTCGTTCGATTGCAACATTTCAAAAGACTCGGAGCAGCCCTTTACCGTCTGACGCGACGGGAGAGTAGACCGGGAACACCGTCGCAAATCCATAGACCAAGTGGGTATTTGTGTATTAGGAGGACCTTTTACAAAATCCCTTTCCCTCCACTCCCTGCATATCGTCTGCACTTTGTCCCTCTCGACTAGAGGCCCCTTCCTCTTACATCACGCCTTTGAGCTACGAGCCGCTCGTTGCCCTTTGTGGATTCTCAGCCTTCACGTGGATCGTATTGGTCTGGTGCTCAATACACTTCGCCATTTGCAGCGTCACAGCTGCAATCTCTCCCAAGTCCTCCCTCATCCGAAGCAGGTAGGTCATCAGGACCTACCCGAGACACAACCGCCAACGTGGCTGCTGCCGTGGCTCATCCGTCTTCCATGCATCCTGGGAGTGACCCCATGGGTGTACCTCCCAGCTTTGCAACGCGAAGACCTCACGCCCAACAACTAGGTAGCTTTGAGCTTCCTCCACCACCCATGCACAAATATCCCTTCACCAATACCGTCACCACATCACAATCATCGCAGGCTCCGACCACTATTGGAAACCTGTTGACTCCGCCAAACACAACTCACAGTGATGTGATTGGCTCATCAGCTGTCTCCACAAGCAACGCTCAGTACTCGACAGCCATGGCATACTCCAATGGACAGTATGTTTACTCTCCGCCAGCACAGGGATCGGCGGCACACTACGGCTACCCGGCGGCACATCACCAACAGCAGCACCAATACGGCCAAGCCCGTGGAGGTATGTTTGCTCCGCCGCGCAGCGAAGGCCAGTTCGGACGACAAGACTCACTGGGAAAAGGGCTGAATCCGCCACCATATGAGATGAATCAGCAACTTCCACCTTTTACGCCTTCGTCCAACGGAGCGAGTATGCCCTCGATATCCACGCAGCAGCAGCACCAACAACACCACCATCAACAGATGATGGGCGCACAAACACCAGTTTCCTCTTCGGCACCACAACAATCACCAGCCCTCAGTCAGGACTCCTTTAGGCCACCCCAACCACCAACCCCCACATACAGCTACCACACTGCCAGCACTCCGCAACACTCAAACTTCCCCTACTCTACTGGACCCTCCCCAACGCTGAGCCAACAACAAAGCCCCATCAGCGCTGGCGGTTCCATGCCCCGCATGTCTCCCGCCGTATCTCAAGGTTCAATCCCTTCGATCCCCTCCAATAACCCCTCCCAATCACCCTACCAATACCAACAAAGACCACCGCTTCAATACGCTGGCGGCCAGGCCCCTGTCTTTTCCAACGTTCAAAACCCCAATGGCGGACTTGCCTTGGTCGGCGGCCATCCAGCCATGATGCCTGGATTCAACAGTGGCCATGCAGCCGCTATGCCGCATTTCATGGGTCACCCGCAACATCAGCAGCCCGCTGCCAATGACCGGCCCTTTAAATGCGATCAGTGCCCACAAAGCTTCAACCGCAACCATGACTTGAAGAGGCATAAGCGGATCCATCTCGCCGTCAAGCCGTTTCCCTGCAACCACTGCGATAAGAGCTTCTCGAGGAAGGATGCCTTGAAGGTATGTCCGCGATTTACAAAAGTTGCGCATGGAATGAATGCTAACAGTTGATGTAGCGACATATCCTCGTCAAGGGATGTGGGAAGGCCAGCGCGGACGACAACACAAAACGCGAAACCCCGTCGCCCAAGATTGAAGACTCGAAATCACATTGATCTAATCGACCCTCGACGTCACCTACCTGGAAGCAATCAGCTCCTACTCCACTTCTTCTTCTCTTGTATTACTTACTCAACCCTCTTATACGCTACGAACTTATGCATGTCTTATCACGTCTTTATTTTCCTTTCTGATTGGACTACCCTGGGAAACGGAACAAACGGAACGCGGAAAGGAAGGGAGTTACGGGGCCAACTTTTGTTTTTGATCGCGGATACCTCTTAACCTGTTGTCGCTATTATGTTATCTTTGTTTGTTCTTCGTTGTATCTATGAAGGTACCACGTGGGGAACTGGCTCCTGCTCATCTCGGTTGTTGTTGTTGTATGTACGTCACTTGTCTGTTTGTTTTTGGACAGGAGGTTTCAGGCTTGGGTTCGGTCTGTGTGTGATAGGGGAACCTGGTGTCTGGGCTACTGCGGGTGTAATGTTTCGCGGACGAACAGGAACCTCCCGTTGTATGCTGCCAGAGTTGCTTTTTTCCCCATTGCAGTCGCTTTTTCCGGCAAGCGGCATGCGCAGCGCGGAACCGTAGCTGTCCTATTGCTGCCGGAAGAGAGTGGGAATGAGAGCGAGCGCTGGGCATTCTTTGAAAAAGGGGGATGATACCGCTATACAATACTACACACATTATGATTTATTCATGTTCTCTCCTGATTCGTTCTCACATGTACCCTGTCCTCCATTTTGCCTTGTTACATCCCGTTTGTCGCAAAACTCAAACCCTTCGCAGTCAACCTTGAAGCAAAAGTGCGGTGTGATTTTGTGGTGAGTTGCTTAAAATCTTGCCGTTCACAGTAAGTATGGGATATAACATCTGCATTATGTTCTTGAACGAGCGGTCGCTGCATTAAGGTTTTGGTATGTGCTAGGTACGCAAGACGGTTAAGTGCATGGGAAAAAATGACTGAACCATGTGGCTGGGTGGCCCGGTTGTGTGCGAGCGTTGTTATCGGCAGGTTCCGGGGGCTGGCAGCGAGTTTGGTACGGCGGACCCGTGGGGCAGCATGGCGCGGTGCGGAAGGCGCACGACGCGTTGACCTGCGAACTTCGAATTTACTTTACCTCACTTTCACCTTCTTCATCACGACGCGCAATACAGGGTGCGTGTTTTCATCTCATCTTCTTTCTCTTCTCAATCGAATGATCTTTCATCAGATCTATGAAAGCAAGATGCAATTGGTCATGATGCATATAGATTTGCCTACTGCAGGTTTGTGCAGGTATTGCCGCACGATTCGCCAGCATCATTGGCACATATCGCGGGGTCGAGAGACTGCTCTCTCAGCCTGATGCCTGACACAGCCACGCTTCAGCAACCCCTTCATCAAGACTTCCCAGAGCTCCGATGAACTTCAAGCTCCAGAGATCTATAAGAAATCCTGTCATAGACTCAACTCATCTTGTCATACCTGCTCAATCGCGAAAGAGAGCGGCTCGGAAGCAACGATGGCCAGTTTTGGCAAATTGACGAACGCTATCATGCATATAGCCCAGGAAAACACAGCAGCACTGGTCAATATCAATCTGGATTTCTCCATGCTCAGATTCGAAGCTCCCCCGGAATTTATGGGGTTGTGCTCGAGCCTCTCGCCAAAGCGCAAAGCTGAAGCAGAGGACGGCATGATACACAGCACAGCTCGGAAACTACTCGCCCTTTTTGCATCAGAAATTCCCGTTGTCCCTGAGTTAGTTGAAGCATATGGGAAGAGAGCCAGTGAGATAGCGACATCAGAAAAGACGGTTGTTTCCAAGGAAAGTGCTAACGGGGCTTTTGCGGACTACATTGGTGCAGATGGTACAAGTATTTTGGCTGCGGCGACTTCCGGCGATGGGGCTGTGACGATGCACTTACTTGCATGCCTGCTGGCCCGCATGTGGAAAAGGACACAAGCAGTCTCCATCTGGCAGGAGCTTGTTCAGCAAAGGAAATCCATCCTGAGTCAAAAGGTGGCTTCATCTACGATGCTACACGCGAACGAACTAGCTGCGTCTATGATCCATATTGAGAGAAAACAGCTGGATGAATGGGACGCCAGTGCAAGGTGAGTAATTACGTTCTTCCGGAAAAGGCTGACTAGCTAAGCCACCACATAGGGCGTGGCTTCAATATGCAGACAGTGTCAAGAAAGTCGAGCAAACGAATTTGAGACTGGTGATCGATGGGGCGAATCTGCCAGTATCCCGAGATAAAGAGCTATATTCCTCCGTGATGGCAGTCTGGAAGCATGCGATGAAGGCAATGAATGATTTGATCCTCGGACGTCCTCAACGTATCAATGATGGCGACGTAATGTTAGGTCTTCTTTCCTGGCACCTCTATCCAGACATGACTGTCTTAGGGGTGGGAACTCGGACTTACCATGTGCCTCAGCAGGACGGATTGATCGCACCTGGAGGGATGATTACAGTAGGCATGGGGCGCAGGGAAGGATGTCCAGACGAGGCCATCTATTGGTCTCTTCCACTCGCCCATATGCGATTCTACGGGAACGCGGTCAACGCAGAGCGTCGCCATGGCTTAAAAGATTCTCAAGTCTCCTATGCAGACTTCCGTTATGTTATACTTGGGAGTGTGCTGTCTTCGTGGGATATTGAGAAGAATGATCTCGATCTTGCGATGCAGTTTATCATTCTGCTTGGTGATTCTATGATTACCAACAGACCTCCCCAAAGAGTGGCGGAAGCTAAACGCCAGTTGAATTGGTTAGTTTCATTGGCAGAGTGTTGTAAGAGTTTCCAACGAGCGAGCGAGTTCGAGAAGAAGCACGGAATGGCTCTCATCATGTTTGGCATTCGCCGTTGTCCAAAGTTTTTGGCAAACCATGAGAATCATCCGCTTCCTCTCTTCGGCCTAACAAACACGAAGTGGCTTATGGATCTGGTCAACTTCCCTACCACCGATGTGACACAGCGCCGAATTGACTTTCTCAGATGGTGGGCTCATAACCATCCAGACAGATCCAGCCTCAAGGGGAGTGTCATTCGATACAGACCTATGCGGCATGTTGCTGAAGAACCAAGCATCACACTAGCTGGATTCCTTTGCACTTCTGTATTCATCACCAGCAAGCAATCTGGACACAAAAGACGTCGAATCGAGAACTTCACCTTTGGCAATCAAGGACACCGAATCTGGGCAGCTGACAACGAGTACAAATCCCTCGAACAAGCTAGTGCTTTCGATTATCTGGAATCTGCAGAGATGAATGGCACATTCTTAGACCCTTCATCGCTTCGAACAGTACCTGGGCTCCGAGAGCACGGCACAGTCAAGCTCCCACCAGATCAAAACATGTGCGAACAGGAGTACGAGTTTGTGTGTGGCGATGAACTCAGGGCTGCTCTTTACCGGCCTGTCAAACACGATAAACCTCAACTCTCGCGGAACACAATAACGCTTGCTGGGCTTCTTCAACTCCACAAAGACGGATTCGTCAAGGTGCCAAGACTGACTCGACGGTTACAACTTCAGGCAGCCCTCCATGACCACTTCTACAGAAGTCTGGAGGCTTTGAGTTCTGTAGAAGAGATATACGACGGTTTACCTGGGGCCTGTATCGATTTGCGAGTAACATCGCAACCCGCACCGGAGTCACATTGGTCCGCTCTTTTCCGAAAACCTGAACGTAAAACGCCACCTCCAAGTCCAATAACTCGCGCCTTCACTGTTGTGGCGTTCTTTGAGACTGGAGAGATCCAGCTAGAGCCGCACAAGTTGGAAGGAGTACTAGCACTATCACACAACAACTCAATATTTGTGGCATCGCAAATGTTGGAAGATCCCACAAAACTCAGTTCGAAGCACCTCATCACGCGATTGACAGGCAATATCGGTAGGCCTGGATTCGCGCTATTGATACCGCCGAACGACCCTCGTATGCAGAAATATGATTTCAACAAGTACGTTGTGGAGTACGAGCCCTTCAATGGGGATCTTGTGGACAGTTTCTCGGCCACGTCTCTTCATCTGTCTCTTACCGGATATGAGCTTCCACTAGACGTCGAACCCCGCGGTAACCGTGACTCGGAAGCATACTTCGTCGAAACGAACGTCTCTGTGTACGATGGTGGCGAATGGGTGGGAGACGTTGACATTATGAAGGCGCAGAGAACATGGCTGCGTTTTGGAAACTGCCATCACAATGCCGAGCAACGGAAGCAGAAGAACCATCTTCCAAATAACATGCAGGCCGTCGATAGCTGGAGAGCCTTTCTAGACGCACCAGTTGGAGCTGGTGTTCTTCGTGCTTTTGGAAATCCAATGGCCCGACTTGCAGCGGCGACTTTGGCGGTGCAGAAGGGTTACAACTTCCACATCCTAGGGCCAGATCCTTGCTGGAAATGCGTACAGCCCGATGTATTTCCACGCCAGCCAAGCTACATTGGTTCTCAGAGAGGTCTTCAGGGGTATTTCTCTAGCTCAGAACATGCCTCCGAAGAGGCCAGTGATATTGATACTGGAAAGGAGGCCGACAAGGTTGCAAACGATTGCAGTGATGAATCTGGCTTTGATAGTTCGGACGAAGATGACTTGGAAAAACGACCTGAGGGCCTCTACAGTGCGGATATCGGAGACGCTCCAGCAGATTATGACGCCCAGGAGCTGTTCCCAGATCTAGAACCCATCTCCGAGACTGACGAAATGCCAACCAACGTTCTCGGAACAGATTTTGCTGTAGACGTCATCTTCATCTGTTAAAATGGTTTAAGGGGTTTATCTGACGCATCATATCGGTCAGTGTCAAGAGCTGCTATCGAATATGTCTCAAGGAAAGCGAACGAATTGCATGAGAAGGTTCTAGAATAACACTGTGCTATGATAGATGAGAGAAGACCACTATCTCGACCGTCATCTCATGTCTCTTCTATCGGCCGGATGTTTCACCTATCTCATCTTCTTTGGGATTATGATGACTGGTATCGTTCACAATGACTGGTCCATTTACATGACGCCACACTTCCAAAGTCCTGTTCGCATCCGATATAGGAATCAAGATACGCTTTCCTCATTGTGAGGTTCGTCGCCACTGCTGTAGTCGGTGTTGTTGTTGCTCCTGCCGCGACCTCGTTTGCATCCGATTGCACTTTGCCGGACCAGTCTGTGCACAAGTCTCCCCTCGCAACGTCCATTTCTTCTCCAACATCGACACTTGCATAGCCAGTCCATTGTATGCATCCATCTACCTGTTAGCTTCTTGGAGCGAGAGCAGACTCACTTGGCATTGCACATCTAGCCGTCTTTCCTTTACCAGCCTCGTCAACGGACTCGCTGGCGGTCAAACGATCGAGCGAGCGCCCTCAGTGTCAATAGCGATAAACAACAACAAACAGAACCCAGTCATGGCTTTTGTCTGATCCCACCCATTACAGCGAGCTCGACTACCTCAACAACGCATTGCGAGCTTTTTTTGGCTTGGACACTCAACTTACCGTCTTTCATATCTTGGTCTTCGCCTTACCTTTTCATCACAGCAAGACAGCTGCACTACTCGAGGACGCCCGTCTTGACAACTGCAAGCTTCTGTACAGAACATGGATTCCAGCTTCCTTGGTCGCCCGCCCACGCGTCGACGCGCATTCGGTGATGGCACCAATCGCGCAAATGAGGGCCCACGTCCCCAGCGAGGCAACGAAAAGCGCAGCGACAGTTATGCATCTTCGTCGCCTCCACCGCTTCCTCACAACGAGTCTATAGTTCCAAATGGTACGCTCTCGGTTCGGCACGAGGACGTTTCGCCAGAAAACAAGCGTCTGTCCGCTGTTCAAGCCCACGAAGGTCGACCTCACAATCCGAAGCGCGATTCCGAGATATCCAATGCAAGCACCAATGCTTCCAATTCAAATCGCCGCCGCAAAACACACATTGGTCCTTGGCAGTTGGGAAGGACCATTGGACGAGGTGGCTGCTCGCGTGTGCGGCTTGTCAGGCACAGCGGCACAGGACAATATGGCGCCGCGAAGATCATCTCCAAGGCTACCGCAGAGAAAGTGCGCGCCCTGAGCTTGGCCAACCTCATTCAGAGTGCTGAGAAAGAGTCTTCACTATACCCTGATGGCAAGGTGATTCCATTTGGCCTTGAACGAGAGATATGCATTATGAAGTTGCTGGATCATCCCAACATCGTCCGCCTTTATGATATCTGGGAGAACCGCGATGAGCTGTAAGTACTCCGCACACCGCGCATACCACATGGATTCGTCTAACGTGATGCAGGTACCTCATCATGGAGTTTGTCGAAGGCGGCGAGCTGTTCAGCTATATCCACGAGCAGCATGGACTGATTGAGATCCATACCGTCCATATCTTCCGCCAGATTATCGCGGCCCTGATCTACTGCCATCGTATCAATATCCACCATCGCGACCTCAAGCCCGAGAACATTCTGCTGGACAGAGATACCATGACGGTCAAGCTTGTCGATTTTAGCATGGCTGCATTGCAACCCATTGGCAAGAAGCTTACCACACCCTGCGGCAGCCCTCATTACGCTGCACCGGAGGTTATCAAGACTACATCTTATGATGGAGGAAAGGCAGATGTATGGAGCTGCGGCGTCATCTTGTTTGTCCTCCTCACCGGCACGCCTCCCTTCAACTACTCTGGTGATGATCGTGATCTGAAGCACCTGTTTCGCGATATCGCAGCGGCCAAGTATATCATGCCGGACAACATCTCTAGAGAAGCTCAAGACCTTATTGGGAGGATTCTGATCGCTGATCCAAACCGTCGCATCTCCATCGATGAGATCTGGAACCATCCTTTTCTCCGCAAGTATTCGCAAGAGCTAAACTTCATGGGAGAGAACGCGAACGTTAATCACTGGACTGGACCCCTCCCTGCCATTGCAGAATGGACAAATCTAGAGCGCAAAACCGTCGATCGTGAGATCTTGCGGTATCTGCGCACGCTCTGGCACAGCGAGAAGGAGGAGGTTCTGATCCAGAAGCTATTGAGTCAAGAGTAAGCAGCTTTTTCCACAATATACATGTGCATCTGCTAATCGTCGAGCAGAGCAAACCAGGAGAAGTATTTCTACTCTGCGTTGAGAAAATACCACACCGACCAGCTTGAGAACTACCAACCGAGCGCGCATTATGCCGTAGCTCATTCCAACAGCGACCATCACCACAATACGCGGCGTTCGCCCACACGCAATGATATGAATGAGCTGCCCACAAATAATCACGACCACAAGCGTTCGCAGTCCGCCTACTCAATATTGAACAACGAGCATCTATACTCGAAGCACAGCCTCTATGAGTCGCCTGTCTCTGAAGCTAGCTACGATCCATACCGAGCTTCACGGCAGCCGATCGTTCCCATTCCAGAAGACGCACCGCTCAACCAAAATGTTACAGTTCACCGGGGGCACAGCAGCCGCAGCGGCAACCCGCGTCTTACCACTGCTCTGGGTCATGAAAAGGGAAAATCATTACGCGTTCAGGCACTACGGAACAACTCCAAGCATAGCTCTGCAACGTCGCGCCGCTCTACGCGAAGCATTCCCTCTCATAAGAGCATCCCTTCTTCTCATCGTGCCCCTTCGGTTCAGAGGAGTTCAATGTCTCGGTCCTCTCTTGCGAGCTCACATTGGCCTAGTAGTCCACCTGTCATTGCTCGCTCCGCTGGCATGGGAAAGCGAGGTGTGAGCTTTTCGCATCTGCGCGATCGTCGGTCTTCCGCGGCCACAGTTAGCAGTTGGCAGACTGAAGTTGAATCTTTTGTCGATCATATATCTCATAGACCCCACACGTCTATTGGGTCATACAGGCCATCTTGCAAGACGAGCACGATCCGTTCAGCCCCCAAGCCGAGGACCCTTCTGAGCTCGGAGACGCCACGCCTGAAGCCTAGAAAGCCAGAGAGTCCTACAAAATACATCGAAGGAGAGGCTCGGAAGTTCAGCCAGGATCTGGACAAATTCATGGACGTGGTTTTCAATTCTTCTTCCGTTGGCTCTAGCGTTCGGTCAGATGCTTATCACGACGCCTCGCAGTATGACAGCCCTCCGACTTCATTCTCCAACACCCGGGATTCTGGCGGCAGTACTTTGGGTGCCACACCTGGTGTCAAGGGGCTTCTTGGAGATCGGCCACTGCCTCCGATCCCGGCAGAGACTCCCAATACTCTCCTGGAGCGAAAGCTGGCGGCGACTCGTGAAGAGATAGCCCAGCTATTGAACGAGGATGAAAATAGCACCGCGCGGATCAACAACGTACTTGAAAACCTCGATCGTCTGATGCTGCCTGCAGTCAGTGGCAAGCGTATAGTATCCGCTCCTGTCAGGTCTCCGGAGCCTAGGTCGCTTCGTGTGATTCCTGAGGAGGCAAAGTCTGACAATGGAAATGGGTTTGAAATTCACGTTCCCAAGCAACGAGCTGTCACTGACCCTGTTAGGCCCCAAGGCCGTCGTGTGGTGACCGAGCTGCCGCAGACTATTCGTATCGTCGATGGATCGCCCATCCGCATTGCCCCTTTGAACGTTCGCAAGCGCAGTGGTGCAAGCTTGAAGACGAAAGCTACACAGGAAGCGCCTGCGATACCCATCCTTCAGCCATACCATCATGTACAGAATGATCTGCAGGCTCTATCTACGGAAAACGTCCCTCCCGCCCTCGAAAAGCAGAACACAGTGCTCAAAAAGAAGAAGTCGCTATGGTTTCGTCGCAACACCGGAGAACAGGAGCGCGAGCAGGAGAAAAAAGAGAACCAAGTAAAGAAGAAGCAGTCGAATTCGCTACTCCAGATCCCGGAGGCATGGCAAGGTCTCGATGATCGCAAGGAGAGGAATGATCGTATGGCCTTTGCGAACATCGGTAACACAAAAGATGACCACAAGCCGTCAGATGGCAGTATTGGAAGCGAGTTTCCTATGCGCAATAGTAGTGCAGCCACTGCGAAGAGCGAGTCTGTTCGCAAAGGCTTCTTTGCCTTCTTTGGCAAGAAGTTGAAGGATGACAAGGGCAAGAGACCTATGGAGCTGGGGGGTAAGCATACATGCCATCATTTTGACTCCATCTCACATACTGATATATTCTCAGCACTCAACTTCAGCTCATCTTCCATCTCATCCAACTTTGATATCGGATCCGACAATAACAACGATAATGCTCGTGCCGGTCCACCAGAGATCCAGATGAACTGGTTATCACGCTTTCTCCACATCAGGCCGGCGAGCAAGACCCTCTGCTTCCATGTCGGCCGTGGCAAAGTTCGTCAGGATCTCGTCCATCTGCTGCGCGACTGGCAGCGCTTCGGCGTTCAGGACGTATCGCTGGATCGCGAAGTAAACTCCATCAGCGCTCGCATTGACAAGAGTAACCGTAAGTACCTACCCCGAGCGTGTCTCATGTTTAGCGCATGGTGTCTCAGAGATCGGCAATTCGAGGTGGAGTTGCTGGAAGCTGAGCTCGTATGGCGATGTAATGCTGCATTTGTTGTGTTGCTACTTGAAAGACACTTGCTAACAACCACGTGTTACAGATCTCAAAATCAAGCCCGTGACTTTTGTCGTCGAGCTCTTCGTCGTACTCGAACACGGACGCCGAGCGAATCTTTGCCTCGCACGCTTCACGCAGACCCGCGGCGCAGCCTCCAGTTTTCGAAAGGTTGTCGATATCGTCGAAGACGTCTGCCGCGCTCGCTGCATGTTGGTTGAGGATGAAGAGAAGAAGGCTTCCATGATGGCGGTTTTGGAGTAGGATACCAAGAGCAGGAAACTACGAGGAGATAACAACAGTAATGGAAAGGAATTCAGTGAAGGAGGAGGTAAGGAATGGGGATGCTTGGATACCAGATAGCATACTTCTTCCTAGTTGTGGGTAGGATCAGTATGTTGGATCAGGGTATTTCGTTCGCACCACATGCATAATGTGAGCATGGCAGGATAATGAAGAGGAGGGATGCAAGGGATTCTTCCTGCACACGACACAGATAGACAATCCTTCACGTGCTTCTTCATTTGACATGTGAATGTCTGTAAGATATTGGATGGACTGATACTGGTTTACCTACACGAGTACCCGTCCTGGAATAACACCTTAATGCGTAATGGTAATACTTTCTCTTTTGCACTTGTTTCCAAACTTCACTACTTAGGGCTTCCGTGTTGATCGCCCCGCCTACTCGTGGTTGGATGGGCTTCCGCTTTGCACAGATACCTCCACCATCCTCCGATCACGATCCCAACAGTCCCAGCCCCGTCACAGCCGTAACCACTGCCCCAACAACCAACACTACAATCCCACCCTTGTCCCCTCTTTCCTTCAATCCTTCTACTGCAACCCATGTATCCGTCACACACACCAACACCCAACTGCACATCAGCACACCCGTCTCTTTCGTTTGCCCCCTGGCGTAAAGCCTATAAATTGGTATATTAAGTCAGTACCTGTCTCTCTTCATCCCGTTACAGTGACCTTACTGACCAAAACAGACTGGTTGCAACCGTAACATCGCGTATACCGAGGAAGGTCATGGACTTTTGGTTGATGGTGTGGCCTTCGGGGGTGGTGGGGTAGACGCCGAGGGCGGCTGCGGCGGTGGTGGGGCGGATGAGAGAGAGGGCGCCAAGGGCGAAGAACGTGGTGGTTAGGCCTAGGCCGATGTTTCGCCAGGTTGGTTGGGACAGCAAATTAGAAATGGGAGACATGTTTGCTTTGACGTTGTTGATTTGAGGGAGATGTGAAGTTTGTGACTAGTGGGTGGGTGTCTGGAATTGATGCTGGTAGAAGAACGCTGGGGAGAAGTTGTGTACACACATATATATATATATATATATACAAATTATGTATTTGCGTATTCGACTGTGTAATTGTCGTTCTTCTTATTTTTTTTTGGTTGTTCAACTCTTTGGTGCGGTGTAGTGTATTCATGTGCTCTGCTAGTGGGCGTCGAGGGAATAATTCCGCACCTTACATAAGTGGCGCGATGCTGCTTAGTGGTCGAGACGGCTATACATGATCAGTAATATCACGGTGATGATTTCATGGTAGGCTCTATGCTTCTCACTGCATACTGCGGCGCTTCGTAGTTTGTTAGTATCGAGATGCTGTGACACTGTCACCACGGCTGTTATCAGACTGTGGCAGACACACGCTAACGCAGCTAGGAAAGCTTAGCACGCAATACCTGAGCGTCGCAATGCTGCATCGTCCAATGAAGCAAAGTGCCTCTTTTATGAATGAAATCGTTCATTTCGCACCGAGCACTTGTTGCTATAATAGGCATGTTGTGATTATGGGAGGTTGCGCTTGCGACATAGGACGTATCTAACGAGTCCCCAATAGCTCTTGCCTTCTTACACTTGCAGCGCCTACCGCGTTAGACCAGTATGATTTGAGTCACTGAGTCTCCTAGTGTTCACTCCGCACTCCACACTCTTCGCACACTCTCTTGCTGCTGTTGCCTGGAAGTCGGCGATGGTGCACCCGCTTACCATGCTACACAACTGAACTCGCATACTCTGCTTCGACCATTTACAGTCAACGTCAGACTCTTTCTTCCCAAACCGCTGTCTGTCACTCACCTCAGTTGGCTCGCACTTATTGTGGTCTCCGCAAACGATGAGTGTTGCGCCACATACTGACAAACTCGTCGATTGCTTCGCGTCCAGATCTACCTCCCCCCGCATAACCACGAAGAAAGATACCGAGACCACACTACACGCCCCAACGTATCGATGAAACATGTATAGACAAGGATTCGCCCTTCGTTCCCTGGTAGTCTACCTGCTGCTGCTGGTCCTCTTGGCAAGCTCTACAGCTGCAGACGAGGATGATAAATGGGTAATTGGTGTCGTCAATGGCAAGAAATGGAAGGTCAAAGATGACCGGCAGCCATCTCTCTATACTGCCGATTACGGCGACTGCCTAGGCGAGAGCGCTATCAACGTCACCCGATTTGATGCCGCTTACTACAAGGACAACATGACCATCGTCTTCCACTTGGAAGGTGAGACTGGGCTCCGCAGAGAGGACATAATGATGAACATTGGTGTTTATGCGTATGGAGAGAGTCGCTTTGATCTTACCTTTGACCCTTGCAACGCCAACATCAACAGCGCCTGTCCCGTTAGAGCTGGCGTTCATATCGAGGCGGCAGGTATCATACCGATCAACCAGAACGACACCGCTGGAATCCCAGAAATTGCACTCAGCATCCCCGACTTTGAAGGCCAGGCTATCCTTCGGCTGTTCTCCAACTCGACGCAGAATGAGATTGGCTGTTTCGCTGCGCAGATCACCAACGGCTACACATTCCAGCAGAAGAGCGCTGCAAGCTCAACGCTAGGAGTCTTCACTCTTCTGGCCATCCTCTCTTCGTTCGCCACGGCTGCCTATGAATCGGACATCGCCGATATGCGCAAGCATTACGCACATTCACCGTCGGTTTCAGTCGTCTTTGCCGTTTGGCATCACATCTTCTACAGCGGCGCGCTCTCGATGAATTGGCCGAGTGTCCTCGTGGGCTTCTGGAGCAACTATGCTTGGGCCGGAGGTATGATATACACTGAGCCAATGCAGAACATGATCAATGGCTTCATCGGCTCGAACAAAGGAAACACATCGCAGGTCGGTGCTGCGGGTACGGGTGAGGACAATCCTAATCTTGGGGGCGGCGTCGACATCCATCAGATATACAAACGAGGTGTGCTTCCTCCGGGTCTAGATCTTCAAGCTGCTTTATCGAAGCGCCAGTCCGTCGAAGCGAGCAGCGGGTTCCAGTACTACGGACTGCCAGTCAAACCTGGGCTTCCACTTCCAGGCAACTATTCAGGATTCGCTGGTACTCTTGCGACGGAGCGTATCCCAGCGAGCAACGCATTCATGACTGGACTGCTCTGGTTCTTGATCTCGATTGCATGCGTTATCGTCTCCATACTCGGCCTGAAAATTGTCCTCGAAGGCCTGAGTAGAATTCGCGTGGTCAAGAAGGAGCGCCTAGCATTCTTCAGGAGTCACTACCTTGCCTTCACCATGCTATCTGTTCTGCGCGCCGTCTTCATCGGGTTCTACATGTTGACATTCCTCGCAATGTTTCAGTTCTCTTACCTAGCTCTCTCTGCTCCTGTTGCAGTGGCCTGTATCGTCTTCGTTGCGGTGGTGTTCGGAATCGGCAGCATCGCCGCCTACGCTTGCTTCTCCAGGTTCCGCATCGGGAAATATGTCTCTGAACCCGACCGCTTGAACATAGCAAGGCAAAGAGTGTGCAAGATCGTCCCATGGATCAGCATTTCCAGGAACAGCAAAATTCCGCGCTCTGAAGACGAGGTATATGTTGCTACGATTCCTTGGTGGACGATACACGCCATGGCGGATACCATGTCAATCCATGCCGATGAGCAATACACTACAAGATTCGGGTGGCTCGCCTCGCGCTATAGGAGAAGCCGCTGGTGGTTCTTTGTTGTCTGGCTTTTCTACGAGTTCATTCGAGCAGGCTTCCTCGCCGGCGCATCAACTCAGCCCTTGGTCCAGGTCTTTGGACTCCTTGTGGTTGAAATTGTCGCATTCGCCAACTTTGTTATTCTTCGGCCTTTCGAAGGACAGCGCCTCAACGTCATGGTTATGTATCTTCTTGGTTTCAGTAAGGTTGCTACTACAGCGCTTTCGGCAGCCTTTGACACACGGTTCGGCGTCGCCCGCATCTCGACAACGGTGATTGGCATCGTCATTATCGTCATCCAGGGATTTCTGACGATTGCTGTGATGATTTTCATCTTGATCGGAGTTGTCTCAAGCTACATGTCCATCATGCGCAACCAAGAGGAGACCAATTCGTCGTGTTTGACCCCTACACGAGAGAAGTATTTCGCGCACATGGACTTTGCAGAACAGGATACCCCTCGACCACGTGCGGTGTCGGTCCATTCTGCCCCGGAAGTACCCAAGACGCCATACTTCAAAGTCAAGCAGGTAAGGCGAATGGCCAAGCTCGAAGATGAAGATGACGAGTTCATGCGAGAGATCAACGCTGGTTCCGCCTCTGAGCACCTGCTGCCACAGCAAGACTGTAGCTACAATGCAGCTCGACCAGACCAAGGCAACAGAACGAGAAGTCTTCATTCGCAAGCGTCGTACTCGAGTCTACCCAGAGCTGCCCGTCAGCATCGTCCAAGCTGGAGCAGACAGGATTATAGCGGTCCGATGGGTCTAGGACGTCAGCGGGCTTTGAGCGACGTTCAGACTCCAACTCGTAAGGAAAGCAACAAGACTATCGATATACACCAGAGTCCTCTCGGTACCTACCAAAGTCGACCAGACACTCCGACTCTTTCTTCGGCGTAAGACGAGCAAATCATGCAGAGCAGCCATACGACCAACATCAGCAGCAGAGAATCGCAAGCCGAGTACATCGTCAAATAACAAACAGCTTTCCATCAGCTTAACCCAGTATGATACGACGGGAGTGGAGGGCCCGATAGATTCTTCCCTTTCCACATCGACACAGCATCAGCACTGAACATGAACATCCATGAATCTTTGACAGCAACACGCGAGCCACATCTTCTTTTCCATCTGCTTCAGCGACAGAGCGTCAGCAGTGTCTTGCGTCGGGCTGGGTGACGAGACAAAGGTCCTGGTGTATGATTTAGAGAGGTTGGATATGGTATGTTTACGATGCGTATGAATAACGAACAACGAATGACGAGACAAATCCGGATGGCGGGTAGCCACACAAAGGCGAATGTGCCAAGTAACGATGATAAGGATATAATGATGAAAGATTACGTCGCTCATAGCAGGTTTGGTGCGGTCAGTGCATGCATGCGTGCGTGATGTGGTGGTTGACTCCACCTATGCGCAGAACTCCGGATGCCAGTGCGAAAAATCGGAGAAGAAAAGTTGGAACCAGGCGCGGGCCGCCGTTGACGTTGCGCGAGCATGCGACGGCGTCACCAGCCACACCACACCACAGCGGGATCCATAGATGGCGTACAGCAACACCAGCGCTAGACGGCTCGCGGCATTACAAACAATAAATCCTGAAACGCTCTTGGGGAATCATGATAATGTCGCGTCAAGCCGCTGGCAATCTCCTCCCGCTCTTCGCATCCCAGCCTAGCAAATCTTGTTGCAGAAGCTCTGGTTGGGGGGACTGGATACTCGCCTGCCGCTGTTTAATCTCCACGACAGGGACGAACAGGCACTACACAGATTGAACGCAAGATTACGCGCCTGGGCATCGGACTTGAGAAGGCAACATGGCATTCTGTATTGTTCCCGATGCCAGGTTAGCCGTGCTATTTCCAGAATGGCGTGCAAGATGTTGTGCGGGAGCCAAGAATCTTGATAGAGAATCATGGTCCAGACTGCCCAGTGCCAGGTCATTTGGGAGGGGGGGCTATGACAAGGTTGCGCTCCGTGGCCCACCCTTGTCAAGATTTGCAGGTGGTGAGACATTGCGTTAGAAAAATCGTGTGCCGTTGCCCTGTTTACAGAGATTGCTTCATGTCACGACCCATGTTGGCGAAATCTGGAGCTGTGGCGTCACTTCTTCAGCGGGTGGAGGTGGAGAGACTGGAGTAAAATCGGACACAGGGCGCCACAGAACTACGTCACGGTTGCTCTGCTGACCACAGGACACGGGTTCTTGCAACTCGCAACGGCTCCGTAGGCCGGATAAGAGCATGTAGGGGATTTTGGACGATCAAATATGGGTGCGTATGCGTACATGATGGCTACAGGTGAGGGGAAGGGGGGGTGCAGTAACGCGTGGTTGGCACGATAACATTGTTGCGACGCACAACGTTGAGTTAGCCCTGCCGCATCAATCTGAATCATTCATCTAGGCGGCTTATCGAGGTCGGTCTACCTTCTTTGAGCGCGGCGGCATCGCGATGGTGAGAGGCGGCTGCGTGTTTTGCATGGCCCAGCCACGGCATTCTTCGATCGCTACTGCATCAGGGACCAACGGTGACGTCGCTGCTTCCTTAAGGTTGTGGCGCCCGCCCCACACGCGACCGTACCGACCAGGGATGACCTTGTTTTGCGCGACTGCTTTGAGCGCGCCGAATGTCCATCTTTGCCGTTTGGGGTGCACTTTGTGAGCAAACCTGACTTTTTGCACACTGACGTTGTCGACGCTTGGCTGTTTGCGGATCCCATACCAGAGTCACCTGCAGGATGAGTTTGAACGGAAATTTCGTCTGCACAGGGCGCCTGTGTTCGAAGATGAGGTGAGGGAAGGCACGGACACGGTGTGACGTAGCTTTTATGCAAGGGCAGTCGCTGTTTGCCCACAGTAGTAGCCGCGACTGCTTATAAGTGAGAGGGTCTTTGTTGTTTGTCGACCTTCTCTACTCACATACACACCAACCATCTAACAACGAACCTACAAACAATCAACTCTACCTTCGACCTCGAAGTACCTTCTCCCACCCACCCGTACCAATAACATCACCAAAACACACATAAGAACAACACCGCAACAATGGGTGCCGTAGTATCTTGCATCAAGTCGATTGTACGTATATTCCCTTCGCTTTTGCTTCCTTGCCATGTAAACGAGTTGCTAACACGATCCTAACAGTTCCGCACCATCGGAAACTGCATCATGGCCATTGTCAACGCCATCGCTGCTGGTCTTAAGGCGATCATCAACGCCATCGTCTCCCTCTTCGGCATCATCATCAGCTGCCTGACCTGCGGCCGTGGCGGCGGCGGCAGGAGAAGGACCACGCACACTAGTAGAGTCTAGTGTGGACCCGTTTCTCACCTGTCGTTGTACTGATGAACACGCGTGTTTGTCAGGATGGCGCATGAGGAGATTCGGGTATTACTGAATGGAACACGGACTGCTGTTACAACGGACGATTGGACGAGCACGTCACTGCCAAGGTCGTACGACGATATCGCGATTGCATTATCGACACCGGGCTTCCTCAGCGATAGTGACGGACCAAGCGAAGATTGTTTGTTGAAGAGTTGTGTGGATGTTTTATACCTTATACCCCGAGTACGAGAAGGATGTGGATGTGGTAATGACGGGACTGCATGGAGTTTGAGCGACTATCCCACCCAGCGAAACCTTTTTTCCTTTTGTCTTTTGACGTAACGTCTGCGAGAGATGGATGTGCTAGGGACGTGGAGGAAATCATTCTTGATCGATCACGACCTGTCGCATAGATACCCCCAGCTTTCAATGGATGCACTATAATACCCGACTTGTTTACCTTTACCTTTGTGAATACTGTTGTTGATGTCGGCCGTAGGACTTCGTATCCTTCACGATCTCACGATCTCACGACAGTCGTACGCAAATCTTTGTTCGCGCACTCACCGATGTTGTCTAACTATGGTACTACTCTTCAATACAGATGCCCCCATTTCCTCTCCGCGGGTGCTTTTAGAGTTGCATTGCAGGACTTGACGATGCACATGATGGAAACGATAGCGTCTGCGCCATGGGATGGTAGCGCATGCGCTTGTATCACGCCTTCCACGGGAGCTTGGTCCACTACAGAAACTCTATACGTCTGCGCCACATTCCTTAACATTCTACAATGATTCCTGCGCGACGATACCTCCTATTGTCGCATCTCGCGGAACAGATGGATATCATCTCTAGGACGTTGGTTGCTATCTTGTCAATAGATATTGAGAGATGTGGCGATGAAGCATGTTGTGCTGTATCTCACGTAGACTCACGCGAGTAGAAGTGGTACAAACTAGTGAGTGGACGGTCGCGAGGTAGTATGAAGAGGGTAAACAGACGAACAGATGGAGATGTAGTCACCATTCTGAGCACTGGGTCCAAGTAGCGAAGATGGCCTTGTATCTTATATATTACAATGCCAGCGATCGACAGGAACAAAGGTGAAGGAAAATGGCCTCGGAAAATTGACACGCGTAGACAAATCAAGGTTCACAGCAATCTCGATAACCTAGTATACACGTCTATCTACGCCTCTACGGGCGGTAAAATCTTCGCCTTCCTCATCCTCTCCCAGGAAATGAAAAACCCTTCCGCCGTATCAATCTCCTCGATGAATCCCACCTCGCGACTCCTCCTCAAATCATACTGCCTATCAAAATCAAACTGTACAAGCATAAAGTGCACAAACGCCCAATTCTGCTCATCGACAACAGCTTCCTTGAGCCCATGCTTCTTCGCAAGCAGCTTCCACGCCTCGATATGATCCCTGACAAACTTCTCCATCGGAACAGTAGTCGCAGCAGTGGTATCACGAAGCGCAGCAGGAGGACCTTGGCCCTCGAGACCAAAGTGCTCAGCTAGCTTTGGCCATATCTGCGCCCAGGTAACAGGTGCTGCGCCATTAGCAACGTTGAATACCTGGCCGTTACCGCCGCACTCTTTGGCGTGTGTCGCAGCGTAGATTTCCATCTTGGCAAGCACGTCTTGGAACGTATCAGAGTGCGTAGAATGGTATCCGCGCGCGTTGCCTGGGAAGGTTACGACGGCGTGTTTGCCGTGTACGGCTCTGTAGATGGAGAGGTATAGACCGATGCCTTGGGATAGGTTCATTGCGTTGGACGTGGGTGTAAAGCCTATGATGCCATCGGGTCGGATTTCGGTAAACGTCCAGGGTTTTCCGCGCGACTTTTCAGCCAGGAGGTCGTATTGGGTGTAGTAGAAGATTTTGCTGGCGTAGGGTTCGGGGATGCGAGGTGAGGATTCGCGGAGGGGGACGTGAATGTTGACTTTGTCGGGAAATTCCAGGCCGTAGCTTTGTGGAAGATTGTGTTAGTGTGATGCTGGGGAAGATGGGCATGGAGTATGAAGCTCGGGTTCTCTTACCCTTTTCCTCCGGTCTGTAAAACGAATGATTCGAGTTTGGTTGAAACTTGTTCTATTGCTTCAATGGCAACTCTCAGGAGGTCTGTGTTGACTTTCTTCAGGCTTTCAAAGTCCCCAGTCTGTATGTATGCTACCAAGTGGAATTAGCTTGTGACGTTGTCTGGTTCCATGGGAAGATTCTACCGGTGAAGAAAACATGCGAGATGCTTTCTACATCTTCGACCCTTTCCCTTAACAACCTCACAACCTCAGGGACCGATTTAGTCAGATCGATCCCGCTCACAAGATTCAGTCGCGAGTCGGCTGGAAGCTGTGCTTGATCTAGAGTGAGGGGTCTGTTTGAAAGACCAGTGATTCGAGAAAAGGTAGTCAGAGTAGGATACGTTGTGATTTGGTTGAGCAGCGCCCAGCCAGATATCCCAGAGGCTCCAAAGATCAGCGCGTGAGACATGGTTTCGTTGGAAAAGCAGACAAGATATCGATGATGTGTAAACTTGCTGCAACTATTAGCCGTATATGTATGTTACTTGTTCTGCGTGCAGCGATGGCTAGGTGATATCGAATCGACTTCTGATAGCATCTCGGTTAACCATGACGTTTACCGATTAGGTGGATTTGTCAGTTGCTAGCTTCTCGGGTTTGATTTGTAACACGGACATGCACATCGTACATCAGAGCATCTTCAACTCGAGGCCTTTTTGCTGCCACAACCGGGATTTGCTCATGCTGAGGATAGCCGGAAGTCGACATGATGCCGGAGGTCAGGACCGGTTAGTGATTAGGCCGGTATGTAGAACCCGAAGTAACCGGCGCTAAGCAAACCTCCACCACGACCATCATGAGTCCAGCGAAAGGAATCTCTGAATCCCGGACTGGAAAAGAGCGTCTAGCCTCCGTTGGATAATGAGCATGCAGCCGGAATCGCAACCGCAACCGCATGCGCGATCTACCGCTCCTACCAGGTGTCGGGCCGCAAAAGCCTGTCGAGTATGTCACGAGAAGCGCGTCAAGTGTGACGCCAGTGAGCGCGGGACGCCTTGTACACGTTGCGAGCAAAGACAATTGCCTGGATGCACGCTGATGCAATCGAGAAGAGGCATCTATACCCGCAAGCCGAGGCGTAAGCCCCAAGGACCGACCGCTGGAGGCTGCACAGACGTTTCCGGAAGTACTGGCCTCGCTGTGAGTGCTTCGACTGCCGCCGCGAGTAGTTCTCCTACCGTTGTACATGATGCCGGTACTGGTGCTGGTACCGCGAGTACCGCTGAGTTTGCTGAGCGCTCACCGCCCGAGGACGAGGGCGTTTCGAGCACTCCAAGTACAGGCTGTGCGTCTTCCTACCGTGAGATAAGCTGGGCAGCCACATTTGACCATCTTCTCGAACGCTACCACAACAACGGAGATGTTCTAAACAAGCATTCCATAACCTACATCGGAGAAGCGTTTCCTCTAGGCATCGTCCTGGAAAACCTCAGAGAAGGCGGCGCTCATCGCCACCAACTGCACCACCCGGGCCCTCCCTGCGGCGACCAAGATGCCGTTGCTGCTGCTGCTGCTGCTGCTACTGCTACTGAGAGCCCCAAGCTCACGCATCCACCTGGCATGCGCCCAGAAGAACTCGCTTTCCTCGAAGCAAAACAGGCATTCACTGCGCCTCCAGATGAGACTGTAGACGCACTCATCGGCGTCTTCTTCGAGCGCGTCTTCCCGCTCTACCCCATTGTCAACCCTTCTGAGCTCGTCCTACAGCACAAAACCCGGCGCATACCTTGGATCCTCCTCCACGCCCTCTGCTTCATGTCAGCGACGTATTGCCCCCTAGCCATGATCCACCGCGCGGGCTTCAGCACCCGCACCCGCGCACGAAGCGCCTTCTACGACAAAGCCAAGGCCCTCTTCGACATGAGCTACGAGGGCAACAAGATTATCGCCGTCCAAGTATGCATCATGATGAGTTTCTGGGGCGGGGGTCCAAGCCACTACTGGAACTTTTATACCTGGATCTGCACGGGCGTTACGATTGCCGAGACGATTGGGTTCCATAGGAGCATGGCTGGGGCGAATATCGCGAGCCAGGACCGCAGTCTGATTAAGCGGCTTTGGTGGATCTTGGTCATCCGGGATGCCATGTGCGCGTCCATAGTCGGCCGTCCGTTTCGCATACATCTGGAGCAGTGCGATGTGGATGCGCTGACGCGGGACGACTTTGTCTACGATGATGATGCCGACTCGTCACTTCTTCTTGTCGAGTGCATGCGTAGTCCTCTTGCGCAGCAATCGGGCGCTTACCAAATCCACGCAGCCAAGCTGGCTCTTCTTCTCCGCCACATCATCGCCGTGAGATTCAATCCGAAGCGCAAACAGGATGCAGGTACTCCTGCGGTTGCTTCCCTGCAGGAAATGATGACTGCGTGGCGTAGGGAGCTCCCGGGGGAATTCACCTGGGAGGATCACATTAGTACCCATTCCAACGTCTTCGTATCCACGCTGCGCATCTTGTATAATCACAACGTCATCTTGGCTTATGTGCATAGTTCCATTGGCTCCGCCACTGTACCCGAGCACGGAATCTCTGTTCCTGAAGCTTCTCCATTCTCGCAGCAAGCAACAGCAACAGCAACAACAGCAGTACTTCAAGAAGACATGCTCAGCGACGCAGCTCAGCAAATCGCCTCCGTGTCTTGTAACGTGGTCATGACGGATGACGGCCAGCTCCCGCCGCATGAGCTCTTCCATGGTCTCTTCGTCGCCTCCGTCGTGTTTTACATGATGCAGACGAATGGTACTACTACTGGCCAGAAGGCGCTTGTGGCGCGCGCGGGCGTGTCTGGACTGATGAATTGTAAAATGGCGCTGCATGCTGCGAGGGATACTTGGGATGCGAGTCCGTGGATCACGCAGTTGTTTGACAAGGTGCTTTGCTTGGGGTTGCCTGCTGCTGCTTCGGCGGCGGATAGTAGAGCGGCGGGTGGTGGTGGTGGTGGTAGTGAGGAACGAGGTGATGGTGATGGTGAAAATGACGGTGTGGGTGCTATGGAAGGTGGTGGTGGTGATGGTACTATGGGCTTCAATGACCTGAGTGCTTCTTTTGATCTGGATGGTTTCGGTATGATGGCTGGGTATTATGGAGCGACTTGGCCTAATCATCCTTTTCTTGGGCAGTTTGTTTGACCAACATAGTTTTTTCCGGCCGCAGTTGCGCGCGCGTTGTTCGTGGCAAATTTTCTGCCTCTTTAGCGACGATGGGATTGGGGACTAGGAGATGTAAAGTGCTAGGTTACAAGTTCTATGGAGGTCAGTCAGTTCATCTGCATTCCCATTTTCGCATTGTTTGTTAATGTGTAATGGGTATCTCAATTCATCAAATATACCAAGTCCTTAACGAAAGCAAAAAAAGAAAAATATCAAATTCTAAATCTCCCTAAAACTCCCTTGGACAGGTTTCCTCTGCACATGATCCCCCTGCGTCGCCAACGGCGAAAACGCACGATACGGTTGCTGTTGCTGTTGCTGTCCTCCTGCGCCAGCGACGCTTCCGCCCACGGGCGTATAACTCCTCTGTCCGGGGTACGCGGGCGCCGCATTCGTGAAACTAGCGTGATCTGTCGATTGGCTTGCTGGGTAGCCTGGCTGAAGGGCAGCTGGTGCTTGGGGAGGGGTATAGGTATCGTTTTCGTGTGAGTGGTACGAGGGGGATGGGTTGGAAGTGTAAGGATCGGAGTTGTTGTAGTTGTTGTTGTTATTGTAAGGGTTTGCAGGGGCGGGTGGTGAGGGGGATTGGTAGCGCTGGTCGACGTGTTCGTCGTAGTAGTCTCTCTGGTCGTAGGTTTGCGGGACCTGTTGGCCGTATGCGCCTGGGCCTTGCTGGTTGTATTGACTCAGTTGGTCTCGCGAGTCGTAGGCTTGTGCTGCGCCTGGCGAGCGACGGCCGTATGGTTGCTGCTGTGGTTGACCGTAACCATCACCAGCAGCGTAGGCTGGCGATCCTCTCCTGTATTCGTCCTGTTGTGCATACGGTCGACCATATCCTCCCTGGTTGTTCAGCGGCGCTCCTTCGCTGACGAAGGACTCGTTCTGGTAGCCACCTTGAGGGTAACCGTAGTTATCTACTGGCGATACCGGGGACCTGCCTGGGCCAGGAGATGGTCGTGTCGCTGGTACTGCTGCTGCTGCCACCATCCCCCCTCCCATGGATCCGCTCGTCACGCTGCCGTTACGGTCCAGCCTATCCAGCTCCATATCGCCTTGTTTCTGCGGCACAGGCTGTTCCTCTACTTGGACGTGCACGTCGCGTCCGTCCTTCCACGTCGGCATAGCAGGTAGGGCGTCCTCATTGACAACAGCGCGCGTGGAATCAAACGTGGCAAATTGGGGTCTTTCGGGCTGGGCGGCGGCGTGCGGAGTGAATGTCGGCATGGCATTGGAGCGGTATTGCTGGTTGATTGGGCGGGTGTCGATGGGCGGAGCGGGCGGCGCAGCGGCGTGTGCTTGAGCATACGGGTTCTGGGCATAGGGATTCGGCTGAGGAGGCGCACCATAGGGCGTGGGGTACTGGGCTGCTGGGTCGCTCTTGACGCGCTTGTGTCCTCTTCCGCCACTGCCACTGCAGCAGCAGGTGCAGCATCGAAAGCAGCAGCACGCCAACTCGGCGCCGCAGCATATGCATCGCGCTATGCAGGTAATTACGGATATGAGGATGAGGCTTCCGACGATGATTGCGACAATGACAGGCCATCTGTTTGCATGTGAGCATGGGATTAGTCCGCTTGTCGGATTTCAGAGGGCTGATGCAACGCACTTGCAGTAGGCCTTGGCCATACAATTGTCCCATGAGCTGAGCGTGATCCTCGCCTCGTCCAGGGGATTCTGGCGCGCAAACAGCGAATGCGCGAACAGCGACGGCATCGCGTGGTAATGTCTTCGATTCGATTCCTTCCGGCCAGCGGGTTTAAGGGGAGTCGCGAGTGCAAAGGCCGGGTATGGGGTAGAACGGCTACAGATGGGGATATAACGATCGTCGGTTCACAACGTGCTTCATGTCATTGTGAAATCCCACTGCATCAGGAAAGGGACGAGGTGAACAGCAGGTGGCCTGTACATGTGTTTGTGCATTGGTCGACTCGGCTCCTTGAATGACGACGGGTAACCAAGGCGAAACGTCCGTGAAGCTTGGAAGGGGCGGGAGAAGGCCAAGCACCCTTGTCTACGCGGTTGGGTGGCTGAGTTAGCCGCTAATCCTCGTTTCGCATCGTTTTCCCTCTTATTCCCCGCGATAAAGCGTAACCGTTACGACGTATCTGTAGCGTATCGAGGATCCGAGTAAAAAGGTTGATGGAGCGTGGTCATGGCGCGCAATAGTCCTTCTATTGTTGGTGATCTGGCGGGTGGTGAAGCTGACAGCGGGGAATAGGTACGCGTGGCACGCCATGAGCACAAAACCGCTGACCATCGATGGATTCGACAATATTCTGTATAGAGTGCGGGGAATATGAGCCTATTCTCTCTCAATCACTCGTAGTACACCGTGAACTAGGCGTGCAATGACTACTGTTCGGGAAGAACGGCAGAGATGGCCACCATCCATCCGATATCCGATATGAGCATATGTAGAACAACGCCGTCGACTGAAAGCAAGACTTGTACAACATGTTCCTCATCCTTGACCATGATACTCACTCATGACCCCCGACTTGAAATAACCATGTGGTTTATCTGGAACTTTATCTCGATAAATTACGACATGTATTACACCAACCTTCGTCCCCACAGCCTGCCCGGCCACAAATGGCATGCTCCTTTCAAGCCTTTGGGCCAGTGGGCTGCCATCGACAACCTGTACGGCGAGCAAGCTTGGATAGACAATGATACCGTCCTGGCTGGTGTTACTTCCATCAGTGGCTTTGAGGCGATGCTTTGCTTGGTTTACCTTTGGAGTCTAGTTCGGGGTCGCGGGTCGAGTAAAGCGACGAAGACAAATACTGTCCGCCCAATGACTACGGACACCGCCGTTATCGGTTTAATAGTTGCTGTGGCTCATTGGACCAAGATGTGGATGTATAGTAAGTTTGTGCCTTGACGTTGGGTGGCCTTTCTACTGAGCATGAGAACAGTTACCGCGCAGCAAGCTTCCCAACGCTTCTGCGAGCACAGTTCTATCCCTTCTCGTCTGATTTGGATGTTGGTCAAGTAAGCAGTTCAACGTATATACTTGTCCCAAGGTTGACTCGGAATGATAGCTATTCATCTCTTCTCTTCTCTGCGTATGCGACAGGGGTCTTTACGGGAGTGATAACATCGGGCTCCCAGGATCACGAGGAGACACAGCCACATCCAACGCCTCCGGCGGAAAAACAGCGTATTAAATAACCTCGCGGCCGCTTACAGTACTATCAGTGGGAAATCAAGAGCAACCTGTTTATCCATCAATACAATGGTACAAGTCTCCACAAGGCGTCTTGGGTGTGGTTCCGCCTGCGCTGCTACGTCCAACAGAACCAGGGTTCCAAGACCCCGCCCCTCCCCCGCACTAACCGCATCAACACCTCTCCCACGCCAGCTGCCCCTTCCAGCCAGCTCCAGCCCACCTGTCTCGCCCCGCCCCTCCCAACCACATTCACCTACGTCACCGATCACGCAGCTGCGTACTACGCACCTCTAGCCGGCTACATAACCCACACCATGTCGTCTCCAGCCCAGCCCTCTCCTCAAGTCCTACAAGCCTACCAGCAAAGACTAGAAACCCTTTACCAAAGTCTACCGGACCTTGTCACTACCGAGCAGGAAGACAGAACCGAAATCGAAGCACTCGAACAAGACGTTGGTAACCTTGACGTCAAGGAACAGAACGTACAAGACAGGGCCAACAAGTACTGTCAAGAGTTTCTCTACATCGGCGGTCCTACACCCCACAAACAAGACCTCACATCAACCTAAACCACCATGCCTGACCACCCCGTTGAGCAAGGTGCCGCTGGCAGTACGTTGACTGGCCCTTCCTCTTCCTTTCTCACCCTAGAAACAACGCTGACCAAGTCATTGTCCCACACAGGCCTCACCGATAAGATCGCAAAAGAGTCGTCCGACTCGACCGCCTCTTCGCACGCGAACCACGCTGATATCCAGGCTCACAACTCAAAGGGGCCTGTTGTTCCTGATAGCATGCCCAAGGCTGAGAGCAAGGAGGAGCTTAAGAAGAGGGCTGAGGAGTTGAACAAATAGATGGCATGCGGAGTTGGAATGGAGGAGATATGCTAGGTTGTTAGCGAAAGTAGAAGGAGATATGATGAATAGATTGTGATGTGTTGTATTCGTGTGTTTGTCGTGGTGCTGATAGTGCTCTTGTTTGAGCTGTCGGGTTGAGACGTGTGTTATGCAGACTTGCACTGGTGCGCTTGATGATCGATATCTACTGTTCACGACTACTGGGTTCTAGCATCTCGTTACTGGTGATTCAGTATGTGAGGATCTCATCTCTGGTGTGCTGGCTCGTGCATGCCCCGCGAGTCCATACACTGCTCTTATCATCTGAGGGAAGCCTTGCGGGGTTGAAGGTAAAGTGGTCGATGCCGGGGAAGATGTTGGCGTAGCTTGGGACGGTCGAAACCAGTCTCCCGATTTTCGATAGATTGTCTACTTGTCTTTGACATATCCCTTCACCATGGAGAGGAAGCTGACATTTTTCATATCAGCTGTTTAAGCCTTGGAAAATCAAGGCTTCATTTCAATAGAAGGGAAGGTATCCATGTGAGCGTGAGTAAGGCGTCTTTGTCTGGAGCAGATGATACGAGCCGCAAGACCAGGCTGAGGATGCTGGGCTGATCCAGTTCGGCTACTGGAGCAAAGTGGAAAGTGGAAGTGCTGCCTAACCATGCCACAATCTCACCGGTACTGCTAGCTCGCTGCCGAGTTGCCCCACCATAGACCCTTGGGCAACACTGTCGCAAACAACTATACTCCGACCAACTTCGCATACAGTCCGTCTGGCTCAATATTCTTCTAGTACGATTGTGTTGTACCTGTTTGTCTTCCACTCCATTTCTTTTTGATCACTTGTCGCCTCTGTCGAGCCCTGGACTATTGGACAGATGAGTGATTCAACGAAAAATGGCACCCTTTGCGAGCGCTGCAGACTTCTCAGCTTTGACGATCTTGCACTTGGGGGTCAGGAAGTAGTAAACAAAGATGGCATTGCACGACTTCGTTTCCCTGAATCTCGGATCGAATCACGCCCTCGGAGTTGTCCGCCGGAGCTTTCATTTTACCGACTGGTCCGCCTTGATTGGAAGGTCGAGGACATCCTCCCTGACATGCCGCGTCTATCCCATTCCTCTCAGCTCGGCTGTCCATTCTGTCAAGCTTTACTCAGGTCACTAGAGGACGCATTTGCGAAAGAGGCAAGAACCGGTATCATACACGACGGTGCGCTGAATCTGGTTGCGTATCTTTCGCTAGTTGACGAAGGTATCGGAGGCTTGATAGTGGAGGCGACTTCGCCACGTTCCAATCAGAGCTGGCATGACAAAAGGTTAGAAATTCAAGCTTTTTTCCATATTGAAGCAGACAGTAGTAAGTCACGTTCCCCAGATGAATTCTGGACCGTACAGACTAATCGTTGGATCTGTAGATTGCGACAAATGGCTAGGAGCTCCACCTGCGCGTGTAGATTCGTACTTGGACCCCACCAATATCGGCACAATCCGTCGATTTCTCAATCACTGCACGTCAAAATGCCACCCTTGGATCCCATCTCCATTCATACCCACAAGGCTTATAGACGTCGGTCATGACGCATCTGATGTCCCTCGTTTGGTTCTTTCTTCTGACATCTGCAGAACTAAACAACCAAAGTATGCTGCACTAAGCTACTGCTGGGGCGACGAAGAAGATGCCGAGTCGCAGTTCAAAACCGAAAAAGCATCTCTTGAACACATGTGTGTAAGTCTGCCCAACGAACTCATGACGCCAACCACAAATGATGCCATCGCGATCACAAGAGCAATTGGTCTTCGTTACGTTTGGATAGACGCTCTTTGCATCATACAAGATGACAAGGATGACTGGTCACACGAATCTTCTCAGATGAATCTGGTTTATCGCCACGCATTTGTCACATTCTGCAGCCTCAACTCGAATTCATGTCACGAAAGCTTCCTCAATAGAGCACCTGCAGTAACAGTTCCCTTTCAGTCTACTTTAAACAAAGCTGTCAAGGGTTCTTACTTAATTCGACTACGATCAAGGACGGATGTCGATTTAGGTTGCACCAAGTATAGATGGGATTACTCATCGTCTAAGTGGAGTAATAGATGCTGGACGTATCAGGAACAAGTAATGTCAACTCGACTCTTACTTTTCGGAAGCTTCAAGGTGCATTTTGCTTGTGCCACATACCAATGGTCAGAGGGAGACAAAGCCCCCGGGCGTATGTCGACATCGACAACATTAGACCAGGTAGCCAAGTTTAAGGAATCTCGTATCTCTGCCAGAGAACTTTATCAATGTTGGGACTCCTTGATCAACAATTACGGTCATCGCTCGGTAACATTCGACAAGGATCGCCTTTCCGCTATTGCCGGGCTGGCTCGCATAGTAGGCGAAGCACTACAGGATCAATATCTTGCTGGACTCTGGAGAAGAGATCTACTGGAAGGCTTGATGTGGTACAGCTCTAGTCCTACGATGGCACGCGGACTCGATGTTTACCTTCAAAATGTTCGACAACGTAATTATGTTGCCCCATCCTGGTCTTGGGCAGCGTGCCAAGATGTGGGAAGTACGAGATCTTCCGATCAATATCTTCGACGAATAACGCACAGAGCAACTGTAGTGGATGTTGGCGTTGAAACCGACTCTGAGAATCCATATGGACAAATCTCTGGGGGCTTTCTCCGGATCCGCGGGAAATTGGCTGCGATGCCAACTTGGGTAATGAACAATAAACGCAGCAATTGCGGTGAATGGTCAAATTCTTGGTTCCAAGATCTGGGACCCGGTCTCGATTGTCTCTACATCGTCACGGACTGGATTCACAATGACCGAAAAGCTGGACTAGACCTTCTCGTTGTGATGCTTCTTTTTGAGATTGAGCCTGACGGTGAAACAAGAGCACCAGATGTACGAGCTCTGTTGCTCCATCCTGCAGATGGGCCAAAGCGATACTATCGAGTGGGAACAATAAGATCTAAGGGACCAAGAGGGTACGAACTGATGGCAAATTGGTTCAAGGATAGTCAGGAAGATACGATCTGCATCATCTGATACGAGATCATCTAGGAAAAAGGTAGATACACTACAGCAGCGTAGAGGGAAGTATGCATTTGCAAGTGAGGACGTGCTCTACGCATAGGTGGGGACTCTTGAGAGCACCTCAACAGTCACTGAGGACATTGAGAGCGGTATTAACCAGCTCGTCAGGAAGTCCGGGAGAGCGAGCGAACTAAGCTGAGCATTAGACGATTCACAACTATGAGCACGTCTGTAGTCAACTAAGGACGAGGTGATTTGACACGAGACAGAGGTAGCTTATAAAGGTTTCCCTACAATTAGGGGTGAGTTCGAGGGAGGTGGGAGTGACTTCGGTGTTGTCGAAATGGCTACTGTATACGAGTAAGATGAGGGTATCGTAGGAAAAGACAAAGAGGGAAGAAAAAGACTGAAAGGAGACGAGGTTGGTGGAACTTTTGTGGTCAGCTGCTTATCTGTAGGCTACCGTAGTACCGATGAATGCATTGAACGGGGGGAGTCGTCTTGGATGACCATTATCATGGATAGCGCTACCTCATACTAGCATCTCTATCACATTGCCCCTAGCATCATCATTCTTATAGATCTTTGAGCAAAAACCCACCGCTCTGTTGGTTCTGGAAAACTTTTCCAGGATCGTACTTTTCCGCCACCTCCTTGAGCTTCTGAACATTGGCCGCACCATACGATGCAATCGGGTTCTGGTCGCGCGATGCGTCATTGGTGAAGATGAAAGGTATGTCAAGACCACGCTCTTCACTGAGCTGCTTCATGGTATCAGTGACTGCAATGGGCACGGCGCGCACTGCCGCATCGTCGGCGGCAGCAGTCCAGTCAACTAGCGTAGTCCACCCTGATATCTTGTTAGATCATAAAAAGAGAGGCTGTATGGATGTGACCTACATTGGTGCGTCTTCTCAGGAATACCCATGGGATTTCCACCGGCGGCATTGCTAGCTGCAGTTAAGCCTGCGGTGATAGGTTGCAGCACGAATGTCATGTTTGCGCCTGTCTCAGCATGTACGGCGGTCGCCTTTTCTTTCCAAATGGCGTAGACGTCTTTGTAAAGTTGAGCGTCCACATCCGAGCTAACGCCCCGGTAATCGTGACTGAGGGTTGGTTAGCAGGATGGACGCACGTTCTAGTGTCTGAGAAGCTCACCGCATAGGTTCAGAGGAAGAGGTGGATGCTAATATTTGGGACAGAATGTTTACAGTGCCAGTCGTAGGCGGAACTGCAACGGCGAGAGGGGCGGGCAGGTTGTCAAAGGCAGCAAAGATGTCGGGAGGCGCTTCAGGTTCGGCGTAGAGGAACCCTAATGTGATGGAATCGAGACCAATGATCATCGCTACGGTGGCTCTGGAGTCGGACGATGCAGTTTCCTGCCACTTGGCAAAGGCGTCGATGCAGGCCACAGCATTATCGGAGCTGTAGACAGACACCGTATACCATATCTTATGTACAGGCACGGTGTACATGTCGAATTTGGTAACAATGCCTGATTCTCAGTGAGCAAAATAATCCTACACGAACAGTCAGAGACTTACCGAAGTTGGGTCCTCCGCCTTTGAGAGCCCAGAACAGATCACTGTTGGAATCGGCGTTGGCATTCACAACAGATCCATCCGCCAGGACGACCTCAAAGTCCTTTACATTGTCTGCTGCAAGGCCATATTTTCCAGAAAAATGGAAGAAGCCACCTCCAAGTATCAGTCCGCCTACGCCGACTTGAGGAATACGTCCTCCAATCACACTTAGTTCATACGAGTCCAAGGCCTCATAAACCTTTCCCCACTTTTGGCCAGGTCCTATACTAGCGACTTTCTTGTCGTCACTGACACTGATCGCGTTCAATTTCTGGAGATCGATCAGAATGCCGTCTTCACCGATCGACGACCATCCGGGGTTCGGTGAGTGTCCTCCGCTGCGCGTAGCGAACTTGAGCTTGAAAAACTTGATAATCATCATAGCCACAGAAACATCTTTCTTGCTCTCGGCCAAAACAACGCAGCTTGGCGACTTCCAGCATGTTTGTGACCTGTAACCTAAGGTAAGTACCCAAAAAGTCCAGAGGCAGAAGTCCAAGCATGATGGAGACTAACCAATTATCGTCCGTCAAGGTGGCGTTGACAGGCTTTGAGTTTACTTTGGTCTCTCCTAGGATCAGCTTCAGTACTGCGCAAGCTGCACTGGTCAGCATCGAGCCATCCTCGGATTTTCCAGTCAGGAATTCATCGACGGCAGGGTAGTCACTGAAGACATTTAGAACGGCGTTAGCCTGCCCATCAGGAAGGTCGAGAGAGTGGACCAAGCTAGGAATTGGGCTGGGCATGGGATGATTCATAGCGACTAATGCGTCGGTTGTCAACTGGGAACGAGGTGAGTCGACACGAGGCAGAAATGATGCGGAAGTAGCTGCTATCACGCTGGCGCCAATGAAGTATCCAATGCAGTGAAGTGTAACCATGATATTGACTGCGCCGTAATCGTAGTGACCGCGCCGTGCTAGAAGCCTTAGGACTGTTCCGGGAGTCTGGTTTGTAATATATGTGGCACCATCTGCCGTAAGCACAGCTGTCGCATTCGTGGCTTATGCGGCAATCCCGTCTGACATCTGACATGTGGGATAGAGTCATGGTGAAGGGTGGTGACCCTGCGTTCTCCAGGCTGTCATAGCGCCACCATTGCGGCATCGTTGTATCTAATGCTAGGCTAAATGTGGATAGATAATTTGGTTTCCGTGATTGTGCCGGAGGAGGCTACGAATGCGGCAGCTTAAGGCCCACCGCCAAGCACGGCAAAGCCAGTCGCGGCAATGCATGCTGCAACTCTATGATGTCCGAGGCTACGCATTATTCCATTCTTCCATATCAGTTGCATCGTGCACCTCAACACTGTCGGTACGGGCATGTACTCCAAAAGTGATGCAGCAAGCAAGCAGTCGGCTTCGGCCCACAGTATAAACATGACACCCTCTGCAGTATATTCACTTTGTCCACACTATCTCACGTCATTCTCTTGTCAGCATGTCTTCTGAAAAATTCAAAGTGGCCCCCAAAGAATCCCTGGCCTATCAATACGGCGGTAATCACAGCACGGGATGGTTGGGTTATGTCCCTGCGCGGTGGCTTCCGTACATTCAGCTCGCCCGCCTGAGCCCACCAGTTGGACTCTTTCTCATCTACATCCCCCACTCGTTCGGCCTGCTATATGCGGCGATTCGACAGCGGGCCGAGCCCTTTGAAGTGGCTTACGCCTCCCTTCTACTCTTTGGTGCAAGCTTCTTCGTATCCAACGCTATCCACATCTGGAATGACTTGATCGACGCGCCTCTGGATGCAAAGGTTGAGCGCACGCGCAATCGACCCATTCCCCGTGGTGCCGTCTCGCCGAGTGCAGCGCTGATATTCAGTGCGTCCCAGGCTGTGTGCGCCGCCCTATTCTTACCCCTGCTAAAAGGAGACGTGGCCAAGAACACCATTCTCAGTGCGCCTGGTTTCCTCGCCTGGCTTTACTACCCGTACGCAAAGCGGCACACGTACTGGACTCAGACCGTCCTTGGAATTTGTCTTTCGTGGGGTATTGTGGTCGGCGCAGTTGCACTTGACGTCGAACCGTACTCTTTCCAGACCGGCCAAGTCGACATACCACTACTTTTGCTATTCATAGCGAGTACACTGTGGACGATGCTTTACGACAGCGTATATGGTTTCCAGGATCTGGAAGACGACGTCGCTGCTGGTATCTACAGCATGGCAGTGTTGTTTCAGTACAATATCAAGCTCGTGTTCTGGCTCATCGTCGCCATGATTGCAGCAGCCTTAGGGAACATGGGGTATTATGCTGGGATGGGCGCCCTTTACTACATAATTAGTGTGGGAGGAACGACAGCTTTTCTCAGTCTTATGGTCGCTTATGTTGATCTCCGTAGTTCTCAAAGCTGTTGGTGGTGGTTCTCCACAGGCTTTTGGTATGCTGGTGGCTCTATCGCGGGTGGCTTACTCTCCGAGTACGTGACCATGATCGCTCGTGCTCCTGGCTTCGAGTGAATTTCAGCCGTTGCTAGCTTACCGACAACATGGCGAATGAAACACATCACCCAAGGTCTGGAAGATGCTGATTTCGAGAGCCATGCAAGCGGAGACTGATACGAAAGATGACGGCATATAGTGTCAATTCGACAATTCTGCTTGATCACGTGTAGAGTCCGCTAACGAAAATAACATTCTTGCAAGATATTGTGCCCTCCAATTTATTGAAGGTCTGCATGTGCGCCGCAGATGGGCTGATTCTTCAGTCTGGCCAATCACTTTCGTTAGCGCGCTCTGCGGGTGGTCCCATCCGTTTATGCCAGCCTGCCCGTGCTGACCCCATGCGCTTACCGGGTAATCTAGACCGACAAGGGCGGTCACTGTGCTCCTTCCGAACAAAGAAAACTTGGTGCAACATTGCTGTAATCTCGGAACGTTCTGTTGGTAGATCTAGTCCCCGTTCGTGCTAATGACCGAAGCGTCGGTGACCGCGCCTTGCACGGGGGTGTAGGCCCGAGGCCACGCGCGCTCTGAGGTCTGGAGATTATCGGGAACCCCGTCCTGTCAGTTATGGACGTATAGTCTCACTCTTTCGACAGACTATCAACTCAATTGCACCTGTAGTGAGTTATCGGCATGATACCGCCACCCACCGTTGTCAACAACCAAAATCGGCATTATGGAGTTGTGGCTGGAATCACCGTGCTTGGTTTTGTATCCATCGCGTTGACTCTGTTAAGACTGCGGTGCCGGTATGTTTCGCGCACGATCGGATACGACGACTATGCGATCATTCCAGCTTTGGTGAGTTGCACACGCCCAAGTCTCATGATCTATGCTCACAACACCAGCTCCTGTACTCAGGATGGACAGCCATGGCCCTTTATGTAAACATCAACGCCGGCGTTGGCAAGCCTTTATGGGAGATAACGTTGGGAGAGTTTGTGGTATGGTTCAAGGTGCGTGTGGCTTCTTCACTTCCTATGGCCCCGCGCAGCTGATTCATACTAGGGAATTGTCGGCTCCACTTTGCTCTATCCGATCATGTCAGCCAGTATTCGTACATCAATTCTCATGTTTTACCTCCGAATATTTGGCCAAGCGGTGACATCAGTCCGTTACACAGTGTTGGCTTTGCTAGTCTTACAGGGAGTCTATGTCATCGTGTACATGATCCTTCCGGCTTTCATCGCGAAGCCGTTCAACAAAATCTGGCAGCCGCTAGAGCGAGGCAAATACATGAACGACTGGTATTACTATTACACGCAAGTGGCACTGTTCAGCACAAGCATGGCTTTCGATATAATTCTCCTCGTTCTCCCGATACATCCAGTCACTCAACTTCAAATGACTGTGAAAAAACGTATCGGAGTGATTGCAATCTTCATATGCGGTGCAGCGTACGCTCCCTTCCTGAAATTCGATTTCCAAGCTAAAATTCCACTAGCGCAAGTGTCACAGCAGCATATAAGCTCGCCATATTTGTCACTCAAATGGAGAGATACACCAAGATCGATCCCAGATGTAAGCTCTTATCAGCTAGTATTCATGAGACCCAAAGTAACAAAATGCCAGGGCTACAATACGAAATGAGCACTCTTGTTCCGCCACAATTTGACGAGTACGGCAAAACGTTTTGGATACCATCCCAGGTCGAGCCCAGTGTTGCTCTTATTGGAGCAGCACTTCCTGCACTATACCCTATGGTACAGGGTGCCATGCATAGAGTCATGGCGACCATTTCGTCCATTTCATCTACGGCCAGCTCGGGTTCCAGAACACGAAGTCATCCGGAGAGCCAGGACTGTCAGCCGAGGAGGCAGACGCCTGAGAAATCATTGCTTCAATCGAATGACGGGTCGTACATTGAGCTGGATGACATAGCACCTTCTCGGCCGGGAAGGCTGTAGAGTTCTGAATGAGAATTGAATCTATATCAATAGGCATTTTACTTCGAAGCTATGATAGAGAAAGCTTGAAGCCTCCACCAACTAGGTCGTGAAAGGCATATAAAGGATCATACTTTTCCCGCACTTGACGCATGTATCCGACGTTATTAGACCCATATTGGGCAAGGACTGCCTGATCCCAGCTCGCGTCGTTCATGAAGATGTAACGAATGTACGAGTTACTCGCCCTGGTCACTTTCTCGATCTTCTGCAACAGAGCACGTGTTGCATTGTGAGCAGTGGCATCGTCTTGTTCTCTCCACCAACCTATGTCAAGCACCATCCAGGTTTGATTCACTTTGTCATGGCCCAAAACATTACCGCCTCGGTCGCGGCTTGCTTGCACGAGGCTTGATGAGATTGGTTGAAATCCAAGGACAAGTGTGCCACCGGTCAACGCTTTGAGTTGGGCGACTTCAGGTGCCGTCGATATGATTGAGTCAATCTTCTCGTAGATTTCAGCGGATGGAGTGAAGCTGGTAGCGTGCCAGTCCCATCTGATATTCGTTAGTTGAAGAAATGAGTGATTGAAGCGGCGGAAACCTACCGTGGAAGGTTAGGCACAACTTGGCCGCTGATCATGTCGTTGAGGGTCTGCAGTTTTGTTGCATCTGATACTGTGGGAATATCATAGAAGGAGTCAAAAGCGGCTGGCGACTCCTCAGGTTTGAGGTAAACCATATTCAGCATCGCACCTAGGCTCTCATTGGTACCGAAAGGTTGAAGCATGAGGTTCGCATATGGATCCTTCCTCGGCTGGGCCTGATACATAGCTAACGCCTTGTATAGTGCCGGAATCTGCTCATGGCCATACATCTTCACTCCTCCCCAGACTTTGTAGATGGGGTAAGTGCGCATAGTGAAGCTTGTGACGAGACCTGTATGGCTGTCAGACTATGGTGACTTGATTTGATGTGGTTTCTAGTTACCGAAATTGTTACCCCCACCTTTCAAAGCCTTGTGAAGATCTTTGTGATGTGTGGCGTTTGCGTCTACTGCAGAGCCATTTGCGAGGACCACCTACAAGAGTAAGATATTGTTCCGTAAAGAGAGACGCGTCAACTTACCTCAAAGTTGACCACATTGTCACAAGCCATGCCATAGAGATCTGACAAATATGAAAGTCCGCTTCCAAGTATCAAGCCGCCAACGCCAACGTCTAAGACCCGGCCGCCAACGACTGTCACTTGGTACTGGTCTAAGTAACTGTACACGTCTCCCCATTTCAAACCAGTCCCAATTTTTACCGTCTGATCTTTTGCGTTATACTCTTTGGTGCTTAGTAACGAGGTGTCGATCAGAACGCCGTCATCTGTGTTTGCGGCAAATGGCGATGGTGAGTGGCCTCCCGATCGTATGGCAAACTTCACGCGCCACGAACTCAGATACGAGATGGCTTTCTGTACGTCAGCCGTTGAAGGCGGCTGCACAATGCACAACGGAGTTCCCCATGCAGTAGCTGACCTAGATTAGGTTATCATCAGCATGTTTCCACGTTTGTTTTTCGACTATCTGTTCATACCAGTTCTCAGTACTTAGATTGTGGAATGTCGAATCTGAACTCAGTACTGTCGACCTAGGCAACAAAGATTTGAGGTCTCCACAAGCATCCTGCCTGGTGCGTAAAGATGCGGTAAACACAAGCGGAGGCCATGCAAGAAGAAGAACGAGGATATTGCACAACATCATCTAATTTGATCGGTATTTCCTGTCGAGAGAAGAGACGCAAGTCCCACACTTACTATCATATATGGTCTGTTTCTACATGGTTTAACATGCAAATTTTAAATAGCAATGCTGACATCCAGCTAGGGTTGCTTCGCTTGCCGAAAAAGACTGTTCATATCCGGTGAGTGGAGCGCAAGTAGAGATTTTCCGATCGTGGGCAGGTTTACATGAAGCCATCGCAAGACCAAAAAGTCTCACAATAGCGATTACGGCAGGAGTTCAACGCATTTAGCCGCCTACCCACTACTGTGCCACAAACTCGATAGTTGGTCGATGATCATTTATCGTGATAGTGATTTGGTGTTGGTTGACATGCATCGCAACTGCACTTCGCCACGAACGGTTGCATCAACGGTGGTCGACCGAGAGGCACAGTGTGGGCCAGTCAATGGGCTGGACTGCATAGATTAAAAGCCGCGGGAGCTTATCGATTCCTGTTCGAACCCCAGAAGTCGCATAAACGCCGCCACCTTGCCTAAACTTGGAGGTACCCCGACATGTCAGCCTGACGCCCCACTGGACTAGTGTGCTCCACTCTTACGTTCTATTCATGCGTGAACGCGGCGCAGCCACATCCTCTTAATCTGTTCCACCGTCACTACCGCCGCTACCGACTCGCTAACATACAGGACATTTTCGAGTTCGCGCTCACCATGTCTGGTACTATTGTTCTCACCGGCGCTAATGGCTCCGCAGCTCTCTGGACAGTTCGCTACTTGTTGCAGCATCATCCAGACAAACACCTCATACTCACTGTTCGAGACACTTCCGATGCAGATGCGAATACCAATTTACTCCGCGAGGCACTCGCAGAATATCCAGACGCAAGTTCCTCCGTCCGCCCACTTGATCTCTCAAACCTTACTGCCGTCCACGAGTTTGCGGAGAGGCTTGTCGATGAGGTCTCCGGAGGAAAAGTACCGAAGCTAGAGAGCATAATTTCCAACGCCTTTTATTGGAATCTGGCATCGGCTATGCAGATGACAGGCGATGGCTATGAGAAGACATTTCAGGTCAACCACATCGCCCACTCTGTTCTCGTTCTCCGCTTGCTCGGTAGCTTTGCTAAAGACGGTGGTCGTATCGTTCTTTTTACTAGTGACGCTCATTGGCCTGGGAAAAATGCTCTTGAAAAGATAAAGCCAAGGATACCTGCCAACTTGGACGAATTAGCCAAGCCTCCTGCAGATGAGCCAGAAGATCACATGGCCCACGGACAAAATCGCTACGCTCTCTCGAAACTGGCTATTCTGATGTGGATGTACGCGCTAGATAGACATCTCCAAAAGGTTTGTGATGATTCCATCCTATCTGAAATCCATCTGACTGTTTCCAAGAACCCTCGTTTCTCAAACATTACTGCCGTGGCTATCAATCCTGGCAACTTGAGTGACTCTCGAGCACTGCGTGTGAATACCCCTGCAATGGTCCAGATGATGTCAAAGTACATTATTCGGCCGCTGCGTCCACTGCTTCGTTTTATGGACCCAACCATGCGCACCTCGAGCGAGGCCGGCACTGATATCGCCAAACTAGCGGTCAACGAGGCATCTCCGGGCTACCGCGGATTTCTTACTCTACTGAAGGAAGACACTAGTTCTCCTGACAGCTTGAATGAGACGGTGCAGGAAGAAATCTGGGCAAAGACATTGGAGTGGACAGGCATTTCGGCAGCAACTGCTGGTATTTCTACCTGAAACGGAAGATTGTTTGGAGGGCGATTAGCCTCCCCCGGATATTGATTAGGGGAACACAAGTTCAGCTGCAAATGATGTGTATAGAAGATTCACGGGATTGATGTCTAGGTAGTGAGCGAAATTGACATACTCAACCTTTGCACAAGCTCCGAAACCGGATCAGATAATGCAGATGCATTGAGCTCGTCTCACGTATTAAAAACAGGGGTCATTATGCATCTAGAATGTGGAGTCATCACAAGTGAGCTAAATCAGGGTTGGATGCAAAACCCCTCATGCCCAGATTTTGAGCGTATGACGAGTACGTCCTGATAGCAGCCGTCACCCCATCTGAAAATCTCGAGCGATTGTACAAACGAGTATGGCTCAAGAAGACACAGTCATACCAGAACACCAGCTGTCCGAGCGCACGCCAGTCATTGCGTAAGTTGGCTTCGTTCCTTTGGCCGATTGACAACTCTACTGACAGTAAGTGCACCCCTACCAAAGTTTCGACGGTGCTATTTCCACGGTAACCATCGCCCTGCCGAATCGGTGTTTCGCCTTCTCCGTCACGTTCCTGCTTGACCATCCCAAGCTCGTTTCGCTCGGGAAAGAGAAGCCCCCACTTCACTTCCACCCTTATCAAGAGGAGTACATTACCGTCACTGAAGGCTATCTGGCAGTCGAGTGTAACGGCGTAGAATACACAATCACCCCAGCTGATGGCGAGTTTGTGATCCAGCCGTGGACCAATCACAGGCTATATCCGACGGCGCAGAGAGATGGGCAAACGATCACGCGCTTCTTGCTGAGCGGTAAGGATACGGCGGAGACGTACAAGCTCGACGAACTGTTTTTCGAGAACTGGTACGGCTATCAGGATGCGGTGTTCGTGCACGGAGAGCCGCTGAGCATGGTGCAGGTCATGTCAGTAAGTTGGGTGTTGCGGCTCGGGTCGGATTGAACGAAGCGCTAAATTAGAAACTAGATGTTCGATGCGGGTGGCTCATATATATCGCTACCTACTTGGATCCCGTTCTCGAGGACGTTGGCTCGAATGTTAGGAATCGTCGTGGGTAGGTGGATTGGGGGTCTCTTGGGTTACCAGCCGTATTATAGACAGTGGAGTACAGATTGGCAATTGGCATGTCAGCGTATGAGGTCTTCGACTTTCCAGCAAGGGTTCGCAGTTGAAGAAAAGGCACTGTGAGGTTCTCTGGGAGAGTATGGAGCTTCAAGGCAAACAATGGGTATTATTACTCTAATCAACATAATCCAACACATGCTACGGTGCTGCTAATGTTGTATTACCATCAACTGTAATTCCATTCGACAGCTTCAGCCCAAAAGGAAGACCCCTGATGTACTTGTCCGTATACGTCCTTCCCTTCCTTTCCGCAAAAGCCTGGTCAATATCCTTGTACATGTCGTAACCATTCATCTCCTCGATAGTCAGCTTCTTCGCCTCATCCTCGACCTTGTAGTTGGACATTGACGTGTTGCTAGAAAAGCCAATCCGTTCATTGATATTGTACGCTGCCTTGGCAGCCGAAGCCTGAACTTTGGTCGCGCGAGGCAGTCGAATCTGCTGATAAACAGCGAGTGATTCTCTCACATCTCCATTGAAGTAGTCTTTGTTGAAGAGGATACCCAAGGCAGCTGCATCTTCAATTGCCATACAGGCACCTTGGCTCTGATGCGGCATCATCGGATGTGCGGCGTCGCCAATAAGCGCGATATCGTTCTTGACAACGTAGGGATAGGGCTGGTGCACCCAGAGTCGCCAAGGCCGTACCTCGATACCAATAGCGAGGTGAGCTTTGACCTGCGCGTCGAGCTCAGGGTACGGCGCAAGGAGTTCTTCGACGGGAAGATCGGCACCGCCCCAGGTGTGATTTGTGTAGTCTCCAGCGGCGCGGGGGAAGAAGCAGTAGTAGGAGAGGAGCTCGCCGCCGTTGCAAGGGGACAAGACGATCTTGTCCCACTTGCCTTCTTGGCCGCCCCAGTACTCTATTGCGCTGTTGAGGGAGTAGTCTGTGAGACCGAGCTTACGGACGTCTTTTGTCATGACGTTTGCGTGCAGACAGCTTTGTTCTGCTGGTCGCTTTTCTGTGACGACACCGATGAGCTTTCGTGTGACAGATCCAATGCCGTCTGCTCCAACAATAAGGTCGTGTTGTGCCTTGACGCCGTTGGAGAATGTGATTTCGCTGGACTCGACGTCTATACTCTCGCACTGCAGAATGATGTTAGAAGGGTAATGTAGCACAGGGAAATGCCGTGATTGCATGGGACAAAACCTTACCGGATGGTTCACCAATAATTGCACTGGGGTACCATCCCCCTCTTCTTGCAATGCAGTGTCCATGAGCATCTTGTGCATATACTGGCGATGAAACATGTTGTAGACGTATCCCCACCTCTCCTCATAATCGTCTAGATCGTAGACGCTGACCGGCTCGCCAGTCTTCCAGTCCCGATTGATGAGTTTCTTCAAAACAACAGGGTCGCCTTTCTGGACATCGACTCCCCACTCGTGTAGCCACCGGGTACCATTTGCTGCGCATGAGACTGATGCTCCTGCTTCTCCGGCGAAGTCATTCCGCTCGTAGATGGTGACTTGGTGGCCTGCTCGGCGCAGCGCGATGGCGGTTGATAATCCGCCAATGCCACCTCCGATGACGCCCACGCTGAGTCGTCTCCAGCCGATCTCTATCGAGCCCATGCTGTAAAGGATGGCGTTGGTCAGATAAGGGGTTATGTTGCTGAATTGCTTGGGTTGCAAGAAGTGAAAGAGTTTGCAACGGAATCTGGATAAAGTGTATAACGACTATGGGTCTCAAACACCTTCTAATAAATATCTACCACTTTGTTCAGTCCGCGTATGCAGCATCCTAGATCCCGATGCAGATCGAGCCACTCGGCTGCCTCTTGCTTGCGCGGATCAAAACGGTTGGGAGAGTGTTATCTGCGGAACGGATTCTCGCCATGTTTGCAATGTTTTTTTATTCGAGGATGCCTGTTCGTATGGCGATGGTATGGGTTGTGGGAGTTGTGAGTGGCGCGTCGTGGGTCCTTATCTGCGGAACGAGTCTTATCGACGGATCGGATGTTATCATCGGAACGGATGCAGGACCAGACAACAAGTTGCAGCGCAACAAACAGATGGGACGAAGTACAGTAGTGGCTTTGGTTGACGGAAGGGAATGATCAAGCGGACGACTTGGAGAAACAGAGACTCAGATTGTTCGTCGGCGTTGTCAAGGTTGCGGCTCAAATTGTGGTTGGACGGTAGCTCCCTTACAACCACTTCCGACAGATGGCTCGCGACTCTTTCTCCGCGTCACAGCTGCACCACCCATAGTTTTTGCGCCTCTAGTTACAGCTCGAGGGGAAATGGTATCAGATACGATAGCCTGTCTCTACCAAACGTCTTGCCATATATCAAGAGCCACGTCTATAACCTGTTCACAGGCCTGACAAGCGTTTACATTTAGTATACATTCCTTCTCTAAAAGTCGCCTGAAGGCATGAGATGGCTTCCTCCATGGCTCTGGCTAGCAGCAAGGCTGGAGCCATACCACTCCATATGTTCCATTCTGATCATCCTGTATTCACCATGCCTAGCGATCGACCCAAACACGAGAGATTAGTGAAATTGCTCGGCAAGTTTCTGCACCTTCGCGCACGTCTCAGCCCCATCCAACACCCAACTTCCTTCTTCATAAGAACCTCGACATAACGAGACATCTGCCCCTCCGCTGCTTCGATACTCCAGCTCAATCTCCGTCTTTCCTTGGCCATTCATTCCGAACGTGAAGGAAGCATTCCTAGCCAGAACAGTCCAGGACGAAGTGGCCCAGGTAGCGGCTTCTTGACTTGGTAAGGGAAAAAACATCAGAGGCTATCCTGTTTGCTCTGAACAGAAACATTCGTGTGAATGCTTTCTGGGTGTAACCAAATCGATGCGAATGCAATGTCATGACTTTCCAGCCGTCGAGTCTTTTTCCCACACTCAGAACTACTGCCGCCTTGCCAGTCTCGAGATGGAGTTGAAAGAAGTTGTAGTCCTGACTACCCAAGATTCCCGCCTCACTGGCGCTCGAACAATGCATAAGACTTACTGATATCTTTGACTTTCTCAATGGTGGATATTGTTCCGGTTGTGCACATTGTACGGGTCAGAGCGTCGCGTTTGCTGATCTTTCGCTTTCTGTTTGACCCTCCTCCAGGATGTTTGTGTTCCATGTTCCATGTATGAGAGTAGAGAACAAATCGAGAAACGGCACGTCCTTGGCTAATCTTGGCGTTGGAGTAGAAATTGGAGTCGAGATCCGATTATAGCTTCCTTAGCCACGCTATCACTAGCTCGCTTGCAAACATGCTGCGATGTATTGGTGCGCGCTCAGACTACAGCCTGTAACCCCCAACCCCCACGCTAGTCATGTCTAGCAACTCTCCGTGTATCAATACAAAGCTGTCGGCACAGCCCACGGAACACATGTTTCCAAGTGGTCTGGCGTAAGCGTGGCAATTGAGACATGTCGGGAAACAGCAAGGCTGAGTATGTGCACAACTATGCGACACGTCGTTGTTTCTCAGGCGTCTCCTGAATCCCCTCAGCATTCTCTTTGCTGACAACCCTGCCTGTTGCGCTATTGATGGTCGAGACAACCGCCCGCGAGTACCTCACGCTGATATACTCGGCGCCGATGGCGTCTGCACATCAGCATGCAAGATAGCATATACGCGCCATGTTAAGCTTCATCGGGACGCATATTCAAATGAATGCAAATTCATATAGGGGCATAAGAGGCACAAGAGCATATAGGCATTCACACGCACCACGGAGTTTTACTTGCTGCTTCATAATTCGCTTTGCTCTAGAGCTGACCTATTCACTCATCGTCATCCTTCCTTGGCCTCGGCGGCTTCTGTCCATAGACCAGCGATCTGCACATCAATTAGCAAAAAATGCCATCTCTCACCTGAACCTGCATTTCCTCTTATTCCACGCTCCCCCACCCATCATCAACATCATTACAAAAGAAACATGATAAACTTACACCTCCTGATAAGCATGGATACTCCGATCCCTCAGCGCTGTCCTCATATGCGCAAGATAAACCTCAACCTCCTCCTTACTCCACTTCATCACCGTCGTCAACAGGTACAAGCTCCACCCTTCGATGCCCTGCTCCCAGTTAATCCGATTGTACTGGCCCAACTCCTTGAACCTCTTATCCGCCGGCCATCCTCCTACCGGCAACTTCCAGCGCCGTTCTACCACGTTGACAAAGCCTGCTGCTTCGAGCCCCGCACGCGATTCGTCGACTGTGCGGAGAGATTTGCCGAATTTGTCACCGAGTTCGAGCGAGATCTTGCCCCAGCGGTCGAAGATGGAATCGGAGGTGACGGTGCCGTCGTCGGATTTTAGTACAACGCTGATTTCGAGCTGTTCGACGTAGCCGCCGGGTTGGAGGGCACTAATGACAGAAGCGTATGGTCAGCTGTTGCAATGTCTAACAGGCGAGCCAAGGTGATGTATGGGGGCTTCACATACTCCAGTGCTTCTCTATAGAAGGTCGCCCAGTTCGCTACACACCCATATAGTGATCGCATGTGTATGAAGTCGAAATGATCTTTCTTGAATAGCCACGGCTCAGTGAAGTCGTCGATTTCGAAGCGCACGTTGGGTGGGACCATGGATGGTTGGGTGGGGCTAAGATCGGTTCCTATGACCTGTTCACATCAATAAAGTGATATTCACTCAACTGCCTGCTGCAAAGTTCACTGACCTCGGCTGATGGATATCTATCGGCAAAGTCGATAGCCCAGATTCCTGGATGTGTCAGCTCATGCGTTGCCTCAGGCGGACTACTGTGTGCGTACCAGTGCCCGTTCCCAGATCCAAGACATGCTATTCCGTAGACCAACCATCAGCATGTACCAACATGTCGCACCCCCCATGCACATCATTACATACCATAGGCTGTTCCTTGATCGGAGCCAAAAACAGCTCGCCGTCGAGCAAGAGGAGACAGATATGATGCCTTTCGTCCAGGTCAACACACGGCGTAGAAGCAAACGGGTCGCAGAACATACGTTATATCCAACTGATCTGATTGTGTCTCGTCATTCGGACCCCCTGCGCCCACTTAGGAACTGCATTGGATGTACAGCGAGCGGATATGCTAACAATATGCTCCTTCCTTGTACGCATGGTATCGCCGGCCGTTGCGGTACTTGTAGTTGTATACGGCGGACTTGAGGGACGTGGTCTCGCTTTGATAGCGTGTCAGAAGGCGGCTCCGCGTCTCACGGGAGAGACTTACGATGCCGAGTCGTCGCCAAATGCCGAGTCGGTTTCATCCGAGTCCTGGAGTTGTCGGATTAGTTTGTGAATGCGCCAGTGAAGAAATCGAGAGTTGGGGGGGAGAGAAAGACGCACAACAGCAACCTGAGCTTCAATATCAGCCATGGCTTAGTCTGCGCGAAAGCAATGTCGTCGTCGCCGTCGTTGTGGGGAGGTACGCGAGTATGGCAAAGGCAGTATATCCAATATCGGGGTCCGGCGGGCGTCATAAGTTAGCGTGACCTTATGTACTGATGTCAACCGTTCAGGCCAGCAGCGCTCTCTGTCTCCTCCACCAAGCGCACCCGCTTCCGTGTGGCCTCCGGCTCTGCGCCGGCGGAATGCACGCATGCAGGCCGTCGACCGACCCGCACCAGCGCGCTACCTGCCAAGTGCTCCGGTTGGCTACAGATGGTCAAGGCAATCAGGAGAGTTGTCCTTGGGTGAAGTTGAAGGTGGGGGAGGCCGTAGTCGAGTGCTTGGGTCAGCGACAAATGCGCGACTACTGAGAGGTCGACCTTCATCTTCTTCCCACTAACTACGACCCCATCTTCCCAGACAAGCCCAATCTGGCGACGCTGTTCCGCCAATCAATGCTGGCCGACGACCATTCCCTACCCGCCACGGCGGTACTGCTGTCGGCGGGTGCAACTGCCCTGTTTGCCTACGTGCTCTACGCAGTGACCTACAACGTCTACTTCCATCCGCTGGCCAAGTTTCCGGGACCGCCCCTCGCCGGCGCTACGACGTACTGGAAAGCCTACATTGAGTGTATTGCAAACCGGTCCTTTTGCCACTTCCTTGTTGAGCTGCATGCGCAGTACGGTACGTGAACTCGGTACCGGGCACATGGAAGAATGTTTAGACGCTGATGTTGTGTCGTGATAGGCGATGTTGTTCGTATTGGCCCCAACGAGGTACGTTGTGTTGTGTGTAGTGTACAAGGACTGCGAGCGATATGCAGCCACCCCACTACGCCAAACTGTGCCGCCACGTGTTTACTGACGAGACGGTTGTAGCTCCACTTTGCCAACCCAAAAGCCTACCACGACATCTACAACACCAAGAATCGCTGGGACAAGGAAGCGACACTCTATCAAAGTTTCAACGAGGACAGATCCAGTTTCGGTTTTCTCACGTATGCAGAGGCTAAGAACCGGAAAGATGTGCTTAACAAATCCTTCTCGCTGGCCGCTATCGAGAGCTCAGAGGGGCTATTGGTGAACAAGGTCAAAGAGCTCTGTGCAGCCATTGAGAAGAGGAGCAAAGATGCCAAAAGTGTTGATTTGTTCTACGCATTTCGCTGCATGAGCGTCGACGTTATAACGACATTCTGCTTCGGCAAATCCATCCATGCAGTCGACGAGCCAGACTTCAAGGCACCCATTGTCGTGGCCCTCGAGGCGGCCACACCCGTGGGTATGTACTTCAAGTACTCGGATCTGTTCAAAAACTTCATCTTGAAGTGCCCACCCAACCTCTCCAAGAAGCTTAGCCCTTTGACAGCGGGCATGATCGATCTTAACCAGGTAATTCCTCCAACTTGTTTTGCAGCCAGCGGTCCACTTATATACTGTAGTTACTCTCCGCGCAGATCAATGAACTCACCGATGACCCGGAAAAGCTCAAACTTCTTCCTCACAACATGACCATCTACCATCGGTTGATGGATCCCGAGGCCCATCGTGACAAGAAAATCCCTTCTGCTGGTAGTCTGTATGAAGAAGCCCAGGCGCTCATGTTCGGTGGCACAGATACTGTCGGAAACACCCTCATGGTAGGAGCTTTCCATCTGCTCAAGCATCCTGAGAAGATGCAGAAGCTCAAGGCCGAACTGTCAGGCGCATGGCCATTGCTCAACGAGAACGAGCCCAATGTACGCGATTTGGAAAAGCTGCCGTATTTGAGTGCTGTCATCAAGGAGTCGCTTAGGATGAGTTCGGGCGTCACGTCTGGGCTTTTAAGAATCGTGCCGAAAACTGGCGCAACCATTGCGGGACATGAGGTGCCGCCGCAGGTACGCCCACGTTGTTCTTTGTGGAGAGAGAGAGATGCGCGGGCTGATTGCATTCTAGACCATTGTATCGTGCGGTAGTACTTTCGTCCACTTCAACGCCGACATCTTCCCCAAGCCCGACGAGTTCATGCCAGAGCGCTGGCTCGACGAGTCGGCAGAGTTGGACAAGTGGCTTGTCGCTTTTTCGCGTGGCCCCCGCATGTGCTTGGGAATCAAGTGAGTCGGGCCCTAGTCGGCGTGGTATAAATTCATAAACTGACACGGGTTGTTTGTAGCCTCGCTTGGGCGGAGCTGCGTCTCGGCTTTGGTCACGTCTTCCGCAAATTCGACCTGGAGCCAAAGGGCCAACTGTAAGTTCAAGTCTACTTTCTCCATCTGAAGAACGATTTCATGTACTGTACTGACGGCGGACAGACCTGAGAAGCTGGTCTGGCGGGATGTGTTCTTGCCGCACTACCATGAGGACCATTTACAGGCGAATATGCGATCTGTAAGCGCATAGTGGGTGGATCTTAATGGTGGTTGTTTTGCTTAGGGTATGCGAGGTAGCGTCGTCGTCAAAGCACATAATATGGAGGGTTTTTTTTCGGCAGGGCGATAAGGCGTCAGTGGTCGAAATACATAATACGACGGATAATCAACCGACCGTTAATGGTGCTGCTAGCCGTCCGCTATCCGTTGTCCAGAATCTTCACACGTGTAATTGAGCGCCGATCAGTCGGAGATATCGCACCTGGGCGTAGATCCATATAGTACGAGCTAGTCACATGCCGAGGTGCAAAGGGAAGGTGCTGGAGTGTGCGCGTTCCTCCTTGGGACAGGGCTTTCTGAAAAGAGTTTGCCAGATCAGGTTTAGGAAGTTGACAGGGTGGTTGTGATGTGCCGCCCCTTATTTATCACGAAATGACAGAATGCAGGTCTGTGTGTAGGATTGCGTGTGAAGACTGTGCTGTAACGGGGGTGTTGGAGGTGTTGGAGAAAAGCGACCACGAAAGGCGACGACAGTGGTGCACGACATTGGATTGCATTAGCTGTGGCATAGCGCGTCACAATCAGAGTTGGGCGCGTCGTCCAACCACAACGCTGAGATGCAAAAGTCTGTGGCTACCCCCCGCTTGTGGGGAAGCGGACAGTCAGAGATGCAAAAGCAGCTGGCGATCATGTCGATCAAGGACGGCGGAAGTCTTGGAGCCGATGACGGTGTTGGACATGTTCAGTTGATGAAGGTTGCATATGTCAAACCACTATCGGAGCGCCAATCGGAACAGTCGACGAGGCAGCAGACGGGCCGATGATTGGCGCGAAGTCGAGATGAGGATGATTGGCGGGCCAGTCGAGATGAAGGGTGACAGGCGGGCCGCGCTGGCCGAACAGGTGCGCAGTCTTAGTGAGGATAGTGATTGTGCATTTCTCAAAAGGCATGGAGATCAGCCAAGAGGCAGCCGATTCGGGGAGGCGTGTCGTGTTGTGGAGAGTGGTGGGATGATGCACTGGGCGGGGGCTAAGCTGGTTTGACCAAGGCGCGCATCTCGCCTCCGGCGCATGTGAGCTAGACCCTGTTGGAGTTGATGGACTTGGACTTCTCCCCGCTGAAATACACACGACCTCAACGACGTGCATAACCCCATCTTGGACAGCTGCTAGGTGCCCCTTTGCTTGCCCACACCACCAACGCGTCGCGCATTCCACCCCCCTAAGGCTCGCATCCTCCAATGTCCGTATCGCGCCCGGGGCTTGTCGTGACGCCGGGTAGTCGTACAGCCCGTACATAGTTTCCCACGTACAGCACAGCATGCCCGCCACCGGGGGCAGCAGGGCCGTCCACGCACCGGCCTCGAAGCCCACACCAAAGACGACTGACAAGGGCAGCATGCGTAGAGAGAGCAGTGCGACCGCCACGACGCAGCGGCCCGGCATCAAGACGCGCGCATACTCGGCTCCCAACGTCCCCAAGAGCGACGGCCAGCCCGCCAGCGAGCTCGACCGCACAGACGAGGACAATGAGGGCGAGGAGATAGCCGACGATGCCTTCTTCCAGCGATACCACTTCCCCCAGCCCATCCTCTCCACCCAGGAAGAGGAGGGCAGCAGTGCCGAGTCGTCGTCAGACACCGAGGGGCCGCTGTCGCCCACTCACCACAAGGACCGCCAGCCATCGCAAGACGCGGCGTCGGAGCCTTCCAACAGCGACTCGGCAGCTGCCATCGTGCAGGACCTCAACATCGCCGTCATCGGCGCGCGGGGCTCAGGCAAGTCGACCTTCATCCGCCGCGCCCTCGGCCTGCCAGAAGCCACCACGACGGCCAATTGCTCGCGGCGCATGACAATCGACGGCACCCCCTACATGGTGCGCTTCCTCGAAATGGCCTTTAGCGACGTGCACGTGGGCGACCGCAGCATCATCAAATGGCCCGAGACGGTGCACGACTTTGCGACACCACGCATGCACGCCGCCGTCACCCTCTACGACGTCACAAACCACGAGAGCCTGGGCAAGGTTCCCGAAATGCTGAGTCGGTACCCCGCCATCGCGTACCACGCGCGTCTGCTGACGCGACATGCTGACCGAGTCCAGGCACACTGTCCAAGGCACAATTACCCTTTATCCTCGTAGCCTGCAAGTGCGATCAACACCCCGCCCACCGCGAGGTCGATCCGGCCGTTGTGGAGCAGAAAGCAAAGTCCTTCATTGGAGACGTGAGCGTGTTTCAGACGTCCGAGTCGTCACCGGAGACGCACCGAGGATGCCTGTCCGTCATCACTCGTGCAGCGATAGCGGCCAAGCGACGTAAGTTGTTCATTTCCTTTTGTAACACATGCAGACGTACATGTCCCTACCAGGGTGCAAGTCATTGACCCCATGCAGCCAGGTCCCAAGCGTCCATGGCGCGGCGGCGGGCCAACTCTTCCGCGGTAAAATCAATCACCCAAAAGGACCTTTGGAGCCGCAAGCACGAGCGTGCTAGCTCGGAGATCTCCATGAGGTTTCAACGGGGCTCAAGCGAGGTCAAGGGCCACCGTTATAAGCCCAGCGATGCCAACAAAACTTTTTTCAACGCCGAAGAGTCGCCCGGCTATGATTCCCAGGAATCCGATGACCAGGACTCGGACGCCGGCCAAAGCATCATGTCGGTGAAGCCGTCGGATGAAAATGGCTACACTTTTGAACAGCTCGTCGACCGACTTCTCGCCCAACCCATGTCCAAGAATGACTCCAAATTCGTCTCGGTGTTTCTGGCCTTGTATCGGAGGTTCGCCACGCCGGGGCAGCTGTTGGAGGCCATTATCAAACGCTTCGAAATCCAGAACAAGGAAAAAGAACTGCCCATGATCCGCATCATTGCACAGCTCCGCTACCTGTCTATTTTGCAACAATGGGTCGCCTACTACCCCGGTGACTTTGCCTACCCAACGACGCGTCGACTAATCCGGAGGTTCGCATCCTCGCTAGCGTTGAACCGCGAGTTCTCCGTCGCTGCAACTGAAATTCTGCGCGATCTTGAAATGGTCGCTGAAGACGACGACACCGACTGGGCATGCAGCGACCGCCAACGCCACCAGAACGAAAATATCCCGACATTCCACAACAATGTCCTCGATGAGGACTCTGATGAGGACGAGTTTTCAAAAGCGCTAGGACACATGTCGATGAGCAGTTCCACGCGAAACTCGGTGGCTCGGAGCAGCGTGACAGGCGGCGCATCGTCTATCAACGGCTCCATGGGCTCATCGCAAATCCTCCTCACACAGGTCGAAAAGAACGAACGACTGGCCCGACAACTAGAACCTAACCCCATCAAACCTCTCTCCAAGATTCAGTGGCATCAGCTCATGGGCGAATCGGACGAAGCCATCGCAAAGGAACTTACCCGGATAGACTGGATCATGTTCTCCTCGGTACGGCCACGAGACCTCGTACGCCACGTCAGTCTAAACGCCGAAGAGAAACAACGATGCAAGAACCTCGAAAATGTCACACGCATGACCGAGCACTTCAACCACGTTGCCTACCTCGTCACCAATTACATACTGCTGCGCGACAAGCCAAAGCACAGAGCTCTCATGATGGAGAAGTGGATGAAGATTGCACGACAGCTTCGAAAGCTGAACAACTACAACATGCTGGGTGCCGTCATGGCTGGCATCAACGGCACAGCAATTGGGAGGTTAGTCGCAACCCGCGAACTAGTGCCCCAGGCTACCAATCAAGATTTCTGGAAACTCGACATCCTTATGGGCCAAACGAAATCGCATTCTGCGTACCGTCTCGCCTGGGAGAATAGTTCTGGCGAGCGCATACCATATATACCTCTTCACCGCCGCGATCTCGTCTCCGCATCTGAAGGCAATTCCACCTTTGTCGGCGACAAGAAGAAGACGGATTCGGCGTTGGCCCCGCACCCTGGCGTCAGCGTCTTTGAAGGTGTTGTGGGGAAACGCGATAGTAGAGAGCCGCCTCCAAGTGGTGTTGTGGGTAAAGAGCGGATCAACTGGCGCAAGTTTGAAATTATGGGTGAAGTTATTGTCGGAGTACAAAGGGCGCAAGGGACGCCGTATCCCAACTGGCAAAGATGCGAAGAGGTGAGGAATCTGATATTGGATATCAAAATTAACAAGGATGATGAGGTGAGTTTCATCTGTTGGTGATATTGTGGTTCGGAGCAGTATATTAACGAGAAGCAGGAACTCTACGAGCGCAGTACTCATCTTGAAGCCGGCCGGGCTGATGAGAAGAGTAGGATTGCAAGATGGTTCCGAGAGCGTTAGTGCCGCCGCTTTCCCTTGTCCACCCACCCACCCATTCGAGCTTTTCTTGGCCCTGCTAGCTTTTTCTTGTTCTTCATCTTTCATGTTGAGATCAGATAAGCTAAGTGTAGGGTCCTCACACAGCCGGGCGCTTGTCGCTGCCCTCGTTGCCGTCTTTGCCGAGCCTGCCCCCGGCGCAGAATTACCAAGCGGCTGCGAGCACGACCAACTACGTGCGCATCTGAGAGAGGCGCCAACACCACGGAGCACATCGTATGGCCATCTCAAACCTTTTACACCACATCGCATCTACGCATCGCATCTACTCCACCATTCCACACACCACACTGGGCCATCTCTCATTGCGTCTTGAACACCATCTACACTACATATACCCATTTGTCCTGGAACGGGACTGGATTTCGTTATACTAGCATTTCTCATAACGACGGCCCTTGTTTTGCTTGTTTTCGTTGCGCTACTGCGCATTACGATTGTCATCGTCATCATCATCCTCATCGTCATTGATACCATCCACATCCACTTTGTGTGTTCCGGCTTTTCGTTCTCTCCCATTTGGCCTTTTTTGTTATATACGCACGATACCTCTTTTATCCGAACTGGCGTTTGATATATCGGGGATATCGGAGGGAAGGACGGGGAACTATCACACGGTTCATGTTGGGGGTAGCGGGGGGCTTCTTTCCTTTTGTTTGCGTGCGTGTGTCGATGGAGGCTTTTCCACACATATCATATAGCGCCATCTTTGGAAATGCAAAGCATATTTTTTTTTCTCACTTCTCAATACATTGGTCTTGTTATATTGTCCGTCGTCTTAAGCTTATTCGTCGCTATTTTCCCACCGGAGAGATACCAGCTTCTTTTATGTTTCCTTGGTGTTTTGTTATCTGAGAGTTTCGCTTTCTAGATTATGCGTTGGTTGTACTGTACTTGCCGCTGCCTGACTGCGGGCAGCCCCAGTCTACACCAAACAGTTACATTCACCAAGGCAACTCCCCACCATCAGGACCAAGGAACTTCCCATTCGTACTCTCCAAAGTGGCATTCTCAATCACGTTCTTGATTCCATTCGTGCTCTGCTCCACGGAGATGATGTGCGCGGACAGATCGATTCCTTGTTTTGCGAGGAGCTCGAAGCCGGCTTTCCCCATGTCTGTCGCGACCATACTAGGGTGGAGGAGGTTAGCACGTTGGAAAATCTGGGAAAGAAAACAAGATCGATGGAGACATGAGCAGACTTACCCAGGATGTTGACACCAAACCACCACCTTCTCCTCGCCTTCCTGTTCGAGCGCAAGCCACTTGAAGAGAAAGTTGCCCAACGCCTTGCTCGCTCCGTATGCCGCTAACGGCACGATGGTGCTCATGCTGGTCAGGCTGCCGCCCGCGCTGGACATGTAGATGAATTTGGGCTGGGCTTTGCTTTTCAGCAAGAGAGGAAGCACCTCTTTGTACAGCTTCAACGAGCCAAATGCATTGACGTCGATGTAGGTTTGCAGGTCGGCTGTGGTACAAGAGAGTAACGGGGGCGTTGTGCCTGCGATACCAGCGTTTGCGATTACAACATCGAGAGCGTGGATATTGTGTTCTATTGTCAACGACTGGATGCCGGTGTTGATGGATCCGGTGGATGCGAGATCGAGGGTGATGACGATGAGGTGGGAGGCTGGTGCGCGGGGAAGAGACTGGAGGGCTTTGGTGGAAGGGGTGGCAGGGTCGCGGACTGTAGCTATCACGGTTGTAGAAGGGCGAGATAGGTAAAGATTTACTAGGCCGAAGCCAATGCCACGATTTGCGCCTGTGATGAGGATTGTGAGGGGGGAAGACATTGCTAAAAGAGAAGAAAATGGCGAAGATTGAACAGAAAAGATATTAGACTGGCTGATGTGGTAATTGTTTTGAGCGTTTTGAGAACACTGGTGGAACAAGATGCGATGAAAGAAGATGCTCATCAGTTTATATGCGTGGCATATTAGGGTAGGCAATGGACCCATCAGTACATGCGGACTTTGCCATTCCACAACCAGCACGATGTCGGCTACAAATGTTCGGCAGCCCAACACACGACGGTTGGTCATGGGAAAGTCCATGTCACGCCTCGTAAAAGTCCGCTAAGCTTTGTAGCCCACGCGGGGTTTGAGGTTAGTCTCCGCGTGCTAGCGCAGACTGTATAAGCTAGCGGACTTGAATCTACTCCACCGCTCTTCCACCAACCTCACTCACGTCGCAAACCGTTAGATCTGTCCGTGCAAGACCGCGTACGAAATTGGATCTAGTCGACTGTCTATCAAGCCAAACATCCCAATATCAGAAACGAAACGTCGTGCGGAAAGCATGTCGACCAGAGCTTCACGCCACAAGTCCTGCCTAAAATGCATCCAAACGAAACGAAAGTGTGACCGAATGCAGCCCAGATGTCGACGCTGCATTGCAAGTAACACAGAATGCCAATACATTGGGCGAAATCGCTTTCCGCAACAGCCGAGTATACAACCTGGAGAAGCAGATCACTCCTTTCCTCTCCCGACAGAGCCGATAGACGGAGCTCAACCACTAGCCAACTGGCAGCTGCAGCCATACCACACATCTTTCATGGCATCGTTACCAATTTCATATCTAGATGATACCGTTTTCGAGTTTCCCAATCATCCTTTCAACATGGGAGATATGCCGTTCGATGACACCTTCCAATTTGGCTACAGCAGTAGTAGCAATGATAGCAGCGTCGCTGTACAAATCCCCAGTACGAAGATTTGTATGGAACCTCCCGTCACACCGCTCAACACAGCGGAAGCGATGATCCGGCCTCGAGTAGAGTTTGTAGCGAAACGCCTGGCAGCTATCCCACGTCGCTTTGCTTCACAAGCTCAAACCATGTTTATACATCGAATGCATTTCCAGTATACATGTCCGAGTGCTCTACAAGATGCGATGAGTGCTTGTGCGTTGTATAGCATCAAGACTGAAGCCAATCGGGCTTTGGTCTTTGGTCACGTGCAGCACAAATGCCAGCAGCTTGTCACGAGCACGGATGCGCAATCTGCATCGAAAATCGAGCTTCTTACGGGTCTGCAGGCTTTGTTGTTGTATCAGATGATTCGCCTTTTTGATGGAGATGTTCGTCTCAGAGCCCTTGCTGAAGCCGATGAATCGGTTACTTTGCAATGGGCGAATCGACTCAAGACTCTGCTACGTGACGGCGGTGCGGTAATGCGGCACAGCGCGGCTTCTTCGCCTATTACACGAGTAGGTTTTCATCATTCTCCTTCGCCTTCTTCAAGGGACATTTCGGTCGACTCGTCGGACAATTGGCTATACTGGCTCACTACCGAATCAATACGACGAACGATTATAACAACCCATGTCCTCAGCGGTATATACAATTTCCTCAAACTTGGATATGATGGTCCGACACCAGATCTTCGTGTGTCTTTTACCGCGCAAACAGCGCTGTGGGGTGCACAGAGTGAGAGCGGATGGCGCTGGGCGCGCGAGGATGCTAATGTAGAGAATCTGGAGATATGGGTCGAGCGCTGGGACGAGGCGATTATGAAGGCGAGACCGGAGGATTTGGAGGACATGGGGGTTTGTATCATGGTTATGTTGTGGGGGGTTGAGGGGGCGAGGGGGTGGTTGGGTAGGGAATTTGTGGCGAGGTTTGGGCTAGATGGGATGTAGAAACGTCATGCAACGAAGGGTATACGTGCGATAAGAACACAGTAGGGCAGATAATGCGCTGCGCAAGTTGCGTCGATTCGACCAAGCTATGCTAGTGTAGCCGCCCGCGTAAGATTTGGGTTTACTTTCACGCGACTTCGACCTCTGTTTGGCCTGTAAGTTTGCGCTTCCCATCGATCCATTTAACCTCCCAAAGTATCACATTAGACTTTGTAGTCTCCTTGCCCGACGCCTTGTCTTTGGTCCTCCACTTGCTTAGAACCGCTACCACACCATCTGGCTTCTCCTTGTTCTCCCACTGCAGTACAATGGAGAACTCGTCTTGGATCGAGATACAAGTGCTACGAACGTACTGTAGGCCTTGTTTGAATTGGTCGTAATTGTAAACTTCGTGATTGATTCTAGTAGTAGTGGTGCGTCAGACATGCTTGGCTGATCTCACGAGCTCAGTGACAACGTACTTGGTCACAAGACTTTGATCGACCTGGTCGTTGATGGCCTCGAGAGCAAGTTCATCGTTGGGCTGGATGAATAGAGTATCGTTGAGTTTGGTGACCCAGTGGCTGAGAGACTCTTGTTGTGCCGACATTTTGCGTTGCTTGGTATCGTAAGTACCTTTTCACAGTCGTGGTTTAATGGATGTACGTACGTAGATAGAGCTATCGCGAGCGGAATGTTGATGAGACTTGTCTGCTCCAGATGTCAAGCCCATTTTATACCGCTTGCTGGTTTGCCCTTCCTCATTCTTAGAATTACTCCGACTAGCGACCGCACAACTCCGCATGCATATCATCGATGGACGCTGACGGCGGACTTGCTATATCGCAAAGTTTCGGGGATCGCAGTCTGGATGACAGGGGTTGTGGGGTCCCAAGCACGCTAGCGGAGTTTCAGAGCGCTAGCGGAAATGTTGGTGACTGGCACTACTGATGTCGATGAAGCCGTCTACTCAACTGTGATCTTCATGTTGATGGGCAAATATTGATTGAGAGTCGAACTTAGTATATATCTGAATAGGCAAAAGTAACTGTTACGCTATCTGCTAACCGTGATATTACTGCGAAGTGAAGGGATCTATAGGTTTGTCTCACACGATGGTTGGTCCGTTACAAAAGCATGTACATCATATCGTTAGTCCTGCCACGGCATCTTCCACATCTAGTGCCGATGTTCTTAAACCTGATACACTGTCAACTCTCGATATCTTCCTCAGCGCAACCTCCATCAACGCATCTTGCATGCCACCAAGCAGGCTAGCCGCCTGATCCCTATCCCAATAGCTTTCGTTAAAGCAGACGCTGAGGACGAGTTGGCCCTCCCATATCCACGTGTGCACCATCATGCGCATCGTCAGGGTCTCGGCACCTAGCCAGAAGTCCTTGACTTTGACCAGTCCGTCGCCGACGTTCTTGGAGACTTGCTCATCTACTTCGCCAAGGAATGCAAAGCGCGGCTGCAATTGTCCGTCCGCCTCGCCTTTCTTGCCGTGGTTGGAACCAAGCAGCGTTTCTTCGAGGCGCTTGTGGAAGAAGGGTGACGAGGGCAAGTACGGTGCATAGCCGGCAGCATAGACGGGTGCGAGTTGAGAATAGTAGGAGTCGAAGTTGGTTTGCGGCGAGACGATGACCTCCGTAGTGATGACGCTGGTATAGCTCGTGGGCGAATTCTCAGGAGCTGCGCCTTCTGGAATCAGTGTGCGGAGGTTGGAGTGGAAAGAGGCCATGAAGCTTCGCGCTTCCTTTGTTTGTGCGAGTTTTGCAACGGAGCTGATGAGGGCGGCATGCAGAGCGATGTCAATAGCGAGAGCTGAAGTCTCGCAACTATCGAAGACGGTCCTTGTATCCCGCTTGGAAAACTTGATAAAGTGCCGTTGAGTGTATCCCGGCCTCTGCGCTTTGATAGTGGGTGTCAGTTCTAGAGCTGGCTTGTGAGGCTCTAGTGCTGCGAGACGGCTTTCGGCTTGCGCTACAAGTTCTGGTGTTTCCTCGTGCCCGATACCAAGCGTCAACTCCATGCTCGGGGTCAAATTCTTGGCACACCCCCCAAAGACTAGGTTGGGGTTCATGTTAGCCAGAGACTCAACGAGGTGGTTGAGGCAGAAGATGGCGCCGCGAGCGTCGACACGGTAGTGAGGGGACCAGATCATGACTTCGGATGTGTCGGGAAGGAAGTAGCACATCATCTGTTCGTTCCTTGGGATCCGGCCCAGCAGTTCGTCAACGGTTTTGCCCTCAGCAACGGAGAATGTTGCCGAAACCCACAAAGCGATTGAAGGTTCGTCTCCGACGCGGTAAATATATCGACCGTTGTATGGAAAAGCGGCAATCTCCGGATGGTTGTAGCGAACTTGTTTCCAAGCAGTCCGGAGGTAGCCCGCAGGATCTTTGATGTCGGGATGGAACTCGAGTTTCGCTACTGCATTCTTGGCCCAGTTGTCGCGGCCAATGGCGTTTGGAACGTTTCGGGTAAGTATGTTTATCCTCTCGAGGTATGTTTGCGCGCGCTCCCAACGGCCTGGTCGGGTCTCTTTCCAGGTAGCGTCTTCCATGATTGTTGAGTAGAGAAGGAGCAGGAGTGAAGAGAGGAAGAACTGAAAGAGATAGAGGAGAAATGGGATAACCAAACAGTCCAAGGCAGGAGTGGATACCTGCAGTCAAAAGATGTCGCCGAAGCTTGGGGTATTGTCTCACATATATAGTTAAGTGGGCCGCTACATGCGTGAAGCTCCAAGCTGGGCATGCCGAAGAAGTCCAGCCTCAGCTTCCTTTTCCGAAGCTGCCTAAACACAATACCATGCCAAAGCAGCGGTGTCATATCGGAGCATTATTCCGGAAGCGCTAGTCATGGCGAAAAGGGTTTCTCACCGTTTATACCAGGCTACCGAGTTCAGCTTGGCCCAAGACAACTTGGAAAGAGTCTTTTCCTGCAGCCACCAAATACACTCGCCCCAGGCACGACCTTTCGGTGGAAGCATCGTTCAGCGCTTATGTCCGCGGGCGTACTTCGGGCTGTGTGCCTCAAGCATTGCGTGTTCTGGACGGGTCTGGGTCGTGGTGTTTCGATATATAGCCAAGGATGCGGATCGAGGCGAACGGCCCGCTGCACGCTACATCCGTATAGCCCATCGCGTATCGCCGACGTCATAGTTGCTTTTTGTACAAATCCAAGGCTCTAAATCCATTCTTATAAGACCAAGATACTTAGCAATAATATCTAAGCATGCACCATGTTTACGTTGAAGGTCGACCAGAGTCCGATCATACTTTGATAAGTAGATCAACCTAGACGTTGTTAGCGTATCTGCTTCAAACTTTAAGCCGCTGTTAGCACTAATAAACTGGTCTTTCCGTGCGATCTGTGGAAACCAAACTTGCGCGACAGATCGTAGGTATAGGGGGGTTTGTACGCAAGGATTGTGATGATGAAGGTATTGGTAGTGCACCATTGAAGTATTACGTTCGTACATCAAGTCGGATAAGACGCAACGCGCCACGCGCCGCCTTTCAACATTGTCCTACCCCTTGTCAAAGTTTCCTGTATATGCAGTCAGGAGTGACACACAAGTGAAAGATTGTGTAAAATCGAGAGTTCGCGACAGGGTCAAATCGGGACGATATAACAGGAGTATGAGCAGGAATAGCCGTTGGGTCGGCTTGAGAGTTAGGGTACCAACTGAGTTCAACAGTCAATCTAGCGCGGGTCGATGCGGGTGGTGAGGCGTAAAATTTGACGTCATAGCGTCGAGACACAGCCTTGTCGATATAGGTGGAGGTTGTGTTTCAGGGGAGCAACTAGGCGGTCAAATCAAGTATGCGAGTAACACTAACATAGTAAGCTGAAGGACATTCACAAATACAAGCTGTTCTCGACCATGGATCGAGTGCACTGTTATGCTCACGTGAGCGATCGCGATCGTGGGACGAATTCCCTCGAATTGAATCACTCGGAACGCGTCCATATGTTTCTAGCAATGGCGAGTGACTCGAAGAGAAGTGATGAGCTATTTTGCGAGACAAAAGCAAAACAGGATTGGTGTCGATGCTCGTTGCGTCGCGCTTGTGGAGATGATCGGTGTTCTCGCTAGCTGGAGCTAAGCTCCCCGCACACGGTGCCAAGACTTCCGGATGTGGGGATGTATGCCGCGTGCCTCATTCGGCCTCAGCCGCATCGCCTCCGACTCTCTGCTTCACATAAGCATCCTTTGTGATGCCGCTCCTTCCTCACCTGCACGTCACATCAATGAGGTGCCGCTGTCGGATTGTCACACCTGGTTTTGTTTGCAAGCTACGATGAGCAAAGTGGTACCATTGCCGGATTCATGATGCATGACGACAATCATGGATAGCAACGGTACTTGAAGTTCAGTGCAGCTATCAGCTCCATCCGCCTATGACCTGCTCTTCGTTACAACCATAGTCGGATGTACTGTGCATGCCAAATAGGATTTCGTTTTGATTCTAGCACCTGTTTCGCAGATGTACTACGTGGCAGCGTGAATCTACAAAGTCCAACTTTAGGTAGCACAAAGAACGTTGAACACGAATACGAACATCCGCGCTATGTCAACGTACCAAGCGATATGCTCATTAAACGGGGAGGCCGCACGCGAATCCGATCAACCCTCAAAAGTCATTGCTTTTTACGGAATGCCTCACAGATGCCCTGCGATGCGCCCCTCGTTGCACCACTGAGAGTGGCGTCAATATTACAGGTGGGGCGAAAAACAATTTTAGAACACCAAACGACATGTAACGGCGGTCTCATCGTCTATTTTCGTCCATCCCCCGTCGCACTTCAACCAAATCCATATTTGATTCGAACAAATTGCGACTAGCAGCAGTCTAGATGCGCATGCTCACGCTCTGATTAGTCAGATCAGGCAGCCGAGCGACATTGCAAGTGAACAATCAGCTCCTTCACCAACAGCCTGCCACCGTCTAGAGCAGAAACCACACGCCTCTTTCCTACGATTTCCAAGCTTTTTGGCGGCCCACAACATGATATTGACGTCGTTCCTATAACTGCACCACCCAGCTTGTCACTGTATCCCAGATGTTGTATCATATCTTGTGCAACTCTGCTATGCCTAGGACATGCAACGCAAATGGATCGGGGTTAGGTTGTGGCAGATAAAACTTTTAAGATCCAAATTTAACTAAGACTCTCAACTTTCCCGTAAACCTCGTTTCTAAGCATATCAAGTGCAAGCGCTGTAGATTATAATCCTCGTGGTGTTACACACCCCGAAGCGCAGGATTTGAGCTTTAAAATGATACTGATAAGGCTGATCTATAAGCGCATCTCTTACTCTATACTATTGGCAGTCTAAGGCATGGTTTGCCGTATCTCCTTGAATTTGCTACCTGAATATTTGCATGCGGAATCTGTCTTGCTCCCTAATGGCAACAAGTTTCGTTTCATGATCGACCAATATAGACCTTTTGACAATGAATCTTAGCTGTATTAACCTTAGGGAAATGCTATTGCACACAACAGCGCAGTGATTACAGCTAGTCCGTAGACGAAGGGGAAAGATATCGAGTCTTGGGCGAGAGCAGCAGAATCTCTTGGACTAGGATATTGAACCCTTCTTTGGACTTTCAGGCGCGCTGGAGCGTGCTAAAGTCACTGAACAGTGAGCTGGGATCTTGGCACATTGTAGATACATGTAGAGGGCACGTGCACGGATACGGTAGCGTGTAGAACAGCTTATGTTTGCCGTAATAAACGGTTGATGACCATCTTATGTCAAACAGTGTGACTTCTATACAAGTCCTAAGATTTTCGTCCGCGATGTGCGCTGTCGAATTGCTAATTCATGGAGTAGAAGCGGACCGTGGCTACCAAATCCCTGCCAGCCTCGCTAACAAGCCCCTACTAGCGGCGTGTTAGTTCCTCCTGTCCCTTGCTAGACTTCGCGAGATTTTGTCCGGAGTCATTACCACCGCGTGTCATACAGTGTCCCCGAGACCGACCTCAGAAAGTTCCGTCGTTGGTCCTTAGACTCCGTGTTATGGCATGATTCAGACGATTCTTCTATCTCAACCTCAGGCAGCGACATGTACCCGGACAAATTACCACCAGGCGGGTGTCAAAGTTTGGCGTATATAACAAGGATGTTCTGTACATGTTTCTATGTCTATTCTGCTGTGACATCTTCACCCTTCCCTCAGCGCATTGTCCTTAGATAGATCTAAAGATGTCGTCCATAACCACTGTTCTCATCACAGGCGCAAACCGCGGTTCGTCCGAATTTTCCTTCATTGAGAACTGCTTCGAGATACTAACGTTACATCTCCAGGCATTGGCCAGGGTCTTGTAAGCGCATATCTTGGTCGCGCAAACACTACCGTTATAGCAGCAGTTCGTAATGTCGCAACTGCTGAGTGTTTGAAGTCTTTGCCAAAGTCTTCTGGTTCCCAACTTATTGTCATCGAGATCGATGTCGCATCTTTTGATTCTATCAGACGCGGTATCAAATCTCTGACAGCGGAATACGAATTGGATAGCCTTGACATAGTTATCGCCAATGCGGGCATGGTGATTAAGAGCCCTAAACTCATCGAGATGGCAACTCAAGATATCCAACGCTTCATCGATGTCAATGCGTACGGTCAGCTGGAATTGTTCAGGGCCGTGTTTCCGTTGTTGCGAAGACCGAAGAAGGCTGTCAAGGGAAAGTTTATGTACATGTTCAGTATCGTTGGGAGCTTGACGACTATGGACAATATGCTTCCAGCAGCGGCATATGGCGCAAGCAAAGCGCTCGGCAATTTCTTTGTCAAATGGCTGTCCCTTGAGCAAAAGGATGTCGTGATATGGGCCCAGCATCCCGGGTGAGTACACGTACACGCTGATCTTGTTCTTGTGCTGATCGAAATACAGTGTGGTAGCGACAGAAACGGCCAAGGCTGCAATTGAAGACATGAAATCTCAGGGTCCAGACTTAACAGCACTAGCTCTTCCAGTGGAACAAGTTTGCCAGGATTTGTTGCAATTGGTATGTAAAGCCTTTCACATACTGTACAGCTGCTAAGAAAGCGATGACAGACTGAAAATGCCACCTTGGAGACTACGCATGGAAAGTTTCTGGGACCTGATGGTGAGGAGCTGTCATGGTAGAGTTCTTGGAGAGAAAGGCACGGTTTCAATGCCAGCATAAGGTCATTCAATTCCACATCGGTAGGTAGAATCGAACAACAACTCTAGGTCCACGGATGTCAACATGATATTACTGTACTATGAAAATCACTGAAAGCCAATCCTCATACTGCAATAGGACGTAATCATGTAGATATACTGCTACTTGGCTGCCTCTACGACTAATGAGCACACTGCGCCTCAGACGAAACGGGCATAGCAAGCAGAAAGGCGCCGAAGAATACTGCCGAGACGTTCGACCGAAGTTTCGTCCATCCGTACCATGACTACATTAAAATGTCGAACTGCAGGACTTGGCATGCATGGGGGATTGTGTGATGATAGTGGCTTATCAATCCCGGGAGTGCAAACATCCGCCTGCCACGTGCCAAGCTAGTAATGGTGCCGGTGTCCGTATGTTCGTAGGCATCCAGATTGGCTAGCAGGACAAACAAGCCTGAGACATACAAAGAAAAATAATATCTATAGCGCAGGTGTCTTGCTGCTTGAATTTGAATTGTGGGAAGCACTAGAAGACGTTGTCGAGGGGTTAGATGAGGACGAGTCGACGAGTTGGGCAAAAAGCCTTTTAAGGTGGTTTCCTGTACTAGGTTGCAAGATGGGCAAGAGGTATGAATAGATGGTGTCCTGGTGCCTTGATTTGGACGGGCATAGCATTGTGAAAGAAGATGACTTTATCAAGGAGGTTCTAGACTCACTCCAAGACATGATAACTGCTTTAACTTGAGGAACGGGATAAGAACAGCAAGAGGTCAGACCGTCATGAATGGGCTTCTCATTTACAAATGTCACCTGAGTTCTCTAATCAAAGCAAGGGAAGCCTTGTCTTGCAAGTAGGCTAAAATTCCGACGTAGGGCTAGAATTCGGGTAGCTCCGATTCAAACTGGGTTCGTTCCTTACGAGAAATAGGATATCGATAGACAACGTTCAGCACAAGAGCACAATATAGAAAATGATAATGCTGGTGTTTCTAAGTGTTTGTATAGACGAAGGATCGCTGAGCGATTAGTATGGGAGCTATGCCAAGATCGCGATGTTGTCCACATCTGTAGCACAGCTACAGGGATAACATGAAGATAAGCAGCATCAGTAACTGATCCGACTAGCGATACTCAATTCCGGATGCTAGGAAGACCTGTCGAGTCGCTACAATGATGAATATTGACGAGAGTCGTGCTGATGGCTGGGACTTGAGTCAACATGCGGAACGCACGACTAAATGAGATTACATCAGGTTCATGCCTGCTCACCATATCAGTTCTCCGTTGCCAAAGTTTACAAAACAGCAAGCTCAAGGTGCCATTTTCCAGTAGCTCAAACGATCAGGAGCATCAAGCGCCTTTGCACCCATTCCTGTATCATCAATCAATCTCTAGCCACTCATGCCGTCTCTTCGCTTTGTGTTTCATTCTTCCTAACGATATTTCTCGTGCTTATGCGCGCGCCTCAATGTCAGTGACATGATCACGTCGTAGTGGCACGGGATAATACGACTTGAGCATCGAGCTTTAGCCACGCTAAATCCATGATGTTAAGCTACTTGGAAGGGCATGCAGGTGCGTTTTGCGACCATGGGTTCTTCAACGTGTGCTATGATGCCTGAACAAGCTTGTATAGGCAACAGCAATCGCGTTCAGGAAGCTTGACTTGCTGTTAGTCATTTTGAGTGGTGAACAGCGACAGAGCATTCGAAGACTCGCATAATCACCGATTAACATTAAGAACATAGTGAGCGCTTGAATTTGCTAGCCGGATCTTTGCATCGCTATCTAGAGCCGCGCTTGTGGAACCCCTCTTGCTCCTCGACGGCGGAGAACTTGGTTCCATTGTTGTCGAATTTCGTTCCATTTCACCTGAAGTTTGGTGCGAAACTCGCCCCAATAACAGTCTGCCTCAGACTCGGTAAGCCTTGCCATACTGATTGCAAACGGGATAGTGCTTTGCCCCCAAGTGAATTGGAGAAATATCTCAACATACTGCAAAAACACATCCCATTTCGGTCCGTTAGTACACGCGTCGTACACCAATCTGGCAAAGCCTACGACCATGAGAAAAATGTAGAATCGTTGTGCATCTCTCCCTAAAACGACTTTTGGATCTTCAGTCCCAAGGGAGAGGTACCACTGTGCCACCATGAGAAGAGTTAAGAGCAATTGGAACCTGGACAAGAAAGTTCCCTTGAAAGTCATTCTTCCAGATCTCACTAGGATGATCCAAAACAGGCCGTCAAGGACAGGACCGAAGAGCATGATGTGCCAATGAGCGACCAAAGCAGCATATATACGATGCCGGAGATTTCTTTCCCCGAACCTAAAAGGCCAGCTTGGTTGTCCCCGATAGCTGAGTGGCTCAAGGAATCTTCGTTTCGCTACGTGTTGCAAGATAACACTTTGATAGAGATAGACCACTAGCGGCATGATGAACCACGCAGGTATAATGAGAATAAGCCGAGTATTACCGGTATATGGCGGTGTCTTAGTACCATGGGGTGCTATAGCAGTCCAGATGCTATAATGTGTTGCAAAGATTGCAACTGGATTGAACCAGTATTTTTGAATGAGGCGCTCGGGGGGGTCCAAAGAGACGGTAAGTAATGGCCCCAAGTCGTCAGCATCTTTCTAGTAAGTCAGCCAGATAGTCTTAGAAGGTGAGAAGGAGCTGACGGATGAGAATGTTCGACTGACCATACAGTATGTCGACATAGTTTTTGGTGCCTGGACAATCAGGACATGTGCATTTGCATTCAAGCGTTGGAATCAATTCCGTGACCTGTGTATGCTCTGTGTATCGACTCAGTCGGATTGGGCTGCTGTAGCGTGTAGTAAAGCGTCCATCAGACTCACTCAAGACCAAGAGATGGCATCCGGGAGCGTAGTCAATACGGCGACAACACATTGCCCACATCAAACCAGGATCATACATAAAGCAGTGTCCAAGTACTCTCTCTTGTGACTGATTGTCGATATCGCGCAGCGAGTCATCGACTACTCTGTCTATAGTGATGAAAGTGCGGTTCGTGTGTGCCGTAATGTGGCCTTTGATCATGCTGCACTGAGAGTCCAACACGAAGGTCAACATCGGAGGAAGAGGATCCTCAGTCATATACATGAAAGGAACTGCTTCTATTCCGTTTTCGTGCACCTGGAGACAGTGTTCGGCAACCCGTAGATAAAACTTCGCTACGAGGGGCTGTAAACATTTGTCACCTCGTATTGAGGCGGGCACCCAACCATTCTTGAAAGATCGCGTTTGGGGCTCCGAGATATCTCGCAGTTCGATCCATTGTGCTGGGTTGTCTTCTTGTCTTGTACCGCACTGCAGCATTTGTGACCCAGTGTGTGACTCGGGAATATCCGCACTCAATCTTCCTCGTAGGCGTGGCCCCGTGTTGAAAAGCAGCTCTATAGGCAACACATTCTGCTGTCGGATGATCAGGGCTACCCTTTCTTGTTCTGTATTCCTTTTCAGTACCTCGTAAGCACTTACACCAAGCAGATTGGCAAATATTGCAGGCGTATCGGCAGGTAGACTCGATACACGATCAAGTAGCTCATTCCAAACTCGGGCAAATCTATCGCGCACTAGGAGATCCTTGAGTTTTGGATGTTCTGGCTTGAAGGGATCCCAGATGCTGAAAGATCGAAGCGATACTGATGTCCAAATTTCACGCTGTATTGATGAATCAATTTGCCGTGCTACAGAGCCGGGATCCGCAACACGGAAACAACGGACAGGTATTGTGCATTGAGCCATGGCGAGCCGTGCAGCCTTATGAGAAAATATGCCGTCTGAGAGAGCGTAAATCGTAGAGGGAGGCAAGCAGCCTTCCTGTAGAGTCCAGGATCGCGTTGTCCACCCGCAACACTGGATGTAAGCGAGCTTAGTCGCGTCATTGGCAGCCATGGGTATCGTCCTCATCTCCGCGTCAAGGACAAGTGTATGACTACTCGACGAGTAGACAATGCTCATTTTGTCGATAGCTTTTCTCTTGATGTCGCTGAACATAGGAACTCCTGAAGGCGTATATTGCACTGGAATACACAATGTGTCCATCCAAAAGAGGGTATTAGTCGTCCTCTTGTTGAATAAGGACATAGTCGGTCTGTCTTTGGCGATGTGTACAAAGTACGTTTGGAGCATACGAAGTTGGCACATTGGCAGACCATTCTCGAAGGCATTTCCCAGACCATCAGCCCATACGTGAGAGATAGCGACATACTCCGAATACCTAGACAGCTGTTAGACTTCGTCCTTTCAACATATTCTTGACGTAAGAGTCGTGATCATGGAACAGAGCTATGCATACCATCGCTGGGTGTGAAGTTCCAGAGAAAGGTTCCCATGCACATCTTCCTCGATAGATATGAGTGGAATGTGGCCGCCTTGGATTATATTCGCTACTTCTACCGACGAGATGCTGATAGTCGGACATGTACAAGCATCTGTAGCATGACAAGGGCTGTTGTGATCAGGATCGGAGTTCCAGCCCCTGCATGATTCTCTGGAACAGTTCTCATGCGTAAGTATTGCGCTTCCTGGTCGTGGAAGTTTGGCGAACTGTTAAGCCGCTTGATAGCTAAAATTGGAAAGTACTTTGTTTATCTAATGTAGACACCATCGATTTTCTGTCATCTTGGCTTCGATAGCTCGACCCGCAGGGCTTAGATGATCTCCTTGCCTATGGGCGACATCGAACCAGTCTAACCCAATTGCATTCCGAGGCTGGGAATTTTCAAGGCGTGTCCAATCGTAAGAACGGGAGATGGTTCCAATTAATACCTTGACTGATAAGAGTATCAGGTCAACAGAATCGCTCGAACTTGCACGCACGTTGAACTGCTTCTCAAACAGATGAGCTGCTTCGTTCGCACGCCGAAGTATTCTCTTATGCCGTTTTAATATGTTCGCGCGCTCGTTTTTCGATACCTTCAGCACGCTCAGCTGCAAACTTATAATCTTATTTCGAACCAACTCTGAGCTTACGACCCGACCATGGTGCTTTCCAGGAGTCGAAAAGTCATATACTTTGATGGTAGTGTTGCAAAGAACCGCGAGGAGTCCGAAATAGAGCCAATCTTGGATGAACGTAGCTATGGCCCCCTGCACGCTGGAGATGTTCATTCCAGCCGCGGAGTATCGTAGAGGTGATCTCTGGTCGTGGTACCACATCCATATGTCATTGTCTTCGCCGGGTCGTATATCCGTCGACGTGACAAGGGGTACCTCGATACCTTCTCCGCCAAAAGGTGCTTCGACAAAGTCCATGTGAAAAGAGAACGAAGATAGTGTGTGAGGATGAGAAATGAACGTCTTTACGGAACGTCGAACCCTTGGTCTGGGACAGCGGCTCTTTACAAAGGTTGAAGATAGCCACGCGGCTGGAATGGCTTGGCCAAGAGTCCCTGCTGCGCCTCAAATTTCCGGTCAAGGTGAGAGCACCCTTGGATTGGGCTCAAAGCAGGCACGCGTCTGATTTGGCCTCGTGAGACGCCCTGCTGCGCCTGCATTGGCGCGATAACATACCCCAGAGGCGAGTCGGCCAAACAAGCGGATCCGTCGATCGCTCTGCTAAGGCCCTAGCAAGCATGTTGCCTGAGACTTCCAGAACGTAACGTTTACTTGGTATACTAATAGGAGCCTGTGAAGGTGTGAAGGGCGTTGCGACGCGTACAGCGTGGTTGGCTGTAGACGCAGACTTCGCCGTGGTACAGTGTCCGCCATCCGTGACTACATTCCGCCAAAAGAAAAAGAAATGAGAAGAACAAAAGATACTGTCCCCATCGGTGAAGATCAGTCTCACCAGCGGAACAAAGCACGAGTGAGAATCGCCCCGCGCAGGTAGAATTGCAGATCAGTCGTTTGCAGTATTTGGTGCGAAGATGCAAGGTCCAGGATAGCGCGGGGTAAGAGCAGGTTTGTCATCAGAGTCGGTGGTCCACTCACGGTGCCTTCCAGCTCGAGCTCACCCTCATACTAACATAGACCTCGTGACAGTCACGTAAGGGTATTGCAATGCCGGTCGGGCTTACACAGACCTGCGCATTCGACCACTGGAAAGACATAATTGCGACACATAGATTAAGGAACTTTCAACGTGTTGAGTAAGCAATACAAACCGCGATGGTCGGCATATTCTGTCCTGTTACGCATCTGCTGATCGATGCGAGCGTCATCATCAGCAGCTATGCTTGCCAGGGCTTTCGCGTATCAAGGACGCGAGCTGACTGCAAAAAGCCCGGCTTATCCTACACATACCTCTCTAATGTCGCAATCAGTATATAGGCATCGGTACAGAATTCAAAGCATAATGCACGGCATGTGTCTCTAGATATATTGCTGTGCTTTGTCGAATGCTCAAAATTTAATGCATTTCTTCGTACTTATCTAGAGATTGATGGGGTTAGGTACATAGAATCCCTTCGGCAGAATCCTCAGTTCCGCGATATATAATCCTTGAGTTTTTGTATCTTCTCATGTAAAAGAACCCGCTCGTCTAAATTGCATAGTGACAAAGCCATGTCCAACAAGTCCCAATCGCTCGCACCCGGCTTTTCCATCTTGATTCTCCGGCCAAACCTTCGATGATGGTTATTTCTTTCCGCCAGGTAACTTTTGGAGTAACAAACGAAATGCACTATTGTGAGTTCGCGGCTCATCCCCGGGCTCAGCGCTTGTCGGGCAGTGTCCATCGCTGCCAATCTTTCGTACATCATATAATCGACCGTCAAGTCCTCTAACTCCCCTGAGTTCCCTCCTCGCCTAGGAAGTATTCCATAAGGATCTTCCAAAAGCCGAATGCGAATTTCGCATGTCTTCCAAATCGCCATTCTCCTTAGAGTTTGCCCCACAAACCTATGCAGGCTTTCGGGCCTACACTCTGTCGGGGTCTCGAAAGTTTCTTCGTGTCCACCAGAAATATGCTGGGGCAGATACGTCAAAACCTCGGACATCTCCCCCTCCCTGTCCAAGCTGTCCTGTGTCTCCTGCTGGCTCCCTTGCTTCCAATGGAAAGAGACATGATGCAGATACGTATCGTTGTACCAAGATGCGAGTTCGAGGCTTATATTCTCAATTTCGTTACCAAGCTCTTGAAACCCACCTAGATTTGTGTGCAATCGTTTGCCGGCTTGATAGAAGGTGCGTGAGAGCGCGATGTATACAGGGGATATCTGTTTGTGCGTCGGCCCGAGAACGATTTTGGGTTGAAACGGGTCATTAACTTTCTGTACCTGTTTCTGTACCGAGGGGTGCTTCGCATCCTGGTATATAGTCTTGTTGACTTGAAGCAGTGAGGTTGGCATTCGATATACCTTCCAGCTGCAGATAAAGGGCTCGGGGAAAACGGGCTCGTAAGCGATTTCCGGCAGATAGTTGTAGATGTCCCAGCGCAATTCGGTCGGCAAGTCCATGAACCTAAAGCCACATGCTTCTCGCATCGTGACTGTAGAATGGTCGTTCATTTGGTGGGGGCGCACTTCGTAGGGCCTGACTTCCTTCAGCGCTGTTTGTATTAGTGAACGCTTTCGCTCGAGATGATTTTGGGTGAGAATATTTGTATATCTAAGAGCGAAAAGTCCAGGCAAGCTTTTATAGGTTTTGGAATCGTATTCTGTGGATGGCTAATTAGAGTTAGGGTTCCATGGTGTTGCATAAGGGTGCTCTGTGGTTGCTATCCACTGCAACCCGTGGTACCACAATGACTGTTGAACAACGAACCAATTGTGTTTCCGGGAACACATATCAAAAATACGCACAGAAACATTCAAATGACGAAGAATATCGAACAAACGGATTGAAATCGCATCTGTGGTTGGTCCAAAGCCTTTGTGCGCCAGCCTGTGCGTAAATCACGTCAGGTCTAGATCGAAGAACAAGGAAGGAAGTCTTGAATGCGACGGAGGCAACAAGGACCAAATGGCCAGTCTCGCACATAATTATACGGCCGGGCAGGAGGATACGCTCTCATTATTAGCATCGAGTGGCAACGGCGGACTTCGATTAACATCAAATCTGTCAAAGTCATGCATTTCGAAGCGACGAAGGCGAGTCCCCTTAGGCTGCCGTGTCTATCAACTCTGTCCGCTCATCCGCTGTCAAATCACTTATCGCTTTGGGTACATCTCCCCAGAGCGATACTAGTGCCACACTCACAGCTGATGCAGCAACCCCAAACCAGAACGTGCGCTATTTCTAACAGGGGGTCGACGTTGTATTTTCCTTGCGCGCCACAGCACCCACGAGGCTGGTATGATCATGTCGCCTGAGGCTAAGGCTTTTAGGATTGAACAAAATGTCCTGGTGTATGTTAATGGCCGTAATATCCTCGCTGTGTTGCTATATCAAAGGCACTTTGTATTGCTCTCGGATGAGGCCCTCTGTGCAACAGGCGTTATAGCGACCGCGCAACTGTATTGTACTGCAGATGAACTGCTAGATATACTTTTAAGAATGCCCTGTACACTGTCTACGAAGGCTGTCTAGAGATTCCCTGTGTGCGCACAGTGATGCTCGCTTAAAGTCGAAGCACCTCGCTTATTTTCCGGCGCAGGGGGTTTTCCGGGCCTGAGGGACGGGGGATAGAGCCGATACAGTATCGAGTCCTCCAAGATCGAGGTATGCAAGGGTTGAAGAATACCGGAGCAATTACTGGCTAAGTAAGTTCGCTCTCATTTCCTTGGCGTACGCTGCGCGTATACAAGTTTCGATCCTTCGGCTTGCCGTAAGAGGAAGAGCATATTCTCGCCAAGGAACATGTGCCGGTCTTCCATTCGGTACCGACACGATAAAACTTGCTGGAAAACATCAAATGTGACCGCCCGTTCCTTAGTGACGTCCGTTGTTCCACTTGGCAGCAAGCTCCTTTGCGCCAACACTGATCATCTACGCCGGTCTGAAGTTAGAACGTAATCTCTCGAGTGCTTGAAGTTCTTTGCTGATCTTGTACGAGTTTGAGTACGTACGTGGAGAACACCGCTAGGGAATACTGCAGCACAAGGGCTGCTCTATTCGGACTTGGTATTTAACCCTCTAGCGCCTTGAGTCCTGTGCTAAGCTTGTATATTTCTAGAACGTACGCGGAGAACAACGCAGATAGACATCAGGCGGGTAAGTCTATCCGGCGACTTCCCCGCGATATGATCTCGCATACTCTGTCTCCACCATAGGCTTGGTAGCCGCTACGTAACATAGAATGCCGATCAAGGAGCAAACGCAATCCAATAGCAAGACTTCGTGACATTCCCATCTGCATCACCGTCATGAGCTAAGCTCGGGCTCAGTGTTCGAGACTACTAATATTCATGCCCAGCATTAACTAGCACAAGTAACGATGCAGCATAGCCCCCATCTGTAAAAGTCTCGGGCTCATGATCGCACCCCACAATAACACCAAACCGCAAGTATCCTAATGGCATGACGATGGAATATCGTCATTGATATAACTAGAGTCGGCTATATCGTAGCGCCAAAGAGATGATCTACAATACATACTAGGAATGGACGGAACATCGCAATTGCATCTCTTAGAAAGGAGGATAAACGCATCAGGCATTATATAAGTAGATGGTCCAATCCTAAGTAGAAACTATGAACAATAACTCAAACTGTCAATATCAAAGACATTGTCAAGTTTCTATATACTAAGGAAATTCGTTGCGCTCACCCATGCTCAGTTGCTTGGTCGTACTGATGACACTAATCACACTGATCACTAGTTTAGTTACTCAGACCACCGTATCAGCTACTTAACGCTAGTTGCGCCAAGAATCTCTGTGTTTCCTAGGGAGAGCTAACCGGACGACACACTACATAGGTGGTATTAGTTGCGGTCGTTCAGAGATCGAGATGCCCCTTCGGGCCCACAACGGGATAGCTCGAATATCTGCCCTCTACTATTCATACGTCATGACCTGCTAGTGTGCTCGGCTGGCTAAAGCCGTCTGATTGCGAGAGGTATCAGAAGAGATCGTGATCTGCTGCTCGGCCAAGCTGGATGTTGGGGTAAAGGAATATATAGTACAGCCCCATCGCCACCCAGTAACGCTATCTTCACTTCCTCTAAACATACACACATTCACAAGCCACAACCGCTTCACTCATCTAAATATGAACTTCAGAACTTTCGCAATTGCCCTGGTCGCCTGCGGTATCGCTAGCGCCAGAGTGATCGAAAAGCGTCAAGGCACGCCTGGCGCCAGTTACCAGTCGTACACGGGAACTGGCAACGAGGGCGGCGGCGGCTGCCGTGGCGCTAGAGTGCAACTTGGCTCCCACCTCCGTGGCCAAGAAAGTACGTTCCCTACCGTACCTTGACAGCGTGCTATTAGGACGGATACTGATGATCAATTCAAGCTACCTGCTATCAATCGAGCAACTCAGCGTGTATATCGCTCGTCGACAGGACGAACGGCGGCACTTGCGAGGTGCGCCTATACACTAACAATGATTGCAATGGCGACGAGGATTTTGCGATTGGACTTGCGGAGGTGGGAGACTGGGTGAACTACACTTTCGGGTCTTTTATTGTTGAGTGCTTCTGAGTGCTGAGACGGCAATAGTAGTGACCTGTTACTTGTAGGCAGGGCCCACTACGTGACGGTGTATCATGCTGGGCGCGCCATGAACTTCAAGAAACACACACATTCGTTATCTAGTCGATCTTTTGGATGACGCTTAAATAAATACCTACTCACTCGTTCCTCTCGTACATGAACAGCTATTTACCTATCATCTACATCGTAACTTCCTATTCCAGAGCCTCAAGTCGACTCGGCCCTTGGTTGCGTTAAGGCACTATTTTCGTTGAGGACGAGATATTCCAAACACGGCGTATTGTTGGGCATGGGGGGCTTGGATGAGTAGCGTTCACGAGCTGGTCGAGTTAAGTTCCCGCAGGCTAGCAGCTCCAAAATCTGGATATGTCGATCCGAGCGCCGAGTTGCACGTTGACACGAATCTGCAACCCCGCAGCTTGTAGGGTTGATGGTGTCATGGTTCAAGGCACAAACCGTACTGTGTATATTGCAAGACAGCTCCCGCTCGTTTCCGCGGACATATAACTCCCGTTGATATGATCTTCCTTGGTACTGGGTCTGTCTTCGCGTATGTTTTTCACGCGGCTTTCCAGCACGTCTCTGGAATGTGGCATCCTTCGCTGACCACCCGAAGAGTGGGATCGGCCTGGTCATTGGTCAGATTACCTGTATATATCTATCGTGTGCGGGTTCTGTCTCGCTGCAATCTTTTCGAGCACTGTCTAGCGTTAAGCTCACGTTGACGCTAAGTTTCAGAGATACTAAAAAAGCAAGTCTTGATTTGTCGTCCTTCTTTGTGCGCGATGTCTTTGGCCTACCCTACCCGCGTTCGCCTTCATGCTTACGTACCGCCTATCAGCCGTGGCTAGATTAAGCCTTACGCCACTCACGGCCCAGTGGGTGCGGTAGATGTGGGGTCCAATTGGTCCGCCTGCGGCTCAGCTGAGGTCTCCGTCGTGATCTAGCTGTGCCGATGATCATCGTCTTTACTCGTTCTGCCAATCTCTTTCTGCACTCAGCTTTAACAATTTATAGGGAGATTATATTTAGCCTGTCGTGATTGAAGCGTTGCACGCGGAAAGTGAGAACTCGCAGCGCGACATGATATCTTCACCGTTGTACAAGGCTGAGCAGCAAGGGTATGTATAACAGCGCTCAGCCTTCTAGCACAGACTTTGGGTTTGCCTATGCACCCCAAGCTGATACTCCGCCCACTCCTGGGATTTGATAGCCGTAAGAACAGAAAGACCTTCTCCGCGCACTAGTGCGTTGCGCTCAGCTGAAAGCATGATAGTGGCTGCAGTTTAGCGCAATAAGAAGCCACAGCCCTTAGGGTCTCATCCCATCTCTTAACTGCAGGAAAACGTGGGGAAAAGAGTGTGACGAAACTGTTGTTTTGTACAACTACGAACTGGGTCTGCTTTGCTCATCGGAGTGTTAGCAAACCAAGAAGTTCTGTGCATTAATACTCTTGTTCTAGTATTCCAAAGCATAGCCGAAGCGCTTCAGAGCATTAGGTCTGGCTTCGACCATTTCTCACCTTCTCAGCTGGCGTCGTCGTGCAGCTATCGCGTCGGACCCAATGAACCTTCTTTCATAAGGTCCTCTTGTTAGTGACGGTGCGGCTGAGATCTGTTTCCCGCTGGCGGGGTAGGTCAACCTGCACATTACCCACGTGTATAAAGGCCCAGTGATATCGAGAAGAAGGCCTCAAGAAGCCAACAGACACTCATCCTTCCTGGCCCTTGTTGTTTGCTTATCAAGAAGTTCAGAATTCTTCGCTTTCCCAAAATCAGATCGTTCGCTTGTCGCACAAAATGTCCGCCAGAGCCGTAACAGCAGTCGGTCAAGGCTTTTCCTCGTTCAGAAATGAGGGCTGCGATACCGTTGTCACGGGTAAAGTGGATACGAAACAACGCGGAGGGGGAATAGACGCGAATATCCAAGTCTGTACATCCATGACAGATGTATGCTCGGCTCTCAGCATTGACGCGAGCGTTGAAGCCAACTGCTCGTTTGGCTCTTTCGATGATCGATTGCAATACACGCGCTCATTCGCCAAGTCGACAACCTCCGTTCTCATCATGGTCGTGGCAAACAGAACCCTCGGAACAGATGAAATCACCGGCACCAAATTCAGTGAAGACCACAAATGGATTCTGGACTCTGCCAACGACCTCTACTCTGTCGGTGGCGACTCTTTTGTTGCAACGACCACGCTCGGAGGCCAATACATTGCATTCTACCAGTTCGATGCCGAGACCATTCAGGAGCGCGATCAGCTCGCTAACAGCGCTAAAGCTAGTGCTCATACTGCTGGCTTTAGCCTCCAAGCAAGGTTGGACACTACTATAACGAACGCTGGCTCATATACCGGGAGCAAATACTCCTTTGTTCAAAAGATCTTTGGCCAAAGTCATGGTAAGCTGCCCGACGCGAACAACATCGGGCAGTTCGCCTTGGACTTTGGTACAGCCGAGCTTGACGCCCCGGTCATCCTCAAGTTCACGACACAGTCGTACAATACCGTGGAGGGGCGTCCAACAATGACCAACGTGGACAAGCTCCGATCAATCTTCGCCAACCGAATACACCCAGCCAAGGGCCTTGGAACCATCCGTGTGGCCGCGCAGCATGCCTTGGACAGCATTGCCACAGTCCGTGCTATATATGACGTATATGGTTGCAGAGCAGCCGACAATACACTCGACGCTCGTCAGACCACGTACAAAGGGTACATAGACGCCATCGACAAGTGGCAGAACGATGCTGAGGACGACGTTGAGCATGCCCACCCACCAGTGCCTACGATTTGGAGTTCCAAGGATAGCCAGCGACCTCTTGAGGCGACCGACATCCAATTGCCCGCAGCATCTTACGCCATCATGATCGGCCCCGCCGCTGGCGGTAACTCGGGCGGTAATCCTTTCGACAATGTCCCCAGCAACGCTATCCTGCGTCAAAGGCGTGTCACCGGCATCGAGGTCTGGTCGGGCGATTTCATCAACACGATTCGCACGCGGGTCCAGTATGAAATTGACGGGTTGACAGAGACGCTTCTCACCAATGATCCTGGAGGCTCGATGGACAATGGCATGTGGGATTTCTCGAACATGTCGCAAGTGATACAGGAGGTAAGCGTGCACTACTCAACAGACGACTGGCTTTGCAAGGAGATTACGATAGTCACGAATCAGGGTAAGTACCAGACCCACTCTGGCCAAGGGGATCAGTGGGCTACGTGGACGGCGCAGCCGGGTACGGACTGTTTTCTGGGGTTTACGGGGAGGTTTGGAGATTTTGCGAATCGCTTGATGGTCAAGTTTGTGAGGTTTGCACCTGTGACGTGGCAATAGAGCTGGTCTGCACGAATTGACACCTCACCAGGACTGTGGCGAAGACAAGTTTGACGAGTGCTCGCCTCAATCCGTTACAGGCGAGTGGCGCAATGAGGAATGCATTCTTTTCACAAGCTTACGATAGCAGCGGCTGGACCAGCTGTTCGACAAGCTAGTGAGGACGCTCACTACTCAGGATGTACAAAGTCCAGAAATGTATTCAATGCTCTATAGTAAAAGTATGATTAGTTTAACGTACGTTTTCGTAGGGTATTTCTAGAAAGTATGCAGTATAGCATAGCTTTATGTAACGTATCCTACTTTTGAGTCAACCAACCCAGTGAGCCAGCCACTTTTCCTTAGCAAAGCGAACTTTATCCTTCTCAAGTGCTGCACAAGTGCTTCTCCTTAGTGCCGGCGGAGGTAAGCGGCATCGATTCTGCTATGCCGACTTGTATCCCTTACATAACTAAGCTACTTTCGTTCTCCGAAAGCTAGGAACACAAGCCTAGAGGAGGTGCAGGTGGTCTCTCAACACGGTCTCAAAGTCAAGTAAGGCGAGATATAGCGCAGGCAGCATCAGACAAGAAAGAGGCTTCACGAATAGTGGAGTGCATAGGGGCATGGCAAGTGCTACAAAACGAATCAAGGTAGTGGGGATGGTGCAGGTTTGTCATACAATCTTGATTTGGTCACGATACGACTCCACTCACGTATACATGTTAATTGACGTCTGATCCAGCGTATGTTCTAATCTACATGCCTGCATGCTCAGATACTGACCTCAAGAGCTGGATGCGCGATGTGGCTGCTTGCCAGGAGAAGTCAGCTACAAGCTGCAAAGGTGGCTCATGCCAACGAGGAAAGGCTAGTGCCCTGGCCAGCAGCCTCCATCAAAAGACGTGTGAACTTGGTACGCTCGCTAGTCTCCATGACAGTCGAACGGCGAGTCCAACCGATCTCAGTAGGCAGGCGCTCGTTTCCTAGATCACACGCACGTTAGTCACCAATCTCTGTGAATCCGCGCAAGGAATGTTGAAACTTACGCAACCAGTACTCAATGAAGTCTTTCCTCACAGTGCTCGTGGTACCATCAGCCATGATTTCAAAGAAAGACGCGCATTCTCCCCAACTGAAGCCATCAGCCAACAACGATGTCTTGTGCTCTGGGTTAGTGCGCTTCGATGTTTCGAGTCGTGCCATGCGAGCGTCGGCTAGTTGTTGTATGGTAATCTCCGGGGTCTTGAAGAAGGACGCCGTCTCGGCCCAGACAGTTTCATTGAATGGGAGAGGGTCGGCAAAGAAGCGATCAGATCGACTATATGTGGTTGACACGTCAGAAATGTCAAGAAATTGAAGGATAGTATGTTTACCTCAGGCTGAAGTCATGCTCCAGTACGCCCTCACGGCCCAATGTGTCGAGGTCGAACGTACGTGCGAACGGCTTCGGGTTGGTGCGTACGGCCTGTGAGAAGAGGATGATGGCATCGCTCTTGGCGATGTTAAAACCATTGAGCATTGCATCAGCAAGGATATCGCGTGTGATCTCCCGCCCATTATGCGGCAAGTACCCGTGATTGGCGAGAGTATTAAGACCAGGACATGGACCGCGTGCTGTCGAGTCATTCATCAGTGGGATGTTCTCATCACGACCAGAGATATACAGTCAGATGAGTCGACTAACCATCATTTGGACCCGGAGCCGTCCAATTCCTGGGCTGCCAGGTCTGGCGGGCGTTGACATTGCCATAGGTAGGGAAAGCCAAGGCTGACGCAAAGACGGCCGAGAAACTGATAACTGATGATAGCTTCATGATGGTTTTGAACGAGAGGATGAAAAGACCAATGAGATCAGAAGGGGTCTTCAAGATGGATGCTAACGAAAGGATATCAGAGTCTGACCGCTGAAGAGTGATTGCTTTGAAGTAATCTCTGCTGGTATCTTTGATATCTTTGAGCACAAAGTCGAGTTATATATCTGCTTGCTTCGAGTAGCAGCCACACATCGTTGCCTGACGTGAAACTCATGATAGACATCGCCGGCCTTCGTTCCCCACAGCTCGACGACGTTACACCACGCCATGTTGCGTGCCTCGGCTCGCAAAGTCGACGAAGAGATGCGATACGTGAATGTTTTGATTGTTCGCCGGGATGTGCTTGAGAGAGACGCAGAGGAGAGGCAAAAGAAACACTCGAGGACTTGGCAGTTCGGAATTAATAACCGACAAGCCACAACTCATTTAACGTACGCTACAACGACCTCGGCACACGTTAGTAAGTGGGTCGCATGCTTTAACCTCTTGATGCGCAGGTAACACTGATCTGTTTTACAGGACATGTCCATAGGTGTTGGGATGAGAGATGACGTACCAGGTTCTTCTTAGTCGGCCATGTTCTAGGGAAACTCGACTCGGCACTGCGCAATGTTCAAAACTCTCACCACCGTACAACTGAAGCCCCGCATTCGACGAGTTGAGCCAATTCGCATACATCGAGAGCTTACAGAAAGCAATATTGCCTGCAGTTATTCGCGACAATCTGCCTGGGTATTGTCGCTGAATTGCGGCATGCCTAACCTGGTCTGGAGTGTTCTCTACTAAGTCAACTGTCAATTGCTCTGAACATATGAAGGCACCGGGCCAACCATATTGATTGCGACGAATCTCTTTTAGTATCGTCAGCTGGTGTATAGTGCAGATACCGATCCAACAGCTGTGATTTCATCCTAGACTGATGCGAAACACTCTCCCCGCAATTTTGTACCTCGGCAGTTTCGCGACCTGTCAAGCCCTCCAATACTAAACGAGAGATGTTTATTGCCCGGTGGCTTGGGTGTCGCGATGCTGAAGAAGGCCAACGATACCGGTGTGGATGATCTCGTTGGATTGAGATATGCGTGGCTAGGATACGGTTGGCGTGGGCCTCGGCAGCGCGATGCTTGCGAGGGTGTGCTGAGTGGTGAGCGGATGTCCATGAACAAGTCCGGGTCAACGGGAATATGTCGTGCAATACGAAAATGAATCCAAGGCGATCACCCATACCGTTGCTGGGATTTGACGTTGATCTCGCCGTCTGAGCAAGAAGATGATGATAAGTGGAGCAAAGCAGTGGCCAGTACAGCTAGAGATATTTCCAAGAAGCCTCTCCAGTATCTTAGCCGGCCAGCGAGTGGTGCATATCGCCTGACTTCACGTGACTCGTGAACTTCTACCTATCGACGCCTGCAAGGATTGTTGCGCAGACACGTGAAGCTTCACAATCGATGCTTTAATACTGACGTACTGGGACCCCTACCGAGTGCGACCCCCAGCAGATCCGAAAGCATGCCACCTAGATAGAAGAGGAAGCTACAGTCAGTGACCCGGATACTGTGTAATATCCCGCTTACGAATTGTTAGGCTAGGCGAAGCTACTAGCGCCGCAACCTCAGGTTCCCAAGCACAAGATGAATGCCAGAGGAAGCAAACATATACGTGACCATCGTCGCAGGTCTGTCGCGCGTCTAATCGAATGGGTGGATCATTACTGAAGGCCGCCATACAGGATACATGCGCACGCGTTCCGCAAATGTGCTCAAATTCACGCATACTGTCAAAGGCTTACTTTGAGCATCAGGCCCCCATACAAGTGCTTCCTTCCGCCGAATGAGCAAGTTGCTGCAAGCCTGCTCCCGTTTCGCTCATTCTGCCAGGCACAGACCGAGGGCTCCTCCCCATAGTCGTTACCTGAAAGGGCCAAGACCAGGTTTGCCTAGCGGCAACGATCGCTCGCGTCGAGCCAATTGGGCAATGAGATGGAAGGAATGCAGGGCTGGATTGCGGTGGCGGCATCGCGCAAGTTGACGGCATAAGATGACTTTTGAGGTAACTTATCCCTTGCATTCCATGGGAGTATTGCTATAAGAACAGCGACAATCGCGACCACTGTCAATCACTGTTTGGACCGCAAACACCGTCCACTATGCATTTCAAGGCTCTCAAGATTGGCGTTGCGCTCTTTTCCGGGCTGATTCCTTCAATGATGTGTCAGGAAGGAAATAGCTCCATGCCCGTCTTCACGCCGGAGCTCAATTCCATGCGCACTCTCTCCGTGGGATTCGTATAGTTGCCTCAATAAGTCACAATTTTTATCATGCACTTACTATGATTAGGTCATTTTTCCCGGATTTGAGCTTCTCGATGTCTTTGGTCCCATGGAGATTCTCACCGTAGTATGAAGCCTAGGACACTCGATATGCTTGATGCTCAGTGCTGACATGGTCGATACAGCTCTCGGCCTTCAACAAGATGACCCTTTCCGTCATCGCCGAAGAAACTGGCCTGGTTCCTGCTGGTATGCAGCCCTACGGCCCTGACGACTTCAGCGCGCCGCCAACCGACTTCGGACACGTCATCGCGCCTCGCGTCGAGGCTACCCACAACTTTAAGAACGCTCCGGCGCTTGATATCTTGTTCGTGCCCGGTGGCCTCGGTGTCGTGACGTTAGAGCAGACGAACAACACTAGCGTGGAAGACTTCGTCAAGTTGCGATATGCGTCCCTCGAGTACCTGGTCGGCGTGAGCTTCGGCGGTGCGACTCTGGCGCGCTCTGGTGTTCTGGACGGCAAGCGAGCGACGACGAACAAGTCTGGGTGGACGTGGATAACAGAGCGCGGTCCGAACGTTACGTGGGTGCCGCAGGCACGCTGGGTCGAGGATGGCAATATCTGGACTACGTCCGGAACGGCGTCTGGTACGTTTGGCGGAGAAGCTCGTATAGCGGTGAAGGCGCATTCGCTGACGGCGTAGGTCTCGATGCTACATATGCCCTATTCAGCAGACTTTACGGCGCGCAGCCGCTGAATTACATGCTCAATGTGATTGAGTATGCGCCGCACCTAGATCCTAGTTGGGACCCGTATGCGACGGCTTTCAACGTGAGTATCAACGGGAAGATGAGAGGCTACGCTGACGAAACCTCCAGGTGTCCAAATCCAATAACTCGACATGGCAGAGTTGCGTCAACCCTGTAACGATGCCTATGCGATGATTTTATCGTGGTAAGACGATGGTGACTGGTATGGAACCAGTTGTCTGCGACCGGCGTATGTAGTATTTGCGGTAGCAGGCATGGATGCTGGTGTTGATGTTGGTGTTCCCGTCGTGTTCATGGAGATGTGATGCAGAATGGTAGGCCGTGTACGTGAGCTCGGCCAGCGACGCAACCTGCTCGTATGGCCATTGCTAGTCGTAATCCATCGCGAGGCATTGCGTCGACATCTACCAAAGTCTACTTCTCTGTCAGATGGATGCACTCGAATTCACGGGAACTTCGCATGTCTCTCATCGGTCCTCGGAGCGTGTCGAAGACAAAGCGCGTCGTGGACTGAGATGCGCGACTGCGTGTGTTGAAGCACTCCGAGGCTATCGGCGGTAGCGGCCGCCGACATTGGTGGGCTGCCCCAGCAGGACTCCTGCGGCGAATATTAACGGCACCACGTTCCGACTCGCGATACCATTGATCTCTCTGCACCTTCGCACCACTCCCCACGACATCCCCAGGGAATATCACTCCAATAAACAGATGCATGTATCCGCAATAGTCGTCTCTTCAAATGTTTATCAAGAGAGGACTGCCAGCACCCGTCGGTCTTGCAGCAGCTCGGGAGCGAGCCCAAGTTGAAAAAAATAGGATGTAATGCGTGCAACGACAGTATTGGAATTAGAGCACTCCTGAGACTTCGATCACCCTGGCTACGATCGCGCTGCAATGTACAACCCAGTTTGATTGCATCATTTGTGTTTATGACAAAAAGGTCGAAGTTCTTGGTTGTCATTCCTAATGTCGTTCAAACCAGGTTTTGATGGCCGTATCGCACGTGTGGGATCGTGTAGTCAGTGATTAGCAGATGTTCGTCCGGCCTAATATCGGAGGATCGCCCCGCTCCGCGGGCACGGCCGTCCGTTTGCAGAGAGATGGCGCTATTTCGCCGCTTGAGTAGTTGCTCTCACTCCGCTCCCAAGAGCAAAGTAGTAATCGGACAAATTGCGGCGGCACTCGAACATTTGAGGTCTCGGAACTCTTCATATTGAAGTTGCATCGAAAGTCGCAACAATGCAGATTCCAATAAGCTATCTTCTCTCGTCTCATCTATCGTTCAATACACAATCGTTCCAGCTATGTCGCCGTCCTTTCTCATTGTTGGTGCAACAGGAAACACGGGTCGTGGGGTGGTGGAACTCTTATCAGACACCATTCGAGCCAGCTCAACCTTCTCTAAACATCGCATCATCGCTCAGACACGCTCAGCCAACAGCTCTACTGCTAAGGAGTTCGCGAAGCTATCCAACGTCGAAGTTGTAGAGCTCAACTGGCCTACAATTACATCTCAATGGCTCCGCGAACATGAAGTAGAAAGGGTGTTCATCGCCTCGCATAACCAACCCAACCAATTCGCTGAGGAGTCGGGTTTCTTCTATGCAGCTCTTAAAGCTGGAGTCCAGTATGTTGTGCGAATCTCTACAACAGCTTCAAACGTACGTCCGGATTGTCCAGCATATTATCCACGTCAACACTGGGCTATCGAAAAGATGCTCGAGTCTTCGGCTTACGACAAATTGCACTGGACCTCTCTCCAACCTAACGCCTTTCTCGGAATGTGGTTGTCGTCCGCCGCGGAGATGATAAAGAAAGTGCAAAATGGGGAAGGAAAACAGGACACACTCCGACTTATGGCTAACAAAGACAAACCTATCGGCGCCATAGAACCCATGGACATCAGCGTGGTTGCAGCGAAGCTATTACTTGAGAACGACACTGCAAAGCACAACAAAGCAAAATACGTACTGAATGGCCCAGAAAGTATTACTGGCGCTCAAATTGTGGCGATGGTGGAGGATCGCATCGCAGCGAGAGTTGACAACGTTGTTTTCAGGGACAACTCTATGCTGGATGATTTTGCAGCGGCATCCCCACAGCTGAAACATCTTCTCGCCACGATGAAGGAAGCAGCAGATGAGACATTCGACTCCCCCCTTCCGACTGTACCAACGAGTCAGGAGATTCTTGACTTTGCACCACCGAAAATTACTCCAGCCAGTGTTCTCGAGCAGTTACTAAAGTAGACCAAGGTAGCGACGAAGTGAAAATAATAGATGACAATAAGGATTGGCATAGCGATATCCTTCTACATGATCAAAAGTGCTCTATGCAAGAGCATTGATTTTCCATTATTCATTCTTCGTGACCGCTGCGTCTGCCGGTTTCTTTTTCTTGCGCGTTGCTTCAGCCTCGCGGTGGTTATTGGACGAATTACTGGAAAAGAGCAATCTCGCAGGCTTTAGTGTCACTTCGGACGCTGCAACAAGTTTTACAAATCTCTGCTGGTCCATGTTTGAAATAAGCTCCTCGTCCAATGATGCATTTTCTTTTATTGCAAAGATCGTCGTGCGCATGCATGAGGACCGGTCAAGAGAGCTCCGTCAGCTAAGGCACCCCGTAGGCGAAACATTTCCTCGATTACAGCTCTGTACTTTCTATGAACGATGCTAATACCAAACGCATGAATTCAAGAACAAATTCCCCCAACATTTCAACATCGTCATTCAAATCATCCAGTAAGTTATGCACCCGTGCGCCTAATCTCACGCCACTCGTTGAACTCCAGCCACTCATTGTATCTCCTCGCTTCGTCTTCCAAATTCCTCATCCTGCGTCGCGCACTACCGTCACGCATACCTATACGATTAGTGAAGGTATTCTTGCAAAGTCTCAACAACAACACTCACTTCCGCTGATGTTGCGCATCCATCTGCTTATTCTCGGCCATGCGAGACCGATGACGAAGCTGATGACTGCTGCGAAGACGCCAACTAGGGAGATTATAGCCTCTTTGGACCAGGATCTGTTGTTTTGAACCAATGCAGACGACTCTTGTAGCTTCTCCGAGCCCGAATCGTCAGAGATGGAATGCGCGATAACGCTGTGAATGGAGAACACAAATGATGCAAGATTCACGAGTTGAGAGAACATTATACGACAGGAATCGCGTGATGATTCAGTTAGATGAGTTCAAGTGCAGACGAAGAAAACGACCCGAGGGCCGCGTATAAAAACTTTACATGGCAGTAACCGGAAGCCAGCGCACGCTCTCGTCAGTAGATGTGGCTTGCGCCTGGCTGAGTCCAATCATATTGCTCTCAGCCACTGTCCTTGCCATGTTTCGCACGCATCGCCGAATTGTCCAATAAGACATAGACAGGGTATGTAGGATATGGGAAGCCCCAAAATTTGATCGAATCTGAACGTATATTGTGGTTGTTATCATGGATCTCTGTTCACATTCTGGATTTGTTCACGACTCAGCCCCACTCCAAGCTCCTCACTGGTAGTCGCCATCATCCTTTCACCCTCAATAGGCGCTGCAATACCCCAACAAAGCATTCCGGGTCTTCGCAATCGCCCTTCCACCATCACTCTTACCGTTCTCCACAAAGTCTTTTTCCTTCTCCGACTCCGTCTCGTTCGCACGTCGCACTTTGAGCTTGATGTCCGCGCGGCGCATGCCATCCGGTATTGACCCCGCTTCTTCCCTCTCAGCCTTCCATTGCGTGATGCGTTCGCGTTTGAGCATTGCACGATGTTCAAATCAGAGCGAAACGTAGTGTTGAGGGGTCGTTCCATTGTAAGTGGAAGATAGCAGTGGATCATTTTGTGGCGGCGGTTTGAGGTGTCTATTCGGGTGCGAGCAATTCCGCAGGGATGTAAGATGATGTTGCGATGGAAATGCACTGGTTTGGTGCGGCTCGTTGAGGCTGAGAGGTGAGACGCGTCGATGACGGTACGACCCGGGATGTGCAGCGGTAAGCGCAGCTAGCGACTCTGAACGCGGTCTTTAGATGTCACCTTGACATTTTCGCTGAGCTGCGCGAGACAGCCGCTTTCTCTGAAGCTGCTGTGACAGTTCGACATGATCGATGCGTATCAAAGGCAGTGATGATGCGCTTATAGTCGAAATCGGCCGTATATGAATCATCGTGATCGATCGCGCGCCACTTCCAAAATGTTGGGTAGGCATTGGATAGTGCTGCTGCATTGATGGTAGTGATGCGGCTGCTAATGGCAAGGATACATTTGCCGTCGAAGGCGAATTAGAGAAGAGGTCAGATTTTGACCACCGTACAATGGTATTGTGAATCTGGTGTTGACTGATATCTAAGACAGATCCCTCAGCGGGCTGGCCCCCATACGACCAACAACCAGGATGATTGCCTAATGGTCCTAGGCTAGGTCGACGATCGAACTTACCCTTGGACCAAGGTGAAGAGGACAATTTACTCAGAAAGTGGCTGTCGATGGGCAAGTACTGGTGATTGAAATATGATCGGAGACTTGGTCAAGAGGTAGAGTGCACCACCATTCGCGGTATGGTCGGATAGCTGCCATCTTGGGCCACGTTCTGCGAGAGCTTTCAGGGACGGCCTTGTACTGTACCTGCATCTTCGCGCTGAGATCTGACCTTTACTCGTTTGGAGTTCCAGTGTAGCTCATCATTCCTCATGTCGCAATCATGAAGAGAACGATAAGTCGGAGTTTGATCTGAGAACAGGCCAGAGTCGCCGTACGAGCAGCCTTTCCTTGCGGGTGTTGTGGGTTCGATACATGCTGGAGTAAGTTGCGTCTGTTCCTGGCCTTCGCAACATCCGACATCGCTTTTGAGTGACGTATCTGGTCTAGCGGCGACCTTTGCAGCCCCCTATGAGATAGTTTGAGTCAGGGGACGTAGCATCCGTGACACTGAGTTCGCTGATTATGTGTAGAGCTCGGCATCTTTCGGGTAACCGTTAGCGCGTGGATGGAAGCTGGTGTTGAGGGGATTGACCTTCGGGGTGACGCTTTTGGAGAGGCATGTAGAACGACGAATTTGGTCATTCAAGCAAACGAAGCCTGTCAGTCCGTGCGAAGGATCACTATATGAAAGTGCTTAGGTGCACATGAGTATCACTATATGCCTACAGAACCTGTTCTGCACCACGATAAGCCATGAGATGCATGTAAACTCGTGACAGGCCACAAGATAGGAATGCATTATTCCGGAGACGCTTAAGAGCAGATCAGACCCGATATCATGGCTCTCTATGAGCTGCAGGAAACCGAATATATCCCTTAGTGACTCAAGCCACTCGTGGCACTGTTTCAGATTAGCTCTGCCGAGAGGGCGCATAGACAGTGATCGCGGAGTAGTTGAGCGTATGCTGTGTTGTAAAGGATTTTTGAATTATAGCCTAGCAGAAATAGCTGCGGTTGGGGAGAAAGTATTGCAGAATTAACGAGCATCAATAACTGACTGGCCTGCCTCTCTGTGCGTGAAGTCTGCTCTACATAGCCCTAGCTTTAGCCCTAGCTCTAGTCCTAGCTTCCACCCGCTAGGTAGTACCTTGGCGCTATTCTTTGCTTGGCTTAATATTCTGAGGAGTAGAAAATACGTCTCTAGGATCGATAACCTTTTTTACCTTCTCGAGACTCGATAGGTTTGACCCCCAGTACTTTTGTTGTGGTGTCCCATCCAGGCGCGCGTTAGGTACACCAGAATAAGACAAGTACCTTTCCGGCATGTTATCCTGCAGGGTTAGAAACGCATTATCAATGAACTTCATAGAATCCTCGCTAGTTTTGCCTACAAGAGTGATCAGGTCAGCAAATATGATCTTGTAGCGATCAGTCCAATGCGCAACTTACTCTCTGTTGTGAGAAAAGATGTGACAAAATACGCCAGATTGCGATGTGGGTATGGTGTCGCTGCTACTGCAACATCATTAACAGCACCGCCATACCAATCGAGGATGAACATCCAATTCTCTTTGTTGGCCATTAGATGCTGCATCCACTTCTCAAGAGCCTTCTCGGATGGAAATGTGTTGTCGGCCACGGCTGTGTCGCGCGCGTATAGATAAGCCTGATTTGGAATCGCTCCGGCGCTTTGAAAAAGGTTTTCCATATAGTCGATCCACGCCACCCCTTCTTTCAACTTCTTTTCCTTTGGCTCGGGAAAGCGATCGTTCAGTCCAATCGAGTCAAAATCCTTCTTAGAACCGAAAAACGCGCCGCTAATGTAAACGGAATTCCTGGTTACAGTAGCAGAAGCGGTAAGCTTACGGGGCATGGATTCATCCGCCATCATCTGTTGGAACTTCTTGACCGCATTCGAAAGAATGGATAAATCCTCCGTCGTGTAGTTATAGCTGAATGTTACAATCTCGGACGGGTTGGGCTTCGTTTGGAACCTGAATTCTGTCGCGATCCCGAAGCTTGCGCCTGCGCCGCGCATTGCCCAAAACAAGTCCTGGTGTTGGTCCTTGTTCGCACGTACGACTGTTCCGTTGGCCAGTACTACCTCGAGCTCGCGGAGAACGTCAATGGACAGACCGAGGTCGCGAGACGTGTAACCGATTCCACCAACCATGATGTGCCCACCAACGCCGACGGTTGCAGAGGAACCATGGGGCATGTAGCGTCCTTTATCATTGAGACCTCGGACGAGATCTTCCAGAAGGTTGCCTGGACCAATGGTAGCGATGCCAGTATTGTCATCAACACTCAGTTTGTTGAAATTCTTCAAGTCGATAACAATTGCGTCGTCAGCACCTCCGAGGCCTGAAGCATGTGTTAGTAACCGTTTTTCTTAGCAGCTAAGATTTGTAAAGAACTCAGAAAGACTATACATCTGTTGAGGAAATCTCTTCCCCCACTTCGAGCTTGAACCTTGCGGTCATGTTGACTCGCACACTTGACTATTTCGGAAACTTCTCTCGCGCTCTGAGGGTATGTCACAGCGAAAGGCTTGTGTTGATAGTTCAAGTTGAAGTACTTGAGGTCTTTGGAAACAAAGTTGGCTTCCTCTGGAAATTGGGCGCGCGTTGCGTCTCCACCAACAGCCGAAGCAATACACGATTGGAGTTCAGCCTTTGCCCTAGGTAGCAATGCTGCTGTCGTGATAGACGGTGCTAGAAGAGATAGCAAAAGAGTGGTAAGGTGGGGATTATGCATTCTGAATGATGAACAGTCTTTTGTGTTCAGGAGACAGGGACAAACGAATATCTTAGTAGATTGAACGAAGTACTGAGATACTCTTTATTGTACATGATGTATCATTATAGTTCACTTTATAATCTCCAATCGGGTGTTGAGCACAGTGGACATACGCGAAATCCGCGGGCCCCGCGCCCCCAGATGTCCGCGGTGAGAAAGAATATCTAAACACCCGATGAATTTAAGATTGAAGTTCCTAGTAGAGCAGGAATAGATTAAAGTTCATGCTTAGAAAGGAACTGACATTCGCTCAAAAGTCGGACCGAGGCCAAGGCGCCGTTCCGCGCCTTCCGAACGTTAGCTTCAAGCCTTTAGCTGTTTGTTGATTAACCTATTCTATGTTATTGACCGTGTGCTTGTTTGATAGCAGCGTAGAGGTAGTGCAACGGGAACACGCATTCTTGATATATTTGCCGCTGGAGAAGAGTCTACGAATGTCTACCTCGACGATTTGACGCTCAAGAAACCTGGACACTTCAGGGTGCCTGCTTACGCTAAGCACGCTGCAACTTCAGTCACCCTCGCGTTGAAGCACACCGCCGAAGAAGAAAACAGTGACACCGTCTTCATCTACGCGCACCTCGGCATGATCTCTCCCAAATTTTTCCAAAAGAGCTGCGGCGACGAGTACGATCCATACTCTGCTGATTTCCCAGTACCTACTACGTATGTCTTCCAGTGTATCCCAGAGCAGGCCGGTCAGCATTGTCTGAGTTCGCCTACGAGCGTCAGATACGGGGGCGTTGGTGTTGCCCTGCAGCACGGCAGGCAGAAGGCTGAGACTATAACACATGGGAGCGAGGGCTCGCTGTTTACTATCAGTGTCAGATTGGAGTTTCTTCAGCCCGGTAAGTTGCTGGTAGAATTGGAGTTCGGAGCGCCTGAGGTGGTCTGTACCCATACTATGGGCGTACTGATGACTCATTGAGGACCTGACTAAGGAGATAAGCTTCTGTGATCTGTGATGCATATCGTGCTAAGTTAATTTCAAATACTGTTTGCGAGTCTAAGCATGTAGAAGAAATGTCCACTATCTGATCTAGGAACTTAAATATCGCTGTATGCTCAAAGAGTGAGGTACGAGTGCGCACTGGTGGTGATGTCACAATAACAACAACGACAGTGACACGCAGAGCTCGGAAGAGGTGCGGGTCTTCCCAGCCAAGCTGGTGAACTATTGAGGGGACCCCAAAAACGACGCAGCTCGCCGGAACATCCTGCGCCTGCACGCTGATACCGCTAGACGCCAGGGCGTGATCGATGACTGGAGCGCGATATCGGCAAGCCGAGAGGTGTTCGCGTCACGGACACTCGTCTTTGGCGCTCACTTCCGAAGCGTCGTACCAGTCGCTGCTTTGCTCCAAAAATCCCCGTTTTCCTTCCTAAATTGCCAGATCAGCTTTAACTTCTACTAACGGCACGGATGATCGCCTCAAATTCCCATCTCCATCGGACAAAATATGCCAAGCCACGTCAGTATATAGGATGCTCCATGAGGGTGGTAATCACCGTCTCAGCAGCCACTACCATCATCAGGCTAGATCAAGCACTTATGCATATACATGGGAAGGGCACACAGGTCATTGAAGCAGTAATGAAAGGATTTTTCATTAAGCTTGCTCTCAGAAGCACCTGTTACGTAACATCGTAAGCCTTCTCAACCTTTCTGGAGGCGTCGCATGTCAAAGACTTGAACATCGTTGAAACATCACCTAGCTAGCTTTGCACTATGGTCTCTTAACTGCTACGTGTTCCGACTTTGAGGGAAAGAAGTCTGGGAGCGGTAATGCTTACATAAGAACATAGATAGTCTTTAGCTTAAGGCTGTAATTGCAGGTTTCTACATTAATCGTGATATTGTAAGAGGCATCCTCGCCGCGGCCAAACTCTATACTATGACATGCCTACACTCAAGCGACTGCACTGTTTTTTTTAATAAGACTCTTATTTTAGTAAGGCCTATAAGCAGCGGTAAGAAAATTTTAGAGTAGCATTCTAAGTAGGAGGTTAAGCACGTAGCGTTAGCTGTCTAAGGTACTAGAAAAAAGTCTTTAGCAGCTATTTTTTACAGAGTTATTCTTCAATTAAATAGTGCTGTTTGTAAGGGGCTATTACTAGATATCAGGTCTAGTTAACGATACATCCTATCCTGCACTATAATTAGTAGTTCGCTAATTATACTTACTTTTTTAGTTGCCGAGAGTAGTAGTACAGAGCTGCATTCAACGATTATAAAGATAGACAAGTATAGGGTTTTTAGCATAGCATGTTTTAGTACTTAGGTCTAGCCTCTTACAACTTACTTCTACCCTAAACTCTATCTATTAGCTTTACATTACTAAGAAACGATGTAGAATCGGCTCTAGGTCTGTGATACGAAACGGTTTAACGATAGTATCGTCCATGCCAGCATCTAGCGCGGCTTCGAGCTGCGCTGGTCTAGCATTAGCAGTAACCGCAACAATAGGAATGTGTCTGCCGAGTGTTCCGTCAGCTTGAGCTGCGCGTATAGCCTTTGCACATTCTAGTCCATCCATTACAGGCATCTCGATATCCATTAGAATGAGATCAACAGCCGGCTGAGTTTCAGACTGCATGTTGCAACTATTCCAACACTTAGTAGTCTTGAGGAATGTTATAGCCTCGAGACCGTTGTTCGATACCTGAACGGAGAAGCCATGGCGCAGTAACGAATTCTTCAATACTTTCTGGTTGATGAGATTGTCTTCTACCAGAAGAATATTGTACTGAGGAGGCTTCTCATTAGGGCCGATCAGCGATGGTTTGGAGCGATGTGCGGCCGAAGAAAGCTTCTTCTCCATTCCCTGGGATAGTTGGAGCTCGTTCGATGAAGTCCTTGTCGCTTTGGCAGAGAAGACGAAGGTTGAGCCTGCACCCTGATCTGATATGAAACCGATCCGGCCAGCCTGTAATTTCACTAGCTTTCGACTGACGACTAACCCAAATCCTGATCCCCCGTACCTGTTGTACGTTTTGGGGGAGGCTTGAGATAATATCCTTGTCATTCCTTTGGTATCCATACCACAGCCTGTGTCTCTGACGCTACACCATAGGTACAGTTCGTCTTCATGTAGGATGTTGTCGGTAGAATCTTCGCATGTCGTGTCTTCGACCATATTGAGGTTGATGAAAGCCGGAAGGTCTGGAGACAAACTTGCACCAAGGCGGATATCGATGTCTCTTAGCCCATTTTGGTCCCTCGTGAATTTAATGGCATTGGCAACCAAACTTGTTAAGACTTGCATGAATCTTCCGGAATCGGCTTTGACCCACTCGATTCCGAGACTCTGGGCAGAATCGTCAATGCTAACTGTGAAGTCGATCTTGGCCTCTTTGGCTTCAGGACCGAACGTTTTCTCAATTTGTCGTACAAAGGTTTCCAGGTGAAATACTGTAGGCGAGATCAGAAACAATTCCGAGTCTAACTTGGAAAGAACCAGGATGTCGTCTGTGATCCGCCTCTGATGTGTGTTACAAGAGCGAATAGTGTCCACGAATTCCAGCATGTCGTTGTTCCATACTCGCAGCTGACGGAAGGGCTGCTCATACAAAGGAGTTTGGTCAAGTAGCGACTTGGACTCTGAAACGAGACCGAATAGAGCATCAATGGAATGCAATACCGCGCTCAAAGGATTCCGAATCTACAAAGCCAGATCAGCATTCAAACTACATGAATTCTGGGAATTCCCATACTTCATGACTTATCATATCCACGAAGCTGTGAGATGTTAGAGAGTGTACGTGCGGGAGTGAGATTGACCAACTTCTCTTGTTGTCGCCTGGCTTGTACAGCTTCTTCCAATCTTGCCTGATGCAAAGCTTCAGAAAACTTGAAGCCACTGACGTCAGTCAAAGTCGTGGTAATCTGACCGTGCTTTCCATCTTCCGTCTCAACATATGCTGTGAATTGTACCCATGTGTGCCTGATAACGCCTTTGGTTCCACCAGCCCACAACTGGTTCAACCGTATCTGTAAAGTTTCGAAACGTCCATTGTTTGACACCTTTTTGAGACATTCGTCCACTTTTGGCAGGTCTTCAGGGTGAACGACTGAACGGATATCGACCTCGTGGACGGGTACGTTGGGATGTCCAGTGAGTTGTAACCAGGTCTCGTTGATGAACGACGTCAATCCAGTTTGATCCATGATCAGAATACCGAATGGAACATTCCTGATGAAATTTGACAGCCTTGTCTCGGTTAAACGAAGCTGCCGCAGAGCTCCCGCCCGATTCCGTCTCGCCTCGTATTCTACTTCCTTCTGTGCGTCTATATTCGTCATACAACCAGAGACGCCGATAAAATCGCCAACTTCGTTCAGCTCCGGAATGCATGCAATTAGTACCCATTGACAACAGTCTTTGTTTACACCTCGAAACCGCACTGAAAATGTGGTTGGGTGACCAGCAACTAGAACACGAAACTGGTCATCAAACATGCACCGGTCTCTTGGCTGACAAAGGTCTTGTAGCCTAGTCGGGAGACTTGTTTGAAGGCGATTACCATGATCGCTCATCATGCGGAAAGCTTCCTACGCAATATCAATATTTTGGGATATCCGTTGAAAGCTGTTTGCAGGCACGTACGTTATACTGTGTGACTGTACCCGACGAGTCGCATTCGAAGACACCAACGCTATGATTGAGAATCAGTATCTAATCGGTATGGGAAAGTGTGTTTGCTTACCTGGCGGCTTCCATAATCTTCAGCATTCGTTGAACCTTACCCGTTGCCAAAGCGGCTTCCTGCTCTTTGAGTAATAACTCCTTGGCCATGATCTCCTTGGCTCGTGATTCTCTTTTCTCATCGTTTGCTTTCGCGATTGCCTTCTCCTCCAGCATAGAGAGTCTAGCAACATGGTAGGCAAAGGTATGATGTATAGTCTCTATCCAAACCTGGTACGCCTGGTCGTACGGCCGCCGCGGTGCTAATCCAAGAATCAAGACAGCGGGGATTGTGTCCTTCTCCGAGGTACTTGGTACAACCACAGCAGTTCGACAGTCGTCGCCGTAGCATCGATCCCTTGAGGCTTGACACATTTCTGATGGCAAAGTGCCGTCCTCGGCACTCATCAACTCAAAATTCTTGAAGTCGGCGGCTTTGAATATCTTCTTGATCCAAGAGTGACCATCGGAACGCTCTAAGCTTGCTTGAGGCTGACCTTGAAAAGAGCCAACAGTGCCTCCAAGCTTGAATGTTCCTGTTTCAATCCGTTTGGATATGTACCCCGTATTCTTGTCACACAGGACCCTCGATTCCGCATGGTAGATTGCGGCGAAAGCTATATCCATATTGGCTGCAGAAATACCATCGCGAAGTGACGACCAAAATGATTCAAGATCCGTAGCTTTCTCGCAGATATGCCGGATATAATACAAAGAATGTTCTCTGCGCGAATGTAGAACCGCCGCAGTGGTGTCGTATGTAGTGGCATGATATCCGTCCAATGAAAGCGGCAAGTGAACCATCGTGGCCGAAAGAAAGACTTCCTCGAGTTGATTTTGGTTGAGAAAGAAGAATGGGACATCGTTTTCATTTGCAGGCTTAGACTTGGTTTTTGCGCTTTGTACGATTCGATCTATCGCTGGTGCCTGCGCTATCAACGCAGTATTCAACTGAATAGGTCTTCCTTGATAGGTCGGATGGTGGTCGCGGAGTAGTCGACCGTATGCTGTGTTGTAAAGGATTCGCGAGTCATGGCCTAGCAGAAACAGCTGCGGTTGTGGTGAATGTATTGCAAGATTAACGAGCACCAATAACTCATTTGGCCATGTCGAGATAGGTCCGATGCCTGATTCGTCCCAATCCAGGTTACGAATGTACCGAAGGTCGTTGTCGATATCGATGTCGCCAGTGGGGCGGGTCAGAAACGCGGAATAAGTTGATGAGCCAGGTTCATGCATGCTGACGACGAGAATGCTGGATAAACGCACGAAGTGCGTGAGCGATCCCCGATCGTGAAATCTCGATGAGGGGATAGCATCCATCGCTTATACCACACTAGTGTGGTGGCGCAAGCGTTTCAAGCCTGGTGAGGCAAACATTCTAGACTTCGAATTGCAAGATGGACGTCGGCCCGAATGGTCTGCAGAGCATGTTCTAGGCCCGGATATATGTAACAACGCCACCAGTCCATCATGCACGGGATGGTATCAATACCAGGCCCTCCAAATCTGATTTGACACGCCACTTGTGTTCTTCTTATCGGAGATGTGCTGAGCTTCCAACGCTCAGAATGGTGACCACATTCTAAACGAAGATTGTTAAGCTAAGTGGCGCTGATGCGTCAACTTTGCACAGTTGATGTTTCAGGCTCTTAAACCCCAGGTTAAGCATATCGCCTGCATCTACACTAGTCGAAAAAGCGATCCCCCACGTTCTAGCCTCCTAGCTTGACATGACTGATAGCAGGCGCTTGCGCGATTAAGGTTAGCTTAAAGGACAAATGCGCAGCGTGCGCAACAGTACTCGTTTGGATAACGTTCAGGCTAAATCTCTACTCTACTCTAAGTCTATCTACTTCAGAGAACTTATTAACCACCTCTTTAGATGCCCTTTCTACGCCTTGCACTGTATCGCCTAGTGCTTTGTGTACTGCTCCTTTTCTTTTGTTGGAAACTTCTACCTAATAAGCTCCATCTTACCGACACCATGCGCATCCCCCTTGTCATCAGTTGGAGGAAATCTCGGGGAGTCCGAAAGACCGACCTCCAGCGGCGCGTCTGTCGAGGAGCGAGTCGGTGGGCTGCTAGTCCACAGCTGAGAGGGGCAGCACGGGGCAGTACCTCTGAGAACATACAGTCCGTGGATTGGGCCTGAGTGATCGATCATGTCTAGCTTGGGAAGGTCTTTTGGCTCCAGTCTCTTTGCCGACTTGGAGAGTATAAATGGTGCGCGTTCAGGCAGTGTTGAAGAAGCTTTGATTTCTACAAGCCGTGTACTCGTGCCAGTCGGTGGTCGCTTCGCCTGCTCGCCGCGAATGGCAAACTCTAGACGGCTCGATCGAGTAGCTGGCGTTGTATTGGTGGCAGATTTGACAGGCGGGGTGTATGCTCTTCGAGTCGCTTTCGTAGGTCGCATGTAGCTTGGCAAAGTCTTTGTAGTCCGGCTTGTCTCTGCACTGGCTCTAGTTGACCGATCATTGTTGGGCAAAGTTGCTCCTTACTTGTTCAATTGCTTCCCATCTTTCATTGATGATTTCGGTGAGAATGGAGCTGGTGACACTGCGATAGGTTTCGATGCTTGCTGGATCTTTGGATACCGCGGACCATGTTTAATCGAAGACGTTAGTGACGAAGGGCCTGCTACCGACGATACAGGTGACGATAGTCGGTGGGACGTTGTGTATCGTGGTCCCTCTCTCTTTTCCTTTCCAGACTTGGGTGACGATGAAGCTGATGACAATGAGGAAGGCGCGGCAGCTTGCCTGGTCTTTGGGCATCGCGATACCGATTGTGGAAACCTTGATTCATCACTGGTATAGGCTGCTTGATTTGCAGTGGTAGCCCAGTCCCTTGTTGACGAACCTGAACTTTGCCGCTGACTTTCGCTCGACGAAGCTGGTTGGCTATCATCCGTGGAAGGAGATGCTGTGTCGAAAACGGAAACCGCGCTAGACGGAAACGTGGCATTGGTCATACGTTCGCGTCTGCCAGGAGCGGGCTTGCGCATGACCGCAACTTCCTTCTCGAATCCTAGATACTTCTCCATAACGAGCTCCACCTGTGCAAAAGCATCGTCAAAGTCCAGTTGGTCAACAGCATCGAGCTCCTGGAACCTTTTATGATGCATCGCCCACCACCCGTCACTAATCGTATGATGCTGTTGCGCAATCATCAAAGCGTGATCCGAGATGACTTTCCAATCCCGATAGGTCTGCAGACCGTTTTGCATCAACCCACAGGCTTTTGCGATAGCTTTCCTGGGCACACGCACCCATGGTTGGAGAGCACGCAGCACGCCGACGCCTGGTGCGTTCGAGGTGATCCTTGACCAGATAACGAGTAGCCTTTTCATGTCCCATCCAATGTTGAGCAGGTTCGCGCTAGTCATGTAGACGGTATCCCGTGTGTCCTGCACGTTGTCGATGATTGTGGATTTTACGAGCGTGGTGAATCTGAATCGCTCGATACTGTTGACTAGTAAGTCGATGTCGCTGTGAGGTTTAGAGGTCACCTCCGAACCTGGCCGGGATTTGATGGCGAGAGTGTCGAGCGAGCGGCGAGGGTTATCAGGAGCGGGTATCCAGTCGGGTGAGTGTGCGCGTGAGGAAGAGGTGCGAGGAAAGAGTGACAGCGAGCGGTGAATGGTGCTGACGGCTGTGTTACCGGGAGGAGACGCGGTTTCGCAAGAAAGGTCGGACTCTGAGTAGGGGCTGGGATCGGTAACGGTGCGAGGGGATGACTTCCTTTCGAGCTGCTGCATCTCTTCAGCGAACTGTAGAGGAAGAGATACCATGGCAGCGTCGTCGGCAGAAGCTTGGTCGGAAGAGCTGACGACTAAATCTTGAAGAGTCTCGTCAGAAGGAAAGGAACCTGGGAACAAGCCGACATTCCAATCTTCAGCCAAGGCGTTGATATCACATGTAGGTACTGTTACAGGATCCATCATCTGCGCTGTCACACCCAGAGCAGAGTTGACGCTCGGAACGACGCTCGATACAGACGGACCTGCCTCGCTCGTTCGTTTCTCGCTCTTGAAGACACGACTCCAGAGTCTCCTTGCTACCGCAGAATCAGGACCAAGGTGTTTATAACATTGGTATGTCAGCATTTGACTTACCAGCTGCGACTGTGTTAATACGCCCACGAGACTTCCGTGTGCCGACGATCTCAGCGCCCTCTGGATCTTTTCTGCGTGTCACAAAAGCGCCCAAACCACTTCTCGCGGTGTCTATAGATTTCCGCATGGAGTCGGGAACGATGATGCTGTGGTCCGGACGGTAGTACTGAAGTTGCGACGAGACTGATAGAATGAAGGCGACTCTAGTATCCAGTACAGAGGAGGGAAAATGTTCGCTCAAGCCGCCAGTCGAGAATACTGCATTCCGCACAAACAAGCGTACATTATCGTTGTGGCCTCGTCATTCGTTACCAAGATGTGAATGAAGGAACATGGTGGAGTGGAGATACTTTGCACAGCTGCTCACTGGCTACCTTCGTGTATGGCTGGTAACGAGGGTCCATCTCCAACGAAGCGCTTACAACTCCAACGACTCAAAGGGTACAAGCTATGCCATCGCCTGCTGAGATAATGACTATCGCGCATGCTGACGGTATCTGCGTAGTGATCCATAAACTACGAACCACAACCTTTGCAACCCTACGGCACGGAGTGAATGGATGCGAGGCTGGAGGGATGCGGAAGATTTCATCGCATGGAGCACAACATCAGGCCTGCCATCAGTTAGTAATCGGCAACATTGCGATCATCATTGGACCCTCCACCCTGCGCATGTCATGCTGTCGCGATAGATCCGACTTCCCCGCATTGCTGCAGGCCACCACAAACACCACATCACACATCCTGGAGCAGTATCTCGGTACCAGGGAAACTCGTGATATGCAAAGGGTCACAGAAGCCCACTGAACCAGTAAAATGGTGGTCATTATCCATTCTTTTATCTCTCATATGCTATTCAATCCCACGCAAACCCAGCCAAAAAGAACTCCGGAACGCTCCAATAGTATCCTCCACATACGCTTCCCGATGTCGCGGTAGGTGCCGGGTCGGGGTGGGTTCGTAACGTCGTGGAAGGAGGAATGCGACATGGATCAAGCACTATTCGCTGTTAAGTTCAGTTACTACGTGTACCCGCCAGGACGCTGGCGCAAGGAAAGACATGGAAAATGAAGAGAAGAGTGTGTGGGACGGAGGGAATGCGGAGCCTAGACTGCACGGCGCGAGAGAAGCGAGAGCGAGCGAACGGAAGATGCCTTTTCGAACAAGGAACAGGATAACGACAATTGTGTTATTGGCTGCGTGATGCCAATTAGCACTCGTCCATGCTCATCTCTTTTCTTCAAAGACACCTTCGTCGCTTTCGCTCGCACGTTACAGTCATTTTGGCTCGATGTAAGCGAAAGGGGCGAAGGGCGGGTGTGTACTTACTACAAGCTCAACGTCAAATCACCACGAATACTCGCTTTGAGTTCAATCTCAATTTCCAAATTCGCCTCCAGCGTCAACTTCAATCCATCCTGGTCTTTCAACTCGCTGCCCTTTTGTTGTGGCTCCATGCGGTACGGCTCGTCGGGGTGGGTGCTGCGCAGTGGGATCTCGCCTCGCATTGCGCGCGCATATGTGACGGGACCGTCCATGGATGTGCTGTCCGGGCCGATACGCTCGAACATGCCCATCTTTTGGAGATCGCCGTTTGCGTCGGCTTCTTCGAGGGCCTCGAGAGAGGCCGTGTGCATGTACTTTCCATTCTTCTTGTCTTCTTCGATGCGTTGGCGGCGGGCGCGGCGCGATGAGGACCGCGATCGCGCGGATTGGAGGCCGGCTTCGCGCTTGTTCTTCTTCGACACGTTCACAGCCTTCTCCTGCTGCATCGTCGACCGCTCGTGCGGCTGGTTCTCATAGTCGGAGCCGTCTTTGTCTGCCATGTCGTCGGGTATCCTTGCTATCATGCAAGGCTTCGGGTTGTGGTGGGAGGCAAATCCGGCTCAAGAGTGTTGTTGTTGGAGAAGAGAGGGGAATTGCGCTGAGCTGAGGTGTACGAAAGCAACAACGAGCAAGATGTGAAGTCAAGCCAAGGTCAAGCAAGAGAGGGCGGAGGTTACCACACACCCACGCACGCCACGACCTAGCACCTGCAGACTCCACTCCGAAAACAAGATTACTCGCAACGGCCTGGGTTCTTCTGTAGCTCCAAAAGCAAGGACGCCAGCAGCCGCCATTACAAGCTCGTACCCCTGTTCCGCCCACCCGTCTCACCGTTTCGGATCGCGCAGCATCGCTGATGACTGACGTCAGACCCACATAGAGCGACGGACATCCATATCGGGTTGACAGCCGCTGTATGACGTATAGGAAAAATGTGAAGCGCGCTGGCACTGCAACTCGACCGACATTTCAAGACAAGCTGACGACGCGCGCGAACATGGCGAAAGTGTAGCCGGTTTCCTGGCTGCAAGAGCGGCTAGGCTGACCGTTAGTCGCTTATCGCGGGGCTGCTCTCGCCCGCTCACGCGATCTAGCTCGAGGTAGCTGTGCAATACTCGGCTCATGAGATTTCTAGAGCACAGTAGTTGATGTTTTCAAGTCCGTACATCTTGCGATAGCACTTGACGTTACAATGTTCTCGGCCCTTTAGAGCTATTATTACACAACCTGGTCCTGATATAACCAGGAGTAGTGCTCGGTAAACGTCATACCAAGAATGCGACATTGCAATGAGCACCAACGCGCATCGTGTGGGACTTTCACGATCAAAACAAGCACGACGGGTTGAACACTGTGTTGATGCAAGTTATTTGTTGTGTTGTATGCACTACAATACATGTCATGACATTACATGCAAAACTCCAAAGCAAACGCCGACGGTGATATCCCATTATAACATTCGATGCGTTTCGTGCATTCGTCCTCGTGCGATATCTAGTTACTATCAACGAGTTAGCATTGCGCTCCAAACGTACGGATAACTAGAAGAATCAACTTACAGCAATCCAAGCGTAAGATCACCGTGAATCTTGGCCTTCAACTGAATCTCAATGTCGAGGTTGAGCTCCAATCGCAGTCTCAGCTGTTCACCTCCGTCCTTTCCGCCCTCCTCTTCACCGCCGCCGCCGCCAGTGAGACCACCAAGGGCCTTTCCAGCAGTGTTACCGACCGAGTTGACGGCGTTACCAGCAGTGTTTTGGACCATGTCGCCGGCTCCACTGAGGGCGTCGGCTCCAGGCACGTTCTCGGTGATGTCGTCTAGGGGACCTCCGCCCTTGCCGCCCTTCTTTTGGCGCTGGCGGTTGCGACGGCCTCCAGACTGCGAGACATCGGATCGCGCATCAGATTCGGCACCGGAGTCTGCGCCTCGTCGGCCACGGCCACGCGACTGGCGGCGTCTCGATTGCGACTTGCTCTTCTCTTGTTGGGGTTCCGCGTCGGATTCGTTGTCGGCGTCGCCGCCGTTGGTTTGCTTCTTGGATTCTGCGTCCTCGTTCTCAGCTTTCCCTTCGCCATCGCTTTCGGGGGCAGGAGTGGCGTCAGGAGTGGGCTGCTGTTGAGGCTTCTTTCCGCCCAGCTTCTTCGGCGTCTTCCTTTCGGTTTTCTTACTCGATGATTCCGCGCTGCCCTTTGCGCCTATCGAGGCGTTGGCATCTGCGTTTCCCTCTCCCGAGATAGACTGCTTGCTCTCCTCGACTGTGTCCGCCATTGTTGCTTGCTGTGTGGGTTCTTGGGGTGGAGGAATGGAGTGCAAGTTAGAGTACTGGCGTGTGTATGTGCCGAATTGAATGTGCTTCGGAAATTGTTAGAAGCCTAGGGCCACGGCGCAATTTGTTAATAAGAGAAAAGCGGCTTGGGAACAGGAACCGGTTTGGAGCTTCAAGGTACCTGCTACCCCTGCCAGCTCGAGCCACCCGTCATGCAGTCTGACGCACCATGTGGCACCCACATCCACCCCACCACGAGTCGTCCCAAAACTTGACCCCATCCCTGCGCGCTGCCAACCGGATTCTTTTAGGCCTGAATTCGTGCTTGCGCCGGTCTGGCTGTCGCGTCCAGCCCGATGCGTTGCAAGCTCTTTTGCCTCTGCCTTGCTTGCTCGTCATTGGCGCGCTCACCAAGCATAGAAGCGATGGATTGAGCAACGCGTCAGCCAAACGCGCTTGACATCAACGCTTTGGGACATCTCGTAGCTCGGAACATGGAGCTGACAAGATCCGTGGCCCAACGGTAGGCCAGGCGGAACGTTGACCCATGGAGTGCGGGAATGGTCGCTTAGTGTTGGCGTGAGACTTCCAATGCGCCTTCGTAGCGCGCACAATAGTCCTCAGGTAGCGCAACCTCAAGAGAACCCCACGATGGATTCAATATCATGAGCGTTGTGCTAACCATCGTTGGGAAGACGCAATCGCGGGGCGCGCCAGTTCTTCCCCGACGACCGCCGGGCCGACAAGCGCCGATCTCGCAGTCACCGTATGGCGTTTGCGTCTATAGCACCTCCAACACTTCGGTTAGCGAACAAGTGACTGAACTTCGAGCGCACTTGATCAGACCGTCAAAATCGCCAACATGACTACCCCAGACTCCGCAGCCGCAGATGTGGCCGCCAAGCAGCGAATCATAAAGCACATGAATGCAGACCATCACGACTCCGTATGCGCCACTCACACCCAGGTAACACTGATGTCAAGTCCGAATTTCGATCCTGATATTGACCGCAGATTCGCCGATACGTCGAGGCCTACGCTTCCAAATCCATGTTCCACAGCCGCTCAGCGCAGATGGTCGATATTGATTTAAATCAAATGGTCTTCAGCTGTGGCGGTCAACAAGCCGTCATCGCCTTCGATCCACCCATGAAGGCTATGCGCGAGGCCCGCGAGCGACTTGTACAGCTGGACAAGGATGCTCTCCAGACACTGGGACGAAGCGACATACCTATCACGAAATTTGTCCCAGCATACACACACCCTGCGCATCTGTGGAACTTTACGCAGTGTGTGTTGGCCATGGTTTTACTACCGCGGCAGGCGAACTGGCAGCCTGGCTCTCTCCTCTATGATAACATGTTATATCTCGTGCCAGGCTTCGCAAGCTTTGTTGCTCGAATTGGCTGGATTGTCTTCGTGTGTATGTTACCCATCCACGCTGTCGAAGTAGTCATCATGGCGAGGAAACTGGCTAAACACGGATGCACGTTCATGGACGCTGTATGGTGGAAATGGGTGGGAACGTGTTTTATTGAAGGATTCACATCGTTCTCCAGGCTCAATGCGCTAATTGAAGAAAAGAGGAGAGAAAAGGATGCGAAGAAGCACTAGGGAAGTGGAACGAACCCACTGAATGTAGCCTTGGTGTTTACAACTCACTATGTACGGTAGTGCTAGCTTCGTATAGTATTTGACCGTGGATTTTTCCCTTCACAAGTGAGGACTTAGTCACCCCAGTATCTCGCTCCGCGTTCAGGATATCCACTACATGACCCGTACCTTGATGTATGGCGTCAACCTTCTGGGCTGCAATCCGGAACTTACCTAGACGTTGTTTGGACTATCAACCTTAAGCATTAGTAAGCAGCCCGCCGCAACTTGAGAGTCAACTACTCAATAGACAAGTTAGATAGCGCGCCTCGTCGAGCGATGGAAGGTGCGCATCTGATTAGGATGGCTGACGCTAGTCCTAAGGAGCATAGTCAGTGAGTCTTGGCTGCCTCTTGCGGAAGCGGCCCGGAAGGCGCCCGAGGCATATGCAGCACTCACGTTCTCGCTTGTTGAGTCGAGGAAAGATTGAATCTCGCATGCGAGATCAATCCTTTTCCCCAGATGTGCGAGCCCATGTCACTTCTGGGCGATAGACCAACCCCAGTTTCAGATCAACGTTATGGGCAAACCGAAACTTGCGCTACAAGTTCCGGTAGAATACACAATCGTCGTCTTCGCGGACGGCGCATCAGATTCCCTCCTTCACGGATCGCTGTCATTCAGCAATGTGCCAACACAATGCGATTTTCAAATTGCGCTCGCAAGAGTTGGACGATTGGAGAAGGGCAAAAAGATGAAACCTGATAGTGCCTCAAGGACGCTGATGGGCGAGCTTGGCCTCATAGGATCGCAGAAAGAGCAGAAACGGGAGCAATTCGACTACGAGACTGCTGAGAAGTTGTGTGTTTGTTCCGTTGGTCCACCGCAAGAGAGCTCTGGATCAAAGACAGCGAAGTGCGAGTTCAGTCTGCACATTCCGTCATACCTTCCTGCGACGGCAATGCTTCCATCCGTCAACATCTCCTATGCTATCTTTGCAACTTGCATTCTCCCGGATAGGAAGGTCTTGCAGACAAGCCAGGATCTACGCATCGTCCGCGAAACTGTTGAGCCAATACGGCTGGAACCATCACGAACAGTGTATTTCCCAGACACATCCTTCGCTGTGCGCGCCAACTTCGATCCCCCCACCTTCAGCTCCAAGAATACCACAATCTCAACGACATTGCAGCTCTATGGCCTCAGTTTGCCCATCACAAATTCTATGCGCTTCACTGAAACGCGTTGGCTCGTGCCCCGCGAAATCCGCTGGGTACTGGAGGAGACCGCTGTGATTGTCACCGGCTGCCCAGATACGACCGGTCACCTGCCCATGTCCAGCGCGCAACGCATCCTGAAGAGGCGCAAACTCGCAACCGGGAGAGAGAAATTGAAGCTCAGATACCCATTCACGCGGCGTGGAAATACGCCTGTTAGCATGCATTCCGATGGCTCCGGATTTTCGGTCCCACTCACTGTCTCGGGACCAAAAGATCTCTCCCTTGACGCCAGCACTGCACTTTCAGTAGCAGGCGGACACATTTTACATGCCATCCTTGACGAATCCAATAGTGACCTGAATGAGCTACAGTGGAGGTTCGCAGTCTATCTTGAGTGTGGACTGCACATTTGGCTGCGCATCGGAGAAGACGTGTTTGATGAAGCATCGGGTAATCTGGTAAACAGGAAGATGGATGAGATGGCGTACACCATTGTTTGTCCTTTAACCACGTCTCGGACAGTGACTGGGCAGCATGACCGAGGTGATCAAGACGAGCCGGTGCCGATGATACCCCCGAGTTATGATCAGGTTTGGGAACAGCCGCCGCCTGAGTACGCAACGCCTGAGGGATTTACGGCAGCTGAAGCGCACACGACGAACAGCTTAGTGCCCCAGGACTTACTGGGCTGATTTCGCGTCTATGTGAGTGTAGGTTATACTAGGGTGTAAGCTGCTAGAGCAGCAGTAATTCAATTGAGCTTCCCCGAGAGTCACGTAAAAGTGACTGGCATTCTTACCAAGGCACATTCATCATAGCTTCACATGAGAAAGTGATGCTAGCGGCGGATAATGGTGGGAAATGCTCACAGCAAGATACGTGTGCCTTGTATGCACCTGACACGGACTGCAACCAGAGGTTTTCGGGGTGCTGATTCTATGAAGTTAGCGTGTGTTACTTCAGATAGTTTCAGAGGTCGCAAAAACCGCTGTAGTGTCAGCCCGACTCTAGCCTATTAGTATCATTCTCGATTCTTGTATCTAAATTGTATTGATTAGTAATATCTATGGATAATGACTCGATGAATCATTTGAGCGATCATTGCCTGCAACTATGCGCGATATATTAAGCCAGCTTTTGCGAAGTCCTTCGTGGCCAAGCATCGCCCACGGTTCTAGGTCGATCGTCCTCCAGTCTCCCATCTCATGCCACAAACCCGCTTAGTGCCCCTCTATTCACTCCCTCCTTTTCAGCGCCATCTCCATATGCGTAGTCTGCCACTTCGGATCATCATCCACAAGAACAATCTCAAATCCTCGCTTCTGCCAAAACCTAATCGCACCGTCCAAAAACGGATGCGAATGCAGATAAAGACATTCGACATCCTCCTCGACAGCTCTCTCATAGAGTTTCAGGAACAATTCAGCCGCGAGTCCACAGCGCCGATACTGGGGCTGCACGAACAATCGCACGACTTCGAGTGTCCGCACGGCGTGGTAGTCGAGTTGAGGATGCCGGTTGTCGTAGCGTACGTAGCCTATAACGGCTATCAAATCCTTGCCGTCCCGCGCTTCGAGAAAGCAGCTACCGTCACTGAATAGGGATGTAGTGTCTGGTGGTAACGAACGACCGGAAAACATGACCTTGCGACCTTCGTTGATGAACTTGATAATTTCGTTGACTGCCTGAGGTGGGACTGGTTGGATCGTCCATGGCGAAGTTGTTTGTCGGCTACCGGAGGGATGCGGCATGGTGTAAAGTAAAGTGTATGCATAGTGACACGTCGTTCGACCAACAAAATCTGGAGATTTGGCGAGGCTAGGCAGGAAATGGTAAAGCGTCATCTTAGTTGCTTGGCTTGGACTATGCGCATTATGTAGTTCATGGATTCGATCAAAATCGATTGCAGAGCGAATATCGAATCGCTGGAACAACGGCGTATCATTCCGGTGGCTACTTCTTCTCTTTGATGTCATTCTTCTTGAAAGCGCTCTTCACCACAGCGGTATCGAAACCACTCCACCGTCAGACGAATCGCGAGGTACGCCTGGGAAGCATTTGATGGGCTTGAACAAAACTTTGTAGAACGGCGACAATTAGCTACGATCGATGTCAAAACTCAGGTGTGGGGGACAGCGCTGACCCAACGACTCAATCAAAACCGTAAAAACTTTGGATGCGAAGGCGTCAGGGATTCCGACGTATCCAAGCTCGTTCGCGATTATAGAGTGAACGGGACGGCCCGTCCCGCCATCAGAAGTTTGTCGCCAGAATTGCTTGTCATGTTTACGAACATAGCACCTTACTACTCAGCGCAAGATCTCTGGGGAAAAGAAGTCGTTCTCGGTCATCCGTACTCAATTGTATTCCACATCTGTGACGATTTACAGCGGGTTCTGGCCGCATGTGAGGGTGAAAATCCGTCAATATCATCTATTGACTCCCAAACTAGCTGGCAGAGCAATGTGCAATGCATCAGAGCGATTGGTGAACATCTATGGGTTTTCCTGAATGCACCCCCAGTTCGGGCGTTCTATTTCAGAATCGTTTCAATCCGAGGTTGAGACGCATGCGCAGAAGTGTGCAAGGTTCGACTACTTGTGGCTCCTCTACCGACCTAGCACGATTGTGCTTAGGCATGACGATCCCAAAGAACGAGGACAATTTCCAGGGTATGTTGTAGAGCGAATGAACTATTTGCGTAAGGGTAAGGCGTCTTCGAGCTCTAATAGAGCGACCTCTGCGGACAAGTAGGAGTGGTCGTTGTAGAATCTCAGCTACAGCGACGGCCAGTCAACCATACAAAGGCACCCCTTTTTCATCAAGAGATATAAAGGAATGAGAGCGATCTCAGAATTACCTGTTGTACCGATACAAGTTGTAGATGATCCCAATAACGTCAGATCGACCCTCATCGACCGTGGACGCTATGATCAATGATGTGCGAAGAGCATAGCTATTGGTATAACAAAAGGAAGGTGAAAAGCAGGCCTACCAACGAGGCATCATCCCTCGTATGACTTCGATCATCTCTGATCCACTGAGTACCCCGCCGAAGAAATCTAGTATGACGGCGTCTCATTCCATGTAAGTGGCTTGCCATCTCTGGCCTACTTGATAGCACGCTTAACTTGTGTAGTACGAAGAAGGGATCATCGTTGATCACGAACAGTATCTGGAATCAACAAAAGAGAGCTTGTTGACATCTCTCAAGACGTCAGGCAAGGAGCCTGTCAACACTTGTGGAGAACCTCTGTGTTCGATGTTCAATGACATGGTGTGTACTTCTTCATGTCAGCTGGACGATATCTAGTACCACCAACTACCCAGTCGCGTGCTGGTCTTTGCTCTTGACAATAAAAGGCGGTGGGGTAAGGTTGAATAGTCCTTCCGGCACAGTCGCGATATGCTGATGAGCAATAGGCATCTTCAATATGACCTGTGTCGTTCTGGCGTCAGAGGAGGACGATCCTATGGCGGAGCTAATCATAATTGATTACTACAAGACGTTGCTGCTTGCGGCAGCAGACCAGCCTCTTCGAGGAACAATTGTCGAATTATGGGTCACAGGATGGAACGCCGACTTCGTTGGGGGAAAAGGCCGAGGCAGGGTGGTTCTACTCCATGGTAGGCGCTAACAACACGTGTTCAGTCTCGTTGCACAACACTTTGGCTGACACGCGATATAGGAGCACCCGGAACTGGCAAGACGTTCACGGCTGAATGTATCGCAAGAAAGACTAGTCGACCTCTTCTCTCCATCATCACTCCTGACCTGGAACTGAAGAGGTCTAGATCTAGAAGCGAATTGCCTACTATCTTGATCTAGCGTATATGTGGGGTTAATCGTACTATTGGGCGAAGCTGAAGTGTACCTCTAGCAGAGGAAAGCTGGAACTTTCGTCTATAATGCTTTAGTCTCAGGTATGTCAGCTGCCCTTCGTTGCTGCGCAGGATTGGTTGCTGAGCAAGATAGCGTTCCTGAGTACACTGGAGTACTTTTCTGGTCTGCTATCTATATTAGGCATAGCAAACGTTGTAAAGATTGAACGAGAGAGCTAAAATAATACACAGACAACGAATGTAATCGGCATGTTCGACGAAGCGGACGTATCGCGTATACACTTAGCAATCCTATATTCTCGCGCTAATCTTGATACGCGTCGAGACATATAGAAAGCACTCTTTAGGAAACTAGAAGCAGACTAAGATGGACGATACACAGTTAATAATTCTGGAGGCAATCTCGTTATTGCGGGCCTTATCGGCAGTGCAGGCTAAGCAGGTAAGGTTTTGCAGCCTCGAATAACGATTGAGGACGAGAGAAAGCTTCGCTTCTCCGCTGATTCGAGTGACGAGGATAATAAGTTTCGTTTGAATGGACGAGAGACTAGAAACATCAAAGGCTACCTGTAAAGTGACAGTATTATCTGAACTAATGCGCACACACAGCCCTGCTTAGCGCTATCAGCGTCGCAACAAAAGAGGCAACGACAGCTGGTAGGGTAGCCAAAGAGATTAAGCTTACGATCGACTATGTAGAGACGGTTCTAAACAATAGGAGACGTCTCAGAGAGGATGTTAACGCAGCAACAGAGTTCTACCTAGAGAAACTAGCTAAAGAGGGAGTCGTGCGAGGTGTGGAGGTCTAAGAGACCACTTGCACATAGATCATCTTCACTACAGCTCGGTGGTCAGCTCCTTTTTTTCGTGATAACACACATGCCTCTTACGTGCACTACTCATCCTTCTATGCAGATTTCGTCACTTGGACAGCAAGAGCAAAGTTATATCGTTTACTTCTACTCTGATATGAATTACACGTGAAGTATATACAGCTCTTAGTCTAGCTTCCCAGACCTAACGCTGACAATTTCCAACGTTGGCTTGCAGCTGGAATTGCTTGAGGCCCAAGTGATAGGAGTACCCTATTCCAAAGGCATAACGATCTGATATCGCCTACATATTCTTATCTGGCGTGTGCGAGAACTTTAACAGCAAGTGAATAGAGCGGACTAAGAATGGGGACTCCTAGGCGTCGAGCGTTCGTCGACTGTTCCACGATTCCGCCCTTCGCCTTGCGCTAATTCAGCTCCAATTGCCTCTTGCTGCATAGCTGCAAAGCTGTCGCGAAACACGATAGTAGATGGATGCTGAGAACCAAGCTGTTTAGTGGACCCATCGCACGCTCGTTGGTAAAGCTCGGCCGCTTCTGGGTACCGGCGCAGTTTGCCCAAGAGAATAGCGAGGTTGTAGACAGATGTCAGCGTGTCGGGGTGATCCTGGCCTAGCTTCTTCTCTGACCCTTCTATCACTCGCTGGTACAGCATCTCTGCCTCTTCGTATCTGCCCTGATCCTGGAGGACTAATGCCAGGTTACTCACGCTATTCAGCGTGTTGGGGTGATCCTGGCCTAGCTTCTTCTCCTTCCCTTCTAGGGCTCGCCGATTAAGCGTCTCTGCCTCTTCGTACCTGCCCTGGCAATGGAGATCTATTGCTAGGTTGTTCATGCTTATCAACGTGTCGGGGTGGTTGTCACCTAGATGCGTCTCTTCTACTTCTAGCACCCGCCGGTGAAGCGTTTCTGCCTCCTCGTACTTGCCCTGAAAGTGCAGCACAATCGCTAGTGTATTTAGGCTGTTCAGTGTCAGCTGGTTCTCTTGCCCTAATGCTTTCTCGTTGGCGGCAACTGCCTTTGCTGCTAACTGATGCGCTACACTATAGCTTCCTATCGCACTAAGATACCATGCTACGTTGTAAAGCACCTGCGCCCATGCCTTCAACGCTTCTTCGCTGGCTGGCTGAGTGCTAAAGAGCGGTTCGACGTGCGGAAGCAGCTGCTGGCACTTGGCCCAATTCTCATAGTCCCCGTTAGGCAGCTCTTGCGCCATTAGCTCTACGAACCGCCTCTCCCACTGTTCAGCATCGCTAGACGACGATAACCAGACTCGTGTACAGAACTGCACCAGAGCGTGCATCTCGAAAACGTCACTATCTGCTGTCATCGACACCAATGAGTATGCTCGCAGGGTAGCCAGATCGTCGTCAAGCGCGCTGTCCAGGTCTTCTTGATCCTCCGACCCCGCTCCCCTCGTGGCCTCTCTGCTGTGTCTCCTCAACGCGGATTCAGGTATGCCCTGCGGGTTGAAGAAGCTCATAAGTGACAGCAGATCGGCTGCTGACTGCCGCTCCCGCTGGATCTGCTCAAACGACATCTGCCACGTTGTCACCACCGAGTTGGACGCGCTCTCGTCACGGCGCAGCTCGCCCGCGTCCCATTTGAGCAGTCTCTCGCGCTTTTTGCTGTCCTTCTGAAACTCAGCTAGATAGCCAGCGACTGTCATGCGCCCGCGTCGGTTGATGTACGCGGCCGCCTGGACGACGGCGAGAGGTATGTAGTCGAGCGCGCGCAGCAGGTCTACAGCGCTCTCTTCGACTGGCGGGTGCTGCAGCTTGTTGCGAAGCAGTTGCAGGCCTTCACCTTCGTCCATCGCAAGCACTCCCTTAGTCCTGTTGTAGCCTCCCACTAGCCTGGCGGCTGCGTCCTGACTCCGTGACGTGACTAGTATCGCCCCGTTGCGGCTCTGCGGAAGGAAGGTGGCCAGCGGTATCTGGGCGCAAGCATCGCCCTCGTCTCCCTGGCGTTGGCGCTTCCGCGACGGGAAGAAGGTCTCTACATCGTCCACGTTGTCGACGACCATCACCCACCGTCCGTTCGCCTCGTCGCGCAGCCAGTCGTGCACCAGCCGCAACACGTTCGCCTTCGGATCGTCCCTCCCCGGCAGCTCCAGCCGGGTGGCGATGCCTTTGTACGCTTCCTCGAACCGGGCCCGGGTGCTGGCGTGCACCCAGAACACAAACGTCTGTGGCGCGACATCGCGAATGCTGTGGGCGTACTGGAGGGCGAGCTGCGACTTGCTGTCGTCTGTTAGTCGTGTTGTAGCGTGCGTGTAGTCGGTACAGCGACGTCGACGTACCCTACGCCGCCGAGACCCACCAGCGCTGCCCGCGCGCCCGGTCCCGCGCACTTGTCGCGCACCCAGGCGGCGATCGCAGGCCGGTCGACAAGGTCAGGGTCCGGTGCAAACGGCACCGTTGAGAAAGGTTCAGGTTTCTGCTTTTGCCCTGACGAGTGTTAGCCTGGTGGTAGTATGGCGACGCGATCCCAAGGTAGGGTACCATCGGCTCGGCCAGGCCCAAAGTTGAAGTTCATCGTCCCACCAGGCCCGCAGTGTGGAGCGGGAATGGCGACGTGAGCGCCGATAGCTCCATGAAACGTGCTGGCCATGGCTGGCGCAAGACGGTGGTTGCGTGAAACTTTGTGATCTTGTAGAATTGGGGTGAATGTGATACAGATCGCAGAGAAGGCCTGCAGCTGCTCATGCTGGTAGGATGCCAAGGGCGCCTCAGCCTCAGCCTTGGGCGCTTCAAATCCTGCCATTCATGAGCATCTTCGTGCTTGTCAACGCCTCATATCGTCGTTTCTTCCCCTCTGATCAAGGGAACGCATCGTCTGGAGCTGAACTTCTGACGTCGCCCACGCACCATGCGTCTTCTGCAGCGCAAGGACGGCGGTAACTACAGCCTAACGGAGTTTGTGGGTGATACCATCCCAGATTATGCCATCTTATCTCACACCTGGGGCCCAGACCAGGAAGAGGTCACCTTTGCAGATCTAGAGCAAGATGCAGGCACGACCAAGACCGGCTACCGGAAACTTCAATTCTGCGCAGACCAGGCTGCTAAGGACGGCCTCTGCTACTTTTGGGTCGACACTTGCTGCATCGATAAGTCGAGCAGCGCAGAGCTGACTGAGGCTATTAACTCCATGTTTGCCTGGTATCGCGACGCTACCCGATGCTACGTGTACTTATCCGACGTTCCGACCAGCAGCCTCAACAGTAGCCTCACCAGCAGCACGCCTGCCCAACAACACTGGAACCTTGCGTTCCAGCAGAGCAAATGGTTCACACGAGGCTGGACGCTTCAGGAGCTAGTCGCCCCAGTGTCAGTTGAGTTCTTTTCGGCTGAGGGCGAGCGGCTCGGCAACAAATACTCGCTGGTGCAGGAACTTCACAGTGTTACTGGGATCAGCGTTGAGGCTCTCCAGGGAAGCCGCCGTCTAGATCAACTCAGCGTTGACGAACGCATGTCTTGGATAGGGCAACGCAAGACAAAGCGCGAAGAGGATGCAGCGTACTCACTGCTGGGCATCTTCGACGTGCATATGCCGCTCATATATGGAGAAGGTCGGAGGAAGGCGTTTGCCCGGTTGCAAAGGGAGATCCACAGAGCTTCTAGTGATGCGCATTCTTCTCCATCTCATAACGATATGTCGCAAAGCCATGGCCACGTTACACATGCCTACAATGGACCTGTATTTTACGGACCTATATCGGGTCGCTATGTAGTACCAGGAACACACGTTACAGGGGGTACAGTCAACTTTGACTTCAGAGAAGGGCGCGACGTTAGTCAGTAGAAGTGAGCAACAATACTACAGCTTGACTTTGTGGCAGTCTAGCTCTCTAGAGATATAAGTGGGGGGCCTGCAGGCAAGTAGCGGGTCATCCTAGCCTTCCTTGGTTTGCCCTCACTCAACTCTGCTCAGCGCAACACCTTTCAGACCCAACCCTTGAAATCAGCCCAAAGGTGCTCAGCCGCACAAGAGAGTAATGTGTATGTTCAGAAGGACAACACGTTGTCACGCAAGTTGCACCCGGCTTTAATATCCACTCGAAGAACAGCAACTACGGCTGATTCAAATTGTGCCCCGGCCCGAACGCTCAACGATTCGGTGTCACCTTTGCACAGTGTCCTTGTTGGGCGTGTCTGATGAGTTCAACAGCAGGTGTATGGAGTGGACTACGGGTGAGAAACCCCGGATATTGAGCGTTCGCGAACTCCTTCGCGACCTCGCTCTGCGTAAAGATTGGACAACACGTTCGACAGGTCTTGTTGCGAAGTCTACTTTCTTAGCATCTAAGAACCCTCAAATCTCTTTACTGAACCGCCGCACCGCGTCCAAATACAAGCCGTCAAGCTTATCTGCCACTGTCACATTATCTATAGCTAACTGCAGGTAATGCTGATTCGTGACACCTTCGTCAACAACCCACACATTCGACCCGTTCGGAAAAACGTGGTTGTATCCAGCAGTGTTCCCGTACTCGAACAACGACCCCAATCCCGTGACCGCATACATAACAGTCAATGGATCCCAAGACATTCGCGTGGTATTGTATCCCACGTACCATCCGTATGCCGCCGTCACCAAATCGCCCTTGGTCCCCTCGGTTGTCAATTTGGCCCCACTCAGGACGTTATCCCCAACCTCAGTGCCCAAGAACGTGACAGGTACAGTACGGGGCCAATTATTCACTACATGTGCCGTGGTGAGCGGATTATCTCCCCAGAAGTTGTATTCGTGACCAGAGGGATAACCGCCGCCCATGACAGCCAGCTTCCTGACCTTCTTGGCTATGAGTTCAGGTCCAGAAAGCAAGGAGTACGCATCACCAGTCGAGTTCAGCAGCCCGGAGAGGTTGTCAAAGAAGCCAATAGAAGCGATCGTTACGCTCGAGTCCGCACTCTCCGCCAGGCTCTTGCGATATAGATCCACGGGCTCCCATGACCTTTCAGGCTTGAACCACGGCAACGACCCGCCCGAAAAATGATATGCCACTTTCGACGTGTACTCGCCCAGTTCGTACGCCCAATCGTCGAAGAAGCTCTCATTGGCGTAAGGGCGGCGCATGCCAATGGATGTATTTGGGTGGCCGTAGAAGTTCAGGACGGCGGAAGCCGCAAGCGGGGAATACGCGGAGGGATAGTTCACGTTGACGGCAAGGAGGGAGACGTTGGGAAGGGTGGCGGCGAGAAGGAGGGCTGCGACGTCACTATTGCAGATATGTTAAATGGCAGATTCTTTTGACTTCGTCGCGAGGGAAACTGTGGCGATCAAGACGTACTCTACGTCGCTGAAGATGTCGGTATCAACAATCAGGTGCGTGGTACAGTCCGCCTGTGCACCGAATGTGTAACATGCGAGGTAGCCTAATGCATAGCGAAGCATGCGCTTTGGAGAGAAGACGTTATTAACGAGCATAGTTTCCTTTCGCGATTCGCTCGCCAGGCGCGTGCAAAGGGAACAGAGTTTTGAGGACAATTCGAGAGCCTCCCGATAGGAGCGCAGACATTTTCTAGGACGTCCATCTAACCTTGATTTGGGATGATCGCGTTGTGGAGACGGCCGATAATCGCATTGTGGACATGGCAGTGATTATGATTGCAGCGGGAGAGTGAAGCCGAAGATTAGACCGAGGTAATGAGAAGTCGTGCCAAGGGTGGGGGCAGGACTTACAAGAGTTACCTATCACAGTCCCAACACTAATACCCGCGCAAACACTACTAATGCCTTCGCTACTAGCACTGCTTATATTGTACTGGTGTACGAAGTGCTTATTCAATACAGAGGAGTATATCCTTAGTGCTTTGGATGCATTTACTAGAGGACACCTATAATGACTGACAACTAACATGTGGTTAGGGAGGCAACGGCAAATAGCGATGGAGGCCTACAGCTCATTCGAGATCTGGCTGCTTCCAGAGAAGCCGGGTGTGAGATTGAATCGTGACGCACGCTGTGTGTAGAGCAGGCGACTAGCAACTAGAGCAACTGCACTATAGTGTAGGGATGCTAGTTGTGAATTGAACCAAGGACGCGCAAAAAGCATAGCCTCATCACGTCAACGCTGATGTAGGATCTTTGTGCTGTAAGAGTTGCTAGGTGTCACATAACTAGCCTTAGCAGGCTAGTCCTACAAAGGCGCGGCCCCGGTCATCCTATGTACCTTAGCATCAGGCATAGATAGGAATACCACACGATCGCCACCAAAACCATCGCACTAGGGGGAAGCCGCCCGACTAGTAGCTAGGTACATGCATAACTCGCTTGAGCTCCATAATGCTGCATTGCTCTGTGTACGCCTGTCTTTCGAGCAGATACTACTAGGGTATAAATACCTCTACAAGTCGCAAAAAAAGAAAGGTTAGCTAACAGTAGTACAACATTCTAATCCTTAGCTTTAGAGTCTTTATATCAGATTGCGTTAAATATATTAATTAGGTAAAAACGAGTTGCGCGCTAGCTTGCATAGCATAGCCTTAGTCTGCCTCTTTCGCGGCTGCGCCTGCGCCTGCGCCTTTAGCCGCAAATTATAAGAATCTAACTGCGGCCTAACCTACTTAACTATAGCGAAGGGCCTTCTTATAAGTCTGTTTGTCTAGATTGTAGTTTTAGGCATTAGAATTTAATAAATGTCTATACTATATATAACTTGCGATATAATTATAATACACCTGTTACTAAAATAAGCGCGATCCTACTTAGATCGCGCACATCCTCTTAGGTAGGGTAGGGAATTATTTTAGTGCTAGCGCAGAGCAGCACAGGTATCTCTTACGTTATTATCTTAATATACAGGAAAAGTCGCTTTTCTTAATCTTTTTGCCTTTGCTTATCTAGCCTTTCTAGAAAGCTAATTACAACTTAATACTTACTTATACGTATATACTTATATAAGCTACTCTCTATCTCTATTTTCTGCGCTGCTATAGAAACTATTATAGAATTTCTTAACTACCTCTACAAGTAGCCTAAAGATAGGATCGCGGGACTAGAAGAGGATTAAGAACAGTTCCTAGTGTATTAGAGCTACACGATTTATAGAATATATTATAGCCTTAGGTCTAATAGATAGTAGTTAAAGCTGCTTAAAAATATTACTAATAGCGTAAGAAAAGGCCTTACTAAACTAAAGGAGGTAGATAAAGAGCCTGCTGCTATTACAAAAGTATAGGATTAGTTTTAACTTAATACGCGTTTAGATCTTACTACTTTAGATAGATTAATAATAGAAGACGTCTAGTATGTATATCTAGAAGGGAGTAGGGGTTAGCTAATAAGGGGGACTTAACGTTGCAACTAGAGTACTTTTATCTTTCTATTAGCGGATGCTTAAGTGCTATAAGATCCTAACCTCCGCCTGCTAAAAGTTGCGGACGTAAGATATAACCTAGTTACTACTATACCTAGGAATACTTAGTCTAGTCTATAGCAGAACTTTAGATAGCTAACTATTCTAATAACAGCTGTTTTAGATTTTTACAACTAGATAGACAGGTTTATATAAGAGTAGATTGTTAATTAGGTATAGCTAGAGAAACTTTAGGATCTATATAAATATAAATAATTAACTATATCTTTGTGCTAGAGACAAGTATAAAAAAGAAATTAAAGTCTTAGTCCTTTTAACAGAGCAGTTGCAATATTTATTAACTTTTATTTATTATAATTTAGTTATAGGATAAAGGTATATAGATATAACAATAGCTAGCATTGTATATTCTTAACTCCTTGTATAATAGTCTAATGCAATCAAAACTATAAAGATATATTAATAGTTATCTTACTTATCTAGGTCTCTAAGCTTGTTAGAGCGTTAAGAATTTCCTGTACACTAGTATCTACACTATTTGTCTATGTTTTGCAGACAAGATCAATTGCTTCCTAGCAAAGGTCCTTAGCATTCTTAGTAACAAAATTAATAAAGAAGTCTTTTACCTATTTAAACTAAAAATCGCTAATCGCTATCTAATTATTAGGATAGTTAACGTTGTAAATTTGCTAGGAAAGCCTCTATTGCGCGCTAATGTTATTAATAACTGTAGTTAGAAAACTGTTAACGTTAGGCGTGCCTTTATAGCCTAGGTAGTAGATTAATACAATTGTCGCCCTAATTCTTCTAAGTATATACTGTGCATTAGCAAATATGCTAGTTTTGTTTTTATTATTAAGATTTTTGCAGGATATAGGCCTATTCCCTATAAAGAGCTGCGCTTTGTAGAGCAATCGCGAGGTATATAAGAAGTTGTATTTAATAGAGAACTAAGCTCCTAGCTACGTAGTTATCTATATATAAGCTAGTTGCCTAAGTAATAATTAGGCTAGTATAGTCTAGGTGCACGAGATAGCTTCTAGGTCCTGCGGCTATTATCTAAGTAATATTTAGATAATATACAGAGAATCTAGGTGCTTAAAGTAGCACCTAAGTTTTATAAGTAGACTAAAATTCTATTAAGGAGCTGTCTAAAGGGCGTTTAGCCTGTTATAATACCCCCTTTCTTATAGTAATACTATATTACCTCTCTAAAACCCTTCTAGGAGGCAGCCCTTGCTATCCTATTTAGCCTCTATAAATGCTTCCTAATAATCTACTACCTTAGCGTCCTTAAGTAGCTCTGCTAGTTTAAGCGTTATTTAGTAGAACTCTTTCTACTTTACTTTATAATATAGCTTACGCCTTCTTCTACAGCGGCGTACTTCTTCTACTATAATATCTTCTACTTTCTATTTATTTTCTCCCTCTACTTATAGCGGCTGTAGTTAATAATTATTCTAAACCTAATTTAGGAGCAGGT